TTCATACGAAATACAGCTATTTCGAGTACTATATTCTGCCCTTTAGCCTCACCAACACCCCAGCCACATTTCAGGCATACATTAACAAGGCGCTAGCAAGCCTAGTAGATATAATCTGCATCATCTACCTGAATAATATCCTAATCTACAGTAATAATGCTAAGCAGTATACAAGCCACATTCAAGAGATCTTGAAGCAGCTACAGCAATGAGAGCTATATCTCAATCTGAGGAAATACAAGTTCAACATACAACAGATGGAATTCCTAAGCTTTGTAGTATTCCCAGAAGGAATCAGTATGAATAAGAAGCGCATTGCAGCTATTATGCAGTAGCTGCTTCTGCGCACTATCTGCAATATTCAGATATTTCTTGAATTTACTGAATTTTACTATCGATTTATACAGAACTACTCCAAGATTACTATATTATTAACCAATCTTTTGCAAAGCAGCAGCATAAGTATGATTGTATTCTTGAACTGCGCTTAAGTAGCTTTCAAAACTCTAATTATACTCTTTACAACAGCTCCATTGCTATACTACTATGATGCTGCATTACTAACGAGAGTTGAAACAAATGCTTCTGCTTTCGCTATAGAAGCTGTACTAGCTCAGCTATTTCAAAGCTGCTAACATCCAATTACCTTTTATTCAAAGAAGCTCTCTCCAACAGAAATATAGTATAGTATGAAGGATATCGAGCTATTAGCTATTATGAACACTATATCAAACTAGCAGCATTATTTATTATATCTGCTTAAGCCTATACTCATCCTTACAAACCATCTCAACTTGCAATACTAGGAGACTAAACAGAAGCTATCTGCTTGCTAGTTGCACTAGCTGAACAATCTCAGCATATATAATCTCATTATTCAGTACTATCCCAGCAAATCCAATCCAGCTAATGAGTTATCCAAGCAGCTAGATTATCAGAGAAGAGGAAGAGCTGAGCAGAAGCTGCAAAGCCCCAGCAATTTCATTATAATGAAGAATCTGAAAAATCAGAGAAAATCTTATATTAATTATATTCGAAGAGTAAGAGTGAAGCAAGCAGCAAACCTAAATATCTTCTGTTTTCAAGTATACACTCTTCGCTATTTGAGCAAGAGCGCAGAGTTTGAGCAGACAGCAGACCTGAGTATCTCCTGTTTTCGAGAGTATGCTCTTCGCTATTCAAGCAAGAGCGCAGAGTTGAAGCAGAATATCCGCTTAGCAATTAATATTGCTTAAGTATCGGATCGCAAACTAACTACCCTTCCATACCTAGCAGTGAAGCAAAGCGTAATAATAGCACTGGAGCAGCTTGCAAAGCTAATGAGAGCATATCTGCTACAACTGCAATAAGAAAACGTTTTTGTTTAAACAGAAGCTTAGCGCAAGAAGTAAATATGCAGCTCTATAGCTGGTATGGAGCTATAGCAAGTTATCAAGAGCTTGCTATGCTTCAGGAGATGTATATTTGTACCAAACCATTCATCAACTCGCAAGAAGCTTTTAAAAGCATATCATGATAATCCAACAGCTAGCTATCTCAGCATAGCTAAGTTCACTAAGATGATTTCTTGTTACTACTATTGGAATGTATTAGCTAAGAATATAAAGAAATATATTAACACATATGCAGTATGCTAGCGGATAAAAACGAGGAAACAACACCTATACAGCCTGCTCAGTCCCTTACTACCAGCAACTCGTTCATAAGCTGAGATATTAATGAACTTTATCATCAGTCTGCTCGGATCCATCAGTTTCTACAATAAGGCTTACAATGCTATTCTAGTAATTATCAACAGATACTCGAAATACACTCTATACATTCCAACAATAACACAGCTTATAAGCAGCAGCTTAGCAGATATTATATTATAATATATATATCAGTTCTACAGCATTCCTGAAAGCATTATATCAGACAGAGAAAGCTTCTTTATAAGCTACTTCTGAACTAACTTCTGCTTCCACCTGAGAACCAAGCAGCGCCTAAGCACTGCATTTCATCCCCAAATAGATAAACAAATCGAGCAGCAGAATCAGAATCTCGAATAATATCTCTGCACTTATTGCAGCCTTTCTCAAGCAGATTGAGCGCAGCACTTATCCCTTGCACAGATAACGTATAACAGTGCAAACTATAGCAGAACAGAATCATTACCTGCTATATTGCTCTATAGATTCCAACTAACAAAACCAACAGATATCAACACGCAGCGCCCAAGCTACATCCCTAAGATCTCAGAGCAGCTCGAAGATCTCACCAAAGCTTGTAAGAAAGCTCAGAAAAGCTTCAATCATGCAAGATAAGCATATATCAGATAGTATAACAAATGCTATACTGATAAAAGATTCTCCCTTAGCAATCCCATCCTCATCTCAGCTAAGCATTTATGCTAAAAAAGTATTAACAATAAACTAGCAAACAAATATCTTAGCCTCTTTCGAATGCTGGAGATTGTAGAAGCGCATAAACTAGCATATAAGCTTGAATTGCCAGCGAAATACAAGATCTATAATATCTTTCTAATTATAGCTCTAAAGAACTTCAATAAACAAAATGAAGAAGAGCTCGAGGCGCATCCTGATATCGATCTCAAGAAAGAAGCGCATTGAAAGATGAAAGCTATTCTAGCATACCGAGAGCTACTTAGAAACCGCTAATTCCTTATATATTGAAAGGAATATAGCAGCAATAAGGATTCATAAGAACTACAAGCATTTATTAATAACGAACCATTAATCAAAGAATACAAAGCATAGTTGAAGCAGTAACAATACAGCGCAGAAGCTGCTCAGTCTTTAATTGGAAAACTAAAAACTCTTATATAGTCCACCCACCCAGGGAGTTAGCAACGCTCCTGCATCGTGGCAATCAGTGCTAATTATTTCCTACGCTGTAAAAGCGCGCTCACCCACCCAGGGTTTTTAAAGAGATTACCCTTCCTCTTCAGAAGCTGCCTCAGAGAGCTTGCAAGCCGCCTCAGCCAGTACTTCCAAAGCGCTAACACTGCGCTGGAGCAGTAACATCAACTCCTCACTCAAAACGGGAGCAGGAAACGTACTAACTACCAGCGCAGAAGCAGCGCTTACAGAGCGCACCAGCTGGAGAATACCTTGCAAGTCCTCATCAGTCAGCTCCCGACCAAAGGCGCACGCACCATCCAGAGCTAAGCTCGCTTCGTATGAAAGCTATAGCAGCTTGTGAGCAGCGCGGAAAACAAGAGGGAGCAGGAGTAATACTACTTACAGAGTAGCAAGAATGATTGTTGCTAGCGCACTGAAAACAACAGATACCAAAACCTATAATAAGTCAGCATGAGGAACAGTAGAACAGCAATAAGGGAGCTTGCTCACCCGCCTGATCCTAGCACCGGATACCCAGCTCCTGAATGCGGCAGCGCACGCACCCCTAGCACCAGCCTGCTAGGGAGCGCACCGCACCCGGCTCTGCAGAAACCTTCTTTCTCTTAACAGCCTGACAATGTCAGTACGACGCTGTATACACGGTATATCTGGGTACTCACGGAGGCCGTGGGAGTGACGGGAGGAGGAACCCCCGGGGAGAGAGTCGCGAGGAACTCGGGCGGGAGCGAGAGAGAGGGCGAGGGCGAGAGCGAGGGAGAAGCTCTCTTGCGCTTCTTGCTGGCGGGGGCCTTGCAGCTACCACGCTAACCGCTGCAGCGGCCACGAGAAGGAGGGGACGAGGGAGCAGCAGGGGCGCCAGAGGGCAGAGAGTGGCAGAGAGGGGGCACCGCGTCAACAGCGCCGGAGGAGGCATTGCCAGCTTCCGAGGCCTCAGGGACGGTCTAACCCTCAGAGACCTCAGGAGCCAGCGCAGCCTCTCCAGACGTGTTGATAGCAGTAAAAGAAGATATCTGCAATGAATCAGCTTCCATACAATGCTTCAGAGGATAGGAATATACATACCGTGCTGTTGCTGCTGTTGTTGTTATTGTTACTGCTGCTGCTACTGTAATAGCTGAGGAAAGGGAAAACAGAAAGAGAGGGAGATTCAGGCGCAAGAGCGAAATAAGGAACAACAGTGCCCCACTAGCGCATGCACCCCAGGCAACCCTGTTGTCTGGCTCTAGAAGCTATTCCGAGATCGCAGTAGCATAGACAACCACGCCAAGCTGCGCAGTCTTTGTAACCACGCTGCATCTGCGCTGCGCTAGCGCTGGGGCAACCTTCACAACATCACATAACTTACCAGCGGAGAGAAACTTAGCTCTTTAGAGCGAGGCACCCCAACAACAAGGATCAACTGATGAGAGAACTATTGACAAGTATGAAGAGACCTGTGGATCCGTGCGAGAGCAGCTCGGGCGCATAGTTCCTGGGAACAGGAATCTGGAAGAGGGAGGATTCTGTTAGGGCTTGTATGCGCACAAAGAAAATAGGTAGCTCTTGCAACCCCTGGTAGCGGTCCAGAGCTGCTGCGAGAGCTTCGCTCCGAAGCAGCGCTCTCGTACGATGCCGCGTGGCCATCAGGCCATTGTCATCCCATCTAGTCCAGGCCAATTGTGTACATAAGGGAAAGGGGAACAACAGATCCAGCAGCGAAAAAGAGGAGGAGGGAGATAGGTTCAGTAGTCCCTTTGAATGGAAGCGTCAACAGAGCGGCTTGGGAGCAGCTCACACCCCTTCACCTCACTTGTGTGCCCTTTTTACCCTGACATCTTCTTTCAATTGAAAAACTATTATGCTAAATTCTTGTTGCAAGCATCTATCTACTTAAATAAACAGCTTCTGCAATAGTTTCATATAGTATAAGTGCATCTTTCTGCAGATAGTATTCTGTAGATCCTCGAAAGCTATCTTTTCAGCATCTGTTAGCTTATAGTATATGCGATGTATATAAGCTTGATGCTGCAACTTCTTCCCAGATATGATTTTTTCAAGCTTACAGCTTTTAGCTAGCAGCGCTGTCTTTTGCAGTTGAAGCGGTTCTATAAGCTGCATATAATACAGGATTATTGTTTGTAGGAAACTGATTGTACTAAGATAGGTTTCAAGATTCTTAAGATTTCTAGAGAAGATTATCTTCCGAAAGGCTTCAGTGCATTTCTTTGTAGTAAACAGGCTAAGTGCATTAATATAGAAGCTAAGAAGTTTGATTAAGAGAAAACTGATATAATTTTTTGTAAGAGAAATAGAGATTTCCTTTCTGTTAAAGATATTCAGAGCGATATTGAGATGCTTCAGATAGTCTTCAAACGAATCTGAGAAGATTACAATATTATCAATAAATGCCTTAATAAAGTGCCTGTGATTACGAAGTAGTCTGTTCATATATCTCTGAGCGTAAGCTAGCGAGTTGCAATAGCTTATTAGAGCTATTATTGATTGCTTAAGGCTATGATATATAACTATAGTCTAATGATTACAATACTTAGAATAAATAGAGAACTGGTAAAAGAAAGCTATAGCATTGATAATTGTGATGTACTGCTTACTGTATATAGCTTTAATTATATCTAACTGAAGAGGAAGGGGGTAATTATCAGGTACTGCTTACTTGTTGAAAGCTTTGAGATCTGCAATGATGCAGCTCTTTTCCTTTCCGTATACTGTTCGCTAGACTATGAAGATTAGCAATGCAAATGAATAAACATTGTTAGCGAACTCGAAGCAGCTAGCTTTGTATATTTCTTTGTATATCTGGTTGATGAACTTCTCGTTCTTGCGGGAAACAGGATAGCAGGAATGATTCAGTTTTGCATATTGCTATTCTTCTATTAAGGAGATCTTTATTATCTGATTCTCAAGCATATTAAGAGAGCTTTTGTTTTCTCATATAGCAGAATACTTTTCGATAATCCTCTTGAATTGTCGAGCTTTGACCGGATTCTGTGAATAGATGCAAATGCTATTATCAAGGATTATTGCTAAAGCTTCGTTTAGAGCTTTAATGCTTAGAGATCTCTTGATAATGATTGAAGGTTTCCGTATATTGAAGTTGTGATTATTGAATAGTAGTATCTCAATATTCATTAAGAGGTTGATGCTATAAGCTATTTCTATATTGCTGAGGGAGTAATAAACAGCGTTGCTGTAAGATGTAAAGAATAAGCTATTCCTTAGCAGGAAATTACTAATAGAATGTATCTCTGTTTCTGCGCTCTTAGCTGTTGCAATAATCTCTAGTATGAGATTGAATTCTTCATTTACTGCTATCTGATTAACAGGAATCTTTAATGAAGATGTGAATTGTATGCTGTATGCATCTATTGTATAAATGTTAGCTAGCTAGTAGATCGATGCTAATCCTTCCAAGATAGCTGCTACTGCTAGAGCTTTTACAGTGCTCTTGAAGATAACTTTGAATCATCTTATATTCTTACACTCGTGAATAGTTCCTATGCAGATGCTTTTGAGGATCTTGATAGCTTCTTTTGTAGCGTTGTGCAGGGTTACTATAGGAGATGAAGAAGCATTGATCTGCATATTCAGCGCAGTGCTGTAAATCGATGTGAAAGAGAATGAGCAGCTTTTAAGCAGTTTAGCATATCTTATAGCTACTTGAGCAGTCTTGCTAGAGCTGATAATATAAGCGTGAGCTATTCTTATCTTTCGCACTGTAGGTAAGAGGGCCTGATGCTGAATCTCGAAAGGCATCTGGAAGTTGCTTTGTTCTGAATATATAATAGCTTAATTCTTGTAATTGATAATAGCTTTGCAAGCTTTAAGCTATCCGTTGTTAATAAGAGCTTCAGCAGGTAGGTTATCTACAATCCATGCTTCAGCATGCTAATATAGCAGTTCAGAAGAGCTGTTGGCATGCCTGCTACAGGCGTAGAAGTCTCATTCAGCGTATTTGAATAGCATGATTGTGCTCTTTCCCACATCCCTGATCTTTTGAAGCTTGTAAACTGAGATCTCAGCAGCAGGGAACTGATTAAGGAACTGTTAGTCTACTAAGTTGTAACTAGTGCTAGTATCTTTATAGAAGATTATATCAGATTTGGTGGGAGTAGCTTGTATAGTGATTTTCATGTGAGTATAACTGCTGATAAGCTTATTTAGCTGCTTTTTGAGCGTAGCTTCTGTAAGAATGTTTTTATTATAGTATTGAACTGGTGATATGCTTGTTTCAAGCGAAGTAGTTCCAAAAGATATAATATGCTTCAGATATTTCTTAATCTCTTTAAAGATATTTGTTTTCTGATTTCGATTCTGGCAAGCGCTTATATACTGGAATATCTAGCTTCGAGAATCAAACTCTTTATTATAGAAGATATATATGCAATTAACTGAGTAATTGACTTTGCATAAGTTGTAGATGCAGCTTACAGAGCTAAGCGATTGAGAGTAGTATGATAAGGTTAGCAAGAATAATCGTTTAGAATTATCGATTCAGTATATCTATCTATTGCTAAATGAAGATAAATTATTACTGTTATTCTCAAAGAGCATATTTTCATTCTTATTCTTAGTAATATTGTAAGCTTTCTTTTTGTTGGAAATCGCTAAGCAACTCCAGTTGCATTTCTTGTAATTCTTAGACTTGCTATCCTTTCTGGATTAATCATAATTACAGTTGCAGTTGCAATCTCGAGGCTTGTTGCAATTGGAATCCCAGTTTTGATATAAATTGCAATCTCAAGGCTTGTATCTTGAGGAACGAGTTACGCTCTTATTACAATAGCTTAACTGATCTTTGTTGCAGCAGTTATAATTACAATCTCTTCTGCAATTATAATCGCAGTTATCTTAATAATCTCGGTTGTTGCAGCAGTTGCTGCTAATGTAAGAGTTGTACTTGCAAGCTAAGGAATAGTCTCAATAACTATTCTTTTCTCTGTAGTATTTAGAGTAGCATTAATTAGCAATATTGATTAAAATGCTCTTAATCTGCTCAATCTTCTTTATATACTTGTTCAGAATATTGTAGCAATAAGAAGAAGCAAGATAGTGCTGAATGCATTTATTCATCTTGCTTCAGATGTTATTCAAGACGCTTTTCTAGTTGAGATTCTCGCAGTTGAGAATGCTTATACTGTGTATGTATCGAAGATTTTTCTGAATAAACTTTTGCAGAGCAAACTTGTTCTCAGCAATGTTTCTCAAGATTAGATAGCTTTTGCAGAATTTTTGTATAGTATGCATAGATTTCATAGCGAATTGCTGAGCTAGGAGATTAGTAATAATGCTATATTCTTCTTAACAAAGCTTAGCGCACTTAGTATTGATTAATTCATTAGTTTACTAGTAAATAGCAGCATCTTATAGTAAGATGCTGAATATGTGCAATATCTCGTTCTCAATATCAGCATTATTCGTGCTATCTTTGAGAAACTCAAGATAGTTTAGAAAGGATCAGATATTAGTAAAGATGAGATTTTTGCTGATTATAATCATGCTAATATCTTTGGGATTGTTGTATTTAGAGTTGAAGATTCCAAGTTCTTCTCTTTTTATTTTAGTAATATGCTGAATGCTTGATTAGTTAGAGAATGGAGTATTATTATGCTAGTTATGAGGATTGCTTGATCTAGGTTCTAGAGGCCTGTTAGAAGGATGATAGCTTCTGTTATTGCTTCCTTAGTTGTTGGAGTTGTTATTCGAATCATCAGAGTTATCTCCTCCAGCGCTATAGTGAATAGCTTGTTAGAAAGCTGCTGAACCTTGTAAAGAGCCAGGTACAGCGGGAAGTAGATTATTATTGCTAGCTTGAAAGCGAATATCTGAAGCAGTAGCTTCAGGGCTAAGCTTGAAGTAATGTATCAGCTGAGCTAGCATATTAGTTTATTTACTAACTTAAGTATCAAGAGCTTCTTGTTTAATAGCTATTGTAGCTTGCTGGATCTTAAGATGCGCTACAGCTTCCGAAGTCTTCCTGATTTTCAGATTTGCATGAATTGCAGCTATCTTAGCATTATCAGCCTGCATTTTGATATAATGAATATACTTCTTGAAGGCAGAGTTGTTTGAGAAGTTAGCTGGTTCTTTAGGATTCTTGTATTAGAGAGTGCTAGTCTTGCGTTGCGCAGCAGGGGATTCGAATAGTGCTGAGCTGTTGCTATAGTAGTTTCCTGCCTGGAATGGGTTGTTCTGACTGGCGGTTTCTTCTTCTCGAGAGGCTATTGCATCTTTACTTGTTGAGCATCTGTAAAGAAGTTTGGGATCTTTGCTTAGCTGTGTTGCTAGACTGGTAGCTAGATTGGCTGTAGTAGCACGATAGATAGGTGATTAAGTTGGATTTTTTGAGAAACTGCTCATAGTTAGCTCAGCTTGTCTGATTATCTTGCTAGGGTTAAAATCAATAATGAATTGCTGTTAATCAAGCTAATTAGCAATAAGCAATAGATGGATATAAAAGCTAGGGAATGGTTTAAGCTTCTCAGATGAGCGTGCTGTAATCAGAGTAACTTGTGGCATCTGCGCGAGGATGTCTATAGTGCTTGCGAGGATCAGAGTATGCTTGCTGATTTCAACTGCCAGAGCTTCCATCAGCAATGGAGTAAAAGGAAAAAACAGCTTAGCTGTGAATGCTTGTGAATGCCTGTAGGCGTGTTTTTGATGGTTTTTTGTGGTGTTTTTGATGAAAACGCCTGTTTGCAAGGTTTCAGGTGAGCGTAACGCATCAGGGAAGTCCGTAGCACAGTCTCAGGTAAGCGTGGTGCTAAGAGCTTGTTGTTTTGGTACTACAATCTTCATAATAGTGGGCTTTTGGTGTTTTTGGGTTGCCAAGGCCACTGATTTCCCAGGTGGGCGTATTAGCGCAGTAGCTTCGTGGGGTGAATCCTCAAGGAATTCCTCAATGCAGTGTATGATCGTAGCTACTACTTGTAGAAGGCACTCTAGGGGCTGTACAAATGGTAGAAGGGAAGATGATTCTTCAATTAATCTATCTCAAGGCACGCTTGCTAATTGCCTTCTATATAGAAGGCAATTAGCACTAGTTCCAACTGAGCTAGCGTACCTGGCAACTCACTGCCTTTCCATTGAATGGCTCAGGCCAGTGAGTCAGGGTGGCCACCCAGGCCTCATTCACCTAAGGCCCCTATGGCCACTGCCACAATTAAACAATATCTTCAATACTATATTAATCAGAAATAGAATAACTGAATTAATCTATTGCTTCTTATATAGTTCGCTTATAATAGCATAGATATAAGCATAACAAAGAAGTTACTATTCTTCATATTCTATAAATACAATCCAACAGCTTATTACAAAGTACTGCTAGAAGCAGATATAGAAGCTGTAAATAAAAGAATTAAGAAGATTAAGAAAGTTTAGAAAGAATTCTAATCAAAACTATAATTTGTTCAGAAATGAATAGCATAATATGCAAACTCCAAAAGAATTAAGAAACTAATTCTACAGAAGGGAGATAAGATCTATCTACTTCAGAAAAACATCAAAACAATCAAATCTAGCAACAAATTTAATTATAAAAAATTAGAACTATTCAAGATCTTGCAATAAATTTTCTTAGTTAATTACAAACTAGCATTATCTTATAGAATAAGAATATACTCAGTTTTCCATATCTTATTGCTAGAATCAGCAGTATAGGAAATATTAGAGAATGATATAGTAGAAGTAGAAAATAATGAATCAGAATATAAGATAGAGAAAATCCTTAAGTATAAAAGTACAAACAATACAAGAGAATATCTTATCAAATGGAAAGATTACTTAGCAAGCGAAAATTCATGGAAACTACAGAAAAATATCAAAAATACTCAGAAAAAAGTAGCTGAATATTGGAAAAAGAGAGAAACCAGCACCTAGGACAATCGCTCCGTCCCAGACCAAGACTCGGGATAAGCCTCTTAAGCATCAGAAGAACCTTCATCACCTTCAATACTATTCATATCGCTTAAAAAGAAATAATCCAACATACTATCAGAAGATCAGAAGAGCTCTTCTAAAACCAAAGCAGAAAACTTCTTAGGAAGAGAATCAATAGGAATACAAGCCTGCTGCTCTCTCGCTAGCTTCTCCGCTTCTATACAATCAAGCTCCTCAATCGTATCCAGACTACGATGGATAGCGCATGCTATTTTCTCAGCTTACAGCTTGCGCTGTTTCCGCAGCCAGCGCACCTTAGCTGTAGCACGCTCTAGCTCCTCCTCTGCATTATCAAGAGCAGCTTCAGCAGCGGAATGCTGAGCTACAATCTTTTCCATCTATGATAGCAACAATCTGTATATATCACAATTCCCACGCTTGTACTTAATGCATTCCGTATAGCATAACGAATCTTCCTCAGAAGCAAGGCAGCAAGCTTTGCAACTGCTGCAGAAGGAATACATCAGCATTTCAATATAACAAGAAAGAGCAATAAGCCAGAGAAAGGTAGACTGTTCTGTCTTTTTGTAGCAAGTTTTATCAATTCTGCTCATTGTTCGGATTAGGAAGATAAGATCATATACAGAAGATTTGCCAGAATACTTATAAAAGATTGTTGGGAACAATAACTAATAGAAGGAAGATAATGTTATAATTTATCTAATATGCACTTTACAAAACAGATTACGAGTAATAAGAATCAGATATCATGATTCAACATCAAACAACTAACAAGAATTATATAATCTAGGATTAGAATTATAGATTACAATTAATCAGAAAGGGATTGGAGCAGTTAATAATTAGTTCTCACAATTCAAGCAGTAAACTGTAATAATCAATCACCAACCCTTACAATCCATACTGAAGAATTGGATATATAAGAATACGTTCATTATCATTAGATAGATTCAGTATATAGCTCTTCAGTTGTTAATCTAAGTATTCAGTCTTCTATACTGAGTAGCTCCAAAAGCAGTGAATACTTGCATCGCTCATCAGAACTTGTACGGTTCCGTATTCAAGAACTTGATACTTTGATACCGCTCTTGTTAGCATAAATCTCTCGTATACTTAGGAATCTTCGGATTACTGCAGTGCTCATTACAACTGCAGTAATCCGAAGATTTCAAAGTATATAATGAGTTTTATATTAACAAGAGCAGTGCTAAGTATAAGCTTTGAATATGGAAATACAACTGAGTAACTGTGCAAGTATTCACTGTTTTTGGAGCTATTAGAGTAAGAGAGTAATCTGATACTTAGATTGATAATTAAAGAGCTATATACTGAATCTATCTAATGGTAATGAATGTGTTCTTATATATTCAGCTCTTTAGTATGAATATGTTGGATAGCAACATATCCAAGTTATCCTGCTAGCTCTGGATAGCATATATCCAAAGCTATCCTTTCTGATTGGTCATGCCTATAACCCTAACTCTGGGTTATGTAATCAATGCTTTATCAGAACGTTGGATTCTTAACACCTGGTCCTTGTTACTTGTGACCTGTTTCGTGACCTGCATGTTGGATGAGTTATAACACTTCTATATAGAAGGGCAATTGGCACTAGTTCCAACTGGGCTAGCATATCTAGCAACTTACTGCTTTTCTATTGAATAGCTCAGGCCAGTGAGTCAGGGTGGCCAGCCAGGCCTCATTCACTCGAGGCCTCTATAGCCTCTGCCACAGCTCGCTTGAAAGGCCTTTCGAGCCAGAATATCAAGTCTGGATGGAATGCTTCAGGCTTATAGCCTGTTAGACCTTCCAAGCCACTTCTCAGCCCTCTTCTCCTCGAGAACACCTCTCAGTTCATCCAGATTCAGGCAAATTCAAAGTCAACAGCATCAAAAGCAGCCCAGAATACCCTGAAAGCCTCCTCAGGCTAGGCAGTTATCTTTTCAATGCCTTGCGAAGCTCAAGATATATACTATTAACTACAGCAGAATCAGCACCAGCTTTCATCTTTGCTAGTACAACGTATACTTTTCAGGAAGATATGCAAAGCATTCAGTGAGAGGGATGTCGAACTAGCTAGAGCCCTGGAAAAGAATGAGGTATTGGAAAAGCAGGCTGAGGCCAGAAAGCTAACTAAAAGAAGGAAGGTAGATACAAGCCCAAATTCGAGGTTTGCAGATATTGAGGCTATACAGAAAGCTCAAAATGCAGTCAACAGGAATGACGATAGTCTAAATGAAGAGAGCGATGCCGAATTACCTACTAATGAGGAGAACTGTATCGTAGTAGCTGATTAGGAAGAGAAATGTATATAAATCAATGTATATATATATATGCGATGTAGCTGGCCAGGGGTGTCCACAAGGGGGGGGTGTTCACAAGGGGGTGCTTCGACTTATAGTCTCTGGAGAGCCCTAAAATACTGATGCGAAATTGTTGAGCATATGGCTGCTGAGCTTATCAGAATTCTTGATTGCAGGCTGACTTAGGCAACCTTGGAGTATAATAGTGCTCCTTGGTGATAAAGTGACTGGATGGTCTTTCTGATCTCAGCTGCAAAGGATTGGAACTTTGGTCTGGATGACCTTTATCCAGATGGATTGAGATAACTGCTGTAGCGTATCGCAGAATAGATATTCAATAGGCACAAGGATTTAGTTCTTGTACGATTTGCCTGATGACAGGGCCTATGGAACTGATCTGAGCGCTTGTCTTGCTGCATTCCCTCGACTTTGTTTCGGTTTATAAATATATTGCGAGCGGCACTACCCTCCTTTTCCAGCGATACACGAGCTGAATACAAGTAAATCCAATTTTTCCGACTATTTTCGTGCTACTATGCTGCTGCCTTTTCTCGTGATGTGAATGTAAGTTTCAATGCGCCTGGATTAGCAGTGAAGGAATCCGTCATGTCGGCCCATACGTGGCTGCCATCCTCGCCTGTAGCGTAACGAATATTGAAGCTCGAGAGAAGCATGCTCAGGCAGAGGCGCACCTCCAAGAGGCCCAAGTTCTTGCCAGGACAAGAATGACGGCCTGTTGTAATCTAAGTCAGTACAGAAAGGATGAAATGAAAATCTAGGACGAGGAATGGAACTACATAAGCGTACCGTTGTTAAAGGGATTGAAGGCGCGCTTGTCTTTGACCATCTCAGGCTTGGTTGTCCACCGCTCTGGCACAAACTCTGAGGCGCGCTCAAAAGCGTTTTCAACTGTTCCTGTTAGTGACGAATGACATAGTGGGAGAATTGGTCTTACGGCGACTGATGGTGTATCGCGGCGCTACTATTGTCGTGTACGGTGGGATGACGGTATCGCCAATGGTGATGGGCTCGTCTGTCGTCATCCTGATGCCGCCTGTTGGGACAACAGGGTATAGGCGCATGACCTCGTTCAGGATTGCATTCAGGTTGGTCAGTTCCGCCAGACCCTCGATATCATCCCACGCGCGCAGCGTGTCGATCTCTGCGCGCACTGTTTCCTGCATATTTATATCATCGGCGAGCTCTTTGAGTGTGAAAATCAGGGTCGTTGCGATGGTATGGCTGCTTCTGTTAGCTACTGGCTTGCGCCGCCCACCGGGGATTACTGACCTTCCAGCGATGATCATGGCGAATGCATCTCCGTAGAGGTTATTTATACTGACTGTATCGTCTGTTCTCCGCTCCGCCTCGATCATCCAGTAGCTAGCGTCCGTCTTTGCTGAGTCCCTCTCCAATCGATCCTCCATTATGCTCTTTGCAAGTTTAACAAGAGCAGCCCAGAGCAGCTGCGATTTAGGCAAGAAGGTAAAAGCAACATGAGCAAGCCACGGAGCTGGCGTTACTGTACCCAAAATCCCCAGACCATTGCGGAGCAGTTGGACAAGGCCAGACCATTCATGCTTATCCAGCATGCCAAACGGTTTATTAAAAGCCAGCTCACCCATGGTATCAGTCGTGAAGTATGACATCCATTCGGTAACGTTGAGTGGCTGGCCTTGACGCTCCTGAAAGGCCTCGCCCATCTTGTACAAAGCGCGCAGTACAATATTCTTCTCGTCATGGACAGCTGGGAGTCTCATCAGTCATGCTTTATCGAAATTGAAATCGTGAAGACTCACCCTTGACACTGAGCGCAGTGTTCCAAACTCTCCGTCTCGGTGCGTAGCCTGCCTTTTCGCGCACCGAATTGATTGCGACCATAGGATACAGCATGTCATACCACGGTGCCTTAATGCACGTGGTCCCCGTACCTCCAATGGCCTCGAATACCTGAGGATGGAAGACCGTCAACTCACCAGGACCTTATCTTGCGTTAGCAATCCGAGCTAGAGCCTTTCCTTTCGATCGACCACTTACCTGTGCGGACAAAGGGTCCATATTCGTGGTAGAGCTTGTCAAGCAGCAGATAGTTCTGCTGACTTGGCGCAACCCTGAAGACGTGCCACAGCTTCGAGATCCTCCACATGAGCGGGCCAGGGAAGGATCGTAGCGGATGAAAGGCCAGCCGGTAAACAGTCATGCTCGCGAAGAGGGCGCTGAGGAAGGATGCTGCCGCAAGGCTCGTCTCCTTCAGCGCATGTCCCTCGCCATATCGAGCACGCAGCGCCAGGCCGACGAAAAATAGCAGACAGCCAAGCTGCACATATTTTGGTGCTCGCAGGTGGTGCTCGTCCCGGATGAAGATCAGGTTGTGCGAGAGCAAGCCGGCCAGAGCGGAGGCGATAGCGAGCTCTGTGTAGGGTGCCATATTTGCTAATGCAGATGAAAATGGTGCAGATGCTGGAATAAGAAGAGACTCGACGCACTCAATGGCAAAGGGTGTGTGAACGATAAAATAAGGTGGAAGATCTGAACGACTTGGGATAAGGTGAAGACTACGCAGCGTCGAATGTGCGCTGGGAGAGGAACTACCGAGATACGAGTATCCGCAGGGTCGGTCAATTGATATACAAACGATGACATACGTAACAACCTTTTTTATGTATAAAAAGTAATTATCTTTATAAAGATGGTTAATTGAATAATATATTAAAAGATAGAAGACGTAACGAATATTGTAATAAAAATAAAATAACAAAAAATAGTCTAACACTTTAACGAGACCGTGAAGTTTTATATTTTTAATAATCATGTAAAAATTATAAAATTATTAAGCTATTATTATCTTATTTTTTTCTTTATTTTTATTTAACTATTATTAATATTAGTATTCCTATTATTTTACTTATTTTTAATGTTATTAATATTATTATTTATATATAAGATACATACTAATTCCATGCCTTCCCAGCCTCCTTTGCTCTTTCATCCAAAGGAGGGCAAATTTATTGCATTGCTAGTAGCAATCAAGGCGGCAGGGAGGGAGAGATGGGCGCAGTGCAATCACACCCAAGGCCCCACACACACGTCTCACATGCAGACTACAGATTGAACCTAACTTTTAATTGTCACCGCATCGCACTATACCGTTCACAACCCTTTCTAAGGATTCACTGCTCGAGGATCATCATCCTCCTCTGCCCACCACATTCGCCCCCAATGTCACCAATGTCTCCATGTCAGCGGCGGCCAAAAGGGGAACTAGGGCCATGCAGGTGTCATTCCCTTGTCGCCATCCTCTTCATCTTTCTTTTTCTCTCGAGAGGTTACCTCTGCGACACTCGCTTCTCCATTCTTGCTTACACACACTCTTTTGGAGGTCTTTAGCAGTTCCGAGACTTGGCTTGGACACAGTTGTTATCCATCATTCTTCACGTTCGACTGTCAAAACTTTTTTGGAAAGACGTAGATCATGGAGAACATCGATATATACACGACACCGGCTGGTTCAGCCCCTCCAGGGTATACAGCTGGCATTTCTGAGACGCCTTCGCAGCAGCCGGGGCTTGTGGCAGCCGCTGCAGTCTGCTTGACGCTGACCGCCATCTTCGTTGCCATCCGCATATTCACAAAGGCATTCGTGATTCGCGCTGTCAAAGTTGAGGACTGTAAGACTTTCGTCCCGCAGTGTCGTTGGGCCGTTGATGTGAGAGCTTGCTGACAGACTCTACTTTGTGTAGATGCTCTCCTGTTCGCTGAAGTCGGGCTTGCAGCCTTTGTCGGGGTCATCGTCACGAGCGGCGTCCACGGCCAAGGGCGCCATATTTGGAATGTTTCCATCGCAGGTGTCATGGCCGTTGCCAACTTCTCCAATATTTCAGAGATCCTGTACGGGCCGACGATGTTTGCAGCAAAGTTTTCCGTGCTCAAGCAGACGGAGCGCATCTTCTGTGGCACCAAGCATGACTCTGTCTATTGGTGGATTCAGGCTATGATCTGGGCCAATGGCTTGTTCGACTTGAGCATTTTTATCGCCTTTCTTTGCGCCTGCATACCCCGTGAGAAGCTATGGGATACGACGCTGCCCGGCACCTGTATCTCTACCAACGGCTCCATTATCGCTACGTCGATCATCAACATCGTCTCGGACTGGTCTGCGTTGATACTGCCGCTCATCGTCATCCGCCGTCTACAAATGGACATGCGCCGCAAGATTGGTGTCATAGCCATCTTCGCCGTCGGTCTGCTTGCTTGTGTCGCTAGTATCGTGCGTCTCGTGTACTCCATACAGCTCACGCAGACAGCGGACGAGACGTGGGCAATCGACCCGGTCGGCATCTGGGCGTAAGTCTTCACTTCCTCTGTTGTACGGATCTTGGTTTGCTAATGCGCCCTTTAGCTTTGTTGAATTTACCACCGTCATCCTTTCAGGCTGCTTTCCAATCCTGCCTAGGTTCATCCAGTTCATCCGCTATGGCCGCGCTGGGGCTCCGTTGCACAGCACCGCCAAACGCTCCTATACCTTGGAAAACTCGATGGCCTCGAAGAAGAGCCGGTCGGTGCCCCTGGATTCGCTTAGCAGTAGACACGACGACAATCTTCCACGCAAGTACATGGAGATCCGCGACCAGACGTCAGCCGTCTGAGAGGCGTGTGAGATTTGATTTGGCCCCCTCGCATACGAGGAGAAAGACTTTGTATTTATAAGCATTTGGAGAACACATCTCTATATCATCTCGACCACCAGTTTATGCAGAATAAAATGTGGTTTTTTCACTCAAGGGAAGCTACATCGACACGGCTGGGAATACGGCTGGAACGAGGGTTTTGGCCAGTCGGTTATTCTTCATTTTCCTTTTCACATGGAAGTGCAAACAGATAAATGACAAGAAAGCGGGTTCGTTGCTGAACTCTGTGTATAACAACACCATGAATATTGTAGCATTCGCCCAAATATTAGCATGGATTATTAATAGCTAATCATTACATCCGGGGGCATAAACAAAATACGAAAATGCTGCAGAAAAGATTCTTGGACCTGTTTCTTTGAGGAAGAACCTTTATAAATATACGTATATACCCAGGTACGTGTCAGCCTGTGGGATACACCTATTGTTACACCGTTCCGGCCGACTTCGCCACCTTTTTCCACATCGGTAAACGCCTCCGACCCGCTACACCCACACGGAACAGACATTGGCTCATGTTGTCGCTGGTGGCGCCGGTTTGGGCTGCTTCGCATGGCTAATAGCCATGCTCGATAACAAAGCAAAACCCGAGACGGCGGCGTAAAAGATCCACATGCGCTGGAAGCCAAAGTTGACCGCTGACAACACGCTAGCCGCTTGAGCCGCGCTCAATCCCCATGTCTGACCTGTGGTAATCTCCTCTGCCACGGAGACCGTGTCTCCCCCAGACAGGTGCGAGATCAGAGCGTCGGGGATACCTGCTGCACGCAACGCGCCACTCTGGGAACCCAGCGCATTTTGCAGTATACTCTGGCCAATCACGAGACTCACGGAATTGGCAAGCATGCGCACGAACTGAAAGGCCGATGTGCCTGCTGCCACGACTGCCGGCTCCAGGTGGGCTTGCAGAGCCAGCAGTGGAGCGTAAAAATTAAGGCCGATACCGACGGCGGCGATAATCTGGAAGCAGACGATGCGCCACCAGTCTTGCACGTCGGCAAAGGTAGTGAAGAGGGCGCAGCCTAGAGTCATTGCGGCCAGTCCGATGCGGATCACGCTCACATAATGCCCCGTGCGCTTGATGAAAGCTCCCGTTCCGACGCAGAAGACGCTGAAGGGGATCGCAAGGGGCAGGAACCAAATGCCGGACTGCAGCGAGGTTGCACCGAGGATGGCTTGAAAGTAGAGTGGGATGTAGAAGGCGGTGGCGATAAAGGCAAGGCTTTGACAAAAGCAGACCAGGAGGGCAGCGGCGTTGGAGCGCTGCGTGAAGATAGAAGGCGGTACCAGAGGCCTGGCAGAGACGCGCCATTGCACGAGGCCGAAGGCGATGAGGCATAAGGTCCCCAGGACGATGAGGGTGATGGGCAAGGCAGAGGACCATGGCGTCATAGTTCCACCGGATTGTAGGCCAACAAGAAAGAGCGTGGCACCAGCGCTGATCAGAGCGATGCCAGGCCAGTCGATGGTCCGAACACCCGCGACAAAGGGAACTTTCTTGTTCTTTGTCTGGAGGCAAAGAGCGATGGATAGGAACGCTGCTGCAATACATGGCACTGAAGATGATGAGCTTTGCATCGTCTAGTTGTTGATAGATGTATATTCTCACAATTGATCCAAAATATCCACCGCCACGATAGTCTCTGGTTCAGAGCACCAGCGATCAGCGGCGCAAAAGCTACAGCAGTAGCCCATACAGCCCCCAATAGCCCGAGATACTTGGCCCTGCGCTTGAAGTCATACAAATCTGCCACGCAGATGTTCGCAAGTACGAGCGAACCGCCAGTTCCGACACCGTGCAGCGTTCTTGCAACGACCAGCATAGGAGAGTTGATGGCAAGCGCAGTAACCAGGCTGGCTACAAAAGCAAGTGCGCTGGCTGCCAGCAACAGAGGCTTGCGGCCCCAGACGTCGCTGAAGCGGCCCCAGATGGGTACGGTGACACATTGTGCGAGTAGGTACGAGGAAGGGATCCAGGCGTAGAGGGAGTTGGATCCGTGAAAGTCGTGCGTGATGCTCGGCAGTGCTACTGTCATGGCGACAGTGTCCATTGCGCCGACAAAGACAACCATAGCCAGGGAGCAGAAGACCAGAAGCAGTCTGCCCTTGGAGAAATGCTCCGATGCTGGCAAGGGGGCTCGAGGCGGTTGAACGATTGGCGATGTCAGCGTTGGCTCCTCGATTTCTGCACTGCATATTTCTGTCTTGCTCGAGAGAGACATCTTGATTAAACTCGAGGTGCAGTCCAACAGTCAATAGGGTGTTTGATAAAAGAAGAATTGCTCGCCGTAGAGCGTTCTGTCAGGAAATGTCTAGGAAACGTCTCCTCAAAAAGTCACAGCTATGCCGCCATGTAGCGTAGTTGAGGAAAATTGCTATGCATATGCGAGGAGAAGGTTTAAAATCCCGTATTTTTTTTAATCTTTTTTAATTTGCTTATAAAATATAATAAACAAGTCATATTTAACCTTATATATCTTATAAATATATACATGTATCAGTATACGCTGAACTTCATTTATTGCATAATGGAATAAATGGAAAATCAAACTTTTAGCAATTTTCGAACATTATAATCCATAACGATGCATGTATTTTACTCACAATCGAAACTTACCCGCGGTCGCCACCAGGGCTTCGCTCGGATTCAAAGGCGGCCGTATTCATGAGCGATTACTTAGTTCCACTTGGCCCATTACAGGCACGAACGGAAATCCCGCATGCTACCTCAGTATCATCCTGCAGCTTACATCTAGCACCTCATGGATAGATGACTGCAGACCGGGCGGCGAGGCTTCCGACTTGGAAGGTCCTTTTCCCCAGCCCTTGCTTTGCTGACGTCGATCATATACAAAAAAAGCTTGCAGTGCCTATTGATGACAATACGCGCAACTCATACTTGAATCCTTCTGCAGCCAACGTGATTGCCCCCTCAGAAGTGCATAAAACAAGGGGCCTTTTTCCAGCCGTTGCTACGCTGACTTTGACCACATATAGAAAAGGGTTGCAGTGCATGTGGATGATAGCCCCGTGAGAAGAGGAGGAGCCAATAGTATGTGCAATCTCCCAATGTCAACCCGCAGCTAAGGACTTTCCCCTACTGCGGTCATCGTGGGATCATGGACAAGAGTAGATATATGGAGGAAATGCCGCGATAAAGCCGATTGCATGCCTGCCTTGAGGATGGCCGTACGGAATTGCTATAGTGCATGAGACACGGCACGCGATGACGATCGCCTCAGGATCTAGGCTACCACACTTCCTCTGACCTAAGCGGAAGTTCGGACACCAGCCCTTTAATTTCTCTGTGGGGGCGAGACCTAAAATAGCGTTATCTGATAACTCCGACGGTCGAGAGAACCATGTTTACAATATTTACTTCCAATGATCTCACAACAGCTCAAATGTGCAGAGTAACGACAGCGTTATAATCGGTACCATGTTATATATGGTTAGGTTGATAAGTAATGCAGAGATCGGCTCGCAATCAGGGGTAAAAAGTACATCGCTACCATCCACAAGTTCCAGACACGAAATGTAATCTTATCCGCCATTACCGACCTGCAGCTAAGGGTCCGTACGGCTACTGTTGCTCCGAGGACAACAGGTGCGGCGTATCCTAGCCATGCCAGCCCCCAAAAGGATGGACCGAGGATGCTGAATGCCGACACGAAAAGGGCAATAGTCCATCGGCTCGGCTCGTCTCCAACGGTCAGCGGCACGCTCTTCCTGCCGCGCAGCCGGTCCCCCTCTTGATCAGCCATGTCCTGACTATGCACAGATGTCAGCACCGCAGCGCCAATCATGGCAAACCACGAGATTGCTGTCAGAGACACCGGCAGTGCTCGTCCCAAGGCCACTTCCATCGCTCCCGATGCGTAACAAACGAAGCCGCATGCGTTGATGAAATTGCGTATGAGGAAATGCGTATCTGATCCCCCAAGATCGTTGTACCAGACGCCAAGGAAGACCAGGGCGATGCACTGTCGAAGGCCCCCAGTGCAGATGCTCGTTAGAACGGCCACGGGATAGAGGGCCAACATCCACTTCTTGGCCTGCTCGCTTTCGATCCGTCGTGATGGCAGCGGCCTCCAAGGTTTGTTCGCTGCATCTTCGAGCACGGCACTTGGCTGCCTCTGGTTGTCGATTGAGAAAGGGAGAAGGTTTATCCACGTCCACCATAACACGATGGGTGTGCGAAGAAGAATACGCAGGTCGCTCGGAGTGGCGAAGTGATCAAAATTGAAAACGTCTGCAGAAAGAGCATGCACGAGTCCAAACAGTGTCTTTGGCCCGACAATCGTCTTGAGATCGCTGAAGGTGAAGAGCCATATGGACAATAGGTCGAAGGAGCACTGCTTAATGGCGCCGTCGAGATTCTTCTTCAGAGAGTATTGGGATGAAGTTCGTGCTTCGCTTTGAATAGACATGGTAATGATAATGTACGTAATGGCTGTACTTCCAATTTGAATTGAAATCTCAAAACTTGTAGAATGTATGTCTGTGAGTCCGTGAGAGTCGAGGCCGCGGCAACGGTCCTTAAGCAACCGTTGCGAGGCTTGAGTGCCTTATCATAGCATCAAGGTCCATTACAGTGCATTTCATGATCCCTGCGTTGGCCTCCGACTCTGAGTAATGAGAATTGTCATGCCAGAATGTCTACCGAAGCTCTGAGCGCTCCTTGAGCGTAGGATCAAGGAAGACACGTCGAGGCCGGGGGTTCTGCGCGAAGGAGCTGCACTACAGCGGTAAGGAACAAGTATCTCCTGCACTGCAACAAAGGGGCCATGAACGGAAGGAGGGGGTCAATCTCTTATTGGACCAGAATTTGAGCGCATTTGCACAAAAGGCCTGCGCTAGAGCGTATGAAAGTACAACTGCGCGTGGGGGTTGAAGAACAGGGGAAAAGCCTGCTTTAGAGCTAAATTCAGAGGGGGAAAAAATCCAATCATGTCCCTAAGAAAAGCAGAGCCAACATTGGTAAAGTTATATGAATATGTTATTTAACATCTTTTCTCAAACAAAAAAAAAAGGGAAAAACGTACTACCTTTATGTAAATAAATTATATTAGCTATAAATTTGAAAATATTATTAAAAAGATTAGTTTATAATTTTTAATAAATCTCATACTATACTCATTATATATGTGTTATTATTAAAAAGAACATAGTAAATTCGACGTTTAAATAATATAATTAGTTTAGAAAAATATAATTATTTATATGTACTTTATTATCACTTTAATCACACCATAATCTTTTTTGCAATAAGTAAAGGTCTAACCTTTGCTTAAAAGAGTACCCGTTGGTCTTAGTCAGAATTGCTTACCACCCTCCTGACTAAGACGCATGGGCACTGTCTTTAAATCGTGAGAGGGGAGACGTGCGGGATTCTCCTCTTAGTGTGCAAACGCCGTTTCGTGACCTACGGCTCCTTGCAGAGTAAATCGGTCCTGTCTGCTTCTCGGTTATTAAAGCGACCGGCTTTCTTCTTTTTACTCTGCGAGTGAGATAAGTTGCGCTGTCTTGAGATTCAAAACAGCCTCATGATGACTCGAGAATATCCGCCATACGCATTCGGCAACCGCCTTTTGGTTGAGACTGCACTCGATCTGGCAGACTCTGATCCGGGTCGAATCTACGCTGCTATACCCAAGACCAATAATCTCGCAGCCGACGGATTCCGAGATGTCACTTTTCAGGACGTGAAGCGCATGACCATGTGGCTGGCAGGCTGGATTGAAGAAGCCTGGGGCAAATCATCAGATCATGGAACGATTGCCTATCTGGGAGTGCCCGATCTACGCCCTCCTCTTGTCTTCTTCGCTGCGGCGATGAGCGGCTACAAGGCGAGTTGTTCTCGTGCACGATATTTGTAAGAACTAGACTAACATGATGTAGTATTTCCCTCCGTCACCTAGAAACCCAGCAGCAACAAACGCAAGCTTATTCGAGCAAACAAAATGCTCAAAGATCATCTATGGGGCAGAAGTCAAGCCCCTGGTTGACCAACTATGTCAGTTAACAGGAGCATTTGCGCTTCAGATGCCATCATTGGATGAATTGCTCGCCACAGAGCCACGAGAGTACACATACTCGAGGAAGAATTTCGAGGACGCCAAGAATGACCCGATTCTCGTCCTGCACTCTTCTGGCTCGACGGGACTGCCAAAGCCAATCGTCATGACAAATGGTACCTTTGCAGCCCTTGATAACGAGAAGACGCTGCCGGGTGTAGAAGGACGGACGAAGCGAGACTACTCCATCTGGGACTTTGAGGGAGGGGGCAAGTTCTTCACGCCAATGCCCTTTTTCCATCTATCGGGGTTCTTGACGCTCGTCATCAACCCAGTCTTCACGGAAGCATCGACCCCAGTCATCGGCCTTCCGGGTGCGCCACCCGATAGTGCCCTGCTCAAGGAGGTCTTGAAGCAGCAGAAGATCAGGGCGATGTACATCCATCCTTCTATGGCTGAGCAACTGCTGGCAGAGCCTGATGGTATCGAATACTTCAGAGGCATCGACTTTGTCTGTTACACTGGGAGCCCGTTCTCCCCAAGCGCTGGCCAACAGCTTGTCCAAGTGACCGACCTCGTCCCTCTCTACGGCTCGACAGAGGCTTTTCAAACTCCACAGCTAGTGCCAGATAAGGAAGACTGGGCGTACATGGAGTGGAACCCACACTTCAAGCACGAGATGCAACTTGCCGAGGATGGGCTGTACGAAATGGTCCTGTTCGCCGACGCGTCCACGGAGAAGCGCTCAGCCCTCAACCACAACTGCCCTGGCGTGTCAGAATGGCGCACCCGCGACCTCTTCCAGGCGCACCCGTCCAAACCGAACCTTTGGCAATACTACGGCCGACGTGACGACGTTATCGTCTTGTGGGACTCGCACAAGTTCAACCCGATACAGTCAGAATTGATTATCGGAGCTTGCAAATCGCTCAGTGGCGTTCTGATCATCGGCAAGGGCCGGCGGCAGCTTGCGTTGATTCTGGAGGCGAGAGCAGACTACGGTGGCGATGACCAAGCGCTCATTGACGAAGTGTGGCCTCTTGTGGAGCAAGTCAATGCCAAGAATCCGCAAAACAACCAAATCGATCGGTCCAAGATACTCGTCATTCCTCCGGCGACATTCGTCCGTGCTGGCAAAGGCACGGTGATCAGAAAGCTTTCGGAACAGAAGCTGCAAACGCAGATCGACGAGCTGTACGCACAGGGCAGGAAGGCATAATCCAGCCGATGTTCAACCCTCTCCCTCCCATCACCCCCCTTTGGAGCAGATCATGTGACACGTAGACTTGAGTCCGGAATGGTCAGTCACAAAGGTAACAGCATGGTTGCCTAAGGTCTGTCCCAGAAAAGAATCCGTCGGGCTATAAAGTATTATCCATGGCTTTTCTTCCTCTTCTTTGGAGATCGGCTATGTTTGCACCTTGTCATGGGCAAAGAGACTAACAAAGCCCAGAGAAACGTCTTTATCATTTCATCTCGTTCTTTCGTTCCTAGTATGTATAGAAACATTACTATGAAAAACTTGAATTGCCACCGACACCGTTTTCAGTCGTGTTATGTCAGATTTCCAATGTACTGATGTCAGATGCACCGTCGTACTCAAGCCAAAGCTCAATAAACGTTGCATTTCCCGCAAACAAGGAGAATCGTCAATCCCTTTTTGTAATTACCTCAAGGTTTCAAGCTTTAAATAAGTTAAATACGTGGGCGCTTACCAACGCACAATAACATCAAAGATATCGTCGTGCTATTTCTTTCTTTTTCTTTCTCCTTTTTTCTTCCTTTTCTTTTCATTTTGTTCTTTTGTGCACGGTTGATCCAGAAAGGACGCATCCCGCACACACATGTGACCTCGCCCGCGCAGCAAGTAACACGTTGATCCCCTGGCTTAGTTTATGACACGTAAAGCCAAAGGAGAAGACAACCAAGAGTCGAGCTCCTCTAATATAGTATTAGGGCGTGGAAGAAAGGTGCCTACCGACTTTTGTACACTCTGATCAGAGTGGTATTTGGCCTTTCTTGATAGGTTAGCAAGGCAAAAAAAAGTGATAGGGTTGCTGCTTAGGATTTAAAGGTTGAAATTGAATGTTTATTATTATGCCTTCTTATTGTCCTTTATTATTTTCGAAAAGAAGCGATCAACCATTTATACTTACAATGATACCTCTCTTCTAATCTGTCGATAGCATAACTTAAGCTCAAATTTGCTGTAGTTGATGTAATTTTTATAATCTTATTTGCTTTTTAGTGAAGAATGGTGTTTTCGTCAGTGTCTCTCCGCGCTAGGTCGGGCCGGAACTATAAAAGGACGCGCAGGGTGTCCTCGAACCCGCGAGACAGCGCCAGACCGACAACCGTCACCCCTTTCTCGTCAGCATAGTCGAGGCGCGGGCGGACAGAGGCCACGCAGTTGGCTTATACAGAGGCCCACAGAGCACCAACCACGGCTGAGCGGCTCTCCTCCTGTTTTCTGCTGCTGCTTAGCATCATGCGCAGACATTCAACCTGCCCAGTCTCTGCCGCCATCGAGAGCGGTGTGGTATTGGCCTCGTGCCTCACGGTCGGGTCCACGCCCGCGTCGAGGAGGATGCGAACGACCTTAGGCTGGTCATACTCGGCATGCAGCAGAGTCCACATTCTCTCCCCAGGGTCCGACACAGTCAGGTTGGCCCCATCGTCCTCCAGCATCTTCGCGATAGCAGGTGTGCCCCAGTAAGCGCTGTAGAGGAGCGGCGTCAGCCCTCCCAAGCCCCTCCCATCCCCTTCAACGTCAAGTTCGATAAGGGTCTTGGCGATCCAAAGCATGTGCTCCGAAGTCTAGATGGCCGCCAGGTGCAGCGCTCTTCGGCGGCGGTGCCCGTTGCCGTCCTCGGTCGCGTCCATGTCGGTGCCGCTAGCAAGCAGGAGCCAGGTGATCTCTTCAGGATGTTTCCCTGTAAGATAGAGGCTAAGTATAAGCGGTGTCGTATCTCCCGTGACCAGGAAGTGCACATCGACCTTGCGCGGCTCTTGCTCGTCGGCCGACTGTAGCAGCAGGCGGACTATGTCCGGCCGCCCGATCCTGGCCGCCTCGTAAAAAGCGTTAGTGGTGGTTCCGCGGCCCTGGCTCTCATTTATGTCGTCTCTACACTCCAAGAGGACCTTGAGTGCCCTGATGTTCCCCTTAACCGCTGCGATCGCCATGGCCGGCGGCGTGTCTGGATCTATGTACTCAGTGAAGTTCGGTGAGTGCCGGACGAGCACGCTAGCATCCACGGGGTGACGCCACTCGCAACACAGCTAGAGCGCTGTGTATCTGGAGGCTTCCCTGCTGCCCATGTCGTATCCGCCCGACAGGACAAGCTCGGCCGTGTCTCGGTCAGCCCACAAGGCCAACATCTCAGGAAGGGTACTGCTCATAATGTCGACGTCTCTAGCCGTGCTTAGCCCGCTCAGCAGCAGCCACTTGATGACACTCGTTGCCTTCTTTTGTACTACCAGCTCGAAAATCCCGAGGGATCCTGGGAAGTGCTCTTTGGGTTTCATGGTGGCGTGTAGGTCTGCACCCAGGTTGAGGAGGATGCCGACCAGCTCCTCATTACCAAGCCAGCATGCCTTGAGAAGCGACTTCGAGCGCCAGCTAGGCGTCGGGCCCGGACTAGGAGTTCCCCTTGGCATTAATTCCATGATCTCCTGTACCACCTCGGCGTTTCCTGACGACAATGCGGCGGCCACCAGCCTCTCTAGCGTAGGATCATGAACGCTGAATCCTTTCCCTGGCTTGAGCATCTGAACCGTGCTGAGGTGGCCTTGTCTAGCCGCCTTGATCAGACCCCACAAATAGTCTTCTTCATCATCGTTCTCCTCCTTGAGAGTCTCCACCAGATCGTCCAGGCCAAGATGTGCCATGATGGGCAGGGGTAGGTGGCAGATGGGTCAGGCCGTGTAAGGGGGTCCGCGAGGAAGACATAAGCACTGGCCCAGTCCGAAAAGGCCTTCTGGTCTCTCAACAGCCCTAAGACGAAATCTCTTCACAGCCTCGTTTATTGTTGGATTCCTAACGTCTTAATACTCCCGTAGTGGAAAGGCTGGTACTGGATTGCATAAGGAAGCCCATGTTCTGCAGGCGAGATGGATGGGCTAGCACTTTTCGACTGAGACATGTTGTAGGCCATGCATGTCGTAAGGACTTTCATCTGCCTCCTGCTGCAGGAATTATGCTTCCACCAGTCATGGGCCTCGGGTCCGTCGACTCAGGACTGCAACCAATCCCAGACGTCGCTGTGGCCAAAGACTACTTGATTGTGCTGCTGGACACGTGGAAGACCCCCAAAACACGAGAGGATGCCGTTTTTGTTCTCGACCTCTCCGTCGCCCGGAATGAGTCCTGCTATCACACACATCTCATCCGCCCGTATAACGCGTACAGATGACCGGGACGCACGACAAAAGCGGTCGAGCCCACTCCCGCCACTCCTTGGGTATAGCACGCAGCACAAGCGGGAACACGCAGTCTCCTTCACCCGTGGTGCTAAGACGCGAGAGGTGTTCCTCGAACCAGTGTGCCGGAAAATGTCTGCTTGTAGAAAGCCATTGTTCCTTGATGTGCCGCTGATCATCATCCTGCCCGTACGCGTTCAGCACATCCCTGACCACTTCCGCAACAGCTTGGTTGCTGGCGAGCCGTGAATTCTCATGCAGCAGCTTGGACAGCTGGAACCGAATGTCCTCATTATCCGTTGCGCTCACGAGAAAGTCGCTGTTAAGACGCTCCTCTTTGTAGACATCGCTGGGTTGTATCGTAGCAAGCTCCAAGCTAAGTTGTTCATCCGAGTCCGCTGTCGTTGTGATGATGGTCTTACTGCGGCTTTCTCTCAAGGCGAAGAGAATGCGCAGGAATGAGAGCAGCTTGCGTTTCCAGCCGTCGCACTCATCGAGGCTCGCAGTGATGTAGATGTCGTCTGTATGATGCTGGAAATGTCTCCAGTACATCAGCAGATGCTCATCGGTCCACGCCTGGAGCGCCAGCATGTAGCTCGCGATCCGACTGATTTGATCAGACCGTCTGCCCAAACCTTGGTAGGCTAACTGAGAGATACAGGTCCGAAGCGTGGCTCGCAGACTGTTAAAGCGTAAATCGTGGCTATCAAACAGGAAGTAGAAAACCTTCTTACTGCCCTTCTTGTGGGAGTTGACGTATTGCTACACAAACTCGGTCTCGCGATGGGTTTCGATCTTCCAGATCAGGTGCCGTACTCGATCGGCGACAGCAGTAAGGCAATCATCCAGTCGTAAAACGGTGTCTGAACCACGCTTGCCGATAGTGAGGGGATCAAAAGGCGATACATGGGAGAACAGTGCGTTCAGAATTCCAACCTGTGCTTCAGCAAATTTGCCGTCTGCATGCTTGAGCATTAGTGATTCTTTCAATGTCCACTGTTTACTTGATTCGTTTCTATTTCATTTCCGTCGGGCCAAACTTCACTTACAAAGCCAGTCTTCGGTAATGTCGCGACCATGTCCTGACTCAATTCAGAGTGCGACTTGTCGATCCATTCAGCATGCCCGAATTCATTGTGTCGGTTGAAGCGCTATCATTTTCCCCAGGACCTATGAAAGTAAGACAGAGGGGAGTGGTTAAAATCTACTGATCTTCAATTGCTATCCCTCAAATAGACCTTCTTTAGTCATATTACATGTGAAGACGCACATTATCGATGATGGAGCCTTAAGAGACATTAGTTCATGCACTGTGCGTGTAGAATCATATTGGTCTCGACGAAAACCACATGCACCTCATTGATACTTTCAGAAAGACTGTGAAGCAGAGGAAGCAGCTGGTTCGGATTCAAGTTGCCGTTGTCAGCCTGTAAGAGGTACTTGAGTACTTGTTGCTGCAGGGGATCAAATTCAAGCGGTTTATGACCGGGCAGGTAATTCAGAGAAGTCTATTGGGTAGCTATTGTCAGTGATCTCATTCCGAACATGATGAATAACTACTCTGATCTCTACCATAACTCTTGTGGCTGAGATGATACTGTCATATTTGGAGGAATCCTCGGGAGCAAGCACGAGGCTCTGCATGAGAGATTGAGCATTTGTTTAGCATCCCAAATAGCAGAGATCCTTCTGTAGCAGGTCGTACCATCGACTTACTGCTTTCAGAAACAAGCCTCCAAGGCCATGTGAGATGAACACAATGGATCGTTTGACCTAAGTTATTGATTGGAAATATCAAAGTCAGCTTCAATGCGACATAGGGCCGCAGTTTTGTCCATCTTCACTATACGTTGGTTTTGGAGGAACAGGAAAACGATGTAGACCTTGAGTTACACAGACATTCAAGCATTCATGGCGTATATGGCTCATTTTTCTTGTTTTTTCTCTGTTATCCTTCATGGGCGGCGTCGGTTCCACGATCATCACCACATCTCTACCAACCATCACTTATGACCTAGGCGGGAGCAGCGACTATGTATGGATTACGAACTCATACCTATTTATTTGAACCATTCCGCAGCCTTTATACGGTCAGATTGCAAACATATTCGGCCGACGCAACCCTATGATCATGGCGATCGCTCACCCTTGGGAATGGCCTTGCTGAAGGTGCTCAAAGTCCGGAATGTTGATCGCGGGCCGAGTATACGTATTGTCAGATATCATCATCTGCGATATAATCCCGCCTTGATACCGTGAGCCCTATTTGAACGCCTTCCTATCGACTGCTGCTGTTGACGCCACGATAGGTTCTATTATTGGCGACGCTCTAGCTCAGATAAATTGGCGCCGGGTTTTTATGAGTCATCTATTACCATCTGGGCCGGCAAGCTTGTTTTGAGTGATGCTGACCTTCTCCTGCTTTAGTGGATCAACCTCCCCATCTCGGGATTGGGCTTCATAGCTTTGCTTTTGGGTTTGAATGTCAAATACAAACGCAGCCCTACGTGGCTCTACGTTACATGCACGATAGCTCTCGACAAGGTGATTGAATCGGGCAGCTGAAATCTCGGGCATTTCTGCGATAAGAAACAAGACAACACCAAGCACTGGGTGCGGCGTATAATTTGTGAGGCTAGAGTAAACAAATACTCTATCTGTTGTCCTTTGACGCATCCATCCTGCTCTCCTCCTCTCTTCGTTCCATCATTACAGCCGTGGCAGCATGAGAAAGGAGCGATGCAGCAGAGGAGGCACCGGATGTAGACGGAAATGACTGAAACCAAGCCGATGATAGATCAGATATAACAGCCCGTTGGAGTTCGATATATGATTTGCATAAACTGGTGGTTTCTGGATGGTTTGCTTGAGAAGGTTGTCCTCTGCTCCTGAGGAGGAGCTGTGCGAATGCGAATGTCTGTGAGAGAAAAGGATCCTTATGGGAGGAGCATAAGATAATGCAAGGACATATTAACGGGGCTGGAAAGAAATTACGTTAGTCTTTGTACATATCTATTATCGTAGGAAGATCTCATTGAAATATAACTTGTATTAAACGCTCATTATCCGATACTTATCGTTAGCAGCATTGCTCGCTTCTTCCTTATAGTCATCATCATCTGAATTCTCGTCTTCATTCATATAATTGATCTCGTCCTCATCTATATCGTGGAAAGATATAATTCAGAGCAATGGACAGAGAGGAGAGGGACACACTGGTTTCGGATACTAAGTTGCCATCGCAAGTTGTTCTGGAAAGTAAATAAGGAAAAGGAAAGGAAACAAAGCTGAGCAATTAGGGTCACACACTCTCTCTTGCAGCCAACCCTCCCTCTCAAGACACACATCATAGGACCAAAAGCTAACATGTCTGTAAAATTAAGGATGTTTACTTTACTGATACATGTTTGCAAAGTAGCACCACTAAGAAAAAGTAAAAGAAACGAGGACTCGAAGATAAAGCTACCAGATTCAGAAAATAGGGGGGAGGGTATAGTGGGGGAAAGAGGGCAACGCAACTGAATAGTGGACTGACACTGCCGTGATTCGAATTTCGGCTGTTCTACTCACTTGGTGAGCCAAATACGAATTTCAGCAACTTTACCACTAACGCATGATATGTATTACATGCCATCATATAACCATTTCATGCCCGCGACGGCTCGTTCTCAGCAGAGCTGATGGATAGATCAGAGGCTGTCATTGAGATCGTCCGCAGCAAAGGATGTGAACAGCACTTTGATCGCCAGGTGCCGTGTGGAGACGAGGCGATATGCTCTGTTAATCTACACATGTAAATATAGTTTATGCAAATCTTGAAAAGCTAAATTGTTCGCAATTGAAGTGCTAATCAAGCCAAATTCTCCAGTATGATGTACATAAAGCTCACTCTCATTTGGGGTGCATCGACATGCCGATTCGGTTCCTGGCTACTTCATAGAGATTGATGCCAGTACTTAGCCTGTAGATATCGACAGGCAGAGTGTAAATATGACCCGGCTTGCAGCCAGAGGAGGTAAGCCATCACACACCTCACGACCGTTGGCGCCCTTTGAGCTGTCCCTGAGACCTGCTGATACTTGCGCTCAGACCGCCGAGCAGGCGTTCCGTCCAGGCCCTGAAGGCTCATGTGACATTCTCTAGAGCAGCAGGTCTGGGAGATGTTGACCGGCCGCGATATACCATTGAGCAGAACCGAGAATGGAACCAGCCCTGCTGGGCCACTTGCGGGTCAGCGTCAGCTCCTGGACGGCGAGCGCCGACATCCCTTCAGATGTGGACAAGGAAATCAGGGTAATGTTAACTCCCTGTAGACCGATGGAGCAGCTATTGGCCTGCCCGATGAGGGGAAGTGTTTCAGCTCAGACCGGATCAATCGTAATATATACCGTTATCTGAATTTGTAAAACAAGCCCAGAGATAACCTACGTTTCTCGCATACAGATAAATAAGTCTGCAAGAACTGCAGTCCCTCTGAGCATGTGAACTAGCTAGAATTTTCAATAGTTCATATCACGTTGACCCAGATACTTGCAGAGGGTGTGATGGACATGCATGGTGCCAAAATATGTCCTGCTATGTTCCACCACAATCGCTGCCCAACAGCGGCCAGGCCGCCCGCAGATAGGACATTCAGAGTGGTAAGCAGGTATGCTGGCTATGTGATGGGGCAAATGTTTCTCCAAACGCCACCAACTATAAAGTCCGCAAGTTGCCCTCACCCAGACGCCCTTTGGGGTGTTCTCCATCATCAACCCTACACACATCCCCAAAGTACCTACATTCGCAAGCGTATCCACAATCCCAGCATTGTAACCTTCAAGATGCCTGCCGCTGCCGACGGAACAACGGTCCTTCCTCAGCTGGAGCCCCGGCTCCAGCCTAGGATTGTACGCGTCGCCGCGGCTCAGTTCGAGCCCGTGCCTTTTGATCTCGAGGCCAACATCGCCAAGGCCTGCAAGTACATTACCGAGGCGGGGCATAAGGGAGCCAAACTCATCGCATTCGCGGAATGTGCGATTCCAGGTTATCCCTACTGGATCTGGTGAGAACATCCCCAGCAACAATGTCGTTCGAGACGCATGACTGCATGAGACGAATATTGACCCCGCGCCCTTCCATCCAGCTAACAATGAGTCTAGGACCCGCTCCATCGACATGGAGATGGCAGAGAAGTACATGAATAATTGTCTCAAGGTCGACTCACCCCAGTTCCAGCTGCTCTGTGCCGCTGCCAAAGAGGCCAAGGTCTCCGTCCACCTGGGCTTCTCCGAGCACTACAACCGGACCTTGTACATCGCCTCGGCCATGATCGGCGCCGACGGCGAGATCAAGATGACGCGGAGGAAGATCAAGCCAACGCACATGGAGCGGACCATCTTCGGGGACGGGAGCGGCGCGTCGCTGATGAATGTCGTCGACATTCGCGGCATTGGCAAGGTCGGCGGCCTCAACTGCTGGGAGCACACTCAGCCCTTGCTCCGTTACCATACTTACAGCCAGGGAGAGGAGATTCATGTCGCCGCATGGCCCGCGATGCTCAGCTGGGAAAGTGGCAAGAGTCCCTATCACACTGCAGCTGAGGGTAAGGAAGCCTTAGAGCAAGTGCCGCTTGACAAGTCATAAGCTGAAAAGCATTTGTGATGGCAGGGGCCAAGGTCCTCACTCAGATCCACAGCGTTGAAGGCAGCTGCTTTTCCCTCTACGTCAACAGCATCCTGCCACAGAGCACCATCGACCTTCAGAATTGCAAGGAGGGAGCTCTCTTCAACAAACCCGGCGGAGGCTTGACGCAGATCTTCGCACCCGACGGATCGCCACTTGAGACCTACGTGCAGACGCTGAAGGAGGACGAGGAGGGTCTTGTCATTGCTGATCTTGACTTGAGGGAAATCGACAGAGCGAAGCATTACCTCGACACCCACGGACATTACAGCCGACCCGACCTCCTATGGCTCGGCGTCGACAAACGTGAGAAGAAGCACGTCCGGTACGAATAATAATCCTACTTGGCAATAAGAACATGATAGGATCATGATCTGTGGTCTTTCTTCGCGGAGCAGGGGCAACGACCGTGGGTACTTCTTTCCCTTTTAAATCAGACTCATTATGTAACAACTGGCAAGACCCTGAACTAGAACTCCTCGTGTCTTTTTGTAGATCTATCGCCTTTCTTGCATCTGGACTTTTCATATGAGATCGAACTCGGAGCATCTGAGAGGAAGCTGGCTCTGTGACTGGCAGCTCAGATGATCTGGGAAGAGAACCCTCCCAGCATCGCCGCAACCACTTTACAGTAATTGTCGAGAAATCCATGCGTGTGGCTTCCTCTTCTGCTTTGGAGTAGATAGTAAGCAGACAGGGAACACAGCCTCTACACAGCCGTTGAAGCTTGTAGACAGTGCTAGGTGGCTGTACCCTCGCAACTCATGATGAAGTTAGTATGTGTAGTCAAGAGGTTAATCTGGAAGAGATTACAAGTTGAAAAAGGTGGAAAGCCCACGAAATTAAATTTCGAAGATATATAATAAGACAACTACCAAAGCAAATGCACCACCCCCTCTTCCAACTTGCGGGGACTTTAGTAGTCCAGGAAAGTGAGTCCCTGACATGGTTTGGTAACATGAATATGACCATCTATATCCTGCAATGGCTGAGCGACATTCCTTGTGTAAGGCCTTATCCTAAACGTGGCTTGATTCGAGGGACTTGATGATATTTGCTTTACAGTAGCGTGATATTCAATATTACCCATCCCAGTAAGTACTTGCGAGGTCACAAAGTGGTTTTGCATAAAGGCCAACCTGCCTTGCGATCTTCGAGCGGCACTGCATATCAACAGGCTCACGGTACTCCTTACGTCGGAAGGGGAAGAACAAAGAAGAAAAAGAAAGACAGAGAGAGAGAGACAAACAAGTCGAGCAACGCTTGCGTGGTCAGCCACTCCTATCATCAAGCCACTTGCTCTATAGTTATTCTACTACTTCTCAGTCATGGCTGCAACAAGTTGTCAGGATACTGTGTCCCAACTCCTTGTACATTTCCAACATCTCTCATCGATCCCATTCGACCTTTCAGCTCTAAATTTGAACGAGCCCACAACGGAAACAGGGTGCGACCTTTATGTTGGCTGGTATTTCAGAACTTCGCAACAATGGTTGGCATTATAGCCAAAATTAAAGGCTTGCTTATCTGATTTCTTGCAGATCAGGTGTTTGTGCCTGAGATACATTTTATTCGACCCTGCAAGGGAAGCCTACGAAAATGCCCTCGATATCCTCAAGACGATCCTTGCCTCCAAGGAGCAACAACTTGTCTAGCTGTGGAACCAGCACTCAATGCAAGATGTCCAAAAAGCCGTCGCAGAAGTGTTGGAGGAGTACATATCTTATGCGACAGCTAAAAGGCGTCACCACTCCCAGCTGACTGTAAACGGCTGTGGCCGATATAGCTGCGTAGACTGTCGGACTCACACAAATCTAGGTTCGGAGCCTCTAAACGTTAACAATGGCTTTCAAATTGTTCTACAAGAGTCGTGTACTACGGAGCCGTGTTCGATATGTTCGTCCAACACCACCTGGAGTATGTCTTGCTAGCCTGGGGAGCAATGAAATTTGTTTTCATCTCCATCTTGAATCACCATGAGCTGTTCGCGAGACATGGAAGGCGGTCTCCGACGTGGCAGATGTGCTGCCACGAACCGAGCTCCACTCGATTTTATATCCCACGACTTGCATGTAAGAAGCAGTACCACTGCTGTACGTGAAACTTGTCGAGTTCATAGTGAAGGCCATTAAGTTTTGTAGCAAGGGGAAGGCAAGACATGTCCTTGCAGCCATTGCTCATCCATTCATCATGAAGTTCAGGAGCATCATTGACGAGATAACAATTTGGTTGAGACGAGTGGATGAACTCACGAGTGCTGCATCCAAGGCTGCGATCCGACATCTCAATGTGAAGGTGCATGGGATGAACAAGACCTTGCTCCAATTGATCCAGATGGTTACCGGTAAGCCTATTTGCATGTTAATTCTACCTGTATAAGGGGCTGACGGCGGTCGACTAACGCATAAGCAGTACAGCAACAGACATGAAGGCCAATGCGACTGTGTTCAGGGTACCCTTTGGTTAAATACGTATCCACAAGTGGATTGGAAGAAGAAAATTGATCCTGATTAAGAGTCTGGCCAGGATATGGTTTACATATAGATAATCACACTGCCTTCAAGCTTAGTGGACAAGAACTGCAATATGCTATAAGTCGAGGGTGGGTTTGTTTAACGAATTATCTGGTTGGATATATGTTGGTCTAACTTACATGCATACATCACACCTCATCCTTCAAAAGGATCTAAATACTATAACCCATTTATACTATCCAAGAAATTGTTAGTTATGAAACGAGTTAAGTGGAATAATAGACACAAGAAGCTAGATATCTGGCTGAGCCCTCTATTCTATATAACTCATTTCATGACCTGCATATTCAATACATTATAATACATAGGCAGAAGAAGTGGGATTCAAGCCTATTGGTTTCCATGCTTACTCGTGCTTTGACTCCTAAGCTGGCTTGTCAAGACAATAAAAACTCCTCACCTTTGCCGCTGCTGAAGTATCCAAGAGCCACCCAAGATCCATTTTGCAACATGAAAATGTCAATGCATGAGAGTATTAGTGTTTTTAAAAGAGCTATAATCGAGCCACTGAGACATCAAAACTCCATTACAATCCATTTACTCTGCTTGCACAACAATCTCATATGCAATAATTAGCTTTGAAGCAATTAACTGATTCCATGCATAAATGGTGAATCACTGGTCCTGAGCAGTACACAGCTTCGCCAGTAAGTTAGCTGCTAGTACTCTAATTAATTTCTTCCATCTAGTTATCTATCTCTTTTCCTGTTCCATCTCCCTTTCCTACACTTGTTATCAGTCCCTTTTCTATTACTTCCTAGTCTTAATAGCACATCACCCCATATGTATTTCGACCAGCAAAGCTATGGTTTTCATGTGTTGTTGCAACATGATAACACCACTTTGTAAAACTCTATTCATTTATGCGATGAAGCCAGACCTGCTGCTCGTCGCGGGCGCTGTAGGTGCTCGCACCCAGTATAGCCTGCATCTGTTCGATCCCAACAAAGAGAATATCGCGCGCGATGAACCAGCGGATACCCTCGGAGCATGGTGGGCTGGTCAGGCTTCCCTGGTAAGTCCAGTACTCGTTAAACCAGCTGACACTATCGAGAGCGAGTGAGAGGTCAAGAGTAGCCTCCTGGACGGTGTCAGTCTCATTGAAACCGATCATAGCCGGCAGCTGAGCGAAGAAAGCGTTGTCCACGTTGCCTGGGTCGATGCGGAAGGCAAGAACAGCTTTCTCATGGCCCGAGGCATTGACGTGCACGAAGTGCATCTCGGCTTTGGAGCGCATGCCCCCCACCGTATGGTCGGCCGGCGCGTGCAAATGCCACCCCGTTAAGTAGGTAGTCTCGTTGTCGTAAGTCAAGGATGGGGCCGAGGTATAGTCCTCGCCTTCAGTATGTGATGGAGTGAAGGCAGGCCCGAAATTCCAATTGAAGAAAGTCCCTGTCACGTTGCTGTCGTACTGAAAGGTCGGTCGATGATTTGATGCTAGGCCATTGGAAAGGCTTAGAGCGATAGGCGATTGTTGTGTGCCGGTCTGACAGAGACCATAGTCTGCATTAAATATTAGTGTTGAGTAAGGAAAGCCTTGCTGACATGTGTCAAGCTCGAAGGGCTTACCTGGGTTCATGCTGCCCCAGTCAAAGGACGCTTGATAAGACCAGTCTGGCGATACTGTTGCTCTGTCTGCAAGATGTCTTGCTTTTACAGCAAGCAGCTGGTGGTTGTCATGAGTTGGGCATGCCATGTTGCTTGCCACTAAGGAGAGTACTGCTATAAAGGTAAAGAGCGTCATTTTGATAAAAAAAGGAGTCAAAAAAAGAAGTGAATATGAAAGAATGTACTGATAGCTTCTATGCTTGGTAAGGAATAATATGTTAATGATTGTGAAAGCTATAAAAAGCAGTTACCAGGCACTAAAATATCCTCTGCTGAGCATGCTCTTATATACAGTGCGTTTATATTTGAGTTTGTACAAGCCCTACTTGGCAAATGATTTCACAAATCATCATGTGGAGAGTGTGAGATTATGTGTTGATCTTGAATCAACATCCCAGAACTGCTTGAACTGACATCTCTAGAGCATTCAGTGGCCAAAATGAAGCCACATGGAAACTGTAAGTGGTCAACTCAAAAAGTAGCCAAACCCACTAGTTAGAATTTGGCCTAGTCTGCTCAGAAGAATATAGTATGTAAAGCAACGCAAAGTTTTATCATGCTAAAGCAATCGCCAGTATATTCCACAAGACGTACACCTATGTCTCATCACTCATTCCCCAGTATAGGAAGATCTACCCACATAACCTGACTCTGCTCAATGGGTCTTCCCACCTTTCTTGGCGGCCAACTCCTTATGTCTCCTTACAGTGCCATAGTAAGGATTCTTGCTATAACCCATTCAACATGCAGATCACAAAGTAGATAGCCAGCAAGGTGTTGGAACTCACCGTCCATAACGTAAGCATTTTATTACATGAGCAATGACAAGGCTGAAGTGATCAGCCATCGCTCCAATCGAGTCGAATGAATATACTTCAATCCAAGATATTAAGTCTGCAATACTAAATATATTACTAACAGCCATTTAATTAAATACATCTTTTTAGTTGTCAAACTAAGTATGTAGTTGGCATATATGGACCAGTGTTTTTGCTAGTGAAGTGTCGCAATCAAAAGGATTATTACTCAGTTGTTTCGAATTAACTTATTGACTCGTCTACACATTCTACCAAGGCAAATCCCGGGGCAAGCGCCAAGAAAGCTAATATAGCTTACAATGCAACTTTGGCTTGTTAATTGCTAGTTATCTAGGACTGACTGGCTACCCCCTTCGCTCGCTTGTCGGGAACGACCGAACGAACTTTAATAGCTGTGTGAGCTTGAGCTTGAGCGCGAGTACCACATGTCAAAAACGGGACACGAGGGCAGTCTTCACCGAATGCGACTATGTAGATTCTTTTGGCTGCGAAGAACGCTTTTCGGCACGCCCGAAGACCCGCTCATGTAAAAGGATCACCGCAGCTCGATTGATGTTGTTTGCATTACTAATTGTCAGTGTGTCGTACTATTAGTCCAGGCATCGTCGATCTGGAAGAATTGAATGCTCTCCACTGGTAGGTGGCTTGCATTTGTGATTATATAGTGAGACGGAATTCCCATCAAGGACATCTGGTCGAGAAGCCTGCGCTGGACGACAAACCAATCCAGCGAATTCAGCGTCTTGTACTCGTTGCAGGGTTGTGACGGATCCGGATCCATATTGGCTTGTCGGCATCGTAGGCGCCGACTATCCACTTGGCTCGTGATCGGAGGGGGCGGTCGATGAGGGAGTGCGCAATGGGTCCGTAATATGAGGGATCCAATGCATCGAGCAGGCGGGGCGCGGCACCACCTGGATCCTCCCTGTGTCATCAAGGCTGCACGACTCGGCGAGGATGGCTTCGAGCGGGCTGAGCATGTCGGGCTTGGACTTGTAATCGACGTTAGCTTTCATGGAGATACTTGCCGCTGTTGCCTTGCCGGATTCTAGGATCTTCTTGCGGTTGCGGAACAAGGCTATCATCAACGCCGCACCAGCCATGGCCATGGAAGGAGGGCTAGGTAGACAAGGTTAGCAGCGTGCTTGACGGAAAGGTAAAAGACGCCATGCTCAGTACCGATGTTTCGATCATAGGGGTCCCCGACTGAGACCTAAAGTCTCTCCGGTACAAGACGGTCAAGAAGACGACGGACCCCGAGAATGTCTTTATCAAGGGTGGTCTGCTCTTGATGTTGGTACTCAAAGACGCTAATCGCGCTTCGAGGGTGGTCCTCGACTAATTATGCTTTGGCAAGGATCCGCTGCCAACACTCAAGGCCGGCGAGTCCGCCAACAAGGCTGGCGACTTGAGCAGCAGTTCTGCGTGCCTTATCCCAAGAGCCAAGGCTCCATTTCGATCAGGAATATGGGTTTCGAATACGGAAGTGAAGACACCCTCTGTCAAAATGGACGCCTCGGTGGTCATTAGGCTCCCGGCCTTTGATCTACTAGGATTCAGCCTAGGGCTTGCCTTCACCAAGGGCTCTTCTCTTGGCAACCCTCCGGAGCCCAGGGCCCTTCTAGGAGCGCAGGTTATCTCGTATGAGCGCAGTCCAGGTATGTTAGGCGGTATGTTTCGCACCTTTGCGGAGGGCAATGCCAAGATATACCAGGGAGCTGTTGTCCTCAGCTACCAGCCCTAGCTATTCAGCACTGCTGGCTTCTACAGCGAGGTTGAGCAACCGGACAAGACCACACCACCTTCTCTTTCGGCCAGATCTCGGGTTCCACTGCCGACTTGGGTACAATACCACTCTGCGCTTCCTCACTGCTGCCGAGGGGCCGCGGTTTTCCTTCATCTCACGGCCCCAGGGAGTGGACGACCCAGACAAGACGTCGCTTACCCAACCCCTCAGGTATATTATCAACAGCGGCTGGGTGACTCCGAATATAGCGCTTCCGCTCTCCACTCGCAATTTGTGGCCTTCTCGGCTCTCCAAGGCGATTGGGTCCCCACTGAGTACCCAACAACCCTAAAGTTGGCCATCGCCTGGTAGTTCAGCAGCCCGATCTCGGTTCGTGACGAGGCCTACCTTGCCATCACACAAACCATATACATAGGCAACAGCCTACAGAACGCCTCCCTACGCCTATATCCTCTTCAAACTTTATACGGGGTTTATATTGACTTCCTATCAACTTCCAGCCTTTCTACTTTGTCGCTGACGAGCTGGTGGTGGCCTCAGCGTCAGTGTGCACTTCGTGCTGGATCTGCGGCAACTTCGAGCCTCGAAGGCCTGCCAGCCCGCGGCACCGTCCTCGTGTACGTCTGGGTGTTTAGGTTTGGTATTGATTTTGGTGGCGATTATGAAAGCCCACCGAATATCTCCATCTATGAACTGATCAACCCTGCTTGAGGACAGTCCCAAGGTTGCGAGAAAGCGTCTTTCGCTACCATTATAGCCTTCACGCCGCTTGACTTGGACGCAGATTTTGAGAGCTGACTGGGCGTTTGAATCGGGCCTCTTCACCCAAGACTCGGAGTTTGGACAGTGACATAGCGCAACTAGACTCATCAGCCGCAGCCGGAACTGGCCTGCATGTGCTCCCTGCAAAGTCAGTTCTCGCTCCCAGTGGCAATGCGGACTCCAATCCCAACGCCGAGCCATGGGTTGTTCACCAAGGCTTAGCTGCTTAGAATTTCAATGCGATATGTAAGTAAGCAATAGGCTTTACTTCACTAAAAAGGTGTTGATAAAGTACTTAGTCTGTGTTTTCAAGTAAGGTACGTAATATAACTTAGCTATAAGATGTTAGGTTTTTAGGAGTAAAGATTGAGCTACAGATTTCACAGAACGACAGGAGACAAATTAACAACAAGCAATAGGGAAATGTAGAATAAAAACATATTGAAACTGATAATTATATCATATAGCAGTATAATAAGCACTGTAGGAATCCGAGTATTCATAATATATGCGGGACATTTTTTATGATAAATAGTAGCATCAAGTACAAGCTTTGAAACAGAAATCAATGCTATTTGTTAAATAATCTCTTATCGATCATAGCTGTAAAGGAAAAAAGTTGATAACTAAGTAAAAGCAGGGAAAATGAGCAAAAAGTTGAACATGAAGATAGCTCATAAAAAATGATTAGCTCTCGTTCGTCATTCAGATTTCGCTCAATTAGGAAGATGATTTTGGTAGGTTTTATTTTGAAAAGATACATTTCTCAAGTTAAAATATCTTCATGAAGTAAGCAGATATTTCTTAGGGAGTGGGTAGGAGGAGGAGCTGAGCGAAGCGAAGCGAAGGGGGGGGCTGCGAAGCAGGAGCTCTTCTTATAAAGAAAGACTGAAAAGAGAGCAAGAAGAAGAGGAAAGAAGAGGAATAGATGAAGCTATTCACAGTTTATTAGTAACAAATAGCGTCTGCAATCGGAGTAAGCTTGCTTACGGAGGCTCTACGGTATTTCTGAGTAAGTCAAAGCACCCACTTCACATCACCTGATCAGCCACACCATATATATACACATATATTTGTTATATATATTCCTCATTCTATTCAGCCACCACGATGCAGTCCTCTTGTTCAGTAGGCAATTCGATATCGCTCTCTTCATCCTGACTATCTGTATGTCAATTGACTGCATTTTGAGCACTCCGTATATCGTCAATATCTGCAAATCTCGAATTTGGGCTTGTATCAACTCTTCTTCTTTTCGTTGGCCTTCTAGCCTCAGCCTGCTTTTCTAGTACCTCGATCTTCTCTAAAGCCTGAGCCAGTTAGAAGTCCCTCTGGCTAAATGCTTTTCATATCTTTCTGAAGAGTATTTGTTGTATTGGGGTTGTTGAAAGTTGATGCTGGTTCTTCTGTAGCTTGTGGTATATATCTTTAGCCTTGAGAGGAGTTGGAAAGGTGGCTAGCTGGCTTGAGGAGGCTTTCTGAGTAAGCTGAGATGCTGTTGATGCTGTTGAACTTGAATTTGCCTTGGCCTGGATATGCTGAGGAGTGTTCTCGAGAAGAAGAGGGCTGAGGGGTGGCTTAGAGGGCCTGACAAGCCATAAACCAGAAGCTTTCTACCCTGATTTGATATTCTGGCTCGAAAGGCCTTCCAAACGAGCCTCATAATAAGTCTTTAGGAATAAACGCTTGCTAAATACTGTTCAATCCCCCTACTGGCTTATATAGCTGACCTTTCGTCTGTATACCCTCTTGAGAGACGAGAAGACCCCTAGATCGAGAGGTTGAAGCACGTAAGAGGTATGAGAAGGCAATTAAACCAACAGGATGTTGTTTTGATAGCATTGCTACATAAACTCGTTAGTTGTATGGCTGCTGTGGCCATCCAGAACTGATAGTCTAGCCTCTGAGGGGTCTGCTGGCTTGCTGCCTGGGATGAAGATCTTTGCCAGTCATTCAAGTGCTATAGCATTATCAGTCCATCCGTTCTTCGTAGATATGAACTGCTAGCCTTTGAAAGAGTCTAAGAGAAGAGGAAACTACTGTTATTGAACCGTTTGCCTCTTGAAAATTACCAGAGGAAGGAGATAAGCACCTGTAGCAGAAATACACTCGAGAAAAGAAGTCCAGAACCTCAACCCAGGCTCTTTTTGATGGATTGAACATGAAGAAGAGCTACCAAGAACTAATACATTCTCTCCTTAGCTCTCAATTATCCCAGCCTTATCCATATTCCACTGATTAGCTAGCTTAATAGCTTGAATTTAAGGAAGATCGAAAAGATGAAACCAAGGCTGTATTACCTTTGTTGTAGCTCCATTAATTCGTTCAGAAGCTGGCTGTTGATTCTTTCGAACCTGTATCTCTGGATTTCTCCTCAAAAAGCCCTCAGTCCACCTCTTTCCTAGCTCTTGAGAATCTTTTTGGACCTTGAGAATCCTCCGAGCGAAATGCCTTAGTTCTGAGTGGCTAGGAGGAAGCCTTAGGCTCTTCTGAACTAGGATCCATTGAGCCAGTTCTCTCTCCTGGTCAATAGAAAGCTTTTGCTGGTTTTGATGAGCTAATCTGTGCGATTCCGTTCCTGCTAGACGATCTCGAAGAGTAGCCCTTGGAATCCCGTACTTGCGCGAGGCTTGTTTCTGTGACAAGCCTTTTTTGACAGCCTCGATAGCCTCAGCTATCTCATCTTCGGTGTATGGCTTCATGATAGTCGTATAAAGGCCCTGTGAAAAGATGAAGTTGATTGAATTAGAAATGGGTGAGAAAAGGCTATCAAAGTAAAGGGGGTGGAAATGGCGGTGTGGCTGATTAGGGGTGACGGGAACCAGGGGTGATGTGAAGTGGGTGCTTTGACTTAGCTGATACGCGAACTCACGACATCTAGGGCTATAGAACATGAACTATGACAAACTGAGATAGATAACCGAGGAGGTATACATAAGTGATTCATAAAGAATGTCAGGTTATTCCTGCCCCTATGCATGGGAATTGGTAATGACTGTTATATTTGTATCTTATAGTAATGACTGGTGCGTTTGGTTTCTCACAAAAGTTCAGAATTTGAGCAATAGAAGCCTACTGTGGCCCGCATGTGTCTTGGAATGTCATGCCCTCAAGAATTTGAGACTGCACCTCCAAAGCCATCTTAAGATGCAGCGGCACAAGCCGCTTCGCAAGCAATAGCAAGCGGTGGAAATTCCTCAAGTGGTAGGCAGGCTACTTCGCACGCCAACTCCTCGCCAGTGCTAGCGACAGCATCCTCTATATCCTGCACAGAAATCTTGTCTCAGCTTATTTCATACGTTGAATTGAGTCACAGAAATACTAGAACTTACACGCTTCACCTTCGCATCTGCAGCGGCACAAGCTGCTTCGCAAGCAAGAGCAAGCGGGGGGAATTCTTCAAGTGGTAGGCAGGCTAGCTCGCATGCTAGCTCTTCTCCAACGCTCTTTATAAAAGTCTAGATTCAGCTGGCTTATACTTTGAAGTATTGGTCATAGAAATACTAAAACTTACACGCTTCGCTTTGGCCTCTGCAGCAGCACAAGCTGCTTCGCAAGAGCTGACCAGCGGAGGAAAGTTGTCGAGCAGTTGGCAAGCCTCTTTGCATGCTAGCTCTTCGCCGGCACCCTATGAGAAATCTGATTTTAGCTTATTTTGTGCTTATATGTATTCGTAACGGGATATATAACTTACGCGCTTGCTTACGGTTGTCTGAAGTCGATCCATGCTTGTCTGAGGGAAAGCAGAAACCATTGAGGCCATGAGGCAAGTCGAGATAGCAGAGAAACGCATGTTGGCTGACGGAGTGTAATAGTGAGTGAAGAGTGAACAGGGTTTGTAATTGACTTTGGTTTGATGTTTCTGTATTGTGATTGTGCTTGAGAGTTCGAAGACTGAATGTCAGAACTCGGAGTCATTCTTGCCATATATATACTTTTCTGGCGTAACTATAAATTGCCTTTCACGAAATTTTAAGATATCGAGAACGCTTATGTTTTCCAGTTTCAATATATCATGATTCATAGCTCTTTTGCCAAGCATTAACTTCAATTCCGTTTTCAGCGATTCTGTTTCCCTATTTCACATATTCATACTATACTAGTCTTTATATCACTTCGTAGAATACCAGTAGAATACTGCTCAGGTGACTTATGTATATATATCGCTGAGAAGCTATTTTCAATCCCTTTGGCTTCTTTCGACCGAGACATGAGCCTCATTCCGTTAGCGTAGTATTCACGTGGGACTTCCCGTGTTCTTGCGAGGCTCTAAGGAAGTATTTCATTGTTGTCTTCTAATTCACTTTCCTTTATCAGGGAAGGCCGGTTGCTTCTTCGTGCCACGTGCTTCCTAGCTCAACTTGGACTCTGAATCAGTATCAACGAGTCAAACATATGACGTATACTGAGAATGATCTTGTTTACCTTGTAACCTCTAACATGCTTGAAAGGTCCTTTCCGCCGGGCCGCATGCTTTTTCGGATTGATGGAAATCGGCAACGTTTTCAATTAGAAATGTCAACCAAAGTTGCAGAGCAAATTGCGCTGCCAAGACCCAACTTTTACAAAAGCGGAAGTTGTATTCAATCCAGCCGGTGGCATATTACGTAGCGCATCTTCGAGCTCTTACGCTCAACGTCAGCATCCTGCTCGCCAGGTTGTCTTAACGCCAACGAAATAAATATTAGGAGAGACATTGATAACAAATCTGTCTCCATTCAGCGCGTGATGAAGATGTTAAAAGAAATAAAGAAAGAACAAAAGGGAGAGAGAAGCAATTGGCCTATAGTTTGACCTAATCCTTGGCCTTTGAAGCCCTATACACGCCAATCATCAGTTCTAGATTTTAGGGTTAGCCCACTGGTAGAGGAAATGTGGCAAGTCCGTCTCTTGGGGTCAATGCTTCTAGCATTTTTCTTCCTTGGAATAGCAACAGTGCCACCTTCTTCCTATTTCTTAGAGCAGACAACAACAGAGTTCTTTTTTTTCTCTTCTCATTACTCTGCCCGACCCGCCTCATCTAGTTTTCAGACAGGTTTCCTACATTGCACTCCGGGGCGAGTGGGTGCTTCAGGATGCAGTCAAGCTACTCGAGCGCGATGATGCCGAATGAGTAAATATCAGCAAGGACGCCATATGGTCGGACGGAAAAATCTATAGCGCCGCATGCTTGGCCGCAGCGAGTTTGCAGGGCGAGGCTATCTGCTGCGGACTTGACTAGTCCGAGATCGGCGATGAGGACCTGGAGGGGGTTCCGTTGGACCAGCAGCTTCTCCAGCTTGAGTTTGCGGCTCGCTAGGTTCTTCTTTCTGTGGGGAAACGCTAGGCCGTCGAGCATTTGACTGAACGCGGTGATATATATGGATACCTGAGTGAAGCCCTTGCCTAGGATGTTTTCGTGGGGGTTGTACGACATTAGGATATACTGCTGCGCCGATCAGTCCGGCCGTGTAGTCGAGATCGTTCCGGGCCACCGGAGTCGGGACCAAGAGGGAGAGACAGGGCTTAGCAGGGTGAGCTCCGCCGCCCTTGAAAGAGAAGGGCTTTCGACCCTGCCCCCCTCCCGGGCGCACCACGCTGTCTGGTCCGGTCCGCTATGCAGTTCCTGACAAGATCCAGCAGGTTCTGGGTACACGCAGTCCGCACAGTCAGTCTCATAATTCAGAAACTTTATCAAGAGCTGGGGCTGCTCGTAGAAAGTCCCAGCCAATCCAGGGCAAGATTATGCTTTCTACCAAGCTCATAAACTACGATCCACGACTCATTTACCCGTTTGAAGTTTCATGCTTCAACATCGCCCAGATGCACTATCTTATTACAAGGTCGACTAAGAAGTCCGCAGTTAATAGTTGAGGTATTTTTGCTTGCAACTATCTAAGATTGTGTATCAGGTCCAATAGAATAAGTGTCTGAGGACAAATGGTTCTATTGAAGAGTAGACGTTAATTGCAACGAGACTACTAGAAGATCTAAGGATGTAGGAGGGCTGTTGAGTCTAGGTCTTGACGTAATCCAGTCTTGATAAACGTTGGCCACTTCTCACGAGCTTACTCCGCTTTTTTCCTCCTCAATTATATCGCTGTGCATGCGTGTATTGTGCTCACCACAATAGTATTCATACCTGCAAACTTGACTCAGTCTCAGTCTCTCTCAAAATGAAGCATCAGCTTAGTTTCTGCCTGATTTGTGGCTATGATAGTGGACATACCAAATCTTGCTATACACTGTTGAAAGTGACACATTAGTCCACCGATTTCTACGAGGATACTGTACGTAAAAATGTTATTTCTTTTTCATGTCTTCCAATAGATACTAAGAAACCAGAATTTTCCTTTTCTTTTTTCTATTCTAAACTCTCTGAATAAGTCTAGGGCACGTTTCTTACCCTGCTCTTCTGCTCATGTGCCCTTCGTTTGCTATCCTTCCTTTCATTAATTTTTCATTATCTTGATCCTTGATTACGTAATTAATATTCTCCATCTGACCATTGTTGCGTGTGACTTAAATCCGTAGCCTACATCTCGGATAGATTACAGCGATTAGGTGGGGCTCAGGTGGCATCCTCTCTTTTATTTTCTTTTTGCTGATTAAAGCTAACGATGTCTCAATTAGATGCTGCTCAAAAATTGCTATCATGGTTCAAGAATACTCTCTTTTAGCTGTTCCACTATGGCATTTTAACTCCAGAGAGAACTTACAGGTACATTTGATCACGAGAGCTTACTATTCTTTTCACGTATACTGAGATCAATTTCTGCAATCTAGAGGGAGCTAGTATCTCTGTAACTTGGAAGCTTGATGCTATCAAATATAAAGATTATGACATATATTCGTTTGCTCTATGCCATATCAGGTAGGAGATTCACGGGTGTGATGATTTGACTTTGGTTGGAACCAAATCTACTCAACACAACTTAGAATGTGTGGAGATAATCACCAATGTAGCACTTGACAGTATCGGTGACGTTCGCAGCGGATCCAGCGGGTAGACCAAAGACACCACACACTTTGTCGGCAGCTCCTTCACCAGACTTGGCCAAAGTAGAAAGGACTGCAGTCTCAATGAAACGATGCTATCGAATGTCAATCTCAGTCAATATTCATAAATGAGGACGGAAAGGGTTTAAATGCTTACCTGGTATGGCTTGCGTTCCTTGTCATGGTAGATAACGAAACGGTTTTCACCCTGACCATTCTTCTGGCCGTATTGGAATCGGCCGTCAATCTTGACTTTATAGCCCTCTATACCAGATTGATCACTGTCAGTAATCGAGATGTAGCAATGCACTGTTATTGAAAGGAAAAATGAAAGATAGGAACTCACCACCAGGCTCAGTCTCTCCGATCTTGCTGATGTGGTTTGGGTTGTCTTTGGTCGCGTTCTTATACCACTCGGCGGCAATGAAGAGAGGAACAGTCTCATTGTTTGTCAGGTCGTTTGCTTCGACGCGGTAGTATTGCGCCTGGCGAGCTGAGAAGTTTTGCTGCCACTTTACAGTGAGAGCAGGACCCAAGGCTTCGCCATCGAAGAGATCGACGAAGAGCACGTGGCCGGACTCGACTGGGGCAGGCATTTTGATAAGAGAATTCAGGTTGGATAATCGATTTGGAATGCTTGGAAGCTTGGTCTGAGGTGGTCTACGAGTGAACTGAAGCCCGAGAAAGCGACGTATTTATATTCGCAGATTCACACTTCTTGATCAGTCTGTTTGCTTTTGATTCCATGTAACAGTCTTAGTAACAACTAGGATGCCAATATTCCAGACTGTTGTTCAGCTGGTTCTTTAGTGTGTCTGAAGGCAAAGTGGCTTAGCGGTATTGATCATTTGCCATTGAGCTAGTCATGATATACAGCCCAGGAAGAACCTATTGAGAGATTGACCAGGACTAATGCGTACCATTACTCAGGTTCAGCTGGCCTCAAAAGCGAGGTATGTCATAGCAATAATGCGGTGTAGTGACATGAGCCCTGGTTCAAGGCAGCACAGTCCGTCTTGACAATGTCCCAGCATTACAGTATTGGTCTAGCCAGCCATCGCGAATACCCCGGTAGACCCGTGGTGTATTGTTATTGGTGAACTAGTTTGCGCTGATCGTTTTTCAGCTGTTGAATCACTTATGTATTAGCCATTCTATGACATCTGAGGTGTATCAGTGGCGTTATGTAAAACACTCTAGGAGCATAGGCTACGAAAGCATGGCTTTGAAACTAATTGCGATCCCTTATGCTAGCGAAACTAGCGGTGTGTTATCCAGCTCATGCGGTGATCATACTATGGACTATCAATGTTGTTTCTTCAACATTGCGTCTTTCACGAATGAGGTTAATACAGTGTATGCTGCAATGAGTTTGCTACTTATTGTTAGAAATGAGCAATATCTTATCCAAAACTGCTTTCATTTTATTGTAATTGGGTTCATGTTAGCCTTAAAAAGATTTGCGTCTCGCTCTCTTTGGTAGAAAAGCTCCATATACATCTGCACTTCCCACCCCGCGCATTGCCTTCACATGTCAACCCGCCCGAAGCGCCACATAATATCACACACTGTTATAGCTGATGCAACTGTGAACGAGCTAAGCAAATCACTCTGTAGTATTAGAGGTTGAAAATTGGTAACGGTCTAGACCTCGCAGGACCCTGCATAGTGCGGGCGGCACGGATAGCGGACCGGCCCCGCAGCTAAACACCCCGGATCCCCCCTGTAACCGCCTGTTAACTACAAGAAGAAAAGCTCAACATGGGCCCCCCAGATAGAAATGTCCAGACTCGTCAAGCGTCCAAAATAAGAATAGACAAATTTATAGGAGGCGGTGTTGTTCAGAGCTGAAAATATACAGGGCTTCTAGCAGACGCTAGCTCGTGTGAGTTGCAACTAAGACTTGCTCGACTCGTTCAAAGATGTGAATATGCTCACCGCTTATTGACCGCATAAGCCAGCCATGCCCCCCGTGTCCGTCTTTTGGAGAAAGAAGAATATTGTCCACTTGGACGTCGCCATTGGTAATGCTTAGCGACTGGAAGGCGGCGAATCTGGTAGTGGTCTCCACAACTATAACGAAAAGCTCAGGGAACAACAGAGCAGGAGTTCCATCGTCCTAAGAATTTCTCATGGTACTGATAAGTGAGTATTTGAGCATAAGCATATTGGTGGCATTTTGTTGTCTTTGTCAATACATATATTCATGAACTGGAGGATAATTGGATGGTCTGGTCAGAGACTGTGGGTTAGGATTCACAGCTCAAGTGCTTGCTTGGCAAAGTATTTCTCAGATGCAACCTGCTTAGCTAGTTTACTCATCATTAAGAACTTGACAGCCTAAGCAACCTCGTTTAAATACAGAATTTCGATGGATTTGAGAGCTATAACCGAGAAGAAAATTGCAAAAGCTGACGACGGGGTTATTATTATTTACACTTCGAAGCTCCATTGAGAAGGAGCATGTTGAGTCGGCAGATAGTGCAACTGGAAATGGAATCTTCGCTGCGGATACTGGCGAACGTTTCAGAGCTGGTGAGTTGAGATCAGAAGTCCGGCAAGTTGTCACTGCGCACTAGAAGCTATGAGTAATTTTGAGGGAAATCCTGCGTGAAATTCTCAAGATGCGCTCAAATTACCTGGACAAAGCGTTTTTGAAAGGTGAATGCCTTGAGGAACGACAAAATCGCGAGACTTGAACTTGGGTGTCACATTTCAAGCGGGCAAGAGCATGGTCATGCGAAGCCATTCGTCAGACAGAAGAGTTTTCTTTTCCCAGATAACTAATGATTACGACTTGAAAAGTGACTTGGTAGGTTACTTGGACAGTGTAGAGTATTCTGGTTTAACCAGTTTGTAGGTCACAAAAGAGTCAAGCAGGATAGTAAGCTTCTATTTACCAAGATACAACTGAGACACAGTATAGTACTTATTGAAATTGAAACTATAGAACAACCAATATAAAAAGAATAGACTGGTCAAATAAGTACCTCACTGTCTAACAGCTGAATGTTGTTACTCATTGATCATATGCATACGCAAAGGGCTCTCTTATTCTCTAAAGCTAGCGTTATAGGCCATGCAATATATAGGTCACAAAGTTGATGAAATAAACCAAGCAGAATTAGAACACAGATGGTACCAAATGTATATAGTAATCAAAAACAGCTATCTATACACGTACATGAGAACAAATATGACACAGATGTTGAATCTGGCACATAGCTTGACTTGAAACACTTGAACCCCCCCCCCCCCCAAAACATTACCTAGAAGCTAAATGCTCAAGAAAGTATAGTTGCCAGCATCGATGGCATCAACATATTCTTGAGCATACTCCTGGTTGGTCTTAGCAGGACCACAAGTGCCTTGCGCTTCGTTCGTGTTGTTAGCGGTCGTATTCGTGATGCGCTTCTGGTTAAGGACAGAGCAAGCAGCATAGAAAGACCACGGCTCCTGCTTCCAGGCGTTGTGGCCTTTGGGAAAGCCAGCTAGAGCGTACTGGGCACCAGCGTGCGACATCTTGTCGAACTTCTTCTTGTTGTAGGATTTGTTGGGAACGAGAGTCCCTTTGACGTAAGGCTTCTTGCTTTTCCCCTTGGCGGGGGTGTATTGGGTCCATCCCGTAATTTGTTCGTAGTTAATACCCCGGATAGCAGCGAATTCCATCTCCTCAGGATAGCGGTAGTGTTCCTTAAGCGTCTGCTCGACGTCGATGAGATTGGTGTAGGTATGAGCTTCATAAATATAGCCGTTGTTATTCAACATACGGCTGATCCAGTTCTCACAAACAGCCTTATTTGACGAGAAGGAGACATATCCATCGTTGTCTTTCGATATAAGTCCGGCGCCAATGACGTGATTGTAAAGGGAGATGTCTGGCTTGATGTCGGTGCCAATAGTGTATCCCCGGGCCCACAAGCCCTGAGCACTTTTGATCTCATCGGGGCTGCGCCTGTCAGCGCGGTAGACGACGCAGACGCCGCTTTGACAAGGGAAAAGCGCGCGCGTCTCAGGCTCAGCAGTGCCATTAATGGGAGCAGCCAAGCCGAAGATATTGAGCGTACTGGCGGCGAGAAGAAAAGAAAGGACGGTGTCTTTGTTGACAAACATATTGAAACAGGATGGTTTGATCGCAAGTCAGCAAAGTGTGTAAAGATCGAGGAAGGAAAGGCAAGCAATGATGACTGGGTGTGTGCGTGATGAGATTGATGATCTAGCAACATATCATGAAAGCTATGTAGACATGCTTTATATATTCTGGCACGAGTCTGTATTTTCTGCTGAAACTGCTTAGTGAAATCTTTCCAATGGCCCACTAGTCTGTGCTGTTCTCTGTCTGCCTTGCAAAGAGAATGACATTAAAAATTCCCCCATTATAGAAACCTTATTCTATCATCCATTCATGCTAGAATCAAGCCAAAAAGAAATTCCATAATACTGGGAAGCTCATTCTGTTCGTTCATGCCAGAATGAAACCACAATAAGGTCATCTTTAAAAGCCCATCTTGTATATTCGTTTTTTTGCTCTTGGCTTAAGCAAGCCAAGTCTTAGCTATGTTTGCCTTGAATCAGTTGCACTGCCAATCTCAATAAGCACATAGCGCAAAGATACAATCTGGTGAATAAACAAATGCTAAGCATTAATATGATGCGCTGTTCAATATGCAGGTCTGGACAGAGTGGTGCTTTCAAACCTCAGTGTTAGAGTTAATCTGGCAGGGAATCTAAGAACTGGATATATGTTCTTACATTCATTACCATTAGCTAGATCATTGTACATAACTCTTCTGTGTTCATTCTTGGTATTATTTCTTTTACAGTGATAGTTTTACTGCCAGTGAGTACAAGTCTTGATTAGCTGTCTAACTATCATCAATTGTTAGAAAGCTCTATTAACTCAGATGAAGTTATGTAATTCATCAATTATGATTCATTATTTTTGCTTTGTAGGAAGGGCTTTGCATGAAAACTTACGGGCTTTCAACCCAGTCTTGTATTCATTCTCAACGCGGCTGTGTTAGTTGAAACGCCTTGGCTGGTCTGCGCCACAGACATAATCTTGCCCAGCTTCTTTTTGAGTCAGTCGAATATACAAAAACGCCTTGCCAATACAGCTTCTAGTATTTTCTAAAGTTTGCCAAGCAAGCGAACAAATGTGCGTAATGTTCCTATTTCTGGTTCAGATTTTGTCTTAAGCATCCAAAGATTGCCAACATTAGTGATGTTCAGTACTTAAGTACTCATAAGACAGGCTTACTGATGTCATAAGTGGTTTTGTGCATCTGACTCTCTTGTGTTAGGAACATCGTCTTGGTCGACATATCCAGTCTATTCAATAGTCCAAAAACCCTGCTATACTCATAAGAAATGACGAATCATCCTTCCCCTCTCTTTGGCCTTGCCTCTCAGCTCGCCATTTCCTGTATTTGCTGTCCTGGAAATCATTTCAAATTGCCCCTCCTTCCTTCACTCAAGTATACAGTAAAAGATAATATAGTTGAGATTATGAACCCTTCGAGCCCTAAGCGTATCCTCTTGGACAACCCTGTTACAACGACATGAGGAGTACCCCATCCCCAATAACGACCACAACAAACTTCTGAATAGCCTTTTGCCCCATAATACGGACTATCAGTGGTATTTGCATGCCGATAGCCCAGATTAGCAAAGCAGAGCTGTTTTGCATATATACAGGAGCTGGACGAGATATGAGCAGATTGCTCTGCCTACACAGAAGACAAGGGCTTTGCGAATACAGCGGAAAAAGCAAGATAATCTTCTGAAGAAAGTTACAAAAGATCTCACGAAGACCTCTGCCACTGTTTTCTTGGTTGCAATTTGATAGCTCTATAGTGAATCGGGTAATATGTTAATAGGTGAGAGTCATTTCATTGTATAGATAATCGACCGAGTTTTGATTGGCTAGATTTGACTCAGTCTTCGCTCAGTACCAAAAATTTCAAATTGGCTTGATTCTGTGGTAAGGCTGATGTGTCATCCATACCAGACTTTAGATAGTGAGCTTGTGTGTAGACTAAGACGGGGTTTAGAACTGCGATCTGTCGACCATTGATAGAAGAATGTAATGCTCGGCATGAAACTTGTTGGAAAGATCTGAACAGCAGAAATTGAGGATTTTGAACTAATTAATTCACAGTTTGCTTCGAATGACTTCGCTTTGTCGCAGCTCAATTATAAATCGAGGTTCGGACAAAGCCCATTGCCTGCCATATTGGAAATAGCAGAGAATATGACAAGCCAAGTCGCACAGTGAAATAAATAACTCCACGTCCTATCATCCAAAACTGACATAAAAGCTGAAGCATTGTAGCATACAAGTCCAAGATTGCCGATTACCAAGACATTTTTGAAAAATTCTAATGCAAAATTATTATTATTATTTCTTTTATATGTACTCTGAGCGTCCTGTGTATTATGTATATGTTTTGCTTCAAGCATACATTCAGATTGTGGAAAGCAGTGTGGTAATTTTCGGAAGTCCGAACCGATTCTGGCTACTACTACAAAGCAGGTATCAATCTTGAACACCCTTTTACCCCTGGAGAGGATTGAAACATTTCATTCTTAGTCTGTTCTATAGTATGCTTCCTTTGGGTTGTTTTTGAGAAGGAGACATTATAATCACTTGACGCGAATTGGCTTCTCAAGGAGGCATGGGAATGGGGGGAGCTTTAACCTATCTGCTAGCACTGGAACTCCCCAAATAGTGCCAATGTAGAGCCAATAAAGAATATTGGGTTTCAGCTCTGTGTTATAAAGAACACGTCAGAAAGTTCCTTGCAATGAAGCACGCTGTTATAACTAGCGGTTGCTACGTGAATTTCGCCGTTCTGAAAGGCTGCAGTAAGTCGGCAATCGTGAGCTCTCTACGTATGATAATAAGCGAGAGCAAAACTTTGCTAATGGTAATGAATTACACTTAATCTACATCATATTGGGCATGTTCAGCACTTAATTCCTGGCTGAGTTGCTTTTTCAAACATCGATACCTGCAACATTGTCATAAAGTTCACACTTTTTATCATAGCCGGCCAAAGCTACTTCCGCCGAAGTGATCTTTGCTGGAAAGATATCATAGCTGAGCTCAGAAACGTACTCATACTTCTCGTCGTTGACCTGTATAGATACTTGGTCTAATAACTGTTATCCTACTTGATACCTACTATGCCGGGGCATGCTCTGAAGCGGAGGAAACATGTATCTCGTGCGTAAGATTCAAATATATATATTCAACCTCGAGTCTGTCAAGAGAATATTGAACTAGACTGCTCAATATCTGACTGCACCATGATTCCCTTGCCATGATGACTTTGATATGCCCCCCCTTGAATATTCATCAGTTGATACTCGTCCTCATTCATACGAACAAAGTATGTTCCATCATTGTCCTTCCGTCGCGTCGACCACGCGGTCGAGGTGACTGGCTTTGTTGAGTTATTGTGTGCGTAACCGTTAGAGTCCGTTGTTGCCTTTCGCCGAGGCCAACGGACAAGGGTTGGGAAAGTTAGCATGCAGGCGCTCAAGATCCCGATTGAGGGTTCCGCAGATGACCAAATGAATACCGGGCCCTTCATAGACATTGAGTCAGCATCCTGAGTTCCTGTTCCAAAACATTGAACGTTGGCATCCTCCTCATCCTGTCCTTTCCTCCAGGCACGGTAACACACAAGGGAAAGTGGGCTTTGAAAGTACGAACCATAACGTATGTGACATCAGTGGCATTCATGAAGACGGTCAGGTAATTAATCCGGACTGTGCTCGCGACGCACACGCTGTTCATGTTGATCCTTGTCAGCAGCCGAGTTATACCACTTTTTCTCGTGAGCCACACCACTGCTGATATTCAAAAGTGCCTTACAAACTCCTTAAAGTCAGAACTCAATAACTCCTAGCTTTTTGATGACTAAGCGATATGCGGCTATAAAGCGGCTTTCTAGCCACATCAGCACTGCTGAGCAGAACTTAGTTCCTTAGGCCTCAATGTCATTCTTGGTTGTATGCCTTGAAAGAGAGGAAAGACCTCATCACATTGCCTTTGCACTATCCCACCTGACAGATAGCTTACGAAAAGTGATTAGCTCTCGTTTATCATTCAGATTTCGCTCGATTAGGAAGGTGATTTTGGTATATTTTTTTCAAAAAAGATATACTTTTCAAGTTAAGATATCTTCATGAGGAAAGCAGATATTTTCTAGGGGGTAAGTAGGGAGGAGAGCTGAGCGAAGTAAAGCGAGAGGGGGGGCTGCGAAGCAGGAGCTCTCCTTATAAAGAAAAGCTGAAAAGAGAGCAAGAAGAAGAGGAAAGAAGAAGAGAAAAGAAGAGGAATATATAAAGCTATTCACAGTCTATTATTAGTAACAAATAGCGCTCGCAACCGGAGTAAGCTTGCTTACGGAGGCTCTACGGTATTTAGTTTCCAAATCCGTGGGATTGGGATGAGTAGGACGAGAATATCGTTGATCATGTTGATGACCCCAAGGGCGAGGAAGAAGTTGCTGATGTCGACCGGGCAGATCCCATCTGCACCAGTGAATTGTTCCCAGAAAAAGGATGTAGGCTGGCAAGCCTTGGACATGGTTGTCCAGACTATAATGGGGTAAGCAGCGGCCAGGAAGCCACCTAGTCCGAGACAAACAGAGAAGATAAGGCTACTGTTCTTTTGGAACAGCCTGTAATAGAAGAACAGAATCGAGATCTTTGTAGATGATACAGCTGCCGCATAAACGAAGGTGTACCCGAAAAGAATCTACTGATGTCAGCCTGCGTTTTCCCACAAATGGTAACCCATATCTGATTACCGACCTTGTAAATCATCAAAACTTTCGGAATCGTCAATGTCCACACGTGTGTTCCTGCACCATAGGCAGTCCCTAAAAAGCATCTTGTCAAATTTCGAACCCTTCCCCAACAGTGAACGATTGAAAGATAGTGACCTTACCTGCAAAGGTAAGTCCTGCGGTGCCATAGACGAAAATCTATCCCTCAGTCAATATTGAACAAACAAGGTGGTGGCAGAATGACGAAGGGCAGAGAAGAGAACTTACTAGAGCAAAGACCATGATCAAGTTATCGCTTCGTATTCCCGCACTTGCAATGAACCGGGACGTCATGCGCAAGATGACAGAGACGGTCGCTATAACTAGGAGCATCGCAACAGCAGCATCGTTGCCATGTCTCGTATCTGCAGTGAGGTGAATTCCAGACGGAACCGGGCCGAAGACAGTCTCGATCTCAGCATTTACCATGACTGTTCTCTCTGTGGTGAACCGGAAATGGCGAGGACGATCTTGAAATGGTAAATATGACCCGATAGTCGAGAGAAGTTAAGGGGCCATCGACGAGTGATATTTGAGACAGGTCAACCAGACGTACTTTTATTTGCATCGAGCATCAGCATCTTTCCTTATAATAAGATCATCTCAGACAGGATATATGAATGAACGCGCCTCAATGGCTAGACTATCCCACGTTCACGCTGCGCAGATCATGTTCGAGAACCCTGCTCAGGACACGCAATCCTCTCTGGTTGTTGCCTTCTGGAGACAATACGATACCACTGCCCCTGAACGAACCTCTCCAACTGTATAGCCTGACTATTTTGGACCTTGATCCAACTACCTCCTAATCCTGGTGCGATCTACATGGTCAGTTCCAGCACATAATACGATTGTACCGCATAGTACACACCACACCAAACCCGCAATTTTCACTCAAGTGCGAATGTTAGATTTTGAATCCGAGTTGAACATGGTATTGTGATAGGTACGGAAAAGATTGTATTTCACATTCATTCCATGTCTCACTCAGCCGTCAGAGACCGTTCTGTCTTTCTGTCAGATCTGACAAACAACGTCTGCCCACAAATACGCAAGCCCCCCAGCTGGGGTCAGAAGTCCTGAGTTATGCCTGACCAAGGTCATTGGGATTCTGTTGGACCTCCTGCAGACGACACTACATATCTGTGAGTTACATTGAACTGGGCTCAAGCGTGGGTCTGCTGAATCCTCATGTCCACGTTTCCACATATTTGTGAGGTGATCGCTTAGACGGAAAGAATGTAGGACGTGAGACTCGGACAAACCGACAAAGTGTGATGATATTTAAGCAGCTTCAGTCCGAGCATCGAGAGAGAGAAGGATTACTGGCTTAATTTGAACATAGCTCTGTTGTGCTCTTCAAAACATGCAACCATGGATGACCCGACACACCTAGAGCGCATTGGTCCAAAGGGCTGGCTTCGCTACGTCTTTCCGTTCCAGCTTCCAGAAAACTATGATATCGACGAGGTATCTAGGATCTACAGAACCGGCTTCGATGCTGCCAAACAACGACTCCCGGCAATGGGCAGCGAAGTTGTGCCAGCCCCCGAGATCAAACGTGGGTAAAAGCCTCTCTAGTCTCACTCCAACACTTGAGTTACAAATGATGTTGAATTGCCTTGAAGAACTCGGCTGGCAGGTAGTGTAATGCAGATACCGGCGTGCTTAAGTTGCAGATAATCCCTGAGGGCGATATCGAGCCGATCACCGTCAAAGATCTACGAGCAGAGGGGGCATTCCCATTGACTTTCGCTGAGCTCAAGGCAAAGAGGTTTCCTGTGTCGGCTTTCGAGGCCAGCAAGATCTGTCCACGCTCGGTATGGCCTACATCAGGGGACAGACTTCCCATATCGCTGGTTCAGCTCAATTTCATCCAAGGCGGCATGATTATGGGGTGGAATCTCTTCCACCAGTTCGGAGACAGCGTGACAGGTTATACCTGGAGTCAAGTATGGGCAGAAGAGTGCAGGCGAGCTCAAGGTGAAGAGATCTCGAGCCCTTTGTGTCTTCCTGATCAGAGTTTCGCTCATAGAGCTCAGATCAAGCAGCCTTCTGGACATAATACTGGGCAGGTTGAGAAACATCCTGAATATCTTGTTCTGCCTTGTGAGCCTTTCTTCGAACCCCGATTTTAACCTTGATGCTGCTCAGAGCTAATCGTAACATTTCAAGTCACTCCACAGAGTACACCACCAAAGATGTTTCCAATATGCACCGCGGTTAGGTTTTCTATTTCTCCAAGGAAGCCCTTAATGCGTTGAAGGCCGAGGCTACACCAACTAATGCTACCAATCCTTGTCTGACCGATTCGGAGTACATTTCTACCAACGATGCTCTCTCTGCTCTTCTCTGGCGGACCATTATGGCAGTCCAGAACCCTGCCGACTCACTTGGTGATGCTGACCCCGTCTCGGCTTTCGCCTTGGCTATCGATGGACGCCTGAGGACGAATCCACCAGTGCATCCACAAACTCAGGGATGTTTCTTAGAATATTTGGGTGTGGAGTTGCCTATTCGCAAGATGCTGGCGGGCAAGCTGGCGGATATTGCTATTGAGATTCGAAGATCTGTTGCTATCGCCGATAAGGAGTGGACAGACGACGTGGTTACTCTGATCGACAGCCTGGAGGATGTGAACCGAATCATCCTCAAGGCCTTCACAGACGTGCCAGGCTTCAACTGTGTTCAAACATCGGTGAGTGCATTTCTTTGGTAAATTGAACGAGAAGAGAGAAGATGAGTCCGTGTGTGATTGCACATCTTCTACTTTTGCTCCCTGGCAGTCAAGTGTTCCAAATCATAATCCAAGGCCCCAATGATTGCTAGCATTTCATATGCACTTGGCTAACTAAAGTTCGAAGTGGGTTGAATTTCGTATTTATAATGTGAGCTGGGGTAAAGCTCTGGGTTCAACAGTTCAGGCTGTGAGATCACCCGACGTTGGCGTGATCAACGGCTGCCAGGTCATATTCCCTGCTCCGCCAGAGGGTGGACTTGAGGTTCTCATTGGCGTGGAAGAGGGTTGTCTTGACAAGCTGCTGCACGATCCACTATGGAACAAGTTTGCTGTAGTTATATAGGTAATCTCGGGCCCCCTGAATGTTAGCTTTTTTTACTTCTAAGATCGCAATGGCTTTGCGGCCAAGTTGAGGTCCAAATAGTATTCTTGAATCGACATGCGAGGCGATGTACCTGCCAACCTCTCTTTACTTCAAAGCCTACTTTTATACATATAGAGAGAAACGGACTCATTCTTTTCGAAGAGTTGCATATACCTGGATTTGCGACATCTACCCTCGGGATGGGCTCTTCATGATGCAGAGTAAGTACATATTAACCGCTAAGTGGGCCACCTTCCAGGGCATAGGTGTATTTGGAGTAGGAACCGCGCTCGACAACTCACTCTCAGCACGTTAAACTCCTGTGGCCGGGGTCGACCAAACGGTCGCCACCGCAACTTGGGGCTTTACACGAACGTTCAGAAATGTTTAGGGCGTGGCATTTCTTGCAATCATTTTCAACAATCGGCTTCACCAGCTTCCCTCGACTGTGTCTAATTCGGAGGCGTGCCAATCGCTGCTTGGTGGCAGTGTATGCCAACAAGCCTCTATGGTATTTTCAACTTGCTTGCTGAATTTGTCCGTAATGAAATTCGAGCCGTGTACACTCAAGAGCTACCACTAGGTTCCGGGGCACCCATACCCTGCCTCCCTTTTCTACTTAGTTCAGCTCCTCCGTGCGACTACGTATGGTTGAGAGACATAATCATCTCAAATACCATACTTTCTTTTTTTCCAGGCTTCACCCACCATCTCAACAATTTCTATCCAACATAAGCCAAGCAGAAGATGCTGCTTAGCAACATCTATATCATGCACGAAAAGCCTCGTCTCTCATTTGGGAGTACTTCACACTATTGGGTAGATTTATTCAGATTGGTACGACTGGTAGAGTAGTATTGCGACGGATAGTGTGCTTGTCGTTGGCTGAGAAGACGAGCTTAATTGTAGATGACATCTGCATGTTCGTCAAAACGATCAAGATATGTCAATTCTCCATACTTTTTCCATTAATTCTTTACCTCATGGACCCTATAGGAACGTAACAGCCGAGACATTGAAGTTATATTTGCTACTGGGGAATCTCGCAATGCTGCCACAGTGTCGCAGGCACGGGCTTCTTACTAAAGATTGTGCAACGTGCCAGAAGCTGTTGCAGTGGATCATGGAGCCAGTGTAATAGCGAGTGGAATCAAACACGTGGTCAACGCATTCGAGTTTTTGCCCATACTGACTGTCACAATCTACTTAGCAGTGAGACTTACTAGAGACTTTTAAATCACTCTCAAAACACTGGCCGTCGAGCCAGTACGAACGGACAAATGTGCGCTTGGTTGTTAGCGCTGATATCCTTCGAAATACTATGCGTATACCACGTGCGTATGCAAGCGGTACCACAGTACAAATATCGACCTTCCGTCGGGGGCTACGGTGCCCTCGCGACATGCAGCACCTACGTTGTGAGCAATGTCCTGAGTAAACAAGAAGGCAGGGTGCTGACTTGCTATTCGGGTCCAACATGAATTCTCTCACACAAAATGGTCTCAATCACGCACGCAAAGTACACCTGGCAGCACACATCAAAATCCTGGCTGACCAGGCTCCAATCTTCAAGTTTGACCTTTGTATCTACAAAATTGACTACATCTCCTCTGCGGAATTCACGAAATACGTGACCGAGACCTACCCTTCCAAGGCTACGTCCGTAGTAAGAAGAAACGGCATCCTTCAGTGTGCTATTGTATGTAGTACTCCTTTTTCTGAAATAGGCACAACTCGCCTCTTCCCAGCGAAACCGCCTTTTAGCCATGAGTACACAGAAGGATTATGTTGACTTGTCAGGCAGACGGTCACACCGCCAGCATACCGCCAGCGACTCGCGACTTTATCAAGAACCAGCTGCAGCAATCCGAATGGATTGTTCCTGATTACGATGCTGTTGTGTCGTACTGGATTCGCGATCCAGCTGATGAGCGTAAACTGATATGCATTTGCATTCTTTCTTTGAACAGAAAAGAGGAGAAGAAAAAGAAGAAAAGAAAACTCAGAACATAGCAGAGCTCTAACATTTGAAATAAACAAAGTTCTAAAGTAAAAAGAATTGACACCAGGTTCTAGCTCGTGATATAAGAAAGCTGATCTTGTAAAGTACTGAGTTTCTCGAAAGTTTAACTACGTAAAATTCAAATGTATAGTTGCTGTGCCTTATTGTAATCATGGCTTTGATGGTTAGAATGGAAAGCCAGATGTACAACTATGCAATACTTTTCAAAATGTCGTCGACTGGGGACAGTATCAAATTCTTCACCCAAGTACGTACGATTAACATTTCCCATAATCCTCGATCACACTTCGTGGCGGTGCATACTCTCCAACACCAATAAACGGTATCGTCAGTCCGAAACCAGCAGGTCCACCAACCACCAGTCCTTGTTCTGTCTTCCACAATGGATGAGCCGGCATTGCAATAACACTAACGTGAAGGCCATACCGCAGGTCCTGCGATCCAATGGCCTCGCCATCCTGGCCTAGGATCGAAATCAGATCTGGCACGGTGCACAAGATCTCGTTGGTCTCGTTGCCGGCTTCGTCCGCGTACGCTGCATATAAAAATTCGTTCTGGAAAGGAATGATCATGCGGCGTGTTGACTCGCCGGATGTCGTTGATGGGATAGCATCGGGATTTTCTTCTGCAAGTAGCACGCTGCCCATAGTGTAGCCCTTGCCGATCTCCCTGCGGACGTCGATGATTTTACCTGTGAACAATAGTTTTCCGGTTGTCGTTGCAAGCTAGAGAGTGAACATAACATTAGCTGATGGGAATGTAGGATCGTAACAAAGGAGACTCACGATGGCATCGACATAGCTAATCTTGCTCCTCCGCGCGCGATGCACAGCCTGTCCTAGATACCAGGCTTGCGACATGGTGTTAGGCACAGCGAGGGACTTGATAATATCAGCGCTCAAGGGGCGGGCGCAAACAGCACATCCGAGCCCCAGCTCAACGGCCGTTGTACGCAAGAGCCCTTCTACACGTAGCGGGCTCTCTGCTTGCTATGACGCGTGTCAGGCTGAGTGAGTAACTCGTAATCAATGGAATCACTCACCATGATGACGGCCGAGTTGCCTTTGGCGTCACTTAGCGAGCACGGCGTGATAGGGTTGCCGTAGACATATAGAGTCGCTGTTTTTGGTCAACAAAGGTTGAACACATGCCATGGGACTGGTCTCCAAGCTTACCGTGGTACATTGTTGGATACGCTCTGCCCATTGCGTCGCCGTCAATAACGGGGATGTCGTAGTGGACGCCCGTGGCGAATGGGCTCATACCATTACCACCTCCTCTAAAGAGGCCGTCAGCGGCTTTCAGTGTACCAGGGAGAGTGTACAGCATACTGACATTTCATCGGCCAAAATGGCATCAACCTTACCAATACCTAGTATCTTCTTCACCGTCTCAATTCCTGTGATGATCTCCGAGCCGCTTCCGATCCGCTCATTGATGACACTGGGAGCACCATACCAAGACCCGAAACCCACAAGGTCCGAGTCTTTGAGAGACGTTGGAGGCACTACACGCATCTTCCCAGCTCCACCCTTATTGCGCAGGATATTCAACCCATGCAGCAGCTCTAGGTAGGACGGACCGCCGCCGCCTGTACCAAGGATGCCGGTGCCGGTGGCAATCAACTCCAAATCAACTTCCGAAATGTACCAAACTCCATCCCGGACCTGTGGCCGATACTCATCCAGGTTGACCTCGGATGCAGGCTTGGTCGTCGGCTCAGCAGCGTCGGGTACGCGAACCTTGATGCCTTCCTCTTGTGTCTCCTCGCGGCGCACATGTGAGAACTCTGCAGGCAGGCTGGCCACAGTTGCAGCCTCAGGAGTCGCCAGAGCTCCTACAGCTTTAATGACCAATCTCATAGCCTTGTTGGCCGTATATTGTAATGGGATCTTGTCGATCGTTACCACCTTGACGTCGCTTGGATCGGCTCCTTTCTGAACCGCGGCGTGGATGGCCTGCTGACAAGCAGCCTTTATGACTGCCTTTTCATCCTTGCCCTGCATGATTTCAATAATATCAACCTCGCCAGCGACTTTTGCGATTGCGGCCCCAACAGCATTTGCTGCATCGTGGTGAACTGGCTTTTCGCACTTGGCCACATTACTGAGCTTCTCAGTCACGAGTAAAGATCCACCACCGACGAGCAGGATATGAACCGGCGCTGCGGACATCTTCATTTTCTCGATAACGGACTCGAGCATCTGCCTCATTTGCTTCTGGGCTGCCTCGATAGTGGAAGCAGGAATGTGGGCGACCTTGGAAGCATCACCAAGCTGGGCCATCCCGGAAGCAACCACGATGTCACTGGAAGTCAAAGTCGGGCCACCAAACACCAGAGCTTGCTCGGTCAGAAAATGGCCTACCGAATCTGGCCCAACCGACACCACGTCGGTCTCGCTGGACACCTGAACCTTGCTCCCGCCACCGAGGCCTATAGAAACCACCTCAGGCATAGAAAAGGCAGTGCGGACTCCGCCCAGCTCGACAAAATTCGGAGCTTGCCGCGGGAAGCCTGAGGGAAGCAGAGCGCAGACATCGGTGGTCGTGCCGCCGATGTCAACGACCAAGACCTGGTGGTCTGGCCCCTCGGAAGTTGTTTCCCCGTCGACATGCAAAGCACGTGGCTTGCCCAATCCCGCGAGAAACGCCGCTCCCGTCATGCTATTGGTAGGGCCGCTACCAAATGTTTTGATAGGGAGCTCTGCTGCGGCCTCAGCGTCGATGAGGGTGCCGTCGTTCTGGGAGAGGTACAGAGGGCATTGCAGCTGCAGGCGCCTCATGGCCATCTTAAAACTGCGAATGGTCTTCTGGGCGGTGTCTAGAATTGCGGCGTTGAGGATGGTGGCGTTCTCCCGTTCCAAATAGCCTGGTGGGCCAATGTCGCGGCTGCACACGATTCTGAGGGAGGGATCGATGGCGAGCATCTGTCTTCGACACTCCTCTTCGTGGATACCCTCGTGGTCGAGGGGCGAGAAGACCTGTAAGATGTCAGTGTCTGGGCACGTGAACGGGGCAATGGGGCCGAGATGCGCTTACTCCCACGATAGCGACCGTCCTAAGCGACTTGGACTGGATCTGCTCTACGCAGTCCTTGATCTGCATCGGATCCAGGGGTGCAATTTCACGGCCATCAATCTCAAGGCCACCGTCCAGAAACCAAGCACCTCCCTCCATCACTCGACGCAAACCAACAGGAAAGTCTGTGAACGGCGGTATTTGTCGTGTGAAGGGCCCGCAGAGCCGCACAACGGCGACTCTGCTCAAGCGGCGCGCATCGGCCTCGATCAAGGCGTTGATAAAGTGTGTTGTGCCAATGGTGACGCTTAGCACCGATGTCTTAGGCGCGCCGGATTTGATCAGCACTGTCTCGATGGCCGTCGTTATACCTGACGTGACATCAGCTGTGGTGGGGGATTTGCATGATGCTAGAACACCGCGGCCGGGCGTGTTGAATGCTGTCACATCCAGCAGGGCGGCATCCGTATTGGTGCCGCCGACATCAACTCCAATGCGATACATATCAGGGCTGTCAAGGATCTGTATTGACTAGACTGTATGCTGGGGGTTGACACAAATTCCAGTCGGTGGTAGCTTCAAGGGATGAAAATTGTGCACCGCGTCCTCCGTGGTACGAACTGCGGCATTATTGGTCCCACTAATAAGTGCTAAGAGTCCGTGTAATCATCACGTAGCAGCGATTGCCCGAGTTGTTTTTTGCTGGTGGCGTTCATCTAGACTGCACTATTTGAAAAGAAGGGGAAAAAAAAGATGACAATCGAAAGTTGTCGACTGGGTCCTGGCAAGGCGCCCAATCGTAAGAGACACCGTTATCAAGACTAAGTCGCAATTTGGATCTTACATAGCTGCCGGGAGTTCCACAAGAAGAGACAAAACTATTGCCGCTCTTTAACGCCTGTATCGCCACGGTCTTCCCAACTTGTGTCATTGCTTTGTTCAGTCGATCAGCACAATGTCGTGGGCGGCAAAGTTGAGAGTTCCTCAGGTGACTGAAACGTCACGTTGGATTGTAAGTGTTCCGGGACACGCGCCGATTTGGAGTTGATACTCAAGTACTGACAAGAATAGAATAATGATATTCGCCCCATCGAATCGGCACGCCGCACCTGGGGTTTCCTCACATTCAACAATTACTGGCTCCTCATTAACACTAACATCTCGACGTATCTGACGGGAAGCGCTCTCATCCCGTTGGGCTTGACATGGTGGCAGGCATTTATTTGCATCATTGTCGGTAATCTGCTGGCGGCTGGAGCCACGGTTCTCAACTCGCTGCCAGGAGCTTACTACCATGGTAGGGCTGCCTACTTCTTCCCAGTGCCGCAAGGGCTGAGGGCTGCAGCTAATGAGATCCAGTCGGATACCCTGTCATCAACCGTGCTGTCTGGGGCATGTGGGCGTCGCAGTTCGCTGTGTGGAATCGCATCTTCCTGTCTCTTGGTAAGCATTTGCAACTACCGTCATTTCGTGCTTCCGACTGACATATCTCCAGTCTGGTACGGCTATACGGCCTGGATTGGCGGGGAGTGTGTATACGTGATCTTGCAATCCTGGGACCCTAACCTAGAAGCACACGTCCCCAACCATATGCCAGAAGACACTGGTATGACCACTGCTGCATTCATGGCCTATGTTATCTTCATGGTCATCAGCGCTCCCGTGGGCTGGATCCGCCCGCACAAGCTCGAAAAGTTCTTTTACAGCTCTAGCTCCATCACCATGGTCTTTTTCCTCGTCTTCCTGATCTGGTCGCTTGCCACCATGGGCGCTGATGGATTCGGCGATACGATTAGCAGCGCTGAGGACCTGCCCAGCAACGGCAGCCCTGACAGTCTGCCCTGGCTGATGGTCTACGGCATCATGTCCACTATCGGCTCGATTGCTGCGGGCATCCTGAATCAGAATGATTATGCACGTTTCGCAGCTGCTCCCAGACACGCTATCCTTGGCCAGGCCATTCCATTCCCCGTGTACGGTATCCTCTGCTCCATGATCGGCATCTTGGTCACCGCCGCGACCCAGCATCGTTTCGGTGGCGAGGCCATCTGGAACCCTCCGACGTTGCTGTCGCGTCTCATCGCCAACAATCCGACGGCCGGGACACGTGCAGCCTGTTTCTTTGCTGGCTTAGCACTGGTCATTTCCCAAATTGGCGTCAATGTGCCGGGCAATGCGCTAGGTGGTGGCTTTGATCTTGCGGCTACTTTTCCTCAGTACATCAACATCCGCCGTGGCACGTTTGTAAGTATTCCTATAGGTTTGTGCTGTGATAACATTGTCTCATTAAACCTTTCAGATCACTATGCTCTTCAGCCCTCTTGTGAATCCATGGCGCCTGGTCAACACCGCCACCACCTTTCTCACGGTCCTGTCCTCATATTCGGTGTTTCTGGGTCCCATGACTGGCATGATGGTCGCCAGCTACTTGGTAGTCAACCGGAAGAAGATCAATGTTGACGACCTGTACAACGGGTCCTCGAGTAGTATCTACTGGTACAAGGCGGGCATCAACTGGCGCGCTCCTGTGGCGGTAAGCACCCTCCTTCTTTCAGCAAGTCAGATCTTTCGCTAACCATGTGATATAGTGGACGGTCGGCGTAGCTCCATGTCTGCCTGGTTTCATCGCTGCCGTCAATGCCTCGGTGAGCGTTCCTGCTGGACTCACGAAGCTGTACTACATGAACTACCTGTACGGATTCCTCTCTAGCGGTTTAGTGTATATTGTACTGCACAGAGTATTTCCATCCTCCAAGCTCAGTGCCTTCGTCAAGGACAGCACCACCGCGGAGCAGACTATGGCGTACTACAGACAGAAATGGGAGATGGAAGACAGCGACCGACATGCTGTGATTGATGACATCAACAAAGGCAACGATCGTCAGTCGGTTCTTGCTTTCTGAGGAAGAGACCTTGATGCGCAGCTGATATCAACATATGTTTAGTAGCATTCGAATTTCTCCGTCCAACCTTAACTTGAAGGACCAAGAAAGTGCGTGCTAGCAGATATAGTGCTGAACACAATATTCCTAATTACAGACACATATTTGTTCTAACATTCTATCGTACTATTCTCATGAGTTCCCTTCCAGTCCCACTACAGTCGTTTCCGCATGACTAAATGTTCGGATCCCGGTCCGGATGATCTTCAGTTGGGATTTGCAGTTTGGGTCTGGACATGCAATCAAAGCGTCGGTGCTCATCCAATCCTTGGCGTCGGTCATCCTCTGCTTCGCGGCAAGAAGTGGCAAAACTGCAGCTGTTTCTGTCAGCCTTGAGATGTCGGTGAGATTTACTCTCCCTAATCGACCAACTTACCAAGACTGTAGATGCTTATCCCCTGATGAGGAGGTAGGTATAGCATCTCGCCCTCAAGAGTGAAATGATCTCCAACTTTGGCGCCACAAAGAACGCGTTCACCATCAGGGCAGATAACTTCAACGCGGAGGTCATAAAGCTTGAAAGTGTCATCTTGTATCGCACTGCGATCTGGTTGAGCCATGATCTCTAAGTGAAAGTCAGTTGATTTTCTGGAATTCTCATCAGATGAAGAGAGCGCTATCTACCGGTTGCTATTGTAGCTTTCAATGGACAAAAACTGCTAATCTTTCATCAAATTGGCAAAAGGGTCGGTATTATGGCAACTCGACATTGGTGGCAGCTACAACCTCGCAGTCTCGAACAAGACCTGACAGCTCGGCTTAGTTGGCGACCTCTCATGCCCGGATATCGGATGTTCGATGTGAAGACTCGGAGACGGAGAATGGGAAGCCTGAAGGAGTAACGTTGGTGCTTCCGGGTAATCTTTCGGTAAGGGATGCGATAGGTTAAATAGAGTAGATAAGAGTATGTGTATTACGCTGGTCATTCCGCATATCTTTCGGTTATAAAGCACAGGAAAATTGGGGCGAGATAATCCCGCTCGCGATCTCATGACCTGATCCTAGTAGTTCCGCAAGCGGAGGCATATTTCATGTTCTGGGGTGAAAGGGCAGTGCGTGGGGAAACAGCGGATGATAGGTGCAATGTATGCTGAGGAGCATCCTGGGGAGCCCCGAAGATTACTCTCCATTCTTAGCTGTCGAGTGAAATATTGCATTGATGAATGTCTGAAGTTTCAGAGGCAATTTATTTAAAAAGGGTAATGGGTTGCGAACGAGAAATGCGCATTTATCAGTATCCTGTGGGGTCCATCTACACGTATTCTAGTACAGTGTACTCCTTAATATGTTCTGCGATCCCAACTCTAATTTTCAGGCACTGCAGAGATCGTTTCATCCAATACACTCTTGGGTGGCGGTGGGTGTGAGAAGAGGAGAATGATAACCGCGACAAGGGCAACGGACTTCCTACATGTGAGCACAAGAACTGGCTGGGAAAGGGGGTGGGGCGGGGGTGGTGTGGCATGTAATTCAAACTCACAGCATTGCAGTAGAAGGTCAAATATGCCTTTCCGATATCTGAGAAGACAGAAAATATGAACCCGAACAGACCAAGTGTTGACAGCATGGCCACGTTCTCCGCAAGAGTCATGGCTTGCAATGCATTCGCACGCTCGGAGGGCGGGCACATTTCAGTGATGACTCCTTTGCTTGCCGGGGCAGAACCTGATGCCAAAGGCAGTAGAAAGCCGGCTGTCAAAGTTAGTGAACATGTTTGTTTTATGAAAGGGGGGTGAAGTACCGATATAGATATGCCATCCGGCCGTAGCAGATGCGGTATAAGCAGTGACAAGTCCATCTGCAACCAAACTCCAGCGGAGGAAGAATAAATCAAAGGCCCGGCCGTCTTCATCCTCAACAGGCTCTGGTGGCATTATTGGCTCTTGCTCGGCCATGAGACCTCCAGGGGCAGGATCAAAGTCGCTGGGCTCTGTGGGCAATGGCTGGCTGGGATTCGTTGACGTGTCCACCACTCTGCCTGAAGTATACCACTTCCGCCCTGATGAAATGATTGTCGGGAAGACAAAAATCAAGAAAACACCACGGATTAGAGAGTTCGTAGCCATCAGATAGCCATTATCCGTAGGGTGGAAGCCAAATGCTGCTGTGGCATACATCTGGATCAGGACTGGGGCGAAACCAGTGGCCAGGACCCCCATGAATACTCCAAGGACCAGGAAAGTAACTCCATAGTATCTGAAGGGTCGTCCGTCGGGCAATCGTAACTTTTGTGGGACGAGGACTTTCAATGGGCGGAAGACAGACTTGATACCCTTGGACCTGGTATCTCCATCGGCGAGGGTCTTGGGGTCAATGTATGGTACGAAGAGTGCTCCATATATGCTGCTCGCCAGAAAGAGGACCATGGAAATCTCGAAGGGTCGTCGAATTCCAAATTCATCAGCAATGAGACCGCCAAGCAGGTAACCGATGGCAGTCCCGAGCATGACGCTCCCTTGCAGCCTGCCAAATGTCGCTGTTCGGTCAGAGGGCGCAACGACCTCCCCAGCTGCTGTATTTAGTACCAGTAAGTACCCGGATACTCCACCAACCAGCCCAACAAGCTGGCTGGATTGTGTGATAATGATGCCACTTCGGGCACCAACTGTGACGCCAATAATTTGAACGACTTGTCGAATAGCCGGAAAGAATGTCTGCAGTACCAAAGCAGTCCGTGGCCCCCATCTTTTGATTTGCCAGCCAGCGACGAACAAGTTCAAGGTACCGAAGACGGTCGTTAGAATACCTAATAGCGATACCTGCGCCGCAGTTCCAGCATCAATTTCGGTGCGACTGCATCGGTCTCCGGGGCCGTTGAATGGTGGGTTGTTACGATAAAACTCATCACATTCCATTAAGCGGAAGACGTAGAGAATTCTGATGCAGTTAGCCACGCGTTTAGAGGGAGATAACGGTGTCATTTGCGGCTCTTACGGGACCTGGGTGAAACTCAGGGCAATGGATATAACAAAACCTGCCACCAACACCCTGTTTGCTGGTGAGAAGAGGCTCTGGGACGCCTGCGCTGGGCGCTTGCCATTGTTGAGTAAGGGCGTCGTCTCAGCCATTTGCACAATAGGAAGTTCACTGCTCCAAAGCGGGAAGGCCTGGTGTTGGAGTTGAGAGGGCTGAGCTTGGTGCTGAGAAGACTTGCGTCGACTACCTGGCTGGGGGAAAGTGGCGAGCAACGGAAGTAAGAAATGGGAAAGCAAGATACACCTGCTTCCGTCGGTAATCTCTACCAGAACGAGACCAAATTGTATCGGCCCAGTCACAAATTCATGTGAGACGGGAAATAAGCCGTATTGACATGCCTGAATAAGGACAAGTTTGAATTTATTTGGCTTGCAATGCAAAGAGATTCACCAAGGCTCAATCCAATAACACAGCTGTGGCTCAAGCGGATCGAAAATGAATAGTTCTGGCCAACGAAATACTGGTACTTGCCGATTCATGCCGGTTTCGTAGCGGCTTCTCGGCATGTGAGCAAGGACAGTGAGGATCCCACAAGTCCGGATGCTGAAAGTTACGGGGGCAAATTCTGCCCGTGAGCCGTCAATTGCTATACAGCCTGCTTATCTTTCGTTCCTATCACTGATATGCTAGCTCGCTCCAGTATCAACACAGGCTCCACACGACCCTCATGTCACTTCAGGGTAAAGCAGCCGAGTATGAGTCTGGGATTTTGATATGTGTCGAGTGACCTTATAATCCCGTTGCAACTCTCGGATTTCCATTGTCAATCTGTTGGAATGTTGTCACCATTCAACCCCGTTCATTGTCCCGACAAGAGAAGCTAAAGCAAGATGGACTCGGAAAAACAGTCAATCGGCCGCAGATTGATAGGTAACTCCTCCCTCTCTTAAATCTGATTGTTTGTTTGACTCGCTCGACCTAACCAAAGCTACGGTAATCACAGTCTTGATTTTCGGAGATGAAGCCAAGAGCAAGGAAGAGCGCTGGCTTGTCCAGAAACTCGGTATGTTGCAAGAATTCCAAACTCTCACACAGAGGCGAATGGACACTAACAAACCCCAAGACTTCTTTATTCTAGTAAGAGACGAAGCATCCCGCACGAATTGATCGCCTGCTCACCGTTCCACAAGACATATTGTTGCTTCAGCTTTTTCTTCAACTATCTGGGTGAGTAGGCACCTGCTCCACAATGTTTCCCAGTTGTCTGCTAATTCTGATCCCGGCAGATCGTTCGGCATTCGCCAACGCCTATGTAAGTATCTTTCGCCGACCTCTTCATCGTTGTTTGACCAACTAATAATCGGAAATCAAGGTTGCTGGTCTTCAAGAGGCACTTGATCTTGCCGGAACGGACTACAATGTGCTTCTATCCATGACAACTGCTGGGTATGTTCTGATATGAGAGAGACGGATAAAGCACTTAGTTCTGATTATTTGGCAGTTATACCATCGGCCAGATTCCTCATAGCATTGCTATCCAAGCCATTGCTCCTCGGATTTATTTTCCCACCATGGTCATCATCTGGGCTGGACTTACCATGTGCAGCGCCGCCTGCAAAACTTATGGACAGCTGTGCGCAGTGCGTTTCCTGATGGGCCTCATCGAAGCCAGCACGTACTGCGGCACTCTTTACGTTATTGGTTCCTGGTAGTGAGTGATCTTTCAACGTCTCCATCACTTTATTGTGTTGACCACGTTGATAGTAAACCCAGGGAAATCGCAAAACGTACCGCTATTTTTACTGCATCGGGCCAAGCTGGGTCTATGTTTGCGGGTGTCATGATGACCGCCATCTACAAGGGGATGAATGGATACGTGCGTTGGCTCTTTGCTGCTTTTTTTTCTCCAGAGCGGTTAGACTAATCATCTTAATTGCAGGCTCATTTGGCCGGCTGGCAATGGTAAGTACTGGAATGTGACCTCTCTGAAAATATTCCCGGTCCCTCAGAGCAATGCTAACTATTCGAAAAAGGGTCTTCCTCATCGACGGCATCATCACCCTTCCTATCGCTATCATGGGCTACCTATACTTCCCAGACATTCCAGAAAACACCAAAGCATCATTCCTTAGCGAATCTGAGAAAAGGCTAGCTCTAGCAAGGCTCCCGCCGAAGCGAGAAGACGGACACAATATCAACCCGTGGTCTCTCATGAAGCGAACCTTTACGTCTCCGACCATGTGAGTGGCAAATACTGCTAAGCCCATCAGAGTTCTCACTTACGGTAAACCAGATACATTTTGTGCTCCTTCTCCGTGGTCTGTGGAGCTCTCGAGGCATTCTGTGTCCAAGGCTGTTTCTTGCTCTGGATGAAGTACCAAAGCAAGTACTTCACACAGGCCCAGATCAACACATACCCTCTTGGTATTCAAGCAGTGGGCATTGTTTCAAATCTCATGGCTGCCGTCTACATTGACAACACTGGCCGCCGCGTGCCAATGGGAATACTTGCCTGTGGCTTGCAGCTTATCACATCAATTATTCTGCTTGTGCCAAACGTTTCGTTTGCTGCCACCTTCTTTGCATTCTACAACGCTGGAACATCTTACATCATTAATCCCCTCCTTTTCGGCTGGGCGAACATCATCTGCCAACGTGGCGGTGATGACGCGCTTCGTGCTGTCAACCTTGCCGCCATGAATGCAGCCAGCCAGATTCTCTACACGTTCTGGGGAATTGTGCTGTACCCTGCCTCAGATGTACCGTACTGGCGAAAGGGTGCTATTGCAATGATTTGCATTATCGTTGCGTTACTGAGCATGCTCTGGGCCATGCATTGGGTAAGTTGTCCTCCGCCCTAGTTCTCGAGGATGAAGATACTGATTAATTGGATAAACAGCTCGACAAGCACACCGCAGCCAAGCATCCTGATGTTATTGACTCTTCAGTGTCTTTAAGTGAGATCAAGGATGACATTACAGTCAAGGAGAAGGAGAAGGATCTCATCAAGAGCGGTGCTGCGGCGGACGCCATGGGCATTTCCCTTCCTGCTTGATAATTGCGACCTCCCATAATACCTGATGTTTCCGCAGGTCGCCTCCGAAGCGTGCCAAGAATGAACTGGTTTATCTGGTTATGAAAATAATAGCAATTCAATACTCTGGACTTCATTTGTTCATATCATGATATGCTGACTATTGATTCTCGAAGCTTGTAACCTACTCTCGTGAGTCCCACTGTAGGGAAGCTAAATAGAGACGTGCAAGCTGCCAATTAGCTGTACTTCCATAAATAACTACTGTTATTTATTCTGTTCTGTTTGTTAGCCACAATCCGATCCTCCTGACTCACTTCGTTAGCTTCTTTGATTTTGTGCCTTTTTGGCCGCTGCCTAGAATTTCCTGTGCTAAGATTTAATTAATAGAGTTTGTGAAGTTCATTGATGCCGTCTGGAAGTCTGAACGCACTTCTTAGTGGCATTTATCCACGATTCAAGCATCCATGATTTCAATGATGTGGCATGCACTATACTTTCTAACATGTCCCGGTTGTGCTGTTGACTTCACCTCTGAAGCATTTGGTGCTCGAGTGGGCCGTAGACTTGTGCTCGATAATCTCAAATCTGAAAGTGCGAAGCGCACCGGAGGAATTTCAACCCGACATGTTTTCTTGTCTATGTGTATGGTAAAATACCAATTCTAGTGCATTCCCCGGTACTCGTGGCCACAGTCTCCCAATTTTTCGAACAACGCCAAGGACCTTTGGCCATTTTCGCCCAGGGCTACATGATTGATCACGGCCAAGTCAGTCTCGCTTAGCTTAAAACCGAACACGGCCAAGTTCTCATCACCGTGGAATGAGACCCCAAGCCGGGTTCCCACAATGACCGCTCCCACTGAGGGTTGATCCAGGACCCATCGAGTTGCCACATTGGTCAGGCTCACATTGTATTTCTCGGCTACGGATGAGAGCACAGAGAGGAGATTCTGAAAGTCTACCCATGCGCCCCAGTTGTTGATCATGTCAAAATACTATTGACATAGTTAGCCGACGCACTGGGCAAGCTGAAGAGGTCTCATACCTTTCGTTGTGAGGGAGTCAGTGGCGTTGCTTCCGAGTAAATATTTGGAACTGGTTGACCGAGCCACTTCTGGGATAGGAATCCGCCGCACTTTGCATAGATCAGCGTGATCCCGCGAATAATACTGGCGGGTGACTTACAAAAGAGCCATAAGTTAGCAGTTTCAGGTTGTACCTTTCACATACGGCGCACATCTTTTGGAGGGGCCTTGAGTCAAACAAGGAGAACTTAAGAAAAGGAAATGCTTTGTCAGTTGATGCCCTTAAACTGATGAATTGGGCGGATCTCACCTGAACTTGGTTCGAGACGATGCCGACTGAGCCAGTCTTACTCAAAAGATACTCACAGGCCTCCTGTGTGTACTCGGAGTCGAAATTGCATAATCCAATAGCCGAGACCAGTTCAGGGTGAGACTTTGTGATTCCAACCAGCTCGACTAGGATATCCAGGTACTCCTTGTGCGTGTACTGGGAAGAGAGAGTCAGTCAGGGATTGAACATTTTATGAGGACATGGCTGGATTCATACGTCGTACCAGTGGAACTGCAAAAGTTCCACTCTTCCGCCCAGTCTCCGGCAACGCTCTCTGACAGCATTGAGGACCCATTCGGTTGTGGGAGGGCTCTTGAGTGGTGTGAAAACGCACCATTTGGTAGCTGCGAAGACTTGGGACTGGATTTCCGTAGCCAGCTTGTTGCGGAAATCGCCATATACTAGCTCAGCATCGCCCTATCCTTAGAGTAAGTGAAAAGCGTTCACAAAGTCACAAAAGGAGAGTACGGCAACATACGTAGTGATCTGCCATATCGGCTGCAGTCAGACCGTTCTCAACAAGGTGAGCAAGTGCTTTTTCTTGCTTCTGAGTGGTCGCTGAGCCCCAAGCCGGTGACGAGAGCTGCCAGAGCCCGTTGAAGAGTCGCGGCATCTGATGCGGTCCAACTGCGAATGTTTCTATGCTTGTAGATTTGGACATGTTGATGGTGATAACCCTCCCGTCGTTGAAAGAAGACGGGTGAAGTCTTCCAGGGTAGAGAAGCCCCACGACATCTGCGACCTGCCGCTCTGCGCGTGCAAATGGGTTCACCAATGGGTGCGGTGTCGCAGCGTCACAGTAAGACTTGCAATCTTTCAAGGATGACAGTAGGTCCAGCAGCAACGTCAACAGAGTTTCACTGGGCTCTGGGTTCGCCTCCTTGAGAGCCTGCACTGCCTGCACAACGTCACCCCCGAATTTCTCCACCACAGGTTCCAGCTCAGACCCAGGAGGAAATCGGGCCTCTGCCAGTCGAATAGAGTTGGAAAAGTGCGTCAAACTTGATTTGATGTTAGTCTCTTAAGCCATAGCCACTCGTAGAGCAATACTTACTAAGGGAGGGATTCCTGCGGAAGCTCAGATGAGAATATGCACCTCGTAAGGGCAAGATAGTCTTTGCAAGCCAACACAGACCCATCTGTAGCTGGGAACAGGATTTTCGGGTCCACAAAGTCCGGAGTTGATTCAAGAAGTCTTTGGCGAACATGTCTAGTAAACGGCTTTTGATTGCTGGAGCCTTGGGAAACCAGAACCCGCAGGGCGGATCGCAAGAGATCCGGAGGCACTTGTTGATCGTAATGTCAGCCTTATGATGCATTTGTCTCTACGTATATCTCTCTAGACAAACAATTTGATATCAGGACATCGTCCATCATGTTCCTAGGACAGTATAAGTAAAACAGTTGCCACAGGGGCCGCAAGGGAGAAGTCTGCATAAGGACAAGGAAGACTCACACGTGTCCACCCATGACAAATTTATCTTTTGTGGGAAGTAAAGGATTCTCTTTGGTAATTAGGATTGGTCTTCACTCGCGTTGCTGGTGGTCTAGTTTCGAGAGTTCATTGCACATCATCACAGTGGAGGCTATCTTGGTATACCTTAGTATTGTTTGGGTGTTGGCGATGTTGGAGACATTGCGTGCTTGCCGCGTTGTTCCGACGTCGGGGCCATGTAGACGGTGCGTGGTCCAAGTGCGGGCCTTCGGAAGGAAAAGCAGCGAGGATGCCCCAGAAGACCCGTTCTTAGCGCATCCGACGACAAGCCGCCATAGCTTTGGCTTATCTCCAACTACTGGGGAGGGTCTATAGTAGGAAAGCAGTAAGCACGGTAAGCACGGCAGAGTGACGAGATTAGCAATTTTGTTGGGAGAAGAAAAAGCCGAGGAATGCATGTTTGGGTCGAAACAAACTGTGATTCGCGTAATTGCCGTGTACACAATATGAAGCTGCTGGTATCGTAAACATGAGGATCTACAAAGAGCCCTAAAACAGTGAACAAGAAACTGAGTACAAATATGAATATACATCGATACGCTTTATACATATAGAGCTCCTGAATCGAAGATGGAGTAACGAAAGCGCATCCCAAGTCCACTAGAGCTGAAATTCCACCTTGATATGCCGTATTTCAGATACAGAAACTCATCCTGATTTGTATACAGATAGATGGATAGTTATACAGTGTCCCCCCCCCCCTCCCTCCAACCAATCCAGGCAGAACAGCCATAGAGTCCGGCACTTTTGAAGGGCATGGCACATTACCCACAGCTTCAATTCCACTCGCAATTCCTTTCTGGTCTCAATCCTTCGATGCGGCTCTTCACTATTCTCCCATCTTTCACGATTAGCAATTGGTTCTCGTTGATCCGGTCCAGGCTCGCCACGTTCTCGAGAGGATTTTCCTTGAGGAACAATAGGTCGGCAAAAGCACCCTCGACCAGCTCGCCCAGCTTTCCTTCCATGCCCAGCTGCTTGGCACCGTTGATGGTAGCCTGCCGCAAGACGACAGGGCTGGGAAGCAGCTTGGAGCGCACAACAAACTCGTAGGTCTGCATGACCAGGGTCGGCCCGGTGGTGTCGGTGCCATAGCAAACACAGACGCCAGCATCCTCGGCATAGCGGATACCACGAACCCCCGCGTCTCCCACGATGGCGTTCTTGCGCAGGCCCTCGGGAGTCTCAAACTTGTCATATGGAGGCATGGTTACAAAGGTGTGCAGGGCCAGGGTCGGGGTCAAAAAGACATTCTTTTCAGCCATGAGCCTGGCCGTATCCGGATCGATCATGTTGCCATGCTCGATGCCCCTGACACCGCCCTCGATGGCATGACGGACGCCCTCGGCAGTGTAGCAGTGGGCCGTGACCAGAGTACCGCCCATATTCTTGGTGACGGTGCTGATTGCTTGGAGTTCCTCGATCGTGAACTGTAGGGACTCAAGCTTGTCCGTCTCGGAAGCGATGCCACCCGAAGTGCACACCTTGATGTGATTGGCTCCCTTGCGGATGTTATCCCTGGCAGCTTTGAGGCAGTCTGGGACCCCGTCACACAACCTGCCCAGTGCCGAGGAGGCGATCCCGTTGCTATTGCAGCAATGGCTGTCGGTCCAGACTTCGGTGTCGTCGCCGTGCCCACCTGTCTGTGACAACATGCGTCCGCCTTGGAACACGCGCGGCCCGGGGATGAGGAACTCGGCTGTGGCCTGGGCGTGTGCGATGGTAGCGCCACCCGTGTCGCGCACCGTTGTGAACCCATTGGACAGGATACCGCGGAGGGTTCCAGCTGATCTGAAAATGGCTGTCTCATGAGGGAAAGTGAAGGCACCATGAAGCGTCTAGATAAATCAGAGTCAGCTATAGGCACACGGAGAATGAGAGAAGAGAAGGGGGGAGAGGGGCTTACTGCACTGCCGTGCACAGCCATGAGATGGACGTGGCCTGAAAGACTCGAGTCAGTTGGGAAATGTCTGGGACTTGACTACATTTTTCTCTATACATGTATATATATACATACAGGTCTTGTATCGATTTACAAATAAGGGGAAGAGGGGGGAAAGGCGACCAAGAAACTGACAGTCAATAAGCCCAGGGCAGACAAAGTATTTGCTAGCATCAATCTTCTCGACCTTTTGCCCCGCACAGAAGAAATCTCCCTTCACATCGGCGGGCGTCGTTGGGCTGACCCTGAGGATCTTGCCGCCAGCTAGCTGTAGGGTCATGTTCTTGTGGACGACACCCGCGCGCGGGTCGACCAGGTTGGCGTTCAGGATCAAATACGGCTTCTGAGGCCCTGGAAGCCATGGCTTCTCCGAGATATCGTACTCTGGGTCGGGCGGGTAGACGTTCGCCTTGAGCTCGGCAAATGTACTGACAAAGCGCTCGCTGCCGCCGCGTGGCGGCGTCCTGTGTGGTAAGGCAATCTCATCCTCACCAGCCGGGTCGTGGCTCACCAATTCGAAGCTGGAGGCGATGCTGTCTGCTCGAGACCAGGGGGCAGCCATGTCGGGCGTGTAGGACATCATGATGCAGTTGCAGTTCCGTGGTAGGGTCTCTTCCTCTCAGCCAAGTCAGGTCTTGGGAAGACGTGCCCCAAAAGCTACTCTCTTGATATTATTTTACCACCACTCCGCTCTTGAATGCATGGTTTACTTATCGCTGGTGGCCAGCGTCAGCCTTTCGGCCTGGCATCCGGAACCGGCTATCGCTGTGCGGAGTGACGGAGCCGGCAATTACGTACTTATGCGGAGAGACGGAACGAGGAAATTGTGGGTGCTTTCTAGGGTCAATTGTGTAATTAAGTAAATGGGTATTATAGCGGTCTTATCATCGGCAAAGTGTATATCTATGCTACCAAAGTCAACAACATTAGGTTCAAAAAGGTACTACTCTGAATACGACCCCCCCCCACCTCCCCACTGTATCAATGTGGAGTCGAAGAAAGGAAGGGAGGGCGACGGAAAAGAAGAAAAAAAGACAGAACGAAAGAGGAGAGAGAGACAAGGGCGAGAAAGGAAGAAGAGAAGCAGAAAAAGAAGAAACGACTGGCCTTGACCGCGGCTGGTCGAGTCGGGACGATGGGGGTCATACATCATCCGGAAGGTTTTGTGGTCCAGACACAATCATCACCATCACTATCGCCATCACTGCTCGGCACAAGATCTAGAACCCGGCAGTTCAACCAACTTGTCCTTCATGGCCTCGCTGTTGTCGGGTGTGCGCATGTCGCACTGCAAGCATGGTCGATTGTGCATTTTCTCATTCGCAGTCCCCCCTCCTTGTCTACTGCAAGTTTAGGCCACGTCGGGGAGGACGACATCTATCCAGACACCGACTACCCACTCCGGCCAGCGGTTGAACCGTGGGACATTGCTACATCCTACCCATATCCCAGGACCTTTTCAAAGACGGTTAACGAGGGGACATGGCTCCGTATCGCTACACATCCGACCAGGAACGAGATCGTCTTTGACATGCTCGGGGACCTGTACTGCATGTCGACAGAGGAGGGTCAGTCGCCGGTCGTTCAGGCACACGCTTTCCTGCCGGGCATTCCATTTGACAAGGAGGCCGAATTCTCGAGCGATGGCTCGCAGCTGGTCTTTATCTCGGACGCTGGATTCGGCGTCGACAACATCTGGACCTTGCCGTATACCAGCTGTGCTGACATGGCGCGCCTCAGCGCCCAGGAGGTCAGAGATATGACAGTCCAGCAGACAAACGCGACCTTCAGATTCTTCTCCAGCCCAGCTATTCACCCTACTGAGCCCAAGATCCTCGCGACCAAGTGGTATCTGACAGGCCGTCCCAACGGTGCCGGGGAGATCTGGGAATTCCCCCTGCGGACGACACAAGAGCTGAGAGGCTCACTGCCTGAGAGAGACGGGAGGCGCATTGTGGGACGGAAACTTCCAGGAACATGGCCACCAAAACGCTACCCTGAGAGCCAACTCGGCGCCGAACAGGCGAGGTACAGCCCGTCCGGAGACGGCATCATCTTTACTCGGAACGTCAAAGATGACGACGAGGGGAAGTTCTCGTACAACAAAGACGTCCATGCCGGCATCAACGCAGTGTTCCTCTTCAATACGAGCACGGCCGAGAGCACACAGCTCGTCGCAGCCGCCGCCAGTGCCGCCAACAAACCAGCGAGCCCGGGCGGCGCCAACATGCCACGCCTCTCGCGTGATGGGCGCACGCTCGCCTTTGTGCGCCGTGTTGACGACAAGAGCGTCCTGGCTCTCAAGGATATGCAGTCAGGAACAGTACACTACCTCTGGGACGGCTTGACATATGACCTGAGCACTATTCCTGCCTTCATGGGCGCCTATCCCAATTACGGCTGGGCAGCCAATGACACCTCACTTGTCATCTGGTCTCAAGGTCACATCTGGCAGATTCCCGTCGCGCAGAATGCCCGAGGCGAAAGGATCAGAGGAGGACCCCCTCCCAAGATGATTCCTTTCCGGGCAGATATTGTCATGGCCCTGGGGACCACGAGGTACAATGAGAATAATCAGATTCGTGCAGCTGCTCTCAGTAGCTCGCTTCAGGTGAGGTCACTACGGGGCCTTCGAAGTGACCATCTTGGACAGAGTTTAGTCTTTGAGGCTGCTGGCGATAACTTTGTCGTTAATGTTTCCTCCGCGAAGGAGGATCTGGTTCTTCTGCCGAAGCCCGAAGCCTCGAGATCGTGCTATGGGCCCTCATTTATTCAAGGCTCTTCTTTCATTCTACAAGCATGCTGGGATACTCGCAATCTCACCACATTTTTCTTGACAGACCCAATGTCGGCCGTCATCCAGCCAATCAGTGGCATACCAAGGGGCCGCTACTTGTCGCCCGTCAGCAATGGCGATTGGATCTTCTACGTGCGGACGGGCAAGGACTACATGTTTGGCGACGTGGAAGAGACCTTTGGCGAGGGTATCTGGATGGGCAAGCTGTCGCTCTCTTCAGCTCATGTCTCCAGGCTCACTCATCTTAGGTCCCTGCGGTCCAGCCAAGAGACCAAGCTAGAGCTCAGGAATGTTCACGGACGGCCTATGCTCCTCGTGCAGGACCCAAACTCGGTGGTCGAGTACGACATCGAGACAGGTGCGCTGAGAACAATCACCACGGGAAAGACTTCCGTCGAGATGACTGCTGCATCGAACCTGACCAATACAATCTTGGCATTTCGTGATTTCCAACACATATGGCTCTGTGCGAGCATGCAGCAGAAGCTTCTCGGAATATGGAGCAAGCCAGGCGATGCGCAAACTCCCAAGGACCTTGTAAGGCTGTCAGAGCACGGCGGGCATGATGTGGTCATCAGCGGTGACGCAAGAACTGTTTTCTGGCTGTTTGGGCCACGCCTGTACTCTGCAGACATCCAGAGGGTGATCTCTGCCTGCGAGCACGCCAATCTGCAGGCTCAAGACACGGGCGAGTGTGCTCTGCCATATGTGTTCAGCAGATACCTAAATGCCACTTTTGACACTGCTCTTTCTGAGCAGTTCAGAATCTCTGGCGGCTCAACGTTTGCCATCACAAATGCTTCCCTCATTAGCATGGACCCGTCGGCCCCGAGGATAGTACCGAATGCCACCATTGTGCTCGACAAGGGGGCGATTATCAAGGTCGGTACCGGGTCTGAAATCGACATCCACCCAGGGGCTCACGTTCTCGATGTTGAGGGCGGAGCTGTGCTGCCCGGCTTTGTTGATATCCACGGCCACTGGGGCGGCTTCATCAACCCCTACCCCCAGCCATCTTGGGAGATGGAGACATTTTTGGGCTACGGCGTAACCACCATCCACAACCCAGCGTCCAAGAATGTGCATGGCATGGTCGAGCGCAGTTTGATTGAAAAGGGTCGCATGTACGGCCCTCGCGTCTTCCACACCGGCGATGTTCTCTATGGGTCCACACAGGCGCCCGTATATACTGAGATCAATTCGCGGGCAGAAGCAAGGTCAGCACTCCTGCGCATCAAAACCGAAGGGGGCGACTCATCCTTCTCCGCCAAGAACTACCAGCTTTCCGCACGTTCTGCCCGCCAACGCCTGCTCCTAGAGGCTACTGAACTCGGTATGTTGATCGTTCCCGAGGGGGGCTGGTCGCTGGACTGGGACCTGACGTACTTTATCGACGGATACACGAGCCTTGAACACCCCGTTCCAGTGCCCGAGCTTTACGATGACGTCCTCTCGCTCATCTCTGCGAGTGGCAGTTCGTATACGCCGCTTGCCGTCATGAACTACGGAGGCATCTTCGGACAGCACTGGATCCACCAGACCGTCGATATCCCCGGTGACAAGAAGCTTCGCAACTATGTGAAGCACGACATCCTTGAGAGCCTGACAGAGGTCAAGCAGGCACCCAAGAGCTCGTATCAATTCTTCAACACCACAAAATCTACAGCCAAGCTCGCGAGCCGAGGTGTCCGTACCAATGTTGGTGCCCACGGCGAGCAGCCCATCGGCCTACTATACCACTCCGAGATGCTCATCATGTCCCTGGGAGGCCAGGAGCCGTATGAAGTCCTGCGTCATGCCACCATCGGTAGTGCTACTTCTCTGGGCCTGGGTCAGGTCGTCGGATCCGTCGAAGGTGGAAAGCTAGCCGATCTGGTCATATACCCGCCAGAGGCTGACAGCATTGAGAACCTGTGGAAGAACAGCATGCATATGAAATACGTCATGCGTGGAGGCACGTTGTTCTCTGTCGAGGACGGCTTGGTCGAAGTATGGCCGAGAGCCGGGCGCAGACAGGAACGAGCCCGCCTCAACCCTGAAGACGAGATTCCCTTGTGAAAGAGGTTGACAGGTATTTGAATCTAGCTGTAGAATGTAGCCATCGAATCAAATGACTCAGACGTTTTCGCGCTCCATGAAGTTTTCACTGTAACAAGAGCTTATGTTTCATAGTAAACTTCACATTGCGCGAGGGCCAGTGACTCGACCCCGCCAGCCAGCTGACGGCCAGAGCCATCTATAGCCTCAAATAGGTCGGTCTCGTGGCCTTTCTCTTTTCTCTTTTCTTCAGCGCATTGGAATACGAGCTTTCTTTTCCTCGAATCGAAAGTTTGGCCACACCATGGTTTGCGCAACTAATCTAGTAGGTTTGTTCTTCTACACTTTTATATTCCTGGAATGTCACGGAAAATGATTCCAAAGCCCCAGATGAACTGCTACGATATGAGCCTTTCGTTAAGCTAGTAAGCTTTCAAACATCAATTCAAAAGTGTCATAGTTTTATTCAGGGTTTGGAAATGTCAGTATCGCGAACAATGATTAAGAATGTGCAGCGTATAGGAGGTCAAGCTGAGAGGTCAAGCTGAGGAAATAAGGCCCAAATAGAGCCTTTGCAGCCCCCAAGTGACTGTCTGGAAGGTCTGAGACCCCAGTGCGGTAAGTTGATGTTGCCAACTCTGTCTTGAACTTACTGAACCAGAGTAAAAGTAGCAGAATTCAAGCACATCTTACGTAATTTACGCTGGTCTTATACCCAACAGAAATAAAATTTCAATAAGCTTACGGTTTTGAAAGCGTTAATAACTCCCGAGAGTAAAAATTGACGCTACTTTACGATAAAAAAGATGCACCTCCATAATATAAATTGCGGTTCACGTTACGAGTTATACTATGAGTTCATGGATATATGTACGAGGGGGGGCCAAAACTTCTGTTGCAATGCGCGAGGAAAGAAGACAAAAGAATGAAGTCACGAGGCGGGATTAATATCTGATTCTAACACAGGCCTGGCCGTTGGCTGGCTGGCGGGGCGCACGAGGCCCTGGGCCAGAGTCACTGGCCCTCGCACAATTTCTGTTTTACCGTGCGAAGCGTGTCTTAGGGGATGGAAAGCCGCCGCTTACTTGGGCGAGATATCAACCTTCGCCGGTAAATGCCTAGAAAAGAGATTCCTTGCTCGTATACAATAGTTCGGATAGTACAGAATTGAAAAGCACATATATAAACCTCGTGAGCTGCGCATAGAAGACGAGCAGCTCAAATCCAGAACACAAGGACTATAATTACTTTCTCACGAGAATCTGTTTTTCGCCACCACAACTAAATTGCATGACTCAGTAGCCTACTATGTACGCATCTTACAGAGAGTTTGGTATTGCTACTGCTATGGCTATTCTAGCCTATGCACGCTTTTCCTCCGCCGTCGCTGCTACTTTTCCCGACTCCTCGACAGCCACGCTTGTCGAACGAGCTGCCTCGACTTCAACTGAATGGAACACAACACTTGAAATTGGAAAAAGCAAGGTATGTAAGATAGTTAATCCTGACCGTTGTTATCGTTCCTCGGATCTCTAAGCACCTTTCATCGACAGTGGCATATCGGCGACGCTATTGCATCAGACTTCAAAAAGATGTTCATGGAGCCAGCATGTGACGCTACGGGATGTGATGCAGGTAGCCCTGGAACTTTCAAATACTTAACCAAGTCAGGCGGCATTGCGGCGTTAGGGACGGCTACGATAACCTTAGAGGGCAACGCTGATGAAGATGTTGCCGTTATTGACAACCTCCTCGACGCCATATCGACCGCTCTGAATGCAAGCAGCCAGTGCACTACGGAAAAGGCTGTTGATGAGTGCGAGGATAACGCCAGTATAGATAAGGTGGTTTCTCAGTGGAAACGCATAGGGGTTCCTGCAACTACATGTGGCACGAGAACTTTGTGAGTTATACCTAGAACTTGGCTCTCAATCCCAGTTCTAATCTTGTATATAGCAACGACTGCTATGTCGTGAACTACATCCAGGCGACAATGTACGATCAGGACAAAAACCAAAAGGCTCAAGTCACTATGTCAGGCGAATCCAAAGACCCGCAAGAAGGTTTCGATTGCAGCTCGTTCCTCGGCATTATCTCGGATGCTCTTGGTCTTCTTGGGCCGTTGGAACTTACTGGAGTCTCAATAGCCTCGGGAATCACGAGCGGTCTTTCGGCTTTTTGTGGTTGAACCCAGCTTGGATGTCTTCTTTGTCCTTTCACGCCCCAAACTAATCAAGGTCTTATCCTTCGCTGGTCTGTAAACGGATTGATACGTGGTGCACGTGGTCCTGTACGAAGTTGATGACATAGCCTGTTTTATTATGCCCAAGAAAAAAAGCGCCGGATTTCAGAAACATGCTTGGTGAGGGCTGTCTGAGTCATGAAATCTGTGATTTTGTACTCAGATGCATGAGTGTAATAGCATATTGCAAGATCGAGCTGCGTTTTATATATGGAGAGAAACAATTAATGAGGAACGAATTCCATATCTGTCAAAAAAGGGGCTGAATTCGTTAATATAAAGGGACATAGTATCACCTTGTTTACACGTGCCACAAGTTTCAGGTGAGGATCTCTTCCTCTATATATATATATATATATATGAATACCACACGGTCAAAGCTGTTTCGTATTATTTGAAGAATTTTACTCGCGTTCTGCATCGAAGATGCTCCGAACACTCGAGATCCAGACTAATTGAATGCTTGGTTTGGGTGGGGGCAAATATGGTAGCTTCATAGTCTCCTCTCCTAGCCTCGCTTCCTTTGTATTGTTTGCCTGGTTCTAGAAGATTGCCGTTGTTGATTGACAAGGTCAGTCATCTCACAAGCACAAGAATGTGGCTGATACCGCGTCGTTGCGAGTATCGGCATCTATTCATGAGTGCCTCCCCCTTGAGCAGTCCATTCTTAATCCAGTTAGTTGCAAACAATAGTGCATATGATTGGTTTTCTTTCTGTAAATGGTGTACTGTGGTAGGGGTTGATAGCGTCGTGACCGGGCCGGGGAGAGCAACAATCTGGGAAGATGCGGGGTCGGTCAGCACTGCCAAACTCTCAACTACCAAGCTGGCAACTTTAGTCAATACTCACATGCCCTTACAGGTGAAGCTCTGGATGTGGTTATAGCAGCTTTGCTGTCCAGCATTGTCAACAATGTGGTCTACCCAGGGGCAAGATGATCAGGTTCAGCAGAAGTCTATCATTGCATGTCACCCTTGTCGACGGTAAGTACCATGATGCTGCCGTGTCGTTGTCCAGTCTGGGAAACGCTAACACATCCTAATTTTACAGGCGTAAGGTGAAATGGTTGGTGCTCTCTACCATCTGCGTATGTTTCAGGCCTTCGTTGATCTGGCTCAAACAGTGATCGCGAAATCCCGCGCTGTCAGAACTGCCTCAGTACGGCGCAGTCCTGCAACTACCCTGCAGGTCCGAGGAAACCAGGGCCGAAGATTGGTAAGGCAGGATGCCCAATCCCGGCTTCTGGTGGAGACTGACAGGAAGAAACCCAGGGTCCCTTCAACGGCAAAGAAGGGGGCATACAGGCCGACCTGGTCCTAAAACGACTGGGAAGCAGTCAAACGACGGAAGAGTCTCGCAGCCCCCAAGCGACGCTAATACTGTATACAAGCCTCGCACACACACTGAGCCTGATCTTGACCGTGTGCTTGAATCAGACTGCCGCTCAGAATCTCGTTCTCTCCGAAATAAGCCGAGTACATTCACCGCGAACAAGAGCAGTGATCAAGTTCCGCAGACCTCAGGGTTGAATATCGACGATCTGTCTTTCAACATCTACCCCTGTCATCAATCTTGCACTCCCGGGCAGGGTAAAGCAGACACCAGTACCAGCGATGTTTGCTTCGCAGACAACGAGAACAAGTTTCAAGATGGATGCTCCGCTCTGGGAATCTCCGAGCACGCTATGAAGAGGATGTACGTGCGCCCTTCCAAGGCAAAACTTCAAAACCCTGACAAGTCGATCTCAACAGAATATGTGTATACTTTGATAATATGGTCGCCATAAATATCTTCCACGAGCCCTCATTTCATGAGAAGTTGAAGAAGTCTCCGTCTCTGGCTCAGACATCCGCGCTCTTAGCTGCAATTGCTGGATACGCGATCAGATTCTTGCCCCTCGAGAACGACAGCGAAGTCGAGAAGGATATGCAACAGGTGAAACCAGAAATGAGGACACCGGAATTCTTCGTAAATATGGCGCTTCAACTCATTGACCAAGCTCTCTCCGATTGCGGCGACGAACCCCCTGATCTCTGTGTGCTCCAGGCCTTGATCCTGGCAACTCACTGTCAGTTAACGCAGGGAGTCCTCGGCAGAGCCTGGAGATCCTTAGGGTTGTGTGTACGGTTGGCGTACGAGCTCAACCTCCATCTGCTGGACTCAACGAGCACGTTCAGTCAAAGCCCAGAAAACACTGAATTGTGGTCCGAAGATGAAGAGAAGCGCCGCGCTTGGTGGGCTATCTGGGAGATGGATGTGTTCGCGAGCAGCATCCGACGCACCCCGACTGCTATTGACTGGATGCAGATGGAAGTACTCCTTCCAGTGCCTGATATATATTGGCATTCCAATAGCCCTACCAGGAGTTGCTTCTTTGAGCAAGACCCCACTCGACGTTGGAAGACCCTGCATGAGAGTGGAAATCAGTCCCCCAAGGCATGGTTCATCGTCATTAACTCTTTCATGAAAGATGGCCAAAGCATATCCTGTCCTCGTGGCGTGCCTTCAATCAACAACCCTCACTCGCGTCGGGAAAGTGCTCGAGGCTACCATTGCGACGATGTCGAGAAATCACAGCAGAAGCTAGAAACGCTAGCAAATGCGGTTCATTGTTTCATTCGTGTTCTGCCAGACCATTTGCGTTATCGACAACAATATCTTAGTTTTGAGGCTCGGCTACCCGGTGAGATCGAGTCCTGTCGGCAATTACATTGCTCCATCTACAATATCTACGCTATGACACAATTAGCCCGGCTCATGATCTATCGATATGACGTATTTGGCAGTCAAACGCAAGCGCCCCCATCCATGCTCTTGGGGGCTCTGGGTACCCGCTACTTTACCGCACTTCAGGACGAAGGAGCTTCTGAATTAAGTCAGTATTTTGAAGCCGCCGACAATGTCCTCACCATTGTCAACCGGAGTTGCGAGAACCATGTTCAATATATCAATCCCTTCTTGTCGAGCACAATTTGGCTTGCGGCTGCGGTGCAGCTGGTCCGAAAGCAGCTTGAGGGACCGGGGACGAAGACCGCGCTTATCAAAACACGCTTCGACCTGCTCTACCTGACCTACACGCAATTCGCCAGCTTCTGGGGCGCTAAAACCTCGATGCAACAAGATCTCGAGTCTTTGGAAGTGCAGCTGGAGAGTTGCAACCCCGAAGACGCACTGCTGCCAGCCAGTCAGAATCGATGGTCACACCATCGACTCAACCAACAATACAATCCAGATCTATCTAACCTTGAACATTCGATTAGCCAAACGGGCTTGTATTCTAGTCCATGCGAACATCGGGGTGAGTGGTGTCTTGTGTTTGGTTTAGCATCCACGTTGCCTCTTAAGCAGCTATTGACATGATGGCAGAAAGTACGGAGGCAATCACAACAACGGAACCAACTGGAATTTTGACGCAGTGTCCTGCGCAAATCGCTCTCTCATCTAGCATGCTCCCCCAAGCCCTTTTTCCATGCGTTCTCGGGGATAAGGCAGCTACGGGAGTGGTTTCAGACCAGTCACCACCCAAGATCGCCGCAAGTGTCGTTGAGGGACGTACGCACTCAAGATCACCGAGACAGCAGCCGAAGGATAAGTCATCAAATGAAGAACCTCAGTCGTCCTTGGTGAATCTATCGATGCTGGAGATCGTGGAGATGTCGAGTAACATCCACCAAGACATGACTAGTGTGGAATCCATGAATGAGATATGGCAGAACCTTGACTTACCTAGCGATGGCCATGATGTTCCATCCGGGTTCTCAACGTCATAATCAAGCTTTGTTCCATGGAGAGCTGATTTCATTATTCGCGATCGATCAATCCATGGATCCTCTTTAAACATGCTGTGTCAATCCTAGGGTAGACTGAGTAATACAAGATCAAATGAGTTCTTCATGTCCATCTCGATTAATGACTGCATTTCCTTTTTCTATATCCTATGTCGCTCGTTTCCGTTTGATCAGACCTTTCTCATCCGTGAAAGAAGAAAACAGAAGAAGAAACCCAGCCAGCTCGCAACAATACAACTTATCATTCAAGAACAAGTATCAAGTAGACTTTTGCAGGCAACCTATTTTTTCCAACATCCTTTGGACATAGTATGCCGCATGAATGTTCCCTAGTAGTAACCAACCAACTCGGATTCCCACTTCAATAAACCTCTCACTGATAAGCGCAGTTATTTGTTTGCATTATATGCACCGAATGCCATTCCTTTTGGAACTTCCTTCCATTGCATCTGTGGGTCGAGTAGTGGCAGGCATTCACTCCACGCTTCGCGGATCCTTCGAACATGGTGCTCGCTTCGAGGTGTAATCCGCGCCCGGAAAGGTTTTGGAAGAACCAATAGTCCTTCGGTCAGCTGGTCAATGTCTGGTGTGATTTCGTTGCCGTTCTGGTCGACGGCCTTGTTCAGATTGAAGGCCCAAAGCATCCTGGAAATACCCAAGAACAGCGATCTCTCTGCGATGTGCATGCCTTGGCAAATACGGCGACCTGCACCAAAGACGAACTGGTCACGTTTGGATGAATCGGGATTCGTAGCTGCCTCGCTTGCAGTTTGAAAGTCATCGGCGTAACGGGATGGATCAAAGGCTCGGGGATTGGGATAGCGCTTTGGATCTGTGTGAATAGCCCTATTGAGGTGTCCGTGTCAGTATATTATTCAAATTCTGGCACAGCCTCTGGAGAGAAATACCAGACGTTCCACACCACACCAGCGCCCTTTGGTATCTTGTAGCCCATGTATTCATCGTCAGTGATCACAGCATGTGGCACTCCAAGAATAGCAGTGGGCATCCATCTTAAGCTTTCCTTAACGCAACCACGGATAAACTGGAGGCTTGGCTCATCTTCCATCGTTGGCAAGCGATCTCCACAAACTCGGTCAAGCTCTTCCTGTGCCCTCTTCTGTACATCGGGGAAGACAACCATAGCTTGAACAAACGCAATCAGGGTGGAAGCGGTGGTGTCAGAACCAGCTTCTAGAAGACTACCACTTATGTATCCGGCGAGGTCATCTGAGAACCCATAGTGGTCTTGGGCTTTGACTAGGTCAACACAAAAACTCGGCTACATATCATTAGCAATTAGCTTTCTCGAAGGGCACATTCGAGTCACCTTTGCGGTGCCATTTTTAATGGCCTTTTTGACATCCATCCAGTGCCCAACATAAAGTTCCTTCTCACGCCGGTGCAATTCCTGTGCATAACGCCGTAGAGGGAGAATAGCATCTGGCAGGAGCTGCAACACTGGAAAAAGGTCGAGAAGTGCTGCGGTGGCTGTCCCTGTGACCTCGGAGAAATTTTCAAATCCCTACAAAGACATTAGAGTAAATAGTAATTGCCACATGCAGAAGGGGAACTTACCTCGAAGAGCTGCTTCAGCTTTGGATCATTAATATTGATAGTGCGAAACCCGAAGACCATTTGTGTAGTAAGTGAATTTGTATATCGTTTGATGTGATCGATGAAAGCCTCGGGCTCGTCGAGCATGCCGCAAAGCATTTGCTTATTTTCCAAGTCCTGGTACGGTACGTATGACTTAGCTGCTTTGATGTTGAGAATATTGTGGATGCTTTTCCTGATCATGCGCCAGGTGTCGCCATATGCCTGGGAAACTGTTATTCAGAACAGTGAAGACCACAATGGTGGAAGATCTAGATGTGAATGGTTACCATCAAGAGAACTCGGAGGCGACCGCTCACGATCTGTCCCAGGTACATCTCTGGGCGGGAAGAGTAGATGTTGCTGCGTTTATCTAACAAATCTTTGATTGCCGTGTCGGAAGAGAGAACAATCATAACTTTGGTGCCAAGGATCAGTGAATAGATTGGGCTTAAAAGCATTGTTAGCGCATCTCAGTCGATCATTTGTATGGCTGTCGGGTCCGAACCCATATTCCTGTGCCCATTTTTGAAACTGGAGATGCCCATTCTTGGTAGGCATTTGGTGAAGATTTCCAATCAGAGGCAGCGTTGGAGGACCAGGAGGATACGACGATGGCCGACGTCCAATGGTGCAAAGGCCAATGATTAGCGCGATGACGAGGCCAAATAGTATGACATCCATGTTGTCTTCAGTGCTCCTTAATTGCAGTCGAATGCAAATGATGACGAGTCAGTAGCTACTGTATGAAGGGAACTGCTGATGGTCTTTTTAAGAATAGTATCTCAGTTTATGACAGCTTTGAAAGGAAAATTGCAAACTCGACAGTTTAGTTGCGTTCGGTTTTGAGGAGGAGGAGGAAGAAGGATGTCTCAATTGTTGCTTCCGGCTCTTGATAAAGAAATCAGAAAAATTATACCGAAAATACTCCCTTCCCCTTCAAGTGGTGAACTGGAAGAAGCCAATTGTCCAAGTTAGGCCGAAGACCTACCGTTAGACCGAAGACCTACCGAGTTAATGACGAATTGACACATGCTTTCTTGTAGCATGCGTTGCTTCAATGCTTGTAAGAAATTAGGTCAGGATGATCTGCTCAAATGTCCGCATTCGCGCCGATATACACAAGCTGACGTACCCGCTACCAATACCCGCCGCAGCCGCAAGCCAGCCAGAGGGAGCCAAGGTAAGCTAGAGAACAACAACCCTCGTCAGCGCTGCCTGGTAGACGTCACTTGTTGCCGCTGAAGGTGGGAGACATGATCGTGGAAGAAGACATGCAAGAAAACAGGGAGGGTGTGTCGGAGGAGCAAGGCGTGGCCGGGGTGCGCACAAAAACAGCCGCCAAGTGCAAGCGCCTGGTATTCCCAAAACTCGGTACCCTCTCCAAGCCACGCGCCACTCGTGATTTGGCGGGATTCATCAACGTAGATCTCTGAATCAACACTTACGAAACATCTGTTACGCATCATCAGCACCAAAGAACTTCTCTGAGCATGTCACGTGTGTCTTACGCTATCCTTTTGTCGTGCTCACGATCAAACCCAGTTAACCAGATAATCTTCATGATCTGGCTATGTTCCTGGGACAAAATATATGCATGTATTACGAGATGAACTCCGTGCCTGTCACGGAGCTTCAACCTGGCTGATGATGCGAACGCAAGGCGACGGCATCGAGAACCTGCGGCTATTGGAGACAAACAGAGACGACACATGGTTTCGGTGCAAGACTTATCGGGAACGGGAGGAGATGAAGTCGTTTTACCCCGTAAAGCTAGACAACAGATTGGAGCGGATCTGGGTGGCGAGATGGCTGATCGTCAGATTCAATCACACTTATGTATGAAAGCTATCCGGAGAACACGAGAGTAAGAAAGAAAGTTCGAGCCGAGAATCTTCTTGGAGGCACCCCAGGCGACCCGACATTTGGAAGACGAGGATTTGAGGTGTGAACATTGAAGGCTATGGAATCTCGGCTGTCGTCAGATGAACAGAGACGTATTGTATGATGTATGGTCCCATTGTGGAATCTGGAGCTTGAGCGGAGAATACGGTACAATTTACGTAGCCATGAAGCCTCAACTATTTGGAGATGCTGATATATCAGTCTCGAGATGAGGTTCCGGTCTAGCCACCACTGCCAATAAGATTAATACTAGGTTTCTCGCCTCTACATCATGATGACATGTGGTAAGGGGAGGAACCATCCGACGGCACTTACCCTCTACTCTCGTTCGTTAGATCTTTCCTACGCACCTTCCTTTCACTCCACCTCAACTACTCGTACTCTTTCCCTTCTCCCACTTTTTATTCTCAAAACTCTGTCAGCCTCAACTTTACAACAACTCTCGTCATCTTCTCAAAAGTCTACGACGACCAATCGGGCCTTCACCGCCGCCACGAGGAAAATCAAGGCCCAGCTATCATCATGGGCCGCTGGGGTTTCCGTAAGTCTTCTGGCGTGTAGGTATGGGAAATGTGTATGGTGTTGTTACAAAGCTGACGGGCATTGATAACAGGCCTGTTCCAGGGCGACTCCGGCCTCGACACGCGCAGCGACATCGAAGCTACTATCGTGGTCATGGTAGAGGACGAAAAGATGGCTGCTATGATCCTGGATACGGCTGAGAAGCGCGAAATCGCCAAGAAGATTCTGCAGGTGGACGGGGAGTCCGATCAGCTCTATCTAACCAATCATATTGACGACCCTGGCGTGCGCAAGATCCTCGACTCCTGCGTCTGCGAAGCTCTCTTCAAAACTTACCGCGGCGACAAGTGGTCCGAGATTATCTTTGGGGCCATGATGATGCAGGCCGGCGCCAGGATCAAGAAAGGGGACCTGAAGCGGCTGCGCAAGATCGTCTCATATTTCCCATATGGTGATACTGAACTTCCCGAGAATGGCTTTGAAAACGTGGGCCAGGCTCAATTCGCTGCAGCTGTGGACAACTATCAGGCCGGGGTTCCGCGCAACTTTGACACTGCCAGGTTCGCGGTCACATACACTGTGCTTTTTATTTTTCCAAGACTGATGTTTGGGAATCAGCTGTGACCAGTGCGGAATGATTGAGGATGACATCAGCCACAAACTGCTGGAGTGCCCCAACTGCACTCTCTCGTGGTGGTGCGACGAGGCACGTCATTCCCTTACATCCTTCCTTTTCAGTCAAATGTTGTCATGTGAATATTCTAACATTCTACAGGAGTGCAAGGCAGCTAACGCCGATAAGCATGGCGAGGAGTGTTTCGGCTTTGCGGAGAAGCATGGTTCACGGCGCCCTCATGAGCCTGGTGAGGGAGGTCTGAGCCTGATGCACGCTTTCTTGCGTGGTTAACAGAACAGCGAAATTTCTTGGGGCATGCTAGGTTGTCACTTGAGCAGACGCTGCAACCTTTCTATGCCTGAACTGCAAGACTTGACTGTCATGCATTGCGTTGTCAAGCGTCAGCCGAGCAAAGCCAATTATGTATTTTGAGACCAATCAATCGACACATGTATCTGCCTGCTTCACACTATCTGTAGCTTCAGGATAGACTGGCCGACCGAGAGTACCCTTCGTGTAATTGACCCAATAGACCTGGCCGTCGCGTGCCTTCTCTTGTACTACGCAGTCGGCGTCCTGTATCCCCTCATACATCTCATCCTCCAACTTGCCCTGTCTCTCGAACTTCTCCAGCTTGACTGGATTGAGCCAGGAGGTTGTCTCAGCCTCGTGGTCGAGGTAATAAGCACGGCCCTTGTCATCAAAGCGCCTCTCCCATGGCCACGGGAGTCCTTCCGTATATATCTTCTTCGTTGGGTGGATCCAGGAGGTTGTTTTGGTAGTATGGTTAACCCAGTACGTTCTACCATTGGTAGGATGCTGCGCAGTGGTAATATGCTCATCGTGAGGCTGAGGGGAGGACCCGCTCGCTTCCGTGTATGCTGGAGTGGTGGAGGCTGAAGACGTTTTAGATAGAGAAGACATGTTGGACTGTTATATTCGGAAGAATTGGACTGCCTTCTGAAGCCTAAGTTCGGGAGGGTAATCATGTATGAAGATATGGCTGGCAAGAGAGCTCGCGAGTAGGTAAAATTAAATACTTCGCGACGAGCCCGGATGGATAAGAAGACAGGTGATGGGACGAATGTGAGGACTTGGGCTTTCGTTGCATTCTCGTCTAGTTATAGACAGCGTAGAGTTCAAGTGGGGTTGATCTCAAGGCAGCCAAACAACCAGAGGATCCAAACATTGGCGTATGTGCTGACCCTGATCATACCCCGCTTCCATTCTTCACGCGTCAGCCTCCGCCCGAATCCGCTGGCCCCTACTTACCCGCCCGGCGGCATCCTGCACAAGTAATAGAATAATTATCAGCTGTGCGAGCTCAGACGAGTGACTCACGAAATTGTTCCTCTGCCTTGCGTTACGAAGTCTTTTTAAGAGCAAGGAATCGCATTTTGACACATATTCGAACCCTTACGAAAGATGGATGGGTATGGATCCAGCCAAGGGCTGGAGTTAGAAACACCAAATTGAATATGTATAGGACCCAACAAGTAATCAAAAGAGACAGATCATGCTCGAGGTCAGCAGCATGGTCTCGAGCTTCCAGTGCCAAGAGTCTCGATTCCTGGTCGTTCGTCGCGTAACCAAGTAGCCCTTCTCACCATGAATCGGTTACTAAGCTCGGGCGCATTCACACGAAAGGGACTGACACCTGGGCAAATGGTCCTGTCAGCCCAAGCACATATGTGTAGAGGCAACGACAAGAAAAGAAAGTCAAGAAATAAGTAATTACTCCTCCTTCCAAGATCCTTCATGTGCCATTCCGCCGTCCCCCTTCTCCCCTTTCAGATTCCGGCCAATGACCCATGTACGTTGAGTAAAAACCTGCGACATACCCAAGCCAGCAGCCTTTCATCACAGAAACCCACACATAGCCAACACTACAGCGTTCGACTCGGCCTCAGCATTGACATCCCCAAGGTACCCCAACCTCCCTTCCCCAACATTCGCCAGAGCAACAGCTGCCTGGCCTGGTGTGTGGGCGTTATCGGGCGCAAACACGGCCGACTCAATGACCGAGTCTGGGCTAGAAGCGTACCATACATGCTCTGGTGCGACGTTCTTCACGGCGAGGGCCTTTTGGCTATAGCTCTGCGGCAGTTTGCCCACTGCCGTCAGCATTTCCGCCACAACAGTCCGGTTCAGCGATGTCGTCGTGCGGTGGTAAACACCCGCCTCCCAGGGCAGCCCAGCTTGCTCAAAGAAGGGCTTGACGTTGAGCGGCTTCACGAACGAGGAGAAATGGCCCATAACGACTGCGGTGCCACCGCGTCGCACGTAGGCAAGCACCGCATCCCAGACACGCTTTCCTGTGTTTTTCTTGTTGGCGAGCACAGCGTCGGTGATGAGCACGGCGACAAGGGGTGCGGACTCGTCCTCACTGAGCTTGCGGATGGCTGGGTCGGCAGTCTTGGCACGCTGGATGGTGGCTCTGTTGCAGAGGGCGTCGATGAGGGCCGAGTATTGATCGTCAAAAAATGGCTGAAGGTCCAGTGAGATGAGGAGGACCCGAGGTTTGGTCGCCATGATGGGAATTGCACGTAGGAGGGAGGAGACCGTTTGGCCCGTTAGGAGGCAAACAATCGATTATCGAAGCAGAAATGATTCGACGTAAGTCTATGCAAAGCAGGGACATCACGTAACTGACAATTACGTAATCCTTTTGCGTGATTTCTCTTCCCAACTTTAAAGTTCGAGGTCTCACCTCATCGTCCTGACCCAAACTACTGCGTTCTACCATATCTTATGGAACAGCTAAAAGGAGTGACCACTCCCAGCTGACTGGAAATGATGGTGGTCTATATAGACAACAACTAGACAGGACTCGCACATATCTCACACTAAAGCTGGTTACTTTCGACGTTATGTGGCGGACAACAGATTGGAAGGCTGTTTGGGCAATTAGTTGAGACTCATTCGTCATTTTGACGACTTGTATTTAAACGTATCTTATCTCATCAACTATGAACATCAATTTATCAAAAAGGAACGCGTCTGCGTGGCACACTCTTGTTCCACCTCGAATGCTGGCGGGTGAGTTCTCTGCCGCTCTCCCGTTACACGCTTAATAATTTTTGGGATGTGATTCACATCGAACCACTGACTTCTGATTCGTCCTATTGTCCTAGTTCCTATTTGTGTTCTTCCACCCGGGTAAATAGTATGCAAGAGCTAGCAATTAAATGGTACCAATCCAAACCATCACCAATATTCTTTTTGCTCCCCCTCTTTACAACTCTCCACCATCATCACGATACGAACCGAACTTAATTTGTCCACCGCGATCATGGAATCATTCGAGTATGTTGCCCATCCAGCACGGGTGATTTTCGGCAGCGGCACGATCAAGAAGCTGCCAGAGGAGCTGGCAAAGCTCAAACTCACTCGCCCAGTTGTTCTCTCTACGCCAGAGCAAACTGGACATGCCGAGCAGGTCAAGGAGGTTCTTCAGGGCCAGGTGGCCGGGCTCTTCGGCGAGGCAACGATGCACACTCCTACCGATGTGACGGAGCGTGCGGTGCAGTTTGCGACTGGAGCCAAAGCCGACTCGATTGTTTCTATCGGAGGGGGCAGCACCATTGGCCTAGGAAAGGCCATCAGCATTCGCACCGGCTTATACCATATTGCCATCCCTACGACATATGCTGGCAGCGAGGTCACGCCTATTCTGGGCGAGACGGCGGATGGTCGCAAGGAGACCCGATCCGATCCCAAGATTCGGCCCGGAACCGTTATTTACGATGTCGATTACACCTTGACCTTGCCAGTCGGCCTCAGTGCCACCAGCGGCGTGAATGCCATCGCGCACGCAGTTGAGGCTCTCTATGCCCGCAACAGCAATCCTGTCGTCAACCTGATTGCCCAGGAAGGCACCAAAGCACTCGCAAGCGCGCTTCCCGAGATTATCAACGACCCTGGCTCGCAGGCCGCCCGATCCACTGCTCTCTATGGCGCATGGCTCTGCGGCACATGTCTCGGCAATGTGGGCATGTCTCTACACCACAAGCTCTGCCACACCCTTGGTGGCAGCTTCAACCTACCTCATGCGCAGACACACACCATCGTCCTGCCACACGCCCTCGCCTACAATGCCCCAAAGATTCCCCAAGCATTAAAGAGACTCGCTGAGGCGCTTCCCGATGGTGACGGCGATGCAGTCAAGGGCTTCAACATCCTGCTCTCGAAGCTCAAGGTGGAACGAGGGCTCAAGGCGTACGGCATGAAAGAGAGTGACATTGACAAGGCCGCCGACATTGCGGTGGCCAATCCTTACTGGAACCCGCGAGATATTGAGCGGACTGCGGTGCGGGAGCTTATCCGACGGGCATGGGCCGGCGAGGAAGCCCGAAGTGACTTGTAAACTGTATCAAGGTCTAGCTAAATAAATAATTTCTCAGCCCTTCATTGTATTGTCCATTTGGCCCATTATTGTAGATACTACTTTCCAAACAAGCCCTCGTGCATTGCAACCGACGCAGACATGCAGTACCCGCGAGCCAGTCCCGAAGTATAGTAGCAAGTATCTTTACTCCGAGCCATGCAGCAGCCCTTCCTTGCTTTGCCTGTGGCAGAACTGCAACTGCTAGATAATTCCAGTCACCCAACCACTCCACACCCCGCACCCCGCACTCTACACCCTACAACTCCAAAGAGGGGAGCACCGGCAAAGATAAAGTCCGCGCAATATGGAGACTTGAACCACGACTAGCTAGCATTGATCAGCCCCATTTGACATTCAGTTGTCTACTCAGATATATTGTCCCGGTCCAGATGATGTTGTCCAGCACCTGGGGTAACGGCCAATAATTACAACCACAACCGGCCTCTCCTTGTTTCAAATCTCTCTCATTGCGAATTACTACCCAGGTCTCCCTCTTTCAGTAACACTCTCCTGCCCATTCTCCACAAATAAAAATCATAAAAAGAAAAAGAAGAGTAAACTCGAAGGACGCCCGAAGAAAAAAAACACTTCACCTGGTCGGCTTTGGTGTTGGTCACTCCATTGCACCAGGCATGCACAACCACATTGCCAAATCAACCAAACTAGTCGGGGTCCGCCGACCAGAAGAAGAAGCCAGTGCAAACGGAGCCTGTGCTTGGGAAGCTGGCGGCTGCATCGTACCTACGTACAATTTGGGCCAATACGGTGGATTTTAACTGATCAGTTCCTTTTCAGGGCATCATAGGTCCGCAGGGGCATTGTGAAGATTGCCAAGCTTTTGACTACTGCTTTAAGTGCTCCCGGTATTTTGTGTATAACTTTTCTCCGAGTGCCTATCAGGGATGCACATTGAGTCATCATGAGGACTACAGGACTGACACTATTCAAGGGCTGCGGACGAGACACACCCAGGTCCTGCCTTCAGATTATTACCGGGGTAGAACATCATCCCTGCACAAAAGCCGGAAGGACGATCTGGTAGAGATAGCAGTGGACTCCATGGGCCTCGATGGGTCAGATCTCGAATGAGCCTGATCTTTTCGCAGGTGTTCCGCAATCATGCTGAACCGTCGATTGCTTGAAAATCAGGAGCAGTGCTGTAGGTTATCTTTTTCTAGGTCCTGAAATATAGAGCCCAAGCTCAACCATCATATTCCATTTCGACATGTATCATCATACTGAATTAGGACTTGGGCGTAGTTGTATGAGAGCACTGACGCGAACGTGCAATAGTCAATGTCCCGGTGAACTCGAGCGTGCTCTTGCAGATGAGCGACCTCAATAGAAAGGTCGAGTAGAAAGATGACCGGACCTAACTCGGACATTGTCTTAGGATAGCCTTCAGGACCTAAGATCGAAAACGAGAAACCGCTGTATTTGTTCTAAGTCCAACCCTGGAGGAAAGGATCCAAAAAGACAGGAATTTGGATCTTAGTCTGGCTAACTGCTGGCTTTTTAGTAACCAACATTTCAAGTTACTAGTAAAGATGCGTCGAATCTGCGTCGCGCAATAATTCACGATCGGAATTCTATTCAATTATGTATGCTCATGCTTTGACGTTTTTTCTTTGACACCGATCGAGGATACCCGGTACCATCTTGTTCAACCAGATCGTCAAGCGATTGTCTTTCTCGCTGCATACTACATTGATCAAATCTACCGTGCTTTCTGAATTGCGCAGTCGCCTAATCTAATAAGTTCCATGATGAAGTCTTCCACCAGTTTCATGTGTATAAACTCTTTGAGCGTCAACCTTCGTGTACGCATCTTCTTGATAAGCTCAGGCGCCGTCTTGAGGAGGTCGAGGTCATCCTGGGCTTGAGGATCCCGTGGCTTGAGGAGAATATTGCAGAAAATGGTCAGGATCGCCGTCATCGGATAGAAGAGCACCATCCTGAAAGCGGGTCAGCATGATCAAAGGTTTACCGACGAGTAGGCTGGTATTGCATTGACAAGAAATGACATCTACGACTTACCAGAAAGATTGCCCCAGTAAGGAGTGGACTGCGGCTCGCAAATAAAACAGGGTTGACCGACTGGCCTGGACAGTCAACTCCAGGCTCGATCCGACGCCGTCCATGTCACCGCCTTCAACATCTGCCCATGCCTTACATCTACTCGTCGCTCGATGTATTGTAGCCATCAGGTAGTAGTACTCGAAGTGGCTGAGGATGGCATCCATCGTCTTGGACTGGGTCATGTCGGAAGGAGTTGTTGTTGCGCCGCCAGACTGTATCAGGCTGGGTCGCCAGTCCTTGTTGACGGATATGCGCCAGTTCTCGAGCTCATCGTCCAGCTCACGGACGTCTCGCAGCAGCTCGGCGTCTGACTTTTGAAGGGACCTTGCTGAGTATAACAACTTGCCAGCTTTGGCCTTGATTAGACTAAGCTTGAGGTTTCCTGGTACAAATAGTGCAGAGATCTCGGAGTCATCGATAGACATGGGGTCAGCGTCCCAACGGGCTGTAATAATATCATCGTAATTGTCGGGCAGGGATATGTCGCAGTAGTCGTCTTCCAAACAAGGAGGCTGTCCCGTACGTAATGATATGTCCTTGTCAAAGGTATAGCACAGCCAGAACAGCCTGCGCAGATGGTTTTGTGCTCGGTAATTGTCACGGCCTCTCCCGTCGGTGCGGATAGGACGTAACACATGCGCCCCCAGCATATAGACGAGACGGCAGGCACAGGAAATATGTATAGATGCCAGCTGCGTGTGGCCGGAGAGCATCTGGTAGATCCCCTACTTACTCTATTAGCACGAGAAGAGGACCAAGTTGCTCTAGGACCAGGGAGGGAGACCTACTAGCATCAAAGCGACCTGAAGACTGGTGACGGTGGACTGCAGGAGAATCCGCGGCAGCAGCTGTTGCGCCTTTGCGACACACAACTCGGGGTCGACGGGCGCGTCTTCTATGCTTCCCTCGAAGAAATGGATGACACTAATGAAGGAGAATACACAAGCCTGTGCATCTAGTACTTCAATAGACTCCGTGGGTTGGGGTTGTGAATAGGCGAGATCGATAGTCTCTTGAAAGGACGCAATATGGACGACCGGAAACACAAGGTTCAACGTCGTCGATTTGAATAGTTGGAAGTAGGCGTCAACAACCTTGCGAGCTGGCAGCGCCAAACCAGATATAGGTGCAATGGCAACCTGATTCGCAATATGCTGCTCATTCTGCCACAGTGGTGCGACTAGAGATGGGAAAGCAGGCTTGCTTCCAGTCCTCTCTTGAATCCATCTACGGCCATCGGATGAGAAGAGAGGAATGCCTTGAAAGGAGTTTATATCGCCAAGCTGGTAGCCGGCGAAATGAAGTTTGCCAAATGAAGCTGCAGCGGATGGATCCGGCGACGAGGCCGAGGATGATGGAGGGTCAATGTGTGAGGATGTCGAGCCAGCGAAGGATCCGCCATGGGCTGACTGGTTTCGGGATGATCTTGAAGTGGAAGATTCAGGGTCGGCGGATTTAACAGACCGCCTGTCGCCAACAGCATGGGACACGAGCTCTTCCAGTCGTTCTAGCCTTTGGGTCAGCTCGTTCTTGCTATTATTGGCCCTGGCATGGTAGAACTTATTAGCTCCTTAGCCTTGGGTTGGGATTTTTGATTAGGGGAATTCCAGGTGGATCAACCCAACTCCCCCCGGGGGGGGGGGTGTTGACCAATAATCAGTAGATGATGGCAAGCAGCCAGGAGACAAATATTGTCTTTCGGAGGCTCACCTTTTTCTGTTGGATGCCCTAGGCTTCCTCAGCTTCAATGGTCGTGCATAGGTGCAAGCTATTCCGTGGTGCGAGCACCAGTTGCAGTGGGGATTGGCGCCATCGCAATGGATCTAACCAACGTGCAGAGTCTTGTTAGTATTCTTTTGGCGAACATTGATTCATTTGCCTCTGTTGGCTTCAGAGAAGAATGAATTATTATACCTTTCGCCTGTAGCAAGAATCACATGCTCGCTTCTTTAGTGCAGGTGCCCTTGCAGACACATCTTGAGGCGACGCGGTCATGGGAACATTAAGCTTCCCGCTCACATAAACATATAATTCAAGCCTAAACGCACGCAGCCAAGATCGTATCTCCTCAGCAGCCGATACCAGAATTTATCCAGAAGTTGGACGTTGAAAGGTTAAAACAAAAGTGGAACTGTCGGACCTGGACACGGTTGAGACATGACGTCTCAGCAGGGCCAGACATCACTTTGATAATGCTGTGTAGGCTCCGCTGAGTCAGCGGGAGAATATGTCTTTCATGACAGCCGCCTCCGCTTACTAAGCGGAACTTCGATACAAATCCGGTCAAAATGTTTTTTTCTATGGGGCTGAGACCCGCAAGGTCATCGACCATGTGCGGATTTATGAACCAGAGGGGATAAATCCGTGACGAGGTCAAAGTGAAGTGGACATCTGCATACTGTATGCAGTAGTTGGTACATGCAATCTCAGAGCCATGCACAACTTGCTTGACTGGCCATGCAGCCAGCCAGGGATTCAGCCTAGGCAAGTAACCGGGTGAACGAGTGCCCGGACGCAAGACCCAATAATGATAATCATGGCTTATCATGGTACACAACAGTACCTATCATCTCAGCTTCTACAGCCTCGTTGACCTTTTTGCCAGGCTGTTTTAGCTCCATATACACATGTCCGGAGACATGCGGCTCATATCTAGCACCTGGCACTCCGAGCCTCCCGGCTTTCGAGCTAGTCTTGCATCTCAGACGTTCCCATTATTCATCGTAGCAGGCAGCTTACAAAACCTGGCGGGATGTTGGTGCAGCGTCGAGCTACTGGATCGCGACGAGGCCCTCGGGGCACTTGTTCATCCGAACAGCGCCGGTTTTACGTGGCATCTGTCCCGAAACGATTGTCAAGTTTTGATAGTTCACTTTGGTGACACTTCCTCAGCCTTATCTCCATTTTTCCCGTTCTTTGTGTTCTTTTTTGTGGGTATCCCTCGCGCCAGCTTGTGTTAGATCTACTCGGCTCAGCCGTTCACGAAATTTGCGCATAGTTGGTGTGGTCCGGCCTCCGTACCTCGATGTACAAATTTATATTTCAACATAATCGTCCGGCGTCTTGAAAACATTCTTTTACTCTTCCATCCAGTCGTCTCTTTCTTTCTCAGTCCTTCCCTTACCAGGTCGTTTCCGTCCCATCTCTCTCATCCAATTCCGATACAGAGTATTAGGCTCTTCCAATTTGCGTCTTACCTGCGCCGCGCCCACGCAGTCCAGACGGGGTGGTTGAAGATGGACAGCCGAACCCTGACACCTGGCGCCAGTGAGACGCAGTCCGTGGCGGAGCAACAGCTCGAGGCTCAAGGGGCACGTTTGGGTCACGACGAAGACTGGGAGCTGAGGCCGGAGGTGGTGGCTTTCCAGGAGCGTGACCAGCGCTCAGGAGCACCAGGGCGAGGACTTGGAGTAACATGGAAAAATCTCAGTGTTCAGGTTGTCAGCGCCGATGCCGCCATCCATGAGAATGTCGGGTCTCAGTTCAACATCCCAAAGCTTGTGCAGCAGTCTCGCCACAAGCCGCCGCTAAAAACCATCCTCGACGACAGCCATGGCTGTGTTAAGCCTGGAGAGATGTTGTTAGTTTTGGGTAGGCCGGGGTCTGGCTGCACGACACTTCTGAATATACTTTCTAACCGCAGGGCTGGATTTGCGTCCGTCACTGGGGACGTCCACTACGGCTCGATGACCTCAGAAGAAGCGAAGAGTTTCCGAGGTCAGATCGTCATGAACAGCGAGGAGGAGTTGTTTTTTCCTACCCTGACGGTCGGCCAGACGCTAGACTTTGCTACGCGCCTGAAAATTCCAGCCAAGTTACCTGAGGGCGTCACCTCCCCCGAGGACTACCGAAAAGAACAACGGGATTTTCTTCTTCGATCGATGCGCATTGACCATACCCAGGATACCATGGTGGGCAACGAGTTTGTTCGTGGGGTGTCTGGCGGCGAAAGGAAAAGGGTGTCTATCATCGAGACCTTGGCCACGCGCGGCTCCGTGTTCTGCTGGGACAACAGCACTCGAGGTCTTGATGCAAGCACGTGAGTTCATCCACTATTGCTATTATGCGCGAGTATCTCTCTTGCGGAACCCCTCTCTAACATGGCGTCCTGTACTTAGTGCTTTGGAGTATGCCAAGTCCATCCGAGCCATGACAGACGTGCTAGGCCTCTCATCCATCGTAACGCTGTATCAGGCCGGCAACGGCATCTACAATCTCTTCGATAAGGTTCTCGTCTTGGACTCTGGCAAAGAAGTCTTCTACGGCCCTCTGCAGGAAGCCAAGCCTTTCATGCAGGACCTAGGATTCATCTGTGCCGAGGGTGCCAATGTGGCAGACTACCTCACGGGCGTTACTGTTCCTACAGAACGTAAGGTAAGGCCGGAAAAAATGGACATGTTTCCGCGCACTGCCGCCGCGCTCAGGTCTGCATATCAGAAATCACCCATCTATACTCGCATGATCGCAGAGTACGACTACCCGGACAGCCAGGCGGCCAAGGACAACACAGAAAAGTTGCATCAGGGCGTGGCCATGGAGAAGAACCATCGACTCCCTTCCAGCAGCCCCTTGACTGTCGGTTTCGTGGACCAGGTGGTAGCCTGTGTCAAGCGACAATACCAGATCGTCTGGGGCGACAAGGCTACCTTTCTCATCAAGCAAATATCGACTCTTGCCCAGGCGCTGATCACCGGATCCCTGTTCTACAACGCCCCCGACACCTCTGCTGGGCTGTTCATCAAGTCTGGGGCCCTCTTCTTCTCCCTCCTCTTCAACTCGCTGCTCGCCATGGCTGAGGTCACTGAGTCCTTCAGCGGTCGCCCTGTTCTCCTCAAGCACAAGAACTTTGCCTTCTTCCACCCTGCCGCTTTCTGCATCGCACAAATTGCCGCCGATATCCCGCTCCTTCTGTTCCAGGTCTCCATTTTCTCTCTTGTGCTGTACTTTATGGTTGGTCTGACCATGACTGCTGGCGCTTTCTTCACCTACTGGATCCTTGTATTCTCTGTAACCATGGCAAGTCTTCGACAGCTCTTCCATTTCTTCCTTGTAAGCTTACCGGAGCCCTTGCTAATGGCAAACGTGACAGTGTATGACAGCTTTGTTCCGAGCCATCGGTGCGGCCTTTTCCACTTTTGACGGAGCCTCCAAGGTTTCTGGTCTTCTTGTCATGTGCAGCGTGATGGTAGGTCTCTCTCATCTCTCTCTCACACCCATTTGGGATGCACAATTGCATACCAAGTATACACGAAATAATTGCTAACTAACTATAATCACAGTACACGGGATACATGATCCAGAAGCCCGCAATGCATCCATGGTTTGTTTGGATCTTCTGGATCGATCCTCTTGCATACGGATTCGATGCTCTTCTCTCGAATGAATTTCACGGAAAGCACATCGATTGTGTCAGCAATAACCTTGTCCCCTCCGGCGTAGGGTATGACAACACCTACGCCTCTTGTGCAGGCATTGGTGGTGCTATCCAGGGCGAGACGTTCGTCACCGGAGACAACTATTTGGCGTCGCTCTCGTATAGTCACGCTCACCTATGGAGGAACTTTGGTATTGTCTGGGCCTGGTGGGTCCTGTTTGTTGCCATCACTGTCTTCTCCACCTCGCGCTGGAAGTCTTCCTCCGAGAGTGGTCCGTCTCTGCTCATCCCAAGGGAGAAGGCCAAGGTTGCTAGGGCGCTTCAGGTCGACACCGAGGCCCAAAGCACTGAGAAGGATGGCGCCACCACCACTGGGTACCGCAGTGGCGATGAGACGGCCGTGGAAACCAGTGGTGAGAGCAGCATCGATAAGCACCTCGTCCGCAACACATCCGTTTTCACATGGAAGCATCTCTCATATACCGTCAAGACACCACACGGTGATCGTCAGCTGCTCGATAATGTTCAGGGCTGGGTGAAGCCAGGGATGCTAGGGGCCCTGATGGGTTCAAGTGGTGCTGGAAAGACGACTTTGTTGGACGTCCTCGCGCAGCGGAAGACCGAAGGCACAATTCGTGGGTCCATTCTTGTGGATGGACGTGAGCTTCCGGTCTCTTTCCAACGGTCTGCGGGGTACTGCGAGCAACTCGATGTGCACGAGCCCTTTGCAACAGTCCGAGAGGCCCTCGAGTTCTCTGCCTTGCTGCGGCAGCCTCGCCACGTTCCTCGTGAGGAGAAGCTCAAATACGTTGACACAATCATCGAGCTCCTCGAACTCCATGACCTCGCAGACACTCTGATCGGGCATGTTGGCGCAGGATTGAGTGTCGAGCAGAGAAAGCGTGTGACAATCGGGGTGGAGCTCGTCTCCAAGCCGAGTATCCTGATCTTCCTGGACGAACCCACCTCGGGTCTGGACGGGCAGTCGGCCTACAACACTGTTCGCTTCCTTCGCAAGCTGGCCGATGTTGGCCAGGCAGTGCTCGTTACAATCCATCAACCGTCTGCGCAGCTCTTTGCTCAGTTCGACACTCTACTCCTGCTCGCCAAGGGTGGCAAGACGGTCTACTTTGGCGACATTGGCGAGAACGGTGCAGTTGTTAAGAGTTACTTTTCTCGATATGGCGCTTCGTGTCCGGAAGAGGCCAACCCTGCTGAGCATATGATCGACGTCGTCTCGGGCCATCTCTCTCAGGGTCGTGACTGGAACCAGGTCTGGCTAGAGTCGCCTGAGCATGCAGCAGTCACCAAGGAACTGGACCAGATCGTTGCCGACGCTCAGGCGCGCCCACCAGGGACCCTCGATGATGGTCACGAGTTCGCTATGCCCCTCTGGGATCAGGTCAAGATTGTAACACACCGGATGAACAGCGCTCTGTGGCGCAACACCGACTACATCAACAATAAATTCGCTCTCCACGTCACTAATGCGCTATTCAATGGCTTCTCCTTCTGGATGATCGGCGACTCCATCACTGATCTGCAGCTGCGCCTCTTCACAATCTTCAATTTTATCTTTGTGGCTCCCGGTGTCATAAATCAACTGCAACCGCTGTTCATCGAGCGCCGCGATATATTTGAGGCGCGCGAGAAGAAATCCAAGATGTATTCGTGGTCTGCCTTTGTCACTGGCTTGGTCTTCTCCGAATTTCCCTACCTCTGCATCTGCGCTGTGCTCTATTTTGTCTGTTGGTACTACACCGTGGGCTTCCCGTCCGAGTCCACCCGGGCTGGCGGCACCTTTTTCGTCATGCTTATGTACGAATTCGTGTACACAGGCATTGGTCAATTCATTGCAGCATACGCCCCCAATGCCATTTTCGCTTCGCTAGCAAACCCAGTCATCATCGGCACCCTGGTCTCTTTCTGCGGCGTTCTGGTCCCGTACGCTTCCATCAACGTCTTTTGGCGGTACTGGATATACTGGATGAACCCTTTCAACTACCTCATGGGCAGCATGCTCGTCTTTGATGTTTGGGGCACCGACGTCACTTGCAAGAAAGATGAGCTTGCTATCTTCGACCCGCCCAACGGGACTACCTGCGAGGTGTACTTGGCCGATTACATGAAGGGCAGTGGAATCCTGAGTAACCTTCTGAACCCGAGCGCCACGAGCGGGTGCGAGGTATGTCAGTACCGAGACGGAAGTGGCTACCTGGAGACCTTGAACTTGAAGTCTTACTCCTACGGCTGGCGGGATGCGGGAATTGTGGTCTTGTTTGCATGCTCCAGCTATGCCTTGGTCTACGTGCTGATGAAGTTGAGGACGAAGATGAGCAAGAAAGCCGAGGAGTAAAGAATGGGAAAGTTGGGAAAGTAAGCTTTTTTAGATGTAAATAACCTTTTTAATATTCTTATTTTCTTCTACGCGACAGGCATACTTTGCATGCGCTCGGCATCTCGAGGCGGTCATGTGCCTTTGTTCCAGTTTGAATATCGCGATCCATTCATAATTCATCAGATGGCGAGGACCTCCTGGTCAAAGAACTCAAAGACAAACTTCAACGAGACGACATAATGCCTTGAACATCATTTCGGTCAGTGACATCAGTTTCAACAGCGTGACGAGAGCGGCGGCAGCAAATGGCATAGATCGACTAAATACAGCGAGGTAAGTTTTACTTTACCTGTTCTTGATATCATCTTCCTGAATATCGTTTCATCCACGGCTTTCATTGAGCTCCCGCTAGTGTGATAATGCATTTGACTATTTCATTGCACTTTGTTTTACACTGGTCAAGAATCGCTGCAAAGAAAGCGATGACAAGAGATAGAAGAAGGGCGGGGCCCTACAACAGTCCGAGAGCCGTAGACTAGGAAAAGGGATCAGGGCCCTCATGCAGATGTTACAACCGAAACTCCCCACCCCCGTGATCAACCCTGCAATACGCCCCATGGGGCCCATAAGAAGTTTCGGGTAAACATCACCCCAAGTCGGCGGCCCGCGCCGATAGTCATTGAGCTCGAGCTAATATAGTAGCTTTATCCAAATACGGCTGCCAACTATGATAATGCGCTTATCATGCAACATGGGGCGACGCTTGTGTCTAAAGAGAGATATCGTGTTATAGGGGAAGACGACTTTGAGTGGCACATTATCTACCACTTGCATATTGCCCAAAACCTGCTCCAAGGCGTTTCACAGGCTGCAGCACGGCAAGGAACCACGCTGGTGGTAGGCCGATACTATCTGCATCAATCAGGGTGACTCGGAGCTAGCAGGTCAAACAAATGGGAGAGGTGTCGTTCTGCTATAGTGTATGCTTTGTTGACAAAGATGTTCCCAGGGACATTCAGTTGGATAGAGAAGAGGTTGTTAGAGGTTTTAGTTCGCGGGCTTGATGACAGATCGTGGAGCAGTACGAGTGGGCTCACTTCAACTGACCCTGCTTGTCTCGTCAAACTCGTGTGCCGATCATGGCTCACGCACTTTTGGAGCGAATCTGGCATGAGGTCTTCCGATCTGTGACGAGCTTAAATTAGCGTTCTATCTACTTAACTTTGTCGTTTGAGATCGCTGTGTCAAATGAGATCGATATGAACAGACACCGACAACATATAAAGGAGAAACGCTCGCTTACTATGCCATGAATTCCATACGTTCTTGTGACAACATTGCACACAGTGCTTGACACCGTCTATTGGTGGGGTTTCAGGCAATGCATCGTTCTTGCTGCTAAGGCACGAACCGTCAGCCTCAAAGGTCAAATGCCGAGTGTCCCCAATTAATCTGGGAGGGGTTGACAAAAGGATCTGCACAAGACGAATCGCGCAAAGTTTAAACAAGACACGCAACGGAAATATCAAACAATCCGTTCCTCCTTTTGGTCTGGGTCCAAGGAATATTCGGATTCCAGTGCAGCACCGAGTGATACCCGGTGCCAATATATGTGCTGAGCATCATTGGTTGCATGTGAGAGAAAGAGGGGGCTTCAGGCCGTGGACGTTATATATCCGTCGACTGTGGTATCGCTAAGAACGGCTTCACTTCGACTCGTCAAATTCCAACCCCTTCTTTCAATCAAAATTCCTGGCAAATATGCTTGAGCTACTGTTGACACATACGGCCATAGGCTTGATATTCCTCATCGCTATAGTATTGTACGCAGTGTCTTTACTTCGACAATGGATGAAATACCCAGATGCACCTGGTCCGCTACTTGCGCGATTCACAAACATGTGGCAGACGTACAAGATGGCAAAAGGCAATTTTCATCACGACAATATTAAAATGCATGATGAATATGGTACGCATCTCATGTTCATTGATACTACTTGCATTTTTTTGTCCAAGCTGAATTTCCTCAATCTTCATTCTTCTAGGCAAAATCGTTCGAACCGGTCCCGACTCTTACAGCATCAACGACCTAGCGGCAGCCAAGATCATCTATGGCCATGGCACACGTTTCACAAAGTCTGATTGGTATCGGGTGTGGGATGTTCCTTTTGACATTCATGATGTCAATCTCTTCGCACAACAGAATATCGAGCAACACGCTACCGCACGTCGACGCTACGCCAATCTCTATGCCATGTCTACCCTGGTCGGCTACGAGCCTCATGTGAACGACTGCATCCAAGTGCTATGTACAGAGCTGGCCGACTGCTGCAAGACTGGAGAGAACCTTGATATGGGAAGGTGGTTTCAGTATTATGCATTTGATGTGATCGGGTCCATAACGGTGAGGTCAAAATTTCCCCGCAGAATGCCTCGTGTCTTATTCTGCTGACGCGTAGTCTCCCAGTTCTCACGGCCCTTTGGTTTCATGAAATCCAAGACAGATGTCCACGGCCTCATAGCAGCCCTTGGCAACACCCTCGAAGTTTTTCAACTAGTGGGAATGTTCCCTGCTATTATACCCATCCACACCTGGCTGATGTCGGCGATGAGCAAAAGCAGCAACAAATTGCTGGTATTCGCCAACACATGCATTAACGAGGCCAAGAAGAATCTGCTACATGGGATTGACGACGAATCCGAGATTCTGAAGCAGGTGCAGACGCCGCCGGACTTTTGTTCCAAGCTACTGGCAATGGCGGATAACCCAGACAGCAAGATACGTGGAGGCCTCGCCCCCGACCAGCTTGTAATAGGCTCATGCCTGGCGAACATCTTTGCAGGAAGCGACACGACTTCAATAACGCTCACTGCGACATTGTTTGAAATATTAGCACGACCAGAGGTGCTTGTCAAGCTGCGCGCAGAGCTCGATGAGGCATCTACCCATGGTCAGCTGAGCGATCCCCCAACATTTCAAGAGACACAGCGGCTCGCCTACCTACAAGCCACCTTGAAGGAGGCTCTTCGTATACATCCTGCCACGGGGTTACCTCTCTGGAGGCAGGTCCCCTCAGGCGGTGTGACGCTATGCGGAACATATTTCCCCCCCGGCACAAACGTCGGAGTGAATTCGTGGGTGGCGCATCAGAATCAGGAGATCTGGGGCTCCGATGCCCACACATTTCGTCCAGAGAGGTACGTGTCACCGCTGTGGTGACTTGAAGCTGGTTCGGACCAGGATATACAAAGCATGATCAAGTAGGTATCCGCATTGTTTGACGGGTGCTAACTCTCAATCTATAGATGGATCGACGCTCCAGAAGAGAAATTGCGTGAAATGAACGCATTCTTTATGCCATTCGGGCTGGGATCACGCACTTGTATTGGCAAGAACATCAGTCTGCTGGAAATCTCCAAAGTCATCCCTCACCTGATCAGGAAATTTGATTTGAGCTTGGAAAATCATACGCTCCCTGCAAGGTGTGCTTGGTTTGTTAAACCGCACAATTGTATGGTATCAATTCGCATGAGAGGGCAGTGAAGCGACTTTCCCAATCCCCTGGCCTGGGCAGAGATTTTATACAGCAAGGACCTAGACCTCCCGATGTACGGGCTTGACATCACCTGCCCTGTACGATTTATCGTAGTCATCATAATGCGGCGCATCACCACTTTCATCTGAGCGGAAACCGAATGCTTTTTCGCTTGTGCACATCGTTCTCATAGTTTAGCATTTTGGGTGCTCGGATTGCTGATCCTTGCCACCGAGAGTGATGTTGAAGTCAGGTAGTGGATCCCGAGATTGGAAGGGTCAAATTCATTCGTGTACTCAAACTCGAGGATAGGTTGTCTATGGCACCCACAAATGTGGTCATGCCATGATCACAATATTTGGTGGCGGGGTGACCATTGAAGACCGGACATTAGCGTCATTGATGAAATTATGTGAATTAAGTAGAGTGTAATGCTGGTTCTATGTAAACGATGTGTCAATCAAGCGTCCAACTTGGTTAAAACCGGTCCATGTCTTGAGGCTGAGCAGACAACCAAGCGGTCAATGGTCATTTAAAGCTAGAGTTCAACTCAACAAAGTGGCCGCAACAAAACCAAAGTCCTAAAGTATCTGTTTCACGCTATCAAAATTGTTTACAATTAAATTGCAACAGAGAGACAGTGTTCTATCGTGCCGGACTATTGTAATAATTCAGTGACACCAGGTCAAAGCTAGCAGCTCTTTTGCGCATGCGTCCAGGCTTCTCACATTGGATTCCAGACCGATTTACTGTTGTCACAGCATGTTCCCATATTGATGTACTGGGAGCCTGCTTCTCTTCCGAACCAATACGTACAATCGCTTCGTCCTCTATCGGACTCTGTGCGCCAGAGCTCTTACGATCAAGACTCGTCTTCCTTTCTGAAGGCCTGGTTTCTGACAAATTTGAATTGGTCAAATTTGCGGGCTCGGAGTTCGAAGACGGCCGTTGAGCAGGGAGCCCCTTATCTGTTGCTTCGCCTGTTGCGTTGTCTTGTGTGGAGTCTCGACCTTTGTCCGGATTATCTGCCGGTGCTAGTTGGACTTTCGCCATCGCTGGGCGCACATCAATGAACGACGACCTCCTGTCCTGAGGCATCTTGAATCGTTCCGCTAACTTTGATCGATCCAATCTGGGTCTATCAAAAGAATGATCTCTCACTTGGGCCGGGCTTTTGCTGCTGTACTCTCTTGGACGGCTTGCTTCTCTTGGTTGCGTTCGGAGTCGCTCGTGAGATCCTTTTTTACGGAGCTTTGACTGCACATGACGTCTGGCAGTCCTGTACTCAGGCTCGTACTCATATCGGCCGCGACCGACTTCGACAATATCGAACCTTCGGTCTGGATAATTTTCTGGATTTATGTTCGATCTTCCCTTGACGTGATAGTTGATCTTCTGCCGCACTGATCCAGGAAGCCAATCGGAGAAACGTAGCGCGGCGTGGATGGATGTGTCAAAGGCCGCCATCTCCTCGTCCGATAGCGCCATGAGTAGGACATCTCGCGCAGCCAAACTCAGAACATGATTGGTTGGTAAATACTCAAAATTCTCCCAAAAGCCGAAAGCAGAGATCTTTGCCCGGAGAAGCCTCTTTGATTCCTCAGTCTCGCAGAGCAAATATTGCGAGAGACAGGTCCCGAGGTGACCATACAGGTCACCTTGTTTCTGGTCCTGGATTTTGGACAGTTCATCGAACAACAATGCTGGACTCTTCGACCAATCAATGAGCTCTTGAAGACAGGCGACTTGTAATGAATAGTCTCCCAGAAATCTGGCAGCACCCAATGCCATTTCCACCGCTCTCTTTGCATTATTTGGCATCTCAAGCGCTTTCCAACCAGGGTTATCGGACTTGATCGGCATATAGTAGGGAATGCCACAGCCTAATCTCTTCGGAACTATCCATAGACCAGGGCCAGGGCTTTCAGGCCGAGAGAGGGAAAGCTGAGCTTCAGATTGGACGAGCAATTCTTCGGTACTTGTTGCCAGTAGCCAGTACAAAATTGGTCTCGTAATTGCTTGGGCCGGATACATTTCTAGTACCGTCTCGCTGATAGGCCTGGCGATGAGAATTGCAGCGGCAGAGAACCTTGTGGAGCGATCATAAGTCGTAGCGCTGAGAGCCAGCAAAGAGAATATTTCCAAGAGGGTGAGATGAGTAGATTCATCGGCCTCTGTTGTCATCCAATCGTCATGTATGCGTTGAAAAAAGGTCGTCGGGCTGTCGCACTCAAAGAAAATGCGCTCAAAGGACCCCCACAGGGGACGTGTCCAGATACAAAAGGCCGCGAGGATGTCTCTCAAGTCCCAGATTCTATTTTCTTTGAGGAGCTGCTGATATGTCGCTCTCCAGTCAATCCAAGAAGCAGGGTCCGGCGGCAAGAAGAGGGGCTCGACTAACCTCCGATGAGTCGATATCAGACGGATTAGGAGGCAGAAGATTCGTATCTTTCGCATTTGAGCGTCAGCATGATCGCAAAATCCGCGACACAAAATGAAAGTCATTGAGACAGGAGGAAAAAAGAATGATAATACAAGAGGGAATACTAAAGAAGAAGGAGAAGAAAACAAGCGAGGACAAAAGAACGGAAACCAAATTATGGAGAACGTAACGTGGTGACTCGCTTTCAAGGAATAATGACTGTCCGAGTTTTGAGACGAGCCATTCAACATACCTGCGTAGAGTCGAACTCGCCATCTGGATCCACTGGTAGCCATGCATCTCGCATCTCGGCAAAGATCTTTCGCATATCATGCTGATTTGAACTGAAAGCGATCCAGTACATGATTTTCCAGTTGAGATAAGGTCTTTGTGTCCGGCTAATGTCCGAGGGGAACACATTCTGAGCGTGAGCTTCCAACTGAACAATCGATCTGAAGTCGCCTGCTTCCAACAGCATTTCTGCATAGTGAATGAAGACAAAAGCATCGCCTATGTGGTCTTTTAGATGGTTGGTGAAATAGACCTTTGCTCTTCGAAAGTCTCCCATTCGCGTCAGTCGGCTGAACTCTTCAAGCTCGTCTTCAATATCCGGAACCAGCTCAAATTCTCTCTGCACCTCGTAGACAAAATCGTCTCCGTCGACAGCTGCAGACCTGTATGACACGACAGATTCCTCCTGAGAGTTTCCCAGGGTTGGCACGTCGTACAATACTGGGCGAAAGGGGTCTCTACTACGGCGGCGCTGGGGATATGTAATTTCTCCTGCTTCATCGAAGGCAGAATTTGAGTTGAGTCCATTGGATGCGTACTTCCTTTCGATTATACGGCTATTACGCTTAGCGGAAGCCGCCAAACGATCGCGTCGTGATGTAGGCATCATCTTCCCTCATCAAGCAGGCGTATGTTTCTCCTGTGATCCAACCACCGGCTACCACCGTCGTTGTTCTGGGGCCCGTACGGTCGTCCCATTTGAAACCCAGTAGCCAGTATTGACTCGGGTTCGGAAGTGCCCCTATATAACGGGACGAGTATCGGGTGGATGTATCGGGTTATTGTATCGGGTTTCGTCCGAGAATGGATGTCATCGCTCGCTTGACAGCATGTGTGTAAGAAGAGTATGTAGGGATCCGTGATATTTAGGAAGAGGTCAGACACAGGAGAAGCGATGGAATCAACCAGCACTTAGTAATCTTACATAGTGCTTCCTCACCAGCTGACGAAATGTGGTGCTGAGATCAGGCTCCGACTTGTCTTACTGCATATCAGCACAGAACTAAATGAGCACAGCCGAGATCAGCATGTATCATAAGCAGCCACCCCCGCTCATGATTTCCAGAAAAGGCTCTTTTTGTCATTGGCGCGTACACATGGAGTTTCAAATGGCGCTCAGAAGACAATATAATTGGTAAGCTCTTCCTCGTTGATCAGCGCTATTTGATGCAATCCCGCAGCACAGCCTCTTTTATGCTTGGTTGCCAAAGAGGTCACACAGGATGAGCCGGCCATGCCGGTCTTTGACGCAAGAAGATCTCGGTGAGTCCCTCCCACATTTTCTTCTACTTTGATCTTCCATACATTGACTGAACCTCTGGTCTTCATCTGGCACCCTCCGTCCAGCTCTCCTTTGGATTGGTTCCTCAAGAAAAAAAAAAGAAAAAAGAAAAAAACCCGCCCTTCACGATTAGCAACATGAATTATGAGACCCCACGACCTCGACTATCCAGTGCACTCAGAAACAGGTATGGAAGATACGGGGAGTTCCGCGAGTTCGGGAACATGTCTTCGAACCATGCCAGTATAGGGTCTAGGACTCTTGGGAAAATGGTCATCGACTGCGAGTTCTTATTCAAGAAATCTCTCTGGGGAGTCCTCGGTGACAAAGAGTATCCTGCTGGAATCATATATCTCAACCTCAACTTTGGCCCACCGAAAGGATGCAGGGTTAAAAGCGCAACTATCACTATCACTTTGGATGATACCGACCCTTCTGTTAGCCATCTCAAATATGGGCGGAACTTACACAGGACTGGATGTCCCGTTCAGATTACATCTTGGTATGGCCCCAGAGAGCTTGGAGGACAGATGAAGACAGTCGACACTCAAGCAACAAAAGAATTTGTCCCTGAGATAAACGTTCTGGGCAGTGGAGGGGGAGGAGTAGGCTTTAAGTCGAAAAAATATTTCCAGCATCAAGCGCGTTGGTCCTTCAACGGCCAGCTACTGCCCGGCAAGGATACGTGGGTCTACAAAACCCTGCGGTGGGATCTGAGCGAGAACGAACTCGAGAGGCAGTCATTCCGCAGCAACACAATCCGGACAGCCTTCGCCTTTGAACACTCCGGGCAGCCATTCTTTATGAAGGTCGACATAGATGGCAAATTGGAGGGTTGGAATCAACAGGTACGGTCGAAGTTCAAATTTGGCGCCAGCAATACCAAAAGTTCCAGCATTACAACACTTTTGGATTTTGAGGATTACACGCGCTATAAGAAAAGCCTGGACACGCTGGCCCGAAGTCTTCCCCGGGATATGGAGATGGCAAATCTGGAAGAGATTCCCGTCGAGGTACCAGACGTGATATCCGGGACCACCATGCGCCCTGTGGTACAGGCCTCGGCCCGAACCCACTCGGGGGTATCCAGCCAAGAGACATGCACGAATGTGCCGATGGACAGCCCTCAAATTCTTCCAGGCAGCGGACATCCATTACTGGGTGCTAATGGACCTCCGATACCATTGTCGTCCATCCCAGACATGACTGGTGTTCCAACGATCGAAGATTTGAGAAGGGTGTTAAGTGCGTTTCCGCAACGGCCACGTCCCTTCTTGGAAGTCATTCCTGGCCTCGAATCTGAGCCAGTACCGAGTACAGCAAGTACTCTTGTGGACTCTGAGCAAGAAGGATCATTGGCTAGCGAGAGTGAGATCAAGGAGACGGGAGTACAAAGTTTTCAAACCCAGTTTGATGTCTTGAGGCTGCTAAGGATACCAGCCATCCTGACGTTCTTACAGCTAATTTCAAACTTGATAAGGTTTCTAGGATATGGATCTAAAAATTACTTAATGACAAAAGAGACGGATGGGGAAAAGGAGGAGCATGTTAGAGAGGACAAGGTTAAGCATGTAATTAATCCATGATTAGAATGCGCAGAAACAGGGCGGTACGAGAAAGAACACCTTAAGTTACTATCGGTAACTCTTAAAAAAAAATTAAAAAACTCCTCACCACCTTTACCTTGGTTATGAGTAAATTCGGTCGATTATATCAATATCCAACTGTCTGCGTTCGCAAAGAAGGCCTTGAGCACAGAAGTGCCAGTGAGCCGAACCTAGAGTTGTATCTTTCACAAGGTTCCCTCCCAAGCTGTTCTTTGCTAGTTTTCCTCGCTTTCCTTTAAACTTCAATTGCGTTCCATAAGATTGCTCAAGCCAGGCGTCCATTCGACCTTCTTATCTTTCCGCATCTCTCTTCATTACTTATACTTACAGCTATTATTAAGAACTTCCTACTCTTGAGTAGATGCCTCGAAAGCATTTCTGGACTGTTCGCCGTCAAATCTACTCTTCAATCTGGAGGTCTTGGACATAAATCAACCTAGCCCCGTCAAGGCGCCCATCTGCACTGACCCTGACCGGGTCAATCATACCTCGATCAGTCTACTGACGACTTGACATCCCAACAAAAGGCCCGCCGTCTCTAAATCCTGAAGAAGCCCAATTATGCTATGGGTAAGGCGCTCCTGAAACCACCAACGGGCAATTGAATCTCGCCCCCCCATTTCCTTGCCATGCCCAATTCACGTCTACTTTAAGGGCAAAGGTTGTTAAGGCCGCATTTTGGAGTGCGAATTGTTCTATGACTTCATAAGTGCTTGCCGAATTGATGCATTGCGGTATCTCTAGCTAAAGTTTGACCAATTCCACCAACAACATACATCTTCTTAAAGACTTCGAAGTCCTGATATTCAAGAAGGATCATACTTGCAGCGCTAGTGTTTGGTTGTAGATGTCATTATCAGGTGGTGTAAGGCGAGATATGCTGCTCGGAGCCTGACCTGATAGTTCTCAAACCCTTTTAGATCGTTGTCCAATGGGTGGCTTCCCTCCTGCCAGAGTTGGAAACACATGTCTTAATGGATTCACTGACGCGATAGCACTCTGTGCTTGCTTCACTCCCATCTTCCTGCCTCTGCCATCGCAACTATCACAAAGGCTTTGTGATAGTTGTGACATCCGGTTCACAGCAGTTGGGGCATGTCGTGCCCATGTCTACCCTCAACACTGCACAGACGACACATTCACCTAGCACGCATCTCCTATACACTAGATTTATGACACATTTAGGTACTCTGCCATTTCATCAAGTTCTTCCGTAAAAGGTGCTGTTCTTACTGCCAAATGGTGTTAATACATACTGAGGATTATTGACAATAATACTTTACTTGGCAGGTACGTCTGTTGACATGGAAAGGAGCCACGCAGGGCACATGCCAGATGTGCATCGCCCCGTGGAGGAAAGAGCAGCCTCGAGGAGGAAAGAGCGGCCTCGAAACTCAAAAAGAGCTTTTTGCTCGTCTGGAGGTCCGAGAGGTGCTCCTGATGTTTTTTTCCATACGTTTCTCCCAATCTAAATACAAACAAAATAGAAGAACAAGACCTTCGCCCCCCCCCCCCCCCCCCACCCACCCCAAAACCACCAGCAGTAGCAGCAGCAGCAGCAGCAGCAGCAGCAGAAGAAGAAGAAGAAAACACTGCCCCCCTCCCCCCTCAAAACAACAACCGCCGCGGCGGCCGCCAGCAGCAGCAGCAGCAACAGAACAAGAAGAAGAATGAAGTTTCTTGGTGTCCTTTTCGCCGTCGGCGCCAGTCTCGGGGCCCTTGTGGCCAGCACCAACATCCCCACCACCCTCACCATCTCTGTCGCAGCCGCCACCACCTCCACCACCACCACTGCCGCCGCTGCACCCGCTGCAGCCACCGTCGACTCGGCCGGTGACAACCCAGCTCCGGAGAACTGGAGCTGGGCGATCACCGGCATGGGGATGGCGGTGGCTGCAGTGGGCAGTTTTGTGAGCGGCGTGATTGGCTCCGTGATGACGGAGCTGCTGGGCAAGAAGAGGAGGGAGGAAGAGAGTAAGGAGAGAGAGGAGGACATGGAAAAGAAGGAGAAGAAGGAGAAGGAGGAGGAGAAGTTGGCAAAGGAGAAGGAGAAGGAGAAGGAGAGGAAGGAGAGGAATCGAGAGAAGGAGGAGGAGAACAAGATGATGCAGGACCTACAGAAGGAACTGCTACTGCTGCAGCTGCAGAAGCAGCACGACCTGCAGCTGTCGCTGCAGTAGCAACAACAGCAGCAGCAGCCACAGCAGGAGCAGAAGCAGAAACAGAAGCAGCAGAAGTAGAGGTCTCAACCGGAATAGTCTATCTTTAACGTTTTTTCTTGGAACGAAAAAAACTTTCCTGTTGCTACGCTGGCCTAATGGCCTACTGAGCCAAGTTGACACTTGATTGCTGATTATAGACCAGGGTTGACATTTCTACTCAGATCTTAACGTCCGGCCCTTGCTGATAGCGACCGAATACTTACTCTGGTTCATACGCACTTGGTGGATCTTCCGCAGACCAAGAACGTCAGGTAGCGGCTCGTTGAGTATGCCGAATGATGAATTACAGAGACGCTGCTATGCTTGAAACTGATGGTATTAGAATTCGTCTTCATCGCCTCCTCGGTAAGGGCGCGGCTTCGTGCTGGGACCATGGCTAAGGCGTTCAGTCTTTCTTTCGACCAGGGTAGATGCATAAGCGTCCCAGTCTTGCCCAAAGACCTCATGCATGAGAAAGAACCCAAACTTAAGGGGAAGTTCACACTTCCATGATACCGACTCGACCTTCGCCAGATCTGCCTTCAGTCCTGGGTTGGTTCTCGAGCTTCATGGGGTATTCGACCAGATCAACCACGACTAGCAAATTTCTAGGCAATCCCTCGAAGTACTCCAAGGGAAAGTAGTATTGAAGCTCGCAGTAGCCTTGAGGGCGCGGACATAGGCAGACGGCCCGTCGCTGTTGAAGGTAGCACGTGACCTAAGATATAGCTCTTCTCATTCGTCGCCTTGTTGATGAGTCAGTGTCTGCCTTGAAAAGGGTCTGGACGACAGCGGCCTGTCGCGACCCAAGCAAGCGCTCAAAAGGCGAGTATTCTTGTCGCCAGCGCTTGTCACCCACAACAGGTTTGAAGGGTTGTCTTTGTGAAGGAGCCTGCATTTGCAGGAATTGTTGACGCTGGGTTTTGTGTGTGGTTTTTTTTTTTTGGGGGGGGGGGGGGGGAGAGTTTGTATTCTATATATTCTCGGACGATCCATACGCACGCCAAAGGCAATCGAAATTGTTTTCCTTCTTCCATCTTCTCGCGCAGGAGGCCGGTGAAGTTATGTTCATACTTATTCACATGATCTCGAGCATTCTCGGCCGAAGTCGAGCTGCTTCCCACTGCGCCACGCATGGCTGTCCAAAATTCTGGAGAAACCAGGAACGCGTTTGTAGTAGTTGCGACAACCTTTCTGTCGGCACCAGTACACCTCAAAGCCATCTTGATCGAACGTCAGATCATACGAGTCCGGATCGAGGGATTCGTACCAATCGCCGCTCACACGACCTTCGGAGCCAAGAGGCAACGATCGTCTGTATTTAATTTGCAGACAAGGCTTGCCGCTGTGGCAAGGACTAAGCTCGACTTCACATGCGCCGGTCCCGCTACCCCAAACCTGCGCGCAGTGAATTTTGAGGCCGCGTCACACCTTTTAGTCATCTCAGAGTCCACCCGCCGGAGTGAAGAAGGCGGCGGCGAAGGCGAAGGCAGCGGTAGTCATGAGTCGCCCAGTCGTCTCGCAGGGTTCATGCGGCATGTCTTCTTGGGGTCCAAAGGTTGGCAGATCCGCCAGCCGGTCTCGTGCAGGCCCTCGAAACGAATACAATTGCAGGCGTTGGGATCGAAACAACGGAACTCCGGGGGAGCCATCCCGGGGGCTAAGTGTGGGAAGAGGAACCGCCCAGCATTATCGCCATCACGAAGTTTGCTCAGGAGCTGAGTCCTCAGGGCCTCGGCGCTGGGGGGCCAGTTCTCTAGTCCAATAGGCAGGTGTGTAGTCCAATACATGGTGAGTCTGAACGGGCTGGAGAGGCGGACAGTCGGGTACGGCCAGTCGACACACGGGCAGTCCATGCTGCTGTAGGGATCTGATGCGCGCGGGTCGCCCTCAAGCCTCCATCTGGAATCCTCGCATGCTACAAGGTGGCTGGTGTCCTTGCACTGAAATTCAGCCTTACTCCACTTCCACACGTCCGATCCAGCCTTGATTTTGCGTCTCATTTCCTCCACGTCGGATAGGTATATCACCCCGCTGTCATGGGCGCAAGATCGGAGAAACCCCCGGTGGGCAATACACTTCCGAAAATTCCGGTGAATCGCGCCACGGTCCGCCGGATCGAAGAGACAGGCCGGGTGGTCAGCTTGGCATCCAGAGCAGTAAAGATATTTGCGCAGCCGCTCGACCCGGTGCTCCCAGTGCTTTTTGTTGCTGGCCGCCGCAAGGCACCCAGCGCAGTACGCGTCCCTGCCTAGTCTGTGAAGCAGGTCAGGTCGGTCGTTCACATGCCACGGGCCACCGTAGCCCTCGATTTGGAGGTGGAACTCGGTGTGGTAGCCAAAGTGCTCTATAGAGTAAAAGCGCGGCCACGTGAAGGGTCCCTCGTTGTCTTTTGGCAGGTAGGTGCGCTGACGCTTGAGGATGACAGGAGCGCAAAGGGCTGGAAAGTGGCGGGCCACACGGCGAAGACACTCCACGTCTGCGTTGCTGTCGAGCATGTGGATGATCTTGGTGAGAACGGCGTCCGGAAGGCGGTGGAGCGGGCTTAGCTGTTGGTTGTGCCATGATGCCGCAATGAGTGGGTCCATGTTTTCATGAGAAGGAGGGTCCATATTATCATGGGAAGGAGGATCTGTATTATCATGGGAAGGAGTATCCATCTTATCATGGGAAGGAGAGTCCATCTTATCATGGGAAGGAGGGTCCGTATTATTATCAGAAGGAGGGTCCATCTTGTCATGTGAAGGAGGGTCTGACGCAGGTAGCGGGTCCAGCGCTGGCTGTGATTGCTCCGTGTATGGTGGTGGTGGTAGGAGGGTTGGTGAACCGCTTGTAGCTGACGACGATGACGACGGCATCATCATGGCCTCGTCGCCGGTGGTAGATGAGGAATGGTTGCTGACATTGCTCTGCCGCCGACGACGACGGAAGAAAAGGTGATTGAAATAGTCAATAATCATAACTGTATTTGATCTCTTTGTATTGGTTGATGCCTAAGGAATTTGGTATGTCGTGTAGGGAACAGGAAAGGTGGGTGGAAAGGGGGAGGGGCGCGCAGAGGATGAGGCAAGCTTCGTAGATTATGGGATAGGGAGAGAAGAAGGATCTTTTTATACTACTTGAGGACGTTACGGCTAAATCGCCTCTAGTCTGCAATGATTCACATGCTAACAGCAAGAAAGATACTAAACCATCCACCAGCACAAGGTTGAGAAACGCATGTCCAGCCAGCTGAGGACGGACCGCTGCTAGCTGAGCACCAGCAGGCCAAGTGAGTATTTATTCCTCGCAGGTGCTTAAGTACTGGGTCACTAGAATACAGGTTGACTATTGGATTGGATGGCGCATGCACACTTGTTGTAGTTTCGGATGATCATTGCTCATACAAATCGAGTGACCAAGCCAAATGGTCACTTGATTAGTAGACATTTTGCAAACCCCTAAACTGTAGGCATGTGTAAGTACGGCACACAAGCAATTTTGTGAGCACTTTTGTAGTCTTTGTTGCCGATATTTTTCCAGAATATCCTCGGTTGTGTTTCTGTGCTCAACTATTCTGTTCTTGCCACAGTCTTATTCCAATTATGCAACTAGGTACTTGGCTAGGGAGGGTCTTTTCTCTGCAAGGTTGTACCCAGTCAGCACGTTTGTTCAAAGCTAAGTGATATTGTCTTTGATCAAAATGTCCGAAGACGTGTCTTCATGAGATACTGTATCGATAGTGGATGTATGGGAGATACACTTCGCTCGGTTGCCAACGGGAGTATGGGTGATCGCTACCCCCAGCGCCTTAATTATTCAAACACCAGATCCGGGCGCCAAGCAGCCCCATCATCAAATCTCGAGAGACCAACCTTAAGCGACGTGGTGATGATCATATTGTTGCTGATGTAAGTAGTGTAGTTACTGGTTCTTCCACCATCGCTCTTGAAGACAAGACTGGCTATTAATCTTTTTGAAGATCTGAGGGAAGCAGTGTTAATGTTATGTCGAAGGCAAATATTGTTCCTTGAATATACAACTCTGGGAAACGCTGATAGTCATTTCTCTGTCTTCCCAGAGCTTCTGGCTATGAGTCCCGACACCTTCGTCTTTGTCAGCATTTCTGGATCTGCACAGCATCTAGCTATATGTTTTTTTTTTTTTGGTTTTTTTTTTTTTTTTTTTTAATTCGTTTTGCTTTCTTGCAGTGGCCAAAGTTCAGAAATCTAACACCGCATCCTCAGTACACTGGGTATTGCTCCACAGAAAGTTCGCGGCGTTCTGGTGGTCAGCTACAAGTCCAAAATAGATGTAACGCGTGCGCCAGGAAGAACTGAGTAAGGCTGTATGGGAACATCTGCGTTGATTAAGGTTTGAAGCTTCCTTATTCTGTTTTATGCATGAAAAAGGCGATTGAAGGATGCTGTATTTTATTAACATCAAGCCAAGCCAACCACTTTGGCCTAGCAATGATTCGTTTCCTGCACACATGACTCATTCAATTGTGGCGCGGCGCCTGATTGTAATCTCTTGGGCGGTTCCTCCATCCAGATCAAGATATCCTGAAACCCTTCATGCAGGGGCTGGCTGATCCACGATGAGAAAACCTCTGCGGCGTCCAGCCCAGGAGACCTCGTTACACATGAGCTATCTCGTATACACAATCGGGCCTGGGCAGCGGCTCAACGGTCGCCCACCAACAACGACCATCACAATATGGAGTGTGATCAACATCTGACCCTGCGCCTGATTCCTACTCCAGTTTTCTGTGCCGAGCCAAGCAGAGAAAATCTCCACCGGCAATTATTTATGCTTTCTGCGCAGGAGTTCTACATTCATGCAATTGCTGCATTTGGTTGTGCGCGCGCTCGAGGAGGATCGTCTTCTGAGGAGTAGATACACTTTCTATCATCGTCTACAAGTTCGCACTACTTGCTGATTTTCGATCTACCCATGTTCCGCTTAGAGGATAGATCTCTGGTGCCCTGGGTAGGGCGGGTGGATCCTGTTTATTGCAGGTAGAGGCTGCGCAGAAGTTTATTCCCAGGACGCAGGGAACCTGAGTCGTTTGAGGCGTCGATGCTTTCATACGCGTCCGACAACTGTATAAATCGACATCCAGCTGGTCGTCAAAAAGGATTGTTCTCAGTGCGTTCAAATCATCCTCAGTGTAGAATCCCTTCACATTCGTTCATCTCGTACAATCTTCAACAAGCCTGACCTTACGTACACACTCTCTTTACAAGGCCCGTCTCTTTCATTTGAGGCCACTTCAGACTTTGTCCTTGGACTCTAGAATACCACGAAGACCATCATACATAATGCGTTTTTATATTGCCTTGGTCGCAGCCTTTGCCGGCGTCTCGTGAGTGCAACCACCCTAATCTGGAACGGTCGCTATTACTGACCAAACAATTTCAGTTTTGCGGATATGCACTACAGCTGCACCTGCCACAATGGCGATAGCTACAACTGGCGAATCACTAGCCCTGCTTGCTCATTTTACGCACCCGATCGCCCTGCGGTGAGTTGGCCCACGTATACTTATCGATACCCACAAAACTCGTTCATAACTGACCATGCGCGATCACGGAGCAGGACGTCTCTTATGTCACGGACACGGGCCGCTGCACATCTGCATCTGGTAGCCAGATCGATGGTGACTCGTGGCAAGCGGCCTGCCAGAAGATTGCGACAGAGGGCTTTGACTGTGCTGACGGTCAGGGCAAGTGCTATGCAGAGTCGAGTGATGTGACCGGCTCTTGTGATTAAAACTTCCCTGGGTTTAAGACAAATGAGAGGGTTTTGCGATCAAACACTTTTCGAGTTTGAGTTAGGCACAAGATTGCCAGCGCCACAATATGGTGATGGAACTTTTTTGTACATAAACCTGAGAGTTTCTTACCCTTTTGACAAATATACAAAGCTGAGAGCAAGCTTTTGACAACTTCTCGTGACTTCTTACTGGTGGGTATTTCAATGTATCTACACCCCTTTGATCACGCCGCACAATATACCCACCGCTGCGCTCACCGCCCGATCATGACGCATGCTCTAGTTACCCAGCTTCGAACAACTGGAGTCGGGGAGGGTATAAAGCTAGCGTAAAGCACTGAGCGATGGACATGCATAACACAGGCAATATGAACACGCAGAGGAGGCCTAGTAGGCCCGGCCGGTAGCTGCGGCGGTGTGTGAGGTGGTGGGGTTGACCACAACTGACCCGATCCCAGCGCCGGCAGCAAGCGAAGTGCCAATATTCCTCCGTATTTCCTCTTCTTCTTTCCTTGGTTGGTGACACAGCACCCGCTGTTGGTGGTGTTGCATGCTAGGAGAGAAAGTGGTTCTTGGCAATACCGGTCATAAGATGTCGAAGACATTCTCATTGACACCTTCAACATTGTGCATGATACAGCGCTCGTGTTTGTTCTTGATACCGCGTGTACATTTCCTCGATGTACCACGTCTTTTACGCGGAGGGGTCTCATATGCAGTGATATTGTCGGTCATCGCCTGTCCAGCACGGTCGAGAATGATGCCATCCCGGATGTCCCACTGGTAGTTGTGCTTTTGCAGACCTGTTCCAGCCCCACCATCTCAATTTTTCTACTAGGGGAGTGCATCTCTGCCATGCTCACCAATCTAATACTAGGAGAAGTACAGGCGACGAGAGATGCACATTTGGCGGTGATAATAGCCAGATCCTGAGATGTCTAGAATGAGACGTCATGCCGGGGCACTTGCATTTGATCATTTTCTGTGAGAAATCCAGTGAGTCCCTAGGCCCATTCGCGCCACCCGCCCTCAATCTGGATGACCTCAAGTCACATAGCCAGCTCTTCTCGGATCGGCTTTCCTTCTTTCCTTTCTTTATTATGTAGCGCATCAAGTCACTCTTCTCTCTTCGGCAGCAGGCGGTTTTGTGTTTTCCACACCGGCAGAACGACTCACCTCGCTATTATTTATTGCTCCCCTAAATGCCATTTCAAATTCTGCAAGGAATGCTCTTCACCAGAATGGTTGTGTCGCGAGGCACAAATGCTCCATCTTGTGATAACCACAACAGCTACAAAATTTCAATACCAAGTGGGAACACACGTGATAGCGCCACATCCAATCAGGAGCAGCGAGATTGCATCCATGCATAGTTTGGGACAAGCTACCTACTAGCCACAAAGATTTCTTGAACTGATTCTTTCAAAATCGCTTGAGGCTTCGGAGGCGAGGTATTGCAGCTCGAGCATCAGCATTCCTTTTTTATCATCAAGGCTCTATACGGAGAATATGGCCTCGAGGTCATTCAAGCGTCTGATTGTGTGCTGTGATGGCAGCTGGATGAATGCCTTGGGTAAACAAGGGTGAGAGGGGAGAGGAAGAGAAAGCGGGGTGTCTGTTGTGCCATCAGTGCTGACAACCACGCATCAGCGAATCCTCTCCACCATCCAATGTTTGGCGGATCTGCCGTCTCTTCCGCAATGTGTGCGAGAATGGATGTAATCAGATCGTATATTATCATGCCGGCGTGGGCAGTTCGGGCTCCAGGCTGGACTCCGTGACCGGCGGGGACTTCGGCGTCGGGCTGGATGCGGTGAGTCGCATTGACAATTGCAATGTAGGTTCTGCAGCCCATCTCCATCTGACACTGATGCACAGGACATTCGTGAGCTGTATAGCTTCATCTGCATGAACTACGTTGATGGAGATGATATCATCCTCATCGGGTTTTCTCGTGGCGCTTTTACAGCGCGTGCTGTGGCAGACATGATCGCGTCGTTGGGCCTGCTGTCGCACAATGGTCTCGACCACTTCTACGAGATCTTCACGGATTACCAGTTGATGGGAAGCAAGAGTCGCGACCCTCAGAAGTATCTTTTCAAAGGGCTCCAGCCGTACGGTGATGAGAAGGGAACGGCAAAGATCCTTTGGGAAGAGGAGCGCAAGCGTCAATACCGTCATGCCCTGAATCAGGTTGGTCTTACTCTTACCTGCCTTACCATATTCCATGCGACCTGGGTTGACAATGATCCCACCGTCGCTTAGATGGCCTACACTAGAGACACATTTCAGGATGGAGTAACGAAGATCAAAATCAAGGCTGTTGCTGTATGGGATACTGTTGGAGATCTTGGTATTCCGCCGATCCCTTTGCTTGGCCTTCGGGGATCATCACAACAATAAGTCTCCCATTCTCAAGAAGAATATCGTGTATACCACTCACCAAGACCCAATGGACTAACTTTGCTCCATCACATGGCGTTTCACCAACAGCAACGTGGCAAAGGAGGTGGAGAATGCCTTCCAGGTAAGTACTTGCACATATCTTTCACTTACCCAGCAACCTATACCATGTTCATGATGACTGATAGAGAGGCGTCCTTCAGGCTTTGGCACTAGACGAGCCCCGGGCAGCCTTCAGGCCTGCGCTTTGGGAGCGAGTTCATGACAATGAGACCAATCTCAAGCAAGTGTGGTTTCCAGGAAGTCATGCTAATGTTGGTGGCGGCTACTACGATCAGCAGATCGCAAACATTACCCTGGCCTGTGAGTTCACGTCTTGGACCAGAGTTATGATCAAGATCCATGCTCATCACAATGCACACAGGGATGTGTGACCAGCTAATGTCTGTGGCCGTTGAATTTGACATGAACATCATGAAAAAGGTCTTCCTGGCCGGGCTGCAGTGGTCCGCAGCTCATCCTTTCCCGTGGGTTCCTTCTGCAACGAAGGGGCAGCCTCTTCCTTGGGCAAACAGCGACATTTTCCCATCCTCGACGTTTTCCACCTGTTCAAGGGATGAGGAGCATGACGACGTCGCGGTCGAAAGTACGACTGATGTGGCGAGTCTTTGGGCAACAGCCCGTCCCTGGGGTCTTGGGCAGACACGAGCACCTACAAGCTTACTGCAGAAAGCGATGGGACAAGTCACTCGTCGCCCTGGTCATTGTATGCGAATTGAAGAAGACACCAACGAACCGACCCACGAGCCGTTGATGAACACAGGTGAAGCGATACACAGCAGTGTTCGTGTGCGTCTCGTGTGTGGGGGATTGAGTATGGACGACGAGGAGACTTGGACCTGCAAGCCGCTCAGACTGTCAGAGGATTCGAATCAAGTCTGGGAACTGGAACGCGTGGGAACGGCCGACTTGAAGGAGTCATTGTCACTTACTGCAGGAGCCTTCAATCAGGATAGTGCGACAGCATCTGCGCTTCCGCATACACAGGCTACCTGGCAGTGGTCTTGCCCACAAGCTGTTGCTAGGGCAGATAATGCGGATGCAATGCAGGTGAACACAAGCTCAGGAATCCTCCCGGAGGAACCCTTGACGGGAATATGTGAGAGAACCTTGCTTGCATTGACAGCAGGCCAGCAGGATGTCTGGAAGTATGCTGAAGATAGTAAGGGTGCAACATCATAAACCTCTAGAGTGCGTATACTAAGTTCGTATGAGAACTCGGTGTCAGAATTGAGAGTCAGTTGCGCCATGGTTCCATTTGCAGCAGATTATGACGGCAGGATCTTTCTATGAATGACTGTACCACCCTGCGTATCGTAGTCCATCGCAGCTTCGAACGCTATGTTGTTCACGCCCAAGTGCTACAGCCACTCCACTGAAGTAACCCACCAATCCTTTGACAACAACATAAGTCGACCTATGTCACGTTAGTATCTACCGTTACTAATGTCACCAAATGGCATTACATCGGGGCTGAGCTTCAGAGCCGATGCGCTTTATCCAGTTTGACCCATCCCTTGAAGAAATCAATGTCTCAGCCAGTCATGGTCAGCTCGTAGCCTAATGAATACCACGGCCAGCCGAGACGGATATGGCTGCAGACACGTGCTAGGGTTTCCACGGCCACGAGTGGCCTTGTCTGGGTGACTAGACTCTGGCAATGTAACTGGACGTAGGATTTGAGTAAGACCCAGTGCATATGCTGCTGGTGGACTGACCAGCGTTTCTTGGATGCTCCCGAGGAGGAAAATGACTGCACTGCAGCTGGATTGACGTTGGATTCTGAGATGCGGTAGTTTCTTTAGCAAGAGCCACCTGCAAACGCGTCGCCCATGGACCATGGCTGGCGATAAGTACCTGCTAATTAACCATGCCTTTGTAGACGTAACGCTACTCCCGTTGATGACTGCATAGGTACTATAATGTATACATTTAGAAATAAGCGATGTGGCACCAGGCTTTCTTTCTTATGGCCAGATGCCGAAGCCTCGGAACAGCTTAGCTCATTGATGTCAGAGTATCGTACTAGGTGATCCTGCAGGTGTTTAATATCATTGAAACCAGTTTTTTTTTAGTTTTTTTTTTAGTGCTCAGCATGGCTGGACTTTTGACTCCATCCTGAACTATGAGATCGTTCTTGCGAACGGCAGTATTGTCGATGTCCAATGCGACGATGACCTACTCATCGCCCTCCGTGGAGGATCGAGCAATTTCAGCGTTGTAACGCGCGTGGATATACAGGGTTTCGAACAAGGTAACCTGTGGGCAGGGTTCCTCTTCGCGCCCATCTCGACGCTCGACAATCACATTGAGCAGTTTTGTGAACTTCAGTAAACCCAGTATCTACAATGTATACGCGTCGATGGACATGGCCATCGCCTATAGCGCTGCAGAGGGAAGGTTTATCATCAACCAGCCTGTGCACTTCAAGCCCGTTGTAAATCCAGACGTGTACGCGGACCTGCTAAGTCTGCCTCAGATGTCCAATCCGTTGAGAATCACAAATTTGACGGATCTGACGGCGGAAGCAGCCTCTCTGCAGGTAACTAGGTTGAGGTACGGTCCATATCACATTATGATGTATAACCTAGGCCTTTTTACGAAAGTTATAAACGTGAAACGAGAGAAATCAAGAAGTCAAGAGGCTAATCATCTCACAGGCCCAACTATCATGCCATCATGCTGAAGGCAACCACAGAAGTCATGATTGCCTCGTGGGCCGCCTTCAACGCAAGCATCCCTTCCATCTCAGGCGTGGCGAACATCAGCTAGTCCATCGTCTTTGAGCCTATCCCCCCGGCGATCTACGCGCGAAATGCCTACGATAACTCGTTGGGCCTAGAGACGAGAAATGGTTCTTTGATAGCCCTCCTCCTCATGGCAGCGTGGATGGACGCAGGGGATGCCAACACGGTCTACGGGGCGACAGCTTCGTTGACGAGAAAATCAAGGCCGCAGCGACCAACCTGGGGGCTTGGGATCCATACGTGTTTCTAAACTACGCAGACCAGTCTCAACATCCCATCGCGAGCTACGGCTCAGAGAGCGTCGCCATGCTTCAACGCGTGCGTGACGAGGTCGATCCAAACAAGGTGTTCACAAAGCAAGTGCCTGGAAGATTCAAGATACCAAATCGAGGGTAATTTTGACGGACGTCAGAACTACTTGCACGACAATTGAACATAGGAATAGACAAAAGATGCACGTGGTTACTGGCGTCACATTCTATCTTGCCCATCACGTCCCAGGCGCCAGGGACGAGGGGCCTCCAAGGGTTGACAATGGCACTAGGGTGCATGATAAGTGTTCATTGCTTCCGCACTCCCGTCTCCTCAGACAAGACTGTGCTTCCGCCGAACTTGACGCTCTTGCGCCGTTCTCGCTCACCTACTCCAGCCCGACCTGGACTCGTGCTCAGACCAAGCGAAGCGCCAGAACGACCAGCGTTGTTATCGCTGCTGGCACCGCTGAGATGAATGGCAGATGCAGCGTGCCTCAGCCCGCCACTGGCCAGTGACTCACGGGCAGACTCTACAGCGCGGCTCTGTGGGATGTCTTTTGCGTCGCTATAAACGCTGCCCTCGGCGAGGCTGCCCTCGCCGCCTCGTCGTCGACTTCCTCGTGAGCCGACAATGATATCATCGTTGCTGAGCGATCCTGCCATATACCGACCTGCAGAGAATTTTGGTGTAGTAGTGCCGCTTAGATTGGCCCTTCGGTTCACTTCCTTGACTAAACGACTGACCTCCTCTGTTCTTGCTACAGTGGACTCGGCCCGGTACTTCCCTGGAAGGCACGCATGTCCACAACCATCGAAGGGGCAGCAGCCGTCTGACAAAAGACTCGTGCCGTGACCATCTACAGACGATTCGGGCTCTTCATTCTCAACTTCGGAGTGCCAGCTCTGGAGACACGACGCGTGGCCCCCATGCCCACAACCACCGCAGTACCACCATGTCGACAAGGGAGCGTCTTCTTGCTCGGCCCCAGACGCATAGAGAAGGTCGGAGGTGATGTCGACTGCGGTGGTGGCTTCGGCCATATCGCGATGACGACAGATGGCGCACGGGGCCATAACTGCGGAGCAGCGCTCACACTGCCAGATTGGGTTCGGTCTTTTGCTCGTTCGACGGCGGTCAATCTCCCTAGGCTTGTGGCAGGTAGGGCAGATGAAGGCGGCCGTATTGTTAAATTGCGCTGGTCTGAAAACGGCCGGGTAGTCGTCGCCCCACTCCGAGAGGGACTCGCCAGGCCAGCCTTTGACGCACAACTTCCGGAGAACCGCTGCCTGCGTAAACAGCTTCATGCTCATAAGCCTAGAGTGGTGCTGTTTGAGGATGGCGGTTGCCTGGAAAGGATCGATCACGTTGTCGTCGCGGAGCAGCGGTCTCAAGAGGAGCACCATCGCAGAAGCATTCAGAGCTGAAGACCTGGTCTCGAAGTCCAGAGCCCACGACACGATTTTTGAGGGGTTGAGAGGACTCGGCGAGCCGAATGCTCTCTCTTCCTCCCAGGCGATTGGGTACGGGTACGGGGGATCATCCCACCACGGTAGGAAATCTGCTTCCCGGGGCAGTTCGGGATCCTCATAGCGGATCTCAAAAGAGCTGTGCGGGCTCACACCAACAGACGCCGTCTGAGAATTGTCCTGCGGATAGCTGTCAGGCCTGGGGTGTGACTCTCCCTTCTCAGAATTGACGCTGTCCATGGTGGTCTGTGTGATAATTGGGGGCTGCTCATCATCCGTAGATTGCGTTGCCATCGCGCTCATCGAGCTGTCTCGGACGAGAACTCCGGGTTGCCGGCTTGGAGAGTTGCGATCCGGTACCATGGCGCCTCTGATTCGGCCTTCGTACTCACCGGTGCTAGCGCTGTGGGTAAGCTGAGGATGATGTATCGAAGCTCCAGGTCTGTTGTGGCTCAGTCTTAGGAGGGGGGAGCTGGAAGAGGACGCTGCAAGCTGCGTGGTCTGCCTGCTACCGCTGGAGATGGAGAACATCTGGCCGTAGCTCTCGTCCGAGTCCTGCCTCGCGATGAACCTCCTCACACTGCCACGAGACCCTGGCTCAAACCCCTCATGACCATTCAGCGCGGGCACATCAATGGCTTTGCTGATGGTCTCTGTATCGTAGAAGTCATAGCCCTCGGTGCTCGCGTATGCATCACTGTCGTTACTCAGGGTAGAGATGGGTTCGGAGTCCAACCTTTTCCGCAGCGATGGGCGCTGTTGCAGCGGTGCAGGGAGTGCGAAGCTGGCGCCTTCTTGCACTGGCGTCAGCTTCTTCCCAAAAGCAAAGTTGTGATCAGCATGAGCAAGACTTTTTTCCATGGATTGGCTAAGTTCATCATCCACCGGCCGAGCAAGAGGAGTAGGGGCATTTGATGTGCTCTCGAACTCCTCTGATAACAAGGAGCGAAGTGCGCCCGCCTTCTCGGTACCGGTCGAGGGTGACAGGCCAGCCACCGAGGCACGGCTGGGCCCCCTCGAGCCTGCCTGGTCGGCACCGAGGTTCTTGGATGCCGATTTGGGTTTAAGCTTCCGCCTGGCCCTCTCTGATCTTTCCAGCTCGCCGCTTCGTCGGTCGAGATGGTATTGCGCTCTCCTCGGAAGCAGCAGCTGCACAGCATGAGCCAACAAGAGCCATGTCTGCGACAGGCGGAAAAGACCAATGGCCTCTGCGGCCTTGGAGTAGTGGTGTAGTATCAACACGACACGGTCCTCGAGGGAGCCTGCATCCTTCCTACAAGGCAGCAAGTCCTGGAGGGTCTCCAAATAATGTGTCGAGAGGTACTTGTAAACATGGAACTTGTCTGCCGAGGGGACTCTGCCTACGGCCATGGCTTGTTGGGTCTTGTAGAGACCAGCCGCTTTGATCGACTGGGCTAATGCCAGGATCGGGGCGTCTGGGGCTCCAGGAGGGGTGGTGATGTGAATCTGAGCCGATCGCCCGGTGGTCGGCGCGCGCCTCTGCTTTGGCCGAGCCCGGCGCGCGCCCAAGAAGCTGCCGGCGACCTCGTCGTCCGAGTCGCTACGGCTGATGCTCAGCATGGTACCTGCCGTCGGGCTAGAGCTGTATGACGGTGGGATCATCTCGGTAGGGACGATGGACGGATGTGGTCGTCGGAGCGGAGGCCGCTCGTCGAGGAAGGCCATGACCTCTCCGTGGGAGGAGAATGCGAGCGCGGAGGTAGGGATCTGATCGACGGCCTTCGGCGCATGGGCTATATCGAACTGGTTGAAGAGGCCATCGTGGCCAACGGTCCACAGCAGGTCTTGATCGTGCCAGAGGAGGGCAGAAGGTGGTGCGTCAAAATTTTGGAGCTTCTTGAAGGGCATTGTAGGCCTTGCCAGGTCCCATACGTGACAGAGATTGAGGCCCTGCCGGCTGCTGTCGTCGTAGGTGACTGCGAGCTGGGCGGCCCGTTTCCCCTGGGCAGTGGCGGACCAGATGCCCGGCCGCCATGCGAGGTCGGCGACCGGGGCTGGAGTATATATGGTGCACTTGGGCTTCTGGCGCTTGTCGGCTGATGCAGATACATCCCAGACGAAACATCTCTTATCCCAGCCCGCGCTGGCTAAGTGGTCTCCATCAAAGTGCCAGGCAAGGGAGGTACAAGCGGCGTCGTGTGCGTTGATGCGCAACACGGGCGCAGTCGATTTCCTGATGTCCCACTTCAATACAACACCCTGATCGGTACCGCAGGCGAAGTAAAAGGCTCCTTCAATGTTGGGGGACCACTGCAGGCACTGGATGCCACCGGCGTTGCACTTGAAGGACTGTATAGCACGGAAGGTCAGGTGGCCGGTGTGTGTTCGGACAGGATTCATGATGTCGAAGCAGCGCACGATGCCGTCCTGGCTCCCGGCGAGCATCTTGGAGGATCGCGGATTGATATCGAGCGTATTGATCTGGCGGGAGTCTTCCCTCATGTGTATGACCTCCATGGGCGCGCCATCAGCACCGCCGCCCAGGCGCGTCAGGTCATACTGAAAGATCTTGCCGTTGGCGCAGGCCGTGAAGATGGTTGTATCACCTCGTCCCTTGAGCCACTTGACATCCTTGATAGATAGCTGGTCGGCGACTGACACGGTGGAGTTCTTGACGACGGGCTGGGCGAGAATGGCCGCGCGCAAGTCGATGCCGGCCTGTATCGATCTGCCCTGCAGGTGGACAATCTTGAGTATGTGACGTCCGGCGAGGATGGCACTGCGTCCGTCCGAGGAGCGGTCGAGGCAATCGATCGGGCAACCAGCGTCGAGGAAGGCATCTTGAGAGCGGCTGGGGCGGTAGAGGGTGCCGGTCTGGGAATAAGGCGACGAGTTGACGCCGAGGTTGGTCGGGTGAGGGGCGGTGGGATGGTCGACAGAGGAGGAGGGCGAGGGTGAGGCGTCGACAGCGACCTTGCCGAGAAGTCTCCTCATGGTCCTGTCTTGGGTATATATGATGGCTTAGACCCTAGCTCCACCTCGTCCCCCTCTCGCGTGGGGCTAGGGTTTGTCCCACGATGCCAAATACCTCTGCTCTATGGGCTCTCGATGGGGCTCCGGATTGTCTGATGGCTGCCAAGAGACAATGTGAGGGCCATGGCCAAGGATTGCTGGTGAGTTGTTATCGCATAGCAGAAATGCTAGAGGGGAGGCAATGTTATACAGGAATCCAAAACGAGGGGTTGTGGTGTTTAGGTTGTCATTTGGAGTGGTGATGCTTATCTGTCTGGAGCTCTTTTGGTGTTCAGGTAATGAATGACTGAACCGACCCCAGCAGCCAAAAAGTGACATCAAGTGGTTCTGCAGGGAAACGCTAGGGGAACACTAACGGTGGGAGCCAACCCAAACGCAGTGCTGTACATAGTAGTGGCTCTGGCCCCCATTCCGCCCCTCACTCCCCTGCAAACAGAGACGCGGGGCACCACATCTAGCGTTACTGTAGTGATCAAGCATTCTTGTTGAGATACCGACAATTGCTTGTGCAGCATTTTCTCTTTCAACATTTGCAATTATGGATAGAAGACCTCAACACTGTGCCGTATATTTACAATCAAGAAGTCTCAGACTTAGTAACTGAGGAGTTTGTCTTATATATCTGGCTCGTTTTGAAAAATGACTAAGATGACAGGCACGTGCTAAAATCGCCGTGCACTCGGTAATAATACGATGAAACCCCCCCCCCCTTCTCCTTCTCTTTCCTTCATGTATTTATTGAATACATAGCCCAATATACATATACAATGTCCCCCTCAATTGATCCCGTTTCCAAATCATATCAATCCCCACTAAAGTCGAAAATGCCCATCAACGACGAGAACCATCCGCGCTACACCTTTCAGTGAAGTTGATTCCCATCTGAGCATAAGCTCAGCCGAAGGTCAGTGAGGTTGACGGCCATACTAAACAAGTGGATGTAGATGGTTTGAATGTTTAAATTATGTCTCGACATCGTCTCAAAGACCGTCCGTCCCTCGGCAAAATTATCTTGCTATTCGCGCGTCCAGCAGAGCGACCCGAAAGTGAAGTCCATTGAAAAGTTTGAGTAGAGAAGAGTTGAAACAGACTGTCTAGGTATAAAATTAATACAGGCATTGAAAACAACGCCATACAAGTGTAATACATGCTTTGGCAGATGTGAGATCACGCAAACTTCAGCTCGTCGACTAGACCAGGGATATCCTTCATTTTTCCATCACCAGAGCCGCCCTCGCCACCATACTCCTTTGGAAGACTTTTCTCATCCAGGCCGCCCGCCTTGAACTCAGCGGCGAGGTTTGCACCGTTGGCCATCGGATGAAACTTTTTTGCCGTCTTCTCGGCAATGAAAACCTTGATCACGGCATACATCCAGCCCATGATGGCAGGAACATTGACGAAGAATTTCTCCTATAAAGCACATCAGCCGTCAGGGAATTTTGTGACCAGCAATCAAGGGGGGAAATTGAAAGAATGAGCAGAAACTAAGCGTAGTGTAGAATGTGCTGATACCTTTAGAAGCTCGGGGTAAGCTAGTGCAAATTGTTTGATGACCTCAGTACTGGCCGCTTTCACGTTGGGGTTTTGACGCAGGAAGGAGATGCTCTTGTAGTCATGCACCTGGATGATCTTGTATGGGTCGTCGACAGCAGTGATAGGCTCGGTAGCTGAGGAAAGATGGAGCTGCTGAATGCCCAGCTCCTGCAGCGCGATGCGATAGTCCATGAACCTGCCGCGTCGTGTTAGCAGTGCAAAGCTTTTCAAGATTCTCTCTACCCTGACGCACTCTTCAAGCGGGACGAAGACCTCGTCCATCTTGCCCTTCACGTTACCATAGAGGTTCCACGTGAACACTTCTGGAATTGAGCTGTCCTTGACGGGGTACACGGTAACAGCACCGAGGTCTGCGAACTTGTTGGCGCTGAAAGTCTTGGTGAGTAGCTCAAGGGGCTTCTTCTCCTTGCGAAACTTCAAAGCACCCTGGAACTGCTCGATGGCTTTGGTAAGGTCCCCATCGTTGGCGTTGAGAAACTTTTGCAGGACAATGCCGGTGGGGATATGCGACGAGGCAGGCGAGACGAGTTTGACACCCCACATCTCATCGTGCCCAATGTCCTTCAAGATGGCGGGAAGTTTGGCATCGAACTGATCAAGAGGCGTCTTGTGCGTCGCTTTTTCCTCGCCGGCCGCATCCTGGCTACTGGGTTCCGCCGCCTTGTCTGCCTCTCCGGCCAATGGCTTCTCGCTCTGAGGCGCAGTGGTAGAATCTATCGGCGAGGACTTCTCGGCCGGCTCGCTAGGACTAGCTTCAGGTTTCGTGGCCGTGGTGGATGCAGTGTCAGTTAGCGGTTGGGGCGCGGAGGTGGCCTGATCCGCCGTCGGCTCAGATGGCAGCGATCCCTCGCCTGCCTGCTGACCCTCCACGGCAGGGGCATCAGTTGTCGTGGGATGATCCTCAGAGCTCTTTACGTCAGCCATATTGTGTTCCTAGATCGACCTCGAGATGACAACTCGACAAATAGAATGACCGACGTTGAAGAGATGTGTGCAGGAAGTGGTTGAGGTCAAGATAAGCATCCGATAGAACAGGGATGCGCATTGCACGCAGATTCGCTAAATACATAAGCCCCAGCCGAGCAAATACGATATGCATATATCGCGGCTTGCGGTTGAGAAAGCATTTTAAAACACACGAGTCACATATTCTCTACAGTCTGGTGTCGATCCATGTATTACACTGTGAAAGTCTTGGATGGTAATTCGATCCCTCAAGTTTTCCTATATGCTCGTGGTAAGACTCATAACCCTAGCCGAGATCAATCTTCTTCACAGACGTCAGTGTCTTGCATCCGGCGTAGATACTTGGGTTGACCAACTCGCAACCGATGTTCACGTTATAGAATTTCACTTGTTTCACAGATGGCATTTCATTGACCTTCTATGTCCGTTTCAAGGACGAATGGCTAGTGCAGCTGTACTGCCTCCAAATGTTGTCATAACCACCAAATGATTCATGAATATCAGTATGCGCTAGCAGTGTAAAGTTAGCCTTGCGACTGGTAACAATGAGAAGTATATTCTCGTTGAATTGACTCGTCCCTAGTCCCTCGTCAATTAATTTTGCAAACCTTTGGTCAATTGAATATTGGAGGTCCTGGGCACCTCAGGAATAAGTCGTCGAAGTTCTTCATCGTTGCCATGAGCCAAGGGGAGGCGAACACACTCATGAGGGAGATACATTGTGCGTATATTACTAGACTACCAAGTATAAAGCTGGGTAGCTTGATATAAATACTTCAGTCACAATTCCATACAGTTCATGATGCACTCGCCACAGTAATAATTCTCGACCTTGCGGGAGGGAGACGCTGAGGAACATACATTTTCAAGTCTGTTTAATGGCTGACATCACAGGGAGAAGCAAAGAGGCGGAAAAAAAAAAGAAAGAGGAAGAAAGCCAAAGATCGTACGAAGACGAAACACTGCGTTCGTAAAGTGAATTAGGCACAGAAAGGCCTCTACCTAACGGTCAAAAAAAAATCACCGACGAGACATACATTCGAGAATACAAGTCAAATAGGTGATTCACACGTGGAATACGCATGGTCGCGACGTGATATGTGCGAATGACTGGCCCCCAAAAGTTTCGTCAACATGACCAGCTGAGATGACAGTTATTTTCCGCTTTGGAGAAGGGAGAAGCAAGCAGGAAGGGAGAGGGATTGATGCTTGCGAAGGCAATGAGAGGCCAGGTGACTTTACGTCTAACTTGTTTGTGGCGCTAACCATGAGAGCATTGCAAGGTGGCATAATCCCCAATCCTCCATTATACAAGCTCTAATATGGTTCTAGAATAAAATTGAATGGACCAACTAAGTCACCTGCCGAAGCGTATGCATCCGTTTCAGGAAGGCGGAAAGCATTGCCCAGAACATTGTGTAGCATATTTCATCTGAAAGCCATCCGACCATGGGGGCCAAAACAAGAACCGAAGGGCTAGCATCTGCTCCCCAATTCATTGGAGTAGTTTGCCCCCGCGGAGAAATCCTCTGACAGGTACGATCGACAAGTTCAAGCACAAAGCGTGAGGGGAGAGATTACTAAGAGAAGAGGGGAAAGCCTCCAGGCCTCTTTAGCGCGGTTTGTCACACAGAGGGTAGACCAATCAAGGAGGAATCACGCGACATCAATTCATTTAGGTATGTCAGGTCCTCTGCTCGCTAATAATCAATGATTGATGTCTTGGCCCTGCTTGTCAGCCACCTCTCGTCTCTGATGTGGCATCTCTATAGACTTTAACCCTTTATAGCACATGCAGAGAACATTCCGTGACCAAAATTCACGGACCGGGACCCCGGCGCGTTGACCACCAATAATCTTCTAAAGAAGAGGGTGTTATGGGGTTAATTTCCTTCAATGACCTTAAACCCAATCCTCCAGCCCCAACCCAATCGGCGATGACTCGTATCAAGATGTAGCAACCGCCTCTTAATCCAAACCCCTCCCACTGCCGGGAAGCACGGGATCTCATCGGATAACCGTTCAATTTTCTTCATCGTAATTAGCGCTTTGAGATTTCAAAGCGTGGCATACGACTCGCATACGTGGTTTTATTGAAGGCCCGCCTCTTAAGCACTCATGCAGCTGCCTTTTTGTTTCGTCGCTGGTCCCATCACCAACCCTACGTCACCCCACACGACGATGTGGCTTCGCCAAGCAGCCAAGCCGAGTGACGTGCAAGCCTCCAACGCTTCAGTTCAGCGCATGCCGGCAGTCATCGGGCACTAACCACTGTAAAAGAACGACCGGTAACCGGTTCCTGCAGCATCCAACGATAAAATTGCGACGTTGTTGACCAATGCAGAAAACAACGACAACAGAAACGACAGCAGTAGCAGCTGCGGCTGCAGCTGCGGCCGCATCTGCAGAGAAAGTGTGTTTTGGATGCAACCAAGGAACGTTACTCTTGAGGTAGCATTTGCGTCCTTTGATCCCTCTTTTTCCCTCCCTTCCTTTTCTTCTTTTCTTTTTCTATACCTTCAGCTGGCCTTATTATTCCTCCAATGAGGCCAGCGGCGCGCGACAGCTGGGGCCTTGTTGGCCCCATCATTCACATGCGGGCCGACTGCAGCACGACAACTGGGTTAACCGCCAGGTACCACAGTAGAGATGAACGCTCCATGGTGTGTATATCACGGCAGCCACGGCACGATGATAGTAGTCCTGGTTTGCAGAAGGTGTGAGTTGGCATATCAACATCCAAGCCAGACCCTGCAGAGAACGGATGGTTTCTCCATACATTATCACGACATTGACAGGGATCGGATCTAATGTCTGCAATGGTATTTGCCCAAACAGGGTGGGTGCTGATAAGCGCATGAGCAGAACAAACAACAAAAGGCCCACGCGGTGCGGCTCGACGCAACGCCCCATGCCCCCCCCCCCTCCTTTCCCCTCCCAAAAGCGCCACCGGCAGTCATGCCACTAAAACATGACAGCGGTCCCCCCAGCATGTATGCACGAACGAATCCAGCAGAAAACGAGCGTTATCATAGTACCTAGGTACTGTACGGAGTGGTACGCTAGAGCTGTGTAGACAAGCCTCATAATCTGTATTATGAACTACTCTGGCGCCCATGGCCATGGCCATGGTCATGGCTCGGATTCCGAGCAACATCCTCGAGCCTTCGAATAGTCGTGACGGCCTTGTACGATATTATTATTACATATGTATTGTCCTTGATAATGTGAGGCGCTAAATCTCCAGCCTTACGCGTCCCGGTCCCTCGATGTCACCTCAATGACAACGATGTTGACGGCGACAGCGACGGCGAGGACGACAGAAAGATAGAAGACAGCCAAGCCGGACTGATTGCATCCTTGTATGCATGAAGTGTTACACACCTCACAGCCATCTTGGTGGAGGAAGAGGGGAAGAAAGGAAGGGCCGCCCAGGGGGGAGGGTTGGTGGAGCGCTTGTGGTTGCAGTCAACGGCCCTGCGTGGTCGGCCACTACTGCACGTCGAAGCGCACAGCCTATCGTGTCGCGACTCTTGCCCTTTTCTTTTTCCTTCCTATAGCTGGCGCTGCTCAGGTGCGCGGACATTCTCAAGGCTGTCACACCCACCCCCCCCCCCCCAAAGTGCCCCCCCTCCAGCTCTACCGCACCTGGTCTCAGTGGTGGGACCATGGCATCTGCAAGACTGCACACACCTACTCCGCCCACCTCGCCCACTTCCCTTCTCATCTTGTGATGCTGGCGGCGATAAGGTTTATAGACGTCCCTCCATGCTCCACTGGTTGCACCTGCGCGGAGATCTTCTGTCAATTTGGAAGGTCAACGGACGTGCTGCATAGTAGTGATGGCACGCCAGGGATTCTACGCTCAATAGTCGCGGTCTGGCAATCTCCATTCCACCCTCATCCACCGCATCACTACACATGATGGAGAAAATCCTTGCCGAAATCGAATACGATCACCGCGTCACGTTCGATGGCGGTGCGCCTGTCCTACGGTCCAGCCCGGTTTCTCGACATGTGGTATGTGGGCTGTCCGCCTTGACCTGGACATAGGTCGCGTCGAGGCTGGGAGAAATGAACATCTGGTGGGGAGGGGGGTAAGTATATGCACGACTGGGCTGGTTCATGGGCTTCAGCTAGGTCATGATGAACAATATAAAAGGGAAGACAACTCCGTCTTGCTGCTCCTCTTCCTCGTCCTTCTCCTCAACCCCAAGATCCGCTCCAGTCTTCTCGGTCCAGATATCCTCTGCCCTTTGCCTGCCCTCTCAGTCAAATACTCGTCCCCATTACTGTCATTCAATATGAAGTTCTCCGCTGCCGCCAGTATCATCCTCTGCGCCGAGGCTGCCCTCGCAGCCAAGTGGACAGAGAAGCGCCGCGAGAGCCGTATGGCCCGCCAACACGAGAGGAGCACCGACGTCACCCGCAAGTCCCAGCCCATGATCAAGTCCGACTATGAGGGCACTGGCACCAACAACTCCTACGTGGAGTACTCCGAGAACTGGGCTGGCGCTATTCTGGTCGGCACGGGCTACACTGAGGTCACTGGTACCATCGTTGTCCCTACCATCCCCAGCTCGAGCAGCAATACCGAGCAGGCTGGTGCTGCTGTAAGTGATGCAGTCTCCTGTTTGACTATAATCTTGTGTCAAGGTCGGTGGTTAACAGATATAAAATGATCTAGTGGGTTGGTATCGACGGTGCCACCTGCCAAACCGCCATCCTCCAGACCGGCATCGATTGGTACGTCGAGGGCAGCGATGTCAGCTACGATGCCTGGTATGAGTGGTACCCCGATTACTCCTGTAAGTATATCCATACAAAGCATCCGACCCTACGAGGCCTAATACCAGCACGATCTAACGTCTTTTTATAGATGATTTCTCTGGCATCACCATCGCGGCTGGCGACTCCGTCAAATTCACTGTCACCGCGACTAGCGACACGTCGGGCACGGCTGTCATCGAGAACCTGACCACGGGTCAGACCGTTTCGGAGACCTTCACGGGTGTGACTGACGGCTCGCTCTGCGAGGAGAACGCCGAGTGGATCGTTGAGGACTTTGAGGAGTGCGGCACTACCTGCGAATTTGTTCCCTTCGCCGACTTTGGGACCGTCACTTTCACCAGCGTTTCTGCCATTGCCAGCGGCACCACTGTGACTCCTGCCGAGGCCACTATCAGTGACATAGAGCAAAATAACGTCGTGCTGACGTCGTGTTCCAGTTCTTCTACTGAAGTTACTTGCACGTACGAATAAGCCAGTCGCTGAGCCCCATATCGAGTGGTGGGAAGATTCAGACGGAGAGGAGCATGGCGCAACATTCCTACGATGTAGGCGATGAATGAGGGTTGAGGGTGTTCTTTTTCTCATCTGCTTTTACTTCTTGAGGAGGACTTGTTTATGTAAGAGTGGAAGGCGGCATATTTGACACTTTAACACGGGATGCAACATACTATGTACATATGCCCAATATATATGTTACTGTGCTTGATCTGCATCGACTTTATGAAGTTGATTTATTACGAGAGTCGTGGATCATCCATGGATGTGGGCCGACGATCGACCATACAGATATCCATGGATATGGTAGCGATTGCAACCCATACGTGAAACTTTTTGTAAGCGGCTCAGCCGGTTTCCCACTACCTTAATTAGTTCCTTCCATAGTAGGTACAGTCATTCGTGGATAGCTTTTTTTTTTAGTAGACACTTTTGAGCTGTTTCTATACAAAATTATTAAGTAACTGATAGAGATACGAGAAAACCTTTAAACAAGTTTTACAGATTTTCAAAAGCCTTATAAAAAATCTTTTTCATTTTATCTAACAAGAACAGAAAACCTTTGAACCATAACTAGGGCGCTGTCGCCCCCCGAGAAAAGGAACGAACAGCCACCGAAGCAATGAGCAAGAGCTCATGCAACCCAAGCATGCCTATACAGATAAGAACAGCAAATTAAGGCCACACGGGCACAAGAACAGGATGAAAAACCTGTCTTAGACCTGTCCAAGGGGTTCAAAATCGAAAAGAAGAAGAAAAAAGATGCTTGATTGTTGCTTATAGCTAAAGAATTTGAAAAGTGGGTGGTATTCTTTATATGTATGAGGACCCTTGATCCACTGCACTCCATGTTCTACGGACTATCACCCTGGCCACCACAACACTACTATAGCTATATAGGTATTTAGCAAGTATGAATAGGCTTGTTATTATTATTATCAGTTACTGATAAAACATCTCAAAAGTTTCTATTGAAAAGGCTGTCTACGAATAACGGCACCTACTATGGAAGGAACGCAGGTAGTGGGAGACCAGAGAGGTTAGACCCACGGGTACACACTCTCATTGTATACAGCTCATGTTGGGTATAGGTAGCATACCCTTATTTCATCCTATTAGTCCAACGTGAAGTGATGCATATTGTAAATTTTCGCTTTCTTCTCGTTTGTGTACATGCGTATAGTGGTTCTCATTCTGTTTTCCATTTTCCTCTCTTGCTTTTCTCAACTTTAATTATATTATTGTTTCTATTTCTTCGTACACTGCATCATGCGGATACGCGTCAACTTCATGCAAATGTTTGGTTACAACATGCAGCAAGTTCGCGTCCCCACCACCCTGTTCATCCCATCCAGCCCATCCTCAGAAACCTTACGAAGGGAGGAAGACAGGACAACAAGTCCCACCCCCTTCCACTTCTGGCTTTCATTTTGACCCCTTTGAGCCTTTGAGCCTTTTTAGTACGTTCTTCGGCTTATCGGCAGTTTCCTAATCATGGTTGCATTGTTTTGAGTAGCTCACAAGCCCACATGGAATGTCACCACATTTCCAATAAACCTACAGCGTTGCGACCCTGACTTGAGCGAAAAGATCGGCCAGGCCAGTACTACACATGCAGTATTTCCAAGACCTACAGATATTAGAGCTCAAGATGCTTCTATCGGAGTATTCAGCTGATTCAGCAAAAAGCAACGAACTTCCTGTGTAGGGATGGTTGCTAACTATTATAGCGTGAAAGTTTGATATTATGAAGCTATATTGTAAGGGTACTGAGCTGCAGAGATACTGAAATTATTAGGTTTTCGTGAGATGGAGGCATTATTACCTATGTGCTTTCCTCTTGTGTTCTCAAGCCTAACCCTGATTTTGGCAGTTGCCAACGATTCACGATCTGGGAAATCTATGTACAGTTTTCCGCCAATATCCTTCTCCGGTCGGCGTCGCGCAGTATCAACATAATACTGAAAGTTGGCAGTGATCTTCTTTTCAGTAACCATCGTAATACCGAGCTGCTTCGCAGCCTCATCATTATAAGCCGTCTTAACCATGCGAGAGCGGTTGAAGTCTGGGATAAACTGAGCCCGGACGCCTTCATTCGAAGAGAGTGACCCCAACCGCTGCGATCTTTACCTCGTCTGCCCACTCTGCGTGCATGGCTGGGGTGAGAAGATGATAAAACAGCTCCTTGCAGTGGGCGAAGTGACTCCGGTATCGAGGCCGCTTCCCAACTGACAAGCTCGTCCAACGATCATGAAGGCACATCCAACAGGATCCTTGAGCTGGTGCCCGCGGGTCCGCGGTCCAGGTCAGATTATTGGCGTCCACAACAGCCACAGGATCGTATCCGGCCCACATTCCATCAGCAGCGTGCCAGCTCTGCCTCGTCTACTGAGATCACTTGCAGCTACGTGTAAGCTGTTCGCTAATTCTCATGCCGAATGGCGGGAAGATTCAGATGGGGAGGAGCATGACGCGTATCACTACGAGGTAGACGACAAATGATGGTAGAGACTTTCCTTTTCCTATCTGCTTCACTTCTCGGGGAGGAATTTTTTATGTAAGGATGGAGGGTGGCATCTTTGACACTTTGATACGAGATACAACATACTATGTACATATGCCCAATATATATATATATATATATATATATATGTGTGTGTGTGTGTGTGTGTGTGTGTGTGTGTGTTACTGTGTTTGATCTGCAGCGTACTCTTATCTCTATAGGATTCATCGTGAATTGATGCATCTTTTGTGTACAATACTGTGCAGTGTCGTTTTTTTCTTTTCCCCTCTCTTCGTTTTCATTTTTCTTTTCTTCACCTTAAAGTTCTCAAAACTTTCAATGACATCATCTATTTCCTTTTTACATCGCATTATTTCTTAAGTGATGTATGTTATCTCTTAATATTGCTCACATTATGCGAATACGCATCAATTTAATACACGTGTTTAATTACAACATGCAGCAATTCCGTCCCCACTCCCTCTTGACTTCATCCAAGCCACATTCGACATGAACCGTGAAACATAAAAAGACAACAAGTCCCCACATCCCCCCCCTTCTAGCTTTTGTTTTCACCCATTTCGGTCTCTCTTCTCTACTTGATACTTTTTTCGGCTCATCGGCAGATTCCCAATCATGGTTGCATTGTGTTGAGTAGCCCAGAAGCCCACATGGAATGTTACCACATTTCCAATAAACCCATAGCATTGCAACCCTGACTTGAGCGAAAAGATCGGGCCGGGCCAGTACTGCACATGCAGTGCTTTTAAGCCCCACAGCTATCAGAGCTTGAGGTATTTCCTTCGGAGTATTCGGCCGACTTGACGAAAGTCGACAAACGTCCTGGTGGTTGATACTGTCATGGCGTGAAAGTTTGATATTATGAAGCCACACTGTAAGGGCACCGAGCTGCAGAGACACGCAAGCTGTCAGCTCTTGGTGAGACGGATGTATAATCACCCACGTGCTTTTATCTTGTGTTCTCAAAACAAACCCTGATTTTCTATCAGCTGCCACGATTCAATATTCCACTTGTGCTGCAGGTGCCTAGCCGTTACGTCATTCATGCATGCCGCCATTTCCAAGCTAAGCGCCGTATTTACGCCTTGGAACTGCAAGCGCGACCAACAATCATGCATTTTAGGGAAAGAGAGTAGGTAGGGTGGGGTGATTACCCTCATTCCGAAATTTACTCAGTACTTGTTTGAACCTCATCTATCTCGTCTCAACAAGCAGGTGGTACGTTGTTTCAACTTCCTGCACGTCTTCTCTTATGCCACTCTCCAGACACTGCGTCTCCCGATTCTCAGCTCAAGCTCGAGTCATTGTACCGTTCTTCACCTCAACAAAATCAGCTCTGACAAAGGCTCCAGTGACTGGAACCAGGACGATGGCTTCAAAGGAGAAAAATTCCAGGTTTGGGGACCTTCCTCTCAGCACGAGCGGCGACCTCGAATGTGCCTTGACAGGCACACTCTTGCTCAGTCATCCCTTTTTCAACAAGGGATCAGCTCACACGTCCGAGGAGCGCCGTGTTTTCAACCTCACCGGGTTGCTTCCCCAAAGCATCCAGAACCTCGACCAACAAGTCAAACGTGCTTATGAACAGTACTCGTCCCTTCCTGATGACCTCACCAAGAACACGTTCATGACTTCCATGAAAGAGCAGAATGAGGTGTTGTTCTATAAGGTGAGTTCAGTGATGAGATATTCAAGTCAAAGGAGGTGTTGATATTTTCATGCTTGCGTGCGGTAATGTAATTAACGGCAAACTGTGGTGAAAGCTGCTGCAAGAGCACATCGACGAGATGTTCAGTGTGATATACACGCCCACCGAAGGCGAGGCCATTCAGAATTACTCTCGTGTCTTCAGACGACCGGAAGGATGCTTTCTCAACATCAACGATGTCGATCGGGTCCGTCATGATCTTGCACAGTGGGGCAGGCCAGAAGATATCGACTACATCGTGGTCACAGGTCTGTGACAGCATACTTTTTGATTGGGCTTGTTTTCTACCTTTCAAACACTAAATCTTCTGTTCTTTAGATGGAGAGGAGATCTTGGGCATTGGAGACCAAGGATGCGGTGGTGTCCTGATCTCTGTAGCGAAGCTCGTCCTTACCACCCTGTGTGCCGGCATCCACCCAAATCGCACATTGCCTGTCGTTCTTGATTGTGGTACAGACAACGAAGACTTGCTCAAGGATGACTTGTACCTTGGTCTCCGCGAGAAGCGCGTTCGAGGCGAGCGGTATGACAAGTTTGTCGACACTTTTGTTCAGGCCGCCAGAGAGCTCTATCCTGGGGCCTATGTCCACTTCGAAGACTTTGGAATCACGAATGGTCTGTCAAGATCTATTATTACTCCCGTCCCGTAACGATATATTGGTTATGCCCAAGCCTGGGACCTACATACTGACGTGGCACTGCAGCACGACGACTCCTCGACTCTTATAGGCCCAAGATCGCCTGCTTCAATGACGACGTCCAGGGCACTGGATGTGTTACACTCGCAGGCATTATGGCTGGCCTGCATGTTACCAAGCAGAAGCTGAGCGATATGCGCATGATCATCTTTGGTGCTGGTACGGCTGGCTGCGGGATCGCTGATCAGGTCCGCGACGCCATTGCTGCGGAGAGGAATATTAGCAAAGAAGATGCGTCCAAGCAAATTTGGTAATTGGTTTATAGTTCCCTGACAGAAGCGCGTATACTGATTTCAAATTGTTAGGCTACTTGATAGACCCGGCCTACTCACCACGGCGACAGAACTCAACCAGGCACAGAAATCTTTTGCCAAGTCCAAAGAGGAATGGGACGGCAAGTCGACTGATCTTCTGAGCGTGATCAACGAGGTGCATCCCAACGTCCTCATCGGCACGTCCACCAAGCCGAATTCTTTCACTGAGGAAATTGTGAAGAGCATGGCTTCCCACGTCGATCGACCCATTGTCATGCCCCTCTCTAATCCCACCCGTCTACACGAGGCTGTTCCTGCTGACATACTCAAATGGACCGACGGCCGTGCCCTGGTGGCGACCGGGTCCCCATTTAAGCCCGTCAAGGGTCCCTGGGGCGAAGGTGGGGAGGAAGTCGAGATCGAGGTGGCCGAATGCAACAACTCCGTCGTCTTCCCAGGCATCGGTCTTGGCTGTGTGCTCTCTCGGTCCAAACTCTTGACCGACAAGATGCTTGTTGCCGCAGTGGAGGGCGTGGCAGACATGAGCCCAGCCCTCAAGGACGACAGGGCTCCTCTTCTGCCTGGCGTCGACGTGGTCCGCAAGGTGAGTGTAAACGTCGCCAAGAAGGTCATTCGCGCAGCCGAGAAGGAAGGCGTGGTGCAGGAAAAGGATATCCCCAGCGAAGATGAGGCCCTGGAGGACTGGATCCGTGAACAGATGTGGGATCCCGTTTACCGTCCACTCAAATTTGTCAAGAAAGAGCTGGCGAGCAGACAAGCAAAGGGCGAGCTGCGTGTTGTGGGCACCGTGGAGCGCAACAACGGGAATTAAATCAACGGCCTGCAGGCACGTTTTTTTCTTCATCTTTGGTCATGGATATACCTAGATGCTAGATTTCATGAGTCCTCTCCTTCCATTACAGCACAGTAATATCCAACACGATGCTGGGTGTCTCTGTGCTCCCCTCTGGCATGACATAGGTGAAATTCCAGAACTCCCAGTCGTTGATGACCTCGCAAGTACCCCCGAGCAAACCGCAGAAGGATATCTCGGGTGTCAGATCAACAGTACCGCTCACATTCACTGACAAGCCCATGACATCCTCCCAACCCAATATATCTCGCTTCTCTCCATAAGGATTGGATGCCACCAGGAATGTGAAGGTGGCGCTGTTGTTTCCGTACGGATACGTCAACCCCAAGCTGCCTGGCTGCACATCGACATCAAGTGCCTCTTCAGTGCCGTACAGGCTAAACCAGCCCACGCTGCCATCTTCCCGAAGCCACTGCACAACGGATGGCGCCCATTGTGACGGGTTGATGCTGAAGCCGCCCACAACGGTCTGGTCAAAACTCTCGGCGCCGATAGTGATATTATCACTCAGCCAGGTCGTGATATTCCTCCTGGCCAGGTCATAGGGCGGCGCATACGCGGCGGTCTTGTAGGTGTGCTCGCCGGGAAAGGTGAGCAGCTTCTGCCGCACCTCGTCGGGCACCAGTGTGTGGTGATACGGCAGAATAGCGCTCAGGAGCGGGGCAATTTCAAAGTCGTCAGCATGCGTGATGGCCCAGTAGGGCGTGTCGCCGTGGGAGATGGTGTTGATGCCGGGAGCCTTGTCCTCGCCGACGAGAGACCAAATGTACGCGTTCATGATGCCCACATAGAGATTCTGGTCCCAGCCGTAGGTGCGATCCCAGGGTCCAGCGATGTTGCGCAGATTGGCGTTGTACAGTTCTCCGACGGTGGTCCAGATATCCTTGATCATCCTGGCGCCGTTTGCGCCCATGACACTGGACTCGGGCAGGTACTTGGCCCACAGAGTGAGCGCAAACAGGCTCACTCCGCAGTAGGTGGCCGAATTAAACTCGCTAAGGGTGTTGTTGAGATCGAACAGGTCAATAACCTCTTGCGCGTATGCCTCGCCGGCGCTGGTTAGGTTGCTGTCGTTCAACTTTCGCCCCGTCCAGCCGCTGGTAGCTGCTCTCATCAGCGCAGGATTGCTGTAGGCGGGATAGAGGTTGTCACCATCGACACCGCCCACTCTATAGCTGTCGCCGATTGTGTTGTTGCGCATGGATTCTAGGATCAGAGACCGCGTGGATGCCGGGAGCAAAGAGCCGTATTCCTCGTAGATGACAACTAGAGTAGTGCCTATAAAGCCTCGCCAGTTGGGGTCCCAGCTATTGTAGATCTAAAAGACGTATTTGTTCAGTTTCGTACACTCATGCGCCACGGGAAGAAGAAACATGGTTGTTGGACTCACACTTTCGGGATACCAAGCTGTTCCAACGGTGGGCTCCTCAGGGTATTTTGTATAATCTCCATACCTAATCATTTCAGGATTCAGTATTGCATGTTCGCAAACAGAAACAGCAAATACATTGTTAACGGGATTCATTGGCTCGAGACGTACCACTGGTCACTGACGTTCTTTTGCTGGTCGCCAATGACACTTTCGATGATCCTGACGGCCTCGTTTACATCATTGCCCTGGTTTCGTCGCAAGAGCCCTGCCGCATACCACACGGTTGACCTCGTCTCGTGCTTCCCGGCTGCCAGTGGGAAGTAGAAGTACCAGAGGTAGCCGACAACTGGGTCATAGATCTCATCCAGGAAGCTCATAGACGTGGAAAACATCTGGTCGATGTACCCCGTCGTATTAACTCCCGTCAGAGCAGACACGCTACTGCCCACGGCCAGTGCGCCGGTCAGGAATTTGAATGCCAACATCTTGAGACCCTATCCAGTTGTCGTCCGATATCTAGGTGCCGTCTCCTAGAATGGTCAAAGAACACTGCGCGCATGCGAGGACTCTTGACATCGTCATACTATGTATTTATATGCGAGCAGCCATGGCACTAAATCTATAGCTATTGATCCAGCGATCGACCTCTGGCTGCTACGTAGTAATTTACTCTGCACGGAGTAGTACTTAGACGGGGTTCCCCGCAATCGCTTCATGATTAGGAACCGAGCAGCCGGTTTCCCTCGTGGGGCTCCGGCATCCGGCATCGAAAGATAGAACGAACTGCTGAGGGCTTCTCAAGTAATTAATCACCTCACCGCCCTGATATCAGCTTCCTACCTGCCTGGCCTCACTAGGGATACTGATATCGCACCATCCCCCACCTAGGATGCCCACAGATTCGACTGTGAAGGGTCACCGAGGAACAGCTTTGTCGGCAACGACTTCATCAGGCACCAGGCCGATCACCAGCCGGTTCACGACGTCAGTTGAGACTTGGTTTTCTCTCTGTGCAGGGGGGCTGGCCGTCCTGAACTGGGGAACCGAACCGATGCGTCGTTTCTCGGTGGAGTTTTGCGCGCAACAGTGGACGGACATGATCCTGGTTTGAGGAAAGCCTAAGGAACAACGTAGCGCTGCTACTTATCAGCTGCCCAGGTTGCCGACCAGCCCACCAGCCGTTTCTTCCCCTTTACTGTGGTAAGTAAAGCGCGCCCACACACAGGGAGTGACAGCCATGTACTATAGTACGGCCATGCCATTTCGGCGCAGTTCTCTCCAGGATCAGCTTGCAAGAGGCTCATGCAACGTTGGAAATTTGGGAACGCTTTTATGATATCCGGATATCATATCCTATCTATGCCGGGGGGCTTGAAATGAACAGATCCAACATCGTCTATCAATAAAAGAGTTAAAAAAAAAATAAAAAAAATTCAACCAAAATCAAGGAAGAAACCCCCCCCCCCCCCGGCTCTTTTCACACACAGACGCACACACGAACACACACACTCTGTTTCTCTCTTTGGGTATCAATGCAACGTCTCCAACCGGATCAAGCCTGCGCGCCTTTTGTGACGAACAGCTCCACTATGCCGGCAGCTCAATGACTCCGGTAGAGCCTGGAATGGCACAACACTTCTCTGGCTGGGATTGAGCGTGTTCGCCCTCGCCCGCAGGCTCTCCACCATCTCGCCTCTCCATCACCTTCATCAGGCCCTCAAATGCCGTCTGGTCCTCCTCGCCATCAAAAGAGCTCAAGATGGCCTCCTTGTTCATCCAGAGCTCCCCGGAATATTCCCGCAGGAACCCATACAGGAACAGTCTCGTGTTGGGCTTGGCCTTCTGGGCCCGACGCACTTTCTTGACGTCCTCGGGCTCATCTGCGTTCTCGGGGTCATACTTGTCGAGACGCTGGTCGTCGATCGTCAGGGGGATGTAGTCGTCAAAGATCTCAAAGCGCCGCAGTTTCATGTCTGGCCGCGTGATCATGCTGAGGAAGGCCGCCCAGGTCATGCCTCCCTCGCCGTCGACGTCGCCAGCGTTCCGGTAGCTGTAGCAGTTCCGCAGCTCGAGGGACTTGAGGGTCTTGGCGTGGCCGTTGATGAAGTGCGCCAGCTCGAAGCCGATGAAGCAGTTCCGAATGGAGAGGTGCTCGAGGTGCGGCAGCTGCGTGGCTTTCAGGGAGAGGGGGATGTGGTAGTGGCCGCGGGAGCCGAGGGGTGCATGCTGCGAGGCATGGAGCGACAGGCTCCGCAGCGAGCTGCTGTGCAGGAAGAGGACCTTCAGAATGGACTGGAGCGAGTCGCGGTAGGTCGAGACCGTGTTAATACGCCGGTTGCCGTTCTTTGTGCCGAAGATGTTGATGTGCAGGCTGTTCAGCCGGCTGAGGAGATGACGGAAGGCAGTGCAATGGAAGGCGGACGTCCACACAGGCACAAATCGGTTGACCGACAAGTCCCTGACAGCCGTGTTCAGCGCCAGCGCCGACCACGAGTCTGCCAGAAGTCGTCTTCTGGGATCGTCGGCCTCCAGCTGAAGGAGACCCTCCTCGTCCTTGGCCTGCAGGAACAGCCGTTCGACTTCTTGCTCAAAAGGCGCCGTGCCATCCGTCTTGAGGTCAAAGTCGCACTCGATCTCAATCTGCCGCAGGGCCGGCCCTGTCAGGCTGCCGCTGAGAAGCTCCTGTGCGGCAGTCGACAGGATAGGGACAGCAGCGTCCAGCGCCTCGTCTGAGTTCTGCGACCTGAGGGGCCGCACTTGGAATGTCATTTTCTCGATGAGATGTCTCCCGTGTTGTTTAAGTGAAAGGAGGAGGGCGTTCTTGTCATGAAGTCCGTTGGTCATGCGAATAGAGCGAGGTACGCAATACCGCAATGCACGCTTCCGGATGCGCGAGGCACGTCCTTGTCGGCATTTGGTAGGCTCGTCGAGCTTGGAAGGACTGCATGTGCGGCATTGGATCTCGACAGGTAGGCCTTCTTTATGTTGCATGGTGTCGTCCTTATCGCTCTGGTCTCCGGGTCTCTCCCTTGGAATTGAGATTGCTGTCTCGTGTCGAAATTGAGTTGTCTTGGTTCCTGACCAAGAAAAAACAGGATGATGATTGAAACAGAAATACGAGGATGACCACTAGATGTTATCAGAAGACTTTACCCGACGGGCTCTGCCTCCCGTGTCTCGTCTATTTGTTCTTTTTCGTCTTTTTTGATGGGAGGTTTGGGCAGCAACATAGTCTTGATTGACTTTGTAGGTACTATGGTTGTATTCCCTGCGCACGGAGGTACATCATTCAAGCCGGATGAATGCTATACGGACCAAGTACCTCAATGGTCCCTACATGTCCATACCTCGTATTTTTTTTATTTTCAAAAGCCGCTGCAGCACCCGCCGCTGGCCAACAGCACCTGACCAGACAGCGGGTGCCACGCATGTGAGCAAGCCTGGTCGAGTATGCCCTTTGGACCCCACACAGATGACCTGTCCACTTGTCAGTCTGTCAATGATGTTTCAAAGAATGGCTCGCACGCCCACACCCACGGCATAATCACCCCGGTTTCCAACTAATCACTGGTTCTCAGCGACCAAGTCACTAATCCTGTGGGGAGCAACACACGAGACTCATTTGCAAACCAAGAATTTCAACACCACAACCGTGGCCATTTACGCTATATGAGACCTTTTTATGATCCAGGAGAACACAAAATCTCTTCAGGGGTCTACTGTACTTGAATTTTGTACGACAATGATCGGTGAAGTGTATGTTCTCTCCAGCCCCTCTCGTTCTCTTGTTACCCCTGGTGCCCGTTGTTAGTCGGTGAGTCTAGGACCCATATGTCTTATCTCGTGTATTCCGCAGAACCTGTGGCTCTCGAGCCCTCGGCTACAAACATGGTGATGAGTCGTGTGACTACCAGGAAATCTCAAATGACTAGCTTCGTGGTTAAGTAATCCTGTTTTGGGTGTATAACCTGTACATTATTTTGCGGTTTAATTTGCCCAATACATCTAAAAAAAAAAAAAAAGGGGGTTAGAAAACGTTGAGAATTGGTAATGGTGAAGTCAAAAGGGGCGCGACAAACTTACACATCGGAATGCAAAGCGCAAGTAGCGAAATGGAAACGATGCCAAACACTCGGAAGACTTCCCCTGCGCCCGCCTCGGTCGCCCAGGTGTTGATGAAGTTGGAAAATCCGTAGAAGAGAAAGTTTTTGAGCATCATTTGCAGCACGAAAACTTCTGTCGCTTGTCCTGGGAATGAATCACTGGATTTATCGTAGTTCGACATTATGAGTAATAGGTATTATACGAGAGACATTATGGATGATGGACAGGACTCACAGAATGTACAATCCAGCTGATGTCGACGGGACGGAAATCCCAAAGCAAATACATCCATAACAAAAGGATCCCAGGTAGTAGCCGTGTGGCTGCGGATTGTCAACAACCCACATGAATAGAAACCACCCCAGAGAGCAGAACAAGGCCCCAAGAACATTGACTGGAATGCGGAATTCAGCCTCGAAGATGCCTCTATTCAGTCTCGCTAGCCATCTGGCAGACCAGTCGCAAAGAGGGCCGATGAGAACCGCCAATAGTCCGCCAAGGAGCGGACCCGTCCAGAAATAGCCGTTCTGCGCGATATCAAGATTGTATGGTGGAACTGACCAGACCTGTGCCAAAATGTAGGCCGAGACGACAAACAGAGAGACCAAAACTGCGCTAACCATGAGGATCCAGATTACGGCCGGGTTGGCGAGGTGGATGAAAATCTCAGCGAGCAGGTGAAGAACGCCCTTTTGCGTATAGTTGACCCCAGACCAGAGTGACAGCCTCTGGACATACGTCTTTCGCGGAGCTTGCGTCCCTTCGGTTGCACGTACATCGCTGACGTGCTCCGCGGTACCTTTTTTGTTATTGTCACCATAGCTTTGCGAGTTGGGCTCGACTGCTCGCGAGCTTGTTACCCGGATGAACTGCGTTTCAGGCACAAGCAGGATGGTTGCCAGCAGGCCCGCAGCATTGAAGGGCAGCGCAGCGACAAAGAGATTCCGGTAGCCCTCATTCTGCGTCATGACGCCGCCGATAATGGACACCATCGATGCCATGCAAGCCAGTGAGCAGACTATCACGGCAGTCCGCCAACCTCGTTCGTAGAGATAGAACATGTCGCCCACGGCAGCAAGTGAAAGGCTTTCCCAAGCTGTGACTCCGAGTCCCTGAATTATCCGACCTGCAAGCAGAGTATTGTAGCGGGACTGCTGAGATCCCACTATGCAGATGATGGTTCCAAGTGTCCCGACTGTTGATGCAAATAGAAATTGAGGTCTTTTGCCGTATTTTTGGGCGAGAACTGAGACGACGGGCCTAAAAGCAGAGATCAATCCTCAACTGAGTACTTTACAGCCTTGTCTGTGGTGGGCGAAAGAGGGAGACTCCTCACCCTAGAGCGGCTACCACGAGGAGCTGGTAGCCACCCAGCCTGGCAACATTTGTGAGAGTGACATCCAGAGTCGAGGCCAAGGCATAGGTGGCGGGTGCCATCATCGGGCCTGGCATAATTGCAAATATGATGGCGTTGAGGAAAATGGTCCAGAAAGCCGCTTCTTTCTGCCAGACCGGCCAGAGCTTTACAATCTCTTGTCAGCATCAGTAGGCCCGCTTTCATCCAGGACCTCCTTTGTCACAAGGAAACCCTACCAGAGGATCATTGGCATCGTTTTCGGAGGGCTGGGGAACAAGGACGGTCTCAACGCCCTAAGGTAATCATAATCCATCAGCGTGCTGCTTCCTTCAAGATCGTCACACGGAGCCCTTCTTGGTGTAATTACCCTGTAGATGGTCGTCTTGAGGCGGGTAGTATCATCAGCACTGCTGGCGGTCACGCCTCTGTCACCGAGGAGAAGCTCCGTCCCTGGTAATGATGGTCCAGTACCACCATCCTGGGAGTCCATGTCGATGATTCCGAAAGGCATCGTAAGTAGAGTTCATGAGCACTCGCTGCGAGAGAAGAGGAATTCCAGAGGCAACTGCCACTTCTTGAAAGTAGAAGTGGCCGGTTGACCTTGGCTGATCTTCTTTACGTAGCCACCGGGTGAATTGAATTACCCCTCGCCAGGGGCGTTACATCGTATGCCCATGACTTGTTGTTCGCGAACCAAACAAATGCCGGTCCTCCTCCAACGACCCCAAGAGCCTGAGAACCTTGGCAATGCAGCAGTAAGTCAGATGAGCACTATCAGGAGCCCTTCGCTCTGTAGTGACTATTGATCAAAGTAATTGTCTGTTAAACGTGCAGGTCTTGCGGGGAAATATGGTTTCTCGTGCAGACACTTGGCTTGTTACCCGATTCCAAGTCGGCTGCTTTCAATACGCCGAGGGTACCGAATCTGTCAATGTTGGGAGAGTAGTAAATCACTCGGATACAAGACTACAGCAGTATTCCTTGAAAACAAATTATGCTTTTTATCAACTCGTATGTCCATGTCGACATAATCATTAGTAGTACCCCTCGAAAGTGTCGGCTCGACTATGGCCTGCCTCTTTCACGGCTTCACTGATGGGCTCGTTCCCACCGACGACATCAAATGCAAGCCCGATCGTCTCGGGTATATTGGTGCAAGAGACCACCACCGTCGCAACATCCTCTCTCGTGACCATTTGACCCAGGTGCACCTTGCCAGCGCTCACAAGGCCGGTTCCCGCATCGTTGCTCAGACCACCAGGCCTGACCATCGTATACTCCAGACCTCGCTTGTCGTTGCCTGTCCGCAGCTCTCTGTCTGCTTTGTATTTGGCTTCCATGAAGGGGCCGATTGCCTTCCAGAGCCCGTCGCTCCGCCTCTCGTCGTCCTTGTCGTACCAGCTTGGCACGGGCTTGTTTCCCCGGTCCCTGATGTCCAGTGCGCTGATGCTGATGAGCCGTTTTCCGCACTCTCCCGCGCCAGAGGCGATTGCAAGAGCGTCAAAGATCTTGACAGCCGCCTCGTGGTCGATGGCGTCGATTTTGTCGGGCGTGGAGCCGTAGGGCGCCCCAGCTGCCCAGATGATGACCTGCGGCTTCACACGACTCAGCGTGGTCAGGAGCTCAGGCACGGTGGCCTTTTCTACATCCTGGACGGTGGGAAAAGCACCGAGCTTCTCGATCTCGGCGACCTGGTCCGGATTGCGGATGATGCTGTGGACGGTGTATGGCGCCGGGTCTTGTGTGGCGACAAGTTGCTTGGTGATGAGCTGGGCGACTTTGCCGTGGCCACCCACGATTAAGGCTGTCGGCATGTTTGAGATGACAATTGCTGGAAATGCCCGCGCTTGCTGTTCAACCCGGAGTTCTCAAATCCTCCTGTTCTGGTGGCGTCGCAGTCTTGAGTACTTCAGTAAGTATGTACTGAGTAAGACTGTTTGTGGTTATTGCTACGCGTGCGGGGATGGGGTTAGACTTACATCATAACAAGTAAAGTTGCATCTGAACCCACTAAATTTCATACATTCAGCATCCTTGATTCGCATGCCACTCCCGCAACGCATGGTCTCAGTATTTAACTTCTTGGTGTACGTCGTCAACTTTTGATATTCACTGCGTCACAACACTTATCAGCATCGGCATACAGCTGAGGCCGAGGTGGAAATCGAATATTGTGTGCTATTTGTCCTTTTTGACGGCGCGATGCGCTCGAACGCCATCTGATTTCTGTAGTAGACCCTTGAGATATGTGCAAAATCGTTGATGACATGGCATGGTTTAAGATCCCAGTTACCACAAGAAAAGACGAACAAGAGAAGAAGAAAAAAAACAAGATGCCCCTTCGACAAACATATCGCACTGTTATAGACGCCTGCCTTCTGATGATCTGTATCAAATCCCAACCGTCTCGTGCCAAAGTCTAATGAAATCGTCGGTAGAATATGACAAGGGTAAGGAGCGACAAGAGTAGCAATGGATTCGTCCCGGACGCCGAGCTCAGGCTGGCTCCGGCGCTGGTAACCACTGTTGACGAGCTTGAAGCTGCCGAGGCCGTGCTCGCGAGTACTGTAGAGGCTAAAGAATCGTACCGTCAGTGAAAACGGAACATGAGTGGTCGGCAAAAGGGGCGCGGGCAACTGGACTCACTGGACGTGGCGACATTCCCGCCTGTCTGCAAAAGGGTTGTTGCAACCGCGGAGCTTTCTGACGTGGCGCCGGTAGCGCTGACCGTTCCATTGCTGGGAATAACAGAACTGGCACTAGAAACGACGCTGGCAACGGCGGCTGCGCTGCTGGAAACGGCGGCTGAGCTGCTGGATGCACTTGTCGTGCTGCTGGGAGACAGGACCAAAGAGGTTGAGGTCGGGTCAGCTGAAGTGGTTGCTGCATCCGATGTTGCGCCGGCGCCGGCCAGAGTGGACGTGGTCGTGTAAGTGATGTACGAGTCGAGGTCGTCACCTAACCCTCCCGTCTGCGCTGGGCTGTACTGCGAGTCGTATATCGAATCGATGATGTAGAGCGTGTGCTCTGGAGACGCAACCGTCGAGACTGTCGTGGCTTTCACGAACTCCATTTTTTTCTTTCTTCCGGGCGAGTCAACTGCTCAATCTGTCAAAGCGGCAATATCTTCTTGAGGTCAATTGCGTCCAAATGAGAGGGCGATGACTACAGATGTCAATTCAAGAAAGAAAAAGAAGAAGAAAACGCGACTGCAGATTAGAGAAAAAGACACACATGATGGCGTCGGGCAGCTATGGAGGGACACACAGATGAAATATCAGTCAATTGATTAACATTACTGTCCCAGACTCTTCACCGAATCTCCCCATCTTCCTTTGGGGCGCGTCGCGCTGTCATCAAAGGGGGATTCAAACTGTCCATGCGGATCGCCTCCAGCGTACTACGTAGTAGTTTCATGTCTGCTCCGGTGGCCAACCCGAGTTGCCTGTTTGGCTGTGTAAGCGGGCAAATTACTGGCAGGTCTGGCAGGCTGCAGCTTGTCCATTCAAATGCCGGAGCCAATGGGTGCAGCAGGACAGGGGTTCCAACAGTCACACCTCCTCTAGACCAGCCTAGCAAACCCAGGCATTGAATCGGGCCGGGGCATTTGTGCCACAGTCCTGTAATTTGTTTCGGTCCCTGGCATAAGCCATTGAAGACGGCGATTGGGGGCAGTAGTAGGGCAGCGCATTTAGGCCAATTTCGTGGAGAAACATCCAAGGGACCCTGCCTTACAGGCGATTAACCAATACCTACAAGCAGATAGGTTTTCTGACATTGAAATCCATATTACCTGATGCTTAGATAGTAAAGCCGTGTGTGGCTGATACCACACATTCATGTGATTGCTTCGTTAAACGTGATATGAACTAAAGACGTATCAGGTGAAGTGCTTGGTGGCTTTTATGCTTGGGAATACACACAAAGTAGTAGAGAACTATTGCGAATGGTAAGATATAAGATAGTTTTGTGCTCCCCTCTAATTACAGAGTGTGATGTGCACATATGCGAGAATCTGGGACAGTCTGTAAAATGTCGTAAATGACCTAGGATACATAAGGTTTGCTGCACCTCAGATGATCATGCGAATTCCTTGATAGGTTTAAAGACAAGACCCGATACATTACATGTTGCCGTACTCGCAATGCCTACCCCAAGAAGCGATGAATACGCTGTAAGCTGCGTTCGTGCTTTGAAAATATTTGTTCATCCCAGATTTTCCAAGCCACCTCAATGCTAACTTTGGAAAGTGGTTGATCTTCCAGTATGGATGACCTTCTTTTCCCACGTCAATGCACAGCGTGCTTGGTACTGGAACGTTGATATGTACAGTCCTGGAATTCAAATTGACAATCCTCAAAGCCCAAATGAGTTTCTCAAGATTTATTTACGGCACCCGTCATGTTTAAATGGCCGGTTTATTTGCTTGGCGTTGTTTGGTTCCCAGCCGAGCACGCTATGCGCTACGATTAGAACACCAACCCACCAACGTCATAGATATTCTGGGCCGCTTTTCTCTCTTGCTCTACTCTCTTTTCTTTGTTCCCTGTGGACCCTGAGGCTCAAATACTGTACGTCAGTCACCCGCCCCCCAGCATACTGAGCATCGATAGCATGACCCTGCATGTCCAATCGGGAGGTAACTCTCATCGCAAATCGAGTGGCCATCGCTGCCAACATGGCTGTTCCCAAAGCCCCGGTACCGCCTGCTCGGACAGACCACGGAGTGCGGATCGATCCGCGCGGGAAGGGAAAAGAATAGATGCCATGTTCGGACTTGAAGCATTTTTCATGCTGGGCCAAAGTCAATGACGCTCCTGCAATAAGGCCGGATGTTTGTGTATATATGTGATCATATCAATTAAATGTGTAATCTTTTCAATCCCACATAAATGCACTTGCTTGGTCTACTGGTTCTTCAACTAACTGCCCTGCCCCTCTGATAGCATCCTCTTGCAGCGCAGCTCCTAGGAAGTTGTTCGTTACACGAGAGAGGCGGTACAGAGGCACCCAAGGCACCATGATCGATACCATCCGCGAGTCCTTTTTTGGACAATGCTGCCGCCTCGTCACGGGCGGCCGAGTCTTCCAATACCCCGAAGAGGTCGACTCATCCTTATGCCATCGTTATGTAAACGAGGAGAAGTCTACAAATATGGGCCTGCATGGGAAGACAGGATCGCCCGAGACAAACTCGTCTTCTTCAACCGACAATATCGACGCCAGGAGTAACTCGCAGGATGCTCTGCGAGAAAAAGGCCGTCGATATGTTGACCCTGAGAAGGGCAAGGATGTGCATATCGTGGACTGGTACGGACCAGATGATCCAGCTGTTAGTTTGGTTACCTCAGACCCCCCGGCGTAGCATTCCCATATTCACACTGTTACGGAATATGGATATGTTTTGTAAAAAACATGTCAGGCTAACACGACCAACAACCTCCAGAACCCTCAGAATTGGTCTCGGCCCAAGAAGTTCTTCGTCACCTTTGAGATCTGCTTCCTCACCTTCTCGGTGTATATCGGCAGTGCGATATTCTCCTCTAGTATTACAGATGTCGAGACCGTCTTCGGCGTGTCGCAGGTCGCCGCAACGCTGGGCCTGACCCTCTTCGTGGCCGGCTACGCCGTGGGTCCCATGATCTGGGCGCCTCTGTCGGAGATCCCACAGATCGGCCGCAATCCGGTGTATATCATCACGCTCGCACTCTTCGTGGTGCTCCAGGTGCCTACGGCACTGGCTGTCAACTTTGGCATGCTGTTGGCCTTCCGGTTCCTGACGGGATTCATCGGCAGTCCTTCTCTCGCGACAGGTGGCGCCAGCATCGGTGACATGTACACCCCCGCCAAGAGGACGTACGGTCTCGCAGTCTGGGGCATCGGAGCTGTGTGTGGACCGACCGTGGGTCCACTGGTAGGCGGATTTGCGGTAGAGGCTAAAGGTTGGAACTGGGCCATTTGGGAGCTTCTGTGGCTGTCGGGGTTCTGTCTTGTCGTCCTTGTCTTCTTCCTTCCAGAGACATCATCCGCGAATATTCTCTACCGGCGGACCCAACGCTTGCGGAAGCTGACGGGAAACACCAAGCTCATCAGCGAGCCTGAGCTCATCGGACAAGACATGACGGGCAAAGACATCTTGACCATGACACTGATCCGGCCCTTCAGCCTGCTTTTCACGGAACCGATCGTGTTTGCGCTGGATATGTACATCGCACTCGTGTACGGCCTGCTCTACATCTGGTTCGAAAGCTTCCCCATTGTCTTTGTCGAAATGTACCAGTTCAGCTTGGGTACCCTGGGTCTGGCGTATATTGGCCTGCTGGTCGGGATATTCGTCGTGGCCCCTCCGTTGTTCTGGTATCAGCATCGCTATATTGAGCCCAAATTCAACGATAACGGCGAACTGGTGCCGGAATGGCGTCTACCGCCAGCCTTTGTGGGAGCCTTCGCGCTTCCCATCTGTTTGTTCTGGTTTGGGTGGACAAGTCAGCCGCAGATTCACTGGATCGTACCCATCATTGGCACAGCATGGTTCAGTGTTGGTGCATTCCTGCTGTTCAACTCCGTCCTCAACTATCTGTCGGATGCATATCCAGAATATGCTGCCAGTGTTCTGGCAGGCAACGACTTCCTGCGAAGCATGGTTGGCGCAGGTTTCCCGCTGTTCGCCAACGCAATGTACACAAAATTGGGCGTTGGCTGGGCGAGCTCCCTGCTGGGGTTTCTAAGCATCGTCTTCATTCCAATCCCTTTTGTACTGTTCAAGTATGGACACTGGTTGAGGATGAAGAGCAAGCACGCCAGACACGACTTTTGAAAGGCGCGACTGATCGCGCGCGCAAAAGACCCGGCGATCGACCGGTGGTAGAACAGGACATATGAAAATCAATGGCGCAGATCATTTGTGTAATAAAGATAATATTATATCATCATTTATGTTTTAAAACTCCGAATCGATATGCGTTTAGGGTATCTCAACAGCAATCAAACAAAAGAATCAAGGACGAAAGCGGAAAGAAGATAAGAGAAAGTGTTCAACAGGGTCGACAGCCTCTTTTACTTGCCCACATGCTCCCGCATGCCCTTCGTCCGGAGCGTCATCTTCCCAAATCCCTCGTGAAAAGGAAGACCAACTTCAGACACGTCTGGTGATCTATCACCACCATCATCCGAGCTCTTGGCAGTTTTGATGCCTAGCTCATTCATCTTGCGTCGCAAGTCATCGCCACCCAGCCCTCCACCAATAGGCATGTCACTATCAACACTGCCACGGCGACTCGACGTCAGGCTTCCAACGTCGTCTGCGAGACTCACACCTCGACTTCGCATGATGCCAGCTTGGAGGCCTCGCACGCCGCCCTTCTTGCGCTCTGGAAGCTCGTCGGTACCAGCGCTACAGACGAAGAGCAAATACTTCAGATTGGGCAGCGTGTGCCGAATGTCCATGACCTTGAGGCCCTGTGCCGTGCAGAGAGTCTCGATGTTCTTGTTCAGGATGAACCAGCCATAGTCAAACCGAAACTGCGCGGCAGAGCCACTCCGAGGGATATAGAGGGGGAAATCGCGGGTAGGATCCTTGAGAATGGATATATCGTCAGTGATGTAGCTGCGGCTGCCACAATAGGTGACAGGATATGGCAGAGGCACCGAGAGATACATCTCAAGATGCTTGGTGAGCAGGGTTACATGGCCCAATGCCGCAGATAGTTCGTCCTCTTGGGCACCGCTCAGTAAGCCTGCACCATAGTCCTCGGCATTGGGTAGGTGGATACCACGGATCTGGAACTGCAGAGGTTTGCCGTCGGGAACAGGCTCGATCTTGAAGATATTGTTTAGATCTTCGCATATGCGGCGACGCTGCCCACGAATCTCGTCTCTTGTCTTTTGGCATTGTTCCTTGTCGTCGGACAGCTTAAGAAGAGCATTCTTCATATCCTGGTCCGTCTTGTCCATGGCAGAGCGTCCCTGGTCCATCATGTCGCGGCGATCCGTTATAGACGCGTTCAAGTGTTCGATCTGCTCTATCGCATTCTTGACCGACCTCTGCTCGGCAGCCACGTACTTACTGCTCAGCTTCAGGCCATCCTCAGCCTTGTTCAACTCAAGCTGGCCGTCCGAGTGGCCAGAGACAAGGTCACTAATCTGCTGCTTGAGCATGTTCTGGGCTGCCAGCGCGTCTTGTATCGAGTGCTCGAGGGTGGACAGCCGCATAAGGGCGTTGTAAGAGGAGGTGAGCTCGACGGTGCCCTGTCTGGGAGGAAAAGTCTTGGGGGGAAGCTCGAGAGTGTAAATGCCGTCGGTGAGATGGAAGACCAGGCAGTTGGGAGGAAAGTGTGTCCCAACCATACTGCCCAGGAAGTTGAGCCGGCGCAAATCTACCTGCTCCTCGAGGTGGAGAGACCACTTCTCAGACCGCTGGGCCCAGATCTTGACGGTGACTCGGGGGCTTCTGAGGACGGTCGAGTCGACGGAGCGGGAGAGTTCGAAGAAGCGGAAGTCGAAGTTCTGGAAGGCCAAGGCAAAGTCAGCCCGGGTCATGCCACCCTGACTGCGTGACGGGGTGCTCTCCTTACCGTTGAACGTTCTGCCGTCTCGCTGATATAGACCGGGTCCTCCTCCTCCCCTTGGACGTGGAGGGAGAAGAAAGCATTGGCGACGCGCTTGTCTATCGAGGCCTCGAGGTGTCTCTGTCTGGTAAAGGGCGTCGCGTTGCCCAGATTCGTACTCCGGCGCCGCGCAGTCCCAGGACGAAGGTTCTCGCTGGAGGCCGAGTGCTGAAGCTGAGAGGTCTCGCGGAGGGACTCAATCTTACCCGGCGAATGCTTGACTGCCGAATCATCTGTCGTTCGCCCCTGAGGCCTGTCGAAGGTGAGGTTTCGCACAAAGATGCCTTGCAGGTGTCGGATCTTGCGGTTCTGAGGAAGGAGTACTGGTCGCGATGACTCGGCCATTGTGAGCAAGTTTTTGGGGAAAGGGGGGAGGGAGGGTAATTTGCTGCCTCGGCGCAGCTTCAAGATGCTTGCGCAATCATCCACAGGCCAGGAATTGTCTCCAATCCATCAAGAAAGGCCTGGTGTTGAGGACGGCTTGGACAGAACGGACCTTGAGGGCCCAAGTTGAGCCCCACCTTCTTAGCGCCCCGAGAGTGCAAAGCTGTCACGTGCGGTTTGGGGCCCATGGGGCGCCCAGGACCCCCTGAAGAGGCCTGGACTGCACAGTCTAGTGGGCTACCTTGGCGCTCCAAGGCTCTGCAAGAAGTGTTCTGGGTTCGGCAGCAGCGCTGTGTAACCCATGAAGTCGACTTACAGCCAATGCCACTGCACTTGTGTGACCTGTTTGACTGAAAACGGTCCTGAGCGTCATCACTTCATCTGTCAGCATGACCACCAGTTACTAAGTGTCATGACATAAGGTGATAAGTTGGATAAGCTGTATTTATCCTTAATTGTTCGAGTACAAACCAGTATGGGCAGGACAAGACAAGACACCTCATCATGAATGATGTTCTTAACTGGAGGTCCCAGCTCTGTATCAACATCAGGCATGTAGTGGACTGTAGAAGGGGAAAGAAGACTACAATGGCATTCTTCGAGGACACTTTTAAAACTGTTACCACGTCTGGTCAAATCTTGTGCGAATTGTGGAAGACACAAACTTCAAAAAATACCTCCACCTTCTACTTGCTGTCAATACTCTCGAAGCTCTAGGCCACCACAATTATCTAATGTTAACCCCACACCAATAGACAGACCAATATAGTATGAGGCTCATATCATGCAGTGATATAAATATCCCCCATCTGCTGCACCGCGCAAGGAATGAGACATCCTCTTCACGCTATCCATATGAGCTACATTATTTGATCTAGAATGTACAAGATGATCGTTGCAGGTCTCTCCACTTTGTGATATGGTCAACAAGACACAGCACATGTGGAGACGTTGTAACGTTCAGCCACATGCCCAATGAGAATGCCTCGTTTAACCGAAATTTCAAGCATAACGAGATGTTCCAGATGCCCAGAAGTACATGCCATTAGTGTATGGACCAGTTGGCATTACAGACAGCCCGGAGGTGATGGCTCATATCTGCGTGAAGTCCGGGATGAGATGGCACATGTAATGGGCAGGTATCCATCCTGCCTGAGCCAGAGTTGCTGCAGGCCACCATCTGACTTTATGGCCTTATGTTGCCCACCTCGGAACTCGCGGCAGTAATTTGACCCTGAATCCTTCATGCACGGTACTCCGATGCAGTCAGGATGGTCTATCAAAACGGAGATTTTTTTGGGATATTCCTTCTACCCATTCCCTGAACACATCGTCGTCGGCTTGTACCGGCCGACCCGCTGCAGCTGAGGCGCAAGCCTCCAACCCAGTTCCAACGTGCATCAGCCCATGTCTTGTCTTTCGTTTTTCAATAATCCGTCTCGGGCCTGTCTCCCTGTGTGATGGGCGTAAGGCGTAGGAATCCTTTATTTCCTCCGCCATGGTCGTTGTTGCTACCCCCCCCCCCCCCTTCCTTTTCTTCGCACGTCGTTATATTTCTGCGCGACCATGGGAGGACGCAAATCGCCTGCGTAGCCATCATCTTCGTTTTCAGCTAATAACAGCAAAATGACGACACGGCTATCAAGATCTCTACTCTTGTCTTCGATGTAAGTCTCTACGTGATGACAGGCGAGACCATGACAGATCTGTAGCACTGACACACCGATTGCACTGATTAGAACTCTGGGAATTTGCACCGTGGTGCTCACTATCCGCTATAGTCAGAGTGTTGCATTTGGTACGTATCTTCTTGTGGCGCGCTCTACACTTTCGTGCGCCTCATGTAGAATCTAGCATTGATCTGAAGGCGTCGTTGGACTATACTAAGTGCCGTTGCCCACATGCAGAGATCCCAACCCCCTTCTCGATACTCACACTACTTCTTACCGGCGCGAGTCTCTTCGTTATTAGTCTTCTCCCAAAGAGAAAACAGGACGAGAATTCCTACGAGTTCACGGCGCTCCGGACAAGTGACTTTGTCGAAGATGGCCTCCCAAAAGCCAGCGACACTACAACGGTCGGGACAACGGGATTTGAGCGAGTCTCTAGATTCCTGCTACACCTGATGCTCATTTGCGGGCTTGTGGTCAGGACTTGGCTATCCACGAAAATAGCAGACAGAATACAGTGCTCCTCGCTTGGTTTCTATGTGCGTTTTCTATCCGAAGCTCAAGCCTTATCGGCAGACATCTCGACGAGATCTAATCAAATGCTTGGGAGAACAATAGTTGCTACTTCCTCTGTGGATATTCATCCTGGAGCTTGTTCCTCTTATGAGGAGCCCCCGGGTACTAGTGGCAAGACTACTCAAGGGCGATGGCTTGAAACTGCTGGCCTCCATCCTGCTGTTCGGACTGACTGGCAGGTTGTTTTGGTCGTCCTCAATAGAAGCGGCCACTCGGACCAGTGTGATATGTCCGACCGTCGAGACACTGGAGGAATCAATTCCTGTTGTCCAGGTGGCCCTGCTGTGTGTCGATGCCTTTCTCATCAGCGCCCTCGGGTACCTCGTACATGACGACAAGACAAAGCCCACTACCGGATCAAGACTCCCCTACGTGTGCTGGGCCGCTGCTGGGTTCATCACTTTATTCGAATTTGTCACTCTCACGACCGGGTGGGCAGAGATTAACGACTTGCACACCCAAATGTGGAATACGGACTGGATAACCAAACGCGACATGACCATTGACAGCATAGTGGCAGCGCTTGCGCTGACGGCCATGGTTCATATGCTCTGCGCCATCTCGGCCATCACGATGGGATTGATGTTGGTGTTGATTGGCGCATTCGTGCAGCTGGAGACGGGAATCCTCAATGGGGCACTGGTCGAGGTTCTGGCTGGAGGGAGTGGGATCATGGCCGTCTTGTTGCTTTGTGCAAGCGCAGGAGGGGTCTTGCACTTCTCGAGGGCCTCCGACCACAAGGTCCATGCTTACGACGTGCGAGACGGCTCACATAAGCGGAGCACGCGCCTCCTGCTTCTCCATATGCTTGGAGGGTTCGCTCTCATCATTGGACAGAGCCTGTTGCAATTCCAATACACGAACACACAAGCAATCCGAGCAGTCATCAGAGACGCGGAGCATACCTCGAGCAGGTGGCTTGGACAAGCAACTGTAAGCAAGACGCTCGAAGAAGCTGCTGGCGAGTACAAGAAACGTTACGGCATCCCTCCACCGCCTGGATTCGACGCATGGTACAACTACGCTGTAGAGAACGAATCACCAATTATCGACAACTTCGACCAGATCCACTCGAGCCTACTCCCGTTCTGGGGCACCACACCTGCTGAGCTTCGCGAGAGAACCTCGCACATGCTGGAGACGCCCACCACCTCTGTTGGCGTAATTATAATTGGGGATGGAAAGATGACGTTTGGACCACATGATGAACAGTACACCTGGATGCTGGAGCACATCGCAGAGATGATGGAGCCTTTTGCCCAGTGGCTACCCGATATGCAGGTGGCATTCAACCTTGACGACGAGTGCCGGGTCTCCGTCCCTTATGAGCTCATGCAATCCTACCTACAAGATGGAGAGAAGTCCAGGGGCAGGTTGGCGCGTCAGACAGAGCTTTCTGGCTTCAGCAAGACAGCGAGTCCACCTTGGTCGGACCAGTACCTTGAGGACGACCCTGAGCGCTTCGCTAGGGTCTCTCCTTACTTCCACCCCTGGTACAGCCAACCCATCTTCTACGAATGGGTAGCCTCGACCTGTCCACCCGGTGCGCCCGTTCACAGTTTCCACTGGTGGGACAAGAAGGTATCCTGTGCGTCCTGCTATGGTCCGCACACAGTCGGCGGCTTCGTATCGAACTGGACAGCGGCCAGCGAGTTGTGCCACCAGCCCGATCTCTTCTACCTCCACGGCGGCCTACTGCGACCACAGGCCGCCCGCCCAACGCACGACCTTTTCCCAATCTTCAGCCAGAGCCGCCTGCACAGCTATAACGATATCATCTACCCCAGCGTTTTTGTTTTTGCGAGCAACGTCCAGTTTGATGACAGCCGAGCCGTAGCCTGGGAGGACAAGGGGAACAGCGTCTTCTGGCGAGGAAAGAACACTGAGGCCACAACTGTGAATGGGCTCTGGGAGAGTTTTCTTCGCCCGAGATTTGTGAGCTCTGCGCAGGATGAGAAGAAGCTCTTAGCGGCAGAGGGACCTGGCAGTTCGAACAACTTGGTCATCGATGTCTCCTTTGCAGGAGAATTCGGGAGGTGCGACAAGCCCGACTGCATCGCCGAAACCACGCACTTCTACGGATCTCCAGACGCAGAGATCCCAGGGAACGTGCCATTTGACACCGCATGGCAGCACCGCCATCTGGTGGACCTCGATGGCGCTGCCTTTAGTGGAAGGTTCCCCGCCTTTGTCGCCTCTGATTCGCTCCCCTACCGCACGGCACTGTGGCAGGCCTGGTGGGAGGACCGGATACATGCATTTGTGCACTTTGTGCCTGTGGATGTGAGGCTCGTCAGAGACCTGTGGAAGCTGATCCGGTTTTTCGGGTCTGATGGCGAGGCAGAAGGCAAGAAGATCGCAGAGGCAGGCGCAAAGTGGGCGGCCAAGGCAATGAGGAAGGAAGATATGCAGATTTACATGTTTAGACTGTTGCTAGAATGGGCAAGGCTGGTGGATGATGCCAGGGAAGAAATTGGATTCCAAAGTAAAGATACCTAGAAGATTATAAAGTAGATAGGAAGAAGAGAACGGTCACGTTGAGAATAATTATGATTAATTCAGAGCATATTTTGCTTGGTATATTTGCGAATCCGGTTCATCTATTTCTCTGTTCCGCTTTTATGTGTCCAGTCGAAGGGGAAACGGGGGAAACTACTGGGTCCAGTTGCGTTCTGTTTCTCTGTAAAATCGAAGGAACGGAAAGAATGTGGGCGAAGCAAAAGAAACAATTCATCCTCTGCCAGCCTCCTGAGAGCGTTTGTTATTAAACTCCCGGGCTTGCTTGATGACCGTGTCAACAAGATCTGCCCCGATCATTGCTCCAGGCCAACTGAACCAGGTCTTGCTCGTGCACTTCCCACTGCAGACATCAACCGCCTCGGAAAAGGTGCCATCCCACTGCATCGAGCCCTTGATTTTGGCCCACGCTTTATCCTCACGGGCCTTGTCCCCCACGGTCTGATAGAACTTCCACTCCTGGAAGAGACCCAGAACCCACGCGCCTGGGCTATGAACGCTCCCAAGACCGTGGAAGGGCTCCGTCCCCTTGCCTGCATAGCCAGTGTTGTACTTTGATGTATCGACACTGCCGCCAGCGCGTGTGCCAAAGTCTGGATACTCTGGGTTGGGAGTAAATGCCCAGTCCAGAGTCTTCTCCCAGATCGCCCTCCAGGCTGGATGGTCACACTCATCGCCCTCATTCATCTTCAGGAAGCCCCACTCGTGTGCAAGCAAGGTGGGCATGTCGTTTCCGTCGTGGTAGGTCCGGTGGCCGCTGACACCCGCCTTTGGGGACGGATTTAGAGCGTATGCAAACATCGTCTTCCCAGAACCGTCGGGACACTTGCAGGTGAGCCGATTGAAGATAGCTGTGCGGACACTGTCTGAGACCTTTCGAATTGCAGCGGCATCCTCACTGGGGAGGGCCTGGGTGTCGTCGAGCAGCTTAGAGATCTGCTTCAGGGTGTACCAGGCCAGAATGTTGCTAGACATGTGGATGGGAAAGTCGCTGGTATCATCATCTGCCGGGGTCTCGTCGGTCGTGAACAGCTGATGCTTAGTATTCAGCCTAGCCAAGAGGTCCTGAAGAACCCTTGTGAAGGCCCTGGTCCGCATCATGTTAACCACAAACTTCTTGTACCCACTACGGGCTCCATAGGCAGTGTAATACTCGCACAGCTGCAGGAATGGATACAGCTGTGTGTCGAGCTGGTAGACGGCGCCATCCTTTGGGCGTCCGTTGATCAAATAGGATCGCCTCCAGAAGTGTCGGGCCTCTCCCTGCACATCAACATCGATTGTGGCGACCTCGAACAACCATCGAAGATGGCCTTTGAGGATGGATTTAAACTCTTGGGCACAAGCGCGAGCCTTGTCCGGGTTGCGTGGGAACAGAACCTCGATGTCACTGCAGTGAAACTTCTGGAGAAGTCGAAGCTGCCAGTAGTTGTCCCTGGGCCAGCCTAGAGGAAGGGCAATGTGGTCAGGTATGACAGCCACTGCATCAGAGTATGCGTTGCCCAAAGGAGTAGAGCAGCAGCCAATGATGTAGTTGACATTAGCCCATAGGATTGTGCTTTCGATTGTCTCCAGAGCGGGACTGAAGCTGGCCCCGGAGTTCTGAACGGTCTGTCGGTAACGGCTTAGGATTGTTTGTGGGTCACAAACACCGTCCTCATGGGCAAACAAGCTCTGAGGTAGGATGGCCTCGGCATCAAATGCTTCCGGCCCCAAGAAGGACACGGACGATGGAAGTTTCTTTCCTTTCTCGGTCCATCGTATATCCTCGGCACGTAGGATGCATCCAATTCTCAGAGTCTCGTTCGGTCCGATGGCAAGGTCCTGAGGCTTCAGACGAGACTGGGCTTCTCTAAGGTTGGCAGGCGGGTTGTCATCCTGATCTCTGAAGCTATCACCGTCAAAGACATTCTGTTTGATGTCCAAGTGGCACTGGCGCGTGGCATTGTAAAAGATAGGATAGGCAGACAGTCGCCCATTCAGGCTATCATTGTCAATGGAGTAGATCGATGTCTGTTCGTGGTGAAAAGTGTGCTGAGCATAAAAGTTGGTCTTTTCTGGCATTTCAACTCCACCCTGATCCGTGAGCTGGCCGTAGGAGGCTCTGGAAACGGCGAGGACGAGGTCCAGGCCAGCCGGCACGTAGCAGGCTTTATCAGTGGTGTTCGTGATCTGGCTCGCCTGGATGATGGTACCGTCGTCTCGGACTTTGAGAATCGTCTGGATAAAGAACCTCTTGTCGTGGCTCCCATACTCGTGCTGAACTTGACTCCCAAGGCTGCTATGAACAGGATTGATGACTACAGCCCCTGGGCGGATGTTGAGCACCAAGCCGTGTCCGTGAATCTTGCCCTCAAGCCGTCGTTCCATGTGCTTGCGGTACTGACGCACAAAGACTGGGTCTTGTCGCTTGGCTTGATCGAATTGCTCCCAAGGGGCCGCGATCATGAGGGCGAACCTTGGATCCTCAATCTTTGCGCTGATCTGATAGATGCCACCGAAGGGGTCCGCCGAGACTGTGACTCCATTTCGCCCAACATCAACAGTCTTCTTATCCGGCCAAGCTCCCTCTGGGAACGTTCGTCGCTGCTTGGAGATCATATCAGTTTCGCTGCCGGCTGACATGGTGGTGGATGCCGAAGTATTGGTTGGCTACTTGTGCTTGTAGTTTCTAAAATTGCTTATGAAATTAACAGACTTTGCGGTACAGGAATCGAGTGAAGCGAGAGAGGCAGAATATATGTGGTTGAGGAGCGTTTATATAATATTCTGAGCCAAGAGGAACCAGTGGGTGACATGAGGTCAGTTCAATTTTATTAGTACAGTGTGCGTAGCATCCCGCCTTTGACAAAACCGTTGTTCACTGAACAAAGAATAGTTTTGTTCGGTCACCTGTCATCGTCGCGATGCCGAATACCCCAGGACCAAAGGTTGACAATTCGCTCCGTCTGCAATGTAATGCTATTGCACACCAGCTACTATAACCTGTCCGCCTATCAGATGGATGAATGCGACGTGCGACGTCTATTTCTTTTACTTGCACGTCTTCACTCAGCCCTCCAAAGTGAATTTCACACTAGCACATCCGATGCTTCAAGAATGTCAGGTAACTATCGATTTAGTCTACATGTACTCAGACTTCACTTTTCCCATTCGAGCAAGTCTGTTGGCATATGAAGTGGATAATGGTACGATCAATCATGGAGAAAAAAGAATATCATGGGCGGTGAAGAGTGTCGACTTGAGTATCTGACCGGCTCGAAATGCCCTTTTCAACTCAAAGTCGTCATCGACTTTCATCACATGAGACAATGACTATATGATGTACGCACATGCTGTCAGCCCCATGCGAATGGGCTTCCAACGTGCCTGGTCAGTATGACAGATTGACCAGTCGGGATATTTAATCAGCCGCAGATATTGTCTAAACTAGGTCGCGGTACAGTACTTAGTTTCCGCCCATCCACCCCGACCAGCCACACCGCCTCCTCAACTGCTTTTGGGTTGGGTTGCTTTTTCTCAGTCAATTGTAGTCCGAATAACTTCATCTTTTCGCAAAAGCCTCATACAGTTACCATGAAGCTATACTCTTGAATTCGTGCTAGCTTGGATGTTATGACCCATCCAACATGCAGGTCATGACAGGCTACGGGGAACAGTGGACCCAGAAAGCCATATATCGGATCCAACATCCAACGGTAGTATAAACACCTTGTGTATTTTGGTATATTCGGATTACTGCCGAGCTTAGTACACCCGGCAACTTATACTAGCGTACCTCGACTGACATCTTAAAGTCTTATTTACCATTCCACATAACATTGGGAGCAGAGACATTATCCAGCTTGCGATATATAACGTCACCCAACTATTGCACCAACATCTGTGATCAGAAAAAAAGCCAAAGACTGTAAGTAAAATATGCTCTCTTCAATTTTGTCATCTGTGGGAAACTTCCACAGGCTACCGTGTTGCACGCTCGATCTATGACGATCTTCTATGTACAAGGGGACATAGTAGAGTGAAGGACCCCGTAAAGTTGGGGAAACCCTTCGTGTCCTTTGGATGCAATGTTGAAAATGTTGAGAGACAAATATCTGTTGCTCATTTTTGGTAGGTTATTACTATGACACTCTTGTGCTGAAGTAAGTTCTTAATGTTTTATATATCCGATGCTGAAAGGTCTCAAGACTATTACGTAGATTATAAGTAAATGATATGTCAGAGAATATGATGGTAGTTCTCGTCACATTGTGGCCTTGAATGTACGTAGAATAGAAGGAAAACACGATCTCCTCCCTTACCCTGCAAAAAAGGAGAAAAGAAAAGAAAGAGAGGCAGAGCAACAGCATGCAAGGTCTATGACAACCATAACTCGTCAGCACCAGGCCTGTATAACAGACGAGCTCCAGAAGTATAGCGAACTGCACTTCAGTGATTGCTGGTAGGAATTTGGTCAAATTGACTTATGCTCTTATTTTACTGAGGGCTGCAGTGTATATGGGTATCAAAGTAACCACCTAGGCACTGTTGTGACAATATCTAGTGGTTGTCTAGTGTTACAAGACGAGCTGCGGTTCAATGGTTGCAATCTAGTGTTGATTATGGCAAGTAACGACGCCACAGCCCCGATCTCACTCGGAGAATGAGATGAGTAATGAACTTCGCTACGACAGTCTCACATAATAGGAGCTGACCCAGAGGTCTGTCTTGAGTACACAAAATATACAATTGCTTCCTATCTTCAAGAAAGAATAGAAACATAGTTGATTTCTCTGCAGTTACTTAAGTAGTTTGTCATGTCCCCCAGTTGAATACACTATTATCACACATCAACACCATAAACAACACTCATGAAAGCTGATAAGGATTTAGCCAAGGCAAGGTAGAACATTGTCTACCCTGGAGGAATCAAGGCAACCGTATCTCACGATTAATGTGGGCCCATGGCTCCGAGACATCAGCGGTAAGGCGTCAGCCCAGCAGCCGGTAAAGAAGGCTCAGATCGTGGAGGTAGTAGTCTTGGAAGTAGTGTAGAAAGCAGCAACGATATTAACAAGCACAAAGCAGCGGTAGTGGTGGTGCATTATTGGCAGTACAAGCCACATCCATAACCAAGGAGCGCATACGTCTTGACAGAAATACTACATTGCCAATCAATAAACGACGAATGGATATCGGGATTTGCTCACGGCATGCATGCAGCCACCAATGAGGTGACAGGCGAATGTTTACGGTATATTAATTTCTTAAGTAATCACCAGCCAGCTCTTCGGCCAGCCTCAACTTCGCATCTCACCAGCTCTGTTAATTTCTCATGCACGAAATCTACTCCCCAGCCTCATCGGTGCGACTACCAGCCTGCAGGTCACTTTTTGTAAACCCACCGCTACTAATGTTCGATCTACTTATGGCTCCCAGTCACTGACTGCATGTCCATCCATTTCTCCAAGGCTCCATTCTTCGGACTGCCATACCCACGTCTTGGAATCAAGTTCTTGATCAACGACGAATCTTGACACGGCACCATCATGGTGGCTTCCAAAAGCCGCTACTATTACTACTACGTCGACCCAGCATGCGACGCCAAGTGCTACAAGGCCACAGGCCAACCCTTGGCCTTTTACGTTCACCGGGCGCAAGAGCAGGCTGCACGCGCTCTGGCACGCCTAAGGGACCGCCACGACACCGACTTTGCGCGCGTCTTCAATGTCATCATGAAGACCCCCAGGGGCGACAGGGAGAGGCTGCCACGATCCGGCTCATGGCAGTGTCTCCGCCTGGGTTTCCGGCACCAGCCCAAGAGACACTGGCGAACGACCATGCAGCACGTCGCCCGCGACCTGTCCACCTTTGCGCACAGGTTTCGCCCGTCCAGCGATCGAAAGGCGGCACACGTGCGCTTTTTCAGCGACAATGGGGAGCGCTGGGTACAGGACGGCCCGCACCTGTACGACCCTGTCAATCATATCATACACAATGATCGGACGGCGCCGCTGTCTCTTGACCAGGCTTCTGGGGCCTGTATGCACCCCGAAGGCGAGGCCCGCGCGGACGAGAATCCCGACCGGTTCATTATCGACTTTGGCGAGAGGTGTTGGAGGGAGATTCGGGACGAGAAAATGTACATCCAGTCGCGTGGTGATCTCAGCAAGGTTCACATCAACGACCTCCTCGTCACCTCCCTCAGCCGCCTCATCTTCCACGAGATGATGCATGGGCCGCCCTTCCACCTCGACGATATCCCACACGCCGGCGAGACAGCCATGTGGGGGGTCGTGATGGCAAGCAGAAAGGGTGATGCGCACAGAAATGCTGAGTCGATGGCCGCTTTGGGATTCTGGGCCTCGTTGGCAGACACTATACCTGCTGGCTGGGAGACTGGAGGATACACGCTGGACCGGAGCTGGGACCAGATACCGGGGAGCTCCGACGATGTGAAGCACCAAGCTTCTGGGGAGCACCTTCTGATCGTGGAGGAGAGGAAAGAAAGTGTTTATGCACTCCCAGAGGCCATGTCAAAGTGGAGCATATCCCAGGACAATCCCGCTGCGAGGGGCGTTCTGGTGCCGTATGCAGACCTCACGGGTCAACCGTGAAAATGACCAAACAGCCCAACAAAATCTTGCCGGTATCGTTGAGTCTCCAAAAGAGGCAGGGCGTACTCAATTATGAATTTCTCGTTGAGAGGTCGATCATGATGAGTGGAAGTCGAGTCACTAATTACCCTCAGCACAGGGAAATGCACCTCAGGGCACCATCGTTTAACTGTAGATACTCAGTCTTCAGTGATGGCTCATCAGCTACCTAGATAGATCTGGATACGACAACGAGTATACTTTCTTTCTTTTGTTTTCATTCTTTCGACCTTGAATAGCGACGGGAACTGCGAGTGGTAAGCAAGAGTGACCCTGTATCCCAAAGTCAACCTCAAACAAACAGGGGAGCAAAGTGCGAGTAGTTGTGTATCCCGGTGCCGGGACTAAAGAATTGTCCCCACTACTGTCAGTAGCGAGTAGTGCCTCAAATTCCACAGCATTCCCCCGCGCTGGTGATGAAGAGCCGGCAAGCCGACGATAATTTTCTTAATCATCACTCCGAATACTGCCACTTACAGCTGGAGTTTATACCATAGTCCACATCTCAACAGCCATGACCACTACCAACGGAAACGAGCGCTTCAACGCGGAGGCCGCCGCCTGGGACAACAATCCAGACGTCCACCGCGCATCCGAAGGCGCCCTCCAGGCCATCCTAGCCGCACAGCCCCCCATCCTCTCCTCCTCCTCCTCCTCGTCACTCTCTTCCGCAGAGGTCCTAGAAATAGGTTGCGGCACAGGCCTCCTCACCCTGCGCCTGGCGCCCCACGTCTCCTCCATCCTCGCCATCGACGCCGCCGAGGGGATGATCGACGCCCTCCGGCTGAAGCTGGACAGACTGGAGGACGATAGCGAGAGGGAAGACAAGACGATGCGCACCAAGGTCCACCCGCTGTGCATAATGCTCCAGGACCCAGAGGACCCACGCCTTCCACCAAACACGACCACTGCTACCACCGCGCTTGATGGCAAGATGACGACGACGACAGGGAGGAGGAAGAAGTTCGACCTGGTCATCTCTCATCTCGTCCTGCACCACATCGCGGACCTGCGCGCCCTCCTCGTCACGATGCATGGCTGTCTCAAGCCCGGAGGCGAGCTCGCCCTGACGGACTTTGAGGACTTTGGACCCGAGGCGCGCAAGTTCCACCCGGAGAGCAAGATGTTCGGCGTTGAGAGGCACGGCATCAACCGGGAGTGGTTTGCTGCGCAAATGGCCGAGGTCGGCTTCGAGCATGTCGACGTCAAGCCCTCCTGGACGATGAACAAGGAGGTGGAGAGGTTCCCTGGTGAGTGGGGCGACGAAAAGCCTACGGGCAAGGAGTTGGCCACGATGGGTTTTCCTTTTTTGCTATGCAGAGGATGGAAGGCCTCATGACGGACACGGTCACGGCATGTGTCATGGCAAGACAATTAATCAGAAAACCATCGCCTAGAGGGCATCAAGACCGGGTGGGCTCATTTGCATATCAGTCACGTACGAGATATATCATCAACTGCACAAGCTGAACAGCTCGACCATACTAGTCGACATCAGAGCTTATTTGTTAAGAGTTATAATTGCCGAACTCCATGCGTTATGTTATGAGTGCACCGTGTACTAAATACTAACTCAACTGTTTCGGCCAGAGCAACTCCGCCACACAAAGTCTCATCTGTTCTAGTGCTGTTCCATGCACTGGCGCGTCCCTCGTCTCTCTTGTTGTCATGCCACGCCGCTAGCAATGCGCAGGGAGAACCCACGTCCAATGCTATAAATGGAAGAAAAAAAATGCGAATCCGGGAAAGAAAATCCCCCGCCCCCCTACGTGCTGAGAAGAGGAACAGACAGACACCATGAGTCGAGACATCTCAACGTGAAACCATACCAGAAACATCTACCATTCCTTGCCATTGGCCGTGGTCTCATCGTCCTTAGGCTCGCCACCAAGTTCTAGATCGCCCAGCGTCTCCTACAGCTGCAAATGGCTATCCTTCTCCTCTTTCTTCTTCTCGTCCTCCTCCTCTGGGGTATAGAAAGGCGTACAGCTCCCATCAAGATCGCTCGCCTGGCACGTGCCCACATCGCCTCTGCATCGGATAGAGTAGTCGCTTGGATGCGGGTTGCGCTCCTATGCCACCCGCGGTGCCGCCTTTATCCCTCTCCGACCGAGCAGCGTAGCGCCATCCAGGTTCAGCTCAAAAGCACCCTTTTGCCGTGCGCGATCCTTGACCTGCTGCCTCGCCGCAGCAGTGACAGCTGCAGAGTGTTGTCCGTAGCCCTTTTGCTCTGGCGCCCGCTGCTGCCTCTCGCGCTCGCGACCACGCTGCTCGCCACTTATTTGGGTATTGCGCATACTCTGCTCGAGTCCCTGGGTACCATTGCTTGACTTGTGGACATATTGAGTGTTGTCGCCGGCATCGACCATTTCTTCATCTTCATCTGACTCGTTCAGACCGGCCAGTTTCGATAAACCAGCTTTGGTTCCAATCTGCTTGCGACGCTTGGCTTCTTCCTCCTGTCGGTGTACAGCATAACCAACATCGAAGACCTCACGCAGGTTGACGGCACCAGGAGAGCGGAAATCGTAGCGTCTGTCGCCATCCTGGAACTTGCTTGCATCAAAGGCACGTAGTTTTCCGTCAGCTGTGACGTTCGCCTTCTTCTCGACGGCCGGTGTCACGCTGGCCGTGATCCAGGGGTGGTTGAGGAACTCGGTGATCGTGTATCGCTTCTCGGGGTCGACAGTTAGGAGGTGGGTAATAAGATCCTTGGCAGAATCCGAGATGTCGTCCCACCACGGCGACAGGAAGGTATACTGGCCCTTCGCGACCTTCTCGGTGAGAACCTCTATGCTCTCATCGTAGAAGGGCGGGAAGCCACACAGTAGTGTGTACAAGACACAACCCAGCGCCCACATATCGACCGACTTAGAATACCGCTCATCCTTGACAATTTCGGGCGCGGTGTAGCCAACGGTACCACAAGGCGTCATGGTTTGGGTGTCCCACACGACCTTGGACAGACCGAAGTCGGCAATCTTGATCAGGCCGATCCCACCAGCGCCAACGCCCTTGATGTACTCGCCCTCGTCGACCTTATCTTCATCGCCGGGCTGATTTGGTTTCGGGTTCTTGGAAGGAATCACGGGTATTGGTTGATATAAGATATTCTCTGGCTTGATGTCACTGCGATCGGGGTTAATACCATGTTGCACAAGCCAACAAGAAGGATGCCAATTAGACACGCCGGGGGAGAATACGTGGGTGAACAAGAGGGGAGGAGTACTGACCGATGCACAACACCCTGCACTTCGTGCAGATATTCCAGAGCCTTGGCCACCTGGAGAATCACATGCCGTGACAAGTCCTCGCTAAAGTAGGTGAGGCGGACGATCTGATGAAAGAGCTCGCCGCCGGGTGCAAGCTCGAGGATGATGTAGTAATATTGCTTAGACTCGGAGAAGTCGATGAGCTTGACGATGTTGGGGTGGTCGAGTTGGCGCATGATCTGGACCTCCTTCAGGATGTTCGCCCTCTGTAAATTAGGTCAGTACGGCCGCTTGCCCAACTTGTCAAAGACGGCCCCCTCTATAAAGGCGCTCCACCAGCCGCCGACACTCGTCTGGCTAGAACCAGTGAATTTGTTGTTCTGCTTGGTAGTAACAGAGTTATACTGTAAAAAGGAAATCCCCAAATCAAAAAAGAATATAAAGTGAAATGTCTCGCACCTCTGCGGCTTTGGGAGCCTTTGGTTTGAAGTCCGGATGCAGATGCTTCTGGCCCTAGATGAGTTCCTCCATGTTGGTATAAGAGGACAAAATTGGAAAGTAGGGAAATCACATCACAAAAAACGCCGAACGCCAAGGTAACATATGCACAGAGAAGAAAGCCGGCATCATGGTGACTGGTAACACTGCCGGCGGTTTATGTAAGCTTACCTGCATGCTGTTCATCTCGTACTTGCGGACGACCTTGATGGCAACTTCGCCGGCGTTGCCCTCACGGTCGCGTGCTCGATAGACGTTGCTGAATGCACCGTCGCCCATCTTCTCTACCAGCTCCCACCGCTCAAGGCCTTGGTAGTGGGGAAACTTGCTTCGGCTCGCATTCTCCTCGGCCACCAACTTCGATACCTCGTCCATGCGCTTGTTCTTGCCGTCCCCGTTGCCTTGGACCACCTGCCTTTCCTCGGCGTGATTAGCAGCAACGCCATCTGCTCTGGCCGCCCGGTTTGCCTGCTCAGCAGGGGCGCCAGAGTAGGCGTCAGGAATGGGCTGTGGTGCTGCAGCAGCCGCGCCGAAGCCAGGATCGGAGTGAGCCATGGGCTTGCCGGTTGCCGCCGCGGGCTGGGACTGTGAGGGCGAATGCTCTTGCTTCCTCTGGGCCTCGTCGCCGTTATTTGCTACCCTGGCTTGCTTGCCTGGTGGACCGAGTTAGTACGTGTGAGTGTGCGAGCGTGCGTGCGTGTGTTTGTGTGTGTGTACGAGGGGGGGAGAGAGAGATAGACAGAGAGGACAAGCTGAAAGCGTATCATTCGGGTGCGTTTGTGTATACAAAACAAAATAAAATGGTAGTCATAACCATGGCTTGAGGTGACGTAAGGGCAGGGCAGGGCGAGACAGGCACCAGCGGAACTGAGGAAGCCCCCAATGAGGCCTCACAGAAAGAACCCGTCACGCAGTAGCAGTGATGCTGCGAGCCCTTTTCCTTTCTGCCTACGGCGGAACGATTTTGCAAGTAGAAATAAAGAAGAAAGGATTTGTTAAAGATTAAAAAAAAAAAAAAAAAAAAAAAGGGAAGCGGGAAGGGGAGGGGAGTGGAGGGGAGGGGGAAAGAGGGTGCGGCGGAAAGGGCGCTCTTACCATGACGAATAAAGTTCTTCAGTTGTTGTATCGTAGACATTGTAGGCGATGATGTAACCCTGAGGTCTGACGGTGGTGTTTCAACTGGTCAACAATGGGAACGCCTTCCCAGATCCAGAGCGATGGAGACAGGAGCTGAGGAATGCTGAACCCAGACTTTGCTCTAGAGGCGAACACGGCGGAAATATGATGGAGACGTGTTTCTTTCGTCTTTCGCTGTGCTGTGAAAGGTCGCAGCAGTAAAGTGGAAGGGAGGAAATGTAGTGTGCTTCTGCCCCTTTAGTTTCTTCTCAACTTGCCGCCTTCTAAGGCACGGTCTCGGCCAATGACGCTGGTTGCTTCCTTTCTTGCTTTCTGTCTCTCCACTCTATAAGTGCAGAGTTGCGTTTGAAAAGACGTCTTCCGGTTCTCTGAAGAGAGATGTAGTGAAAGGTGGATGTACGGCGTGGATGGAATGCAGGATTCGTCTGATTCGGCCTGGACTGAGATACGCGAAGGAGGTAAATGATCTCGTTCTTTGCTGTAATGGACGAGAGGAAGTGATATGGTGTACGGTATTAGGTGGCAACCCAAGACAGTCAGTCGATGAGTATTTGAGACCCGGAGTGTGAGAGGAAAGTGAGGTAAAAGCTGTCGCGAATAACGGTGGTGATGATGGTGAGGGAATGCGTCGCTTCTGTGTCGGTTTTGTTGACCTGCGTAATGAGGGAGATTGGTCGGCGGCAGATACGTCAGACGGCTGGCAAGTCAATTCCAGGGCAATGAACAGGACCGACAGTCTGGAAAAGCAGCGCCTGCAAATGCGCAAAGGTGCAAGCAGTCCAAGATGAGATGAGGTTAAAGGATGGCCTTGGTCGGGGGCCTGCTGGTGGCGGTCCAGCTATGACGAAGTTTTTCCCGGGTCTTGGGTCCAGGGGGGGGGGGCGTGTGAAATGCGGCCCAGGGGGTGGAAACGCGAGAGCACACACTGGCACAGACCTCCGTATGCGCACGCGTCTGCAAGCTGATGGACGTGGGATTGTGCAGTTCGAAATTGCAGGCCACCCTATGTCATCATAGGTCCCTTTGATGGTGATGATGATGATGATATGATGATGAGGGATCAAACTAAAGAGTCGCTGCCAGACATAGGACGGAAGGGCTGATGATGGATCAGGGCCCGTCTCAGATTCCCGCTTGTCAATCAGCCAGCGATATGATCGAAGTTCAAGCCAGCAGTAGAGAGGTCTAGATGCAGCCCCCCTTTATTTTTTATTTATTTTTTTGGTTCCTCTTTTTTCTTTCTTCCTTCTCGGGCCGTTGGCTGTTGGGATGGTTGGTGGGTTGTACGGGGCAAAACGACCGCCACGGAGGGTGGTGATGTATAGAAGGAGACTTCCTCTGCTGTTGTCGATGAGCACGATTCTCGTGGATCCCGCCAGCCTGCGAACAGCTCTAAGGGTCGCCTTATGTCGGTCGTGACGAGGTGCAGGGGAAAAAGACGTCAGGTCAGAGCGGAGGACACGCCGGAATGAACACTAGTGAATCGACGGGCGCGGCTATCGTATTAGTGACCCGAGTCTGGCTGGCACTTGTCGATCAAATGAGTTCAGACGGCGATGGGTGCATGTGTGAGTGTATTGAATATCAGCAATTCCACGCGGCTTATTCTGCTGCTTTTGCCTCGTGACGAACATGTGACCCCTCTTGGCTTCTGTGGGAGCTGGTACTGGGTGAGATGAAATGCCAAGGTAGTTATGTGGCATACGATGATCAATGCGATGCAACACACGCGTACGGGTTATGGTGACAAAGAAGAAGCTGTTGGAGAGTCGAAAATGGAAAGGAACGGGCTTGGGATGGAGGGGTCATGGACGGGGGATCCGGGCGTGACCCATATTTTGGGGGATGCTATAGAGGGGAAGGAGGGGGCGTTTAGATTGGTAAGGGTCAGCTGTTAGTGAAGGAGGGGCAACTCAACCTTGGGCCAAGACAGCTGCTGCTTCCCATCCTGGAAAAAGTGACAGCCTGAACTTGTTGCAACTACAGTACATGGTCTACATGAGACTACCAGTATGTCTGTGACTGCCTATGAAAATATACTACTTGTCTCATACAAAACTCTTATTTTTTATCCTATGTGCTGCTATGCTATGAGTATTATTCGTGCTTGTGAGAATTTAATAGGCGGCAAAACGCGATGCAGGTGCTCTAATCTAATTTGAACTGAAAGGGAAGGGGCAAGGGCCGGGGGGGGGTCGGGCCTTATATTTTGGCATTTACGTGCCTTCCCTCAATATTAGCCCTTGTGAGGCCTCTGGGTAATCTAGGAACAAAAGATATCAGAAAAACTGAAATGAAAATAAATAGGAATCACACCCCAAGCAAAGAAAGACAAAAGGATGGGAACACGGCGTTGGTCCAGGCTAGGAAGTTCGCGTGCTGCTGCTGCAGACCAGGTGGGGTCTGCTCTGCAGGCGATGGACGCCCTGCAGGGTTGGTCGACGAGGCCCAATCGATAGGCATTTGCATGGCGAGTCCGGTGTGGGTCTCACCTGGGTATGACGTAGGGATCCGCGTCATGATGAACGAGGGTCTTCACATCCTGGCCCTGCGGGCATGACGTGCACATAGTTGATAGGGGAGAAGGCACGTGGAAGGGGAAGGGAGACGGAGTGTTTCTTTTGCGAACTCAACTGAATTGGATTTTTATGGAGAGCATATCAGTGTTGAAGCAAATGAGAATGATGATATATTTATGTCTCAACGCCTAATTTCAGGCACTCGAGTCACACACCTGTGCATTTCATCTGTGAGCTTATCTTCTACCTTTTCTTTCTATTCGTGTTCCCCTTCCATTTGTCTCTGTTTCCCTTCGTGCGGCCGTCTCATCCGGTTGGTTGCTCATGATCACATTGGGCTGGGACCGTTTGGAGTCATTCGGGCCTAAGATTGGGAATTGGATGGCCTTGGCGTTTTAGGCCTTGCATGCCCTGGAACAAGCCACACACGCACTAATCAGACTTTTACTACGGCCAGGACAACGGCTTCGACACACCGACAACACACCCACACGCACGACAGTTCCTGATTATTAATTAAGACCGGACTTTTATACCTGCCGTATATAGTAGTATGCTACCCATAACATAGCCTTGCAGCCATCCTTTGCCATGGGAACGGTCTGGTTCGCTTAGGGCTTAGGAACAGCCGCCTGGTTCACTGTTGGAATGCGTGGGTGCAGATGCTGGCGCCTGACTCGTTGAACAAGCAGTGCTCTGACAGGCCCTGCACGCTGCTGCTGTGCGATGCTGCCCCGCCACTATGCCCAAGGTGTCAAATCCCTCTGCTGTACTTCCCTGACGGTGACGTCACTGTCCACCTGCACCCCACACCCCTCACCTCTGGTAGACAGAAAGTTCTACAATTATCTAGTCAGGTCTCTAATCTGTCCTTTCTGTGTATGTAGTGTGTATAGCAAGAAAGGCTTCCAATTGCTAATGTGTTAGCTTAATAATAATAAAGAGTCTGAGAAGAGACTATTGCTGGTGACATTGCTCATGTGAATATCAGCAGCTTCAAGATCTCACTTGTAAACATTAGTGTCTGGGCATGCCCCAATCATCTGAACATCCCAATAACTACATAGTACAGTACTTCAGTCGTACAGCTTAGTATTTAGCCCTACATACTGCACTAAGTATTGTACCACTAAGTATAGGGCAGTAAAGATTGGATCGGGTTCCGGGGGGCTTAACTTTTGTCTTTCGTTCTGGGGAAATCTGGGGCAAAATACAACGCAAAGCACTGACTGTGCTGCCGCCATACCCCCTCTCCCCGACTCGGCTCTTGCACTAATATGTAGCTTGGCTCTCCTCAAGGATTATCTTTACCACCACCACTCGCCCAAGAAGGTCATGGCGCAGGCCTCCTCGATGTTCCACACTGATCCACTGGACTACTGCACCACCTGCAACAGAGATATTACTATATGTACATAGCCTAGCCCCAGACCCTCCAACTGTGGCTGGCGTCAAAATCGTTGGCTTGGGCTGGCATCTGGTTACAAATCTATTGATCACCATAGTAAAAGGATTCCCTAGCTGTGAATATTGTGTTTGGCTCTCTTCTAGCTGAAACACTTTTTATGTCTTTCGCGTGTCTCGGCCAGCCCTTTATGAACGTCCACATGTCTCTCTTCTTCTTTTGAAGATGACAATGGCAGCCATCGACCTCAGGATTCCACAGGGGGGAAGGGGGTGTCAGAAGAGCATTGAAGGCATAGATAAAATTGTATGAGAATAGAATGAAGGGTTTCTGAGTTCTAGACCAAAGGCTATAAGCAATAAGTTGCCAACACTACTGGAGATAGTATTCTAAATATGTTGAAGAGACTTTTGCGTCTTGAGTTCTGCGAAGCCCAGAGTCACAAGCTCCACAAACAACTGCTCTATAAAGGTTCCCATCACATTCACCCAAATACTTTCCTTCCTCCAAACCACGTCTCTACAACCCGTGCCTCCAGCAGCCGCTCCTTGTCCCACTTCATCTCCAGCACAGCCAGGTCGGCCTTGAGCCCCTTCTGAATCGCCCCTGTGGTTCCCTCCATGAAACAGCTGTACGCCCCGCCCTGCGTTCCGGCGACCACACTCTCGCACAGCCCCAGCGCAAAGTGTGGGTTGACGACCGTCTCGAGCTCAGGCTCCCTGGCGCTCCGCCTGTTGGTTGCCACGTAGCAGTTCGCTGGCAAGCTGTGCGGCGCCGTAGGTGCATCACTTCCCAGCGCAATCGTCGCCCCGCTGTCTGCCATATCACGGTAGGCAAACGCCCTCTCACACCTGTGCGGGCCGATGAGGCGTGGCCAGGCCCGCAGAATAGCTGGGTCGGAGTGCACAGGCTGGACTGATGCCGTGATGCCTAGCCTGCCCAGGCGGGCCGCGTCCTCGGCTGATGTGAGTTCCAGGTGCTCGATGCGCGGCCTCTGCTCTGGCTTGACCACCGCCTCGATGACATCCACTGCGTTACGGATCGCCAGGTCACCAATCGCGTGGATTGCCACCTGCAGTCCTGCCCTGCTGGCCCTCTCGACCGCCGGCAGCAGCATCTCCTTGGTCCAGACGGGGTCTGACGATGTGCCTGAGTGGGTATAGGGCTCAGAAAGAGCGGCGGTGCAGCTATCGACGATACCATCGCTGACGAATTTAACGCCAACAACCTTCAGATCTGGGCTCGTGTCGGCATTGTACTTGCGCGCCATCTCGATCGCATAGTCCACCTGCTCTGCCACGTCCGTCTCGTCCAGGGAAGGGCGCAACAGCCAGTACGCAGCGACGCGCATGGGCAGGTCGGGCCTTTTTGTCCTTAGGTAGAGCAGGCTCTCCCAGCTGTCATCGTTCATAGCCATGTCGATCATGCCCACGTACCCCTCGGCACTGAACGTCTCGACGGCGTGCTGGATGGCTTTGGCCCGCTCCTCGAGCGTCGAGATGCGAGAGATCCACGGCCAGATCAGCGTAAATACAACGGCCTCCTCGAACAGCCCCATGGGTTTTCCCTCGGCGTCCCTGTAGATTTTACCACCAGGAGGGTCAGGCATTGTGCCGATGCCGAGCCCCTTGTCGAGCTCGTCGATGCCTGCCTGGTTGGTCCAGGTAGTGTGCAGGTCCTTTGTATCGATAAAGATGGGCCGTGGGTCTAAATCGTCCAACATGCCGTGGTTGATCTCTTTGGGCACTTGGGTATGCATTAACGACTTACACATGATGCGTTCCTCATGCGGGTGCGCGGCTGCGTACGCTTTGATTGTGCGCCGGATATCCTCTAAGTCCTTGCACGTCCCGAGGTCGAGCTTCTGGAGCGAGAGGCCAAGAAGGAGCATGTGCAGGTGTCCATCGATGAAGCCCGGAAGCACCGTCCGGCCCTGGAGGTCGTGCACCGTGGCGCCGCTGGCCCGAGCCGAACGGATTACCTCATCTTCTTCTTCAGGGTTGGACGAGGTGTTGATATGTCTGATCGTTCCATCTGCGCTAATGAGGAGGCTCGAAGCAAAAGAGGCCTGCTGGTCCTTGCCGGAAGGGCCGGTGGCCTGGAAGATGTTTCCGTTGACGAGAAGAGTTTCAGCGCCGGGCATGGTGATCATGTTTGGAGCAGAGAAAAAGAGAGACAGAAAGAGAGACTAGTTTGTCGTTGTCGACCGAGATCTACAGCAGTGATGCAAGGTGCCCTGGGACGATCATGGCCGCCATGCACAGGCCTCAACTGGCCTGAAGTTCAGACGTTTACCGTCAGCTGATGTGGTTAAATATATGCGTGAACGCATCACGCGGAACCCCCCCGCGCGCGATAACGGAGGGATGCCCAGACGGCGCAGTGGAGGATAGTCGCTAAATTTTGCGCGTCGCCACTCCAGGATGCCTTCCCATTCGCTATCTAGGCTATCTGCTGCAGTCTTAAGAACAAACCCCTATAATTTGTATATATATTAGTAAAGGCTGAAGCCCTAGAACTATTCTGGATTAACATCATCCTCCCCCCCCCCCCCCTCCTGCTGTCTCCTAGACCTGACATATTTCACATTTCACATGAATTACTATCTTCTATTATGTCCTTTTCTTCGCTTAACCCATCCTAAATGAGGCGTGGATGAATGTTAGGGGCCCTCAGACAGGCGCACTCCTGTTGTCTGATCGCCTGCATGTGGTCTCATCCTGATCGCTTACCCAATCCCACCCCTTGTTCCCCACGGCGATCAATCACACAGCGCAGAGAAGCGTAGGCCCCAGCGCCAAAGCTGCCACAGCGATCCACAGGGGTTCAAGCGGCTTGTCCCATCTTGGCTCAACCATTCTTTGGTTGGTCTGACAACCTTAAACTGCTTAAACGACATGAGACAACAGAGCCTCATTCTTCATATTAGCAAAGTACTTAACCTTAGAAAGCGTTTCGCCATGGGGCTGTTTAAGCATGGCTCGTAAGGGGTGTTGCTGCTGAACCTTGAATATTGAAATGTTTATAAAGGACCAAGAAGCACACTCGTCTGAACTTGAGACCAAAAACTGATCTACCGGTTACTCTCCCGTCGCTTGAATATCAGAATTGCATTCTTTTACTTCCTTCCTTTTTCTTTCTTTTCTGGCCAGTTGAACTGGTCCAATATCGTGAAGGTTGGATACCTTAAGTTTGATTTCTTTCTCTTCCTGTTATCTTTTACAAACAATCTTCCACTACATTCCTACCTTCAACGACTCCAAAATGATTTCAAAAGTATTCTTGATCGTTATGGCTGCGGCCTCTATGGTCCTATCCAGCCCAGTGGCACTCGAGCGCCGGGTAGATGCCACGAACATCACTTGTACTGACGCAACTGCGTATGTCTTTTTTTCTGATTCTGATCTCACTCTCTCGCACACACACACATTTTTGAAATGTTGTCGGGTAAAGCATATAGCTGACGCTGTGCTTCTACAGAAATATTGACGAACACAACAAGAATGTCGCCACCCTCTCCATCTGCGGCGGCATTGCCGGAACCATCGAGAAGTGCGAGGGCGCTCCAACATCCACAGAAGGCGCATCAGGCGATGCCAAGTTCACGCTGAACCCAACAGTCGCCGGTGCCACCATCAACATCTCCAAAGGCAGGTGGGAGCAGTGCATCGACTCGGCCGAGGCTGTGTGCCCAGGCGGTCAGGCTTACACGGCTACGTGCCCCGGCGGTGCGTCGTCTGGCGACATTGACTTTGCTTTGACCAAGCAATGAGGACCTTGCAAGAGGACGACCTATGTTCGTATAAATAATGATGTATATCAAGCAAGAAGCCGTCGCAAGGACTGTCCAGTTCCAGATTTTGCGACGGGATGAACATTATATATGAGAAGAGTTACTCATCTTTGAACACAATACCTCTCAATGAGGAACCGCATGATCTTCGCGACATCATCGAGTTCTTCTTTTTATAAAAAAAAAATCAAAATCAGATATGCCCTTGCGACTTTATATCATTGTCAAATCCCCCTTTGTGACGTTGCAGACGGCCACTGACATCCTGCTTCTTCACATGCTCAAGCGCCGGTCCTCTTGATCAATTACCTCTTTGGTATTAGGCAAGCAGCGCCTTTGCTCGACAGTTTGTTATCGCTGTATTCATATCGCTCTGTAATTATCACTAACATCATAGGATGGGTTTGGCGGCAGGTTGGGTGAGTAGGTGCATGTGATATGCAACTCATTGATCTTTGCAACCAATATCGTCGGAGTTACGAGTATCAACATTGCACGCCCCAACAAGACGTAAACAATTCTATAGAAAACGCAATGAGAACCTGGGGTGTGTGCAACACTCTCTCGGATCTCGGAACAGCTGCAGAGACCGTCCACGAGGAGGGCACATGCGCACATAGGTCACAACAAGTCGTCAGTCTCTGTCGTTCACGATATCAATGACGTAAAATTCCTTAGTAGCTACTGACATCAACATCCGATGATAAGCTATGGAACTCGGTCTCTTACCACAACGGAATATCGCGACTTCTCAGATCAGCGGTGATGCAGCTGATCCGGGCGGGGTATGGATCACAGAAGCATTCCAAGGTGACAGTGAGGGTGGCGTGCTGCGGCGCCCGCTTAGCAGATCAACACACAGCTCCGCAGGCCTGCTGTTAGCTGGGGGCAAGAAGGCGCATGCAGTGCGGAGAGTTGCGTGCTCTCTGCCTGGCATGACATGTGCGCCCATTAATAACGATCAACAATAATGGCCCAGACCACTAGGTGCTCTCTCTAGGGCAGCCTTCTCAAGCTTAGGCCATGCATATTCAAGCCTTGCTTTAAAGAGGAAGGAGGAAGAGAAAGGAAGGGAAAGGGGAGTCCATCGAAAGGATGGACGGGGGCGGGTGGACACGGGAAACCGGCAGATCAACATTGGCGCATATGCAACCCTGATCACTGTCGACAAGGTCTTGTGCTAATCTTGGGAAGGGATTGGGTGAAAAAGGAGGTGGGAGTTTGGTACTATTTGCTGTACTATAGTACCTTGGTCCAATCGTCTATGATTAGCAAAGCCAATGTCGTATCTGGGTGGTCGGGATTATATCGCCGATAATCACTATAGCACATAGACGTGTATCTACTGTGGTAGTACCTTTTTTCTTCTTTTCTTTCTTGCTATTCTGTTTGCCTAATCCAGTCAGGTCCAGATCCTTTGAGAGGCTTAAGCTTAATACTGGAAAGTCATTTTATAGTGCCCAACAGGAATGCAAGCCCGCCTCTTCTGATTTGTCTCAAATGACGGGTTGGTCGCTCAGCCACGCTCACCTCAGCGCGTGCGGGTGTTCTCCCTGAGCCCTCTGAGAGACAGAGAGAGAATTGGTTCTGCCAATTTATCAGGGTCTGGGGGTGAAATGAACGGCAAAGCTGAGGGGTGACGCTCAAGTCCCCATAAATTACCCACACTCCTGAGTTATGCATGCAACCAGGGAGCGTCGATCGAAACGTGGGGACGCAACGTCAATATATATCTTTTTTTTTCTCACGACGTGGGTGTTATCGCGGTGACCGCAACATCGCCATGAACGTGCATGATTGCGTGCTGTACTACACACCACGGCCACAGACGATCCCAACTCGACCGACAACATCCACAAACTTTTACATCTCCACGAGTTTGTTGATGGTTAGGTCATGGAGGAGCCTTCTATCTCGCAACCGTTAAGGCCGTCGAAAATGTTTAAATATGGCACGTTCTCATCGCTCTTTGGGGCCAAGAAGCAGGTGGCGACAGATGATTCGGACCAGTCGACACCATCGCCTCCACCGCCGGATCCCTCCAGCGCCGCCGCCTCGAGAGCCAAGTGTATCCGCGTCTCGCTAATCATAATGCTTACTTCTGGCGTTGTCTTGGCCGTGGGCCTGCTTGCCGGCCTCCTCACTAGGCATGGCGCCGAGGCTTCAGACCCAACTCCCGCGCAGCCATCGGATCCAACCTCCAACGGGACGGATTCAACCAACGGGACGGCGAGGTACAATATTGTCTTCATCATGACAGACGACCAAGACAAAAGGCTGTACTCGACGGACTACCAGTCTGCCCTGCAGCGGGAGATCGTCGCCAAGGGCACTAACTTCACAAACCACTATACCACACAAGCGCTTTGCTGCCCGGCGAGGTCGTCACTCTTGCGGGGACAGCAGATACGTGAGTCGTCCCCCTGCACAAGGACAGCCCTGGCTTGGGACCAACCCTCATCTGCAAAACAAATAACTTTGAAGAAAGACTGACAGTCAACCATAGATAATACCAACATCACCAATGTCGTGAAACCTGGTGGCGCGTACAACAAGTGGGTTCTTTCAGAACAAGATCAGAATTATCTCCCACATTGGATGAAGAAAGCTGGGTATAGGAATGAGTGTAAGTCTCGTGTGCATGCAATGGCCCTATCCTCAAGGGTTAAAATGTACTAATGACCTCTATCAGATGTTGGAAAAATTATGAACGGCTATGGTGTTTCGAATTATAATGTCACACCAAAGGGTTGGGATCATGTTGATGCTTTGGTAAGTGGAATGCTTCTCGTGTGTTGACGCCGCTGGCGAAGAGCTGCAGTACTGACAGTTGCACTCCAGTGTGAGCCATACATAGACGACTACAACGTGCCTATATGGTCTGCAAACGGTAAGCTCGCCCCTCTCCAATCAATCACAATGGGACAAAACTCCTAACACCAGTGAAGGTGACACTCCAGTTTACTATCCTGGATGGCATCAGACCGATGTCCACCGCCTTAAAGTGTATGTTCTAGTATTCTCCCGTGCCATTCAGTCGCCTTGCTAATAGTTATTTTGTCAGGCTTGATCGACTGGACAATCTCACCAGCCAGTCGGACCCTTGGTTCCTTACTATAACTCCCTTCACACCACATGTTGCCTACGAGCAGGGCAATCCATCAAGCAGGTAGGTTTTTCATCATCTTTTTTCCCCCTCTTTTCCTTTTTTTGTGATGTGTGATTTCTCTTGGCTCATTTGGTTGACGTTATTTCACCAGACCCATCCCTCTGCAGAGGCATATGGAGCAGTTTCTGAACGCGACAGCACCGCAAACGCCTAATTTCAACCCGGCTGCAGAGTACCAAGATGGCAAGTCGGGGTGGGTGCAATACCTCAAGCCTATGAACGACTCTGCTATTGGATTTGCCGACTTTGTCTATCAATCTCGTCTCCAAGCTTTGCAGGGTGTCGACGAGATCATTGAGGACGTCATTACGAAGCTGGACGATGCGGGTGTCCTCGATAACACTTATAGTACGTACTCTCCCCACCCCCATTTCATAGTGGACTAGGGTCTTTGCGCTCAGTGCTAACCTTTTGGACAGTCATCTACACGTCGGACAACGGCTATCATCTCGGCCAACACAGAGTCCCAGGAGGAAAATCACTCTTCTACAATGAAGACACCAACATTCCATTTATTGTGCGCGGGCCAGATGTCCCCGAGGGCGTCGTATCCACTTTGCCCAGCCTTCATCTCGACCTCGCGCCGACGTTCCTTACGATCGCCGGCCTGCCTGAGGAAGACTGGCCTCCATTTTTTGACGGCCGCAGCCTTCTCGACCAGTGGCAGAGCCCTGAGGTCAACAACGCCACCGACGCCGGCAAGGGCAACTCACGAGAAAGTCTCAACATCGAGTACTGGGGTCTTGTGGGCATCGAGGCCCCCTCCGCCACTCAGCTTGGCGGAAGTTTCTACAATAACACGTACAAGACGATCCGTATCGTCGGCGACGAGCAGAACTGGGCGTACGCAGTCTGGTGCAACGGCCAGACGGAGCTGTACAACATCTCCGCCGACCCTTATGAGCTGACGAACCTGGCCCGGGGCGACAATATCAGCACCGTGCACCAGAGCGTCATCAACCGGCTCAACGCGCTCCTGATGGTGACCAAGTCGTGCGAGCAGGACCGCTGTCGCGACCCCTGGGCGCAGCTGGTGCCGGATAACGACACCACTCTGTACTCGCTCGTGCAGGCCATGGATTCAACCTATGACACTTTCTTTGATGACTTCGAGAAGGTCCAGTTCGACACATGCATGGAGTACCAGTGGGCGCCGAATGAGACGCCTTTCTTCCCAGCCTTGGATACTCTGGATGCCGGCGGTCTGGGCAGGGCATATCGTGCCGAGACGATCGACATCCCTGATTCCCCAGGGTTGAGAGTGATTCAGACCCCAAATTACTACGGCACGGCGGAACAAAGGAATGCCACCTTTACGGAGTTGGAGGCATCGGCTCGGTACATGACGGCGCAGGAAATTGCTGAAACAATTGCATGAGATACCCGTACAGCGGATCACAAAGGGGACACAATGATGACACATAGAGGCATGCATGAGCTTGGAAACTTTTGATAATTGTGACTCGGATTTCTTTTGGACTGGACGCTCTCACTGGGTTGCCTTGCGAGCACATTTGGTTGTTTAATGTAGCGTAATGAACAGAGAACACTGCTCTTATCAGTGTGTAACTATGCAACTGCTGTCCCAGCTATACAAACGAATTGGAGACCAGACCGCCAAGTCTATGTGATGTTCTCTTGCTTTACTTGAGCCTCCCTACACCTCTGAAAATGACATCAATTAGGTTGAGTCTCCATGAATTTTACTATAATTTTTATCCTCAACTTCGTACCAAGGAAACCCTAACCCTAATCCTCCTTTCAGTTTTTTACGTGGTGGCATCTATAAACACTCTCGCTGCCTGCTTAGTATACTGTCAGTATAATTACTTGCTTGTCACCAAGACACCTGCATCATTTATAGGCTAAGTCAGCTCCCATCTTTTCTCAAGAGGGAAGCATGATATATGTGTGATGGAATGTAGAGAGTGGAGACTTGTTATATAAAGTTTTCAGATCTGTCGATTGAAAGATTGAGGAATTACATCCCATTTCCTCATTCCTGAAAAATCTGGAAGGTGAAGATGATTGACCAAGCCTTGCCTCGTCTTTAAGCAGTCAAATAAAAGCCTGACTCCTGTTCCTTGAAGCCTAATCAGTTGATAAGTTCACCAAAATGACTTATGCAATGTGTCATGATAGCACTTATCTCCCATGTGGATCCTGTAGATGGATCTTGAGACCATTCCATTAATACATGACATCTCACTACTCATCACCAAGACAGGCCTGAGCCTCAAGTCCCCTGTCTCGATAGCTTCACAAATCCTCATCTTCAGTCTTCACCCTCAATGCCTAGACAGATACGGCCATGGTCTCAGCTCAAATCCCTTTCTTTCCGCGCGTGACGGCGCACCTCAAATCTGCTGCCGAGCACATCGACTATGACTTTCAGCCACTACACATCTTTGCCCTAATCGGCATATTGGTCATTCTCTACATCGTCGAACGTGCGCTAGACTTCATCTTCTTCCATCTGGCGACACCCAGAAACCCACTCCAAGGTTACAGGCGACGCGGCCCCAAGCCTACCTACGCGCTGATCACGGGCGGCAGTGCCGGCCTCGGCCTAGGTATAGCTAAGGCTCTTGTCAGGCAGGGTTTCGGCGTGATCATTCTAGCACGCGAGGGGGCCGGGCATTCGTCTGCAGAGACCCAGCTGCGCGAGGCCCTCGTGCTGCCAGAGGAAGATACGAAGTCGACCGAGGTCGCGGCGGAGCAGTATGTCAAGACGATTGCCATGGACACGGTGACCGCCTCGCCGGAGGAGATGGAGGACAAGCTGCGCACAGCGATCGTGGACCAGGAGCTGCGGGTTTCGATCTTGGTGAACAACATCGAGCCTTTTCCGAGCGCGCCACCAGCTCCTTTGCGCGAGCTGGCGACGTACTCCCCCGACGACATCGACAACGTGGTAGCAGCGAACGCGAGATTCCCAGCAAGGCTGACGGCACTGATGTTGCCGGTCCTCACGCACCGAGGCGCAGGGGTTGATGGGCACGGCATGTCATTCGGGACACATCGGCGGTCCCTGATCTTGAACATCGGCTCGGATGCAATGGTGGGTCAGCCGCTCAGTGTCGTGTACAGCGCCACCAAGGCATTCAGCTCCATCTTCAGCAAAGGTCTGGCGCGCGAGCTGGAGGCAAGTCCTCAGACCAGCCATATCGATGTATTGAGCGTGATTACCGGCAATATGGACGGCCAGACGGATGCTGGCCTGGAGCAGTATGGACGAGCTGTGGTCGGCAAGGCAGATGGAGCCATAGGTAGAGGCTTGAGGGAGATGTATCCGCACTGGCTACATCACCTTGAGAATGTGATGCTCGGCATGGTTTCTGAGAAATCTGCGACTAAGAAGATTCTTGACGAGGCCATGGTTAGGAGGAGAAGGTATGCTGTGGAAACAGCTCGCAAGCAGTAGTGGCACACCTTTAGGACATGATGGGGTCAAGTATTAAGATATATACATTTCGATACTGGAATTATGTACTCTCTGACGAGCCTATGTACAGGTAATCTCACCCCGGGGGATCTCCATGTGGGCAGAATGATTATCCTTCAAGTATCTTCCAGCCCAGCGACTGCTGCAACACTATGACCTCGTCCTTGTGTGTATTTGAGAAAAGAGGGAGAGAGACTGGAAGAAGAATCTAGTTAACAGGATCCACCGGAGCGTCAGCAGAGGCGGCGTCGGCGGAGGCGTCGGCAGGTGAGTTCGCCTGCAGAGCCGCCAGGGCACTAGCAACCTCGTCGTCGCGCTTAGTGCTGGGCGCAGCGTTGGCAGAGGCAGCATCGGCAGCAGCGTCGTCAGGCGAGTTGGCTTGAAGGGCAGCCAGAGCACTAGTAATCTCGTCGTCACGCTTAGTGCTAGGCGCAGCATTGGCAGAGGCGGCGTCGGCAGCAGCATCGCCAGGCGAGTTCGCCTGCAGAGCAGCCAGAGCACTAGCAACCTCGTCGTCGCGTTTAGTGCTGGGCGCAGCGTTGGCAGAGGCGGCGTCGGCGGCGGCGTCATCAGGCGAGTTGGCCTGAAGGGCAGCCAGGATACTGTCGAGCTGCTCATCGCGCTTAGTGCTGGGTGCAGCATTGGCAGAGGCGGCATCGGCAGCGGCGTCGTCAGGCGAGTTCGCCTGAAGGGCAGCCAGAGCACTGGTAATCTCGTCGTCGCGCTTGCCGAGCCCCTGCGTGGCAGCGCTGGCATCATCAGGGCTGTTTTGCTGGAGCGAGCCCAGGATGGAGGTGACGTCTTCCTCCTGCGGGTCGGGCGAGACCATCTGGACGGCGGCCGCGTCTGCGGGGCTGTTGGCCTGAAGCTCGGACAGAACACTGTCTGGGCTGACGTCTGGGTTGACGGGAGCCGCGGTGACTGCCACGATGGCGAGGGAGGCGAGGATGAAGGGACGCATGGTGAGTTTTGTATCTCTGGTGATGGAAGTAATTAAAGAGAAGACAGAGCACTGCTCTTGTTGTACGATGATAGAGAACGAAAGGCGAACAAAGAAACTAAAAGAAATATATGATCAAGTCCAGCTGTCACTATATACAATTAACTGGCGAACAACTAAAAGGGAAAGGGGAAAAGAATCACCAGCCTTCAGACAGGTACAAAGGGATCTTGTTGGTATTAATACCTGGTATACATAAGTGAGGTGTCGTGCCCAACGCTTAGCCAAATACCTCTCGGAACTCATCTGGTACATTCTCGTCAGACTATTTTGACGTAGCAAACGATAAGGTTAATGGTAAAGATGCGATTCGACTCTTCTCTCCCCCCGGCATCAACTGAGCGAAACTGAAATGGTGTCGGCTCGCCAAGGCCCGCGTTCTTGACCTTGGGATGATTCCGAAGCCGTTTCGTGGTTTAGACGACTCGGCACTTTAGGATACCCGCACAAGCCTGCGCCATGTCGAGCATACAAAGCCGGTCCAGATATAAGCATAGTTGATGGCGAGCCAGCACACCAACCCCAGGTCTGAGCATCTTCGCAGAGGAATGGCCAAATAGGCCATGATATTCAACGAGGCTGTCCCCTCGTTTCCCCGCAAGACCATATATGCCTTGGTGTTTCAGAGTTCAGGCAGCGTTACGGGAGCATTCGGCCAGGCGCATGCTCGACAAGGCTGAAGAAGGGGTTCCGAGATTCAGCATGCAAAGCATGATTAACGACGATCTGCGGCTATAGGGCTGGTCCTCTGAGCTAATTTACCTTGTTTAAACAACGATCTTCGGAATCTTCACCAGAATTTTGAAGGTCATAGAAGTTGTATTGGCTGAGGAGTGGCAATGCCAGGGTATCTAAGACGCGACGTACCTATGGACAAGATTCAGATGTGCTATGCATTTCTCATATTTTTACAGGATCCTTGACACAACCGTTCATCTCGGTTCCTCCTTGGCCCTTCTTTCCACTAGGTAGGACCGACAGGGCCCCATACAAGCATGCAGTCACGATCGTGATGAGGTCGACGATGTGGACTGCCCACCAGATGACTTGTGTCCCCAGAGCGCACTCGGCATATTCAAATTTCCACTCCCAACTGTCCTCGTCAAACCAGGCGCTCAACAGCCCGGCGTTGCCTCCGTACCCGCCCATCATACTGCGTACTGTGATCTCTCGGACGCCTGGTATCGAAGGGTTCCCCACAATGCCTTCTCCGGTAGCGCCGTGCCACCTCTTCGTCTGCCACTCCCTATCAGCCGGGCTCTCGCCATGCGACTGATTGATAAAGTGATAGATGTCGCAGCCTTCGTGGTCGTGCCCGTTGAGAATGACCCCTCTTCGTCCTTGCCCGTTGCCCTCCGCCATCGGGTCCCCACTCAGCCCAAAGATGCCTTGGAGGAAACCGCTTGAGGCTTCGGCGCTCAGCTGGTTCTGCTCCTTCAAACTACCATCCTCGTCGTGGAAAGAGAAGTAAGGAGGATCGACGCAGATGCCCTCAGCCTTGTACAAGGGGACGTGTGTCAGAACGACGGTGAAGTGGCCCTTGTGCTCGACTGAGGAGGCGGTGTTGATGATGTCGTTGACAAATTTATATGTATTGATTTGAAGCTCGGAGGATGCAGCGGGAGTGTCAAGGTTCATGTCGTTGAGGACGACGATGCGAAGCTCAGGGATGAGGCGGCCGTCGTGACCGGGAGTGAAGGAGGAAGAGGACGACGTCGTGTGTTGGGTATTCTCTGCGGAATCGTCATGGAAAGTGCTCGCGGCAGCAGAGGAGAGGGCCCAAGGAGGAACCTCGAAGCGCAATTCGTAGTTGGCCTTGCCGAAGACACGTTCGAAGCGGTCCATCCTGTCAACCGTCAGGTCTCCAGCATAGCCAATGTCATGGTTGCCTGCGACATTGAGAATACGCCGTTGCCACGTTTCGTTGTACAGTGCCGTGCCTAGGGCGCCAGTGACGACGTGGCAGCCTTTGTCTGGCCATACGGCAGCCTCATCAGGCACGCGCTGGCCTCCCTTGAAGGCCCTGTTCCAGTATCTCCGTCCCCTCCTCTCGAATTCTTCGTCCGAAATCCACTGACTCCCGAGAAGATCCCCCAATACTGTCACGTGCGTAGGCACCGTCCACCAGTTCAGGGTACGGTACATGTGACCGAGGTAGAAGTCATTACCGAACAGATCAATCCTCTTGCGTATACTCTCGAGTGTGTTGGGTATGTCGTCGAAGTAGAAATCAACGAGGTCGTGGAAGGCCTGTTTGGTGCTCCTTCGAAAAGTCGGGTACTCATCGGAGCGAGATTTGAGGTGGGAGAAGAAGTCGTGAAGGTGTGGGAAGGATGAGTCGCGGAAGGCATTCGGTATGGAAGTGTCGCCCTCGAGCTGTGGATCGCCGAGCGCCAGTAGCCGGAAAGGGGCCACGCGCAAGTCGGAGGCAGAGGCCGACGAAGAGCGGTTGAGGGGGCCATCGCTGGTGTCGGTCGTAGTGGGCAACGAGTCTGCAGAGAAGAGGTGGAGCTTTACGGTCTCCAGCCAGGCCGCGAGGTGACCATCATGGGAGGACCCTTGTGACGGGGCAGAGGACGGTAGAGGAAAGCCGCAGGTCAAGAAGAAGGGATAGAGATAGAGGTAGACAGTTAATGTCACCGACAGAGGAATAAGAAGTCGCAACAGGTTGCGAAGGAGGCCATGGGCAGCGGCATGGGTGAAAAGGGAAGAGGACATGTATGACGAGTAGAAAGCTATGGACGCATTGAAACGACAGAATGGTTGTACAATGGGTGCTGCTGCGGTGGGGTTGAACAACAAGCGCACGGAGGCGGTGGGCGGGCAGCAGAAACGAGGTTGATGATGTTAATGAGGTGCACTGGACGTGGGAGACGTGACGTGGCTGTGCACAATAATTTATTTGGAGTGTCGCGATTGAAGGGGTCAATTTCTAGTGCTGGTTATTACAGTGGTGTTTACCACAACATACTGCGTAACAGCACAGCAGGGGTTAGCTACCGCTATTGGGCGCTAGTTCCTGCCATCAGACAGGGGCAGGGCCGAGACCAACAGGGATATCACAGGGGGGACGGCAGGACAACAGGGGGTCTTACGCCCCCGAAAGGATCCCCTGAATACAGCATATTCCCATAGCGTGCGTATACTACATCTATGTAGAGATTATAAAGACTTGAATGGAATCCTCCACCACGGCAACAGGCCAAACCAGGCTTGGGAAATCCGTTTCCTTCGTTGTGGGTAGTCCTCTTTTGTATACACACGACGAAACATTGACTCTCTATCATTTTTGCTCCTCATCTCGAATTCCTCTTGCGGGCCTCCATTCGAAGTGGTGCTTGCCCATGACCGGGTCCCCAGCACTCTCGCTCTTAAGATCATACATGTGATGCCCAAAGAAGTCCAGCTCCGCCTCCTGGAAGCTTGTGGGAAGGTCTGTTGAGATGGAGTACTTGAAATGCTCCAGACTCGCGCTCAGCGCCGGCACAAATGAGTCCATCCCCAGCGAGCTGATCACGAGCTCCTTCAGCGAGGCCATCGTGCTGCCCAGCTCTTTTGCGATGGTCGGGTGGGCGAGGAGGTTGACCCTGTCTACCGTTTCCGACTTGTAAATCTCGTCGAGCATGTCCACGATCCCGTCAGACTGAATGATACACCCACCCCGCCACAGCTGCATGATGTCGCTGTAGTTCAGCTTCCACTCGTGCTCTGCATCTGCCGCTGCGATGATATGCATCCCCTGGACGAAGCACAGCAGGAAGCACGCATATGTCGCGTCTCGGAGCTCGCGGGCCGCCTTGGCCTTGCCCTCGACCGTCTGTGCCTCTGTCTTGCAGGGCTGTGGCTCAGCAGTGGTGCCGGTATCATGGTGGAAGGCTTTGGCGGCAGCCTCGCGTCGTGAGGCATACGCAGACTGCACTCGAGTCATGTGCGACACGGCGATGGTTGGCGCAGAAACATGCAGTCTCGCGGCCTCACCCACCGTCCACGTGCCCGTACCCTCCTCTTCGCACACGTCCTGGACGACCTTATCACGAATGCTCGAGAGGATGTACTTAGTCTCATCCTCTGGATCCTTCTTCCGGCATATCTCAGCGCCGATCTCGATCAGAAAATTGGATCGCAGAGGGCTGTCCTTGTTGGTATTCCAGCGCTCGAAAACGTCTCCAATCTCCTCGAACGACCATCCTAGGCCGTTGGCCATGATGCCCCATATCTCGCAAAGGACCTGCATCATCCCGTGCTCGATGCCGTTGTGAACCATCTTCACGTAGTGGCCACATCCGCCGACGCCTAGCTTGGCCGTGCATGGACGTCCATGGCGGTCTTTGGCCGCGATCATGGACAGGAATGGCCAAACCATGTCGAGGGCCTCCTGTGTACTGCCGCCAGGCGAGATGGACGGACCGTGTCGTGCTGCCTGGTATCCGCCAGAGACGCCCATACCGATAAAGTGTACGCCCTTTGGTCTCAGGCGCTCCTGACGTCTCTCGGTGTGTGTCCACCGCTCGTTAGACGCGTCCATAATCACGTCTCCCTTATTGAGGAACGGCTCCAGACCATCAATAGTCTTATCTCCCACCGAGCCATGAGGGACACTCAGCACGAACACCTTGGGAGAATCGGAGGGTAGAGATCCGCAAAGGGACTCGTAGTCCTTCTGGTGGAAGACTTTTGAGCCGAGCCCTGCTTTCTTGGCCTGGTCGAGAACGCGCTTCACGTTCTCTGTGGCCGGATCGAAGAGGTGGACTTCGATGTCATACTCGGCAAACAGGAGGGCCATCATGCCGCCCATATTACCCGCACCTATCAGTCCCAGCTGGAAGGCACGTCAGTCAGTCAGCCAGTCAGTCATTCAGCTGGATGGAAGGCCGTGCACAGTCCAGGAAAGGCGAGAGCACACTGACCTTCTTGACATCCATCTTGACTTATGTCTTCACAGGCTTGTCGGTTTGTTGCTTCTTCAGGTCGACAGCGAGGGGGCAGACGCTGTAGTGAAAGTCGACAGCGGAGTAGTTTGAGCTGTTGAGACTATTGGACTTTAACCGTCTCGAGTGCGGAAGGATCACTGCCTGAGACCCAGCCGGCCTCTTGTTATTATTAATATCACCGAATAATTCAGACGGCATGACGACAATACGGCGATGACTACTCAAAGCGAGCCATTACTATACACAACAACATAAAAACAGTCCTTTCTCACAATGCCCCTCGAGTTCTCAACCTTTTCTCTGGAATTTATTCTCTCCCATCTGCTGCTGCCAGGCGTCACGGCAACCAATGATGTCAATTTCCCAAAAACTCGCCAGCCACCCAGCTGTGCTTTCGCAAACCGACGGGACGAATCAGGTTTGAGAAACGGTCAACCAGCTCATCGCCCCCTTTTGACGCGGCGGCTTGTTGAAAGATGGGTTGATGGCGTTCCTTGTGTGGGGCTTGTACTCTGTGACATCATTTATGATGGCCACTCGATGTACCGGGGGGGGGGGGACCTACCGGGCCGCTTGCTTGCAGCATTTTAATACTACGAGTGCGTGTTAAAAGGGTTTCTGTCTGACCAAGTGATGATTGTTTCTGGCAGACGGCACAAGCGACGCTGACGAGGCTATGTGCTGTTTGAGCTCATATGACGCAACAAGTGTAGTTCTGATTGTTGACATTACTGCACATGTAGCACTGGAGACCGCGTAAGTGAACGACTTTCATCAACATGCTCTCTGTTCAGACTCTACTGCAAACCACAAGAGTTCATTCCTAACCTCGAATCTCAGCGTGTAATAGAGACAGGTAGAAAGAAACAGATAACCACCCTCAAAATGCCTTCCCTCCAGGTGACCGCGTCCAGCATCCCCCTCTCCCTGGCCTCCTGCTCGATCGGCCTCCCCCGCCACACCCTCCACCAAAAGCTCGAGGCTATCTCCCTCACCGGCTTCCAGGGTATCGAGCTCTCATTTCCAGACCTTCTCGCTCACGCGCGCGAGCTGCAATCCCTTGGCCAGCTCCCCGCCGGCGATATCCAAGACGACGACTGGCCGACGCTGTGCAAGGCCGCCGAGCACGCTCACCACTTGTGCGCCACCCATGGCCTGAAGATTCTCGTGCTGCAGCCCTTTGCCAACTTCGAGGGCTGGACAGACTCCAGTGCCCGTGATGCCGTGTTTGCCAGGGCCAAGGGTTGGGCTGCGATCATGAAGGCAGCGAAAACGGACATGTTGCAGGTTGGGTCAACGGACACGCCGTCACACAAGATCACTTCCTCCAAAGAGACCCTTGCGGCGGACCTCGCAGCCCTTGCCGACCTGCTCTCCTCCGAGAACCCGACCTTTAAGATCGCCTACGAGAACTGGTGCTGGGCGACCCATGCACCGGGGTGGCGCGACGTGTGGGATATTGTGCAGCTGGCCGGACGGCCCAACATAGGTCTGTGCCTGGACACATTCCAGTCTGCCGGCGGGGAGTGGGGGGATCCCACGACGTCTTCGGGGCGTGTTCAGCGTCAGGGGCTGACGGAGGATGCGCTGACAGCGGGCTGGCTCGACAGCCTCCGCGACTTGGTCAGAGAGGTGCCTCCAGAGAAGATCTTTTTCCTTCAGATCAGCGACGCGTACAAGGTACAGCCCCCTCTCGCGCCACATCCGGAGCCGAACGACGACAGCGGTCTCAGGCCCAGGGGGAGGTGGAGCCACGACTATAGGCCGCTGCCGTACGACGGCGGGTATCTGCCCATTGCAGATTTCACACGGGCAGTCCTCGAGACTGGATTCAGGGGATGGTTGAGCGTAGAGGTGTTTGATGGGAAGTTTGAGGACAAGTATGGCGATGACCTGATGCGGTTCGCCGAGAAGGCGAGAGATAATACGAGGAGGCTAGTAGAAGAAGCTGCTGGGATGGAAAGTCTGTGACGTGCAGAACAGACCAGGTATGGCATTGTGTTTTGAGCACGCTATTCTTCAGGTCAGATGGTGTCCCCCAGGAGGTTGTCACAAGACTGCTCAAGCAGAATCGTGGTCCCTCTAGCAACAGGTTGTTCGTGTATGGTTCGCATCAATCGTCTGACTCCCAGATGATCATGGCTTCCGTCTTGTGGATCGTCGTCATAAGAATGATGGATTGTGAGGACATTGCGCGCTGATTTCTGTAGATTAAAGTAACCCAGGACACGCCGGACTCAACTGCATCTCAGAATTAGGCAAGCCAGCCTACAACCAGTAAGAGGAAAGGTAGCATCCTGCATAAGTTAGATAATTTTGAATGTGAGATGTTCAGACGAAGTGTTTACCTGGGCTGATTCTTCACAGTAACAGGTGTTTTGCCTGAAGAGAGTGATCACACTATTCACCTCGTAGTGGGAACGTGGTGAGTGAAGGAAGGCATTGCTCATATCCGGTACAACACCCAGCGGGATGAAGCCTCGGGTGGGTGCAAGTTGAGGAAGGAGTGGTAGGTGTCTGGTGTTGAATTGTCGCGGAAGGAACACCCTATACATGATGTCATCAAGATGAGAAGAAGACAGGAAGGAAGGAAGGTCAGGCTCAGGCTGGCTAAAGCTATCCAGACAAGGAAGGGCAGGCGCCTTCGAGGAATGCCTGGGTCAGTAAATCCCCGGCCTTCTTGCACAATCAGCTTTCATCGGAAGACACCTTTAGCACTCATTTTCCCATCTCTTTTCTCCGTTCATCCCTGCACACCTAGATACACCACCTGTACCGCGACCTTTTCCTTTTTTCCCCCCTATAGCCAGGAATTTGCTTTATGCCTTTCCGGCGTTTTGGCATTGATAGTCATCCAGGAAGAGGCTCGTACAGGTCAAAGGGATCGCAGACTGATTGCAAGTCTGCTCTGCGACGGTTTCGTGGCCTTTCTAGACAAGACGTTTATTTGACACGCTAAACATACATGAAAGCTACTGGTTGGGAGTCCCAGGAGCTGCAACTTCTAACAGAGCATCAAATTTAGGTGTTCCCAGCCCCGTCACAGGATCCCACCCCTGTGTGCAATTCCAGCGAGCGCCAGTTGGTGGAAGTCCGGCACCCCCTCCCCGGCAGCCAGTCGAGTAGCCCGTCGTAATGTCTGTCAGTGCAGCCGCATTTCTGTACAGGAATGGATTCAAGAAGCCTAGGCCAGGTTTGCCCTGCGCCCTCCTCGCAGCGTTCAACAGGGCCACAACACCAGCAAACGTCGGACTCGATGCCGAAGTTCCGCTGAGCGACGTAGTACGCCCACTGTCAATCACAACAAACAGCTGGCCCTGTGCCGCTACGTCCGGAATGGCGCGGCCTGTATCGTTGTACAAGCCCGCGTACGTGTCACCAATAGAGTCGAGGTACTTTGAGACGGCCGCGTCCTGCCACTCTGGCCGTTCATGGTACATGGAGAAGCCTCCGCTGGAGAAAGGAACCCCTCGCTCTGGAGCGGAGCCCGAGGTGCCCCCCACAGAGGTGACATAGGGACACCCTGCCGGAAAGTTAGGCTGGAAGAGGGTCGTCGTGTTGTCAACGTTGCTCTTACAGGTGCCTCCAGGACCAGAGTCGCCAGACGAGAAGAGGACGGACACGCCGCGGGCACCAAGCTGCATGAACATGTTGCAGACTTTCAGGGCGTAGTCACGCGGTACTGACTGTTCTTCTTCACCGTAGGATGTGGTCAGGGTCTGTGGCAGGGCTGCGTCTGACAGGTTGAGGATATACGTGAGAAACTCAAGATATGGCTCGTTGGTGCTTGGGTAGCCATTGCTAAGTGATGGCACGAGAGGTCTGCACGGAAACATCAGCGAAACGGGCCATTTGAAGACTCCGAGTAGATACACTTCATCGTCTTTTTATTTCATTTTAAACGAACTTACCCTCTGCCACCGGTCAAGTACTCAACAATCGGGATGGGGCGGCTAATGCCCAGGACATATTGCACGTCCAGGTTTGCCTCGCCTGTGCGTCCGAGTCAGCAACTGGAATTTCTCATCTCATGGCCACCGAAACACAACGCCAGAGGAGGCTTACCAGAGCTCAAGCTGCTTGCCTGGTCATTCGTACCGCCATTGATTGTGACCACCGAAAAGTTCTGCCCGATGGCTTCGGGCACTTGTGTCTTCTCGAACTCGGCGAGGTCTGCGTAGCGGGCAGACTGTTCCAGGTATGAAGCAAACCCTATCAGGTTGCCGCAATTGGCGTCTGCGGTATAGTTGATATTGTACTGCGCCCTGAGACAAGCAGGTGTGACGGTGGTGTTGCAAAAGCCAGCCTCAGAGGCTGACGAGGCGTCGTGGTGGACGGGATGTGCCTTGTTCTCCTCCAGCACCTCCATTTCAAAGATGGTGGACCGCCTGATACCTGGGTGACCAAACCGGGTGGTAGGCTGCACCAGGTCCACATGAAGTGCCACAAAGTCAGGAACAGAGTATGACAGGGTCCGCAGCTTTGAGCCGCTTGCTTCCGCGTGCTCGTACCAGTGAAAGTCTGCATCCAAAAGCGAGTTGGCCGTGGAGACGTCAGTGCTGATGGTGATCCAGTCATTGTCGACTGAAGATTCAATTTCGTATCCGGCGAGCCAGGATGTAACCTCCTGGGCAACCTGCGGGCTGGGGGCAACATAGGAGCGGAGCTCCTCCCGCGACATATGCTTGCCGTAGTCAGGATGGTCGGGGCTTGACATGGCCAGCACTGCCTGCTCCAAGGCGGCTGCATGCTGCTGCTTGAGGCCGATCTTGAGGGAGAGCTTGTCTGTTGCCAGAGCCGTAGCGCTCTTCCTCCATCCTTCGGGCACCGCGTGCAGTCTGTCGAAGACCCGTCCCGACACAACGGCCCCCCCAAGAGTGAGCAGGAGAGTGAGAGAATGCATTGTAGATTTGCGAAGACGAGGAGAATGGAGAGAAATAAGATAAAAAGGAGAGTGATATCCAGGTGTCTCGCCACGCTAACCCCGTGATGTAATGCAGGTGCTCTGCGTTCTAAGGACTGAAATCCAAATTCAGGATGTATGGGAAAAGTGAAAACAAACAAAACAAGAAGGTACTGGGCAGCTAAGGTCATGGAAGGTGTATTTATCAACAAACGTGAAAGTACGTACACACTCACTTGAATATCTGAGCCTAGTACAAGGACTCATCCTGCCTCCAATCACGCGTAGAGCACATGTTTTCTATTTACTAGGTCCACGCTACACAGGGAGCGCACCCGTGCAGGGAAAGTGTGGCTGCAGGGGGAAGATGAGGAAAAGCAAAAAACGCATTTTACGACGTGAGGGAGGATTTGCCGAGAGAACGTGCCGTCCGTTGGCTTCACCCTAAGGTAAAGTCATGTTGTAACACGTAGACGCCCACGGTCAATATCGTTTCTGTTTGCTAGTCACCTTAACCTTGCTTCTTGACACCTGTTTTCAAACACGGTCAGGCAGTACTGTCATATTAATTTGACTCACTTCTCCCCTGCTGCATTGAAATTACAACTTGGCGCTCTGCCATGGTTACCATCGCGACCTGATTGTACCTCATGTCTACTGAGAGACGATCAGGAAAGGGCGGGGCACAAATTAATTTTCTACTGCTTCCTCCTGCAAAAAGACTTCCGCACCAAGGATAGTCTATGTATGGGAAATTTCCCAAGGTGAGCTACCATCGAAACAGACGAGTGTTGCTTTTCTTCATTCGGTGCGCCACTAAGGCTCAAACGTCCTCTATCGCTCGTCATTGACCGGGACGGTTGCTTCGGCGTTTTAGGCGGGAGGAAGGCATATAACAAGTACCTTGCTTAGATCCCTGTTCTAGTTCTACAAATCACAGCAGTAAAATCACCTGTTAAATCGGATCCGTATCACTAGCCAGCCTTGAATACCCTGACTTCTGAATTTCTGACCATGTGAAGATGGACATAAACAGTCGAGAGTGAAAACCTGAACCTTGAACGCGCCTCCCGAATCATGTCATCACAAAAAAAGAGTCTGTAGTCCTCCAAATCTCTCTCACTGAGCTTCCCGTATGCCTGAGTGCCTCTCAAACCTCAGTGCCAAGGTAAGCCTTCCTTACTCCGTAAGAAAATCGATCATGCCAATCTCCTCAAAGGACAGGACGCGGCCCCCTCCGAAGAGACTGAAGTGTTTATTGATCTTCTTAACGGAGGAGCGGGGCTTGCATATCATGGACTAGTTGAGGGGCTTGGAATAGCCGTTGCGGCCAGAGTAATCAGCCGAGACTGGTGAGCCTCGCTTGGGTAAACTGAGCATCGGGCGGGTGAAGCTGCTTCCCTCCATCTCCCTCTCCTCAAGCTGCAAAACCAACCCGTCGACATCCTCGGCAGCGTGGGGGGTGGCGATGTGAAAACCGTTCTGGTCGAGGGTCCGTACAATCTTCTCGTAGTGCGCCTGGGCGTCAGACTTGGACATAACACCCTCCTGGCGGAGACTTTGAAGGCACTGGGTAGCAGGAGCTTGTTGTCAGAAATGGTTTTGCCATTTAACAGTGGTGACGAGGAAACAAGTGGAAAGAAGGAGCAATGAAGGTTAGGAGGGGAGGGGGGCAGGCCTGGACACTCACACAGTAGATATCACCAACGGTCTTGTGCACCTTTTGATGCTTGGCAGTCTTTGCCAGCGGGGCCGTAGCTGCTCCTAGCTCGCTGGTAGTCACCTTCAGAGTCATCTTGATGTGGCTGTGGAAAATGAGTCCGGAGCGCGGTAATAGAGAACGAGGTTGACACGAGGCCGCAATGTAGAATTGAAAGTGGAAATGCAGCTTTGAGGGATGGAAGTCAACAAGGGAAAGATGGTAGAAGAGACAAGGGGTCAGATCAGGCGTGACTGCAGAGAATTTGGGAAGAAACCCTGCGACCAAATAAGGAGTTGCCAAGATCTCCAAGACAGTAGTAGGCTTATTTGCAGATCGTGTATATGTGTGTAGAATCCTCGGGTCGATGAGGGCACTGGGATGACTGGTCTGAACAGAGACGGGCTGCTTATCATAGATCTTCTGGCTGATTCAACTGATGCTTATTCCAAAGTATGTCTTTTCAGCCAATATGAAGTCTCTTCAATGTTTCCAGATGCACATGCATGAAGCATTTTTTCCAATCTCGTAAGAATACTTACATGAAAACCTAGAGTACAAGTAGACCAAAAAAACTGCTGAGAAGACATTGACATCACTGTTCAGATATCATCACCATTGATAGCTGGATTTTGACATCGTAACTTCAGTCTGAAGAAAATCACGTGTGACCTTTGGAAGCGGTTCTACAAGAGCAGGCAATTCTGATGATGACGCGTCAGATATTTTACTTTGAAGATAAAGAGCTGGCAAACTTTATCTGACCTATTGGTCCCTTCAACTACGTTATGTTTAGATTAATAAGGTCGTTAATGTCAGCTTGGCAATAAATACAAGTTATTAGTGAACTTATTATGGCATCTGAGACACACTGGGCACATAGATGGATACCATACCACCAATCGTGCCTGCAGCTATTATCGTAAGCCCAGAAAGCCCGGAATCCCATACATACTATAGTAAAACTATTACGTTCTGTACACCACTTTCTTGCCCCATAGAAATCTAGATTCTCTAGGACCATGTCAGAGTGGCTTTCTTTTATAGGCTAGGTTGAGTGTGGCTAAGATTGCCGAGGTTTTGCTTCCGGTCAGAACTCCAATCAACAGTTGATCATCACCGATAAGATGGCCGTATCAGCACATGTGCTGTGAATGATGGTTGCTTCTGACGTGAGATTGGCACCCTATGTGAGAGCATGATGGCGTAAGTGGCTGATATGTTGCTTTTTCTCGGGGTTTACTGCGTGTCCTGCTTGGGTAGTACTGCATTAATTGCGTGAAGATTGTACCTGCAGTCCTAGGCCCCGAGGTGAAGTAGGTGGCACCAGGACACCCCTTCCCTGCGGCAAATATACGGCTTTTCCTTCATTTAAAATATCTCTGGAGGACCCAGCTTGATGCGGTGAATTTTATTGTTCACATCAAAGCTTCAGTTCCCCTGTGATTGCAGAAACCCCTTTTCATTTTGTATCAGATCAGCATCTCATAATGGACCAAGACAAAGTCCATGGGAAGGGCTTTGTGCCACTTCCTCTAGTTTTCCTCGTCATTTTTGGATCGTACATCACTTGGTACATTGTACACATTGTTATCTTCGATCCTTTGTCCCGCTTTCCCGGGCCTGTCTGGAGCAAATTCACCCGTATTCCATACTGGGTTGCCAGCCTCACAGGTCAAGAAATCTACTTCATGCACAGGCTGCATGACAAATATGGCAGCGTAGTGAGGATGAGTCCGACTGAGCTTAGCTACATAGATGCCCAAGCATGGAAAGACATCTATGGGTATCAAAAGGGCAGGGCTGAGAACCTCAAGGCTCCTGGATTTCAGTGAGTATCTGAAATTTGAACACAATATGACCTTGTCTTGTCTCGGTCTACTAACCTTCCCTCCCACCCCCCCTCCCCTTCTCTTTTTCCTCTCTTCTTCCCTTCTCTAAACATTATCTATACCTTGCAAATTTCCATACTAATCACAATGCTCAGTCTTGAATCTTCAAACGGAAAATCTGGCAGTGGGTGACAATAACTGCGTGATGTCTCTTGGGCTAAACACTGCTAACCGTAACCATTTCAACTAGCATGGCCGAGCATGATGGTAGTCGGAACGGCTGAACACACTCGAGTGCGTCGTATCTTCTCACCAGGCTTCTCCATTCGCGCCTTGAAACAGCAGGAGCCTTTACTTCGTAAATACAATGATCTTCTCATGTCCAAACTCCACGCCCACGAATTTCAGGTAATGAATATCTCGAAAATGTTCAACCTGGCAACTTTCGACATCATGGCTGAGCTTAGTTTTGGGGAACCCCTGGGCCTCCTCGAACAGAGCAAGTATACAGCGTGGGTCCAGAACATCATGGATTCCATCAAAACGCTTCCGATCCTCCAAATGATCAAGTTCTACCCTTTGTTGAATACCTTCTTCGAGTATATCGAGCCGAGGTTCATAAAGGAAGCCAGAATCGCGAATTTCAGATACTCTGCTGATCGAGTAGACAAGCGTCTAGAAAGGGGTTCAAGTAAGTCAACTTCTCGATGTGATTCCCTTCAGATGCGACAAGAGGCTGACAAAACATCATCTTAAGGCCAGCCGGACCTTTGGAACCTTGTAGAGTTTGCGGCAGACGATGAGAAACTCAGCTTAGAAGAGATGCATGCCAACGCTTTGGATTTCATGGTTGCAGGGTCTGAAACTACGGGTATTAATGAACTATATGACGCACTCGTTGGATCAAGTCAGAGCTGACGTCCACGATAGCTACACTTCTCTCGGCACTGGTATATCTACTTCTCACCAATCCCGATAAGTTGAATATCTTGATGAGGGAAGTTCGTGGCCAGTCAGCCGACACCGAAAGCCTCACAATTGAAGTTCTCGCTGGTTTTGGGTATCTCAACGCATGTAGGTAGCTCGTTCCAGTCTTGTATTGACACTGAGCATGCGATTTACTGAATCGTTGTAGGCATCCAGGAGGCACTCAGAATATACCCACCAGTTCCTTTAGGAATTCCTCGAGCCATCTCATCCAACCCCGATCGAGGACAGATTGTCTGTGGCTGCTGGGTTCCCTCTGGCACACGTGTGTCCGTCCACCCCTATGCAGCTTACCACTCCTCTGCAAACTTCAAGAACCCTGAGCTCTTCGCGCCGGAGCGATGGCTCGGCGATGATACTTATAAGGACGACAAGCGTGACGTGCTGCAGCCATTCTCGTTCGGCCCGAGAAATTGCATCGGTCAGAACTTGGCTTGGCACCAGATGAGACTCATAGCAGCGACGTTACTTTCCAAGTTCGACCTGGAGCTGTGTGAGGAAAGTCGTGAATGGATATATAGCAAGGTCTATACAATGTGGGAGAAGACTCCGTTGAAGGTTCGGATGCGAGCAGTTGAGAAGAATTGAACGGCAATGGCAAACTGTTTGAGAGGTTGAAGAAGCAAGCATACTTTGTTTTCGGAACTTGACAATGTTTGTTATACCATGTGAGACCGGGAACAGCATCGTGTCTTCTCAGCTAGCTATTTCTTATTTTTGGTTTCTCACGAGTTCGTCAGTTCTCATATCTCATGTCAGATATGGACGGACGCAGAGGAATCAAAGAACGCAATACAGCAAACTCATTCTGCGTGATAACCAAAACCCGGACATTCCCCTTGGTCCATTCAAATTGGACCCTACCATTTTAGTGTCTAGCTTGCACGCGAGCATAGACCTCTCGCACGTCTGGCTTGGGAGGGTTCAGAAGTGGGACGGATTCGATGCCCCCCGGCCGTGGTCCAATATCCTTCCTCTTCATCAGATCCTTCTCAGACTCCCCCCTCTCCAGGCGCTGAATCAGGTCTTCTGGGTCAAAGTCCACACCCAGTGGATTCAATTTGAACTCTTCCGATGCCATGAATAAATTAGCCTCCTCGGTGGTCTCGAAAGCATCCACTTGCGTCTCGATCTGGTTGCCGTCCGGATCCTGGTAGTAGATGCTCACGGTGGGCCCGTGGTTGGTGGACCAGAGAGGGGAGATGCCGAGTGAGTTTCTCTGCTGGTATGCAGTGAGGAGGTCGTGGAGGTTGCCGAAGGTGAAGGCGATGTGCTCCAGACCGGAGGAGCCGCGGTCCTTGGGCGTCGTCCCGGGGATGGCGATGATGGCGATGCGGTGATGCTCCTCATCGTAAGTCAGGAATGACATGTTGTCATTCTCGTAAGACGCGTGGGCACCCAGGAAGGCTTTGTAGAAGGCCACCATGGGCTTGAACTGGGCGGTGCGAAGAACCACGTGGGCCAGGCGCTGCGGCGGGAGGACGCCGGCAGAGGAGGTCTGGCTCTGATCTGAGGACGACATGATGATATTGAGAGAGTTTCCTTTATTGATGAATGTGAATTGGACAAGAAAGAGATGTGTAAGTGCTGTGTTCTTAAGGTGTTAGCTCTACGAGGACCCACGTTTTCATGGTAGAAACTGACGTTCTAGTCAGTTGGTCTTATATCACCATCCATTGAGCTAAGAATCCTTTGAGAAGCCTACCCCATAGACTCGACTGTATCACATGGCCGGTATCCACGGACGTAAGCCGTGTCTTCCCTGCTGTCGCGTGCAAGGACATGTGTTGGCGATGCGGGGAACAAACTCAGCAGATAGTTATGGGTGGCAATGCTAATAAGCATGTAACACAATCTGCGTAGTTACATTAGAGCTGACGACAAGTGTTTAGCCCTCTGGCTCTCCGGATTTTCCACGGCGATGGATCTGATTTGTCAAGATGTCAAATCAAAGATGCATGATGATGCCAGAGGCTCCGCTCATGCGCGGTCATCTCATGGACGCCATTAGCAATGCTTCGATAATTCTTAGAAATCCATGCTACTTGTGCGACCGCGTGGTGTAAGCTTTTGTTGTGAAGTCAATTGTCTGCTACATGGACGGAAACAACTTATCAAGTTTATAAATATGCATTTATAGCCAATAATAAAAGTGCTTCAGAATGGGTGCATAGTTTATTACGTTTCTTGCCCTGGAATTTTTCCTTTCTGGAGAGGGAGGCAAAAAGAAAAATGAATGGACCAAAACTGTGACAGTCAATCCCAAGGCTGTAAATATTTACTGTCTGGTTAGCTGCAAATTCCTTCCTTCTGTAGTGCAGTCAAGTAATGAAAGTTTCCTCTCTCTTATGGTTAGAGGCCTGAATGTGTGCGTTAGTTGCACGGGACTGCGGCGCAAGTCAATCTCATGTGCTTAGAAGCTGTCACCACTGCCCCTCCGCTCTGAATATTTACGCGATGAATGAAGGCTACCGTTTCAAAAATACCCTAGTGGCTCTTTTTAGCTTATACTAACTGCCATCCCAAGCGCTAACACATCCAAGCGGGCACGGTAAGTAGGCCCACATTGTTCCGGCATTATTAGTGAGCTGAAGTCTTCCTCATTCCGTAGACACGACTTCCGCATGCGTCACAATGAAGCACTCTAAAGTGCCCCGTTTCCGTTTGCTAGATGGGAAGAGTTGTACGAAGGTACCAGGGCCATCTCTCGTTCCGGCCTGTAAACTTTAGTCCAATGGGATGTCCTACGGCTATGGGTTTCGAACGATGTCAAAGAGCATTGCATTGTCTGGAGGGCAGCGATACATATGCAGAGGGAAGTGATGCTAATCTAGAGTGTAATGAATGGTCCGTATGGTTTCTCCTGATCTTTTTCTGTGCTTGAGAGACCATCAATCTCCATCGCTATTCAGAGAGTACCCACCAAAAGCATACATTAGCAAGATTTCCTCATCTGCTTTACCTTGAATGCAGGATGAGTTCATCCGTTATCATCGGGGGTTCCGGCGGCAAGGAGCTCTCAACGCCGATGAAAGCTGATCCAGAGCAGTTGAGAGAGTATGTGGCCTCGTATCCGATTTGTCTAGTCACAGGCGGAGCTGGTTATATTGGTTCACATACCGTGCTGGAGCTACTCACAGCAGGCTTCGCAGTCGTTGTGATCGACAATCTCTGCAACAGCCATCTGGAGTCTCTTCTGCGGGTTCACTACATTGCCAGGATCGAATTTGAACGATGCAGCCAGGGAGCACAGCCTGTTCCACCCATTCTTTTCCACAGGGTCGACATCCGGAACAAGCACAGTGTTGATGAGGTCTTTGCCTTTTGGCAGGACGCCAAGGCCACTCTGGAGCCCGAGAAACTTCCCATCGACATTGCGGCTGCAGTAGCCAAGAAGGCTTATCCAATGCTTGAATACAGTATCGACACCAAGAAGAGGACCCAGATGAGCGGATTAGCGGACAAACCAGAATCGCATGGCAGGATCGTCTGTGTGATTCACTTCGCTGCTCTCAAGGCGGTCGGAGAGTCCTTGTCCATCCCCCTAGAGTACTACGAGGTCAACGTGGCCGGCCTCCTTTACCTCCTAAAGGCCATGCGCGCCCACAAGGTCAACACCTTCGTCTTCTCGTCCAGCGCCGTGGTGTATGGCATGGATCACGGAGCAGGTATCACGGAGGACGCCGTGAACACCGCAGGCAAAGGCAGCGGCGGAGGCCTGCTCACGAATCCCTATGGTCGGTCCAAGTGGATGTCAGAAGAGATTATCAACGACTTCTGCGTCTCGAATCCTGGTTTCCATGCGACATCACTGCGGTACTTCAATCCAACGGGGGCACACGCCAGCGGCCTCATCGGTGAGAACCCAAAGGGCACGCCCAACAACATCGTGCCTGTGATCCTCCAGGCATACGAGAGACGGCGCAGCAGGGTGCAAGTGTTTGGGTCTAGCTACGACACCAACGACGGGACTGGTGTGCGTGATTATATCCATGTGTCGGACCTGGCCAAGGGTCATCTCGCTGCCCTGAGAAAGGCCGTCTTAGACCAAGACAACAGCACAGGAATGATAGCAGAACCTGACACTCACTACAACGTGTACAATCTCGGCACCGGCAGAGGCTACTCGGTTCTCGAGATCATCAGGGCCTTCTCCAAAGCCGCAGGAGCAGACGTCCCCTTCTCGGTCGGCGCCGCACGCCCAGGCGACCTCGGGACGGTGACGGCGTCTGCCAACAAGGCAGCGACCGAGCTCGACTGGAAGGCCGAGTTCGACCTCCAGGACATGTGCAGGGACGTGTTCAACTGGGCGTGTTCGAACCCAGGCGGGTACGAGCAGCTCAGGCGGCTCTCCACCATGACCGACGTGTCGGCCAAGGACCTGCGCAAGATCAGCGTCGCGTCGCACCTCTTTGAGAGCGACGAGGAGTTTGACACCTTTATTCAAAACGTCGCGAACCCAGGGAGCCGCAGGTCGACGCCGTCGTCGTCGCGCAAGTCGAGCCAGAGGCAGTCCGTGGCATCGCTGTCGGCGATGCTCCACCGCGCGCGCATGTCCATCTCGTCCAACTCGAGCGATGAGGACAACAGCAACAAAATGGGCAGCGGCTACCAGAGTCCTGCGGCCCACGGTAGTCCTACGATTCCGACGATTCCATTCCGTAGCCAGAAGAACCAGCCGCGATTTCACATGAACTGGTCCGAGAGCTCGCGAGGTCCATTGTACACGGACATGGAAGCACCGATTCAAGAAGAGTAGAAGAGAAGCAGCTACGTTGAACAGAGATGATCATGCTGTGTTGAGTTATGAATGGAATTGTTTCATTTATTCTTATCTCTTTTTTCCCCAGAAATACTATGCACAAGATATGTGGTGTGTGTTCACTTTGCCACGGTGATTTTCAGATACCTGCTGTGCCAGGAACATTCGTCACGCTGCCGTTCGAGGATGCAGATCCAGCAGCAATATCAGCAAAGATGATGCCACGACCCGATGTACCGATGAAAACACGCCCATACACCCGTGGGTCTCCCAGTATCATGGTAGGCCCGCCGTACTGATGAGAATCATCATTGACTCGGGCCCAGCTGGTGCCAGAGTCATCTGACCTGTACAGCCCATCCACACTGTCAGCACCTGAACTGGCGACCCGTCCCCATAAGAACAGAGTCACAGCCGTAGAGTTTGTAGAGGGCGCCGCCATGCCGACAGAGAAGTAGTCGGCCTCCAGACCACTCGGACCAACAGCCTCCCAGGTGCTACCAAAATCACTACTGTGGTACAGCCCGTTCGAGCCCAGAGGAAGCCAGAGTTCGCCCGCCTTGTTGAAGTTGACCACAGGCAGGGCACACTGGCCTGCAGGCAGACCAATCGAGGAGCCCACCGAGCCATTGTAGCTCTTCCCTCCGTCTGTGCTGATGTAGAATGTCCCGCTGTCACAAGCGTAGAATGTTCCGGCCTGGACCCTATCAGCGCTGATATACTCCGTCTGAACATTCAGGTCGCCTGTCGGGGCACTCCAGCTGACACCAGCATCGGAACTGAACCAAGGCCCGTTCTCCTGCTCCGTGATGAGCGTAGACCAGACAAAGATTTCGCCCGACGCGTCGATGGTGATGGTCCCGTCCGTGGTGGTCGTCTCATTGATCCCAGGCGCACACACAGGAAACATGGTCCAGTTGTGGCCCGAATCCGTCGAGTAAGTTCCTTGCCCACACGCATCGTACACGCTGTAGTTGAGCCCACAGTCGCCCACTCTCGCCACCAGGGAGGGCTTCTGGCCGGCCCAGTCTAGACTATCGAGGTTGCTAAAGGCAGGAAGACCAAACATGGGCTGTGGCACCCACAAATCGTCATGAGCCATGCCGTTGATATCGCCAAACCCGCTCAGAAGGTGGGCTGGTCCATCGGACGGGCTGATCATGGCCAGGGCGACCGTCTCCTCAATACCTTGCGCCTGAATATACCAACCCGGCGCCGCATTCTGCTCTGCTGCGAAGACGTCGTCAGTCGACCAGATGGTGGCACCTGTACCGTACAGAACATGTCCTGGGTTGCTTGGGTCCATCAGCAGCGCGCTCATCCACCAGCCAAACTTTGTCAGCCCTGGGATTCGAGAGGGGGCTCCATAACCACCCCACTCCTCGCCATAGTCAAACGAGAGCCAGGGGACTGCTGTGCCGTTGTCCAGTGCGGCCTCTGCGATCGGGTGGCCCCAGTTGCCGCCTGTGCCGTTTGGCGACGACAGCTGGGCCACGTCCTTCCAGGATTTGCCACCGTCTCGGGAGAGGTACAAGCTATCGAGCGCTGGACCAGGGTCCCGATCCAGGGTGGTCACGACCAGAGTATCCGGGTCCTTTGAGTCCACGCTGAGCCCACAGAATCCTCCAGGCGGCCAAGTCTGAGGCTCGTACGGCGGCGGGTAGCTGTTGTTCCCCACGCCAGGCGTGATATTCGTCCAGGTCGAGTCCTTGGTCCCGTACTTGTACACAACTCCATACTGCACTCCATACGGACCAGGAAAATCTGCATACGTGACGTACAAGGTCGCCCCGTCCGAAGTTAGGACGCCCTTCATGGGCTGTGGTCCCGTGCTGAGAGGCGGCTCCCCATCCACCAGCGTCGAGTTTTCCCACGTCGTCGGCTGGCCCGGCACCGGATTCCACGACTGTCCATTGTCTCCCGTCACATAGAGACCACCGGGCGTGCTGCCGCCAATGTAGATGGTGCCGTTCTTGGTCGGGTCAAAGAGGACAAAATAGATGCCCATGGTATTCGCAAATGCGTCAGGAATACTCGTCACATTGGTCCACGTTGCTGCATAGTCCTCACTCTTCCACAGCCCTTCGGTGCGGCTACCGAACCAGACCTCTTTGGGCCGAAAGGGGTTGACGGCAATACGCTCGCCATTGTTCCGCCCCAGCTCGTTGGAGCCCATGATGAACGGCGTGGGGACAACATCAAACGTGTCGCCGCGGTCCGTCGAGACAAAGAAGGCGCTGTTATTGCTGGTCAAATAACGCCCCTGTGCCAGGTACAGCCGGTCCGGGTCGGTAGGGTCCAGGCCGATAGACTCGGTGCCCAGGAGGTTGGAGTCGGCTGCGCTGATGAAGTCCGTGATTGGGATCCACTTGTTCTCGTCCTGGTTCCAGCGGTAGGCGCCGCCAATGTCCGTTCGCACGTACAGCAGGTTTTCCTCTGTGGGGTGGGCGATGATGCCGGTGATGTAGCCTCCCCCTGTGACGGCGACATGGTTAAATTGGTAAGGGTAGCTTGTTGTCCCTGCACTGGCTGTGGAGAGGAGAGATGCAAAGAGACCCAGGAAGGTCAGGCTGAGCAGCCTTGAAAGCCTGGTTGATCTCGTCATGATTGCCATTGTGATGGAGAAAGGTGGGGGGAGGGGAGGATAGCCCAGACAATGACAGGACGCCGAGGCCTGCTGTCAGGCTGTAGAAGGGGAAAACATAGAGATATATTAAATAGTAGATACGTGAAGGTGGATTTCAGTAGCATGCGGCGACGGCTCATCAAATACTCGACGACCCTGCAGATCCATTGTAGGTCAAGTCCCCTGCGCTATGTCAAGAATCGATACATCCCCTGATGCGTGATGCGCAAAGCATGCAGTCGGCCTGGCTAGTAATTAAACATGGCTAGCACATCAGATAGGGTACAAATATGCCTGTATGCTGTTATGTACTATCACTCCTACGGACGTGATCCCCGCTGCGCATCCTCAAAAGTCAGTCTCTCATACACCTCGGAGGCGCTAATACGGTGAGGAATATGGCCACCGCCTATCTTTACAGCAACTCTTTTGAAACCTCTCATGCTCAAGAGAAAGTCACTGGTTCCCTTAGAACATGACAATATAGCAGCTATTGCAGCAATAACATTGCAAGACAACTATGCAGATGTTTGGGAAGTAAACCGCTATATTCAATATAGATGCAAGTACTGTTGTAACTGCGCTTGGGCGCTGTAGACTCCCCTGACTCCCCTGACTCCCCTCTTTTCCCCAGGTTTCTTCCGATCTACCCAGAACCCCTGGCAAAGCTATTATTCCCCCCTCTCCATGTGTGTGGAGAGCCACCAAGCCCAGAAAGGGGAACACTGGCCCAGAAATTAGTGAACCGACGGAAAATTCGGATTCCATCCAGAAGACTCACCACTTGCAGCGTGTGGCGTCTGCCTCTCTAAAGCCGATCCGAGCTTGACTGCTCCTCGGGCCGTGATTCCGGTAGTGGTCTGCCTCGCCGTTGTCTCTTTGCACGTCTTTATGTCGTGAAAGTGGCATGAGAATGCTTGGCGAGCTTGTTCTTGGGCCTCCTTTTCTCCAATTTTCATACTCAGTCTCAGCTCTCTGCCATCCTCCACACAATTCGCAATGCAGTTCACCATCGCCAGACCAGGCTCCTGGGCTTTGTCCCTGTGCAGAAGGAGCTCCAAGTTAGGTATACAGCGATGATTATGCCAAGTATCGCCTGATGATAATGGGCCATTCTTTGTGTCGTTCTACAAAGCCCCCCTTTGATGTCATGGCTCCATTCCCAAGCGAAACGACCCATGACCACCGAAAATCCGAGGCTCATCACTGGCACTTGATCCGCCACCTTGAGAGTGCCATCCCGAATCTATCGAGGCAAAGCGCTCTTCGTGGTGAAATGATCCGGCCGAGTTCGACAAGGTCGGTGATCGCTGTGAAAGTAACAATGGCCTAGCCCCGAAGATCTCGCTGAAGCTGGGCAAGCGTTCGTGAGACGGTCCGCCGAGCGACGGTCCTCGGAGAGGAGGCAGCTGAGACGAGACTTTCGCGCCCTCGAGGTCATAGTCCATGAGATCATAGTCCATACCTACTCCCTCATCAAACTTGTTCGGGTCGTCTTTTACTGCCTGGTTGTGGTGTGTGCTGGATGTGCTGGCGTAGTCCTCATCAATATCCATTGTGTTCGCTTCATGTGCGAATCGGGTGGAATTAGCCAAGTCGTCCTGAACGATATGGCTCATCTTGATAGCTTCCGTGGCACTCTTCTTGAGGTCGGCTTTTCTCTCATCCGTTTGGCCATCCTCATGCGCTGGTGGTCTAGATAAGCTGCGGGATAGATCGTCGTGGGAGAAGATGGATGTATCGGCCGAGAGCCTAGACGCGTCGCAAGCCATGCCTCCCTCAACGCCCTTCTCCAAGCTGGCAAGGGACTCCATCATCTTCTTGAACTTCTCCGCAGTCTTCCGACCCCGAACCGACCCCTCTACCTTGATATCTGCCGGGCGTAGGTCACTTGCAGCAACCCAATCGATGGGCATGTTCGACAAGGCCGATTTCGTGAATGTCATCTTCTGTCCTGGCTTCGCTGGGATCCTGAGCTTTGCAGGCTTTCGGTCATCAAAGAAGAGAAAGAGGAAACGACGCTCCTTGACGCGCGGTCCTCCATCCTCGTAACCTGGTGCCCAGCCCTTGAGACTCGAGATGGCCTCTGTAGTTGTGACAATGCCGTTTGCACCTGTGTGATAGATCTTCTCGACTTGAGGAACATAACAATCTGGGAAGCCGTCTTGGAGATCCATCATATCCATTGCGAAATCCAGATTGATGTCCTTGGCCCAGGCATCACCTTGAAAAGGTAGAGCAAGTGCCATATACCAGCCTCTTTCAACTGATGAGGGATGCTGGTAGTATGCTTGGTAGACTTGGCCTGGTGTCACGTCCATCACGCCCGAGAATGCACGCGAGGCGCGGCTCGAATATTGCTGATCTGGCTGTTCCTGAGTCTCGCTGATCGTCTTGCTATGGTGTTGGGACTGATAAGGTATCGGCGGAGCTCCAGGTGAAGTGGCTATGCGAGACGGTCCAGATCTTGGTGGTGATGAGGCCGCAGTAGCGACCACAGTTGAGCTCTGGTGCTGAGACACCGATAAACCCGGCACTTCCGCAGGCTCTAGATGCTGCGGTGAAGGCTTCTTGGCAGGTACCTCTGCTATGTAGTGCATGCAGGCGTGCCACTTGGCCCAATACTCTCCATCAAGCTGTGCTATCGAGTTGTGGTGATGAGCAATTTGCGAGCGAAGCTCGGCTTGATTCTCGGCAACCTTCTTGGCCTCAGCTGACTCCTGCCTAGCGAATTTGCTGCGCCACTGTTCGAAGTTGTTCACGCCACCCTCTGCGACAAAGGTCTCGAAAGCCTTGGATTGGTTTATCCAGTATGTAGATTGCGCTCGGCTGATCGCGTCATAGAGATTGGCGATCTCGTCTTTCAGAGACTCACGTTGCAGGTCGATCTTCTTAAGCTCTTTATGGGTGTCCTTGAGCATGGAGAACATTGTCGGCTTGCCCTCTGTAGCGTTCTCCACCACATCAACGCTGATATTAGCCGTTGATGCCATGGTGAAAGTCGGTTCCTGTTTCGGACTGTGGCCCGTTCTGCCTTCTACTCTGCGTGCGACACAGTAGTGGCGGACAGTGCAATGGGTAGGGAGATGCACACTTGCAGATAGGAAAGAAACGAAGCTGGGACCGGTTCTGTATCGGTATTGAAGTAGAAGAAGCAGTTCTTTGCCTTACTACTGCTCCAAGCGATGATGACGTGGACTGATCTGTAGATTGAGATGCTGTGTGACGTGCGCAGGAGGGTGAGGCTCACTGTTTGTGTGAGTGACGGAGAGAGAGCAATCTGTAGCTATCCCTCGCTATCCAGCACATTGACCTTGCAGGTGCCTCTTTTGTTGCAGCTTGTGCACCTGGCCAGTCACCAACTACACTCGAGGGGGAGATCAGTTTGGTGATATGAAAGAATGCCGCGTGAATGAAACCGCTCAGTAATTGTGCTGTTTGTCAGATTCGATGATTTGTTCTAGGTCGTGCGATCTCGTGCTTTGTCTCTCATTGCAGTGCAGACCGGATCAACACGGGCGGGGAACAGAACCCATCTTCGAAGAAAGTGGTGTCTGATGCAGGAGTTGGTTTGGATGATAAATCTCGTTCCTTCCTCTTGCTGTCTTGATTGATGAAAACTAGGAGTTTGCCAGCTGACGAAGCAGAGGCTTAGATGGTCAGGTGACGACGATTGCTGTGACGAGTAGGTAAAGAAGGCTTAGGCCACTCACTGCTGAGATATAGTATACAGTACTTATCATCTAATATGTGTGTGTGTGTGTGTGTGTCCCCAGTTGTCTGGACCAAGAAAAGCTGATTCTATGAAACGCCACACACTTCCTCAGGCCTCGGTTGGACCAATGAACAGATTTCTACCCGCCACCGTGTCAAGGCTAGAGACTTGGAACACTTGGAAGAAAAGTATGACCAATTTTACTCCTACAGTGAGACTTACTTTTGAGGGTGGATCCTGAATGTGGAATCCGTTCCCCAACTAATCAACGGCAAATCCCTGAATCACGAAATGCATCATGAGGTCAAGAAAAGCTCCGTATTAGTTGTGTTTGATTTTGCACATGTACGTAGTTGCTTCTTGCTTCATTATTTCTTTCATTTATGCGTTGCTTTTTCTATGACGTTCCACATATATGTGTATCCTTTATCGTGGTTTGACTTCGTAATCTCGCGTCAGAGTGCCTGTAACCCCCCCAGTCGTGACTCAACCTGCCGTGCATTCCGATATTATTTCGGACTACGGAGAGTCGCCACCTTTAGAGAGAAAAAACCAGGGCAATCTAATCACCGTACTCGGTCTCAGCATAATTGCATGACCCTAACCCCCTTGCAGATGCTTTAGAACCGAGTAGAAGCTTAGTCTACCCCTCCAAAAACAGAACCTTGTTCAGGCTCCAACATCACCACACGCTTCTAACCTCCGTCCAGCTTTATCGAGCGACAACAAAATGTCATCGACTACAAAATCAAACCCACGTGTCGGCGTGGCCGCGGTGATCCGAGGCCCGGATGGACGCGTCATTTTGGGACGGCGCATGGGCAGCCATGGAGCAGGTTCGTTACCTCTTGCGGCTTGCATCAGAGGGAGGGATCTTCATAAATGCTGATGTATTGCCAAATGGTTTCAAGGGCAATGGGCTTTTCCTGGGGGCCACCTTGAGAACGGTGAAAGCCTACTCGAGTGTGCTGAGCGAGAGACATTGGAGGAGACAGGGCTCAGTGTGAAGGGAGTAAAGATCGCGAACGTCACCAATGATGTTTTCACAGAGCTGGGTACACACTATGTCACCTTGTTTGTCCTGTGTGAGTTGTCTGATCCACAACAACAACCTCAGGTAAGTAGGAATTGTGTTGAATACTTGGGAACTACCTGGAGTGATCTGTTTTCCCCACTGCTGATTACAACTTCTTCCAACAGCTCCTAGAGCCAGATAAGTGCGAGGGGTGGGTCTGGGTGCACCTCGACGACCTTCACCAATACAAAACGGAAGAACTTTTCTTGCCAATTCAGAACCTTCTGAAACAGTCGCCCAACCTGGATCACCTGTTCCCAGGGCTCCCATCAACATCTTGAGGCTGGTATCCTGACTTGGCTCCAAGCCTGGCATGAGAGTCATTATGGGGAAGACTCTGCAGAAGGGAAGGAAATAGTAAGAAGGTAGCCCAGGCTGAACGAGCGAAGGGTGCAGGTGCCTGGCAGGCATGTGTGGGCTATTAGTGAGCCACAGGCCCTCGCAACGATCCTCAGATTTCTTCATCAAGCAAACATCATGTGATTACGGGATATCTCTCATGAGAGGTCTGTAAAATACGGTGGAGTTATGATATCTCACTCGTCCCTCATTCTCAGTCCTTTTACAAGTGATGCTAAGTCTTTTGCCTACCTAGGTATCGAAGGCTGTTTCTAGACATGTGCGAGGCCAATGTCCTTTCTTCTCCGTGAAATTTCCGGCTCGCAGGCGCAGTAAACGTGAACTGCAAAAGACCTTGCTTTTGCATAGATGGAACCTTCTGGATTTCCATCCCTTGCTTCTCCCAAATACTTAAGTAGGCTGTGTTGTCTCAGAACAGGTCTGCAGTGCTCATCGCTCAGGGTCCAATCAGGTATTCGTCATCTTGCCAAGAAGACAATGACATTCCTTCATTCTCTCGGCCCATTAATTATACTACTCTTGATCTTAAGGCCTTTCTTGATACAGAGAGGATTGTAAGTTGTATACATTGGTATATATACCTATATACATACAGAAGGGCTTTGCCCCGAAAAAGCTCATATTAAAATCATACTCATTATGTGGCAAAAATGCCCCCAGTTAATGCAGTTCTCAGAAACTGCCATTCATGAGCCCAGCCAAGTTGCAAACTCACATCAACCAAATCTTCCCTCTTTTATATACGCGGAACCCTGATCGAGTCTCACCCGCTTGCTATCCTTCAAGATCGGAAAGTGCCATGTCTGGATCTAGAGCCAGGCTAGGAAGGAAGAGCATAGAAGAAAGGAGCCCAACCACCTGCCGCTTCCGAACAAGACAGCTGAAGCGCCAGATTGTATAGATGCCGTGGAGGTAGGTGCTGAAGTGCTCGATGTGCCGGTGCCAGCGTCAGGAGATGATGAGCCGCTGGATTGAGAGTCCGTGGAGGCGCCAGCCGCTGCGCTCGTGGTCGCCGTTGCCGAGGCTACGGATCCATCTGTACCTGTAGCGGTCTGTCCTCCAGCATCGGTGGTGCCCGAGCCGGTTGTAGTGCCTGTTGCGGCTGGGTCGCTCTGCGATGACGAGCTGCCGTCTTGCTGAGATGTTACACTTGGCGCGCTGGTCTCTGTGGCAGAAGTTGCCGAGGCAGCAATCGCAGTAGTATCGTCTGACGTCGTTGGTGCTTCTGCGGTTGTAGCAGGCGCCGTCGTCGTCGGCATGACAGTGGCGAAGCTCGATGTTGATTGGACTTCGGTGCAGTCCCGGTCGTAGAAGAGAAACGGCGAGTCGGATTGCTGCCGGAAATTGGTATCACTGCATATTGCCGAGATTGTTTCATTAGCCATTTTTTTTTATTTTTTTTTCCTCCAAGGAGGTGACCTTCAAGTAGCCCAGGCAGACAACGACTTACAGTGGTGTTGAGTAGAGCAGACATTCAGAGTCGCCAAAGGCGAAGCTCTGACACTTTGAGTCTGACACACACTTGGCAGAGCATAGGGCAAATGTCGACAGGCTCCCGTCGCCGCTGTAGAAGTAGGCGTTTGTGCCTCGGTCGTAGCCGTGTGCAACACCGCATGTGACATCAGACAGCGCTGGCACAGCCAGGCCAAGCAGGATGGTGATTGTGTGGAGCTTCATGATCATAACATCGGACGAGAAGAAAAAAAAGTATTTAGAAAGCCCTGGTTATCGGAGAATAGGAAACAGCCGGTAAATCAATGAATGCATCAAGACAAGGAGAGTAGCCAGGTGGGTTGGGTGGAAGAGGCAAAATTAGAATGTCTGCTCCTCAGTCGCATGGAAAGGAAAGTTAACCACGATAAGAAGAGTCTAGAAAAGAGAGAGAGGAGACCGACGACGATTCGTATTAATTCAGGGAGTTAAGCTTAAAATACAGGGAATCCTCCATGTGAAGAGCCTGTGCTTTGCTAAGAAGACGGTCCACGGGTTACATCGATTTTTTCTTTTTGTCGCCGAATGGTAGGTGATGAGCACGCAGAGGCACCACATGGTGATTAATAGCAATATTAATGAACAGTCTAATACGAAAACGTTGGACACCAATCGTAAGCACCTAGATTCGAGTGCAATTTCCGCAACGTCCCTGTGATAAGCCTTGGCTGTCAAGGTTGTCAACTCTGCGTTGGGACTAGTGGCGCGGGCAGTAGTACCATAATACAAGCATTGAGGAGGAGGGTTGCATCAATGTGAGACAACGAGCTTTTGGTTTACCTTCCTTTTGCTTTTTCTTTCTTTCTTTTTCTTTCAATTTTTTATTGAGGCTTGATCCTTGATAAAGCCTTGACAAATGTCATTCACCGAGAATTCGGTGACTTTCCTGTGCGACTTGACCATTCCGAGTCTTAGACTAGAAATGGCAGACGATGGCGACAATGAACGAGAAGAATGTAGCCGCGGCAATGAAAGCGATGACAATCGATTGTACCCTCCTTCTCGAGGTTCTTTTGAACCCGCGATAAGCACTCAGGGGAATCCCGAGTCACCGCCACGTGCAGGCTACGGTCCACTGTTTCTAAAGGAATCTTCCCTGTTGGTTCTAACGGGTTGTATCTCATTAATTAAAACAACGGCGAAGTACTTATGATTTTCAAGCCATGCGGAAAGTTGCGCTGCCTTTGTAGAACCGGACATCGCCCGATGCCGCAACCTGCATGGCGGTTAACAAAAAAGAAAAAAAGCGCCGCCATTCAGACCAAATCGGTACGGGCGGCCGGTCTCTAGCAGAACTCAAGGGGTAAAACACTTAGAAGTCTCGAGCTATCTTTTGGTCGGCGGATCGCGGGTTCGTAAAAACCACATGTTCATCCCTGCTAGCCTCTGCCCATCCCGTTGTGTTCCATTTTGTGATGTGGGTTAATATATTAGAAAGTCAGACTCGCGTAGCAGGAAGAAAGAAACTTGGCAAGCTTTGATTCAAGGACTGAATATTCAAGGAGTCACCTGCAGGCGTAACGTGCAGGACGCATGAGCAAGCACGCGTGATTCAGTCCTTCGAGCCGAGATCAGTAACCGTGCATGTAAGTTGAGGCATCCGAGAAGCCGAGACTCGCCAACAACAGTTCGTAGTGGTTTTTCTCTTTGGGAGGGGGCGGGGGGGCTGAAGAATACACGAGTCAGTAAACTACTACATGGGGATGATCACAAGCCACATGGAGGTCGTCTTCCCCGAATCGTTTTGAGGGGCAAGTATCATATCATTGCATCGAAATCAAGCCCGAAAGTGGTTATGAACATTGAACGGCAGGATGGACGATTCGCAACTGGTGTCTGTATCATTACTGAAGGTAATGGTTCTAAATAGATATGGGAGTACTCACAAAGGATGTATGTGGCATATCCCCAGTGTAGGCTAGCAACGCATGTGTTGCCTACTTATACTTCAGCACTTGGTGCCAAACTTCGTTAACTAGCAAATCTCGCACAACATATTTGTCTCTATCAACTTCCAAAGTTGGGGCGGAAATCGCTATTATACATGCAGAGGCCACACTTGCAAAGAGCGACGACATGTTATAGTCATGAAAGCCAAATGGGGGAAGGAAGCCCTGCATCTTGCACAGTCGAAATGCCCTTTGGGTAGGTGCCCATTCGCCACTGTCCGGATGACGGTGTTTGTTTACTGTCTGTAAGCAAAAACAACATTGAACTTCTCAACACCGTTCGCCCCTCAGGTCATTCTCGTTTTGCCAGCTACTTATTTACTTAATCATCACCTGCGACCTCGTGGCCTCATCGACCAGTCACTACAATGTACAATTTCAACGCATTTCTTATCTTTCCTGTCCTCGTCTTTCTTTCTTTCCCCTCACAAATTCTTGCTACGCTCCCCGATATCATCCCCAACAAGTACATTGTGACTCTCAAGCAGCACATTCCCACGAGCCACGTCGACCAGCATCATGCATGGGTCACTGAGATCCACTCCAGAAGCCTTGACGCCGACATCCTCGCCGGCATTGAGAGGCGATACAATATCTCTGGTTTCCAAGGTTATGCTGGATCCTTCGACGATGCAACAATTCAAAGGATCAGAGATAGCCATGATGTAAGTTGAGAACGTACAGACCCTCGTCTCCCGCCCTCCGCTGAAGACCTGCCCTGACCGTGACGCAGGTAGCCGCGGTGGAATCGGATCAGTTGGTCCACCTCTGCGAGATGAAGACACAGCACAAGGCACCCTCGTAGGGCTTAGGAGCCTTGTCGCACCGTGCTGGGTCCGGATCTCAAGATTATATATTCGACAGCAGTGCTGGTCGTGGCACCTTTGCCTATGTTGTCGACACTGGAGTCAGGGAAGATCACCAAGACTTCGGCGGTCGCGCCAGTAGTCAATGGGCTGTTGGCAATAACCACACCGACGGTGCGGGGCATGGCACTCACGTCGCCGGCATAATCGGCGGCAGAGAATATGGTGTGGCCAAAGGTGCAACGATCATCGCGGTGAAGGTGATATTCAACCAAAATACAACATACTCTGACACCCTGGCTGGGTACACCTGGGCTGTTCAGGACATCGCATCCAGGAAACGGAATTCTCGATCTGTCATCAATATGAGTCTAGGTAAGCCCTCTCGACGACGTAACTCATTGGCTTGATAAGAGACATTCAGGTCTGACTAAAGCCATTAGGTGGTGGATATTCTGCAGCGCAAAACAATGCCATTCAGGGTGCCTTTGAAGCTGGGATTCTGACTGTTGTTGCAGCTGGCAATAATGCCTCGGATGCCGTCGAGGTAAGCACTGCAACGGTGTGAATGATGGACTTGCCAAACGTATATGATGCTAACTAAAATTTAAACCATCGGTAGACTTCTCCAGCTTCTGCACCCAATGCCGTGACGGTGGGTGCGACGACCATCACAAAACAATTCGCAGGCTACTCCAACTTCGGCGCGATGGTCGACATTCTCGCTCCTGGTAGCGATATCATGTCGGCATCACCACATTCCACTGACGCCTATGCCGTTAGGACAGGCACGTCGATGGCCTCTCCACACGTTGCCGGACTGTTGTTGTACTTGATGGGCCAAAAGAATTATACCAGCCCCGGGGCTGTCGTCTCACATCTAAAGGAACTAGCAATCCAGGATGTACTTACGGGTGTTCCTAAGGGAACTGCAAACCTCATGGCATACAATGGAGCTGCTTGATCATCGGCAGACGGGTAGGACGTCAAAGACATACGATTTTCCCCAGACCACATCAAACATGTGCATTGGGTGGTCCTCGTTTCCCCAAGCCCTCATCCTATGAATTTGCTGTCTGGTTCTCACAAACACACAAACATCGTATAGCTGCATACATGTAAGTAAATCATTTTGACCGGATTCATTCTTGGAGTGTAAGGAGATGGTTACTTTGGATCAGTTGATTCGCCAACAATTCACGTTAGACGATGCGCCTTCAACACAAAAAGTGGAACATAACACATTGCATTGAGTTACAAATTAAGAATCTCAAAGGTATACCCGACGCCCCTCTACACATTATGCTCGTGCCCTCCTAGCCTCATGTCATTTTCACCACCAGAGCACCCATCGTCGGATGCTCATCCCAAAGAAAGCCTCTTCAAGATGTGGGCGCCACGTTCTGTGCCAGCTGCTCGAGCGGCCACTTGATAGCGCCTCGCCACTTGGGCGAGATGAGCTTGTCTGCGTCGGAAGCTATACTAATGCCCCAGCCCTTGAGGAACCAGTTGTTCTCTTCGGCCTTGTATAGGATACAACAGTAGTGGACCAGGACCAGCAGGGCCACCTCGTTCCGCTGCCTCAGCAGTGTGATGTAGTCCTCTGCGATGGTGATGGGCCAGTAGGTTGCGACGCGCATCTCGGAATCCTTGGTGGTCCGGACGGCCTTCTCGGCGGCGTCGAGGAGCTTTGTGATCTCGAGGTTGACGAGGATGCGCACGATGCGGCTGATGCTCTCGTCCTGGTTGATCTGGTCCTCGAGGGCGCGCAGTTCCTTGACCATCTGTTCCATAAAGGGATTGACCCGCTTGTGTGCCTTGAAGTGGAAGAGGTCGCGGAAGTAGCCCGAGTGGATGGTGGGCTCGGACGAATGAAGCACGCTGGCCACACCCCTGTCGAGGATGAAGACATCGATCATGTCCTCAATGGTGGGCGTTCGCTGGCCCACGACGACCTGCGGCGGCGAGTCACTGGACCTGATGTTGGCGAAGGATGCGAATGCCCCGACGAGCAAGAGAGAAGACGCCATGAAGAGCGCGTGGCAGTTCTCGGTGGTGATGTTAGCCAGGTGTGCCCGCATGCCCTCGATGGACCTGTTCTGGTGCTGCGAGGCGAGCAATAAGAGCTCGCTGCGGCGCTCGGGCTCTAGGTAGGCCATGTGGAAGGCCGCCACGGCGAGGATCTGGTGTATGATGAAAGGGTACTTGAAGGAGAGATTGGGGGCCAGCTTCTGCCAGACGTGGAGCTCGTCCTGGGCCCTCGGCATGGTGTGCGACGTGACCACGCTGTAGTGGTGCATCAGCTCGAGGTCCTGGATCCATGCCGCCTCCCTCTCGCCGCCGGTGGGAAGCATAAACTTGTCAAAGTAAGGGAACGCGGTCTGGGCTGAAGTTGGCCTATGTGCCGTTTGGCTGTTTCCGTCCAGGTCGACATAGCCAGGAGCTTCGGCGGCTGGCAGATCTGTGAGATCGGTGGATGTTCGGGCCAGAAAAGCAGACGAGGGCGACTGGTTGAAGTCCGTAAGAGAGCGCCTCTGTGACCACAAGGTACGTCAGAACTGTGCCAATAGAATTTAAAGGTGTGTGTTTGTGTGTGTGTGTGTGTGTGTGTGTGTGGTACGAAAGAAGAGGAGCAACAGGCAGATGTTCCAGTTGTCCGCACACGAGGAGCGCACGAGGAGCGTGAGTGAGTCTTCTCTTACCGGATCAGTCGTGATGATACTGTGCGCAGAGGTGCTCTCCGGGCTCATGCTCGAGGTATTGCTGACTGCACGACTCCTCGACTTCGCGGGCAGCTCCCGCCTCGACGGGCCTCCCGCAGGAGGAGGGTTATCAAGCAGGCTGCATCTCACATCGTGTCTCACGCATGCCGAACAAGGCCTCTTCTCATCACACTGTCAAAAGAAGACAAAAAGATGAATTAGTAAAAAGTCCAAGAAAGAAACCAAAGACGTCTCATCATTTGCCACAAGCCCTGCGTTGCGGAAGAGAAAGCAGCACTGCAGCAACAGACGGACCAGCACCGGATGAAATAACCATACCTTCACCCTCCTCTGTCGGCAACGCAAGCACCCATTGCGCGATTTGGTATACCCGAGTCGCGGCATCGAGGCGACCGAGCTTTTCCCCCGTCTCCCTTTCTCTCCCAAGCCTTATTACTCTGCTGCGCGAGGCCCAACCAATGAAGGAGCCTCTCTTTCTGGCTCTGACGCTCTTTCGTTTCTGGTCTCGACCGTGTATTTATTACCGAGACCGAGAGCGAGGGTTGATACTCCCCGCCCGGCGCCAGGGTATCGGACGAGCGTGGCCCAGAGCTATAGTGCTGGGTGGCGGGCCCGGTGCTTTTGGGGGAGAGAGGACGGAGAATAACAGAAAACAAAGGCGAGTTGATCGAGTGCCTTGAAAATCCGTTTCGGAAAAAGCTTCAGGTTGGATGGAACGTCCAAGCCCAAGGGAAATGAATGACGATCGACCAGTTTTGCTGAAGAAGGAAAGGGAGGGGGATCATCAAAGTTCAGCACTTGAGAGGGGCAATTTGGGGGAGACAGACGAATTGAGGTAGGAGGCGCAGGCTCGATTGGCGCAAGGCAGGACAAGGCAGACAGGCGGGGATAAGACAGGCAGACAGACAGACAGACAGACAGACAAACATTGACTGTGGGACGCTCTCCGGACGCTGCGGATGCTATGCTTGGTGCACGTTTTCCTGAAACCGGGCGAACGACCAGGGATCAGCCCGCTGAACGGGCACTCAGCATTGAAGCAGGCACTGTAGTTTTCGGCCAGCGGATAAATTTTCAATCTCGCTAGCCCTTTTTTCCTGTTGGCCCTAGAGACACGACTCAGCACATTACCCGCAGCGCAGGCCTACTATGAGCGAGTAGTGCTGCATGCAGTGACAGCTCAGGCATTTATTTAATGCAAGGTACATGCCGGAGATATGGCAACAGAACTAGGTACATACGTCGTTGCCAGCTCGATCCTCTGCTGCCACGTTGATAGCCTTACAATAACACCTAGTCTGAGGCTTGGCTTTTCCTGCTCAACGCGACACAATCTTTTTGTCGGGAATGCGTTTCTTCCCACTGGTCCCGACAAATAAAGGGTTGCTCATGTACCATAGTACGCGTCAACCTTACTCGTATCACCTGCATGAGTACTTTTTCAGTCCGCTATTTTGGTTCTCGTTAAGCTTTTGCCATGATAACGATCCACTACCAACAGCTTGGCACTTTCCAAAGAGCTGATCAATGGTGATCTAGATCTTGGTTCATGGCCTTCCCTTTCTGGAAAAGGTTGGGCGTGCGCAGGTCTCCGTTTCGGGGCCGATGGAGCCTCCACATACAGATTGAATGTCGAGGCGTACTTTGAAGGAACTGCTTGAGCATGGCAGGAGAAGTCTAATTGTTTATTAGTAAGTGCAGAATCTGTGGGAGAATTTTAGTCATAAGAGGCGGGTCCTATGGGAAGGCGCTTTACTGAGGGGGTGCGCTACAGGAGGAAAGAAGGAGGGAAGACCCGAGCTGGTTGAAGCTTTCTAGGAAGCGCGAGGCAGGTGCTTGCCTGGCACGCACGGGCCAGGGAGGTCGCTGAACCCCTCCCACCCAGAATCAATGCCTTCTCCCTGGGCCTCTTCCACCTTTTCACGAGTGTTGCAATGAGATAAGCTCCATTTGGGGATCAGAGTGATGGGGAGACTATAATACTTGTTTATTTTTACTACTATGTACTTCGATATACAGTCTGAATCCGGTCCCCCTTTTCTTTTCCTTTTTTTTTTTTTTTTTTTTTTTTTTCAAGTTTTGCATGAAAGCAGAGCCACCTTGCCCCATTATTACATGACCTTGAAAATGACCTTGAGGCCTGTCAGTGTACGCAGGCCTCTCTGACCCTTGACTGGATTAGCGACAAGCCCAAACGCATGTGTATCTGATCCGATGACGGCCTCATGACCACAATCGGGCGCGTGTATGTGCTTCTGCTCAATTGTTGTGGCCGGCAGCCAGCCTCGCAGCTTTCCACTCCCTATCCAGGATCGAATAGTGCACCATGTCCCAATACCTCTCGTTGCTGAAAATGACCTCGCGACTCCGGCCCTCGTATACGAACCCGATCTTCTTGTACGCCTTCCTGGCCCTGTCGTTGTACTCGACGACGTCGAGGCTGACGCTGTGCAGATTGCCGAAGCGGAAGGCCCAGTTCAGCACCCAGTCGATGGCCTCGGGCCCGAACCCGTTGCTCTGGTGCGCAGCGGCCAGGGCGAGGCCGAGCGTGGCGCTGCGGTTGTGGGTCGTGGGATGCACGGGGTTTTGGCCGCCGTAGTCAAGACATATGAATCCAATAGGCACAGGCTTCTTGGACGACAAGCCGTTTCCTTCTGAATCCTCCTGTTGTGCGTCTGCTGATGCTGGCAGACAGATCATGACCGCGAGCAGGCTTGCCTCGAGCGCGCTGGCTATGCCTTTGGTGGAGCTCTTGGTGGGCGGCCGGAGCATTCCACCCCCGCTCATGGCGACATTGACGGGGTCGGCGTTGATGGCCTGGATGATGCCCAGGTCATCCTCATCATCGGCCGAGATGGAGCGGTAGACGAGACGCTGCGAGCGCCAGGCGTGGGCGAGGTCTAACCTCAGCCCTGCCACGTCGCGAGCAGTGTCGTCGACTTGAATCGGCTGCGCGCCCATAGTTAAGGTACGCAAGGGTGGGCGGAAACGTGACTGCAGGATTGATCTCCTCGGCTTTTGTCAGTGGCGTGTTCGCGTACGCGAAGCTTGATTTTGCCCCCCCCCCTGCTCCCTCTCTCTCCATGTGTTTGGATGGGAGCTGTGGAAGTGGTTATACTTACAACGAAAAACAGTACAGTATGTAATTATAACAAATACCAGTCACTTTACAGTTGTATAGGTCGTGACTTCTCGTGTTTTGCTTTCAGCGCATGTCGTTCCAGGAGGTGTGGATTGCCGACACTCCACTTTCTCTGGGGGAGGACACACACAAGTAGGTTAACGGTTGCATGGAGCTGAGCATACCCGCAGGCGTTCAGTGCCATGGTAGTGATGAAGCTCGCCAAGCTAGGTCAAGCGTCGCAAGCCACAGTCACAGTATCAAGTCGTATCCTGGCATATATGCATGAAACTCGAAACAATCACATAATTGGACAGGGCAAGTTAGGCCCGAGTTGTTCCCTCCTCGCTCGGACCAACCACCCTCACATCTTCTAGCCTACCAGCGGGGACCTCTGGGAGCTGGACACGTATGTAAGCAAGCATACAAGAGATGGGTGTGTCAATGTCATACTACAAGCATTTGGTGACGGTATGACGCAAGAGGCAGATCGGAACAACGGCTGTGTGCGCTTGGATATGTCATGGAAGACTACGAGAGGGTTATATTGGAAGATACAAAGAATACCTTTGATGATGAATTCAGGGAATCAGAGGGGTATAATATATACTGAAAACTCTCAAAATTCTCGCTGAAGCATGACACCGTTTTGCCCTTGCTAATATGCTCTCCATAATCTCTAATTGAACTTGTTGGCTGGCAAGATGGCATTCCTCACCACAAGACCAGACCAATCTCCACGCCGTCAAAATCCTTCTTCTCTTTCTTCTTCCATCAGTGAATAGTGCGCATGCCGTGGTGTCTCGCCTGAAAAACTCCGTTCCCTATCTGTTATGTATCACTCTTCTCCACGCTTGTTGTTCATGGATCCCTCTCTTATTCTTTTGCAATTTCTCGTCGCAGAACTTCAAGGCCCAGATACATTTCGAGGATCAAAAACCCCGATGGGCCACTGTCCCAACGGCACATCGGCCATCTCGCCGCCCGCACCCGCTTCGTCCGGTCCTCGCTGCGCGCCACCGCCAAGCGACAGCAGGGCACTCGCGCTGTACCGATCTTGGATCGACGGGACGCCCATCGTGTGTGTCCATTCGTTCCACGAGTTGCCTGCGACGGGGACGCCCATCCAGTGGCCTCCGCCGGCTATGTGGTTAGGCTGGGGCTGGTGCTGGTGCTGGTGCTGGTGCCCGTGAGACGGAGCTGCGGGCTGGGGTTGGCTGCCGTAAGATATCATGTGGTCGTGCTGCATTGTGCTTTGATGCGACGTGCTGTTGGGTGGGCTGTGGGCCATCTGTGCTGCTGCTGCTGCTGCTGCCGCCGCCGCCGCCGCCGCCGCCGAGGTGGCGTAGTGGTACGAGTGGTGGTGGTGCGGGTGGTGGGAGGAATCATCGGCCAAAGGCGTGTATGAGGTGCTGGCACTTGTCGTCGGTGTGCCGAGTTCCGGATAAGCCATGTGTGAATAGTTCGTGTTGATCTGGGTCAGGGGCGAGCTGTAGTACGATGGTGTAGCAGCAGCAGCCTGAGCAGCAGCAGCAGCCGCCGCCTGCATACTGCCCAGGCGTGATGGCATAGCCATCTGTTCTGAGGCGCTGCTGCTCGACATAGGACCCGGTGTTGTCGAGGCTGATCTCGATACATGTTCTCGTCTGGTAGTGATGGGGCTATAGTTGCCATGCTCTGACGATCTAGTATTCTGGGGCTGTTGTGTGTGCGTTGGCACGCTGCTGCTCTGTCCAGAGCCCATTTCTTGCTCGATGCTTGCTATTGTGCGGTCGATGACTGATGTGATCTGGTCCAGAACCTGTGCGTCGGAGGCTCCTGTAGTGAATAAATCATCGAGTAAGTAGTGGTCACCCAGGATGATCATCTCAAGATAAGCACATACCAATATATTTCAGGATCGCCTTCACGACAAAGAGACCCATGTCCATATACTCCTTCAGGTCGTCCAGGTCTGCAGGGGTCGTCTCCGTGCGCCTGTTCCACAACGAGGCCAGCAGGGTGAAGATAGCAGCCACGTACACCGTCATCTGGTACCAGGTAGTGTCCAGAGCCTTGTGCCTGGCCAGCTCGCTGGCCGTACTCAACAGCTTTCTCGAGTAAATCTCGCAGACCTCGTGGTTCTCGGCAACGATTGCAGGGTCGCTCGTGGCGCAGTGAGAAGGGTGGCGGAGGCAGAGCAGAAACTCGTAGCATGCACAGTCGAGATACTTGGCGTGCACGGAGAGCTCTGCCGCGGGCCTGTCTGGCCTCAGCTGGTCGCGCAGATCCCTGTGGAAGGCCCAAAAGTCTTGCTCGACCCGCCGCAGCTCGTGGGCGTATCTGTCGGGGCTCTGCCGCGCAGAATACACACTGTTCCACATGTCCATGAAGAGAAACGACAGCCTGAAGCTGGTGAGGGCGGGGATGCAGTCGCTCTCGCCGATCCTCGCCGGGTCGGTGATGCCGCCTTCATCTGTCAGGCACTCGTCAGGAATGGCAATGGGGAAGCCCACATCGATATCCTCGGCCCGGATGGGCATGGGCTTGCCCAGCCGTCCAAACAGCGAAACTACCACCCCGAAGAGCGACCAAAAGATGCGTTTCCGCATCTCGTTCTCAAAGGTGGTCAGCTCGTGCCCGCCCAGGTACGCCCGGTGCATGTTGGACTCGATCACCCTGTTCCATGCTAGCGAGGCGATGAGATAGGCCGGTCCAGGTTTCGGGAAGCTGCGGCAGTGTGTTGCCATAAGGACGAGGGCTTGTGCTGCCGCCAGCGACATCTCTCCTGCAAGGTCCCACGTCTTGTCGACACTCCAGTGGTAGTGGATGTTGGAGAGGTTGTTTAGCTCGGCCCTCCTATCTGGGTCCTCGCCATTCCGACAGGCAGATTGCCAGTACATAATGGCGAGGACCATGTGGACGATGACGAGCTCCGCCTTTGTTGGCGTGAAGTCTGGATCGTCGTATATTCGAGACAGCTATATATCGGCAGGACAATGAAGAATGAATTTGTTAGACTGCGTCTAGGCCAGATGCTGATTGTGAGAAGTCCCCCTTTGGAGAAAAGGAGCCATGGAAATGTGCGCATACCAACTTCATATACGTAGGTTTGTGGAGCACCGGTACGAAAGGTGCTGTCGTTATAAAAAAGAAGTCGGAGAATCTAAAGGCGTCGTATCGAGAAGGCAGTGGTGCGTCCCTGGACGGGTTGACTTTGGCAATGGAATTGCAAAAGGACTGGAGGGATTTGTTGTATAAAGGCGCCGCATTGGATATACCAGCAGGAGGCCCGTCCATATCAGGGGCGCCGAAGGAGGTGATGTCGATCCTGGTGCCGAGGATGGACAGTTGTGTGCCGTCAATGCTGCTGAGAGGTGCGATGTCCTTTGCAACACCCAGATGCCTACCGATGGGCGCCATCGTGCTTGTGCTCGTGCTTGTGCTCATGCCATGTATTGGTAATGAAAAATGATGGCTCGGACGCGGGCTATTATTCGATGATCGGGCATGATCGTTGGCGTCACTGGTCCACGACGACCCAGACTGTGTCCACAGACTTTTAGAAGCCGACTCCGCCTCCAAGTCAAGAGGTGTCTCTGATACCTGGGTAGAGGAGGGCTGCCATGGTCGGACCTGGACCCCTTTGCCTTCAAGTAGCTTCTCGAGGTCTCGTATATGGGTGAGCATGCTCGTCTTCTCTCGCTCCAGCTGTTGGAGATAGCCACGTCGCTCCGTCCTGCCGGTTACCCTGTCGGTGACATAGCATTCCAGATTCAACTGGGTGCAATTCGTGCATCCGTCCGGGAGCGCATCGCACCGAATCTTGCGAACCTGTATTCGAGTAGCACAAGCAGGTCAGACAATGCCATTTTTATGGGATCGTACAGCATGACTGTAGTAGTAGTCGGGAGGAGGAGAAGGAGGAGGAGGAGGATCAGGACATCCTGCAGTGCCAGAACTGCGTGAGGTTCGTCCTCTCCCTGAAGTGTGTTCCTTTCTTTTTTCCGTCTCGACTTCCTTCGATTTGTCTCTCAATCGCAACCCATCAAATTTGAAGTAGGAAATAAAACGATGCGACGTGTCTGGCTCACACTACACTGGTAGCACTTGAGAGGCGAATTAGGATACCCGCATCCAGGAAGACAACATACACTGCTGGCGACATACCGTTGATAGGGGAGATCTTTAGGATGTACGACGTACCTTGCAGCGGTCACAAGCCTGTCCTGTTCGTGAATAGGAAGATAGCTTGTTCTTGACGACCGAGGAGAAGTCTCCCCTCCCTCTCCCCACCCTAGCGGCCTTTTGTTTTCCGGTTCCAGACGGACTATCCGAAGGCGAAGCCGTGCCATCATCGCCTGGCCGCTTGGGAGGACGTCCAGCAGGCATCCCGTGGTTGCGTCCTAGAGGTGAACCCTGTCGACGTAGGTCGAAATGGCCGTTTGATCCGACTCGATGGTTTCCCCAGATTAAAGGTTTGTTATCCGTGAGACGGATCTTGCCGGCCAAGGACGGCTACTCGCAGGGTTTGAGAGGGTATGGAAATTCGGTGGCGCCGGTGTGAGCTGGTGTATTAATTACTGTTCGTCGTGGTCTTGCGGCTCCTCCCCAATGGCTTCTTAATAATATCTCTATCCTCCACAGGATGAACCAGACGGGAGCGAGCCTTTTTTCCTTGTTATTTCCCCCCCCTTCGGAATGTACCAACAGCCGAGCCCTCTTGCTTATGGGTGAGCACAAAAGTACTGTTGTTTTCCCCCAGGGAGCCTGAGTACTAAGTAGAAACAGAAGAGGGCCGTGGCGCACCACCTACAAGGGCGGTAGGGTTACTTGGTTCGGGCCGATCAGTGGAAATCCGAACCCGGAAAAGGGAGGAGTGCGCCAATAAGTAAATAAGTAAACAAAATGCGAGTCTACAGGTGGATGTACCAGAGGAAGACCCTTTAGTTCGGTTCGGCTGTCTTGTCGTCCCTGATCCTGTCAGGCGGCGGAAGCAAATGTCTGGCGTGGGTGCATAGGTGCGCGTATCTATCGTGAACTGTGTGCGTCTGGTGTGTGTGTGTGTGTGTGTGTGTGTGTGTGTGTGTGTGAACAGAGTCCGCCTGCGTGATTGATGTCCCAGTAATGTAAGGGAAGACCAGGAAAACGAATGACACTGCAACATAAACATTCAATCAGTAGGCTTTGACGGTTAACCGGGTGGAGGGGAAGGGCAGGCTCGTAGATGGGTTAGGTAGTACCAGGCTGGGGACAGAGCGCCCGCTTTGTTTTGCCTGTTGAGCTGCGGTAGGGATATCGGCTTTTCTTTTTATTCATTATTTTTTATTGTTCTTTTCTCTCTCTCTCTCTCTCTCTTACTTTATTTTGATTCCTTCCTCGTACTGTCCTCCTTGTTTCCCACCCCTGAGGCCCCCCACGCTTTCAAGATCGTCCCGAGGATCACCGTTGTGAAAAAGTTGCCTTACCTTGCCAGAAAGAAAGAAAGAAAACAAGGCGTCCCGAGAAATCGGTTTGCATGATGGCCCCTGTTTCTGGGTTTATTTTCAGGGTGGGTGGCATTTGCACTCCTGATACAGGACCTCTCTGCGCGAAAAGTTAGCCCCAATGTCCATGAACTGCATGCCCAGAATGGATTGCTCTTCTGCACAAAAGGGCCGTGCCAGAAGGGAGTGGGGGGAGAGAGATCTTCCCTGATTGCATTCGCAGGCTGGGTCCCGCGTGGCACGGAGGCTATTGCTACACTGTGCTGCAACTACTGCGGCCCGCTGCCCTCTAGTACAACAAAATGGATACTTGGGGACCCGCCTCGGCCTGGGGTTCTCGCATGGAACCTCCACGCTGGATGTTGTTCTGGATCGATCCATGTAAGACCATCGGAGGGGCCCCATCTGGCATCGTTACAGTCGACGGGAGGTTTGATAGCCCATACCATGGTGCATCTGCTCACCCCCACTGATACGACACAAGTGCCGCGAGCTAAAAATGTCAAGAGGCCGGGCTGTCGAGGGTGGTGTGCAGTCGATGTCTGGCGGCAAGCTTAATTTGTCAAGTGGCTCGCTACATAGTATTCACTGCCTGTGGTCCGTACGTTTTGTGAGCGGGGCCCTGGCTGCCTTGGACTCGACAAGGACCTCGACCTGGTTGGTGCTAGGGACCCTGGCAACGAATGAGCTGAAAAGACAGACAGACACGACATAGAGAGGGGGAGGGAGAGAGAGAGACACGACGACTGCGTGGCGTGTCCTTCCGGGAATTTAGCAATAGTACAGTACATACGAGGGCGATATGTGCCGTGTGGCGGCAATTCAGAAGACTATCTCAGCAGGGTCCCAATCTCCTGGAGATGAACCGCACGTGGGATCTGGGGAATTAGACAGGCGGTCAGGGGGGGCCTTCGAGGGCTGGCACTGAGAGCGCCCTAACAAAATTGGGCGTGGGCGTGCCCAATTCTAATATTCAGTGGGTACTATCGTCTGCCCCAAAAGCCGGCTCATTTCCATTTGAAGACTGACCTGGCTGCCTGGGAAGAAACATGCCTGGGTAAAGTGGATGGAAATCATGTGGCTACTATTAACGACTGCAGATCCCACATTACCGTGTACATGCTTATATCCAGCGACGGCTGATAGTTGCGCTGCCTCGTGTGATGAGACGGATGTCGCTCTCTGTAGAGTGACAATGCCCACTTATTCGGATCTAAGGTAGACCAACAAGGTTGAGATAGGCGGAAAGTGCCAAGGGTTCGTCTAGTAAATACGGTGTCGGGGTGTTTACTGTACTACCATAGTATGTACAAGAGCGTGCACTGCTGCAAAGCACAGATACCATGCTATTAAGATGCTAATTAAGACTGGATATGTCTTGACCGCTCTGGAGAAGGAACAAGACCACTCGTTCGGAGCTCTGGCATCCCGTCCAAGTCACCAAAAAGTCATGTCATCTCGGGGAGAACCAAGATGTGAACCCGAACAGTCTAGGACAGCCAACAGCACAACCAATTGTAGACATCGACCTGAAATTCATGGTTGATCCTAGCGAATGTCCATTATATTGACTTCGTGTCTCGACGTACGACTTCAGCTTGGGCTCTGTCCATGCTTATTGTGGCTGTTCCCGCTATTCTCATTCACAGGCTGATTTCAGCTCATCTCGATCGTTCAGCCTGACCCTTTCCCTCCCAAGGCTACTTGCGCAGGCCTGACCCTCGCCACCGGCAAGCAATCCGATGTTGCTAGTCATCGATGCCAATAAGTTCCGCGTGTGTGACTTTGCAGCAAGAAATTCCCCGAGTTCCTGGACATGCTCCCTGCCTCCCGCTCGACATTTGGCGTCATGTGACTGAAGACCAAAAGTTCTGCCGTTGCACGGGAAGGCTTGACGGCAACTGCCCCTAGTGGAAGATGGAAATGCGGCTGACTATTAAATTCACTCGCTAGTAATTATATTGAGCATAACCATGGGAGCAAGGCACGGCCTCTCGTACTCAGCTGATGGTAAAACTTTCTTGTGATTCCATTGGTCTGGTATGACTTTGATACCATGAATCTCAAGCGCAGTCAGAGGTAGATTACTGTTATTGTTTTCACCCTGTTGACTTTGATATTCATGTCGGTCTTCTTCGCCGCTGGACGGTTTGAGAAAGCAACGGAAAAGGTGCACAAAATGTTTAAGCTGTGTGATTAGCTTCTAGTGGGTAAGAAAAGAAGGTGACCATGAATTATTAAACAGGACGTAACCTTCACTCCTAAGAAAGATGCTATCAACTTCCAGGTACCACTACACACTCGAGCAGGAGGCCTATGACGGTACTATAGTACATCCATGGATGCTCACAACACAAGATGTAGACAATTTACTGTGTGTTCATGCCTGCCCCCCAACAACATTCGGAAAACACCGCTGTACAAGCTAGCAGCGAGGTGGACCTCTGGGTCCATGACAAGCGGGTCTGAGCAAGTGTTGCTCAAAGGTCTCGACCAGACCCTCCAGGGGCACACGCACAGTATCCGATAAGCAACCTCGTGGAGCACTGGAATGATAGGCGCAGTCCTCATTGCGTCGTGCTTCCTTCTGCGCAGATCTTCTGCACAGACAATTACCTTGTCCGCCGCTTCATTGTGACGCATCATCGGAGGTTTCTTGACGGTGGGTTGATGGCAGCATGCAGGTTGGAAATGCAGCAACTGCATATGAAGATTGGCACACACGAGTAAGGATCTGAAAGCCCATCTTGAGAGGCAGTGGACGCACGCATCGTGGGAATCGATTCTTTTCTTTTACGTCTCCACGCGGTGAGTTATATTGCGGGGCGATAAGGGCTCTACTGGGAACGTGCAGCGAGCAGCCGGAAATTCCGGAGCGCGCATCAGGCTTCGCAGCACGGTGTTTGGACAAGTAGGTAGTCAAATCCCGATCGCAATTCGCTATGACAAATTCTTCAACCTCTGTGCTCTAGCATCGCGCTCGAGGGGCAGCGCCTTGGAAACGGCAAGAGACACATCCAGAGTGAAGAGAGTTACTATGGGTAGATGGGCTCTTATGGAGGTCTCTAGCTGAATCCAACCAAGTTTTACGCCAGTGCTGTACTACGTAGAACAGGGTACCTTTGTCTACATAGAAAAGGCCTAGCTAATGATCATTTCTATATGCGGTAGCAAGTTGCGAGGTGTCCTTAGAGTAGCACAGCAAAGCCTGCTTGTATCTTGAGGAGAGGGCAACTGCGCTAGTCGAGAATAGGCTGAGATGCCCTGCCAGCCTGCGTGCTGAATCCCAGCAACATAGCCTTGCGCCACAAATTCCGAGGACAACATACTATGTACATATATGCGAGATCTCCTTGGTAATATGCAAGTATCAGGGGCCCTGGCATCCTTTGTCGACCACCTGATGAGTCCTGTGATCAATATGTACCCTGCAGACGCTTTGTCCCGCCCATGAACACTATTCAAGGGATAGTGGGTTACTTGCAGATATTCCCTATGATTCAGGTCGGAGAATTGTCATTGCATGGTCGAAGGAAGAGAGTCCCCATCCTGGAACCTCGGGAGGACTCCGCCTTCTCCCACACTGTGTAGTGGATCCTTTTTGGTGGATTTCTCAACCATGACTGTGACACCGAGCTGCTATTCCGAGCCGAGGCAAATGAATTCGTTTGGATCGCCCCTCGCAAAAGCTAATTAGAGGCAGTTTCTGGTCACTTGCCTATTTGTTCGCAAGAGCTCTCATTACAAGGCTCGGTATTTGCGTCTTCTAGGGTGGATTCTGTATCTCTGTTAAATTCGCTGGCAGCAAGTCCGGACTTCATGATCAATATTTGCCAAAGTCTTGAACATGGTAGATATCCAGAGAATCTATCAAAAAAACAGGCCGAGTAAATACAAGTATGCAAAGTGTGAGCCCCCACTCTGGGTGCCCTGGTAGCTACTGGGTACTTGAGTAAGTGTGTGTTTAGAGTTCGTGATATGTGTCTCATCACTTCTCTTGCCAGCCCGCCCACCATCATGTAGAAGACACAAAAGTCGCCCAAAGATCGGAGCCCTGGGCAATTGAAACTTTGATGCATCACATAGTGGATGCATTGACAAATACGCTCGCCGATGGTTTGGATCGTCTGGATCATCTGATTGGACAATGAACAGTGGGCAACAGACTTTCTAAATGGCGTCAAGGAAATTTACTCATGATACGAAGTAAGCATTCGGCTATGTAGCATCTAAAATAAGTGCCACTGAGCAAGAAAGGGACTGGTTCTACGCCAGGATTAGTATTATATGCCTGAGAAGTGTTGATGTTCCTGGATGGTCCGTTACATATGTACTTTACTACACAATGAGTAAGGGGGAGCACTTTGTAAGCGCTGCTGAAACACAATGAGAGCGAGGCTATGGAAGCACCGCTGAAGCACCACTGACTGGACTGACTAGCGACGAGACACATGTAGACAGAAGATCCTGAAGTATTAAAGTCAGTTGCTTTAGTTGAGTACACCTTTTCCTCCATACTGTGACCACTCTACATAGTTTAATCATATGGTTCAAAAGCAGAGCTAGGTTAAAGTATCTTGGCAGGACGCAATGGTGCCTGTGGTAGCGCCCGGTGGGCAGGGGTGCGCCCCCAGGTGCCAAGTGCCAAATACCAAGAGCCAGCTGGTTACCCCTCTGCCAGGTGCCGTGCCCCTCCATGGAACGCATCCCCCCGCCAGCAGCGTCAGGCCTGGGCCTTGTATAACTTTTGCCTCTCCAAAGACCACAACACCACAACCCACGGCACCGCCCCTTTTGAAAAGGAGGGAGCATATCCCCAAGACCACCTTGCTATGGCACTCCTCGAGGCCGTCTCCCTGGAACACGTGCCAGCCTCGCACAGCGTTCACGTCGCCCTCTTCAGGAACGTATCCAACGCGGGGTTCCTGCAGTCGCAGCTCCTCGCCCGCAATCCCGACTTCGAGTACGCCTTCATCGACGCCACGACCATCGTCTCCCGCTTCCATGTCCTGTCCGCAACGTACAAGGCTCTCTCCGTCCTTCTCGACGGGAAGCTACGGTCTCCCAATGTTCATGCAGAGACGGTCATCGCGCTGAGTGTCAGCAACAACGTAAGTCCCAAACTCTCTCGACACACCCAGCTTTGCATAATGTTGCGCAGTGCTCTTCTAACGACAGTCTCGCCCCCTTAGATCTCAGAAGCCTATCGTCGCTACGGCATCTCACCCGAAGTTCAAGATATGATCGTTGTCAAGGTTCTCTTTCCTACCGACGAGCGACCTCACCCGCCCACCGCCGAACAGGTCTGGCAGCACCTTTCCGAGTCCGTGCAAGGAACAGCAGTCCCCTTCACCGACGAGGAAATCTCCAAGACGACGGACTGGCTCAAGGTCAACAAATACTACAAGCTCAACGGTGCGCCGTCTCTGAACGCTATCAAGGATCAAACCCGCAAGCTCAAAGAGTCCGAGATGCTCATCGTCAGCGCTATGGCCTTGCGCGGAGTCTGAACAGCCCCAAGTCTTGGATTCACACATTCCCAGTTCCTCCAACCGCCAATGTCTCATCCCTCGCCGGGAATTATCGAATCAGGGATTCTCCTATCAATACCGTGATTTGATCTCGTCGAGCAGAGCATACTACACGGTGTTAACGCGGAGAATGCAGCTACCTGACGATCTTCCCAACAGAGCACTTCTGTGCTTCATCAGATGTGTGTCAGTCGGCTCTGCGCAAATAGCGACAAGAACGCGTCGGATCGCTTGCTTAGGCCTAGGCATTGCTGCGGCCTTTTGCGATCCATGCCATCGCGTCTCCCGCCCATGGCTCCGCAATTGATACCAATACCATTGTTCTTGCGCTGCTGGATGAAGAAATCTGGAATAGCAGATGCTCATTGAAGGTGGAGGCTCTGTAGGCCAAAGTATGCCACGGGGACGCTCCGCGAGCAAAGTGACGGCTCAGCTCGCTTCTCAGTCCTTGGACGGGGCATCCCCCGAGCCATCCGGCGTTCATGTGTATGGCAAAGTTCAAAGGGCCTGGGCGACCGCATGATTTAGTCAAGCAAAGTGGCGGAGTAGTATTGTCGTGGCTGGCATCATCCATACTCGTTGCAGACCCTCATGAACGGTCTCCTCACGGAGGACAGAAGCGGCATAAGCCAACGAAGTCCAAGATACAATTACAGTCATGTGTATAAAGAGAAATGTCATACATAAATTCTACGTTGGTGTCATTATAGAGTATCATTCTTTCTACCAATTTCTGATGGTACTGTCATGTCTCACGAAGTTCGGGGCTTAGGATCAATCTGAACCTCAATCAAAAAAAAAAAAAAAGAGAAATAACGCTAAACACCGGTTCCCCCATTTACCCAATGATCAAGTCAAGCCCTTACGCCGTCACCCCCAATGCTGTCTTCACCCGCCTCCAAACCTCCGCCTTCATCGCATCCCGTCCACTCTGGGTCCTCCCTACCGCATCGCGATTTTCCTGCGCTCTGCGAAGGAGGTACTTCATACATTCGCCTGTGGATCCCCAGACGAGGTACTTGTACGCCCTTGGCTTGAATACCTCCTTCGCATGCTCGGCGGTGACTGCCCCGTCCTTGGAGGCAAGGATTTCACAGCTCACCTCGTCTGCCATCCCCTGTAGCTGTGCAAATGCGACTTCCGTCTCCGTCGGCCCCTCTTCCAGCACGCTGCGGGCCTTACGGACAGTGTCGGCATTGTGCGAGGCGAGGACCATGTTGACTGCCGGGAACTTCTCACCGCCCTTCTGAGCGAATTGCGCCAGGGGGCCAGCCCACTGGCGCCTGAGCAGCGCCTCCGCGATGCCGTTGTAGCACGCGTCAGTGTCGGCCTTGGTATCGTGGATGAGGTGTCGTGGGTCTGAACCTAGGTATGCACCACGCACGAGCTTCACGCCCAGGGTAAAGCCCTCTTGCTGTGCGGCGTGCAGGTGAGAGGCAAGGACTGAGGGCGTGGCCTTCAGATAGGCCTGGTAGGTGCCGTAGATCACTGCCTTGGCCGGACCGGACGATGACGAGGAGGGCTTGTTGTACTTGCGCATGTGCTCGAGCGTCCAGTCATCAATCCCGTGCTGAACTGCCTGCTGCTCCGCATCGAACAGGAGACGCACCCCACGTGAGACGGCGAGCATGCAGATCTCATCAATGGCATCTGCGAGGGCCTTTGGTGGTGGAAGGCGCTCGGAAAGGGTCCAGAGAGCCTGTCGGCCGGCGCCAGTGAACCTGTTTTTAGGAATCGTCAGCTTGTTTGCCCTTCAGGTTGCCTCTAAATATTCCCACTCCAAAAAACTTACTTCAGTGCAACAAAATCACCCTCATCCGCGAGCCTGACCGTCTCCAACGTGCCCTGGGCCCAATGTGTAAGCTCTCTCTTTACATGCTCCTCCAGCTCCTTGCTTTCGGCCCCACAGTTTGACAGCTCTCTAGTCTCCGCATCCGTGAGCACCACCTCCTTCGCATATCCCAGGATCACGCCTGAGAAACCCAGTCCCTTCAGTCGAGCGACAGTGCTGCGTACCTCGGCAGCGTTCTCTCCCGCACAGAATTGGGCGTAGAAAGTAGATTTGATGAGGAGCTTCAGCAGAGGGTTGCGGTCCGGGTTCAGCAGTCCATTGTTGGTATGCGCCAGTACATTCATAATTGCCAATGAGGGTGATAAGAGGAACGGTGATGAAGAGATGGTTGTCACAGCCAGAGAGCGAAGAATTGTCTGGAGGGGGAGGATAGATAGTGGTGCTTTGGCCCTCATGCCGTGGGACAGTGACGGTGAAATTGACTCGACGGTGGTATGCTGAAGAGGAAGAGTGGTATTTTCGGTGTGGTTGAGCGTCACTCCAGCCTGTCTCGTGGTCGTAGAAGAGTGTAGGGCACGAGATGTCGGTGTTGGTGCTGGCGGTGCCTGTGAGGATGTTGTGGAGGCCATGCAGTTAAACTGGGGTTGGCGGAGAGGTCGATATTTGAGATATGAAGCTGGGATTGTGCTGGTAGGTGCAGGCGTGCTTCCACGAGTCGAGACGGAAGGCACAAGAGGAACCGCCCTCCCCCTCGGGGTGGCAGTCAAGAGCGGCCGCATTGAAGCCATCGTGTGTGAGGGGTAAGGTGTAAGTGACGGATAAGGAAAACAAGAAGCAGGCAGCAGACGATGATACAGGTTCACACAAACTTTACCAACCGGAATGATCGGAAAGACCCAAGTTGCAAGGCGAGTATGAATATTGAATTACCGAAACAAGAGAGGTAGATATAATTGTCTTTGGCCAACCTCGTGAAGTCGGAGGCCAACCAACTTACTTGTACCTAGACGAAATCTAGGCCAGGGGAAAGAGGAGATCCCCCTTGGGCCTTTGACTGATGGAGCCATGTTCTTTATCTCCGGTAATCGCAACGACAGTACGACGCCTGGCGGTGACCGTGTCGATGATGACAAGCGGGCGGGACACTGGTCTGTTGTCTCGTGGCGGGACCTTTTTGGCCGATGTCGACCGTAGCAGTCATCCCTGCCGTTGCAGGATCTCCGACTAGCTATCTCCTCGCCTGCGGCCAAGAGCCTGCAGGATGCTGTGCTCAATTCACGGCCACTGTTGAAGTTACAGCAAGGCCGATCCCCTAGTGTCCTTATCGCGGGTGCACGTGTTGCTCCTCAGAATGCCGTGGCTAGCCGTTGGTCGACCAGCGCTTCGAGGTACATAATAAAACCATTGACAAATGAAACTGTTTCCATTTTGTCATTGTTTAAGCAGAAGCCCCGCCAGACTCTATTCGCCAAACACAGCGACATGATAGTCTCGTGACACGGCACAGTACGGAGCTGCCTTTGGGGAATAGCCTTCAGTACTGTGGTAGGTCGAGGCCGTGGATGATGCGAGATAGCGTTGCATGAAATGTGGGAAGGGGAACCCCAAAGTCGTCGGGGTCCCTAATCGAGGCGTGCCTGCAATGTGTGTGGTCGGTTTAGGTCGCTGGATGCGAGCATCTTAGCTTGGCCGTGCTTGCTTGGCCCGTTCGGTTGGCGTGCAGTTCGGCTCTTTGTGGATCCCGTTGGAGCTACTCATAGCATACATCCGATGTGCGGGGGCTGGCTTGACCTCGCTAGTCTGGCGGCCTGTCGACCTTTCGCCAGGGGGTGGTAGAACCAGAGCATGGCCAATAGCCCAGATCTGCTTTGTGTGTTCCACCACGTCCTTGAGTGAACCTTAGCGTAACAAAGATCCAGTGGGGAAACGGCTCAAGGAGGCTTAAGGATGGCAGGAGGCGCCTGGATGCTGCCATGTCTCCCGAAGCCGCTGCTTGGATCGAACAATAAGTCCAGCCCACGACGTAGACAGGACAAGAAATCAAGTCCGACAATCGGGCAGTGGCTCTTCTCGCATACAACCGTGCATGATGGCCGCGAAAACATCCCCTAAAGATGGTTTTTCCCAGTTCAGCAGAAGACAGGGGCGGTGCTGCGTCGGGTCTAGACAACCAGTGCCCAGGACCTCAAGGGGCTGTCGTCTCTTTCCCCTCAGCAACAGATCCGAAGCGTCTTCGAAACCAGTCAATGTAGCCTATGTGTCGACCTCGAGCTGCCCCCATAACATCCTGCATGCCACCGTAGACGAGGCCAACGACGAGTGCGGTCTTTGTCGTTCGAGCGGTCATGGCGAGGCTGAACCTATCTATACACATTCACACGATGGATCGTCAGCAGAGGCTCCCGACACGGCCCTCCAGTAATGACATGGGAGACAAGAGGCATGAACTCCAGAGTAGACATACTCCAAACACTGAAGCCACCAGCAACGGTCAAGGACGCCAGGACAGTGTTGACAAAGTCATTAGACTGGCGATAGTTGTCGTAGAGGTTCTCGATGGAGAACATGGCGGTGGTCCAGAAGGAGACCTTGGCACCCATTCGGACAGCCTCTCTCACGCTTGCCCTGGCCATGTTGTAGTTCTTGCTCTTGTGATACATGAACCACCCGGTGGGCGTGGTAGGCAGCTTATGGGCATGCTCTGCACGGAACTGAAGACCGGCCATTCTGCTGCCCTGTGAGAATCCCAGCGCAGCACCCACGCCGAATGAGCTCACGGCGGCGAGGATGACCCTGGTAGGAGCCATCAGGTGCAGGCGGGAGTTCTCAAGAGCGAGTCTCGCTTGTTCCTCCCGTGAGATCGGTGGTGGTTTCGGCCGGCTAAGGAGGGCCTGCCACTCCTCTTCGGTTTTGGGCGGTCGACTGAACATCTCGATAGTCACGTCGAGAGATCCAAGGGTTATCGAGGGGGTCGAGGCTCAGTGATACCGAGTCGGCGTAGTGTCTGGTAGGGAAGGAGTGGCGCAGTGTTGTCTCTTGTTATTGGGCCCTGGAGGATACCCAAAGTTGTTTGATGGGGTTTCTGAAGCTGGATTTTCCTACTTAGAGCATCCATGCTCGTACTGCCTGCCAGAGTAGGCAAGTAGCTAAGCTTCGGCAGAACAGGGGCCACCTGCTAAGCTGCAGACCCTGACGTAACCCTAGGCGGTACCTTTCAGGTATCTAGAAGCTGTGAACCTACTGTTGTGGTACCATGGTACGTTCGGTGGTCGCACATTCTGAAGCTCCTTGGACCTTTTGTCGACTTCTCTCAACTTCTCAACCCCCGAACTTGCTGGACGTCAACATTGTCAGCATCCTCACCTCAGTCCATATTTTCCGCTATCTCTACATATTTTCCACCAACGGACCAGGTGTATCCCGACTTCAAGTTTTAACGGTTTGAGGCTTGCACAACCTTTTCAGCTGTCAAGATGACGATGGTCAGTAGTTGCCGCGACGCGTTTCCACATCACTTTACGCGTTCTACGATTGGAGGCCCAGGGCACTCACGTCGCAAACCTTCTCGACGATGCTAACCTTTCTTGAAGCCGCCCTGGGAGGCTGTACATCAGGATCCACCCGACATGCCAATCTGTCTTTGCATGCGATATGGCATACATACCTTCTCCCTCCTCGTCAGCCCCCTTTCCACCTTCTCCGACATAACCGCCGAGCTGATCTTCGCCATCCGTGACCGAGATCGCAATGGAGATCCCAATAATCAAGGCCTGTCCGCCCGCTCTGGCGCGCCTCCCAAGCCCTTGCCGTCGTCGGACCAGGACGTACGCATCTCGTACGGTGTGCTACGGGACCCAAATGACAGTGAGAAAGGATGGACGGATCTGAAGATCCAGGGCGATGAGACCCCTGTCAAGAAGGGACTAAAGAATTCATCACTCGTGGCCTTCGTCATTCGAGATCCCAATGATCTCGACAAGCCACCTGAGTTTGTGGTTCAATGGCCTCAGCTCTCACCGGATGATGATGAGGATGAGGAGGAGGCCGCTGCGGAAGGGATGGCCACTGGAAAGGGGAAGCCAGAGGCAGGGGATGAGGGCGACGACGTGGATATCTAGGAACATTCACCTGTCACCGATACTGGATCCAGGCCTGACCTCAAAGCTGGTTTCGATCCTAACCCCAAACCGCGCCTGAAACCCGAATCCAGGACTAACCCCAAGAAGCGCCGCTTTGAGGAAGACAACCCATTTCCATTCTCACAGTGCAAGAACAGGTAGAGATACTGGCACACGTGCCACATGTCTGCCCTCGCTTTATGTTCTGAGACGAAGAGGTGGATGATCTAAGAGAATGTGCGTGATTATGATGTTTGAAAAATGGAGACATAGACGGCGGACAAGTATGCTCTTAGGGGTAGTCAGTCTGGTAATTCCTCCCTCCATGGCTTGAGTCGTGCCTCGAAAGCTAATCGAGACTAGACCCTTCACCATGAAATCTCTCGCATGCTGTTGCTCCCGACCTGACGCATGAAGGCTATCTTCTGTCGCCCAAGTAATGGGCCCGGTCATTCTGTACTTGCCCTCGAGGTCTTGGCGAGGCACGATAGAACATATCTTACCGTCATGTATTTTCTTCACAAGGCGTTGTCCATCGCAGAGTTCGTTATAGCTGAAGGACTTTTCAGAAAAAGATTACGAATTGCAAGTCATCATTTTCAAGCCTGGCATCATATCGTCAGCACCATTGCAAGTGTGAATTTGGAGAATAAATGTTTAGTCAACTCTTTATACTTGTTTCTTGAACTCTGCCATCGTTCCTCGTCCACGCGGCCAGAGTTCTGCATAGTACCTCCGCCTGCAGAATAGGCCCTTTAAGGTACATGATTATCGCGTCTAATAAAGAATAATGCGTGGAAATGGACATGGCTAGGCACATCGATCCGTTCTCTGTCGTCAGAAGGCTATCGAGCCTGAAAGCTGATATTTGTGACAGGCATGACTAATCTACCGAATGAGAGCTTCGATGGACAAAGGATATAATCCATCCGTGAGGACGGTGACCAACAGACTGCTACCTGCTTTCACGACGTCCTCAGGAAGGCTGCTTGCAGATTTGTGCAACGCTAGTGTGAATGAGTGTGATACAGTATATTTTGCTTGCTATCTCTCTGTCCTCCATTAAGAACTTCTTGATTGACAGCTCCTGTCCGGTGCCTACACAATATCCTCCGAGACGCTCAGTGCTCCACAAACCGGTCATCAGCCTCAGCGTTGATGTCGTACGTGGCGAACTTGCGAGAGGGAATATTGCGCTGAAACATGATGTCCATCTCTTCAAAAGTGCGGTCCTTGGTCTCTGGCAGACGGAACCAGCCCCATATCGTCGTCAACAAGTATAGACTACCCCAGAAGTAGGCCTGCAAACAGATGGTATTGTCAGCAAACGGGCCTAACAAGCAATGCAACAGAGAGGCCAGGCAGGCCTTTGAGGGCTGCTACTCACAGTTTTTCCCTTGGCATTCCACGCGGTGGGCGACATGAAGTACGGCTCCATGATGCCACCGATGAGGTTGGCAAAGTAATACATGGTACGTCCAAGCACGACAGTCTGCGTTCTGAGACGAGTCGAGCCGATCTCCGCGACAATAGTGTACACGATAGGGCCGACACTCATCGAGTAGGAGCCGAGCCAAACAATGCACATAACCGACTCAGCGATTCCGAGGCCGCTGGTCTGCGGTGTCACCGAGGCCATGATGCCAATGGCGAACAAGCACGCGACGAGGGCGTACGAGCCTGCGAGCCAGATGGTCCTGCGGCCCCATCTTGAGATGTATAGCCACGAGATGATGACGCCGATGAACGCGATGGCGGTGCCGACGAGACCGAGATCATAGGAGAGATCGGTGCTCAGGCCGGCTTGCTCGTAGACTGAGAGCGGTATTAGCAGACTGAGCTGAACAAACACGAGGGGCGCCAAAGTCAGGCCAATCAGGCCACTCACAGAAGGTTCCGGAATAAGCCAGCGCACCACCATCGGTGACCTGACTCACAAAGCACATGATGGCGATCTCTGTCCGGCGACGGTTTGTTCCCCTGAAGCAGTCCACGAAGGACACACCGGCCCGCTCCTCCTTCTCGATCTTGTCTGTGTGCACCATGAGGGCAATGGTGGAGTCGTAGTCGACGTTGTCCTCCGGCTGGGATAGGCGCTTCAGGGACTTCTTGGCCGACTCTAGCTTCCCTTGCCGGACCAGGTACCAAGGCGACTCGGGCGCAAACAGGGCAGCAATAAAGAGCGGTACAGGCCAGACCCACTGGACGGCGAAGGGGATCTTGTAGGACCACTGTGTCGTGTTGGCCTCGAGGCCCTTGAGGACACCGGAAGCGATGAACTGGCCGATGCACCAGCACAAGTTGATGTAGGCGGTGAGGTAACCACGAAGAGCAAGTGGTGCGACCTCAGCAGCATAGGCAGGTCCTGTCGTCGCGAACACGCCCCACGGAATGTTGCAGAGGAACTCACCCACGAGCAGGACTTGGATGTTCGGAGCGAAGAAGCACATAAAGATGGCGGCTGAGAGCCACACGAGACTGGCCATGAGGACTATGCGGTGTCCATACTTGGCTGTCAGGTAGCCGTTTGCCATGGCACCAATCATGTTGCCGACGGCGCCGATGTCGTTGATTCCCGTCTGCCACTGAGAGCTCACTTGGTAGCCGTTTTCTGGACCGTCGTATGTGCCGAATTTGTTACGGAAGGCCGTGTAGCCCCAGAAGTTTCCTAGCAGCTGGGTGTCGTAGCCCTCCATGATGACGGTGGTGGAGATCACTACGATGTTTTGTGAGCAAATCAGGAGACAGTGAAAAAGTAACTTCTGTTAAGGCATCAAGATGCTGAGGGGGGCAGGGGGATTTTGCTACTCACAGACAGACCAGAAAGCGGCCTTCTTGTACGTTCTCAGAGCTTGCCACAGGGTCAAGCTGTGCTCGTTCGCCGTGGCCTGCGCCGCCTCATGATTGATGAACTTGGAATTCGAGAAATCGGTGTCGGGCCCCTTCTCGTCGAGGTGCTGAGGGCCCGACTCCTTGCTTTGGGTAATATCCATGCTGGCTGCCTCTCGAGAATTATTTCAGACAGGTATTCACAGCTGCCCAGACGAGGAATCCGTGATTATGGCTCGTGGGGCCAAGCGGTGTGTCGTCGGGCGAGGATTGGTCTTTTTCAAGAGGACAAGAGAGAAAGAAAAAAACAACAAGGGATCCGTCCCGGCGAATGTCACGGTAGCAATCGCGTCTACACCCAGCATGCCGGGTCTCGCGAACCTCTTATTTAGAATCCAGCCATCGCCTCCTCCTCCTCCTCCTCCTCCCTCCTCCTCACCTCTGGGGCTGCAGCCCTGCAGATGCGAGGGGAACGGCCGAGACCATCCTTCAACCAGATCGCGTGACAGGAGCGACGGCCCGACTACGCCGCAAGAGCGTGCATACAAAATAAGAGAGCCTGCAGAGCTCTCATGATGTGGCCCCAATATTTGTCGAGGGTCCAGGTGAGCCCCAACGTGCATTGGGACAAGCCGTTGCGTGGGCCATTGGTGGAAGTTCTTGGAGGCGGCCCAAAACCCTTGTCTTCAGGTCATCACCCTTTCGTGGGGAAGATAGCGTGAGGACGGGGAATTGCACCCACTCCTGAGTTGGAGAATCCGGGGTAGCTTGTAGGATTCATGCAGCTTGCTTCGCGCTATGGTACGAACTCCGTCCATAGTACGAGGGGAGCACCCAGGCTCGGCCGATCTCGTGCAGGGGGAGACAGGCCGAGAGCCGTGTATTTATCGATCTTGTGCAGGTCATGGACAAGCTGTAAGATGTTCGAGACTGATCTATCAACTGACAGTTTTCTGGAAGCAAGACCAGCTTCGAGTCAGCTATGTGTAAAATAAAATAAAATGTCTGGGGCAAGATTGGACGAGAGAAACAATCTTTCTCACTCTGCTTTATCCTAATTATTCATTGCCTGCTGACTTTAGCAAAGAACGAGATGACGATATCCCGAGACGGTCCAGCCGTACTCTTTCATAAGAGCCTTCCTAGATTCCAATTCTCAATGCTTCACACTTCATCAATTATATTGAACATGTTCTCGGCGATATCGCATTGCAATTCACAGGAAGCAGACACTGGAAGCCCAAAATCCCATGTTGGGGCTGCTGGGGGAGGGGGGGGGGCGGTTCTCAAAGCGCGTGATGCAGGCCCAGTCTAAGGGTAATGCTTGTGAATTGAGACATTGAGTCCTAGTGTATAGTGTATAGAGAGTCTTCTGTGTTGAAAAAATTCCAAGATTTGCGTGTTGAACAAAGATGAACACCTACTATGCTTCTTGTCGAGACTCCTGCTCTTCTTCGTTCATCCTGTCGCTGTCGGACCGTGGACGTGGATGTGGACCCTAAACCTTTTCCCTTTTACCCTTTCTTCGCTAGGCTTTTCGACTGAGGAATAGTTGAAATAGCACTAGAGTCTCACCGAAAGAACAAAAAGAATAGTATGGAGACCTTTCTCAGGCTTAGGGTGGTCTAAGTTCATAAGGTTACGAGCATGATAACGTCTCGGGTTAGCGGCAATACAATGCCAAGGATGCAGTAAAGTACTTAAATTAACAAGCTTTTTGGCAACTAAACGTTCAAACCATGCTTCTAAATTCTAAATACTTGACAAATACCCAATGTCGTAACTCGTGCTCCCAGGTTTCTTCTGACCTTCGCAGCACCGAGAACGCCAATCGATCCACTCTATTCCGATGCGCGCTAATCAAAAAAATAAAGAAAGGAAAAGATGGAAATCTCCAAGTCTATCATTTAAGCGTCTTTTATAGTGTTTCGAGCCTTATTTCCTCAGTGACTCAGAAGTACTGGATCCAGACCACGCTTCTGGGGCGACCGGGCGCCTTTGCGACATGGCATGCTCCTGGCTTTCGCTGACATATGTCTGTTCCTTGCGCGATTCACGGAAAGCAATAAAGCAGATCAGGAAGGCATAAGAGGAGAGCATGCTGTTGTTCGAGAGTCAGCTCAAGCTTTGATAGGGGGCATTTCTATACACCCCGTGAGGATTATTTGGAACAGAGACCTACCTCATCACGATGGAGATCGAAACCACGACCCAGCTGAGAGTGCAACCAGTACCGATACAGCGAGCCACATTGGCCTGAATGAGCAGGAAGACGACTGCCCCCCAGAAGACAATTTCCAGGCCGTTGATGATCGCATACGCCTTGAGGCTCTTCCACCTTCGGAACTGCGCAACATGTTCGGTCACAACTTGGTAGCCTATGAAGGCGATGGATTTGGCAGACTGTTTTTGTCCTCACAAGTCAGCATGGATGATCCATGTCTTTCCTTCTTTCCTGCAAGAACTCTGTGTCGGGAGGGCAGGGAAACTCACAAATGAGAGAGCGATGGTGTTGGCTCTTGTCCTCGTCAGGCCTGGGAGCGTGAGTCGGGCCCCGCTGATGGCTATCACCGCCACGATGAGAAAGAGCTCCACACAGTGGAGGGGAAGCTTGTAACGGTAGTCGAACATGGCCAGCATTTTTTCTGCTTTTGATGTTTTTCCTTCTTTTTGAGTTGTTTTGTATTCGTTGTTTGGAATTTGGATGTGCCTCCGAAACTGATGTCGAGGAATGCCTTCCAAAGTTGACAGAAATGAGGTACGTGCTTCCGATTGCGCTGGTGGCTGCTTTTCAATGCTCGAAATCTGCAGAGAGACAATAAGAGGAAGAATGATAATTTTCAGATGAGGATCTTGGAGATTGGTATCTTGAGACTCCTTTCTCTTTCTTTTCCTTCCATGTATTATGTGGAAATGTCCAGGTTCTTATTCACTTCCACATCGTCTACCAGAAGCACTTTTGCACTATAGTCAACCAATGAGAGAGGCCCATTCTGAAGAGGCTCAGCCTTCTTAGGGGTGTTCGGGAACATGTACGAATACGCGAGCGACCGCTAGACCATTTGCATGCGTTGGACGGTCCAGCCGTGCCAAGTCCAGTGCCAAGCTGTAAAAGCCACGCTTGTTTAACATTCAAGACTTTGTCATGCCAGAACGCATCATCAAAAGCTTTGGTTTGGGAAGGCTATCTCGAGCTTCTTCGGACCCTTTGTCTGAGATTATGCAGCTTCCACGAGTCCGAGCCTGATATTGCACAGCCTACATGCGAGAAGACGAGCTAGCGTATAGATGAGCGAGACCGACTTCAGAGCTGAGTCCAGCCTTCAATTAAGGTTGGATATTAACAATGAAGCTCTGCGCTTGCTCGAGACTACCCAATTAAGTTTAAAGAGGACCCGGCAAATAGCAATCGACAAGAATCTCAAGCGCGTGTAGGTAATACAGCTATCATACCATACGAGCCGCTATTCTTACAAAGCCCAGTGGAGTTGGAAATATTGAGGTTTTTACAAATCCAGCGATAAGTTTTCTCCGCCTGACAGTATATCTCAGAAATCGCTGGTCTTGTGGCGTAGAAGATCTCAGAGCTCGAATTTAAGAACACCATCAAATCATTGCACTATCGAATGGGGGGATATGGTCGCCACTGATGTCCACACACATGTCCACGCACACACACACACACACACGTACCCCCCCCCCCCCTCCCCCGCCCTCCAAAAAAAAAAAAAAGACAGAAGAAAGAAAGACATCAAATCAATATGCGTAAATTTGCATCACAGGGGGTTGGATAGGCTCTTATAGTTATTCAGCACGCAAATTGGGAGGGTATTATCAACAAATGTGGCTTAGGCCTGTCCATGAGCAGAACCTTAACGCAGCACCTGAGCCTCGCCGTTGGCGTCTGGTAATTCGGCCCCCCACTTGTGAGCGCAATGGTGACTGGCTTTCGCTGTCTTGTCTAGAAATGGGCAGACGTCCGTCTATTCTGGCCTCTCTGGGCGGAGAAAGTGTCCTAAGGGATGTCAAATGTTCCAACTCATGCTACAGCCTAAGTACCAGTACTCTAGAAGCGAGGCCACGGTCGTGGCATCATCTTCGCTCCCTGTTTCGATTAGGGGCGGTTTTGACCGCATAGAGAAGTGGTCTGCTGTGAATCTTGTATTCGAGCTGCGGGACTGTCATTGCTGGGTATTTGTCTATTGTGCCAGAACCTTCGACCTAGACCCGAAATATAGTCTTTGGTAGGGCTGAAGTTCCCTCCAGAGGTTCGTTTCGCTCAATAAACTCATTTTTGCATGATAAATATCAATTGTTGTATTCTCTTAAGCAACAGATGCAAGCGTTGTCATCAAAGGAATAACCTGGTATGCCTCTTCTGTTCGAGAGCTAGATCAAAGGAGACGTGAAAAGATATATCCATATCATTGGCCAATATTTGTATCTGGCTAGTTGAGAGACTGTTATTGCCATGGGGTTGTGTCACTCGCAATACTTGCATGGCAACGAACATGTTGACGTGCAGTGCGAAGAAAAGAATTCCAGTCAGGATCAGAGTCGTCACCTCATAGTAAAATTGGACAGCACTAAAAGCCGCCAGACCAATATGATGAAGATGCTCACCTCTTTATTACCTTATTGTTTGATGAGACTTTTCCTTTCGTAGTGCCTAAGCGGACACTGGTATTCTGGGGCCCGAATAGATTTGGGCGCAACAGCATCATGCCAGACATCCGGTATAATGCAAGACTCAAAACCCTGTTTTCTACTCAAGTGTTGCAACCAGGTCGGACAGCGCTAGCGTAAGAAATACACGAGCTCGAGAAGGATGAACATTTAAAAGGGAGGTTAGAAATGCTGATATCATATAGCTAAGCAACTAAGACGAGGCTGAAATCTGAGGAACGTCGAAGTGGCAAGTTGGTGCTGAAAACGGATCTGATTGAGCTCAAGGAAAACCATCTATATGGACACATCAGGACTGTACTTGATTCATATAGTGAACAGAGTGAGGGTTAGGGTCCATATGGCCCAGTTTTACAGCATCTCACACATAAGAGGCTATATTCATGAATAGTGGATGGGGCATGAGGTCGCCTGAGTCTCTCCCGTTACGAGCCTTGAGGTAATTTCTGCAGTAATTAAAGCAATCTTCTAGGAGATGCTCAACCCCTCCTCCCCCCCGCCCAACATCTGGCTGAATAGTGTGAGCACAGGTATTGGGGCCATCAAATAATTCTGCAATATAAATACAAAGCTCCCCGATGTCAACAATTACATGGGTTAGTTTGTGGAACTTGATACTGATGAACTTTTTTCTCAATTCCAAGAAAGTTCCATCACCTTTGGTTTCCTTCAAAATACGATGAGGACTTCGTGAGTTGTATAGCGTTCTTCATTGAAAATATTACGACCAGCCAGCCACGTAAGAGCCCTGAAGCATATCACGGGAGCGCGGCAGTGTTTCCCACTTGTCCGTTTTAGTCCAAATACACTAACTCTTGTTGAAAGGGGCTCATCGGCCCCCTCAGCAGCAATCTTCCCTTTTCTTCTCTTCAAGATTCAAACTTGAAGCTACTGCCAGCTGCGACATCACTGAACCAGACGACCTTTACAGAATAAACACACTTTTCACTCCTACCATAGTGCTTCCCTTACCGACTCGTCCCAGAGTCGCGTTCCAAGGCTGTCGGCGTGGCGCCATATGCACGTCGCCACGGGCACCTGACATCTCGTATCTGACGTCCATATTTATCTTACGGCTGAAACCGGGATACATCAAATACCGCATGTGAACTTTTGGCGCAAAGTGTCAGCATCCTGCAGCGAAATATCACGCAAGTCAAGTGAATGGCCATATATACTGTTCTCGTTGTGGTAATTATTCGCTTGAATAACTAACATCACCAATTTCAAAGCAGTAAACATGTCTACCTTAAAAGCACAAGATAATATGGCCAAGTCTCGAGGAGCAGCGCCACCATCCTACGCAGAAAGCACCCCAATCTATCAACACAGGAATGCAGTCATCGCGGCAGCAGAGATACGCGCAAGAGACGAGGTGCGACAGCTCCCAATCTCCCACTCCACACGCTTGCTTGACTAACCCCCCCCCCCCCCAAACAGCAAGAAATGCAGCTGCTCCTTCAGAACGTCCAGCGCCACTACAACATCTGGAACTCAGACCTCGAGCCGCCAGAGCACGATACAGAGCTCTACTGCACGTGCCAGTCATGCCAGTACACGAGGCGCAAGATGGCTCGCTACTATGTCCAAGACATATGGTCAAGGGCGGTCATGTATCCTGGTGAGAAAGCGTACACCGACAACAAGCAGACGCTGAGCTTCAGAAATCCCTATCGTTTTAATGTCGTCTCTCCATATGGTTACTTTTCCAATCGGAATCGGATTGGTGGGTATGGGCCCTCTGCTGCGTCGTTCTGGGCAGGTGGGTTGAGACCGATTCCGAAGTATCACACGCAGGCGATTCAGCAAACCCTGAGGCTCAACGAATCACTGAATCGACAGGCGCAGAGCGAGATTAATGCAAAGGAGCCAAGGAAGAGTATATGGGATGACGACGGCCCTTTGAGTACCCAGACGGGAGAGGAGCCTGCTCCTGGTGGGCATGTGTCAAAACTAAAGCGAGCCAAGGACTTTCTTCACATCAAGTCTGCTGAGCAGAAAGCAGCCGAGGAGGCACAGCTTCTGAGAGACTCGATTGTCGCAGAGGAATTCGGTCGTTGGCCCGACGAGACGTGGAGACAGATCGTGAACGCATATCAGGAGAAGATGGGAATGGCAGAGAAGATTGCGCGTCTTCGTGCTCACCAGCCCATCCAGTACTTGCATCTTCTCAGAGCTGGGTACTTCGAGCCAATCCCTGTGGCGTGGGCGGATAAAGCGTCTAATCCCCTAAAATTCACCGTGGATGCTGCGGCAGGTCAGTTATTTTGCTTCGTCCTCTTCTTCGTCCCGCCCGTTGGCTGGCCGAGATTTTCGAGGAGTAATCTATAATTGAGTACTGATCATACTACAGGATGGAGAGGCATCACCCCTGCTTGGCGAGGCTATGAGGACACGGCAGAAGAGCGGCTGTACTGGGTCCTAAATCATCGCGGGGGAACCGAAGGCTCTAGGATGAAGCCTGATGTCATCTCGTCCATGAACATGGCGCGAGCCCGAATGGCATCAGCAGTTGAGCCTCCGCCTGTATACTTTTCTGATAACGACGTCTGCCATGTTCAACACAAGTCTGATGGCTATTCGAGACAAGTCATGCCGACGCCCTTTCGGGCATTCGACCGCCCAGAAACACCAGACGATGATACCATGATTCTTCTTGATGTTTCTGGGTCCATGAACTTTGACCCGGTGAAACCTGTGTATGAGGAATACACTATCACGAGATACGTAGCGGGCAATCAGCCGAGAAACAAAGGTGACGCTCATTATTACTCCCACAAATTTACCTGTATACCAAAAGGATTGCTAGCTGACATCATGAACAGACGTTGCCAAAGCCATAATCCGTCGTTTCACCGACGCCATGTCCAACCACGCCCACAACCATCGTGGTTATGATCTTGTCACCTTCGCCAACCACGCTCGCTATATCGGGACAGTGAACCATCTCAACTTCGAAGAGACATGGGGGAACATCCCCATCGGCGGCGGTACCCGGGTCATGACCGGCTGGCAACTGGTCAAGAACCTGCACTTTCAGAAGCATTCCGCCTCTGCGACACACCATCCCGTCTACGGCTGGCAGGCCGGGCCAGAGACCCGCATGCTGCGGCTGCTACTTTTGCTTGACGGCGAGGCTACGGATATGGATGAGTTCGAGCTGGACCTGCTGGGTCTGTCCTGGGCGCATGTGACGATTTTCCTGATTGGCGTGGATGGATGCCCGCATCACCATCGACATGCGAACGAACTCAAGCGCATCAGTGATCTGAATCACCATGTGTCGTTTGTGGATGCACAGGGCAACTGTCCAGAGAGGTTTGTGACGCATGAGTTGCTCAAGAGGCATTTGGGTTATGATATATCAATGCGGGAGTTTGAGCAATTGGAAGCCTTGCCTGCCTACACGGAGCTGGATGAGGCTGCTTAAGTAAATGCTATGTCTGATTCAGCGAGTGGAACCCAATCATACTATCATCAAGCGTTGAATAAGAAACCTAATTCTACGTTATACTGATTGCGAGAACAGGAAAGAGGGAGAGAACGAGCAACCATCCTGAAGAATTGTCGGGTCAATAATCTTGTGAACTGCAACACTTCGTCAAGTCATAAATACAATTATTCTATTTTCTATTGCTCTGAAGTCGTAATACATCTTTGAGGTCATGACTTAAAGGGGTTCGATCCCCATGCAGAGTTGAAGTCCATGGGGGGCAGGAAACTCTTTAATGACAAACGCGACCTTTTCGGCATACTGGGCATCCTGGGTTTCTCGTCGGTCACAGCCTCTTCCAGCCTAGGCTGTTGCACTGCCTTCTCCTTGTACTCCTTGATAGAGTCCGAGTCCGAGTCCGATTCAAACTCCTCCTTCTCCTTTGCGACGCCCTTCTGTGCCTCCTTCTTGTTCTTTCCCCTGAATTCTGCCCATTCAATTGAGCCAAGGATCGCAATAGATGCGGCACCCAGTCCGATGACAAGTGCAAGAATGACGAGACCAGCGGCTCCTCCGGCAAGGGTGCTTTTGATGCTGCTAAGGTTGATGGCCCTCTTGCTGTAGCTATGAGCGTCGTGGACTGCGTTGTTCTTGGTCTCCCGCGTGGCGAGATGGTATGTTGGCATGCTCAGCGCTAGTGTGATGTGAGATAGGAGAAGGAACACGGCCGTGAACATGTTGCGAAGGGGATGAAGACATGATGTCATGATTTCGTATGTCAATGAAGGCCGTCGTAGGTACGTATTTTGTTGTTGTTAATATCCTCTCAGAGGTGTCGTAGGTAATAAGAAAACTGAGGTTCAACCCAAAAGTGTACTGCTGAGGCCCTGCCGCTGGTGAGAAGAAGATATGTTTTCCACCAGGGATCGTAGTGTAGAAGATTGTGCGCTGAGACCGGCCGCAATACTTGAATTATAAAATTGTATTTGATGGATGGCCAGATCCAGGGTGACCGAATGGACAACGTGAAGAAGAACAAAAAGAGGAGGAGAAAGAGAAGTCACTCACGCCGACGAGACCATCACTGCGGAGACTGACCGGTCTTATTGAGTCTCTCAGGAGAATACTCACTCATTTTTGACCAAATATGTCACGGAGCTGCGCCATCGAAGAAACAAGAGAAGGGTCCCGTCCACGCGTCCAAGAGCAGAGAGGAGACATTGTTCATCGGACGAGGTGCCGTCGCCAGGGCTATGAGACCAACCTCCTGCATGCCCAGCGGCTTACCGCTCGCTACTGATACAAACATTTGCCTCTGCACACGGCCCCAGGTTTCTTCTAAATTTGGTGTCTACCCGCTCTGGAAAAGTCGGGATGCAAAACAAGCGCTCGACTACATGCACGTGCGGGACGAATCAGAGTCTCCAGGAGAGTCCAGGGACGATGGCTCCTCATGTCGCTATTCGGGATAACTTGAGACGGCATTGGTGCAAGGCCGTGGGTTGGTTTCAGATGCGCAACTTGTGGGGCTCGCGTATCAGAACCGCAGTTGAAAAAGAACACACTCGTCATGCACAGCTCCGATGTTTCTCGGCAAGATCGGATCTACTCGAGAGGCTGAGTGCAAGCGTTAAATCTTAAATCATCTCAAGCTTCCCGGATGGCGCAACGACATTTTGCCGCCGTCACGCGCGGCCTGATATTTCACGGGCCGGTCGTGACACAATGCCTTTACTTACCAGACGATATTGAGCATTGGCGTGTGACAAAGTTATATTTAAATGTCAACGATGACGCCGGAGCCCATAGGGAATTATTTAGTGAGTTCATAGTAGGCTGAAATTGGTGAGTGCCTGACTGAGGGCACACCAAATAATTGCACGTCTGCATTCCATAGCCAACCTGTACTGTTTTGCTGAGTCTCTCCTCAATCATAGAACGTTGCATATGAATTTCTGCTTGCTTCGACGCACTAATCCCGAGCAATGTGAACGTGTATTTCAGCCCGTATTACTTAACTTTTCGTCTTGTGTCTCAGATTCACTTAATTCAGCAGCAATATCGACATCTATGCCGATTTTGAACTACTCCTGACATTGAGAAATTGAACCTTGTCTGGTTGCTCAATTTCTCGCAACTTGATCAATTCCTGATAGACTCTGTACCTTGCGTATGATCTTTTTCTATCCAGGATACAGTATACGGAAAGGGCGCAATGACGCACATTTTTGCCAAGTGAACGACTGTCAATGAAGAACCCCGCCTCCGGAAGGGCGTGGGAGACGCACGGTCGGTCCGCCCCGGCCATACAACGCCACTCGCATAGTAATATTCACCAAGCAAACAGCCGTTGGCAATTGACGAGATAATGTTGTGGTGATAACGGAAGACTTGGTGATAGTTTTTCCCTCTCCCCTTCATCAACATCCAAATCAAATACAAGACATCACATCTTCGCAGCTAATTAGTTAGATGAGTCTAGTAAATAAGTTATGGATCCAGCCCTCCGCTCCACCATCCTGAACCTTCTCAAAAGCGCAGGGGGAATAGACGATTCAAACATCGCAACACCACCGACCTCGACACAGCCGGTTCATATCAATGGAACGGAGTACATCATCCTCAGTTCCTCAGTAGACATCGCTCTCAAGAACATTGACAACGCCACTGCCGATTCACCACTCCTCGCAGCACGAGTGATTCTCACCATCCGCAAAGCAGCAACCCCTCAGCCAGGCGACGAGGCCGCCTCGCCCCCCATCGAGGTTGCAGCGCACGGCTTCATCTGGTCTTCCAGCAGCGCCACCAGGATCACCCGCTCTGAGATCATCCTCGACACAGAAACCCTCCACTCCCACCTTCCCCAACCCGCCGCAGCAGTAGAACGCGCCGCAACCATCCCAGCTTTTCCAGCAGGCCAACACGGCAGGAACAGCAGCAGCAGCAGCAGCAGCAGCCTCGTCGAGACATACCGGTCCTATGTATCCGCCATCAACGCCCGCCAGATGACCACCAGCCTGCCGACGTTCTGCCATCCCACTGTGATTCACAACGGCAAGGCCCTCCCTCTGGCCACCTACCAGCGACTCATGACGGACGCTCAGGCTGCGATCCGGGACATCACGTTCGCCATCGACGGTCTCGTGGTAGATGAGGAGAGGGGCATGGTGGCTGCGCTGTTGAACTTTACGGGCAGATCAGTTGGGGAGTTCGCTGGGGTGGACGGGACGGGAAGGGAAGTTCGGTTTGGGGAGATCGTGTTCTACTGGTTTGTAGAAGGCAAGATTTCTAGAGTCGTGAGTCTGGTAGATTTCGAGACGTATCGGGAGCAGGCGAGGTCTGCTGTGGCGTGCTGAGGATATGAATCACTTGTTGCACTTGGGGATTTCGTCAATCGCCTATGATCTAAGCATTTGCAGTGAAGTGGTGCTTATTATCGAGAGACATCAGTGTGCTAATAAATTGCTTTGGCAATCTGCAATTACTTCCCCATCAACGGACGGTGAGAGCAGACCTAATTGCGAAGAGATCAGAAGACAAGAGAAGAAGCCGAAATTGTCGTTCAATCATCGCTGCGGGACCAGACGAGCCGCCAGTGGCTTATGAAAAAGGGGAGGAGACAACGCCCCAGCTGGCCCGACTGGAGCCCTCATCCCTTATATACAGTACAAATAACAAACCCCGGAGCCTTGGTCCATCCGTAAAATGCAGCCCTGGTCCTATATAACTCCAACTCGAAGACGCCTATGCCAAAATAACTTCAATACTATGCGACAACATCCTGTGCGATGGCAGTGTTTGGTGTGCTGGTCGCATTCCAGGTGACCGAGGTAGGCCAGAGCTGCTCCGGCACATCGTCTTCATCATCATCTCCATCCGTCCAACCCCTCACTGGGCCCCAGCAGATAGTACATCCGTTGGCCCTGGCAGTCTCCAGCAGGCCCTGGGTCATGTCGCCAGACTTCTTGACCGGGCTGTGTGCATCGAACTGCACCTTGTTGACATTTGGCAGGCCCCCGAGGATATCGTTCAAGAGATCCCGGCAGAACTTCTCGTAGTAGCCAGGAGACTTGCGCCAGCCGTTGAAGATGTTATCACTGGGGTCGATCTCGATGTACACATGTAAGCAGCGCACATTAACACAATCTTGGAGGCCGAGCATGTCGTTCACGACCCAGCTGCGGTACGGCCTGGCCCAACCTGGACCTAGTCGTAGCTCCAGGGTCGTCATTTTGCTACGACACTGGGGCTTGATGCAGGCCAGGAGTCCCTTCTTGGTCTTGACGTGGCGGCCGTCAATGGGAAAAATACGGAAGGTCTTAGTGCCGTAGAAGACATGGGAAGCCTCGTGATAAACAGTACGGCAGACTCGCAATATTCTGAGTTTCCTGTGAATTTCAAAATAGTTTCCAGGCTGAAGATCAATGACACCGTTGATGTCGTCGAAGTAGTGTTCGTAGATCTTGACACGCAGTTCCGAGGGCAAGTCCATGAAGCGGAAAGGAGGGATCTTCTTCCTGCTATGTACAACGGGCTTTAAAGGGACGTCAAGGGTCAGGCTCGCAATGTCGAGGCTATTGATACCGTCGTTAGGGCCTGGTTCGGCATCAGAGGCATGAGTCGACTTGTGGGCGGATGCGATCGGGGTCGGGGATGAACCAGCACCCTTGGCACGGGAGCCTTTCGACGGTCGACGAGCCATGACTAATGGCTGCAAAAGTGAAGCACGATAGATCGAAGCCGTCCCAGCCAAATCCAATCGTGTGCTTGTCTTTGAATCTGAAGATCGAAAGTAATGCTCGGTATAGAGGCGCAATGTCGAATATCGTGCGTGGTAGGACTCGAAATGGGTGGTTCACGAATGGATCGCGTGATGTGGCGATGGTTCGGTAATTTCGAGGGTGGGCTTGTTGTTGGACTTGAAGTCTGAATGGCCGAGTATGTGGTATTCGCTCGTCGTTGGGCTCAGCTCCTGCTCTTCACGTCGCCAAAGAATACTTTGTGAATCAACAATGATAGACGGCACAAGTGAGAGTAGAACTCAAGAGGGTGGACCATCCCATCGTCAAGTGGAGACAAGTTTAACGAGTGGATGGCCACCCTCAGAATGCAGCATCCGCGAAGGCCATCTTGAGCACTCGGAAGAATGGTGAGGATCGACTGCTGGCGCTGATCATTGGATGTTCGCAGGCCCGAGACACCATTCAAGCACGGTCGACGCTGTGGGCTTGGCTGTGGTGATTGTAGTATTCCGGGGAGGAGTTTGACGAGAAACGGGGGTTGGAAGAGAGAGGTGGTGGTTGTTGCGGGGAAGAATCATCGATCCAATGTCCAATTACTGAGGTGCGGAGGTGTCGAGCCTGAAATGCTGAGATAATAGCGGATCTTTAGCGGGACTCGCCGCAGAGCATCAGGGCGTTCTGGTAGTGGGGGAGGGGCCTCCACTGGGAATCACTAAGAGTAATGGAAAGCACTGTCAACACCGCCGGCAGGCAGCGCGTTCGGGTGGCGTGGTGGCGGCCCTTGCAGCAATTCCTAGAGCTATCCAAATCCTGAATGTACCGATGTACCCTGCTAAGGTGGAGTGATGCAAATTTTGGTGACGAAATCCAAAAGAAATCATTCCAAGCCTTGAGACTCGGCCTGAACCTCTTCTCGGTCCACCGTAACCGTCCATTATCGCATGTACAGCGATGCTTACCTTTTAGAAGCTGTGGTTCTACCAGCACAAAGTTATTTTTAACGATCTTCTTGCTCGGCCTTCGTACCCACGGCCCTCAGCTTCTATTGCTCGCTCGCGCAAGCATTCCCTGTCGCCTTCGTCATGCTCTCGAGGGCAGCCCTGCGCCTGGCCCAGCCAGCTGCTGTCTCGGCATGGGCCTCGTCCTCCTCCTCCCCCTCTGTCCGACGAGCCCTTCCGGCGCTGGCAGCAGCTCCGACGATATGGGCTAGGGGCCTGGCAGATAGCAAGCGACCACCACCTCCCTCAAGATTCAGCTCGCCATCGAGCACCACTCCGCGACCATCGTCCACTCCTCCCCAACAGCAAACTCAGCGAGATGGCAGTGCCAATGCCAGCGTGAATACCGATGGAAAGGGAGCTCCAAAAGAACCACCAAAGGCAGGATCTACGGAATCCAATCATCAGAAGACAGAGCCAGCCGACGGGTCGACCCAGACACCCGAGCAGCAGATACCGCTGTCCGAACTTCCTGACCTCACCCAAGGCATACCTTCCACGCTCGAGTACGAGATGGGCGATGCGGCTCGCAAATCAGAGCTGGAACCTGTCGAGGAGGAGGCTGCAGCAGGCGCCGGTGGACGTGGTAAGGGAGAGCTGCCGGCGTCGGCATACGTCTCCTCCACCGAGCGGAGACGTCAGAAGCTGGCTAACTGGATGTTTGGTGCTACACTGGTCGGTATGGCCGGTGGTGTCATCTTCCTGGGCCGTAATTGGGAAGAAGAAGATCTGAGGAGGCATCAAGACGTGCCCAATGGCTGGGGCCTGTCCTTGTGGTGGAACCGTGCATCCACACGCATGAAGGAGGTCCTGATATACTACCATGAGCCCGCTTTCGAGAAGCTACTCCCCGATCCCGATCCCATGTTCGAGCGCCCCTATACACTCGTCATCAGTCTTGAGGACATGCTCGTGCACAGCGAGTGGACACGAGAGCACGGCTGGCGGCTTGCAAAGAGGCCTGGTGTCGACTACTTCCTGCACTATTTGAGCCAGTACTACGAGATTGTCCTGTTCACCACTGTGCCTTTTGGTATCGCAGAGCCGTTACTGCGAAAGCTGGACCCATACCACTTTATCGTATGGCCGTTGTTCCGGGAGGCTACCAAGTACAAGGACGGCGAGATCATCAAGGTTAGTTTTCACCTTCACAACTGTTCTTCTTGCTGAAATTTGGCTGATTTGTGGCGCGGCAGGATCTTTCCTACCTGAACCGAGACCTGTCCAAGGTTATCGTCATCGACACCCATGCCGAGCACGTCCGAGCCCAGCCTGAGAATGCCATCATCCTGCCTAAGTGGACCGGCGAGCCTAAAGACAGGGAACTGGTCGGACTGATCCCCTTCCTTGAATACATCCACACTATGCAGTATGGAGATGTGCGCAAGGTCCTCAAGTCGTTCGACGGCAAACACATCCCTACAGAATTTGCTCGACGCGAGGCGATTGCGCGAGCCGAGTTCAACAAGCAGCTCGAGGCGGAGCGGCGCAAGCACCCTCACAAGGGCAAGAGTGGCATGGCCGCTCTTGGCTCGCTACTTGGTCTCAAGCCCCAGAATATGAGCGTCATGGTTGTTCCCGACGGCGAGATCAACCCGGCCGATGCATTCGCACAGGGCAAGATGATCCAGGATATCGCTCGTGAGCGCGGCCAGCGGCAATACGAGGAAATCGAAAAGATGATCCGCGAGAACGGCGAGAAGTGGCTCAAGGAGGAAGCTGCTGTGCAGGAGCAGATGCAGAAGGAGGCCATGAATAGTATGAAGAGCTCCTTCACCTCATGGTTCTTGCCGACAGGCGCAGCAGAAGCCGGGCAGGGCGAGGGCCAGAAGAAGGCCTAGACAGGGCAACACCCGCGCGCCGTTCCGTCGATACTGAAGGGTGCTCTGGCCCTGGTATCTACAACATCCCCCCTCTACATCAGAAATTTCTTCTCTTCGCTCAGACGACGGCGGCGGCAGGGGCGGTGGTGGGAAGCATTTGCATTGGCGTATTGGACGGCGGTGACGGATCAGGGATGAGTCAAGGGGATTGCGCCATACCAGATTGTGCTTTTTGTTCACCTTCTTGGTGGTGAAGTCCTGTTCGAAGGGGTTAATTTAAAACGTGTAGAATATTGTATAGGCCCCGCGTGCCGTGTACGAATCGAGGAAGTTGGACACTAAGCGCAAGACTACTGTCGTTGCTCTATCCATTCTTGAGTACCAGTGCCATACTGATGTTTTGGTTCACAAAAAGTTGAGACATGCTGAAGGCAGCGGACGGACTGCAGGTTGAGGGGACTCCGTTGGGCTTTGAAGCAAGTCAATGAATCCTCGGGCAGCTTGTATCCATATCCCCTCCTTCTACTTCTCAGTCACGCATGATGCTGAATGTGCAAGGAGGGGAAATGGGCAGATATGTTACAGCATGTCCAGATCCCGCCAAATTGCCGACATAAAGGCTAGTAGTGTACAGCGCTTAATTAAGCAAGTCAGAGCACCCACTTCCCGGCCCACCCCCTTTCCGGCCAGTCACACCGCCACTTCAACCATGTCTGCTTTTAGGAATTACTTTTGCTCAATCAATTGCAATTCGGATACCTTCAACTTTCGACAGGATCTTTATATGATTATCATGAAGTCCTATTCTGAGTCTGATCTAGCCCGGGCTATCGAGGCTGTCAAAAAGGGCCTGTCTCAACGACAAGCCTCCCGCAAATATGGCATTCCAAGGAGTACTCTTCACGAACGTCTGGAAGGGAAGGTGTCACACAAAACAGCCCATCAAGACTATCAGAGGCTCTCTGTTAGCCAGGAAGAGAAGTTGGCGGAATGGGTTCGCATTCAGGAGAGCCTAGGGGTTCCACCCAGCCATTTAGAACTCAGAGAGTTTGCGCAGAGAATCCTCAAGCTCCAGGGCGACTCCCAAGCTCTAGGAAAGAGATGGACTCAGGCTTTTTTGAATAGAAATCCAGGGTTAAAACTCGGAAAGACCCGACGGATCGCCTCTGAGTCAACTAATGGAGCTACAAAAGAGGTAAGACAGTCTTGTTTTCCGTCTTTTCGATCTTTCTCTGATTTCAAGCCGGCTGATCAATGGAATATGGACGGAGCTGTGATAGTAGAGGCCAAAGAGATCGAGCAGATATGTCCTCGTCGGCTCTTCTTCGGGTTCAATCCAGGCAGAAGAGCCTGGATCGAGATCCTGAACCTCTTTGCTCCAACCTATCTCTTCGAGTGGGATGTTGATGCTTAGCCAACAACTTGAAGTCCATAGTTAGCAAGAACCGGGAGGGTTAGAAGGGGGTGGGGGGGTAATCAGCTCCTCTACTCACTTCTACAAGGAAGCTGTAACCAGGCAAATGTAAATGGCTAAGCCCTAGATTCAGGAAGCAGAATGTCTCAAGCCAAAGGCTTTGTGTTGAATCGCCCATGGAAGGGAGTGTTGGCAACATTGGGTACTGATTCTTCCCCCTTTCTTCTTCGTTACTCTGACTCGATAGTCGAGGTCATGCCCCAAGTCCATTTCATAGATGCTGTATAACCAGCTAATGTGTCTTTATCGCGTCCGTGGCTTATATACCTTCTGTTTTTCTCATCTTAACAGCATCGCCAATGCCGCCTTTGTCCCTTTACTCGCTGTATACCCAGGTATCTTGCGAAACTATGACTGAACGTACTGCTCATCAGTCTCTCTCCGTAGAGCCACATGATACTTAGAATGCTCCTGAATATCAAGAACTTGACCATCAAGGCGAATAATGCCGCCACAGACCTGTTGCTCGAGGAGCTGCCTCTCTAAATTCTGTGACGTGCTATCAAAACTCCACGAGATTATAGTTTGCGATTAACATTATGGCAAAACATCAAGCTGTTAGAAGCTCTCTATTTGAAAGACATCAAATGGCCTAACCTGGTTTCCCAACCGGCAGTGAAAGATTTGCACCAGTCCCTTTGGCAAGTCATCTTTATCATACCAGAGTGATCACACGACTTTCCCAAGGCATATCCCATCCAAATCCCGTGTTTGTATACCATAAACCAACTCTGTAATACTCTCCCTCCACTTCAGCAGGATAGACGATCAAACCAGCAGCATATCCGCCTCTGGGCCCATACCCTTCATGACGAGATATCTGGACCAAGAACATCTTATCCGCCTCACTGTACGTTACATCCTTATTATCTGTATCCCAACCGACAAAAATTCCTAGACCCAGCCCGCCCGGAACATGTTGGTGGATGTGTGCGGCCAAGACCCCATCGAGAATATCGGCCGGTTTTCCGTGCGTGAGGCGGGTGAGAGGGACCGTGCCTGTCCTCAATACTAGTTTTGCAGTCCTGGGTCGACCAAACGGATTGTTCCCCATCGCCGAAAACTCTACATGCGCAACCTCGCACTGCAGCGCCAGCCTCGTTGTAGCCGTCAACGAAGGCGGTCCAGCGTCACAAGGTCCCGTGAGCCCAGCCCAGGACCACGATGGCCGAATGACAGAGCCAGGAGCAGACAAGGCCGCAATCCTCTTCTGAAACGAAACCATGCCCCTCGTGCCGTACCGAGGCACATTGCGGGCGAACAAAAGGTCCTTGTCGAGGTTATCCCTCCACAATCCGGCAAGGTACTGGCTGCCCGTGTTGGCAGCGATCATGCTGGCGAGGCTGGCCAGGGCTGGAAGGCGGTCAGTGTCGAAGGTGAAGTCCTTGGCCGTGAATGTTTCAATCTCGCTGGCGAACGCGGCGAAGGGCTCCTCCTGCATGTCAGCCTTGCAAGTGCCGACGGCGAGCGGGGTGCGCCACTCGCGGGTGACTGACAGGCCATTCTCGCAGAGGTAGAGCCCGTCGCACATGAAGAACAACCAGTCTGAGGTGAAGACGAGAAGCCGGCTCGAGAGTCTCATCTCCTGGTGGACCCATCCACGGCCGTACCATCTGGACGCATCGATCTGTTTGTGGAAGGGGAAAGAGTCCAGGCGGTAGTAGTTGATATCAATTGAGTCTGGCCCGCATGGGATTATACTGTAGGTATAGAAATCCTTTGTACTGACGAACGCCGCATCGTTGTCCGTACGGGGCTGGATATGTAGCGATGGCCCCGTTTGGACTCGGCGTTCGTGGAGGAAACCTTCCTTACAGCTCGTCGAGGACGCTGCACAGAGGGTGACCAGGGCAGACTTGAATATCTTGGCCATCTGTTGGCTCTCGTGGTTCCAATCCTCCACGGCGGTGTCGTCGTTCCCCTGGAGGATGCATAGTGCGTCGACCCATAAGTAGCGTATATCGAGTTTTGAGCAGACCTAACATGCAGGTCAAGTAAGTCATCTGTCGTGAGGTACAATGTGCTGGTCTGAGTTCGCACTAATTACCTGTATTGCGTCTCGAACTACGGGAGACATCTCTTCCAAGTCAATGTTGCTCATCCGGTAGTCCAGGTTCGTCGTTGTTGTTTTGGGCTGCAAAAGAGCTGCCTCTCGATTTCCCCAGCAGTAACTTAAAGCAGCATAATTGGTTCGCGCCTTTATTTGGGGACTCTTGATAATCCCGTCTGTTAGTACAAGTCGTATACTTCGCTTTCCAAGGAGGTCGTCGCCGAGATCGAGCAGTCGTGTGGGGAGGAAGTTAGTCAGCTCGACGTGCTCGCACGTGAGGGAACACCTCTCTAAGGCTGTTTTAGCGAACGAAAGATTCCTGTCAGACAATACCTCAGCCGTAGGAGCAGGAAGGAAGGCTAGATTCGCTTTGGCTTCCTAGACACCAGTCAAAAACACAAACTATGACAAAGTATGACAAGCCAGGACAAAATAGAAGGCCGAGATTGTGTATTACGCACTCGAGCATCCAAACACGCCAGAAACTTCACTTCGCGAAAAACGTCCATATCTGATCGTTTTGGACAGAGGTACACCACAAAACCACATATGAACTGTGGCTTATTGCTGTCGCGGCTAGTATATATCAACACGTCGTCGATAATCGGAAATACGTCGATGGTCACCTCTGGGTCATCATCGGCATCCCAAGGCCGGACGTCCGATGTAGACACGAGACGTTTATGGAGGATTCTGCAGAAATCGCAGCCAGAGAGGCCAGAATTTGCCAGACGAGGTAAGTCTGGCCAGGTATCGCGGACGCGGAGGCAGTATGTGGGGATATATGGCATCTGTCCAGGGACGCCAGGCTGCAACAGCGCGTGAACGTCTTGGAGGACACGACATGCATCACATAATCGGGCTGGTACGGCCATTGTGTCTTCATACTGTTAAAGTGAGAGTCTTGTGTAGCAGGGCCAGAAATTTTGACGTGGGGTGTCATGAAGGTGCAGTGACCTGGTGAGCTTGTGCTGTGTGTAAGCCTGCAGTTGTCAGCACATGCCGAGCTGAAGGAGGAGTGACGTTGGCCCAACGAAACAGCAGCAGGGGTCCACTGAATACTTTTGAGTCTGAATTGAGGTGGACGGAGTGCCATTGATGCGGATTGTACTATTTCTGAGAGTATACTGCATCAAACAAGATTTTGCTTTGGTATAATACAGGCCTGGTAATTGAAAAATGAAATCTGAATACTACATTTGCATGTATTAGTCTTACAATATATAGACTCTTGTATATGATCCCACAATCAGAAGCTGACCAGACCAAGGTGACTCAAGATCACATACTTCCAAGCTGACCAGAAATGATTACAGAAATCCCATCAAAGCCTTGCTCGTACCGTCTCAGCATCAAGATCCCTCGCCACCCCCCGCGAGATCCAATCCGAAATCGCCATATTCGTAACCATAGGATTCACCCCGCTCGCGCTAGGAAACACACTCGCATCGGCAACATACAACCCTTCGGCGCCCCAGACCTTGCCCTGCGGGTCCACCACGCCGCCCTTCTCGGTGCTGCTCATGCGGCACGTCCCCATCTGGTGCGCCGACGTAAAGGGTGTCTCGGGCGTCGTGTTGCCATGTGCTGCGAGCTCCTTCAGCCAGGCCTGGAAGCGCGGGTCGGCCACACCGGCGTCTTGTACCGAGGCAAGGATGTCTGGGTTTAGAGAAGACGGTGTGTTCGTGGCGGCGGCGGCGGGGTCGGTGGTAGTGGTTTCTTGGTTGCGAATATAGGGGCGCATCCCGGGTAGCGAGACGTGGATTTCTAGGGCGCCCTGTAGATAGAGAATCTTGGCGAGGGCGACATTGCCGGTCATGACGTGCTTACGGTCGTAGGCGGATGGGGTGTAGTGCACGCGTGGTTGGCCCGAGTGAGGGTCTGGATAGATGTAGCCCGGGTCGCGGTCGCGGTTGATGGAGATGTAGCTGTTCATGTGGCGGTATTTCATGGCGCGGACCTTGAAATCGACGCCGTTGTCCCAGTTGAGGAACCGGATGGCGTAGGTGGGCTGTCGATGTGAAGAAGTAGAAAGAAAAAAAAGATAATTTATATCAGCTTACGAGTACAGACAGACAGAGAGAGAGAAAGAGGAAAAGTGTGAATAGCAAGAGGAGAAAGTATGTCTGGCTTACCATCATGGACGTGCACTCCAGCTTGACACCGTGGCCCTTGTTGTCTTGATTCTCAAACGTGTTGACGACGGCGGTGAGGATCTCTCCCTCCCATGGTCGAACGTCCTCTTTGAAGAAGGCCGTGACAACGTTGACGGGATGAAGGTACAGATTTCTACCTATCTGTGGGTTCTGAAGAAGTAAGTCTTGTCAGCATGAAAGAAATCGAGGGGGAAAAACACCGGGACATAGAATCTGGAGGGGTTTCTCCCCGTCTTTCCTGGCCTCTTACCTTCAGCCCGCTGTTCTTGAGAATGACCGGACTCCATAACGAGCCGCTGCTGATGATAACCCTCTTGGCTCTGACAACAACCTCCCTCACGATCTTGTCCTTTTCAGGCCCATCCAGTCTCCCATCCTTCCCTCGACTCGTCCAGGTGCCGACGACACCAACCGCCTTCTTTGTGCCTTTCTTCTTCCCATCCTCAAACAGCACCCTCGCCACCTTGAACCCCTCGGCAAACTTAGCCCCAGCCTCAGCCGCATCAGGAAACCACCCATTCACAGGGCCCTTCTTCGCCCCGCTCCAGCACCCCAAGGCACAGTGGCCCTCAGGATGCTCGCAGTGCCCCGTATTCTGCGGGACCCTCCTCGCCGCCCACCCCAGCTTCCTGGCCCCCTCCAGCAGGACCTGGTTCCCATGATTCGGCTCAAAGTCCTCGTGCACGCCCATCTGCGCACACACCCTGTCCAGACACGCCTGGAACGCCGCCGTGTCAAAGAACCCGAGCCCGCGGTCCTCAGCCCACTCGCGGCGCACAAACCCTTGCGTCTGCAGGCTGGCGCTCCAGTTGACGGTGCCGCCGCCGCCAAAGCACGAGCCCGCCACCACGAGCATGGAGTTGTCGTCGGACGAGACGGCGCCCGAGCCCTCGATCATGTGCACGAGGTGGTCGGGCGCGGCCATGGGGAAGTCCTGGCTGGTGAAGTGGTAGCCCTTCTCGAGGACGAGGACGCGGTGGCCTGCCTCGGCCAGGTTCTTGGCGCAGACGCCTGCGCCGCAGCCCGAGCCGACGATGACGACGTCGGTCTCGATCTCGGCGGGGTCGAGGGAGGAGGAGGAGGAGGAGGAGGAGGAGGAGAGAAAGGAGGCGGGCGACGAGAACCGCACAAACTCGTACGGATACGTGGGCGGCGGGTTCCATCCGGCTGGGGTGGTGGGGAAGCCAGAGACGCGGAGAAAGGATGCGTTGCTGGCCGTGAAGACGACCTTGGCCAGGGTCGTCAGCTGTCCAAACAGGCCGCGCAGCTGAGGGATGTAGCTGGTCCTCCACCTGTGCAGGATCTCGCCGCGCTGACGTATGGACAACCTTGTGATGGGCGTTGCCGAGCCTGTCAGGAAGATGGCCGTCGTTCGGCTGTGGAAGGAAAAGACAGTTATGTAAGTGATGCTGTTCTTACTAGCCTCGGGTCTGGTCGTAGCACAGGCGTGGTAACTTACTAGGTCAACAACCGGAGCGCAGTTGTGAGCATGTTTCTGGTGTCCTGGGGCAGCTGGAGCAATGTGCTCTGCAGGAGGAGTTGAAAGCCGGTGTCGTCCGTTGCCTTGTCGGCCAGGTACTGATCCACATCCTCGATGTGAACTGATGAGGAGGCCGAGTCGAGAACAACGCTGTTGTCTTGCAAGTCGGATACAATGTCTTTGTATTTCTCATCCGAAATGTACAACACGCCCCGCTTTCTCCTCCTCCTCTTCGGCGTCGACGATCTCTTCTGGATAGGAGGCAGGAGACCATCCATGATGGCGAGGAGCATGCGCCATTCTGCTGGGCCCATGGCCTCGGTGACCTTGTACCGCCATGGTATGCCCGTGGGCCTCACGGTTGTCGGGACCTCCTCTGCCATTGTCTGTCTCTGTATCGGTTGCTTGAGAAATGTAATAGCGGGGAGAGGATATAGTCAGCCAAAGAGAAGCTGGATGGATATAAGGGGAAAATAAATAAGGACGAATAAAACCCTCTCAGCACTTTAGGATACTACTCGCTATAGTAGTACCAGTAAGTGTAGTAAGCAGTAGAGAATGGGGTAACATCGCCGGGTGAACCTGATTGAGTTATAAGCAAAGGTTCCAGGTGCTACTATGACCGCGCAGAAAGATCAACATATGCCAAGGTGACTCTTAATACCCCACAACCCCTTAAGCAGTCTGTCTCCTTCCTCGACAAGAAAGCTGAAAGTCTCGTCCAGCCTGTTATCCGCTGTGCCAGGTGGTCAGCTGGTCCAACTACCCAATGCCGTGGCAAAAGGAGGAGGGAGAAGGGTCAAAACCCAATCCAGACTGCCTCGGCCCTGAAGCACAAGCATCCACGTGCTCGTTTCAGCGCTAATACCTCGAGTTTATGCGGAGATCGTGGAGCCTAGCCCCAAGCCAAAGACCCAAGAAGCCTTCTTAGCCCCGTGGAGAAACAAGAATAATGGAAGCCCTGCGCCCAGGGTCCAAGCCAACGGAGGCGGGGTCGGCACACCAGGCCGGGTCCTTCGGGTTTATTCTCCTATTGAAAGAGAGCCTTGTCCTGTCTACCGTCTGATGATGGAGTTTGTGGGCAGATTTTGGAAAAGTGGCAAGGATCGACGGTGTTCTTTAAAAGTACTTTTTTCTTCTTCAAAATTTAGCTTGCATTGAAAAAGAGTGAAACTTCTCCTCGTCCTCTTCATCGAATTCACTCCTTTGATGAGATGCATCTTCATGCTAAAGCCCCGGGTCCGGACATGTATGTCTTGCGTGGCTCCGGCCGGTAGACGCGGCGTGAATTGGCGACTTTTGTTCTTGTGCCCACTGCAGCTACCACGTCGCCGGCGCTCGGGGTTGCGTGGTGCCGATTGATTGCCTCTTGCCTTTTTTTCTTTCTTTTACTCTTTCCTGCACCCGCAAAAAGGGGTTCAAGTGGATATCTAGATGAAGCATCATAGCATGTTCTAGTGCAGGCCAGGATAAATGGGGGGTGTTTCTCAAGATGAGCCCTTCATAAGTCGGTCATTGAGCATAGTAGCTCAATAGTGAGGAGGATCTGGATTCCTTTGGTAGTAACACCGCTACATGTGAAGCTCACCAGAGAATTGCTCGGGATATCCAGATGCTACCATGTTGGAATACACCTGGAGATGCTTTGATGCTGTATTCATTCTACTGCACAGAGTACGTTCCATGACGCATGACACATGACACGTGGCAAATGAAAACCCAGCCAGAAGTCAGCTGAGAGTAGCTTCAAGGTATAAAAAAAAAAGTGCATCAATTCTCAATGAGAACAAAATGCAAAAGAATCATTTCCAGACTCGTATGCCCACTATCAGAATCGAACTGATGACCTTATCATTACTAGTGATACGCTCTACCACTGAGCCAAGCGGGCGATGCAAGCCTCCATTCTAGTTTTTCTTATGTAGGTGTCCTTTGTCGGGTCGTGTGGGTCGTATGGGTCGATTTGATGAATTTCGAGACGGGCCCGCGAGTCGAGGTTTGTGGACCTGCCCTTTTGGATCACAAAAGAAAGAAGGAAGAGGACAAGGAGGGTTAGGAGAAAACGAAAGCCCATCGTAGCCCAAAAGTAACCGTAGAGGACCAAAAGGTGTGGGGGGAGGTGGGAAGGGGGCAGTATGAGAGTGTTGCATCAGAGGTCCGTATGAAGGAGTATATTCCGACCATGCATTTGTCTAGATCCGGCGTGTCTCGTTGTCGAGAATGTTCCTGAAATACGTCGTGCGTACGCGCAAGAGAAAATTTCAAACCTGTCGGCACCTTTCTTTTCCCTTCCCTTTTTATTCAACCCATGAAATATCCTGTGCGTGAAAAGCAGCCGTGCAACTCCGAATTCGAACATGTATAAAGAGAGAGAAGGACAGAGAAACAGACAAAAAGAGAAAGGGGAAAAAAAAAACTGTATCCTGGTTCCTGTAACCTGAGACAAAGGGTATATAATCTGTATCGAAGTCGGTCGTCGGGAAAGAAGGGGAAAAAAGAAATCTGGTGTGGTCCGCTCCATGTTCTAGGATGCCTTCTAGGATGCCTTCTAGAGTATTTGCCGTCTGAGTACCTGTATCGTTCTGTATCGGTCTTGGTCTATAATGTGTCGTCTAGTGGTCTTCGTCTTGGTCTTCATTCTCATCCTCGTCTAGCCGTGTAGTGAGCAGGTTGAACTTCTTTCCCTTGCAGGCCTCCACGATCTGCTGGGGGAGGCCCTTGGGACCCTCGGCCAGGATCAGCGTCTTCAGGTTTCGCGCCATGAACTCGATGTTCTCCAGGGCGCCGGCGAACAGCTCCGTGACCACCTCGTCGTTGCCAATCTCACCAAAGAACTCGAGCGTCTCCAGCTCGGGTGGGAAGCCGACCGAGTGCAGGCGCGGCTTCTTGGAGGTCTTGCCGAACAGCTGCGTGTCAAAGTTGAGGCGCAGCGTCTTGACCGCGACAAAGTCCCGCATGCGCAGCACCTTGCGGCCGCCCAGGGTGGGGTGGTCGATGACGATGGTCTCGAGGGCCTCGGCGCAGGGCTTGAGGGCCATGACGAACTCGTTAATCTCGTCGCTGCTCTCCTCCAGCTCGGGGGTTGGTTGCGCCGTGTGGGACATGTGAAACTCGCGCAGGCCCTCGGGGAACTCCATGATGTCTGCGAGGGCATCGTCGTTGATGTCACACTCGATGAGGTGTAGAGCCTTGAGGGCGGTGCTGTGGGGCCGCTCGAGGCTGTCGAAGCCGCGCTCGTCGAGCTTGGCGCGGCGGATGGTGAGGGTCTCGAGGGTGGGGTGGGTAAAGATGTGGATGTTCTCCTGCAGGTCCCAGTACTCGTCGTTGGGGCACTGGTAGAAGAGGGAGCAGGTCTTGAGGCAGGCGAGGTCAAAGGGCCCGTTGAAGAGGGTGCCGATGCCGTGTAGCAGCTTGACGGGCACGGCGATGTCGAGGGTCTCGAGGTTGGACATGGTCGAGAGGGTGCGCGACAGGCCGTCGATGCGGTCCGGCGAGTAGTGCGAGCGGTCCAGCGGCGCGTCCAGGATCAGGTGGGACAGCTCGGAGCTCGGATACTCCAGCTTGACATCGGCGATCATGGACCCACGGCGGGGCCGGCGGTCAAGGGTCTCGCTGAAGATCAGGTGCTGCTCGGGCGAGTCAAAGAGGAGGGACTTGTAGAGCGATGTGTCGGCAAGGTGGTGGTACCTCTTGTTGGCGAGCGACATGTTGCAGAGGTCGTGGCGCGACTCGCGCGCGAGCGTGTCGAAGATCATGAGCAGCAGCTTGTCTGGCAGCCTGGCGAGTCGGTCCCCCATCTGGCACCCGTCGTGGTGGTCGGCAGTGGCAGTGGCAGTGGCAGTGGGGGAGGAGGTGGTGGTCTCATGGCGGCAGCTGTCGGGCTGGGCGCACCTGGCGCAGCCGTTTTCAGTGGGTTCAGCAGCGTCGCGCGACATTCCTGACGAGGATCGGTGACAGTCGCAGTTGGGCGCATGAAGATCTGGTAATCCTCCAAGGGAAAATGCCCTCGAGATGGGCGTCAAAAGCGTGGCGACGACGCTGTGTGCTGAAGAAAAGAAGGCTCTCATGACGAGAGGAAGAAAAGGAAAGAAGAAGAAAAAGAAGAAGAGAAGGAGGAGGAGTGAAAGGACTAAGTTTAAAGAGAGAGTGGAGTGACAGTGACGAAAGAGCCACCGGACTGGACTGGATCGAGTGACAAGGCGGCACGCGTGCTGACTTGGAACTGAGACCAGGATGAGTTTGGCGCCTCAGCTTTCAATGGATTTGATCGGCTCTCTCTTCTTTCTCTCTCTTTTTCCTTTCAAAGCTTGTCGAGTTCAGTCCAGCCCAAATCAGACAACTCATCGATCCCTCGAGACTGAGCTGAGCCGCTCCCAGCGCGTCAGGTACCTTAAGCAGCGGGTAGCGTGGGTCGATGGAATTTTAGACCTGACCTCCTAAGTACTGACAATGATGAATTGGGTATTTCAGTAGAAGAGGATCATCTAATTGATGAAGATGAAATGAGAGAGCCAGATCAAATAACAGCATACTTGCAAGAGATAGAAAAGAAAAGGATATTGCTGAAATGAATTGTTGTAATTGTTTGCAATGCACAAGCCTCCCAGGTTGGGGCTGCGTTCTAGGGGCTCGAGAATGTATGCTGAGTTCCTACAGCAGTCGAACCAGCACGTTCTAGGCCAGAACTGAGCGCAGACCTAAGAAGGCCCTAGTGCACCCCGGATGACCCCCAAATTCTCCACAGGGAAGTTCCCTGCCCCAACGCCCGCGCCCCAAGCTTGTGTCAGACTGGGGAAGCAGAGGGTTGTTTGTTTAGGTTTGGAGAAACCAGGATTGACCGGGCAGGGCTGAGGAACCAAATAGTTATGCAAGGTCCCCAACGGATCAGATGCATATGAATTGATTAATGCAGTGGATCATGACTAGGAGAGGTCAAAATAGTAGCACCGAGTATTGAAAGACCCTGGGAGAAGAAGTGTGGGACGGAGAACGAAAGAGTGAGAGAGGCAAGAGAGGACGACTGGCGAGAGTCAACGAGAAGAGCCTGATTAATGTACCAAGTATCTTTTGAAACTGTTTAGTGTCGTGACCAAACAGTAACAGGTTACAATCCACCAGTGCAGATCATCTCACACCAAGGCATACACAATACTGAGATTCCTCCCACGATTTTCCAACTTTTTTCTTTTCTTTCTGTCTCAGATCCTGTCTCTGAGGGGAGTCAGACGCGCTGTTTTTGCCAGAGTGGAGCCATGCTGGGCGCCTGCAGCAGGGACCATGAGGCCCTCGTCTAACTGCCGCTCCCTGCAGACCTCACTTTCCATTCACATCCACATTCCCGACGAGTTCCATTGCCAACAATGACTACTGCAAGCAACCAAGTTAGCGCAGTGAGCGATCAAGATACTACGAGTCCAAAGCATGACACATGTACGTCACGAAATTATGCAGCAGAAGAGAAACGAGAGCCCCGCCTGACCTACGCTGACATAGTTACACGAGCAATAATGAACAGCAGCTCTGGGTGACAGACCACACACAGTCCACATAGCTCCATCACCGCCCGATGCAAGATGGGACCCATCGTGTCTTCCAACCGACGAGGCCGATGACGAGCCTCGCTGGACAGAGCTGCAGGTGGCATCGCGCAACGGCGACCTCGGCCGGGTGGAGGAGATCCTTGCACAGTACGATGACCCTTCTAGTAGGGCAAGGGTGGTGAATGCGCCTCCCTCAGGCTGGTACGGTCAGACTGCTCTGCAGGCCGCCTGTCTACACGAGCACCAAGAGGTGGTGCGGGTTCTGCTTGCCGCTGGCGCTGATATCTCAGCGCCTGGCGGGAACAATATATACCGCAATGCTTTCGAACTGGCTTGTGGAACGGGTACGTCGCAGTCGATCCAATACTGCTCAATTGAGAGAGTGTACTAAATCCCCTTCGAAAATCACAGGTAACCTGGGCCTCGTTCGCACACTCCTTGACGCTGGGGCTACCAAGTGTGTGAACCCTGTGAGAGTGACCAGGTATCAGGGCCGCACACCTGTCCAAGCTGCCGCGGAGGGTGGGCACTCGGACGTCGTCGAAGTCCTCTTGGAGCTAGGGGCAAATATCAACTCTCCAGCCTCTCCAAGCAGCGGGGTTACGGCGTTGCAAACGGCTTGTTACCGAGGACATACAGACTTGGTCAAGATGTTAATCGCGAGAGGTGCCGATGTCAACGGTCAACCAGGCAAGCATAGCGGCTATACAGCCTTACAGGGAGCTTGCTTGGTAGGGGAGACCGACATCGTCGAGCTCCTCCTCCAGAACGGAGCAGACATCAATGCTCCAGGTTCTAATACGCACGGAGGAACTGCGCTTCATGCTGCCGCCGCAGGTGGCCACTTGGACCTGGTGAACAGACTGCTGGATGCCGGTGCAGACCCCAATGCCCTGGCTGGATCTCGCGGTCAGACAGCTGTACAGACCGCGTTCGTCATTGGGAGGACGGATATTGTTGATGCCCTGGCGGCAGCCGGTGCCACGGGATCATTCACTGGGGGCAGAATATTGTTTGGCAATACTAGAATCAGGAGTTGGTCGACAAGCGAGATGCACATTGTGCAGGAACGTAATTAGAAAGGCTTTGCTTTGATTGATAGTTCAGACATATCAATCATGCCGTCCACGATCGGTCGCTGGCTTGCAGCCCAAATCACTGGCATATTTCCGTCACTTAAGAAACATGATTCTAAGCCCGAAAGGCCCCTTCTCTCATCTCTCTTGGCTGCGATCCCTCGGGGTTAATCCAATACTGCAGAAGCGCTTCCTCTGCCACAAATGTGGATACACTCGACAGGAGCTGACCAAGTTGACGACTTGTCCGCCGCGAAACTGTCCAAGTCCCAATTGTCGTCCAGCTCGTCCACCCTTGAAGGTGCTCTTAATGCATGTAGAAATTTGCACTTTGCTATTTTTCCAGCTTTGCTTCGCTGCACTAAGAAGAATACTTTGTGGAGGGCGAGTGTGTTCTGGAAAACGTTTTTCTCACAGCGCTTCCTGGGGTTGCATGCAGTTGGCGGAATGGTGTCCACAGCAATTATGAAATATCTTATGTAAGCAACAAGAACGCAAGTGAAGGTACTATTGCTTTACTAGTGGAACATATTGGCTATGTATTCATTGAGAACTGAAGAGAAATGCAAAACAAAAAGAAAGACGTTGAAGTAAAAGTAGCGAGGAAGAAAAACAAGAAAGCAAAAAAATCACAACAAAGGAAACGAACTCCAGTAAGCATACAAATACAAACTCAACTTTCTAAAATAATACCCTTTCCGCGATGTTCTCATCCTGCATAATTATTCAGTCCGTTCGTCCTCATTCCATCTTGATACAAAACGTCTGCAAGATAAAATGTTGCAAGGTGACAACGGATCCTCCGACAAGTCCCTTGACCTTTGCCACTGCCCACTTCTTCGCATGATTCCCTTCAAGCACGGAACGTGCCCTCTTTGACCTTCCGCGGCTCCTGCCCAGAACCAGCTGGGTACCTCCAATAAAGCGACAGGGCCGCGAGTACTGATTTCGCGTTTCCTTTAGAAATATAACCGGCCGCCTCGAGATCCGATATCACCACATAGTTCCAGTATCGGCAGCCTTCCCACTCCGGAGTGAACTGGTACTTCTGTCGGCCGTTGTGCATCACGAGGTTGACAATCTTCTGCACGGTCAAGCCGAGGCTGGCGGGCATCGTAATCTTCTTGACGTGGTTTTGTGTATAGGAGTATCGCTTGGACGAGATCTTGACCTTGCCTCTTAAGCCATCGCTGCCATAACCCGGAGCCATGTCGAAATTGGCCAAGCCTTCCCGCGAGGCGCTGAATACCACCTAGAGCCAACCAACAAGTCCTACTACGAAGCTAACAGGTGTGCTATGGTAGTGGTCATCAGCATGCCACTGCGAGACAAGACGCCTGCTGTAGGTAACTCAGCGTTGACGCTGGCCAGGGCCTTGCATCCTCACCCCACAATTTCGACAGCACCTCATTCTTGTTGTTGCTGCGTGTATCACTTCCTACCGTTAACACTTTGCGCGCAAGCACTTATTAGGCATTTGTTAATCGTACCTAAAAGCACAACCTAGTCACTCCTTTCATTACCTTCCCTGTTCCGACATTCATTGTCAACTGAGACACGTCAACCTAAGCAGCATGATCTACGACGATGTTGAAAGCACGGCAGAAATTGACTATGATTACGTCGCAAGGTGCAGCGACACCGAGCTATCTGAATATATCGGAGAGCTGCGAAAGACGTCAGAAAAGAACCCACATGTTATCAGAGTTTCGGAACATTACGTGTCGAAAAGCTACCGCGCTGATGAACTCGAGGACGTGAAACCTGCTATAGAGCGTGCAATCTCCCTTGGTGTTCGAGCACCGCCCATCAGGCGCATCGTGAAGAGGGCAGACGTTCTCGAATGCGTACAAGACCGCATCGACGGCCCTAACCTGATGAACTCGTGGTCATCTATCGGCTTGTTTACTACCATTCGCCTAGCCTTCCAGCTACGCGGGATGGTGCAGAAGATGAGGACGGCAAAGTCACCTACAGCAGGTTCCTTGGGAACCGGGATATGCCATTCCTTCTGGATAGAGGATCGACACAGGCTGCCAGTCAGTCCCAGCGCTCGGGTCATTGCGTGTGTCGTCAACTTCTGGTACAATCACAAAACATTCAAACAGGAGTCGAGAAAGACGCCTCAAGAACACTTCGAATCTGTCGACAAGCCCGTAGCCGTTGAGCCACTCGTCTTTACTCATCATGACCTCGCGCCTCGCAACCTCATGGTCGACTCGTCGAAAAACCTTTGGCTGGTGGACTGGGACTACGCCGGCTGGTATCCGCCTTACTTTGAGTACGCTGGCATGCACAACTTCGGGCCACCGACCACTTGGAGCCGACTGGATTGATATCGATGGAATATTTTCGCCTGGATAGCGACCGGATCATGTTGGAAGGAGCGCAGGATTTTGGCTGAGGCGCAGAGAAAGTCTATCCGGTTTCCTGCCGCTCGCCGATTCAACATCAAAGCTGGGGCAACACCATCTGCCAAATCACCTGACGACGATTGAGTGCGACGAGAAGAGCAATCTATCAAATAATATAGAATCGATGAATATTGCAGTAGAATGTTGTGCCGTGAAATGTTATTTGCCCCTACCAGACATCTAAGCTCATAGCAGCATTGTCATCAACACACCTCTTCGTTTCGCCGAAATCATGCCCCATGTCTATAGGCATGTTAGGGTGTCATTTGCAAGCTATAGTTGCTTGCTCTAGTCTATGTCTATTTACCAGCCGTGTCCATGTTTTCGCCATTCGACGTCTCTATTGTAACGTTTGCGTCATTCGTCTTCTTTTTGCGACTCAAGATCCCTTTGTGGGTCTCTGCCCATCGTTTGCCCTCTTCCTGGAGCTTCGCATCGTCTTCCCTCTTTAGGCTGTGACCCCTGACGAAGAAGAGTGTTGCAAAGAAGGAGATACAGCAGCACGGGATCATGAAGTAGTAGATGTTTCTTATGCCATGGGCTTTTGTGCCTTGTGGTTAGCACCTTTCAAGCCCAAAACTTGTGATTCGCACTGAGGATTGGGGCAGCGGATACACCAACTTACTATATGCCATGGTGGCTGCTGCTGACTGTGCCACAGACAAACCCAAAGTGCCGGCAGCAATTTTGGTAGGATCCGATATGATCTCGTCGATTGTCTCGGATGACAAAACGGAGGCAAGGTCGGTTCTGTAGATACCGGGTTAGTTACTTCTTGAAAGGGTTCGATCCTCAGTATTCTAAAAAGAAAATAGAGATATCACTCACTTTGCCGTATTATTCAAGATAGCAGCACAAGCAGCCAACGCAACAGTCCCACCCAGCAGCCGCAAGAAATTCCGCGTACCTGTGGCCACCGCCATATCTGGCCTGGCCACGCTCGCCTGTATGGCTACCAAACTGGTCTGGAACGTCTGCCCGGCCCCGATGCCGCTTAGGATCTGGTACCCGACGAGGCGGGCATCGGAGATGGAAGGCGAGATGGTGGACAGCAGGCCACAGGCCACGGTCCAGATGGCGAAGCCGAACCAGAGGTTGAGCTGGTAATTGCCCGTTTTGGAGACGAGGAAGCCGGCCGTGAAGGATGTCACGGTCTGGACAAGGATGAGGGGGAGGAGCATTATGCCTGAGCGGATGGGTGTTGCGCCGCGGACGACTTGGTAGAATTGAGGGAGCTGAGACGGGAGGATGCTGGTCAGAACTTGCAAAGGATGTTGGAATGGGCTGGGAGAGCTGATTGTGTACTTACATAGTATAAATTGCAGTAGAACATGAAGCCTGTGAAGAATGCGCCGGTATAGGCACCGGCAACAGTGGGGATCTTGAAAATGTGCACTGTGGTGAAATGCTCAGTCAGCTTTCCTGGCTCCATCCCTTCGGGCTGAGGTGCTGAGCTCCTAGGAGGTATCAACGTACTGGGAATGAGCGGCAGTGCGGCCACTTTGAACTCAATGACGATGAAGGCAACGAACAAAGCAACGCCGAGGACAAGGGGCACAATGAATCCGGCCGAGTTCCAGGCATACTGAGTTCCACCCCTGTACTCTTGTCAGCATTGTACAATGAGAGGGAGAAACACAGGGGGAGAAGACTAAATTCAATCTTGAGCGGCACCTACCAGGACAGTGGAAGAAGTATCAAGATCGCGGAAGCCAACATCGTGACACAGCCCAAGTAGTCAATCTTCTTCAATTTCCCCTTGACGTCCCCCTTGGGCCGCTTGAGAGGCAGAACAAAGGCAACCACGAGGATAGCAGTGCTCGTAAGAGGGATGTTGATATACTAGAAAGTGAACAGGATCAGCCATCAGCCTCACACGATCGTTTCTCCGTTGTTTCAAAGGGAGTTTGGAAGAGTTTCAGTAATATGTTGACTTACGAAACACCAACGCCAAGAGACTGCTTCCGAAAAGACACCACCGATCAGGGGACCAAGTGAGTTCGATATCGCCACCACGACACCAAGTATGCCCTGATATGTGCCACGTTGCTCTAATGACACCACGTCTGAGGTCACAATCATGACAGAAGTCAAGATACCGCCTCCACCAATGCCCGAAATAGCTCCTACACGACACGAGTTAACAAGGGGCGCACAAACAGAACGAAACTCACAGAAGACGAGACCCAGACCTACGGAAGACGATGAGCATAATCATGCTCTGCGAAACCGCGCACAAGATCGACCCAACAAGGAAGAAGCCCATGCTGCCCAGAAGGATCACCTTACGGCCGAAAATGTCCGAAAGTCGACCATAGAGTGGCTGGCAGGCCGTCGAGGTGAGAAGGTATGCCGTGCCGACCCATGATGATATAGAGGCATCATTGAAGACTCGCCCAAGTGTGGGTAGTGCCGTTGATACGCTACAGTCGAATCAGGTCAGGAGCCTGGCGTCAGGGTGTGAACTTTGGAAGCAGACCGACTCACATGGTTTGGTCAAGCAGGGAGCCTGTAAATCACAAACGAGTTTCACATCAGTCCTCTGCCATACATGCCCAGGGCTCGACATGAAGAGAAGAAAAGAATAATCATAAAATAAGTATGGATAAAAGATCGAGATACAGGTTACTCACAAAACAAGGCACAACTCAAGCCAACGAAGACGACGATAAGTTGTTTGAAGGGAAGAAGATTTGTCTGGTCTTGAAGCTTGTGCTTCTCCTTTTCGGGAGCCGCCTCTGCATCAGGACCACCAACTCCCCTGGCATTCTCAGCCTCTTCTATGCTGGACGGCACATCCTGGCCAGAGTCGAGCTCAGCTGATATCTTGTGCGGGTGACCGTGCAGGATTCCGTCATCGGCTGCAGCAACCGGGGCTGTATGAGCTGAGGCTGACTTCTCTGAGATTGGCGCGGTCTTTTCCATACTTTCTGCCCACTCTCTTTTCCTTAGAACTGATGCTCTTGGAAAGAGAATGGAAATCAGAGACCCAAGTTGAGCATGTCGGGATAGTTATGGAGCTCTGAATGGAAGGGTCCTGGCCAAGGAAACCCTCTGCTTTTCCACTCCTTTCGATCTCGGATGGCTATAGCCGTCCACTAGTTACGTGTACGACATTTTCCAGCAAATCATCTCCATAATTACTGTCGTATATTGACAAGTAGTATGTGGCCGCCATGTCGCCCCCCGGCGGAACTTGTCGCTTACAACGGAGATGGTCGCCTGTGCGGTATATCCTCGGGTCTTCCCTTGACTGACTTTGACTATTACGCATTGCGGAGGTCATACTGGCCGGAGTGGGGTCTTGATTTTCTTAGGCGAGAAGTCCGGGGGAGCATCAAGTTTGTTCGTACTTGTTTCTACACAATCCACAACGGCCACCACGCCTCGTCTAAACCTCGTCCCCGCAACGGCTCTTCAGGGATTCCCCGCAGATCTGGGGGTTCAGTCCATAATGAGGGGATAGATCTAGCGTCCAAAGTGTGCTGCTAGTGATGGGATCGAATGTTGTTTCGGTGTTTGAAAGATTCAGCTGGAGAGTATTGAGTGTTGAGGGCCAAGAAAGCGCACTACCTTGCCGGAGAGAATCATATCATTGGAACACATATAACTAGCTTCACGTTGCCGCATGAATCCTCCTAGCACTTGTCATCATTTTTATATATGTTTTATTCCCTTGGAAAGTGATGTATCAGTTACTTTGTCATCAAATTTTCATACCAACTGATCTGATATAGGTATTTGGTCCGAGGAGGTCTTTCCTTTATCTTTGCAGCCCCCTTTTTCGCTTATTGATCACTGCAGTTACACCGGGGGAAGGGAATGGTCGCTGTCCTGTGGGTCGTCACAAGGGACTATCGACCAACGGCATTGACCCAACGAGCCAACATCCTGCACCTGCAGCTGCACAGGACAGGAAAATCAAAGATTTTTCCAATCGACCGTACGGCTGTTGTTTCTGTCTTTTCTCTTTCGGTCGTTTGAAGGGTAGAAATCACGAGCTTTGTGTGTTCCAGCACATCAATCAGAGATCGCAGAAAAACGCCGCCCTTTGGCTTTGGAGGCGAACTCGAGGCTCGTCCACAACGACACTGCATCGACCAGTATACACGCAGCGGACACCATGACTTCCAAAACGGCTGAGGTTAGCATGGACATCACGCAGTCCAAGGAGGAGGATGTGACCGCCGACGAGAAGCAGCACGTGGCAGAGCTCGAGGTCGCGCAACAGGCCACTCTCCAGGAGGCCAAGTCCATTCGGCAGACATTTCAGGATGACAAAAAAGTCTTCGCAGTGGTCGCGGCAGCTCTTGTAATGGAACTCCTTTCCATCTCTCTGACCCTTGATGCTCCCTATTCTATTACTCTGGTGATCTTATCGCTGGCATAACCGCTGACAAGGGGCATGTCAACACAGGCCAGCGCGCTCATCCTCGGGACCGATTCTACAGCCGTCACCGCTCTTGTCGGATCACAGTCTTTTTGCTATGTCATGGGCAACGGCTACAAGTCTGGTGGAAAATATGCTGTAACTCCCAAGACGGTCTCAATGTAAGTTATCTACCAAACTTCTCATTCCTCTCAATGCACCCGGCTGGCCCGTCTCACCGCTCACATGTGCTCTTTTACTTAGCTGGAACGCAGTTGCTGCGCCGGCCCAGGTACTTGGCCAGTTCAGCATGGGCCCCATTGCAGATTACTTCGGCCGACGCACCGTCATTTTCTTCAACCTTGCAGTGATGGTGATCGGCGTCATTGTCGAGTTCGTCGCCACCAACTGGAAAGTGTTTGCCGTTGCCAGATTCCTGCTTGCTTTCGTTTCCGGTCTTACCCAGGCCACGGCTCCGTTGTACATTGGCGAATTGGCCCCCAGAAATGCCAGAGGGCTCATGATCTCTCTGTTCCTGTTCATTTGTACGTCTGGTCCCTCTGTTCATTCATGACTTGCAATGGGAGGAAAGACAGCCTCATCCTTTGGAATTATCCGCTAACCGACCACAGCTTCCATCGGAGACCTCATCTCCGTCGTTCTATGCTACGTGGGAGCGGAAGTCTGGCCAGAAGCCGACAACAAGTGGGCGTACCGGATGCCACTTCTCGTCTGTGTCTGTCTTCCAGTCATTGTCCTCGTCGTCCAGGTCTTCCTCCTCTGCGAGTCGCCCGCGTGGCTCATCATGCACGGCAAGACGGAAAAGGCAAAGAAGATGATCCTGTTCATGTATCCCAACCGCAGCGAAGAGGACCGCGAGCTCATCTACGCCGAGTATGAGTACACCCTCGGCCAAGAGGCGGAGAAGAAGGAATTGGTGAGTTCTCATAGTCGTTCACTCCTGTGGGTTTGAAACAGATCGCTGACTTGGAAAATTGCCTTTGTCCTCCTGCAGATGAAGCAGTCAAGCTTCACCGAGTGCTTCAAGGGAACTGACCTACGCAGGACATTCTGTGCCTTTTTCCCTCCATTGACGGCATCGCTGGCGGGCAACGTCATTACTGGGCCCCAAAAGACATATTTGTAAGTAAAAAATCTTAGGTAATTGGAACCTATAGCAAGGGTTGTTCACTGAAATCCATTCTTTCCTCAATTCCAGTTTCACGTTGGCTGGCCAGTCCAACTCACTTGAGTCGACCTGTATCGCCATCGCTCTCCAGATCTTGGCCATTATGACTGTGTTCTTTTTGAGCGAGTTCAAGGCAATTGGGCGAAGGAGGCTTCTCCTAACGGGAGAATGTGGTCTGCTGATTTCCATGAGTGCGTATACATCCTATATCATCAGCATTCTTTAGCTATTGTCACATATATCTCCCCTCTTGCCCCAAGCAACGACAAGAAATACTTGTACTGACCTCATTTGCTGGAACATAGTTGGCATCGGAGTCTCAGGTCTGGCTACGAAACTCCCATACACACTGCAGACTGGCCACATCATGCTAGCCTTCCTCTGCATCGGCTCTTACAGTTCTACTCTGGGCCCCAACGCCTGTGGCTGGATCTACATAGGCGAGTCTGGGTCCATGCGGCTGCGTGCCAAAACTGCCACCATCGGCGCCCTGGGCAACGGCATTCTAGGTGTCACATATAACATCGCCATCCCCTACATGCTAGAGACGGACAGGCTGGGCGTCGGGGGCTCTGCTCTTTATTTCGCGGGCTTTGGCGTTATTACGCTGCTGGTCACGTACTTTTTCATCCCGGACTATACTGGGCGGTCGTACGCGCAGATCGACGAGCTCTTCAGCAGGAAGATTCCGGCCAGGAAGTTCCGTGGCACTGTCTGTACTGGTAACTATGGCCGGGATATCCTGCATCATGAGATTGAGGGGCAGGTTCCGGAGAATGAAAAGTCAGAGTAAAGTACGTTGTGAGAAGAGCAGAGAAAGGGAATGCTGGTCTGGATATGATTAGTCTAGCAACAGGGGAGGAAAGCCATGAGGAGGAGAATACCCCCGAACAGCTCGCGCAGGAGCATTTAATTCGTCTTGATAAATTGAACATTACCCTTTCCTCATCAAGTGGCTTTTCTCAATGTCAGTTTGAGTGTGACGGTCTTTAAGTAACTGCACTGAATACCAATGTGTGACAAACTGGATTGTGAAGTAATCGAAATGACAGAGAAAGTCGAGAGAAGAGTGTGAAGAATCACGAAAAGAGAGGCGCCCTTCCGTAAGAATTACACATGAGGGTGGCAAGAGGGCAATTGGGTTATGTAGGGACTTTCCAAGACACTTGGTCTCGATTGATTTAACGCTGTTAATTTCGGTCTCGTTGGGAAACCTGTAGTATCCATGCCTCCTCCTCAACACAGATGGAAAAGGAGAGACAATAGAGAACATCAGGACACGCCCAGCTGACAAGACAGCCAAGAGATCCATTTCTATCTCACCACACCTTCTGTATCGCAAAGTAGTCCTTCCAGAACTTTTCACGCTCCTTGCTCTTCGCATTCGGGATCAGCCTCATCTCCTTACCTATCTCCATCACATGGTCAGGGTCCTCTGCAGCAGTGGGCCATGGCGCAAGCTGTGGTGCACCGTGCCTATTACCACCATCTTTTACACCATTTGGGTTCCCAGTCTTGATAAAATTGGCCCAGAGCTCGCTGGCCATATCAGCCACGCCCCGATCCACGTCCGTGTAAGGATCCCATGGGGCCGTCCACAGCGAGTCAAAGACATACGGGATCTCAGCAGCGTGGTACGCACCGGTGCGAGAGCCGTTGAAGAAAACATAGCCCTTGGCCTTGGGCACAGGATAATCAGTGCGGAACCCTCGTCGAGGTGGAGGCGCGTGCGTCCAGAAGTAGATGAAGATGTCAGATTTGGCGTGCCGGGCCCACAGCTCGTGGTGGAGGTGCGGGCCGACTCGAGAGTTATCGCGGCACGCGGCGTTCCACTTGTCAAGCGCAGTGGCGGTGGTGCCCTCCCCGTCGTCTCCATACAGCTGGAACCAGCGCTCAGACAGCGGGCCGTACTTGATCCTGGCCACCTCGTCGAGGTCCTGGTCGTTGAAGTCCGGGTGGGTGTAGTTGCCGCTCTCGTCGGCGTTTTGCCCGTTGAGGAGCGGCACGTCGTTCATGGTGCCCTGGAGAAGTGTGTCCTCGTAGGTGCGAGGGAACAGCCAGCCGTCGAGACAGGCACGGTAGAAGGGTGGTGGCCCCCACATGGTCGTGTCGTCGCGGTGATTTCCCTCGAGCAGCTTCTCAAGGCTCATAGCACGCATGTCGGATATGTCCTTGGCGCCCTTCTCGGCGAGGATCATCTCTCCTTCGGACTCAGCCTGGTCTTTTGTGCGGTACGACGGGGCGAGGCACGAGATCAGAGGATCGCGCGGGTGACGGGTGCCAGACTGGGAAATGACGCCGTGGAAGAGGCCCTTGGACTCTGGGCCGTAGAGATGGAGGCCGACACAGGCTGAGCCCGCTGACTGGCCGCCGATGGTGACCCTTCCTGGATCTCCACCAAAGGCCTTGATGTTTCTCTGGATCCATTGGAGACAGGCGATCTGGTCCAGGAGACCATAGTTGCCCGAGGCGTTGTGTCCCGACTCTGCAGACAGGGCAGGATGGGCAAGCCAGCCGAGTATGCCCAGGCGGTAGTTGAAGGTTATCACGATGACCCCTTTGGCAGCAAGCGATGTCCCGTCAAAATTATTGTCTGTGCCTGCACCCCACAGGAACTTGCCCCCGTAGATCCAGACATAGACAGGATACTTGGCCTGGCCCAGATCCTCGGGCTGAGCAGGGGTCCACAGGTTGAGGTTCAGACAGTCCTCGCTCTGCCGCGGCTGGAGATGCTCCTCTGTCCAGTACAACGGCCCAGGAGGCAGCTGGGGGGCGATGGGCCCAAACTGGGTGCAGTCCCTTGCGCCTGACCAAGGTTCTGCAGGCTGAGGAGCGCGCCATCGATTTTCTCCGGCCGTGCTAGCAGCGAAAGGCACGCCGCGGAAGATGGTGACGGAGGGCTTGTGTTCTGATGGGAAGCCTGCAACAAGGCCTGTCTCGATCGAGACAGGGTCATGTAGAGGCATGTTGCGTGTGTGTGTGTGTGTGTGTGTGTGTGTGTGTGTGTGTGTGTGTGTGTGTGTGTGTGCTCTCGTTGCTTCTTTTCCAATGTAAAAGGAAATAGACTTTGCTGATTCCAAATTGAACCAAGTTACAAGCGTGTTATCACAAAATGATACAAGGCCGTCCTCAATTAGAATAACTGGTACCTGATATTGATTCAGGATGTGTATTGTAAGTATAAGGCAGGATGTTCATTCCAGTCACCACTATTCGGATGTGCAGCGGAGGATGTCGCTTATTTTGGGTCACCCCACAGTACCACAGAATATCCATTTCAGTACGGTATGATCATAGTACTATCGGTCCAAAGACGGCCCCACAACCACAGTACGTTGAACTAGTAAACTAACCAAGCACCATCTCCACAAGAGTGTGACCTAGATTCCGGAATAGATCTGGGACCCGGTCTGAGGAGATGCCCAGTTCAAGGCGCTGGACTGCTGCTATCTGCCAGCATCTCAAGACGGAGGGACGATATCTCTTCTCAGACAAGACAATGCTTAGGGAAGCGAGAGGCTCCGGATCTCCACCAGCATAAATCAGGGCGACAGGCAGCCCCTCTCTGCAAGCAAGGAATGCAAGACACGTGGAAAGAAAAGGTTCGAGCGGGACTTTACATAGTATGCCGTAGTACAATTGCCACCATGCCCCTCTCCTCTAGCTTTAGAGGGGACGGGGGTCCACGCGGCTCAGTCAAGAGCCTGAATAGAGTTGTACACTGGTCTTGACGCTCGGATCTCGCCTGAGGGGAAATGCAACAAAGAGTGCCCCCGGGACAAGTCGCTTAAGAAGCAACTCATGGGCCCCCAAACTCTCGGCTGGCATCTTCCGCAAATCTGTACTGTACACACACTCTCTCTCAACCATCTCGACAAATAGTGTTTCTCTCCTTTCGCTAAAAAAGATCAAGGAAAATACGAGACGAACTCAATCGATGAACCACCCTCCTCCGCCCCCCTCCTTCGTGCCACGATGGCTACGGGACACCCACTGTCGAATCCCCACCCGGAAAGCTACAGTACTACCTTTTCTTCGCCCGTCTCGGCTGCTGGTGGGAGCAGTACCACACTTACGGGCCCGCCAAGCAGCGGACCGTCTGGTCCCGTTTCTGCTACTTCAATATCAACCCCTACTCTTGCCCCCCCTCCTCCTCCAGCAGCAGCAGCAGCGGCGCCAGCAGCGGAGCAAAAAGTCAGACGGGTCCGCACAGGCTGTCTCACCTGTCGTGCAAGGAAGGTCAAGTGCGATGAGGCGCCAGGAGGCTGTAATAATTGCAAGAAGAGGTCGCTAATCTGTGACTTCACCGACATTACTGTTGCCGGCCATCCGTACACATCGTCATCCTCCTTGTCATGCGCGTCCACCAACCTCCTGGAGAGCTCATCCGCCGCCGCCGCCGCCGCCACCACTTCCGCCTCTCTCCTCCCTCCCATTGTAGACCCTAATAATTCTCATACTCATCATCATCATCATCATCATCATCATCATCGCCAGTCAGCGTGTGAACAATGTCGGAAGGCTCGTAGCAAGTGCTCGCAGGCCCTGCCCCGCTGTGCCAGGTGCTCGCTGAGGCAGCTCGACTGCGTATATGCCGACGTCAAGACGGGGGATGAAGTGAGGCTCACGGCCACGGCGAGAAGCCGTATTGACAAGGCCAAGCAGCGCAAGAAGAAAGAGTTGGGAGTGTTACAGCAGCAGCAGCAGCAGCAGCAGCAGCAGCAGCAAGGAGGAGTTGATCATAGCAGACAGCCACACCCACACCCACAAGCCCCATCAGTGGTCCTCCTCGAGGGTCCTCCGTTGCCACAAGTCCAAGTACCGGCCCAGGCCCAGACACAGGCTACGCTGGCTGCTGGGCCTATTGCATCCAGCGGTAAGCATCCCACCAGTCTAAGCAGGTTCTCTCTTCTTCCTATCATAGAAGATTTCCGGCCCCATTCGTTCTCTTGTTGACTGTTGACGTCCACTGGTCACTGTTGACTTGTATGGTTCCACTTGCTCACATAATTGAACTTTTTCTCTTTTATTATAGAGATACTGTGCTCCGCTGCTGCTATTCATCCTCAGCCTAGACAGCAGGAAGAATCAAATGTGCTGCAGACGCTAGCAACTCCACAGGCGGCGGAGACTGACGGCCTGCCCGAGAATGTCCTCCCGTACGTCGACGCGTTCTTTACTCACGTTGCATCGTACCAGACCAATGGCTTCGTCCATCGTGGAATTCTCCGGCGCCAGATCCGAGACGGCAGGGCTTCCGAGACGCTGTTGTTGGCCATTTGTGCCATCTCGGCGCAGTTCATCGACCAGCCAGTAAATTCTGCTGCAGTAGCCACCTCCAGAGCGCTATCCCCTGCAGGCAACAACAATAATAATAATGATAAGAATAATAGCAGCAGTGGCCAGGCCAGTCGATGGGCAAGGCTAGCCATGCTGCAGCTGATGACAAGAACGTCGACCATTACCCTCCACCAGGCCATGGCGGCCCTCATTCTTTGCAAGCATGCCGTCTATAGCGGTGACTTCAACCGGTCTTTCCTCCTTGCCGCCCTGGCCAACCGCTTTGCGCTCAAGCTCCGCCTCTTCGACGAGGCCAAGTGGACAACGGGCCAAGACAACAACCACGAGAACCTGCGGTGGGTCGAGAGAGAGCAGATGAGGAGGGTCATGTTTGCCTGTTATTGCGTAGACAGGGCAACAGCGACAGGGCTGCGTGAGTTGACCTCTTGTCCGGCCGAGAGCATTAAACTCCAGCTGCCGTGCGAGGACCATTATTTTGAGTACGTACATATTGCTACCCCTCCCATCCCTTCAGGATATAAAGTTGTAGCTTCTGACTTGAGTGTGTGTGTGTTTGTGTTCGTGTGTGTGTGAGCAGATATGATAACTCCTGTATCACGCCTGTTCCATCTCTGGAGGTTGAGGAGTTATCATCTGGTGAGGGCACCTCTGATGCGGTGGGAATCATGGGGCAATATGTATTACTTGCTGGAATACGTTATGTGATATTACGGTAAGACATAATGATTTCTAGTCCTTGCGTGCTGATATTCTCGTTTTTCTTCTATTTTAAGTTTATTGATAGTCTTTTTCTGTTGTATTCTCCTTTTTTTTGGTTGTATTCTCCCTCTTGATTGATTCCTTTCTTCTCGCCGTGTCCTCCTCTTAAGACTAGCTTTTCTTCCACAACCCCTCGCCCGCCCAACAACTAGGCACTTTGCGTGCTTCGAAATGTATTGACGAAGGACTTGTTCTAGCTACATCGAGGGTCTACCAGACCCCGACTCCCTCGCGCCATGGGACCACGCGTCAGACTACATGCTCTGCGTGCGCAAACTCTCCCGCTGGTCCGCTGACCTCCCGACCCGCCTCCAACTGCGCCGTGAGAACCTCTTTAACCGGCACGACACCCCGCAGCTGGGTCCCATGGTGATGCTGCACCTCTGGCACGACATGCTCCACTGCGAGTTGTACAGACTCGCGCTGCAGAATCACCCGTCGCCGCGGGTACAAAATATGTTTGTCATGGCGCCGCAAGACTGGGTCAAGTCCACGCGGGAGCTGTGCGTCTACCATGCCCGCAGCATGGCTAAGACGCTCGCCATGGTCGAGTCCGAGCTGGGCGGCGAGGGAGGCGGCGTTGGCGGTAGTGGTGGCCTGCGCATCCTTGATCCGAGCCTGGCTACCATGTGTTATGCGTCCATCAAAGTTCAGCTGATGGGCTCGGCGGTGGGTAGCTCGCCTGGTCTGCCGGATGCGCTGCAGGGCGGCGATCTGTTGGAACAGTGCGAGATTCTTTTCCGGTTCGTGGAGAGGCTGTCGTTGTATTTCAAGCCTGCGCTTTTTCTTGTAAGTGGTTTTACAAGTGTCTTGACTGTGTTTGGTTGCAAAGGGTGGGTGCAAAAACACTTTCCTCCAGCACATGCTGACGACTTTGCATGCAAACAGCTTCATGAGATGAAGAGTACACTGCACAGCAGCGGATTGACTGGAACATGGAGGTAAGGATGCTATTTATGTCGCCGTTCTATATGTGATCCTGTTGCTTTATGTTAACCGTGGGTACAACAGTCAATCTTCTATACCTACCAGTGGAACGCAACCCCAGGACCACCCTTTTCTTTCCCGATTCCAACAGCTCGACCAGCCATCACCAACAGAGGTGAGTTTTGATAAAAAGAAATTCGTCAGTGACAAGCCTTGCTGACCATCATACCTACCAGGTGGATCCTCTGTACCAGAACCCTGGCGGTCTGAATCTGTTTCCCGAGATTCAGTTGAATTATTTCGACCAGTTCGAAATGAACATTCCAGACTGGCTGAGATCCAGTTGAACTAATGTGGCCATTTCGGACAAATATTCCAGACTGGCTTAAGTGAGAGGGAGGCAAGCCCTCTGGTTCACGAAACGATTTGATGATGATGGAAAATGAAAGGCTTAAGCCGGGTTGATTTGGGACACGTCTCAAACCAAGGAAATGCTGGGGTCTTCATGTTTTAGGGTCGGTATCGTAGAAGGATTTCATTCTGGGTTTGGTGGAGTTTTTCTCAATTTACTACCACAAACAACGATATATTGCCGGTCAAGTACTCTATAACAAAGATCCGCAGACAGGATCACAAGACGACCGGAAGGACAGGAAGAAGTCTATATGCAGCTCAGGAGTGATAATATATAATTACAATGTTCACCTTTAGTTTTTGAGACTTCGATCTGACTCGAAGGCCCTTTAGAAAGAATTCTTGGCTGATACTTGCAAAATACGTAAGGGCTCAGTGAATAACATACTCGGAATCTTATCAACTTCATGTCGAGACTGGGCCGACAGGCTGACTTCGACACCATCACGTATGATATCAGAAGGGTCTTACTTATTCTCTTTGAGAACAACAAAAAGTAGGCAAAGTTTCTGAAATTAATAAAGATAACCATGGTTGATGGGGTTTTTCTCAACTCACTTGGTACATGAAAAAAAAAAATGCTTACATAATCTCAAATTACTTACGCAAGATGTCAGCGTCGCTTCCAGAAGGTCGGTCGTCTCAGGTCTTCTGATCTCCTTGAAACACGACAACGATACCAGAAGATCTTTGACAGTTCAGCTCAACTTCACAACACGAGGCCGGCCCTTTCAACCTACATTCATGCCATCTCATAAAGGCTCAACCATTCTAGTCAGCTAATAGCTCAACTCATCAGCCATGGCAGACTCAAGCACAACCACCACCACCAACCTTCCCAAGACCATGAAAGCATGGATCGTCACCAAGAACGGAGCCCCCAGACAAGCTCTCACCCTCAAGACAGACTACCCTGTCCCAAGCAGCGTAAAGTCCGGTAACCTGCTCGTCAAGGTCGACTACGCCGCCCTGAACCCAGCCGACCTCAACTTCATGTCCACGCTGCCCAACTGGCTGCCCTTCCGCCGCAACCCAACCGTCGGGCTGGACTTTGTAGGAAAGGTGGTCCGTGTAGGGTCGGCAGTGTCCACTGCAAAGCTCGGCATCTCGGTCGGGTCGGAGGTCGGTGGCGCGCTCAACGTTGTGTCTGTCGCCATCGGGCGTGGCAGTCTGGCAGAGTATATCGAGGTTCCGGCGGCCAAGGTGGTTCTGAAGCCGACCAAGATCCAGCTGAGGGATGCGGCTGGTGCTCTTGGGGTTGCTGGGCAGACGGCGCAAGTTGTGCTCAAGAGCGGTAACGTCAAGCCTGGGGATCGGGTTCTTGTCAACGGGGCCAGTGGCGGGGTGGGCTCGGTGCTTGTTCAGGTAGCTAAAGCCAGAGGAGCCACTGTCTACGGTGTCTGCTCTGGTGCGAACGCAGACATGGTTAGAGGTCTTGGGGCAGATGAGGTAGGTCTGAGGAACGATCGACGTGACTGGTGGATGATAACTCTGACACCAACATGCAGGTCATCGATTACAAGGCTCACGACTCCTTGTCCTCGTATCTCGCCCAGCAGTTCAAACCCGATTCGAAACCTCTCCACCTCATATTGGACACTGTCGGCAGTGACGAGCTGTTCCGGAAATGCAGCAGCTATCTCGATCGAAAAGGAGCGTTCATCACCATCGTGGGCGGCATCGGGCATGGTACGATCCTGAGAAGCAAGCTTCTGCCCACTATCCTGGGTGGAACGCCACGGAGGTTTGAAATGCTGTCTCTTTTCCCCGATGGGGCGATTGCGAAGGAGGTCGCTAAGGTAGGTTATGTGTCTTTTCAGCACCAAGTTTCAACCTTCCAGCGTTCTGACATACAGCAGTGGATCGAAGACGGCGACTTTCATGATTTTCCAGTGGACTCGGAATACCCGATGGAACAGGCGGTCGAGGTATGATTTCTTTCGTTTCTGCACCCTTCCTTATTTTCTGTTGGTGCTAACCCAAATTTCTTGCCAGGCTTATGAACGAGTTGCAAGTAAGAGGTCCAAAGGCAAGGTTATAGTCAAGGTGTCTGAATAGGTCGGACAGAAGCGACAGTCGTAGGCATTCGGATGTCATCTAAATTTAACATCAAAATGAATGTATAGATAGGAAGGAATAATCGTAATCTGTCAGCAGTCATGATGAAGGACACACTGATGAGATCTGATGATTTAAAGAATGACCATCCCCTCTCCTTCTAATCAGCCTTAGGCGTGTCCCGGTACGCCTCGGGCAATATTCCCTCCACGGCTGCCTTGATCTGCAAGGCCAGCGGCCATGAATAATACCGATGCATCGCAGTCGTCCCTCCAAAGATCCAGTAATTCTCCATCCTCAGGTTCCGCTTGAAAACACCACGGAGCTCGCCCTCCTTGTCCACGCCCCAGATGGCATCTCGTCTCGCAGCCACATCCTGCGGTCCTAAAACCTCGCTCTCGTTTTCCCCAGTCACTCTCCCCGCTTCCTCTTTCCCCTCCTCCTCGTCTACAAACAGTTTTCCTCCAAGAGTCTGAGCCGTCACCGACCTGTCCGTGTCTTTGAACCCCGTGCACCACACGATAGCATCAGCGTCAAGCTTCGACCCATCACTCAGCACCAGCCCCGTGGAACTATACGCCACCGGCGAAACATTGCCCCTAACCGCCACCTTCCCAGAGACAATCATGTCGATGCCCTCCCCGATATCATTGAAATGGCCGCCGCCCCTCTCAAGCAGGTAGTGCATCAGATCGCCATCGCCCGTCACACCATCAAAGACAGGAAATCCAGCCTCTGCAAGCGGCTTGTACCTGTCCGGCTCCCGATGCGCCAGCGCCACCTGCAGGCCTCTCGCCAGCTGGCCCGAGATCGAGGTCGGGCCCGACATTTGCATCTTGTCGACGCGTTCGGCTGGTAGGGTGGCGTACAGGCCTAAGCCTTGAGGGGCAAGAGAGTACTCCCATGGGAAGATGTAGGTTGGGGAGCGGGCGATCATGGTCGTCTGCAGGCCGGCAGCGGCGCAGTCTTCCATTACGTCGAAGGCCGAGTTGGCGGATCCGACTATGATTACGGACTGGTTTGTTTTATCGTTGTGATGATGTATTCACCCTGTCAGTGTTTTTCTTTCTTTTAACATTGAGAAGAAGAAGAAGAAAAAAAGGGGGGGCGGAAGTGTGTCCATTAATGTTATTGACAAGCTCACCTTTGCACCTCGATCAGTCAAAGTTTTTGGGTTCTTATACTGGGCCGAGTGAACAACGACACCCTGATACTCCCCAGGGAGCTCAGGAACATAGGGTGCGACGCCAAACACGCCCGTCGCCTGAACAAGATGCTTGCTCTTCACCGTCCTGACTCCCTGTGGCGTGCGCACCTTGAAGGTCCAGATACCGCGGGCCTGGTTCAAGGAGCAGCCTTCGACGACAGAGGAGTTGAATATGGGCAGATGGAATGCCGCAGCGTAGTTCTTCATGTGGTTTGCGAGGTCTTGTCTGGTAAGGATGACGGGGAGGTGGTCAGGGTAGGCTGTGGAACTTGTTATTTCACCAATACTTTGCACCCTCGAGAGAGAATTGAACTCGTAAACAGAGAAAACAAAATGAGAAAATAAGAGAACGTACGCAGGTAAGGAGTCTCGCAATTGTGACGGCCAATGTGGAAGCGGAGACAGTCGTACCGCAGTGCCCAGTTGTCTCCTGGCTGAGGATTCTTGTCGACAACCACAGTGTCGACGCCAAGTGCTTTGAGACGGGCGGCGAGGATGAGGCCACTGATACGATCATGTCCAAAATGTCAGCCGAACCCTTTCACCTCAAGAATCGCAAGTGAAGGTACTTGAGAGAGGGAAGAATGAGAATGTGATCTTACCCATTGCCACCTCCCAGGATGAACACATCCGTCTCGATCACCTCGTTCCCTTCCAAATTTCTGCCAGGAGCTTTCAGGGCATCCAGAGCCTCTGGAAATGACTTTAGAGCATCAATCCAGGTAGACATTGTCCAGATCTTCCACACAATGCGCCCCTCCTCACCACCAGCATCCTCCTCCTTCTCCTCAGGAAAAAGGATCACCCGCCCCCCACAGGCCGCAGCAGGACTGCCCGTCTCGAACGAAAACATGCCCTCGACCCACTGCAGAGCAGGTGTGACGACAACATGCTTCACGCTGGCCACATCAAGGTTCAACTCGCCCGTCCAGGCCCGCTCGCGCTGAAGCTGGAGCAGGGCGGGTGCGATGGCGGGGCCGTCGTTGAAGGTACGGATGTGCCATGTCAGGGCAACGAGGTCGCGCCAATAGGCCTGGGAACCTAGGAAGCAGGACTTCACAGCGGCGAGATCGTTGGCCTGAAGGGCGTCGTGGAGGGACGTGAGGCCGGTCTGGACGAGTGCGGCGGCGTCGATGCTGGCTGGATCGATAGGAAAGTTTGTGGGGAGAGTGGGAAAGGGGCGGTAGACTTCCTTGGAGAGGCTGGCTTGTGGAGGATATTCCTCAGGTAGACGAGTCACTGTAAAATGGAAGGTAAGTAATCAAGGTGTCAGTTCTTCATGTGGTGATGTTGAACCATTTCGGCAGAGACTGGAGAGAGAGACTGGGAAGAGAGACTGTGTACGTATGTGTGAGGACGTGGGATCTTTGGATTGAGGGCGTGTAGCACAATGAATAGAAACTATGTTTACCAGAGCCCATGGCAATCGTTAGTTTCAAGCCGCAGCTTTATGATATGAAATTAATATGATATCGTATGTACTGGAGTGAGCACTTTGTAGTCTCGATATGTCTTTGGACTTTGACAGCAAGTCAAGATGGACTTTATAACACACGAAACATGAGTAAATAAATAAATTCCTTAACTGCTTAGTTTGGATAAATCTGTGCCAGCTCGGCAGATGTAAAACAGTGTATAATCAGTCACATGCACCAGTGTATGTGCCTGTTACGCCCCTCAATCTCTCTCCCCTTCCCCTCTCTATATATATCTACCACATACATACACCTATTAATTATACAGATTTATATACAGATACTGAAAGTCATACCCAGCAGGAGAATCTGAATATCAGAAATCATGACCAATTCGTAGTCGCGCCCAAACGAGACCGACGGATTCACCCATCTCGTGCGGTTCTCGACCTCCGTCCTCGGGTTTTCCGCCCTTCGAGTGGTAACAATTATTTAGCCCCCTGAGACGATCCTTAAAAGAGGCTCGCGCGTAATAATGACTAGGCGTAATAATTACTGTAAGCTTAGGAGGGGCGAGACCGAGGCCGCTATGTTACTCCAACTTTCTTTTTCAGTGGGGGAAGATACCGAGTGGTGAGCCGGAATATCGGGAAGCAGGGGAACAGAGTTTAGCGGATTGGAAAAGGGAGGACGGAACAACATTCAAGGTGGGAACAACATAAGGCCTGGGCTGCGTGTAGTTACTTGCTGAGTTGTTACTCGGCCTTCGCGCAAGGGAATAATGTCCGACCGCCGTGTACCATTGACAATTACATGATTATATGGTGGCCGTCTTCAGAACCAAACTCTCAAAAACTTTCTGATTGTCCACACTGTGTATTGAAGCCGGGCGGTAGTTCAACACATACTAACATACGTGTACTACCTCACTTTCTCCAGCGCGGCATCTCGTCACAGAGTAGAGTCGCATCCCTGACGCCCAGGTTCACGTGGCTGCTGACCATGCGCAAAGCTTCAATTCAGCTTCTGCCCGTCTGTTTGCTTCAACTTGGTCTCGAGGGTGTTGAGTTTGAACATTGGGTAGATAACCGTATCAAGAAGCCACTCGCCCACGCACGACCCAAACCAGACGAATTTGGCGAGCCCTCCAGCATAATGCCAGTCAGGGCGTCCCCAACCCAATATGCCGCGCAAGAAAACAGGCCACTCGGGCCGCAGAGCATCGGCCACCAGCGTCCTGGCATAGTCAGCCGGTTCAACCGACGAAGGGGTCGTCCGTGAGAAGGTAAGGCGCCAGCGGTAGATATCCTCGATAGGCCGGTACAGGCTGTTCTCGGGCAGCTGGCGGGCCGTCTGCAGGTTGATGTTGGTACGCACGGTGCCCGTGATGGCGACCATGACACGCACGCCATAGGGGCGGAGTTCCTGACGGAGGGTGCGCGAGTAGCCGTTGACGGCGCACTTGGAGGCGCTGTAGGCGGCGGCGAACGGGTACGGCACGATGGAAGAGGCGGAGGAGATGTTGATGATGAGTCCATGGGCGGATATGAGCTGGTGGATGAAGCCTTTCACCATGGCCATGACGCCGAACACGTTGGCCTCAAAAGTCTCGCGCACCTCGTCCATGTCTAGATCGGTAGCGGGGACGGTATGTGTCCTGCCTCTGGATGGATCCAATGAGAGTGAGTGAAGTGGTCAGGGCCTGATGACACGTACTTGCAGTGATGGACAGGAAGTAGAGGGGAAAGTAAAGGGGAAAGGGCAAGAGGAGACGCACGCATTGTTGACGAGGATGTCGAGAGTGCCTCCAGTCAGGGTTGCAACCTCTTCCACGCAGGCGGAAATGCTCTTCTCATTGGTTACGTCGAGCTGGAGACATGTGAAGCCTGGCTTTCCAACAAAGTCTGCCAACACGGCTGGATTACGCGCTGTGGCGATGACATGCAGGCCTAATGTTGATGTCGTCTCGTCAGCCACGCGATCCCCTTTACCAGCGTCCAATCGTCGAGCGAGTCTTTGGACTCGGCTCACGAACCTCGGTCGTGAAACGCCTTGCAAAGCTCATTGCCTATGCCACCGGGAGAGCAACTGGAGAGAACTCAACATTCTTTGGTTAGCCGGTGGATCCTCACGATAGGAAAGTCGAGTCAGCAGTGGAAGAGAGAAAGTTTACGGACCCGGTGATGAGCACCGTCTTCTGGCCAGGCTCCAGAGGCATTCCTGTTTGAATGATAAGGAAGGTGCTGGTTGAGATGGAAGAGGAGCTAGAGAGGGAGGCAGTGACGACCGATACTATTAGATCGTGGCAATGATCAAGTCTCGTGAGAAAGGAATGATGCTGTTTCGGGGCTTTTGGCACCTGGCACCTGCAGCACTGGGAATTACAGCAGCTTTCTCAGTGCTCAGTATGTGAAACCGGACGCTAATACTAATCCATACTCCCGAATTCCGAGCGGCTGGCTCTGTGTAGCTCCAGTGCTACAGTGTAATCTGCTGTAGGATCCAGTAGCCTCGGTCCAGCATTGAGTTCCACACACACTATTGTATGTGTGTAGGAGAGAATGCCTAAGCAGGTAATTAGCTGCATACACTTAATGTTCCCCAACCAGGTTTTCCAAGGACAGTCGGCCTAGCTTTGTGACTGGCCCTGGCAGGTCTGTACTTTGAAGTGGTGGCTTAGACGAATCTTCACTGCCTGTCAGCACCGACTATGTCTTATCCTTTTGTGCTGTGTAGCACTCACAGGTCCACTGTATAAGCACTATACCTTTGTGTATTCATAGTGCGTCTACTGCTGCGGAGTATGAGGTCACGCTGGACTTGCGCTGCCACCGCCCCTACCCCATCCTTCTGTCGCTGTCTGCCTCGCTGATGAACGCCTCCATACCCACTAACTACAGTAGGGTAACGCATCCTTGCATCCGCAACCACTTAGAACAGCCTCAACAGCTTGACAGCCACTCAGAAGAGACAGTTACACGTGGGAAACGATTTGATCAAAGAAACAGATCTCCAGGCGGACTTCACAGCCCGATGCTATCGACAAAGAAACAAATTGCCTGGTTGTGCTGGATACTTAAGAACTTGGACCGTCTGTCTCTCGTTCTCTTGTCTTTGTCGTTTTTCTTCCTTTCTCATCCCTATGATTATAATTGCATCTTGGTCTCTATAACTCCAATTAGGGTCTTGGTTTTAGTCCTCCACTGAAATTTATACTGCTTACAGAGGTTATTACCCCGCACTCTTTCACCGTTCAGGGCCTGTAGGTACACGCATGGCACTAGAAACACCACCTTAAGTCATAGTGCCTACCCGCTAACCCTCGCCCCTCCTGCCCAGAGTTGCCGAGGCTTTTTAAGGTTTTAAGGGTCCCGTCGCCCAAGCTTCTCAGCTCCACACCACTGCGTCCCAGCGCATACGTCAGTCGGTCGCCAGAGTCAGGTCGAGATGCCGTCTCTCCCCTTCAAGCTCAAGGGCAAGAAGAAGGAGACCCAGGCAGAGAGAGGTGATAATGATGACACCGAAAAGACTGCCGACGGTCAAGTCAACAATGGCAGCGCAAACATCCCTGCGAACAATGTGACGGCCCCTCCACCGGCATACACGGACAATGACAACAACCAGGACCAGCAGACTAGCCATGTCGATATCAATGCCGCCTTCGCGAATCTATCTCTGCGCAGCACGCCTGGAGAGCCCGACGAGGATACCTGTCTGGCCCACCTGAAGTTGTTGTTCGCCATCCAGTCCATGAAGGACGATGTCGGCTACACGGATGGTCTCTGGGGTCTCTGGGACACTCTGGCCGACAACGACGATCTCGACCTCGACGACGTACCGTCCGACGACCTCCTCCCAGGCGCACCTACTACGAGCAAGAAGGACGCAGACCCCGACCAGCAGAGGAAAGTCAGGCTGAGCAAACTTCGCGAAAAGCGGTGGGCCCTCTTCGTCGCCCGGGCTGTCGACCGGTACGAGTCCTGGTGGAATCACCTGCCCAAGACGTTGCTGCGCGAGGAGGATATGTATGAGGGCACATCTTCAGCATATTCTGTATTTGTAGAAGAGAGGAGATATATTCAGTGGGCAGAGTCCATGCTGCCCCCGCTGGATGTCTTGATGGTGTAAGTAGCCCTCCCTCCTCCTCCTGCCCGCTTCGTCTTCTACTGAGCTGACCCTGGCCGCTCGTCCTTTTCTCCCAAACAAGGTGGCATGCCCATATGCTGAACCCGCGAGCCTACCTCGAAGACACCCTGCGCATCGGCGTGTCCCTGTTCTGGGCCACTGGCATGCCCTGGGGACCTGTGTCCTCCGCCATCGATAACGACTTCAACTATAATCCCTCCGACGACGCCAAGGCCTCCTTCGTTGCCAAGACGGGCCGCGCCTGGGACAACGCCGAGGACTCCCTGACAAAGAACATCAAGTGTCCGGCCTGCCAGGCACCTCTCGAGATCCCCTGGACCACCTGTGGCAGGGACGAGGCTGGAGGAGGACCGCCCCCCTCTGGTTTGGTCGGCAACGGCTACGGCGATGGCGAGCTCCTCTGGTCCTGCCACCACTGCGCTGTCAAGGTTGACAAGAAGCTCTTGTCTGTGGCCAAGTTCGTCAAGGACGCCCAGTCGCTCGTGGTGAACTCTACTACCATGCCCGGTACCGTGCTCGAGCCCACCACAGGCGTGCCCAAGCCTATCCCCGCCGCCTTCAAGTCTGGCAGCTACCCCTGGCCGCGAACCTTTCCGAACCGCCTGATCCGGCAAAAGCTCATCGTCCCAATTGCAGAGCTCATCCGGCCAGGCATGTCACCCAACCCCACGATGGAGACAGTCCGGGACCTCATCGAGCAGGTGCTCAGCGACCGCACGGCCATTCGCCAAGTCGAGGGCGGGCAGCTCTTCAGGAGCCACGTCCTTCCCGCCACCTCGAGGATCTGTGTGCGCAAGATGATGTCGCGCTACTGGGAGAACTCCAGTCCCTTCGCCCTCGACCTCGGCGGTGCCGTCATGAGGCAGGGCATCTTCACTGCCAAGATGTTCCAGATCGACTGGCTGCACAGCCCCAACGCCCGCGGCACCATGGCCCGCCTCGTCAATAAGTATCACCGGTTCATGACCCTGATGCGTGACCACCCCAACAAGACCTGCGTCCCGACCCTCGATATCGACCTGGCCTGGCATACGCACCAGCTTGCACCGTACGCCTACTACCGGTACACGATCACGTCAACGGTCGACCACAAGTTCGTTGACCACGACGACAAGATGGCCGAGGACAAGCTGGCGACGGGCTTCGACTGGACCACGCGGGCCTACCAGGACAAGTACGGCGAGGTCTACAGCGAGTGCACCTGCTGGTACTGCGAGACCATCCGCTCCAGCAACACGGGCAGCGTATCTCGGATGCTGGGCATGTCAACGCAGGAAAAGGTCGCGCAGAACTTTCACGACTCGGGCCGTGCCAAGCTCTGCCCGCCAGACAAGAGCGCGCACATCTCAGCCCATAACGCAGTCCGCCAGCAGTCGTCAGACGCCCGAGACACGGTGCGGGACTATCTGCGAGAGCGGCAGTACCGCCAGCTCGAGCTCGACTACCAAAAGGCGTGCAAGCGTGCCCAGAAGAAGGGCAGGACGCTCCCTCCCCGTGATGAGTATTACAACCACTGGGGGTATAGCTACTACATGTACTCGCCCTTCCTGTTCCCCATGTATTTCACCCCAGGCCTCTACTATGGATGGAATCCAGGCTTCATTGGAGGCGGCGCGGGCGCATGGGGAGGTTGCGCACAAGGATCCTGCTCGGCAGGCGTGGCAGCTGGCGCATGTGGCGGACCTGGTGGTTGCGGTGGCGCAGGGGTAAGAAGACTTCAGTTTCTCAATCCTCAATTTCCCTCTCTCTCTCTCTCTCTCTCTCTCTCTCTCTGCCTTCTTTTGCATAATCTTCAACTTTTCTTGCTGGACATGGTCCACTGACCTCATTCAAACAGGCCGGCGGCTGCGGTGGCGGTGGTGCAGGAGGTGGTTGTGGTGGAGGTAAGTCTGCTTTTTTCTTGTTCCCTCTCCCCCTCTCTTTGGGTGATCCTTTCGACCCAGACTTGAGTGCCCACCTACTGACCCTCTCATGTAGGAGGTGGTGGTTGCGGCGGCGGTGGTGGAGGCTGTGGAGGAGGAGGAGGCGGTGGCTGTGGTGGTGGCTGAGGACGACGAGACTGGCCATCTTGGGACGTTAAGATGGTGGAGGTCATTGAAGGGTAGCCTATGCTGGTACTTGACATGCTAATGCTTTCCTTTGAAGAGTTTCTGTGGCTTTCTTTTCTGTCTTGGCACTGAACTCTGTAGTACTTTCATGTCCTCTTTTTCTTTTCTCTCTTTTTTTTCTTTCTTTTATTATACCCTCTGTTAACCAAGCCAGTACTTTTCATGCTCTTTCGAATCAATCAGATCTAAAGGAAGGAGATAGGCAGGCAGACAGACGGACAGACGGACAGACGGACAGACATGGTTTCCTCAGCTTGATTATATATTATCATGTATGGTTTGATGATGCAACTCCACTCAAGGAGGACGATGAGTCTCTATTTTCCAGGTTTGCACACGAACATCTACAAAAAATTATCTGCCTCGAGACTGAACTCGGCAAGACGCTCCTCAAGATCCCTCTCCAGGTCGTCGTCAGGAGGACCATACCGGATCACATCGCGCAGCGCCCTCGTCGTCCTGGGCGAGTACCTCCCTTTTCTTTCCTGCATCAGTTCAAATGCCTCCCAGAAGAACCGCCTGCCTCTCTCCGGATCTCCTCCACCACACTCGCAGAACCCGCTGACCCGTAGCGCCTGGTACATGAGCTCGACAAAAACATCCTCGGAGTAGACCCGTCCGCCGCCACCGCCGGCGCCGCCGCCCACCAAGTCCTCCTCGTCACTCTCGCGCAGTTCCTTTCGGATTCGCGCCAGCCTGGCAAACACCTCGGGCCATTTCCCGCGGCGCTTGAGACAGAAGACGAGCTGCAGCTCGACCTGGAGGCGCTGGTCGGCAGGGGCGTGGCCTGCGTCGAGAGAGGCTACAGCGCGGCGGAGGAAGCCCTCGGCGTCGTCGTGGCGGCCTAGAGAGTCGAGAACGTCGGCATGGACGGCCGTCAGGTGGACGAGAGATGCTATGTGGGCTGGATACAAGTAGGAGCGGAACTGGCTCCAGACTGCCTCGGAGGCGAGGCCACACACTGCTCGACATGCTTCTTCTGCCTCTCCTGGCGGCAGTCCTCCTCCTCCTCCTCCTCCTCCTCCTCCTCCTCCTCCCTCTGCTCCTTTCTCTCGCCCATCACTTCTTCCGCCAGCACCACCCAGCATAAGAAGCAGATCCGCACAGATCATCGAAATCGGATGCCGCGGGCCCAAGACCACACCACTCAAGTCCTGCAAGTAAGAGACCAGCATGCGCAGGATCTCGGAGCGGCCATAGTACAGACACAGGCTCATGACCTGCAGCAGCACGGCCAGCATCTGCGGGTCGCCGGACAGCAGGCTGGGCTGGACGAGGTCGAAGGCGCCGTCGAGGCTCTTGAAGGCGACGCGGTCAAAGGCGCCGCGGCGGAGCTGCAGGTTGGCGAGGGTCTCCTCGAAGGCGAGGCGGAACCTCTGGACGGGGCCCTCGAGCTCGATCTCGACGGTGACGACGACGGCAGCTGTGGGTGCTGCTGGTGCTGCTGACGATGCGAAGGGGGGGTTGTTGTTGGGGTTGTTGTTGTTGTTCCTTCTTGTCATGGCGGCGGCTCGTTTGGCGGACTCGAAGGTGCCGGCCAGGTAGGCCTGGCTGTGCCGCAGGATGCTCTCGGGGACCCGCACCGATTCGGGGGGGCGGAGCAGCGCGGGCAAGGATGTGGATGTGGAGGAGGACAAGGAGGGCGGCGGCACTTGGTAGGTCCAGGAAGCGGACGACCATGAGGGGGTGGGGCTCGGGCTCTGACTGGGCCGCAGGGAGCCTTCTTCTTCGGATGAGGAGGAGGAGGAGGAGGAGGAGGAGGAGGAAGGCGAGGAGGAAGAAGGATGTGCGGCGAGACAGGCGGCCGAGACCAAAGTGGATATGGAAGCCCGGACGGAGACGGAGGCGGAGGTGGTAGCGCTCTTTTTGGCCCGTCTGGCTGCTGCTGCTCTCCTCTGCAGGGCCTGTTGTAACCTGTCGGCGCGGATGAGCCTGTCGCCGACGACGTAGAACTCGGGCTTATTCTCGCCTGGCCCAGCAGCATCGACCAGTGCGGTGGAGGGCGAGGGTGCGGAGGAGGCTGTTGCGGTTGTTGTTGCTGCTGCTGCTGCTGCTGCTGCTGCTGCTGCTGGTGGTGGTGTTGATGATGATTGTGATGATGAGGGCCACTCTCCTGCCTTTTTGACGATGGTGCTGATGTCGCTGGCCTTGACGTTCTTTGCGATGCGCCACTGGTTCAGACGATCTTTGTACATTTTGGGTCTGTAAAGAGGAGAGAGAGAGAGAGAGAGAGAAAAGAGAATGTTAGAAACACCTTCTTGTGAGCCCCGAAGCTCCTAATCACTCGAATAAGAAGTAAAAGGGGATGAGATTCCACCAAGCAATAATAAGTGGTAAAACTCACGTGGCCCGAAATCGATACTCCTTGTCCATAAAGACAATCAGGTCTTTAAGCTTCATGTTGTCGTCCCTGTAATGCTTTGTGATGATGTCCCGGTATGCGGCCCAGTCTGCCGCCCGCGCCCAGGGCAGCATACTGCCGGGGTTGGAAGTGGAGGGGCCGGAGGAGGATGAGGAGCCTGTCGCTGTGCCCTGCCGTCGGCCTAATGCTGTAGCTCCTCCTGCTATCGTCGAGGTAGAGGGCTGTCTGCTTGTTGTTGCCATGGCCGCTGGCGTAGAGCCCGTCGTGGCGATGGTATTGCCACGATCTCGCTTCATCGTGGGCGGAGACATGAATGAGACGAAGGTTGTTCGAGGAGATCGGTAACCAGACTGAGGAGTGCAGTACTGAGGTAAAGGAGACACAGTGCAAGACGGTGTATGTCTTTGTGCGTGTGTATGTGTGCGTGTGCGTGTGCGTGTGCGTGGGTTCGTCCTCGTCTATGTGTATGCCCTCGCAGCGTCTTTCAAGGTTAGGAAAAGATAGAGGTGTCTCTGAATGTCTCGTGTGAGTTTGGTTGCAGAGAGACGAAGGGAGATTTACATAGATGATGAGGGCTTTTGTCAGATGATGAAATGATATACTGTAGCATTAGCGAGACGCACCCCGGATTGTGTTTGATTCTCATCTCCAAGGTTTCTTGTCTCTCCAACGCCCTCCTCGTTCCCCTCCTTTCCCCCTTATGGTCTTTCTTTTATCAGATCACTATACAAAAATGGCTGCTCTCAGCTCGGCTCTGCTCCCAACAACACCATAAGGGAGTGCTGGATGCGGTGGTTTACTTCCAACCCCGAGATGAGATGTTGGTTTATCGACAACGCGCAGTGACAGGGTCTGGGTTGGTTTAGAGGGAGGGAGGGGTGTTTGTGTAGTGCATATGCTAACAAGAAGTGAACAAGAGCGCAAGACGATAGACACCAACGGGCAGCGTAACGGACGAGTAAGGAGAGGCGAACGAGGGGGGAGGATCTAGAATGAACCGGGCGCAAGGCTTAGCCGAGACAGACGGACAAACACGTGGTAATCACCCACTATCCCAGTGCCGGGCCTTTCTCTTTCGTGACCGTGGTGGAGCTCATTTTGTGTCCCTTCTGTGAAAGGCCTGGCTCGAGGTTGTACTATACGCTTCTACGGTATTTGTGTACGGCCATTGTGATGCGCCAGTGACGAGCCGCATAACGCACACTGCAGCCCTATTGCTCCTGTGGTGGTGGGCAGCGGCCGTAGCCGGGGGAGGGGCAAGGGAAAAGAGAAAAGAGAAAAGCGGACACCCAGAGGAGTGGGGATATGGATGGATGGGATTGGTTCTAGTTTGAGGACAAGCAAGAAGAAGAGGAGAGCCAGGGAAAGTCAAAAGGGTGGGCGACATCGTTCCTGGAGGATGCCACACCCTGTCGATTCCATTGGCCATACAGACGCGTCCACGCTGGCAGGGCCCCCCCTCTGCACCCCCCCTGGTACATACGTCTGTTGCTCCATTACGGTACATCTGCTATAGTACTTGCTTATGGTGCATTACTATGTACATGGCACATTACCATTAGTGCTATCGAGGTTGAGTACTACGAACGGAAAGTGAGACCACTCTTCCTTGTACTGTAGGATTCAGAGTTGATGGCTTGCCGGAGGCCGAATTAGGATGGGAGGGGGGGGAGGAATGCGATCTGGACCGGATCCCTCGTGATGCAGTGGAGATGGAGAGAAACGGAACAAAAGATAGGGAAAATAAAGAAGAAAGCATAGCAAGGTGGAGGAGGAGGAGAGGCGAAGTTAAAAGAATGGACGCGGAGTTCGTTCCGGCCACTGGTTCTGGGCCCACACTGCGAGGACCCTCCTTTTAGAATTTCAAGTCACAGTACATAGTTACCGTCACATGTGCACACACACACACATATACACACCCTGGGATCCAACGGACCGCGTCTGGTCTCTTGAAAGCCCTGCAGCGAGCCGTCTTGTTGTGGAAACATGCCCGCTGCAGCCTGAATGGAAAAGCGTCTCGCTAAAGCAATGGCTGTCGTGCTCATACCGCGTAATCATACGAGTGAGGAACCCTGCCGACCCATCTCGGCAAAGGAGGAGAGAGTCACGCTCGGCATCAAGGAAAACAGAGTGGGGTTCAGCTCTCGGGACGTGCACTCGTTCAGCTAGCCATAAACTTTCTCCTCTTCGTAAACTGAGCCTATTATTCGACTGCACCATAGTAGCTTGGAAAGACGTACTGTAGTACGTACTGCTCATTGATGCACATCTGTGCTAATGCGAATCAAAGGCTTTGGCTGGCCGGCCATTCTCTGCCCGCGACTTGTTCTTCTTGATGACATGTAACACTCACTCACAGCCCACTCCTCTCGCCTCTCTTTTTAAGTTTACGGATCAGCTCTCGCCGGCTAACCAGCCCACACCCGTCGGGTCAGCTCCCGACTCGGCCCCTTCTCGATCTCGGGTTGCTAATCGCCACGCCCGCCACCTTGTCCATGTCCTTTTCCATCATCCCAAACTCCCCCAACCCCCTTCTTCACCTTCAAGCTCACCAACAAAGCATTCAGCAGTCAGGCGGCGAGGGGGGTGCTGATGGGGTTTATGTTGCGAGCGTAGAGGGCCTCGACTAGTGGTTGGAGCGGATGTCATCAATCCTGCTATTCCCTCTCTTTCTCTCAGTCTTTCTTGCTTTCTCCGATTTCTTTCTTCTCCTTTGACTACCAGATACGACTTGATAGCAATGAAATTTTGTCGGCGTGGGTGATAGCACTGACACCGCTCACCTCGCTCATCCCCACGGGGAAGGGTCATGGTCAGGTCCACATCGTAGATGGCGGTGCCCGGCAGAATCCTAGGATCGCTACGGGTCGAGTTCACACCGTCTGATGTCTTGCCTAGGATGGGCGTCATCTCACTGCCAGCATATGTAGTTGGTATGCAGATATGAGGCAGGCCTGTTCGAGACCAGAGAGAAAGCAATCAGCTCGCAGGCCACACACACACACACACACACACACACACACACAACCCCCCTGCTCCCGCTCCCGGCTCCTTCATGCCCTCCCTCCTCTCTCAGTCTGCCTGCCTCTCGTTTCTAGGGTTGCCACCCAACACACTCACACGTTCTCATGCTTATGGCCTTACTTAGGCCAGTAGTGCTTCCCACCCCAAGAGAGACAACAAAGTATGCGTCCTACAGCCTCATGCACTCGAGGTCCTAGTCTGTGACATCTGTAGCGCGTGCATGGTGGCCTAGCTGAGCACGCCCGCCGCTTTGCCGTCAAGGATCTTCCCCAGTTCTTCTGCCTGTTTAGACTGTACTGTGGTTGAGAGGAACAGCGGTTTCGCCTGTTTCTGGCGTTTTAGCTCGGCGTGCAGTTTCTTCACGGTGTCACGGCCGAACAAGACACGAGCTGGGGCCACGTTGGATACGAACTCGTTCAACATTGACACCATGTGTTGGTGAAACGTAGATGGGGCATTTAACGGATGACTGAGAAGTGGCTGATGTGTGTTCCAAATGAGCCGTTGGTGTCGAAGTTGAAGCATGCATGCTCTGCTCGCGTTTAAATAAAGTCAACGTCTATCATTCTATCATTCGATGTTGAGTGTCCAGGCCAAGCAACATCTCCAACTCTTACACCTGACCCACACCCAGACAGTAAAAGCATTGATCACCTCTTCAATAAGTATAGTAGTTGATATTTCACGGTACTTGACGTTGGGCTGCCGGTTAGCCCCCCGTTGGCCATGCTCAACAACCTCGGAGTTTGTGCAACGTGAGGCAATCCTACGGTCAGCCTCGGAAGATCAGCAATTGCGTAGAATGGTCATGTATTTGACATGTGGTGTTGATAACAAGTCAATCTAACCCTACCCTCGAGTCCTAGTCTTCAACAACCTACAACAAGAGTCCTAAGCAGCCAAAAATGCCTTTGACTCAGGCATGCAGGCACTGGCCTTGAACAGAGGAAACTTGGGAAGTAATTACCTTTAAAAACACTCCCAACTGGAAAGAATTATTCGAATCAAATCATACCACTTTTCAACTTTTCAAATGTAGATATTTCCTAATAAGAAAGATGCAACATCCTTTCTACACCCAGAACTGAGTCTAGTCCTTCATCCTGCGGACCAAGATAGAACCCCTCGACGCCAATAGCAAAATGTATGGAGCCCGAACCAACGACCATTTCTTCTTTATCACGAACCTTGGGTTGTTATCTCTCGGTTAGAATCCTAGTCCGTCACCATTGAGAATGCAAGAGATTGCATCCCTCCAAAAATACCAGGCCCAGAAAACAACTAACGTCGCCCGTAGCCTTCGTTCCGGAGTTTGTTAAACCGGTCGTAACAACCTCGCTCTGTCCGGTCAATCTGTTTCTGGCTCAGGGTCAGCCGAGGACATGGATCATTGAGTTTCAAAACAGAGGACACTTACTGCGATGTCGTCAAACTCCATGCCCTTTCGTCGCAGTTTCCAGAGAATTGCCTCCTCCTCAGGACCCCAAGGCTTGCCACGTTTCTGTCCAAAATCTTGGTTAGATGAAGAGAACAACTAGGAACCGCCATGCAACAGCGTATTGCCTTCTTACCTTTGACCAAGGCCTGTCCTGTCGACGTCGGACGGCATTGGGCTTCGCCATAGGGGCCACATAGATCTCAACAGGGTCCGAGTCGTAGTGAGTCTGCCCTCCCAGGTGTGATCAGTAACTATTACCATGCCCTGAAAATAGTTCATCACCACAGCTACCAGCGAGAGGCAAAGGCCTACCTGGAACGGTGACTCCGGCGGATCATAGAACGGGAGAATGCACAGCGACAGGCAGTTCTGGTACCTGTCGCGAAGAAACTGCCTGGCATGGTCCCGCGCGGCCTGCACCTCGGCTTCCTCCTCGGCCAGCGACATGCCGCTGCGCACGTTGACGCAGCCAGGGGTGAGGCACTCAAAGTCCGGGTTGTCGACCTCGCGCTGTGTCATGAGACGTGTCGTGGTCCCGCAGACGGTATCGGATGTACAGTGGCCTGCGCAGACGTCCTCAGCGTAGATGATCTCCTCGCCGAGGCCGCTGGGCTCCTCGCAGGCTGGACAGAGGGGTATAATCTGGAAGCACATGATTTGGGTGGGAAAAATATCTTTTTACCACGGTGTGAAGCGGGCTGAGTATTGGTCTGGGCGCCGCAGCCTGATGGTGTTAGGCCTTGTATAAGATGGGCAAAAGAGGTAGAGCAGGCCGTAGGATGCCTGAGACCAGGTTACAACAGCACATTTAAAGTCATCTGGCGGTTCCTTTCCTATGCGTGCCACTGTCTATCTTCAGAATGGCGATGATATCCTTCTGAAATTAAACACTGTGCCAAATGTTTGCCATCATTCATGCTCTATGCTATCCTTTGATGGTGCTCAAAGCATACATGCCTAGGTAGGTGTTCATAAAAGAATGTTGCATCTTTCAGTATAGTCTCCGAATCAATCTAGTTAAATAACAATGAAGAACAACCTTCCAAGGCTGCCCTTTCTCCTTGCAATGCACCTACTTCTTCAATGTCAAATGGATTTCCTTCCTGGGGACAAATCATCAGTAGTGACAAGAAACAAAATCGCCCTCTCATCTCTCTTTAACAGTATTATGCCAATCTCTTTAGAGTTGCAAGGCTGGTCCACTACCACAACTCAAAGTCAACACGACTAGACAAAGGCCTTCTAGCATTGATGCTGGGAATACCTTGTTCGCAGTGTATATGCCCTTTACAAGTCACAAACTTTGTCAACCCCCATCATTGCGTGGGTGGGCATGCCAGATTCCCATGACAAGCCATTTACTGATTGACAGCCGGATACGAAAGCGCAGACCATCAAAGCCAGAAAGCCACAAAACAGACGAATGGCCCTTGTTCATCAAGCTTGTGACCTGAAAGAGTCTGGAAAAATATCTTCATCGACACTAGAGTGGTTGGAGAAGAAGCGGGCGTTGTTCAACTGAAGCCTAAGGGCTCACGTTGTCCCGAACCTATTCCGTCCAATGGCATGGCAAAACCACCTAATTCATCCCAAGGCGCCCATGTGATCTTCCCCTCCATACCTGCGGCGTAACTTTGCGGAGTGATCACGGTTTGGAGTATCCATACCCATGCTTTTAACCGACCCCAACACTGGCCATACACGTATACTGCCGTCTCCACTCAGACCTCTTCGGGTCTAAGTCCTTTTATTTTAGCGGTCTACAGTACAGACCGAGGAGACCCCCGCATTCGTTAGTAGGCTTGGTAGTCCTTTAGCATCTATCTATCACAAAACTGAGGTTGCTATGGTGTGTATGTTGGGTATATCTCGGTGGGGATCTGCTCGGTGACATTGCATATGGGGTCGCTTGGGTATCTCACCGTAACGGCCACCGTACCTTGGCTATCGTGTCTCAACGTCTCTTGTATTGTTTTTTCTTCACCGAGACATCTGATCTAGTACTGTCCGTGGGCTCGTTTGTCTGATAGTAGGCAATCATGGAATCGATTGAGAAGAACACTGAAGCACCCTCGGTGACGAGGATAGAGACGCAAAACCGTTCACCAGATGCCGACAAGAAAGATGTTGTTCCCATTGAGGAGGAAGCGGTGCTGGACGCGCAGCATATCAACCTCAGCTGGAGGTCGTGGGTACGTTACAATTGCTACTTCTGCAGAATCAATGTCACCAAACGAGAGGAACTTGCTGACAGAAATGTACGATAGCTTGTGGTTTTTGTAACATGTTTTGCGTACGTTTTCATCGCCTTCTAGAATTGGTGCCTAGATATGGCCTCCATACTGACACGCTCCAGAATTATGGCGCAGGTGTTTGTCGTCGTTGCGGCAGGATCAGTAATTGCTTTCATCGTTCGCGATCTGGGTGATTCTTCTATCTCTGGTTGGGTGATTCAGGTTCGTTGCGTTCCTTGTCCTCGTCCAAATGACAAATCGATGGCTACCTGATATTAACGGAAACCTGCTCTCTCCAGGGACCACTCCTGATGCAGAGTGTCCTGTCCCCGATTGTCGGTCGCCTCTCTGATGTTCTTGACCGCAAGTATATCGCGGCCGTCCCGCCCCTCATCGCTTGTGTCGGGGCCATCATCTCGGCCAAGGCCACCTCGATGAGCATGCTTATCGGCGGTGGCATCCTCATCGGCACAACACTTGCCACCATCTCCATCGTGCAGGCGATCCCCTCAGAGATCTTGCCACTCAAATATCGGGCTCTGGCGAACGGCTTTGCGTTTATGGGTGGCGCTATTGGCGGAGTGTCAGTTTTCAATCCTTCCTCCCCTAGAGACATTGCCACATCCTCGACCTGAAGAGCGCTCCACAGCTAATGAGTGACTGGATGATCGGATTACAGTATTGGAAGTCTTGGTGCTGGTGCTGTGACCGACCTCAACGAGCAAGGCTGGCGATACATCTTCTGGATGCAGGCAGCCTTCCACGGGGCCACCTCTCTTGGCCTGTTTCTTTTCTACTGGCCGCCCAGGCAACAACGATTACACCCGGAGATGCGCATCAGAGACTATATCTGGGCTTGTGATCCCGTGGGTTCTGCGCTGTTTGTCTGCAGTGCCACTCTTCTCCTCCTTGCTCTAGACTGGGCTGGCGGCTCGTATGCATTTTCCGATCCTCATGTTGCCGTTCCTCTGGCCTTGGGTCTTGGATTGTTGTTTGTATTTGCAGGCTATGGTAAGTTCATCTCCTTTCTTTCGTCTCTAGGTTTTCGAATCCACCGCCCCCCCCCCCCCCTTCTCATCCCTTCTCGAATACAAGAAGAACCTGACTAATACTTGTTTTAATAGAGTGGCGAGGGCGGTCCGATGGTCTCCTGGCCCATGTTTTCTTCCGCAACAACGCAAATTTTGCACTTTCTACATTTGCCTTCGCCGTGGAAGGCTGGATCTTCTACAGCGCCGTCAACTCGGTCGTCCCACAGATCATTCTCAATCTGGGTTTCCAGACCAACTCGTGGCTCATCTCGATCCGGCAGCTGAGTTACACCCTCCTCACCATGTTTGCCTCGATTCCGATCACCTGGTATGCGACGGCATACAAGGACATGAAATCACCGTTGATAGTCACATTTACTATATTTTTGGTTGTGTAAGCTATCTGACTATGCATTTCCTCGACGGCCCCGACCTGGAATGGATCGCAAGCTTATACTTTCGTCTTTCTACTTAGATCCATCTGTTACGCCTGCATTCAACCGTCATGGAATAAAGCCCAGATAGGCTTCAGTGTGCTCGCGGGTATTGGACAGTCCGGGCCTCTTACTCTGCTCGTCGCCTGTGTTCAGTTCACAGCACCTCACGCTTACCTGTCGACAGCCACGTGCGTATCTTTGTTTCGCTCTTCTTTCTATTCCTTCTCACCTTTCCCCTCCTTCCCTCTGGGCCTTTAATCATCAAGAGAGGACTATATTAATGTTTAGCTGTCAACAGAGGTATGGCCTTCTCTGCTCGAGCTATCGGAGGCGCCTTCGGTTCTGCCGTCCTGGACGCAATTATCAACGGCCGTCTGGCCACGCACTACGCCTCCGCCGTAGGCAAAGCAGCAGTCCAAGCCGGACTCCCCGAAGCCAGCGTTCCCGACCTCCTGACTGCTCTTGCGTCAGGCGTGCTTACGGGAGTGGAGGGTGCCACGTCGGCGGTCTGGGCGGCGGCTGTGGATGAGAGCAGGTGGCAGTATGCGAAGGCTTATCAGCTGGCGTGGGCCAGCGTGATTCCGTTTGTCGTACTGGCGCTGGTGGCTGTGATATTCCTGAGAGGGGTTAAGGAGCTTATGACAGAGAAGGTTGAGGCGACGGTTGAGCATGTTGACCAGCAAGGTTTGGAAGGCTCTGGGAAACAAGACTTGCCGTAGGACTGTCAATACTTGTCTTGTTTTCTTTTAACAAGACGGTTCTGTACTGTACCAGGATGAAGCGACGTTTCTTTTTCTTCTCTCTTTTTCCTACTTTTCCTTTCCACCTTCCCCCTTCAGGAACCAACCTTCATATACACATGATACATGCTTGTGTGTTGTATTCTTTTTTTCTTTTGATCTGCCTAATTACATATACACCTCTTCATAGTGCAAACTATCATGGAATAGTGGAATAGGCGTTCAGAGCAAGCTGGCCACCAAGATGCGCATACAAGACGTTTCCGCCCTCAAGAATCTCTCCCTTCTTAATGATGTCCATCATACCAGCCAGACTCTTGCCCTCATACACCGGATCCGTGATGAACGCCTCTGTGCTGGCGCCAAACTTGATAGCCTCGATTGTTTGTTCGTCTGTCAGAATGCCATTGTCAGTCAGCAGCCACTCCAACAACAGCCATAGCAAACAAAGAAAATACAAGTGCTTCAAACGAACCTGGTATGCCATATGTTCCAGCATGGTATCTGTCATCGAGGAGCACATCACTCTCAGTGATGTCGTCCTCACTCAGACCAATCTTGGCAGCAGTAAACTTGGCGATCCTCAGAACCTGATCGAACGTCTGCTTCACCTTGGCGCTGGCATCAATGCCAATAATCTTCCTCGGCTTCGACCCGCTCTTCTTCTGCGCCAGCTTAAACCCAGCAATCATGCCCGCAAACGTCGACCCCGTCACAGCGCACACAACAATGTGGTCAAAGAACACCCCCAGCTCCTTCTCCTGGGCCTCGACCTCGAACGCCCAGCGCGCGAAGCCGAGCCCGCCGAGTGGGTGGTCCGACGCGCCCGCGGGGATGTAGTAAGGCTTACGGCCGGCGCCCTCGAGCTCCTCGGTCAGGCGGGCGAGGGTCGTCTTGTGCTCGATGCCAAAGGTCGAAGGGTCGAGGCGCGTGTCGCCGCCCATGAGCCGGGAGAGCTGCAGGTTGCCGACTTTTTCGTAGCCTGGGTCGGTCCATTCTACCCAGTGCTCTTGTACCGTGGCCGCCTTGAGGCCGGACGCGACGGCTACTGCTGTTACGGCGCGGGTGTGGTTGGACTGTACGCCACCGATGGAGACACTTTGGTTTTGTGGTCGTCGTCAGTGAGGGACCACCATATGATTTTTTAGGTGTCCGCATGCCAGGACGCAATGAGCACTTACAGTGTGTCGCAGCCAGTCTCGAGAGCTTCTGGCACGAGATACTCCAGCTTGCGAACCTTGTTGCCGCCAAAGGCCAGGCCAGAGTTCACATCCTCGCGCTTGGCGTATACATTGACCTTTCCGCCCAGGGCCTTGGAGATCTTGGGGAGCGGCTGGATGGGTGAGGGACCAAAGGTCAGTGTTGCCCGAGGGATAGAGGCAAAAGGCTCAGGAAGGGGAACCTCAATGGCCATTATTGTTATTGTTGTTCTTAGTTTGGTGGTTATGCTTGTTGATTCCTCGTGGACTGATGATCACTCAAGCAGGCAAGACTTTCAATGCAAGGTTTGTCTACTTTTCAGTAAGAGGAACACAATGAACACTTTCTCGCTCTTGGTATATAATTCACAAATTACGTAGTGCCTACGGACTCTAAATGTGTTCGTCGTTCATCCGGCATCGGCATGGGTAGCATCGGCGTGCAAACTGGCCGTGGAGACAAAAAAAAAAAGGGCAACAGACAAAGGCCGGCATAAGAAGAGCCCCAAGCCGACGCCGGGAACGTTGGTGGGAATTTAGTATACTAGCTACAGGCCAAGCCGAACCCCACGTAAAACCAAGCCCTTTTACTCACTATCTTGACAGAATGACCCGACATTTTCGTCGAACCATTGAAAGAGCCGCAATATCCCGTATAATTCCTAGCATGCCTATCGCAAGAAAAGGAGGGGGGATGTGTGAGGGGCCAAACAAACAGAATCACAAACGACCCAGTCCCGAGACCGGCTATTGCAAAGCAAGACCAAAGAAAAAAAGAGAATCCCCACCCTTATCGTTTGACTCGTGTTGAAGGTTCTGGGAATGATCATGGGAGCAACAGTACTATGATGTACTGACTCAGTGTCTATTGTGGGCGCGGTATCATGTATGGTTGGAGTATCCATTTATTCTGCTTGACAACTATTATTATGTACTTATTGCTGTGACAAATCGGTCTTACTCCACCAGAACTCGCTCTCTTTTCTGCCCCACGAGTCCTCCGCGCAGGTCGCTGCCTTGCCCAGATCGCCTCCTATCAGCTCCTTATTGCCCAGGCCAAACACCAATGCCTTGGGCGCCTCCTTGTGATATCTATGCCAGACTGGCTTAGAAATTGTATCATCACCACTTCCGGCATTGGGGTCTCCCTTGGTGATAAAGTTGGTCACATACGAGTTGATCGTCCGTGCCAATTGTGCCTGGTTCTCCGAGATGCCCATGACTTTGGGATCACACACCTCATATCGCATGTTGTCTCCATGCTGCGCTCCGTTTAGGACGGTCGAGATGGCTGCCCACTGGTACAGAAAGACGGGTACATCGTCAGCCGCCCACTCAGCCGTCTGTCTCACAGGAGCGACATAGGCATAATGCCCGTAGGCCGCCTCGATGCGCTTATACTGTGCCCCTACGCCATCCCTCTCCTCCTTGTATGGGGAGTCTGGCACGGTGGCAGGGTCCGGATAGAGGGCGTCGATGGTCTGCAGGTCCTCCTCCGATAGCAGCGGGAGCAGCGTGCGAAAGAAATCCACAAACTCGTGGGACTGGCTCATCGCTTTATCCACGTACAGAGAGCCCTCGTTCCTCTGGAAGCCCGTCATAATGGGAACCTTGTGCCATTTACCCTGGCGCCACGTGTCAAGGGGCGGGCACGGGATCACCTCGCCGTCAATGACGGGCTGGAATGCCCATTGTAGGCTGGGATTGTACTTGTCGAAAACGGAGATCTGAGCGTCCTGGACCACCTCGCTGGGCAGGGATCTGAGGAACGAGAAGATCTCGTCCTCGGGCAGGTCGGCAGGGACGCCTACTGCAGATAAAAAGTCCTTGAACTGTGTCTCATGAACGGGGGCGTCATAAGGACGGACTGCCCTCGACGTTGACGCCCCAGACTCTATAATGACCCGGTTGAACAGAGGCTTCACACCCTCCTTGAAGTGCATGAGATGATGTCCAATCTAATATTCCGTCCAAATTTTGAATCAGCATATCTTTGCTAAAGGGTGAGCTTATACAGGAGAATGAATGAATAGGAATTGAGATCGAAGAAAAGAAACATAGAACATACCGAGTGCGCACCAGCAGAGAGACCAAACAGTGTCACATTGTCTGGATCACCGCCAAATGCCTTGATGTTCTCCTGAACCCACTCAAACAGCAGAGCCTGGTCTTTTAACCCCAGATTGAGTACACCCTCTTTGGCGCTCAGCCCGCTCGGCAGAAAACCCAGCGCGCCAATTCGGTAATTGAATGAGACAGCCACAAACGGCTCCTCTGACCAGGCCACCATGGAGCTTGTGTTGTGCTGGCAGGATGTTCCGCGGTTGAAGGCGCCGCCGTGTACGTACAGGGCGACAGGCAGCAATTTGTCATCGCCAGAGGAGACACTACCGGCCTGACGAAAGACGTTGACCGTGAGGCAGTCCTCACTGTAGACCAGCTTGGGCCCGCCTGGGATCAGCTGCTTGCCTGGCGCGGCCGGGCCAAACTTGGACGCGTCGGTGACGCTATCTGGAGAGGGCGGTAATAGCTGGGTTGGCCGGAACCGTCTGTCTCCCACAGGAGGGATGGCATAAGGAATGCCGAGGAATGCTTCCACGCTTCGAGGGCGAAGAGGTTCCTTGGGTAGCGAGATGCCAATGACCTTGCCGTGTTGAGGCAGCACCACAATGGGGCGACTAGAGTCCACTTGCAACACCATGATTGATCTCTGTTCTCTTTGAAGGGTGATGAAAACTGTGTGTCTGTGTATACGTCAGTGCGTGCTCGTTCGTTCGTCCTGATGAGAAGAGTGAATACATACTATGTGGGCTTCCATTAATGTTCATACACCCAGAAAGAGTCCATCGCAGTATTACTAAGAACGTGTGTATGCAATTCCGTGCCAGAGTGTCGTGCGAGGTCGGACATGGGCCCGGGAACCACAGCCGGCACTTAGACAAGACAACCGTGGACCGGGTAGAGGAACCGGAGTGTTGGATCCACTGCTCCATTCCTCCTCCTCACTCATTCGTTCGAAATAAAGACGTAGATAAACAGCCCTGAAACCCATGCACGCCATCCTACCACCTCGTATGTTTTCGCTCATAAATCTATTTCCTATACAAATAAGTTATGGGACACATTAACACAAAAACTACCATTGATCCTATGTTATAAATCAGTTTTCTCTCCCGGCGAGAGTGCCACTGAATATCACGGCCATGGGCATGGTTGAGCCTATACACAACAATTGGCATATTGCCAATAGATTGTTACGACTCAACAACACACCATTACCTCGAGACCCAGACAAGACACTCGGCATCCCAACAGGAGGCCTGCTTCTTCATTGCACATCGAATCATAAGCAGGGTACCCAACAAAAAAAGGAAAGCAGAAATAAGGCCCGAGAAGCACAAATACTTCTACTACCTTGAGTCGGTTATCGCACAAGCAGCGTGTAACCTCACAATGCCCCCGCCCCCCTCGTCCCTGGATCCATAAGCTTGTTGCCGATCGGTATCCTCCCGTAGCTGCTTTCTCTACTAGCCGATCGGAACCGCTGCCACTAACCCTTAAGTCTTGTTGATTGATTCTTATATCAATAACTGTTGGAGTGCTTGGCAGATAAACAATCAGCTTGGTCAAAGACCCACGCCTGATTCAAGGCGGCAACACTACATTGATAACACGCTTGGTCATCTTGATAGTAATCTCTGGCTCCACAGGCAGTTCTACTCCTATAGTACGCAGTAATAACCATTGTAGTATAATGAGAAGGCCATATCTCCTGCTGCTGCTGCTGCTGTGAGGGGTTTCGTGTTGTTGTTGTTGCTATCTTGCAGTTCAAGACCAAAACATCTCAACACCAACAAAAGCAGTAGCAGCATGGCCTCGCAGGACGCGGATCTCAAGCTGGAGCAGCTTCCCGCCGACAAGAAGACTATTGCCGACGACGATGTCTCCATCTCCCGAGTCAAGTCCGTCACGGCCGGCGAGATTGTCAATTTAGACGCCGGCGAGGTGTTTCTCCGAGAGCATAACTTCCACGATGACTACCTGGCTGAGCTCCTGGCCGACGCGAGCCTCAACAAGCGCCTGGTCCGCAAGATCGATCTCGTCATCCTGCCGCTGCTGGCCGGCACCTATGTCCTCCAGTACATCGACAAGCAGGCCATGTCCTACGCGGCCGTCTTCGATCTTCTGACCGGCACCGGCATCTCCTTGGATCAGTATGGCTGGTTCACGTCCATCTTCTACTTCGCCTATCTCTTTGCAGAATACCCTTGGATGTGGCTTGTGCAAAAGACCCTCATGGCCAAGATCGTAGGGTGCTGCGTCATGGTCTGGGGCGCGATCCTTATGATCACCGCCGCGTGTTCCAACTTTGGTGGGCTTGCCGCCTGCCGTTTCTTCTTGGGAATTTTTGAGGCACCTATCACGACTTGCTTTATGCTGATCGTGGCCATGTGGTAAGTCGGGGTTGTGGTGGGCAACCAAACTTCTGAGGCTTGTCACCCCAGCTGATTCGACTATATAGGTATACTCGACAAGAACAACCATTCCGTGCGGGAGTCTTCTACTGTTGCAACGGCGTGGGCTCTATGATCGGCGGTATCCTCACCTACGGCATCGGGCAACTTTCCAGCTTCCCCGTCTGGAAGGCCATCTTCCTCCTCTGCGGCGGAATCACTGTCTGCTGGGGTGCCCTTCTGTTTTTCTTCCTTCCAGACAGCATTCTATCGGCTAAGCGGTTCTCACTCGAAGAGAAGGCGCTGCTGATCGCCCGTGGCCGTCTGGCCCACACCGGTATCCTCAACAAGACCATCAAATGGACCCAGGTCCGCGAGGCTCTGACAGATCCTCAAGTCTGGCTTTTGTTCCTTTTCGTTCTGCTGAATGAAGTCGTGAATGGCGGGTACGCATCCTTTGGGAAATTGATCATCAAAGGGTTGGTAAACGGAAGTCTCAAGACCACCGCGTTGGGCATCCCACAGGGTGCGTTCCAGGTGGTGTGGATTTTGTCCGGCACCTACGTCGCCTCGCGCTTCAAGAACGCACGGACGATCGTCATGGCCACCTATAACGTTCCTACAATCATTGGTACCTCCCTGATGGGCTGGCTGGCCCGGACGGACTATGATAACAAGATCGGGGTGCTTCTCGGGTACTACATCTGTGGCTCGTACGTGGCTTCACTGGTGCTTGCCCTGCAGATGCCTGCGACGAATCTGGGTGGATATACCAAGCGTACGACCGGCTCGGCTCTTGTCTTTCTTGCCTACTGCGCTGGCAACATTATGTGAGTGATGTTCCATGCAAGACCCACCCTGTTACCACAATTTTCTACAGTACTGACCGTGGTCCTCGTTTCATTCTTAGTGGGCCGCATGCCTTCCTCGAGCAAGAGTCACCGACATATCCCACCGGTTGCAAAGTGATTCTGGCTTGTGCCGTGGCACAGGTCTGTGCCGCGATGGCTATTCGGGCACTGCTAAGCCGGAGAAACAAGAAGAGGGACGAGGCCGCGGCGGCGGCGTTGGCAGCTGGAGAGGTACAAGATCCCTCGTCCTATGACGCGGCAGACATGACGGACTTTGAGAATCCTTGCTTCAGATACGTTCTGTAGTATGTTGTGTTGGGGGGTTGTATGTTATTGAGAGCTGCAGGGTAGAAATCGAGCTCATGGCCTGCTAATGGAAGCCAAACCGAATAAACAAAGTCTTGAGGCCTATGTTTCTAACTCTGTATAGATCTGAAGACTTTATATGAGTTGGTTGTGAAATTCTTCGTTGGTCCAGAAGATCACAGGAAATAGCATGTGTTTACATCCGACGAGAATACCGAGCCTCATGCCGCTAAGTATCAAGTAATATGCAGAAATCAAGTGAAAATGTAGAGATACATCCATTATCTACAAAACAACCCAAGAACGCCATTTCTATTGGCTAATGGTGATCGAAAAACTTTTGATCACAGTGTAAGTGGCCCCCCAACCCTCCTCCCATCCATGTCCAACTCAACGCCATCCGCCCCCATCTTAGCAGACAAAACTGCCATGCCAGCACCACTCTCCTGCTCAATCCCTTCATCCCCACCAGCCCCAGCCCCCTGCGATACCAGATGCTCGCTGTGCGTGATGACAACAATATATGCGACCCTCGCATCCGCCATATAGTCACACCACCTGACCACAGCCGCCTGCCCTGCAGCATCGAGGCTGTCAAACACCTCATCGACGAGCATGTAGTGGGCACGGTGCGGAGACCGCGTGTGGCCGACGTGCAGCAGCGCAAAGAAGAGGGCGAGGTCGATACGCTTGCGCTCGCCGCCGCTTCGCTTGCCGTAGGACAGGCGGTTGTCGACAGAGAGGGAGCTGTCGAGGGCGACTGCTCCAGCAGCGTTGTTCTGGTTCTGCCCAGCACCCTCCTTTTCAGTCTCGTGATTGTCCTCGTCATCGCCGACGAAGAGAGAGCGCAGCATTCCCGTTGTCAGTGCAGTGGCATGCCGGCTATTCTCGAATAGGATCGTGAGGATATGCGTGATGGCGGTGTTGAGTTCTTTCAGGGATTTCTCCAAAATGAATTCCCTGAAAGTGTAGAACGACGTGGTGGCTGAAGAGGATGACGATGACGAGGAAACGCGCCGGGCCTTTTGCGCGAGCGCTGAGGCCCAAAAGTCGAGGAGCTCGCGGTCTGCGGCCAGGCTTGCCCGTTCCTTTGCGAGGGTGGCGCATTCTGTCTTGAGGTTCTCCCTTGCTGCTGTCTCCGTGTCGATGACCTCTTCAATCATGGCTAGTTTTTCACAGCTGGCCCGCGTGGCGGCCTGGAGTTCTCCGAGCCGGGCCTGCTTGGCTGCGTGAAGTTTTCTCTGGCCCTGTAGGTCCGCTAATGTCCTAAGGGCTGCATTCAGCTGTGCGGAATATGCCTTGGCCTTGTCTGCAGAGACCTTCTCGAGGCTATCCCGTACGTCCTGTTCCGACATATCCCTCTCAGTAGCTATCTTTTGTGTGATATGCTGCTCTGCCCCAAGGTCTTCAAGACGGGATAGTTGCCTTCGCTGCTCTGCGATTCTCTCGCCGACGTCTTCCAAAGATACCTTGTGGGCATACAGCACTTCTTGTTTCCTTCTGGCCCTTGAATCTTCCTCTTCCTGCGCGTGCGCACCACCAGTCAAATGGCCAAGCACAGCCAAGACTCGTTGCAAGAATATTGACGATACTTTCGCAGAGCACGCCGCAATACGTTGCCACAGCATCCGAGGCGACCAACGTGGTAGAGAGGATGATTGTAAGCCGGCGTCTATGGACTGAAAAATGTGATGCATCCGTGAGAGATACGTCAGTACCCAGCGGAGCATCGCACCGGTGTGTTTTTCTGGTCTCTCGGAATCCTGTGTATCTACCACAGGCTTGTTCGAGAACAGCGACGAGTACTTGTCCTCTAGGTCTGCAATATGCTGATGCACAGCAAGCCGCCTGCTCTGAACTGCCGACGTGGCTTCGTCAAAGGCACCTCGAATATCTGCAAGCTTAGTGTAGTGCAGGAGAGTCTCCACCTGTTGTTCTGTGGTCGACATCTGCTCGTCCAGCCGCTTAGACTGAACTGAAGCATCGTCATCGCCCTTGGTGCCGAGTCCGATCGTTTCCTCGACGTCTTTGAGGGCCTCCTGCCTCTCCTGGTCGATGTGCGCGAGCTCTGTTTGTAGTTTGTCCTTCGTCTGGACCAGCTGCATGATGCGCCCCTGCACGTGGTCCATCGTCTGCTCCAGTCCAGCCACTCTAGACGCCAGGTGAGCCTCATCCTCCCCCATCCTGCGCAAAAGGCGCCTGGTAGTGGTACCGCAGCGGTCTAGAATTTCCAGCCCGAGTACGGACATGATCAGGTCTCTGCGCTGTGAGGGTGTTGAGCTCAGGAAGCTCGTGGCACTCTCATGGCCCAGCACGATAGTCCTAACAAATGTGGTGTAGTTGATGCCCAGCAACTCGTCGATGGCCGCCTGCGTGCTCCGGACATCCGACTTCTCGAACTCGGGCAGCACTTTTCCGTCCCGCTCGACGATGATCCTGTTGCCGTATTCCTTGTGCTTGCGGAACCTGGTGATGGCGTAGCCGTTGTCAAAGACCATGCGCACGCTGCAGTCTTTTTTGACCTTGTCGTTGACCACATCGCCGGCACCGATTCCGGCGCGCAGGCATTTTCCAAACTGGCACCAAACGATGGCCTCGACGAGGGTGCTCTTTCCAGAGCCGTTCTCGCCCACGAGGAATGTGACGCCTCGTTTGACGTCTGTACCGAAGTCGAGGTGGATTGTGGATTGTACTCCGAGGAAATTTGTGATGCTTAGCGAGCGAGGTTGGGCATTGAAGACAGTTGGAGAGCGGAAGGTCGGACTTGGTGACGATGGCCTCACTCGAGCGGCGGTGGCTGGGTCAGTTACATCCACATTTCGAGGTGGGGTTATGTCCTTATAATCAAGAGCCTGGGGCTCGCCACCTCCAAGTGTCTGGCTCTCCTCTTCGGCTTGTTCGCTAGCTGCAGCCTCTAATAGTCTTTGGCCTATCTGGACGAGCAACTCTCGAGACTTCTCAAGCGATTGGTCCAGATCGAGGGCATCCACATATCTTGTCAGTTGCTCGCGAAGATCAAGCTGCTCCGGCTGAGGCGGCTCATGAGCCTGTAATGCCTGACCAAACGTGTCTATCGAGGTTCGTTCGTTGGCTTGATCCATATCGTTCTCCAACGCAAGGTTTGGCTTTTGAATCGAGGCATCACTGGCAGGCGTTGACGCACCCAGCCCATGTGCCACGACCGTGCCCTGAAATCGGGGCGCGATCGGACTCCAGCTTCTGATGCCGCGAGCCCCGAGAGTGATAAGCTTGTCTCTCGCAGCGGCATACTTGAATCGTGTGAGATCACCTAACAACATGACGTGTCTGCTACGGATCAGCTCCGGGTCAGCCTCACCACCCAGAACCTCCTCCACGCCGACAGTCACGTATCCTACGGCATGAGGATTCACAATGAGCTCATGATCCAGTGTCTGAGGGTCCAGCAGGACGACGCCCCGCTGCTCATCCCACAGATCCGCCCAGGTCAACTGCAGCGGCGATCCCACGTATGTAACGCTCCCACGCAGGCGGGCTGCCTCCTCCACGACCTCGTCTGACCGCCCACCACGGGAGTTGAATGCCGACCACGGCTGCTGCAAGATGGACTGGTGCGAGTGGAAATGTCCTGTGAACGTCCTGGCCAGGCGAGAGAAGTAGCCTGGCCCTATCAGCCCGTGGTACGCAACAGACCCAGTCCTACGACTGGTGGCATCCGAGCTGGGCCTGACGACATGGCGCTGGGTGATGGCTCTGTGAACAGCCAGATGGGCAAAAGCAACTGTCTCGGCAGCGTCCTCGTCACGCAAGGCGGCGACAGCGTCAGTCAGCTCTGACTGGTCTTCGCGAAATGGGAGCGTCAAGACGCGGCGGCCATCCCACACGTGCTGACCGACATCCCAATGCAGCTGCACCGCAGGCGCGGCCAGGCGCAGCGCGTCGAGGGCGGTGGTGGCGCGCAGATTGTCGCGGCGGTAGGCTAGGTCATGGTTGCCCAGCACAACGTGCACGTGGGGCACCTGTGCTTCGTGCACGAGCGAGCCCAGGAAGCGATAACAGGCCGAGAGGACGTGTGTGGGCTGGCTGGTGCGGGTGGTGAGCAGGTCGCCACAGACCACAACGCGGTGAACACGGCGCTGAGCTGCCACAGACGCGATCCACTCTGCAGTCTTGGTGATGCGATCTAGGTCCTGGTGCTTGAAGTGGATGTCGGCCAAGAGCAGCCATTTGAGACCGACTGAGCGCATGGTCTTGCCTTGGTGTGGTGAGGTTGAGTGTCGACCCGCTCTGGAGCAGAGCGTTGCCGTTTTGGTAGAAGGCTTAGTCCAGCATTGCGACGAGACAGGAGAGACAAGATCCTATCACCAGTAATCAGAAGAAGGTTGTCTAATAATGCTTGAGTGGGTTGTCGTTTGGGTTCTGCTTGTAAAGATAGCTTGTGCAAGATATTGCAGAATTTGCTATGCTGTGTTTTCTCAGGGATGAATGAACCAGCGCGGCTTGCCGTCTGCGATGACGTCCGTGATTCGCTGCTGAGTGCAGCACTCTTGAAAGGTTCTCTGTCTCAGCCCAAGAAAGGTCAAACGTCTTTCTTTGAGAGATTGAAGTAGGACAATTTGGAACCTCCTTTCTAGGAAATTGTAAAAGTGCTCTTCTCTTTGAAGTGGCGAACGATTTCGTAGCGGGTAGTGGCATAAGCTGTCACGCATGATTACGTGGGTTTCTAGTTCAAAGCACATTGCTGTAAAACGACCTTGACTTGGTAATGTTTTGTTTGAAGTTTGCCAAAATGTGGTCAAAAACATTCCTGCTTAAGGCGAAACTAATAAATATGAAATGATCTGCCCGTGTCACCAGTCTGTACGAATTTCATCATACCAAGTACTCATGTATGCAATTGTCCTAGGCGCTCCAGTTGCTGAGGTGCCACCCCACTGCTAAGGTTGCTGTTGATAGCAACACACATCCTCAATATCTCCGACGATCTATATCAGCACATATGTTCTTTCCAGGTTGTGCAATCACCAGAATCTCATTCCTAAAGGCATGCTTGACGGTAGGCGGGGCTCTGTAGTTCTTGGCACACTTTGGCCAGGCCGTTCAAACAACCTGACGGTCGCAAATCACCTTGAAACTCGTCCACTGGTGCTCGAACTCCAACATTAATTACACATCGCTCTACTACACCATTTGTCTCTTGGTTTCCTCTTCTTGCTGATCCACTTCCTAACCTTACTCCTCCTACTCCTACTCCTCCTCTTCTTCTTCCTCCTCCTCTCCCTCTTCTTGGTCTTCGTCTTCTTGCTCCACTTCTTCTTGTCCTTCCTCTTCCTCTTCCTCTCCTTCTTCTTCATGATTTTCTTCTTCTTCCGCCTCTTGCTCTATCTCTTCTTCTTCCTCTTGCTCTTTCTCTTCTTCTTTCTCTTCGACACTACCTTCTGGTATTCCGTCTTCACCAATCACGCTGGTCGGCGTCAGATAGCCAGTCAGCTCTGGTTCACGACCATCGACCACTTCATCACCTGCTGGCGCCTTAATCTCCGCGTCCCGCCCGTTCGGCACAAGGTTTCCATCACGGTCTCGTCCGGAAGCAGTCGTTGTGATGTCGCCGTGTTCAGAGCCTTCCTCCGAGCCGGCGCTTTCGGAGTCGGATTCTGACGCAGCCTCCTCATCTTCTTTTGCCTTTGCTTCTGCGGCCTCCCTCTCCATGGCTTCTTTTCGCCCCGCCTTCTCGCTCATGACCACATGTTGGATGCGTTCGTCCCCTTCCTCCACCGCCTTCTGCAGGCCTCGGAGGATGAAATCAGCTCTTGCAAGAACCAGGTTGACACAATCGTCATTCCCGTTCTCGGCAGCCATCTGCAGCGCTGTCTTGCCACTCTGAGAGACCTTCAAGAGATCCGCACCTCTCTCGAGTAGAAGCCTCACACAATCTGCATCGCCGACAGACAACGACATCAGCAAAGCAGTATCCCCATCTCCATCGGCAAAGTCAATTGTTGCACCACGGTCAATGAGCAAGGCCATTCGGTCGGCGGGTAGGTAGAATGCAGCTGCTACCAGAGGTGTCGAGTTGAGCGGTCCGCCGATCACATCGAGCTCCAAATCAGGCGCTCCCAACAGTTCGTCAAGAACCTTAGTACTGTCGAAGTATATGGCACTAAAGATTGGTCTCGTATAATCTCCGCCACCAAGATTTGGATTGGCACCGCTCTGGAGTAAATGCTTGGTGACCTCCGAATGGCCAGAGTCGCAGGCAGCTTGCAAGGCTGTACGGGACTCATGGCGCTCGTTGACTTCATTGACATCAGCCCCTGCAGAGAGAAGCATCTTGACCACTTCGAGGTGGCCCTGTGAAGAAGCCTGCTGGAGTGCATAGCCGTCAAGAGAGTTCACATCGGCGCCAGCTTTGAGCAGCAGCGATGTTATGCGAACGGTTCCATCATTGGCGGATGCGGTCAGGGCGTTACCGAATCTGTGTCGAGTCAGTATCATGATGAAATGAAGGAGTGTAGCAAAGTGACTTACTCATCTCCAATTGCATTCGGGTTGGATCCAAGCCTGAGCAGAAACTCAACTGTTGACTCCTTCTCTTTGTCTGTTGCTTCGTACAGACACTTATCCAGAACATCTTGAGGAATCCCGCCATCACTATTATCCCAGCAGGCTTGTAGGACTTCGATCAAGGTCTCTGTGCCAGTCGCAGCACGCGTGAAGAGATCCGTGCAGCCGAGCCCATGCGCTGGATGGTGTCTCAGGATCAAGAGGCAGACTTCCCAGTTTGCCTGCTCAGTGGCGTTCTCCAGACTGTCTTGATATGCAACATGTTCATGCTCGAAAGTTAGAAGCTTTCGCAAGACCTCCAAGTTCCCCGCGGCTGACGCCCAGATCATGGCCTTGTCAAATTCCTGTGAAGTCAACTTGCTCTCGGTTGCGTCGAGAATTGCGCAGAACATTTTCAAGTCCGAGTGGTAGGCCGACATCGCCAGAGGCGCAACCTCTACTTCATCCCAGGCGTAGTTAATTCTCACCCCATGCTGGAGCAGGAGATTGACCGCATCCGTGTTTCCGGAGAGAATGGCGGCATTCAGGATAGGGCCCGTCTGATCATCAATCGCGTTGATATTGGCCTTCCAGTCCGTGATAAGCTTACTCATCACTGCTGTCTGGCCGTTATAAGCCGCCATCGCCAGGGGACCTGCGTTCCGGCCAGAGTGTCCCATGTCGTCAACGGGTGACCCTGCGATGAGTAATTCTTCAACGATTTCAATGTTCCCGTAGAAAGCGGCAAGATGAAGCTATGAAATGGTTAATTAATCAAAAAGGAAGACCTAGATGGCCAAAGACTTGAGAAAGCCACAATTAGCTTACTGGCTTATTGAAAAGAGAGTCATATTCATGAACTCCCTTCTCATATCCCTCTTTCAGAAGCGCCGTCACCAGGTGTGGGAAGCCGATGGCCGCAGCAACGTGCAACGCCTTCCACGTCGAAAAGTCGAAGCTGCTCAAGGATTTGGTCAGGTCCTCATATTCCTGGATCCAGCGCAGCCGTACTGCTGATTCAGCGGCCCAGAATAATTTGTTCCGACTGATAATCTCGGCAATATCCAGTGAGGCATCACTCGCATGGTGAAGCCAGTACCTGGTTGCGTAGTCCAGAGCAATATGGGGTCCACACTCTTTGACATCAGCTGGCGCAGCCGACTCATCACCTTCTAGAGTGGCGTCTGCGTCTTGAATCGTCTTAAACTCGTCTTTATCATCAGACTCATCATTGGCCGAGTCAGAGTCCACGATAGGCGTGGACTTCGGGTGTAGTCCTGGGGCATTGTCATTGGTTTGCTTCTCTTCGATTTCCTCGTCTGTTTCTGGATTTGTTGGCTCCGGTTCCTGCACACTCTTTCCTATCGCATCCATGATGTGCGAGAAACATCGAAGAGACATCTTTCCGTGCTGCCACTTGATCCACTCGTCACCAATATCGAGCAATTGTCGTGAATGCTCCAGGAGGTGCTTTTTGACGTCCACGTTGACAAAGCCAATGAAAGTATCGTCCCCAGAAACACGGGTAGTGACCAAGGGCTGGCACTTGTTGATTAGCTTCTGAAGATCGGCTTTGCATTCTTCGTCGTGTATTGAGAGACCTGCTAGAACCAGCAGTTCGTTCTCTCGAGGATCTTCGTAAGTGAGTACGAGTGCACGAAGGAGTTCTCTGATGTTTTCCATATCTTCATCGTCTCGCTTCAGAATCGAGAACCAAGCATCGTCCAAAAGAGACTCGAAGTTCTGAGGCACATGTTCAAGTATTCGTTGCACCTTGATTTCGCTCGACTCAGCAGGTAACGCAGCAAGCTGGACGACAGCAACGTCAATCCATTTGGTGTGGTCTGCCCGGTTGCCAATGACACTCCCAGTGAGGTATGTCATGGCCATAGTGTACCCTTTTTTCTTCTGCAAATCTTCGGCCTTCGTCCACTAGAACAACTCTTGGTTAGAACTCTACAGAGTATACGTATTTGTATTTTTGAACACCGGACGATGCTTGCAACATTGACTGGAAAGGGGAAATTTTTGTATAGAACGAGATACTTACTGCATATTTCTGTAGCTCTCGTTGCTGCTTATTGCCGTACTTCGGATCATCAAGGTCGATAGCACGAATCTTCGAACCCAATGCATCTTGCATGACCTTGTAACTTCGGCTGGTGATGAGCCACTTCGTCCAGACTTTTCTGTGATTGCCGGAAGACGTGCGTTCAATGTCCTCCTGAATGAAATTGTACAGCTTCGTTGTCGAGGGAGACTGCTGGTCAAGCTCGTGCAGGTTGTTGATGACGAAGTATATTGTGTCGATGGTTCCCTCGGACAGGATCTCCTCCAAGCTTTGCCACAGATTTTCGATGCTGAGGTTCGCTTTATTCCGCACTCTCTGATCGAGCTTTTTCTCCAGGAACTGGGTGGCATATGTGGCTAGAACTTCCTGCTGTTGACACAACTGTCGCACGAGGCTCTTGACGACGTCTTCGGCCGTGTGATAATCAGGCGTGTTGTCACAGAAGAAGTAGGCGAGCAAGTGAGGTGACTGATCTCCGCGCTCTTCGACCTTCCGAATGTGCTCTTTGACCGCACCGATGATGGCCGCAGCAGCACTGCTCTTTCCCTTGCCTTCGGGTCCATGAATCCACAAGTAGTTGTTATCTCGACTCGCGCTCGTCAGCCAGTCAACATATTCAGGCTCCCCATCTCTGATGATCCAGGATTCGGACGTCATTTTCTGCCGGAGAACCCTGAGTTTTTGTTGAGGCTCCGCCCCTTCCAAAACTTCAAGGATTCGCCTGTAACTCGTAGGATCGATAGCTAGCTGGCGTGTATCGTTGAAACGTGCTTTTGCTACACGCAACGCAGCGTTCACAATATCTCGAAGGGGGGCTTTCACAAGCTGGTATTCTGGATCCTTGTCCGACTCAAAACGCACGAGATCTCGGTGCGCTCGGGGAATGCCAGTCTGGTCCATGCCGGGCAGTGTAGCTGACTCTCTCGAGACAAAACGGCGGTACTCCTGGTCAATTATCAGATTTTTTTCCTTTTCATCAATTTCTTTTTCTTTTTTCCTTACTTTTGGAGGCCTGCCAACATACCGTTAGACTGAGTTTTCCGAGCGAAGAGGGAGGAAACTCTTGGCTTGCAAGCTTTGCAATGAGTTGCTCCCAGTGTGTGTCCTTCTGTTCCCAGAAGCAATGCACTCGGACTTTCTGTCCAAGTTTGTTCACAGAGCGAACAAAATCATCTTTCAACTCCTTGAGTTGCTCGTTCCCGGGCTGCAAAAGGGTAATCAGCTGGGAGTTAATTGCTCTTCCAAGTCTCTCGTTGATAGTCGCCCATTCTTTGGCAATGTCGGCAACTGGAGCCCCATTGAAGGGCGTGCCGAAGAAAAGGCAGCCCGAGATAGCTTCATACATGTCAGGGTACTTTTGGCCTTGGGTTTCAGCAGTTATCAATGCCTTCAAATCGGCGTCAGCATCAGATTACCAGGATATTTCGTCTCAGGATGAAAAACTACCTTGGCTACCACGAGACCTCCCATGCTGTGGCCGAGAAACACCAATGGGCGACGTGAATGCTTCTACCGAATGTCCCAGATTAATTAACGTCTGCTTAACCAAAGTCTTTGAAAACACACAGATACTCACCTCCCTCTTCGCCTTCAGTTGGTCAAGAAGTATCGTGACGATATTTGTCATATATTGTTCGATTTGGTATGCACCTGGCCAATGTTCATACTCAGCTATTCACTAGTGGGGTCTATGTGGTGTTGACTCACCTTGATATGCCGAAGCATAGTTATATAGGAGCACGCGAGCAGTTGGACAGTCTTTGGCTAAGCCACCAATGTCTCTGATATCCTTTGACAAGCCGCTTGTGTCTTTGCCATCTGTACTCTTCTTCTCGGTGATCCAGTTGAATTTACTGGGCGGTTTATCCCATTGCCAACTCTTGACCGCGTTTGCACCTAGACCAGGCACGGCCACAATGCTGCAATAGCTTGTCAATGACCTGACAGTAGTTCGAGAGGTAGATTTTATCCCGAGAGAGGTTCTGGAACTTACTCTACCGTAGCATTTACAGGGTCATTGTATACGTCCAGAGACTCATGGATCTCTGCGGGGGGTTTCTTCGAGGAAGTCGCCATCATGTTCACGACCACCTCTGAGTGAAGTTGTGTAATCCAGCAACTTGTGGTCAACAGAGCAGAACAAGACAGGATTTGCGAATATATCTAGTTGAAATAAGTGAACAGGCTATGAGAATGCGGCTGAGTGCAGTTCTTTCCCCCTTCAACAAGCATGCAGCTGATCAAAACCTAGAGGCATTTGATGGGTTTCATGTAGATCGACCAATCTCTGTGTCCGCAGCTGCTGCTGTTCAGGCTGGGCTTCTTACTGACCTGGCAAATGGTTCATTCTATGACAGCAAACTCTCTTTGGATTACAAAAAACTTACTTTAGCGCTTACGTGTGTCTTACTTGCATGAGTATTTCCTCCCTTATTTACTAATCTCTTCAGCCTTCGGATGCGGCTGATAATAGCGTAATGCGTCTCCTTGTCTATAGCTGCCTGCTTGAGCCTAGCTCCTTATTAATCTGATAAATAATATACCCTCAACTCGCACCGTGGGCACTCGCGTCATAGGTTTTGCGGGAATAACAATTGGCATCACCCACCATCTTTTCTCACACTTGTGGCAAGACAACGTGTATTATAGTAGAGCCTCGATCGGTTCAAAGCTCTGCAGCGTGCAGCGAGACAAGATAATGGAAACGAGAATAAGGTTGCAGACTCGTCTGACTCATTGTAACCATTGGCACTGCAATGCAAGGAATTCCAGAAAAAGTCTGTGTAACAAGCCTTGGTCAATTAATTTCCAGAAACACCGAAGCTGACCATTACCTAGGCTGCCCCCTTCTTCTCCAACATCCTGTATATTTCGGAACCAGTTGACTCGCAGCTCGAAAAGGTTGTCCACAATGGCGACATCTTGGATGACTTCCCCGCATCCTACCGCGTCGAGGACGTCGAGTTGCGGATAGCACGCTCCGAAGATCTGTTCTTCAATCAAGAGCTAGACTTGAAGCGACTCCATCGTGTGATACGATGGTTGTGGCTATGCGGTCAGACTATGCCTCCTCGGCCTTTACATGCTCAACTACTCCTGGGCCGCAGAGTTGTCATCACAGAACGCTTGGACTTGCATCTCATTTGGGGAAATGACCGCATGTTTCTCAAGCCTCTGCCGCGATGGCTCCTTCACCAGCAATTCTGGGAACAACACCGCGACGATACTATTCGACTCCAAGCATTGAGTCACGGCTCTCTTCGGACATTGAGAAGCTCTGCTCTTGGGTTTCTGCTGTCTTATATCGCATTGATCCAACATGAGAGCGACTTCTTTATCGCCAAGGATGCTCACATCATCCCAGATGAGTTGACATGGAAGAAGTGGAAAGTTCTCGTGCGCGAGATACTGCAAGTTCCGAGTGAGCAACTTCGGCTTCAAGTAGCAGACCGCTTCATCTACGGGGAGCTACGCTTGCGCCGCCTCAATCTTGTATACCGGTGCCTCGGCCTTTCGTTTTACGGGTATTTTTCGCGCTGGAATTCATATTCAAACTTTGTTCGAGACAATATGGATTTAGTGGTTGCGGGAACAGTCTATCTTGCTCTCATACTGAGTGCTATGCAAGTGGGCTTATCAACGACAACATTGGAGGGCAGCAAAGCTTTTCAAGCTGCGTCGTATGGTGCGACGGTCCTTGCGATATTAGGACCGCTGGGAGCCGTGACACTCATTCTGGTCATTGCTGTAGTGGATTTCCTACAAAACTGGGCTTGGAACAGGCGGAACGAAAAGAAAACGGAGATCAGATTAGGAAGGACCTGGAAAATCAGGCACGTCAGTGAATAGAAGACAAAGAGCATTATACGTAGGAGAATTATACCATCGACTTTCGGCCTCATATGTGATGGCAGCTGGAGGTCAAACCGCGACAAGAACTTCACGAGACAGAGTTTTCCCCGATGAATAAGTAATTTGACAAGGTCAGAATTCTAATTGAGGATATGTACACCCCGAAAATGCTAGTCGCACCGTCATGAGCTGCCTGGGATTGGCAAACCCCGTTAGGTAGAAATAGATACAAGAATGGCCCTTTTGCAGAGAACCGCTGCTTTTTTCGTCCAGGCTCGGAGGTTTATACTCGGATGCCTTTTCTTTCTTTGCGTGCTTGCTTGTGTGCCGCGGCTTGTCGTTTCCCCTTTCCTAGGGACAATATAGAGTGTCCTTTAGAAGATGCCGCTGAAGCCCTGACCAGTAGGCTGGGCACCGCTCTTGGTGAAGGTCTGGAAGCCGCTTCTGTGTGCGAGTTAGCTGGCTTGCTACTTAAGAAGACACCTGGTCGCAGGAGGAGGAGTTAGGACTTACGGTGCGGAGCCGCTGCCGAAGCCACCAGCAGAGCCAGAGCCAGAGCCAGAGCCACCGAAAGAGCCGGTACTAGAACAACATCTTGATTAGTTTCGGGTGTTGGAAGAGCAGGTTCTGATGGGATTGACTCACGGCTTAGCACCTCCGGCGCTGAAGGAGCCACCTCCGAGCCCGGAACCAGAGTCGGATCCGCTGCCAAAGCCTCCGAACGAGCCAGTACTGAGCACATCTTGGTGAGTTCCTCGAATATTTTGATTTATCAACGTTTGGTAGGGGGGTTGGACTCACGGTTGAGCACCTCCGGCGCTGAAGGACCCGGAACCACTGTCGGAGCCGCCGCTTCCAAAGCCACCAAAGCCTCCGGTGGGAGCGGCACCGCTTCCCTGGCTTTGGACTCCAGAGTACTGGGCCTTGTTCTTACCTCCGAAGGCGCGACGCTGGACCTCAGGCGCACCGGTGCTATATAAATGTTAGTATTGTACGCTGAAAGAGGTGGCCTTACAATATGAGGAGGATGGGTTACTCACGGTTGAGCGCCAGATGCAGACTCCATGGGACCGCCAGGAGCATCACCACCGAAAGCTGGCACAAGAATTAGCATTTAGTCACATAGGAAAAGTTATTTCCCTCTTAGAATGCCATGCAGAATTAACTTACAGCCAGTGGGCTTAGCACCTCCCGAGAAGGGACCGCCGAAGCCTCCAGCAGTGTGAGAACCCTTGCCTCCGAAACCACCGGTGGGCTGAGGAGCCTGGCCCGAGATGACGTGAGCCTGGCCGCTGGGGAGAGCACCACCAGCCGCGCCGGTGGGGGCAGGGCCCTGGCCGGAGTGGTGGCCAGTGTGACCGTGCCCTTGGCCGGGTCCGCCGAAGCCGCCGGTGCCAGAGGGGAAGGCGATGCCGGTGCCGGTAGGCTTGAAGCTCTCGACACCGCTGGGCTGCTGGGGAAGGGCAGCGGCCAGCGCAAAGAGCATGGAAGCAATGAGGGGGCTGATCTTGACCATCTTGACTGATTTTTGATTGTGGACTTTTTCTTGAAGGGGTGGGGTTGATATAACAAAATTGGAATTCTGCTGCGAAGAATTCGAAAATGTAAAAGAAGGCGGCGTCGATTTCGTTCAGCGAAGGAGCGTGGGTCTTGACAAGGGAACAAGAAAAGAAGATGAAGGCTAGCTTCAAGGAATGACTTTGAAAGGTTGGAGTCTAGGTTGAAGAGGAATGAGGAAGGGAAACAGAATCATCTCGAGGATCCAAGACTGAAAAGCCATTCTTATATAGAGAACCTGTCTTCATTTCTTTTGGGAGACAGCCAGCGCCTGTCGGCCCCGCGTACACACCACCACATGCACCATTGTTCGCGCAGTTGATGTTATCGAGCGACTGGTCCGCCTCCAATTTCTTCGAAACATTCCGTAATGGATCCTCTTCGGGCTGGGGCTCCAGGTGGGTCTGCAGATCGCCGTGGTGAGCAAGGGGAGTCCATCTGCGTGTGGAGGCAAGAAGGGGTGGTCCGCGGCTCCTTTGTGCCTATACATGCAGGCGTGTGGGTCGAGCCCCTTACCAAGAAGTGAGATCTACTATAGTAGAGGCATGTGAGATGCAACAGGAGACTAAACATTTCATGTAGTACTATGTACATTTTGCCTTGGACACCATGGTCTACTCTTGGGCCCCTCTGCTATGCCTGCTGCTGCAGTCTGCAGGAGACAGTGCATGGGAAAGTCAAGCGTAATTAGTCATTCGTGTTGGTAGCCTTGATTGGGGGTTTCCATACAGGTGTGCAGGCGGTCTTCTGCTGGGTGGCCATCTTCGGGGTCCTGCTCGAGGAGCTGTAGTTTGATGGTGTTGGATTGAGGATGATTTGCCACCATTCAAGGGCAGTATGCAACATGGCCTGCAGGTATGAAATGGCAGGCAGGCAGATGCGCAAGCGTACCCTGCTTATTGCTGCCCCCCCAACAATGGAGGTTACGGTTTTCTTCTCCTTTCCCTCCCTTTCCTTCTTGTGGGGTCACATCAGCAAACCGATCCAATCAACAATCAAGAGAGCAGGTAAGAATGTGCACATTCGGAGGGAAAAAAACAAAAATCATGTAAGTTTGAGGATAAGCGATTAAGCATCATTTGCACCCGTGTTGAAAAATATGACCTGAGGTGGAGTCCTCCAGTGGCCTTGGCTGGTATGGATTTTAGTCCTGGAAGCACGGGGACCCCAGAAGGTGATGACGAATACACCCCCGCCCATCGCTATTTGTTTTGAAACGAACCCTTCCTCTGGGCGGCATTGTTCTATTCCTGGTGGACACTATGAAACTGAGGTTTACGCCGGAAGAAGGAGGACAAGGAGGAAACGAAGGAGGAGTAGCACGGCCCACAGCAGGACCTCCCAGTATTCGACGGATTTCTGTGTGGGGGTTCCGTTGCTTTGGGGTGGTCTAGAAGTGCTTCTTTTTGGCTTGTTTGTTCTATCTCACCCTCCCCATGGCAATATACTATGGTACATGGGCGGAGAGAGAGCAAGGGAGGGCCCCGGGGTCGGCCGAGTGACGTCCTCACCATAGATTCTTATTAGTGCGAGGACAAAGGAGGCGGGCTAGGATGAATGATTTACAGGTAACCTTGAAAATTGAAATCTCATTTTGATCAACAGATAGGGGAATAGGGGAATTGAATGTAAACTTTGAATAATCCGTACATAAAACGTGTAGCGGAGCCCACACAAGTGTCCACAAGTCTATACACATCATCCAGGTTCTAGACGTAGCCTGAGAGTATGTTATCGAACCATGTGCGTGCTATGACGAGGCACAGACTGTCATTCTAAGCGCGCTGGAGGTGTGATGATTAACGTAGGGCACGCCAGGTCTCTGATCTTCCCTTTCTTTTCCTGCTTTCTCTCTCCTTCTTGATTGATCGCCCGCCAAGGCTGGAGTGCAGGACCTCGCAGCAGATCACGACAAGGGCAGGTAGTAGTGGAGATGACCTGTTTCATGTTTTCAAGCCGCTGCCCCCCTGCAGTCCTCTTCCTTTTTCTCAAGCGCCTATCGATCTAGCTTAGACTGTTTCCTCGTCTAAACATACACAGAAACAACTCTCTTGTGTTATTTTAGCTTCCTGTTGTACCCTAGTACACTATACATGATCTCATCCCTGGGCCTGGATTCCATTCAACATTCCATAGTAACAAAATCATGTCAACTTGCGACGCGAGATGGTTTCCCCCAATCTCGGATTGCCAGGAGCGGAGGCTCTGCGGGAGGCTCTGTGCACCGGTCTGCGTCCTCGATCCGACTGACAAGACCTGAAGAGCTGACGATTTTCGTGTGGATATGCTCAAGCTTGGCGACGATCTGGCAGCTCACTACACAGGAGCTAACCATAGCATGTACCGTGCATAGTGGGTTGTCCCGTCGTGGTTGCGCGTCGCTGGCCATGCCCGGCCGACAGAGACCGATAACCGTGGACGCGCCCTCAGCCAGTCGCCAGAGAAGGTTCAGCAGTATACGAGACGCACTGTCAGTGCAGTACACATGAGACGAGTGATGACGACCTTCCTGACAGGATACCCCTCGAGATTCGCGTGCTGCCTTCTTTTTGATCCGTGCACCTATTTTGATGATACCATATTCTACCAGAGAATACGCAATACATTGTTTCGCCGTTCCGTGCGCTGGAATATACAACTTGTTCTTGGACATTCATCTGTCCGTGTTTCGAAATGCTGAGTGGATCCACCAATCGTTCAAGAGCCCATGTCCCGTCGTGCAGGGGGCCGGGATGCGTAAGGAACAGCAAAAAATCCAAGGAGCAAGTCCAAGACCCCCAGAGCCCGACAAGCAACTCCATGTGCATGTACATGGAATGGAATAGGCGAGAGAGAGAGAAACAGGAAACGAATCCCACCGACGTCGGGCACTCAAGACTCGCCCAACATACGATGCCATGCGGAGCATCTTGTGCGTGCGAGTGTTCATCTTACTAAACTAATACGTATTAGCCGGGCCGTGGGGGAACGGGCGGATGCTCCAATGGCCCAGGATACGCGAGGATTCTTGACGGACATGAGATCCTGTGATTATTAGGGGAGGAGGAACAGCTTTCGTGTCTAGATCGGACGGACAGGCACTTGCAGCTCTCCAGAGGAGGATTACCTAACCTCTTTCTTCACTAGCGGATGGATGAAGGCAGACGCCTGTGCCTGAAGATCTTCCTTTTGTTTTTATTTTTATAACAACTAAATATCCTATAGGATTCCCCCGAGTCGTATCCTGCTGCACATTCACATTTCAAGATGAGGAAACAAGATTCGACCCGTGAGCGTAGAAAGAGAGTTTCCCGTGCAATATTCGCCTTGCCGTCCGCTAATAAATTTCAAAGTTTGCACAGTTCAGGACGGCTTGCGATCGATGCCCGATTCCCACACTCAACAACGAGCGATCGAGCGAGGCTACCGTGACCAAGATAAATGAGGACGGTTTTATCGAGAACCACAACAGGCCCATTTGCCAAAAGAAACCTGCACATACTGTATCTCCCTGGCCCGGGCCCTGGCCCCCTCTATACGACGGTGTCGACGAAGAGGTTGCAGTTTGGATATCGCTCAGCTTGATACAAGTTAGAAGTTCATCCTCGAAGATGGCATGGCAGGTGCTTGGCGTGACAAGGACTCACCTCTGGTCTCGTCGTCGATCAGAGTCGGGTCTGTAAGGGTATCATTGACCCAGCAGAAATCCTCAGTGAGCAGATAGATTCTGTTCCGAAGCAAAGAAAAGAGAGTCAGCCAATACTTTTCCTGTGCTGAGGACTCCTTCGTTTACGCTGCTGTAGCAGCTCGGGTCCAACTCACTGATTGTCATCTACCAAGTTTTCACTATACGTCGCGCACTGGACAACAATATACTCCCCAAACGAATACGTGTGCTGAGACTCGCTCGTGCTGTCCGGTTCCGCCAGACAGCTGGCCTGGTCGTCCCCGATCTGCGTAAGGTACAACCACCGCTTGTGCTCTTCCTGTCGGCCTACATCCGCTCCGCTGGCCGCACGACGGGCAAAATCTTCTGCGGGCGTAGGTGTGGATGGCTCTGGATCAGGCTGCCGCATTTTGGCCTCCAAGAAGGGGATGGGACCGCAGTCGTCGAGATCGGCGTCTACGAACTCGATCTGGGCCTCTGGGACGTAACAGTTCGACAAGGTTTTGTACCATTTGCTTTGGCAGGGCGTCAGCAATCATGTCAAGGAAGACCAAAAAATATGATGCTATGATGATTCCGACAAAGAAGGAGGGCCATGCGTGGAGAGCATATTACCTGTTACCAAGCACCTCGTCCCCATTGATGGTGTAGCATGTGAGAGTAAGGTCGACCTCAGGCTGGTACATCTTCGTGTGGTCCTCAATCTCACCGACAAACTCGGGAATGATGTTGCACTCAGTGTTGTACTCGGTCTTGCTTGGCCCGCTGGTGTACGTCTCGGCGACCTCGCCACAAGAGGCGAGCACATCTGTGTCTGCTCGACAAACACAGCAATTGTCCATTATGTCAGCTCTGTTCTTGCCGTCCACGGCTTCATACTGTGGGTAAGCTTACAATTTCCTTCAATAATATCCCACTCGGTAACATAGCAGTTATCGGTCGTCTTGTACCAGGTGCTGTGTGCGCGGACAAATGGATTAATATATCTTACAAAAGGAGCCCGCATGGAGTCTAGGTGTGCCGCTCACTTGGTGTCCACGATCATGTCTCCTGTCGTCCAGCACGTCAGGTTCATGTCCTGGCTGTACTCATAGGCGACCACGTTGGTGCAGAGGCTGTACGGGCAGGTCTTGCACTCGGTCTGGATGCCATTCTCGACGCGAGAGGGCACACTGCTGGCAGCAGTAGCATTCGATTGCCTGGTATCAAGTGGTACCAGATGGTGCCCGACCGCTACGGAGGCGAAGAGAAGAGCTGGAAAGAGATAAAATCCCATTGTCATGTCGGCTTGCTTATGTGTTGTGTTGGTTGTAGAGCGGACGAGTCTCTGTTGGCTTGCAGACAAAGTGACGGCTATGCAAGTTAAACAACTTCAGAAACAGGGCGACAACGGAGATATGTAAGTTCAGTCTGTCCTCTACAACAGAGTAGCAACAAAAGTCAGCATGAAGTCACATTAACGAAGAGTCTTAAACATGCGGGACGACAGACAGAATGTGATATGGACAAAATCATCAAACCCTGCCGCACGGGTCGCCTAATTTTCTAGATCGATGTATATTGATTATTATGTCCCGAAAACATTGATTCTCTAGGGCCCAAGTGGTCTCTTGTACCCAAATGACGGCGACTGACCTTGGTTGTCTCAGGAACTAAACAATTAGGCGAAGATCACTTATGGGGGAACCAGTCAGCGCCAAGAAGCACATAGGCGGGCTGATCAGCCTCCCTGCCTCTCAAAAGCGAATGCCAAGGTCGTACTACATGTTCAATACGAGGAGTAGTTCCAGCCTTCGGAAGTGTCTGAGATGTGTAATTTTTTGTTGCGACTAGAAAAGTATCTTGGAGGGACCGGGCGAACAAGGTGGGACATGACGCAGAAGAATAAGCATTTAGTTGAAGTAACAGTAGTCTCATTCCAGGAGCAATTTGTGGAAAGAAGCTGCATCTTCTGAAGTGTAATAAGAGTTGATTTTATCACATACATTGTATGTCACCAAATTAGTTGCAAGCAATATTGTTGGTTTGTGGATGAAACAAATTACATCGTCACTTAGATGGGAAAATAGATCAGCACACATTGTCACTAAATGGCATGCCTGGGTTGTGAGAAATGACCAGATTTTATACTCCTATATGAGTACTAGGAACAGACACTACACAGTCCAAGTAGCCTCATACACCATATCCCTCCTGGCAGCCGTCCCCGTCGTGTCAGTGACATTACCCACGACAGTTCCCTGCTCGTCCTCATACGCAGCCCACGCGCTCTCCAGCGCCCAGACCGCAACGCTGACCTCCACCCCAGCAGGCAGGCCCGCCGTAGCAAAGCTCATAAGCGTCAGCGGCTCGTTGGGGAAGAATAAGACCGTAGCAGCATGCACGCCGCCGTCCAAATAGACCTCAAGAACAGACCTGTCGATGACAGCCTGGACACGCCAGCTGCCAGAGGTGGTGTTCCACACATCAGCGACAGAGAACTTGTCGGTGAAAAAGACATTGTCGAAGCCGCGGATCAGGCCCCTGTCGATAAAATACGGCTGGTCCCCGCCAAAGAAGAAGCCAGACCGGAGCACCTCGCCAGAGGATGGACTGGTGAAGGATATGTTGAGCGTGGAGGACCCTGTTATGGTGCTCGCGTTCAGGCCCGTCACGTTGGCGTCGATGTACAGGGCGCCAGACGACACAGAGGCATAGTCGACGGCGATGGAGGCGTTGCCCTCGAAGGTCGTCGTGTTGAGCGGCGCGCCCAGCAGCACAGGCGACGGGTCGACCAGCTGGCTGGCCATGACCCAGCCGATGCGCGTGGCGTTGGTCAGATAGTGGGCTCTCGGAAGGGTCGCGGCGCTGCGCCAGCCCTCAAGGTTGCCCGTGGGCACGGTCTGGGTGTACTGCCAGTTGGAGGCCCAGCCGATGCTGACGGCGTCGGACCCGTCTGGGGTGCCGTAGAAGAACTGGGCGGCGTAGTTGTCCTTGGCGAAGTCGGTGAGGCGGGTGGCGCTGTCCAAGGGTTCAAAGTGCGTCCCGTTGAAGGTCCCTGGGAAATACTGCGTGATGGAGCCGCCGAGAGGGGCGCCCGGCTGGACGGAGATGGCCATCACGTAGGCCTCGTCGCTGACGACGGAGCCTCCGATGGTGTCGCGGATGGGCAGCTTGGCGAGGTTGGGGCACTCGTACTGGGCGCCCAGCAGGCCGTGGTGGGAGAAGTTGGAGGCATGGGTCCAATTCTTCAGGTCAGGGCTCGTGTAGATGCCCACGACGAACTCCTGCGCATACGACACGACCATGGCCCAGTGGTCCTCGTACCAGATCACCTTGGGGTCGCGGAACTGGCTGCTCGTGCTGTTGATGACCGGGTTCCCGTCATAGTACTGGAAAGTGTAACCGCCGTCGTGAGAGTAGGCGATGCCCTGCACCTGAGGACCAGCCGAGCCGTCCTCATAATAGCGCGCAAGGGTCATCATGGCCACGACGCCGTTGTCCTGGTCTGGAAAGAAGCCAGAGGTGTTGTTGACGTCGACGACGGCGCTCCCAGAGAAGACATAGACATATTCTTCAGGCGGGAACAGGGCGATCTGCTGGTTCTCCCAATGATAGAGGTCCTGGCTCGTCGCGTGGCCCCAGTGCTGGTTGCCAGCAGCGAGGCCCGTTGGGTTGTACTGATAGTACAGATGCCATGTCCCGTTTGCATCCACAAACATACCGTTGGGATCGTTCATGAAGTGCTGGGGCGGTGAGAAGTGCACCTGCGGCCGAAGACCACCCGTGTAATTGCCAGGCACGGGGGTGCCCGTCGGCACGGCTGGGTTGACATAAGTGCTCACGTTTTGCGCAGAGGCAGAGGAGGCCGTGAAGAGAAGGAGTAGAGGACCGAGGAGGCCTGCAGTCTTCTTCATTATAACCATGGTGAGGGATCCTGAGGCTTGTCTGTCGTTTACGTCTTGGGCTTGCTGCTTGGTAGGGATCCAGCAACCTGGGTTTGATAATCACTTGAACCCAACGGCGAGAACTTGTTGCCTTGCGAGGGACTCGAGTACCTTTTATAACGTATGCCAGAGGGGAGGGGATGCTCTGGAGCACGTCACTTGGCATGCTGTAGGGCAGTGAGGGGATTATGTGCAGGCTCAGCCACAAGGGGCCTAGCTGTCGAAGCTATTCGCATTGTGAGGTGGGTGAATTTCACCGAGTGAAATCGCTTTTCCCCGGACTTTATTGCGTGGGATCTAAACGGGAGCTACTGTAGTCGAAGGATGGATCCGCAGTAGCCTGATGCGAGGTGTGTACACTGTGAAATAACTAGCACTGGCGGTCTTGGGAGAATGTGGATGGAGTCGGATGAGGAAAAACGAACGTGATCTTTTAAGGTTTATGACTGAGGGGACATTGTAGATGCGTCATTGCCAAGGGCCGTACGGGGTAGAAATGCTTGGAGACCCAGCCGAGTCAAACCTAAACACAAAAAGCAATTGTAATCGTAATTGCAATAAATAATAAGAAAGCAGAGGAAGAGAAAACGCAATACTGGAAACTGCCGTGTTTTAATTTCTCTTCTTCCATATTTCATACAGAGAAAGACACCAGCAAAGAGTATGTTGGACTGAACAAGACGATTGACGCACTCGCCGAAGAGAGTGTCCTTGTGCAAACGGTAGAGGCAGATACATCTGATCGGTGGGTGGTGGTCCACCAGGTTCATTCCTATAGTGTCCACCCTAACCGTTGCTTGTGGAGGTGCGGCTTACGATGGGGGATCGTAAAACCCCGCATCTGGTGTTATTGATGGATCACTGATTCGGTGGAAAGTAATTATTACCTCCAGTGGTCTTTGGGACGCTTCAACTGAGGCCCATATTTGACAGGTGTAGAAGCATCCGATTTCTATGCGCTTGTAAATCTTGTACCACCAAATATATGACACTTGCAGAGCTTAAGATGATGCTCTTAGAATGCTTGCTACCCATTTCGTATGTCAAAATGGCTTGTCTGAGGACTTTTGTATGAATGTCGGAATCGCAATCATCAAGAGATGACGTGGGGTCGAACTACACGGTTTGGTTATGGCGAGATCTGCTGCACGGCTCATTCCGACAGCGGCCTTATGCTTATGCTGTGTAACTAGCAATAGCTCCTCTAGGGGCGGCTGATTGGGGATGGGGAATTCCAGGTATGGCGCTAGACGAGCATGGTGCTACAGCCTCTAAACCATGTATCTAACGACGACGTCTTTACCGCTTGATGCTGGAAACTTCGAGGCCACTACACTGTTACCGCCTAAAGCATAAACAGGTTGGATACTCAGTATGAAAAGCACCTCCTGCGGTATAGCACGTTGATACCTACGTAAGTACTTGATACATTCAGCATATCTTTGTTTTACATATTGGCTTGGGCACGACTCATGGCCTACGAGGGCTTCCCTTCGCTGGTGGGACGCCTGTTGTGCATATTTTCTTATTCACGACGAAAACCTGCTCGAATACTTCTTTCAAACCAAATGTGTTCTTGATGGTCCATATATATCTGGGTGTTCAAGCTGATCAATCCTTGGAGTTGCTCTGCTACCTTGCTGGCTGGAATTTCTTCTTCCGTTCGTCTTTTCCAACCCAAGCATGAAAGAATGGGCCCTTACTGTTCAATCCCGAATACTATAGGCGTTTCCAGGTTAGTCCGGGGTTTGGTGCCACCAACTCCCGATTTTCCATGCATGGATGTGCTGTTCCCGCGGAGATGTCCCTTACCACAGCTGCCACTGTTCTTCATCCCCCAGCAACTGAGACTCAAAGGTCCTTACCTCCCGAGGAGAAGAGAAAGAGAGAAAGAGGAGAGATGACTCCAATGTCACGTTTCTTTCTTTGCTCCTCTTGCTCCTACAATGCTGCTTTGGTCCGACGTAATGGTTTTCGCTGTGCCACATGCGCGCTCCCCTTCTTTTCCCTTCCTTACACAGGAGAGAATATGAGCAACTTGAGAAAGCCGGATACTCTGCTGGTCAGGAAACTCGACAGATCAAAGGATAAAGAATTCCCAACGCGCCTAGCCACTATCATTCCTTGGAACGCAGAGGTGAACAGCCCAAGTGATCATCCTCCGATGCAGCATCACCCCCCACCCCAGCTGCTGCTGAAGTTCCTGCCATTATGTCCAGCAAGCCTGGAGAAGGAGGAGGCGTCGTCGTCGTGCCATCGGGATGGAATATCGACATCGACAGATATATCAACCCCTTCATCAGATCGCCTCGCAAGCAGAACCTGCCACCCGCCATCGCACGGTTTCTAGGTTACCGCGACCACCCGCCACGACTCTTCGGAAACGTGCTCATCATCGCATATGCCTTCATCGGAACGCTGTCCTCCTTGTCCCTGATCTATGCTGTCTCCAACCAGATTCAGGCTCTGGGAATAGGCACAGACTCACCTCTGATCTTGGGTAGCTTTGTAGGTCTCATCGCCTCTCTGTCCTGTTTGGACCCTTCTGATGAGGAACCTGGCTTTCTTGTTCGCTCCGCTCGTCCATCAAGGTAGACATAAAACTGACAAGACGGGATTCTTCTTCCTTCCCACTGCACTGCTAGGGAGCGGCTGCGGTGCTTGAATTCTACGCCATCGACTCGCCCTTTTCGCAGCCACGAAACGTGTTAGTTGGTCAGCTTGGCAGCAGCCTCATTGCAGTGAGCATCAACAAGGGCTTCGCACAGCTGCCCTTGCGCCAGTACACCCAACTCCGCTGGCTCGCCGGGTCTCTGTCCTGCGCGTGCGCGACCGTCTTCATGGGCATCACGGGTACGATTCACCCACCCGCCGGGGCGACGGCTTTGCTGGCCACAACCGATGACAACATTATCCACCTCGGTTGGGCTCTGATACCGCGCGTCTTGCTCGGCTGCTGCCTGATGCTTGTTGTGGCTCTGATCATCAACAACATACAGAGGGCGTTTCCTGCGTACTGGTGGACTGCAGAAGAGACTGGCTCTTTTTGGACGAGGACATACGACGAGAAGCGCAGCTGCAGAGACAATAGAAGACGGCAAGGGCGGGAGATGGACGACGAAGAACTTGGGCAGGCCTCAGCGGAGACAGCGGAAGCAGCAGTGGCAGCAGCAGCAGCAGACGAGTCCCCAGCACTTGTCATAATCACCAGGCATAACATACTCGCTGCTCCTGGCACTGACCTGACAACCTCTGACAGACGTTCACTGGAGAGGATCTTTCAGAAATTATCACCAACATCGTCCACTCGTCTCAAAGCCGCCCACGAAGGCGGTAGTTGAGGGGTACAGTATGCCACAGACAGGAGGGGAGAGGCACTAACTCCCTGGGGGACTCTGCATATTTCTCCGATGAGCTGGACCAAAAACGAGCTGGGGTGGTCTCTTGCATGGCGCTGCGTGGGCTGACTGTCTTTTTTCCTTCCTGAAAAAGGAGCCGAGAAATTCTTGCTTCTGTTGGAGGCTAATGCTATCTATCCACTGTTCAGCTGAATTGCACAAGGCAGAATTGCACCTGGGCACTGGGCAGCTGGCACATGGGCGTGCGGTGGCGCTCCCGACGGAGTCTTGAGTCTAAACCAATTCGAACAGGGTCGAGAATCCTTTCAGATCCGGGATCAACACTCAGCTGTCCGGGGCCATGCCGCTGCCGACCCCTCCTTTTTTTGGTTCCGAGTGTGCATGAGGCTCCACATAATTACAATGCCAAATCTACATAGTACTCGAGAGACAGTCTGTTCCGAAATTGACGGTGCGTGCGCGCGCGCGCGTGTAGGTTGGTCGCTTGTGACTCGTGCCACTACTTGGCTTCGGATCCTTTAGCCGATATGACTTGCCTTCAAGCTGACTTGTTTGCTCCTCAACCCTGTCACGTTCTGTTATTATATGTCTCGATCTCGTGAAAGTCACTTCGCATCTACATCGGCTTGGGGGAGAGCGCAACCACAGCCTTTGCTGGACTTTGCCTACTTCACTACCATGTCCCCTTCGTTCTCGGCGTACACTTGATCCGTGAAACTCTCCTCACCACTCCTAACGAGTGACGCCGCCTGTACTCTTATTTGAAAAGATGGGACGGGCCCCGACGAGTGGATACTGCGAGACTTGCAGAAAGCGGAGAATCAAGTGCGGTGCGTCCAGAAAGAACCTACGTTGCATCAAATACATCTCCAATTCCAACCCGCCTCAGTTGCTGATTAATTCTTTTTCTTTCCTTTTCCTCGTGGATAGACAAGACTGCACCCTCGTGTATGCGATGCCTAAAATCCGGCTATGTATGCAAGGGATACGCATCCGGCCTGCGAATACAATCCCTCGTGGTCGTGACAGGCTCTGAAGGCTCTCAGCGGCTCGCCAGGCTCGCCGGACCTTCCGACGCGTCGTCGAACCAGCGACGCAATGATGTACTATATCGCTATAGTTCCAGCACGAGTCGTGGTGGTCCACGTGGTGACGAGCCCAGAAGATTGAACCCACCCCAAGGGCTGAACCTCACGGCCTTTCAGGAGCACATGGCCTTCAGCTACTTCTTTGCCACCTACGGCTGGGCTTGTTTCTGGAAACCTTTCCTGCAGCTTGCCAAGGAGAACGACCTCGCCCCGACGGCGAGCCATATCTGCAGCCTTGCTTTGGCATACGGACATATGGGCCTTGGCCACGGCGACAAGGGCCTGAAGTCGATGGGCTTGGAGCTGTATGGCCGGAGTCTGAGGGAGGTGCAGACGTTGCTCAGCCAAGGAGGAGCTGCGCGGACTGAACTGGCCCGACTTTGCGTTCCTGTTGTGATCTTGGGCATGTATTCTGTATGTTGAACGGTTCTTGATCTCAGATGACAACGTCTTTCCAGCATTATCCGCTCCCGGTTCTTCTCCTTGTCGGCCGCCACTTGCTACGTGCAGAGAACTTATTGTAACTAACCATTTGGGCCTAATAGTTTGCTATCGATGGAGACCTGCGACTCATACATAACCTCGGTGTTGTACAAATCTTGAAACACTGCGGGCCAGAAGCATTCCAAGACGAACCGCTCCTCACTGCGTACAGATCATGCAGAGCACTGTTGGTAGGCCATGTGACCAAAGACTTCTTCCAACCCTCTTGTTCTCGAAGCAATACTGAGAACTCGTTACCGCCACAGATATGTGAGTCCTTCGCCGTCCGCCGACGTACCTTCATGGAAGAGTTCAAGTGGAAGACCGTCCCCTGGCAGAAGCTTCCCAAGACGGCCCTGGACCGCCTGATCGATATCCTGGCCGACATGCCGGGCATTGTCAACGACATGGCCGCCAGCGAGCGACCCATATCACCTGCAACCAAAGCGTCCTTCCGTTCACAGGTCGGCAAGCTGCGGACAGCGATCCAGGCGTGGAGACACGATTGGGACCGCGCGAACCCAGGGGCGGGCAGCGAGGCGCCCTCACACCTTAAGATGGACAATATCGATTCTGCCTTGTTCAGGGAACAGCTGAGTACGACAATTGAGTTTGGGACCACGCAGCAGGCTCTTGAAATGGTATTTACGACCGTTCTCTTGATGATCTATTCTTATACCCTCTCTCAAATCATCCCAGCCTCCACATTCCAGAAAGCTGGACAAATATTTTCAGGAACTTGCTCACCACCAGATGGATACAGTTGACCTACAACGCCGGCCTCATATATCTCATGCAGCTAGAAGACATCCTGTCCATAGGAAAACCGCACAGCAGCCCCATAACAACCGAGATAGCCAAAGAAATCCGCCGAGACAGCTTGAACCGCCACCCATCCCAACCTTTACTTCTCCCCGAAGAGGTACGCCACACCTGCCAGCCCGCCCTCGAGGCCTTCCGCCTCATCCCGTCACTTTACAAGAACCTCGTCACCACCAGAGACCGCGTCATGGTCATCCTAGCCCCCTTGGGCATTGTGTACTGCTCGACAAAGGGGCAGCCGGGGTTGAGCAAATGCATGGAGGCTGTGCTGGACGAGATTCCCTTTTTTGGGAGCGGGGCTACTAGGGATTTGTCTGTTTATGAGCTGAAGGTTGGGGAGGCGTGGCGGTCGGGGAAGTGATCCCATTGTTTTGAAGGTTACATTTAGACGATAATCACATGGATGTGAAGGATGAAGCCTGACTTGTACAAGTACTGCGAAGCTTTCATGAAGAGTGAGTGCCTGGGCCTGAACAGAACGTCTTATGCAAGGCCAGCAGCTGAGCGGAATTACTAATAGAAAATATCATAATTTTGCACCATTTTTCTTTTCTGTTTCTCGATCCATGTATATGTCATCGGGTCACCAGCAGCTTATGCCAACTTCTCGTCCCCATCGCGGCTCCCGCCATCACTCACCACCCTCTTGGTCTCCCTGCTCCTCTGCGCCGCCGAGCCCTCCACGACCTCACCACCATCCGCGTCCGTCTCCTCAAACTCCTCAGGCAGCGACAAGTTCAGAATCACAGTCACCAGCGCCGTCACCGCAAACCCAGTCTCCATGACCAGCTCGATCGCGTCCAGGAAGCCCTGCAGGCTCTTGTTGGAGCCGCTATAGGTGAAGACGTAGCTGAAGTAGGTAGGAACCAAGGTGGCACCGTAGCCAATGGCGAGACCGGCGGTGAGGATGAAGCGGTTGCGACGGGTAAATGGCACACCGCGGCAGATAATGGCGATGCCAGAGACGGCGACAGAGGTGAAGAGGAAGGTGGTCATGCCGCCTATCACGGCAGAGGGGATGGAGGTCAGGGCTGCGGCGAACTTGGCGAGGATGCCCATGATGATGAGGAAGATGCTATTTTTCTCATTGTCAGCTTTCTATTTGACCTTGTGTGGCCATGGTTTGGCACACAATTCCTCTTCCTGTTCGTCATAGCAGAAAAACACTCACCATGCACAGTAGCCCGCCTTGCGGTTCGCACACCTCGTCAGCGCAATCACACCATTGTTCTGAGCAAAAGTAGACATGGGCGTGATTGTGCACAAGGCAGCCAGCACGCCCATTGATCCCATCAGCCAGGACACCACCCTGGATCCTGCTCTCGTACAGCTTGCCGTCAACCTCGAGGCGGGAGACGTCACAGGTGGCCGTGATGTCACCAATGGCCTCACAGGCACAGATGATGAAGACGGCCAGCAGGGGAAGCACGAGCGGGCCGTAGACGCTGAGCTTGAAGGTGTGCACCCAGATGAAGCTGGCGGCGGGGGCGGCGTCGATGCCGGAGCGGTCAAAGTAGCCGCAGGCGGCGGCGATGATGCAGCCCACGAGGAGACCGATGACGACGGAGCAGGATTTCATGATGGGGGCGCCGAAACGCTCACAGAGGATGATGGTCAAGAAGACGGAGAACCCGAGGCCTATTAGTCCAGTCAAGTCAATACATATATACGCATACACCATGTTGGTGTCGGTACAAGCAGTCTGAGCCAGTACTTACCCAAAAACTCAGCACTTCCCCAGGGCAGGGCATGCGGCGCATCGATATCCGGACACAGAGCATAATACGCAGTGGTAGGGTTCATGCAAGAACCACTTCCACCAGCCCAGGCCTCGAAGCCGCTCTCGATGAGGCTGATGCCGATGAGCATGACCGTGGGACCTGTAACGATGGGTGGGAAGATGCGCAGCATGGTCTTGGGCGGGATGAACGAGATGAGCACCTCAAGCAGGGCGCAGACGGCCGAGGTGCCGATGAGGGCGCCGTATCCCTCGGGACAGGGCAGCTGGGTGCCGTCGTCGGCAGTCGGGCAGTAGCCGTTCTCGTACATCTGAGTGAAGGCGCGGGTGGCGACGGTGATGGTGGAAAAGGAGACGCCCACGACGGAAATTACCCCCGTGCCCAGGTAGTATCTAGAAAGGCAAGATTGCTTGAGGGTCAGCTGCTGTTGTTGTCTGATGGGAAACTCTCCCTCGACTAGGCGTTTCTCTCTCGCTCTCAAGAAGGACGTACGGGGTCTTGAAAAGATGAAACCTTGTGATCTGAACCATGGACAAGACACCCGAGACGATCAGCGACGTCGACACCAAATACTGCTCCAGCTCAGTGGACAGGTTGGCGGCGGCAGCGAGGATGATGGGCGGAGCGATGATACCAGCCAGCATGGCCAGGGCATGCTGGAGACCCAACAAGACGGCAAGGACCACGGGCAGGTTCTCGTTGAGGCCGAAAAAGGGAGCCGCCTGAGCCCTCTTCTTCATAAAGGGAAGGCTCGGCGTAAAGAGGAAGGCATAGTCGTAGTCGCCTACCAGGCCCTCCCTGGTGAAGAAGGTCTGCTTGAAACCACGGAGCCGGTCACCAAATGTCCTCTTGTGCTCGGGATATGCACCGATCTGAGATGGTCCTTGGCCCTCATCCATCTTGGCGAGATGAGCTTGTGATGCGTCCTGACAACAGTTGATGCTGGGATCGGGTTGTTCAAAGTTATTAGATGTTAACAGGACTGCTGCCTCTATTCACAAGAGGGGGGGGGAAAGGGAGAGAGCCCAGCTTCTCAAAGCGACAAGAACGCTTGTGAGACTGTAATGAAATTCACTTGGATGTTCGGTTAAAGCCGTCACAAACTCATCTCGTCCAGAATGAATAACGGAATGGGGTGAAGTACATATTTATGTCATCCAAGACGTATTCATAAAAGAATGACCGCAGCTGGAAATAGAGAGAAAAGGTGAGCGCGGTCGCATCGGAGCAGTGCTTATCATGGAGCATCAATTTTAACTACTAAGAACCTGGCCGGATCCTCTTGGATGGTATCCACCGGACGGGCAGCGGAACTAGCCGATCCACTGTCGCATGGGGCTGCGTTCTCTCAGAGTGAAATACCAAGGCGCTGGGGCAGACACTATTTGGGGGTGGCCATATGATTTTCTTTGTCTGTTTCTTTTTTTTTTTTTTCTTTCTCCATTCTGGGTGATAGTGATAGTGGGTGTGGCAGCATGTCAGAAGACGGGGCAGGGGGCGAGAAGGAGGAGGACGCATTAAACCCTTCCTGTGTGCATCGATTCTCATATGCACAACATCAGCCCTGGACGTGGGGGAGAAGGGTGGGATTGCTTTTGCTTACTGCTGCTTATCTGCAGACTACAGCAGAACACGAGCCCCTCTGTATCGGTTTTGTTGTTACTTTTCCTTTCTTTTCTCCTTTCTTTTCCGAGCTGCTGTCAATACAACGCTGGCAGCCTTTCATGCGCATGCCCACATGCTGGAGGACTCTCATATGCACCGGCCTACAGACAAAAAAAAAAGAGCCTCTTCTTCTTGGCTGGTATTAAACTCCGTACGGTTCCTCGTGTGGGTCGCCCTAAGGAAATCAGAACCAGGGTCTTTGCTGGGACTCTAATCAGGTAAAGATAACAAAACTGATAACATCACTCGATTCTATCGAGTCAACCACCAACAACAAGCGACCGCCCAAGAAAATGAAAGAAAAAAGACTTCATTGTAGATAAGGTAACATCAGAATACTGTTATTTGAGTACTCTCCACACCAAGCCACCCTGCTAAACGAGCACGTCCATGCAGCAATAGCAGGCAGATGCATCTCTCCACATCAGTGATGCAGCCTATGGTTGCATGCGGACGTCCGAGACCTTCGCTTATGCCGGTATCCGATCTGGATGCGCCGCCTACCGTCAACTTTTGGCTTTTTCCTACCAAATAAGACAGATCCAGACCTGCATTGCATAAGGTTTCTTCTGGGGTTTGTTTTCTCTCTCTACTCTCTTCTCTTCTACTTTCCTTTCTTGGTCAAGAAAATGCAGAAAGATGAAAATTTTCATATACATTAGATCGCCAGCGTGATGCCGTCACGCCTTCCCGCCCTTTTTCCCTTTCTGCACCCGGCGTCTGCCGATCTGTCTCTAGGGCGTTGTGGCTGCCCTTCGAATGCGACTCTGGCTGCAGATATTGCTTTTTTTCTCTTGGAGAACGTGACCATTCTCAGGGCCCCCTGACGCCGAAGATGTTAGCGGTTGATGACATTCTCTTCTTTTCTTTTCCTCCCTCTCAATCCCGGTTCACTGTAGCCATCAAGAAGTCACTTCTAATTTGATTTTTTTCCCCCCTCATAAACTTTTCCTTCAACGACGGAAACCTCGTTCCATGGTTATTACGTACAGGCAATCCTGGCATTCAAACCCTGCCCTCTCAGATTTCACTGCTTTTTCTTTACTTCATCGATTGGGACGCTGGTCGACAACAAGAGGAATGTACTGTGAATTTACTTGTATTGTGCGGAGGCCAGTGAGTCACCGGCAGCCTTGCCAGCCAGCCAACAGTCAGGGCCCCAGATAGGATAGCCTTATGAAGTCCGGCGATCTGGCTGTTTGTTCTTCTCTCTCTCTCTCTCTCTGTAGCCCCTTGCATACAGGCCTTTTCTGCCTGACATACTTATACAACGCACGAACATACGGCAATATCAATTTATTGCAGAAATCAGGGGGGGAGGGGAGGGGAGGGGAGGGGAGGGGGGGGTGGACCGGCCAGCCCAAGCATCATTACCACTATCGAAGCCTCCTCCCCTGCATCTCCTCGCTCGTAACTTCTCCAGTCCATGCAGCTGCATACGCACCCAGTCGACAGCCACTTCAACAGTGTGAACAGTCCTGACCAGATACCTTCTCACAACATCAGCCTTTTCTGCCAGCGAGATGGGCATCCTTGACACTAGCTAAGACTCGCAGAGTAGTACCGCTTCCCTTTTAATCGGCACTCGGGCCGTCACAACATGTCGAGCACCAACTTCTGCTCTCAACCCATCAGCCCGCGAACGAGCAGCGACTCCTTGCAGCACGTATTGGCTGCAGAATCGTCTAGTTCAGCTTGGACCTCAGATACAACCCTCTAACCCCACCACCGATTTGAGATCGTGTTGCGACAGGCTTCGAATCTCCGTGTCCGCCACCCTCGAGGGCACACAAAAGGGCTTTGAATACCCCCCCCCCCACACCCAAACCGGGCTGTCGCCGCTCGTCCCATTGACCTCTTGTGTCACGGCGTCGACATGTCAGGATCCGTCTCCTGTTCGCGCAAGTGGAACAATGACTCGACTTCGCAGACGGATGGAGCGCGCCAGCCATCAGCACCTCTTCTACTGCCGAGAAGACGAGGTTGTTGACAGCCACCTCGGTGTCGGGTCACTCGGGACTGCAACCTCGCAAAGGAGCTTTCCGAGTGCGCAGTCAGGATGGAGCCTTCCACGGTCGTGGCTGGAGAGGGAGCGGGGCGAGGTAGCAGCACTGGTTGCCTCTTAGGTTCGCGACGATGAGGGTATCGGAGATTCTATTGCCATGTGTGTTTTGTTGTATGTGTTTGCTCTGAGCAGGCGCTATGTCTTTGACGATGTGCGTGATTATCTTTCCTTCTCGGCACGCAGGATGCTCGTCAGGTAAGTGGTTCAATAGGTGTGCTCTCTCGAAGACAAGGTCTTGTATTCTACCCAGGCTGGTCTGCCTGTAGTGCATCAGCGTAATGATCTCGTAACAAATCAAATTTGACCAATGTGAAATAGCATCACGTCATCTGGAATCGGCCTAGACACCGGCCGCATGAGCTTGAGGGCCATCACGTTCGGGTGATATTCGACAGGTATTCTCGTCTCGGTCAGGCGTCAAGTTTTATTGCATCACGTGTTGTTGGGCCTGTTGTAACCGTGCAATGATTAGCAAACTGAGGTCCAATGCTATTGTTTGCTATGAACGTCTCTTATAAGAGTACGATGCAAACTTGACGCCAGGTGCCGAGGTCTGTTCTCCTGTGACACGATCGGTATATCTTATGATGATCCTTGCGTTGCTATTCATAGAAGCACATACTCCTTTTCTTCTCTTCTTCTTAGCCAGTATTCGTAAAAAGTTGATACTGACTCTATCTTGAAGGCTGTGTAGGCGCCTGGGAGGCCATCCGAGGCATATATAAACTCTTTTTAATAGAAATAGCGATGGAACCGGTGCTGTGCTGTATGTACGCATGTATTGAAACTGGCGGACAGGTCTTCGAAACAAAGAAACCCGGTGAAGGCTGCTGCGGAAGAGAAAGGGTATGCACAGAATCCTGCATAGTATCACGGCGAGATTCAGCAGTGGGACCAGGGTTATCATAGGATTACTTCGCCTCATGAGGATTAAGAACAAATACGTTCCCAGACATTATACGTGCCTTGAAGGATCTGTCAATCATAGATTCCTCATGAATTTCCGGCATTTACTGTGGCATCGGCCTCAGCCTATCAAGCACGCATGTCAAGATCCAGAAGATCATCTCCCACAAACATCTTTGTGAAGAAAACACATCCTGTTTAGCATATCTTTTACATTCAGCAAACGTACGAAGTGTTATTATATAAATATTGCTTCTTTGTCTTTTCTCTGTAATGCAGCCTGCCAACGGTTTATGAGAACTCCATCGTGTCCAATCGAGCAGGGGAGCCTTACAGCTGGCACATGATTACCGGGTTGTCTGCGCCTATCCGTACCGCACAGGACGCTTTCTGATGATGCGTCAGTTTGGGTAGCAATGAAACTTAATTTGACCCTCCACGGCAGCCCTTCGGTGTGAGCTTATCAACTGATTGGTAGGCAACCGTGTGAATCCCGTGGAAGTGTCTAGTATCCAGGCCCTGACCTGCAGCTGAATCAGACAACAAATGCATTGCTATCATAATATACATCAATGATATTTCTCAGAGAAACTCGGCTACACGCATTAGAGCATCGTCAGACTCTCCAGTACCTTCCAGAGGGGCAAAGATAAAAATCAACACAGCTCAAAAAGCACCAGAGTGTAGATCGAGACTTCGTGAAAGAGTATCACTACACTCGCAAGGCCCCATCCGAACAAACGACCTCTTCAACCTCAAGTGAACACAACGACAGAAAACCATGCCAGCCAATATGTCATCCTTTCAAGGCCATCACTGGTATGTGTCCAGATGTCCCCTCCCCTCAGTGCCTCTCCCCTCCAGACTCTTCTCCACAAGCCACTACTTCAGCTTCATCTAATAATCACTTGACACTGGCTGACAATCACTACTCCCCCTCTCCCCCCTCCCAAATAAAGCCCAGTTTGTGGTCAAATGGGCGACAAAAGATGCATCACTTCCGGGCACTACTTAGAATGTCCTGTGCACCCGGAAAATTATTATGCCAAGTACACAACCTGCGTCAAGTGCACTGCAGCCAAGAAGCGCGAGGAGCGCGAGGCCAAGAGCATTCGCGAGGAGCAGGAGCGCGAAAGGGAAAATGAACGAAACAAAGAGAATGAGGAGTGGCCTAAAAAGGGAACCAAAAAAATCAAGAAACCCAAGGTCAGACCAGACCATGAGAAGAGCATCAAGCAGCTGCGCAGAGAGCAGAAGGCGTTGAAGAAGTCAGGGGCTATGGTTAATGTGACCAGCTTGACGGCAGGGGAGGAAGACGATGGGGCAGAGACAGATGGTGTGCAGACAGCTGACGAGGGGGTTGATACATAAGTGCCAACTGAGCTGTATCGATTTTTCAAGACGGACGTGGTATACCTATTATCGCATGTGTTGAGTCTTGAGATGAGAGGTCAGACTTGGAGGGAATTTTCGACACCTTTATTGAAGACATCAAACATCACTCACTGGTTTGTTCTTGGTGATGGATGGACATTTGCAGGGATTGAGTGCTTCCTGCTTCCTGGTCATGGATGCAACTGAATGCCTTGACAATGACAGACTGGCTAGCTCTTGTGATCACCTCTTTGACGGTACAGTGGAACAATGGAGCACATTGAGCAAGATGTATAGTCATACAACCACCTGAATTCGGAAGTGCAAGAACGAAATTTTTCTGTTTCTGGGCCTTGAGTATCATGTATCGTATAAATATTGACATAGTCACATCTAAGAGACGACTGAAAGTACATGAAACCTACCATATATTGTCTTACCTATCATGCAGCAGTCTAGAGAGATAAAAAAGAAATAAGGATATGAACATGTCAGGTTGCGTTAGTATCTCACCAGGAGAACGTTTCATAATCTCTCACAGTCAGCAATGCAAGCATGTCATCTAGTCCAGGATGGCAAAAGACCCGCCAAGGCAGATCAAGACCCGTTGGGCGAGTTCCAGTAGGAAGACGACGCCTTCGCAGCAGCAGCAGCAGCAGCAGCATCCATGCGCTCCTGAGCCTTACGCGTGTGCCAGTTCCTCTCCCGATCGCGCTCACGGCCGCGCTGGATCCGCGCTGCCATCTGCGCGTTGGCACGCTCCACCTGCCGCTGCAGTTCGATGTCATGCTGGCGGCGTCGCTCCTCAGCCTGTGAAGTAGTCTTGCTCAGGCCGAAGAGGGCAGCGATACCGGATTGAGGGACAGGGACAGGGGCAGGCCGTGACGAGGAGGGCTTGGCCTTGGTGTGGGTGGTGGCAGGGGGCTTGGTCCTGTGTGAGGGCCGGGATGCGCCCCTCGGGGGGGCCTCCTTCGATGCGGACGGGCGCGAGGAGGATGCAGATGGCTTGGCAGAGGAAGATGGCATCGAAGACGACTGCTTTGACGAGAAGGGCGCAGTGAGGCTACGTTCATTGTCCCTCGTCAGAGGAGGGGCTGGGGCTTGACGAGGGTTCTCATAACCAGGGAGGATGTCCCGAGGCATAGAAGCCTGTTGTCGAGGGACGTGCATCCCCACATCAAGTCCTTGAGATGGCCTGCCCACAACTCCAGAAGTTGGAATAGGCAGTCCACACTGTGCAAAGAGCGAGGGCGCTTCGGGATACATGCTCGTGAAGCTCGTCCAAAACCTTTGGTCCATCACGTAAGGACACTCACCCGCAGTGAGGGGGCCCGCCCCCTGCAGCGTGAAGTTGAGCTGCATGATGCGGTCGAGGATGGAGAACATGTACTTGGCAAGAGTCGCCTTCATATTGGGATCGGGCTCCGAGAGCCACGTACTGGCAGCCGAGTCCACCATCGCAGGTAGGGTGAGGATGATACAGGGGGCCTCACCGGTGTGGCTGTAGTTGTCCTGGTACCGGAAGATCATGCGCGTGGTCGACAGGAGGTTGAAATCACGATCGTTGATGTATCGGATACGCACAGGGACGGGTTTAGCCAGGCCGCAGGCGGTGTAAAAGACAAGATCATCCTCAGTGGGCAACTTGATAAAAGTTCCAGTTACCCCCTTGTGCGACGTCAGCCATGCCATTGTGGCCTGTCGTGAGGAGCCGGGGCATGTGAGCGCGAAGTAGTCCACATCCTTGATCTCTGTGCAGGCCCAGACGTACAAAGCACTGCGTCCGCTCAGTGTGTACTTGGAGTGTTTGAGAGCACAGTCTAGGTTCGCCAACAGTTCTCCGTAGACACCATCAATAGGACGGGAGTGGAGGCCGGCACGGCCCTGCGAGGCATCATCAGGACTCTGGTGAGCGTAAGGGTTGGGGATGCCGGGTTGGTAGGTCGGCCTAGGTACAGCCAGGCCTGCTGGCTGTCTTGCTCGGGTCAGGTTGTCCTGGAGCTTCTGGTTCATCATCCTCCTCCTGGTGTTCGTACCTAGGGGCGTCAGCTCATCACTCTCGGCCTTTCGCGGACGTGGGAAACAAAACTCTAGGAGGCCCGCCATTTTCTCACTTGAGAAGGCAGTCCCTCGGAGAAAAGAGCGCTAAACAAGTACCCACCTGGGCCGTTTCTTACCAGTCGTGTGTGGTCCCCGAAGTCGATGATCTGGGAGGTGATTATGAGGTTGTCCTATTGCGTGGTGAGAAGACGGCTACATGCCATGAAGACAAGTTGAAGACCGCATATTTATAATTGCAGCAGAAGCACTGACAGGCGGTAAGAAGTATTGGCCTTGTAGTACGTACAACGTTGTTGTCCAAGAAGTCGACATGTGCCTTTGTAAAGGATGTCTCGAAAGACAAAGCAAGATACCTAGTACCACACAAGAGCAATGTTCCTCTTGCTTTGAAAGAGTCATTGGCCTTGCGACACCAGGCCACCTTGCAACAGTCGAACAGTCCTTGTCACCAGGGCTCGACGAGTCTTGAGACCAGGGCAGGAACAATCAATCCCGACAATCCACATGGGCAGAGATAAAACATACCACACAGTAAAAAGAGGCAGCACTTGCGGGACGCAAGCTGGGGCTAGACAGAATTTCCTTTGTCTACCTATCTACCGGGTGACCTCCCATGCCAAAACCAAGTCTAACGCCGCGGGTAGTCGTACAATACCATTATGCCCTTCCATGAGTCGTGGTAAATTTTCAGGTTCGAAGCAGCGGCCGCCCATTTCCATTAGCCATCGATGTCCATGCCTCCCCCATTCGTTGCATCCTTTGCGCCGTTCGTTGCGTCCTTCTTTGGCATGGTCGCCTCCTTGTCGATCATCTGTTTGGACACGGCCACGATGTTGTCCTCAATGAGCTGCTGGCCCACGTCCTCCAGATGCTTCTTGGGGTCGAGCTTGCCCACGTAACGCGTCTTGAGCTGGTCCTTCGTGAGCTCCGTCTCCTCCTTGACCCTCTTCTCGTAACCCTCGGCCAGGCTTACCAGCCTCTCCAGCCTCTCCTTGTTGCGGTCGCCTTCTGCGCAAAAGTCGTCCATCTGCAGCGCCTCGGTCCATGGCTGTTTGTGCAGGTTCATGAGCATGTTCTCCTCGAGGGCTGTCTTGCGGTAGTTGATTCCGATCGAGTAATAGTGTCGGTTCAGGCCATGAATCAGCGCTTGAATAGAGGGCTTGTTCAGGTGACCCAGGTTGGACGTGCTCTGGCGGGGCTCCTGCCCCAGCATGAGAGACTGTGGGTTGATCAGACGGAAGGCATCGATGACGACCTTGCCCTTGACGGACTGGATGGGATCCACGACGACGGCGACGGCTCGAGGGGTGAGTTGCTCGAAAGACTGTTGGGTGTTGATGTCGACACTAGAGAGCCAGCAACCAAAACCAGGATGCGAGTGATACCAACCCACGACGGACTCGGGCCTACAACGGCACATTGGTCAGCATTGGGCGACCCCTTCTTCCACAGCAGCCACAAAACAATGCTGGGAATTCTTACCTGCCCGTCTGTCGCAGCATCTCCATCATCTTCATCTGGAAGACAGGGTCCACGGCCTCGACGCTGACACCAGTACCACTTTGTGGCATGGCAAACACATCCACAACCCTGACAGTGAAGTCATCGACGAATTCTCCCAACATCAAACCCATGACCTCCATGGGCACACCTGCTCGGCCGTGTCGCAGCATTTTGAGGAGGGCGAGGGAAGATATGTAGACAGTCTCGGAGTTGTCAATGAGGTTCGAGTTGTCCTATAAAGGTACGTGGAAAGTCAGTCAAGACCGTTACCATAAAAAGTATCATCAAGTCGGCCACAGGGTACGAACAGATCCAGGCTGAGCGCCACCCAACTGGCCTCGTGTGCCGCCGAGCAGACCCCGGAGATCCATCTTGTACAGGCGTCTGGGTGGTCGAGAATTGAGAATGAGCGTTCAAAAGAGCCTTGAGAACGAGAAGACTCTGATGGAATTTCAGATCGTAGTGGCTATGTGCAGTTGGATGGAGGATGTGGTGAGGGAAAGACGGAAAAGATGGGGTAGCTGGATGATGCTGGATGTTGGTGCTTCGAGACTCTCTAGGTTCGAGGTTGACGACAGCTCTGGGCAGCCTGGAGCACTGACGAACTGAGTAACTGACCAACAGCAATCGGTCCCACAGTGACCAGAGAGCTCCGGAGTGCTTACCTCAGCTGGGGCTGGGGAGGCCTTATCCACCCAATAACAATACTAGACTGCTAATCCACACGAGGACAGGGATAGGTCAGATAATCATGAGGTAGCTGCCGGCAGGCATAGAGCTCCAGCCAGGCCAACCCCAAACTTCTAAGCCTACTTGCGCTGCCTCTTGTAATTCAAGATCATTGCAATCCTCACATCACCATTGCCTTCTAACCCAGGCCCCCTCACTGGCAACCTTTTGCCTTGGTAGTGCTACCAATGATCCCCTCCTAAGATTTTCAATAATTTCTTCTATAAAATTCAATTTGGCCACGCAGGCATTCTACAACACCGTACTCCCAGTTCCATCGAAAACAATCCATCCTGTGCATTGACAGCATTCTTCATTGTCGCTCATTGCTCACATATCTTGGATTTCTAAGGAGAATTACTGAAAATGGACAGCTCGTCAAGAGACAAAGATCCTGCGGGAGTCGATCGCTCTCGACCCCTCTACACCAAATTAAATACAACCAAGAAACAGGTTGCATACTTCTACGACTCCGACATTGGCAATTATGCATATGTTACTGGCCATCCCATGAAGCCTCACCGTATTCGACTGGCACACAGCTTGGTGATGAACTACAATGTGTACAAATACCTCGAGGTTTACGTGAGTATATCCTTCTCTGCAAACCATCTAGTGCCCGGAGTTGTCCGTCTTGGACGACGGACACCCCGCTACAACGAATTGCTTCCTGACGCGAGCTATGAACACACAGCGTGCGAAACCTGCTGTCGTCAACGAGATGACGCAGTTCCACACAGACGAGTACATCGAATTCCTCCGGCGAGTCACACCAGACAATATGGATAGCTACATGCGCGAGCAAACCAAGTACAATGTCGGAGACGACTGTCCTGTCTTTGACGGTCTCTTCGAGTTCTGCGGCATCAGTGCTGGAGGGTCCATGGAAGGCGCCGCTCGCCTCAACCGACAAAAGTGCGATATCGCAATCAACTGGGCCGGTGGACTGCATCACGCCAAGAAAAGTGAGGCCAGCGGCTTCTGCTACGTTAACGGTATGTCTGGCCCGACTGCACAGGTTTTTATGCGTCTCCATCTGCTGACCGAGGACCTCTATGCAGACATCGTCCTCGCCATACTCGAGCTCCTCCGCTATAAGAAGCGGGTCCTGTATATCGACATCGATGTTCACCACGGCGATGGTGTCGAGGAAGCCTTTTACACCACCGACCGCGTCATGACAGTCTCCTTCCACAAATACGGCGAGTACTTCCCTGGCACCGGCGAGCTTAGAGATATCGGTATCGGTGTCGGGAAAAATTACGCTGTCAACTTTCCTCTCCGCGACGGAATTACCGACCAAACATACGAAACAATCTTTGAGCCTGTCATCGAAGCCGTCATGACATACTACCAACCCGAGGCTGTTGTACTCCAGTGCGGCGGAGACAGCCTGTCTGGTGACCGCCTCGGCTGCTTCAACCTCAGCATGCGTGGACATGCCAACTGTGTCAACTTCGTGCGCAAGTTCAACCTTCCTACCCTTGTCCTCGGCGGCGGTGGGTATACCATGCGCAATGTCGCGCGGACCTGGGCTTACGAGACGGGTCGCCTGGTTGGCGTTGAGATGGACCCCGTCCTGCCCTACAATGAATACTACGATGCAAGTAGCCCTTTGTCACGGCCAATAATCAGACAGCGCTAACTATGGTGCAGTACTACGGTCCCGACTACGAGCTTAATGTGCGCCCATCAAACATGGAGAACGCAAACAGTCCCGAGTACCTCGAAAAGATCAAGAATGCCGTCATCGAAAACCTCAAGAAGACCATTCCGGCCCCATCTGTCCAGATGCAGGACGTCCCAAGACAAGGCATGAACGTCATGACGGACGAGGATGAAGCCGAGCTCGATGATGAGGATGCAGATAACAACAAAGACGTCCGCATCACCCGGCGCAATGCCGACAAAAACGTGGCCAGAGATGACGAGTTCGAAGAGAGCGACGATGAAGACATGGACAAGGCCGTCGGCATATACCAAACGAACGGCAAGAAGCGCCCTATCACGGATTACAAGAACCCCTACGCTCAAGAGGACTATGAAGACGTCGTTGACCGTAATGGGGACAAGCCACCAACCCCGCGCGCCGACGCGCCCACCGCGGCGGACGCCGAGGATGGGGACGAGACCATGGAGGACGTCGGCGCTGATGCAGTTGAGCAGCCCGAGCCTGAGGTCGAGAAGGCGGCCGAGAGCACTGCCGCACCTCAACCAACGGATGCTGCCGCTGTTCCCGACAAGGACGGCGATATTGACATGGCAGAAGCTGAGGCGGAAACGGCAGCTTCAGCGCATGAAGGAGACGCCGATGTGGGGCTTGACTCTGCCAGTACAAAGACTGTCCCTATGAAAACGGGGGACCAAGATGTCGAAACGCCGGCTGAGGATGTTACCACGGACGATGTCCCTGCTCAGAACATTGACGAGAAGCAACCCGACAAGGATGCCACAACGTCTGGAATAACAGAAGCTGCTGCAGCTGAGACAACCGAACCGAAGACAAAATCCCCCTCCAAGGCTTCTGAGGTAGCGGACGACAGTGTTGCGAAAGTAGATGCTGAAGATGTCGCCAAGGCCGATGATGCCCAGAAAGCGGATGCTGCGCCGTCTAACGAATCTGCCACGGAAAAGTAGAGGGCCGTGGGGAATCGCTCAGCTTGGAGGAGTCGAGACAACACACTGCACTTCTCTTCGTCCACTGAAGCAACAATTTTCCGCCTGGCACGAGCTCACAGTCCGAAGCGCGGGTCATCCAAAGCACACCTTCACGATTACCAGCTTTTTGTACCAGCCGCACAGGGCCGCCTTGCGCCCATGGCTCGAGACACTGTCTTCCCATAACCTTTCTTACTGAGGAATTTCTGAGCATGCATGGTAGAAGAGGTAGTATCTGTTGCGAAGGAGCAGTTTTGTTTTGTTTTCTTTTTTTGTCCTATTTAGCCCATGTTTCTACATTTGAGGTTTTCTTACCCGTACGCTGGAGGAGCGGGGCTGCGATTGCAATGCCAGGCAGGGAAAGACCAATACCCTTATCATCCTATGCTTTTCGCGCAAAAGGGCGTGGTCCTTGGGAACCACCGATCGGCGTAGGAGGCGTTGGGCGAGGATGCTCAGGGGTGGAAAAGAGGGCCGGCGTTTGGTCTCGGTTTGCTATATTTTATATTTTCTTACTTTGATCACTGTAATATCACTGCTGACTTTGACTGTCTCTGAGTCCTGGACCGTAGCATACTTTGTCCACCCCAATCCAGCAGTCATTCTCGTCTCTCAACCACCTGCGCGACTTGCTCGAGGCTGATGTTGCACTGAGAAAGCACCCCGACTCCTCAAGCCAGGTCAAGCACATGACAATAAGAAGACCTACCAGTACACCACCAGACACTTGCATTAGGAGCCCGGCTTCGTGAAACCCCTCCACGTGTTGCAAGTCCTTCTGCATCATGAGCCCAAGAGTCTTGTTGAGTATGATAGGATGCCGCACGAAGAATCACCCCTTCGTTTATGTGCTGTAATATGTGCCGTATCGAATTCGAACTCACTTTTTGGATGGACCTCGGTTGACCTCCAGAGGTTAGGGTAGTTCATCAATTCGCATTAAATTGTAAAAAGGTCTCGAGTGGTACATGATGCAGGCACAACCAGCACTCCCATGACGCCTCTTCCATTCATTACCATCAAAATGGGGTTTCTTCTTTTCTTTTAGTATACTCCCAGCCTCCTTTCACCTCGACAAGAACACGGTCGTGAAAAGGGCCCTTCCTACGGCGACCTCAGCTCTCCTCCGGGTTCGCGTTGGGAATCTGGCCCCAAAACGGGAAGCACTATGGTGTGAAACAAACGAGTCAGCCAAATACCAGATTAAAGTCTCCCTCTCGAGGTTTCTTCCCGAGCCCCCTCCCCCTTTCTTTTTCCCTTCCTTTCTTTTCGAATCCTCGTCCTTGATAGGGGAGGGGTGTTTGGGTCGGGTTGTCCACTCACACAATCGATGATCGTGTCGGTCCCGCACGTCTCTGAGGTGGCATCTGCCGAGCAGTTGTATGCCCAGCCTGATTTCGGGTCGTCGTACTGGTCTATGAGCGTTGTGCCAAAGGTGCAGTAGAAGGCGGCTGAGTCGCAGACGCTGACAGCGGAGGACTGCTGGTAGCTTTGGTAGACGTTGCAGCTGGTGTCGTAGATATTCCCTGGAGACGGAAGCAGTTTGGTCAGCAGGTTGGACAAGCCAACAAACCATTATGTTCAGCTTGCAGAGGTGACAACCAAAGCATTGTGTTGATAAAAGAGTTGCAGCACAGACGGCTTCAAGCCATGGTACATATCGAGACAAAGAATACCAGTCTCTTGTCTCCATTTGTTTCGTTTGCCCCCTCCCTTTTTCCCCTTTTTGTGGGGAGAGGACCAGAAAAGAAAGAAGCAAATAGAGTGCTTACACTGCGTATTTCCAGTAGAGAGGACCTGTGGTGTACCAATAGCGTAGACGTTACCGGAGCAGACAGCGTCTGTCATACTGGTGAAGCCCAGCATGACAGCGGCGGCGAGGAAAGACGTTGGCAACTGCATCTTGGCGTGGGAAAGGGTCTAAGATAGAAAAACCTTCGATGATATATGCCTTGGTAAAAGAGCAGTGGTGCCACAGAGGGGAGAGATGAAAAGCTCAGCCTTTTCCCGGAGAAAAATAATCTAGGGACGCGGGTCTCATCATTTTCATATATTATGTATGATATCGATCCCCCTTTTGTCTGGACCTGTCTTATGACACCACTCTCCCCCCCAAAGGGCCCAAAGGGCTGTCAGACTCGTGGCGGCGCAGGGCGCATCGCGATGCACCCTTCTCTCATCCCTGAGCCGTAGCGCACCTTAAGCTGCAATAATGCAACATTCGGAATTGTTTTAGGTCAGGCGGCACCTCGTATACCGCAGGCCGGGGTAGGATGCATTGCAACGATCCAGCCACATTGACGGGCACTGGTCAGGGATAGATTATCCAGCTCTCTCATTGGACACCCCCCAGGTACCGTTCTCTCCCAAGGAAACAAGAGAGCAGTGAAGCCCAATCCCATCCCTAGCGCTCGGAAACCGGATAAGACGGCATTCCTGCATGTCGTCTACTATAGTACTCTAGTATTCTCTCCGGCGCACTGTCACCACAGTGACATTGGGGAGAAAGCTTGTCACCGCCACAGAAATGCTTGTCCCTCGTATCGAGACCGTTTTGTTAGGGACTTTACATGTATATGCTTTCAACGTGGTTTTCATATCATTTTGTGTACGATCAAACAACAATTATTTTTCTGAGCAACTCGTCTTGCATCCGTCCACCTTTGCGCCCCCCTGGGAGAGGTTCTGCACATGAAGGAATGAATTTTTCTTTCCCTCCTTCCCAGAAGGAGACCATTGAACGGTACTTGTGTCCATCGTTTCCCCACGAGAATTCCAACAGAGGGGCTGGCCACAGGCCGCTGTGGCGTCCAGGGGGCCTCGGAATTATCGATTGGGCGGGCGGCCAGCCTCCGAAAAGGGCGCGTAGACTGCCCACTAGGCCTGTACAGAACCAGTACAGCATCGCCCTGCAATCTCCTGTGCCCTCCATCGTCTGATGCTTGTGCGCGTGGCTAGCTGCTTCAGCCTGCAAGGCCACATGTGATGGAAGGAAGAAAAGAGGGGGGGAGGGGGGGTGAAGAGGTGCATTAGCTGTTCAGCTCCGGTGCTGCAAGGTGTGATCAGCTCATGCCGTGCATGGAATGTGCCGCCCGCACAGGCTTTTCTCCGACCTTGGATTGCAGTAACAGGCGTATCAGCAGCCCACAGTCGTGCTATTTATTTCCATCTCTGGATGGAAGTGTGTCCAACAATTTCAATCACTTCTACTGTCGTCATCTACTGAATACTTACATTGCTGTCTGCTACAGTTGTGTGGGTCAACGTGCAGCCCCACGAGCCTAAACTCTTTTACAAAGTCTAATCTCTTCAGAGGTCCATACCTCTGCTGTTCGCAACGTAACACTCGAAAGCTGTACATCTTCGTCTTACAAGCGCTATGAGACATGCATGAAGATCCGGTCTGGAAGCCTGATAGTCTTGAGCGGTCAAGGCGTTCTCTTACGCGCTCACTGAACATGAGTACGTACCATTGAGCCTACCCGACCCGATACTCTCATCTCAAGTTCTCGTAGATCAGAAATAATGTTCATTCGTCCCACTTTATTGATACATTGGTATCGACCAACTCCTCCCCCCCCCTCTTTTTCCTGTTCCCATCTATCTTTCTTGAATATGCAATCTGAATTACGTAGAAAGTAGAATTGACCAACTTCCCAACCACCAGGTGTGCAGCTACCATATGAAACTTCTTGCATCTCTGTTGCTGTGAACTCAATTGAAAAGTTGTTGCATACTCCAAGCCTTCGGCCTTTAATATTCAACATCAACTCTTTTGTGCGAGAACTAGTGGCTGACAGGCCCGTATGTACCTGCCAGGCACATGCCCTGCCCTACGTTTCCTACTTTGATAGCTTCAGCCAGCCCGGATCTCGCTTGCCTTCCACCTCTCCTTCCGTCTCGTAGCCTCTAAATAATAGAGCCTTTCCGGCTGTTCAGCTTTTCTGATAAAGCAGGCTAAACAATCTCGGCCATCTTTTTCATGCCCGGCCAGCATACTCACAATACTCTGGGCTTTCGAGAAGACAGTCCGTGAGGGCCCATCGTAGCCTGGCGAAGTCAGATTGATCCGATCAAGCAATCTATACTAGGGACAAGCGTCGCAACCTCAGGTTGCAGCTTGCTTTCCTGGTTCCGCCCGAGAATCAAGTGGATGTCAGCACGGGGCTGAACGACTTCTATCAACTCGATGCATGGGATATCAACGGGCACGACGAAACCCACATGCGTAGCCTAGCATGTATCAATGTAGAGGTCGCGAAGCCAGAGAGATAATTCTGATCTTCTCATACTAGAGCTTCTCTCGAGATTCTTGGGCTGTCGAGCCGCGAGACCCAGGAGACAAGTCCCAGGTAGGTTTCTTGACCGATCTGTCTCAGGCCCAGTGCTCTGCGAGTAACAAGGCCAATATTCGAGCGTTTGGCCTCACGCATTACAATTGCGATTTGGTGGTTGAACGGGATGAAGTCACGCTGAGGCTCCTTGCCAACCGGCTTGGTAACGACTTCGCCCAGACAAATGGATTTCAATGGAGATAAGACGGTCTGGATATAAGTAACGGGATCCGAAGTCCTCAGAGCCCAAAGGGTATGAAGCTGTCAATCTTGCAATGTTGCACCGAACTGACTGACATTCATCTGTCCACCGTTTCACAGTGAGGATTGTGTCAACGTTCTCATCATCGAGGGCTATTGAGATTCAGCATGATAAGAAGGCATTGATGAAGACATCACTGTACCACTTAGAGTTTTATCCGGAAGATGGAAAGTGGTGAGAAAAAGAGAAACGAAAGAAAGAAAAATGAGGTAGACGGCCTAATGTCTGGCAACGAAAGAAGGAAATGAGCACACATTAAAGACCAACAATACCAAATCAACTACGACACTTCAGCAGATATCACGTCCTCAGGCCACTGCTTCAGAGTCCAAATGAGGAGAACTTGAAGGAGAACATCGGGGTTCTAATTAACCTGCACTTCTCATAACACTCGAGAGGGATCTGATCAGACTGTAATCACGATGATACTTGTTGCAAGATGTCAAACTTCAATTGCCGCTGGATATCGTGAACATTGGCACGTATGGAGGCAAATAGTATTCGAATGTGCACGATCGCTTACAAATGCGTTAGATGTGAATTATTAGGGACCGGAATACATCCGTCCCACGACCTTGCTTTGTAAAGCCGAGTTCCCACTGGATCTTTCAAATTCGATGCAGACTTAGTACCGATCAATTATCTTAATCTGTCCTCTCTTATGACTGTGTTCTTAAATGTGTGCCTAAATCTAAAGGACCTGGATGAGGAGGTCGCAATGGTTTTTAGTGGATCCTAGTTCTTTGTCGTCATGTCAACCACGATGTTGACATCCGTTGGAGTCGCCCAATCTGCCCGAAATCCTGTGGTGTTTCATGAGTGACGTTAAGTCCGAGTGGATGTGTCAGCGAACCCAAACCTCAACCCCCTCACTTCATCTGATATAGCGTTCGAATCTAAGGTGATGTGACTTCCACGACAGCAGGTATATATCACCACCATGTCTCTTGTTTCTCTATCTCTCTCGCCCTACCTCAGATCTTATCATTGACATCGTCTCAGAAGCCAGGAATACTACTCACACCCAACCTTGGAAAGCACTCTTCTGAACGCGCTCACAACAAGGCCGTCCTGCACACAATGGGTGCCTCCGTGAGCTGTATACGCCGCAACCAGCTCCTGGTGAGCCCTCCCGTGGTTGCCAAGAACGATGGAGCTTTGAAAATTGGCATCTTGGGCGCGGCAAACATTGCGTGAGTGAGACCCTCAAGCACCCTTCATACATCTGCCAGACACAGGCTAACACGACCTTCTTTTCGAGGTCACACGCGCAGACCTATAGCGCTCGTCAATCCGGCCAAGAGCAACCCAAATGTCATCGTGTCGGCTGTCGCAGCGCGTGACAAGACCAAGGCCATCGCGTTTGCCAAGAAGCACAGCATCGAGAACGTCAAGGACAGCTATGACGGTACCTACGCCCTCTCATTCTTCAATCACCCTCACTACCACTATCATCACTCAAAGACAGGAAGCACGTCAGCTGACCACATGAGTAAAACTTACCAACTCTCCCAGCTGTCTTGGACGATCCCTCTATCGACGCAGTCTACATTCCCCTCCCCAACGGCCTTCACTACGAATGGGCACTCAAGGCCCTCAACAAAGGGAAACACGTCCTCCTTGAAAAACCCTCCACCTCCAACGCCCAGGAAGCCGAGGCACTCTTCCATGCCCCGGTGCTCTCCCGGCCCAACAACGCCCCTGTCCTCCTCGAGGCCTTCCACAGCCGCTTCACCCCTGCCCTCGCCCTGTTCAAGTCCGTGCTCGACCAGCCCAACATCGAGCACGCCGTCGCCCGAGTCAGCATCCCGTCGCTCCTGTTCAACGAGGACGACATCCGCTTCCAGTACGACCTGGCGGGCGGCGCGCTCATGGACCTCGGCACGTACACCGTCGCGTTTCTTCGGGAGACGTTTGGAGTCGAGCCCACCGAGTGTCTTGCTGCGGATCTGACGAGGATGCCGCCGCCGCACGAGAAGTGTGACGGGAGCTTCAAGGCCACGCTGCGCTTCCCGAACGGCGGCACGGGGGAAATCGATGGGACCCTGAGGGGCTCGAATATTTTCTTCACCCAGGGCTGGCCGTCTATTACGGTCACGCATAGGCCTGTGGTGGTCACTGACCACGGCGAGCAGGTGGGCGAGGGCTGTGAGGTGAAGAAGACCCGCAGCGTGTACTTTGCAAACTTCATGCTGCCCCCCCATTATCACCGTGTTGACATCGTGGACGAGTTTGTGGTCGTCAAAGGTGACTCGCAGGTCGTGAAGAAGTTCACCAAGAAGGAGACGAAGAAGGCCTACACATGGAAGGAAATGGGGCGCGACTTGCCCAGTGAGCCGTGGTATTCGACCTACGGATATATGCTGGAGCAGTTTGTCAACAAGATCAGGGGCCAGGAGGGCACTGGGATATTTATTTCCCATGAGGACAGCATTGCTCAGATGAAGGCCCTCGATATGATTTATGAAAAGTCGGGGCTGGGCGCGAGACCATTCAGCAAGTACTACGCAGAGTCGGCTTGAAGGTGAGAAGGCAGCTGGCCTTCTTTCTCACTCCCACGTATTGGGATCTATATACAGTAATTATGTCGCGTTTCTCTGCTCCAATATTTAATGTAATACATCAGTCCTGCCTCTCACGTAGTTAAGCTCTTCGTGCCCGCGCCTATCCAGCACTTCGAACTCTCGGGAAACGAGGCGACCGTGTTGTGATGCACACCGGCCTGACCGCCTCTTCGTTCTCTACCCGCGTCGCTGTGGTTTCTCGGATAGATCTCGAGTCTACTGACGTTTCAACAAGCAGCTCTACTCTCACATATTAATTCGACCTGGAGGCCAGTATTCTTATGGCTTGGCATCACCTCGCATCCGCGACCGCAATAGGCTCGTCGTGCAAGCGCACTAACATGAAGCGCAGCGTCGACGACATTGATACCTAGATGATCGCTGTGGATGAGACCTGTGAGCTGACCCACGCCGAAGCCAACAAGATAGAGGCTATACGTTGTGAATAATCAGCTGTCAACACCTCAAATCCACCCTCCATCACAGGCAGCTGATGCTGGCCTGCACCATCGTGACTCGACTTGAGTCCGAGGAGTTTCACCATGCCTCCAAAGCGTTCTTCCTCGCCTAGGGTGTTCTGTCGGTGTCTCGACAAAGACGCTTTCTGCCCTTGGAGTAGACCCTCGTCTCTGTACAGAGGCAAGAAGCTCACGAGGTAGCTTTACCCCGTCTATCTCTTGAGGGGGATATCGCTCATCACCAGTGACTTCGTACCCGTGACTGCCGGGTGCTTCATATGTCTGCCCAGGTTGGGGTCCGAGGTACTCAATTCTCTGAATCCTGGCTTGGTCGTTAAGGGTTTCCATGGGCGGGCCCCAATATCCCCCTGACTGTGCTGGGAGAGGGCTGAGCACTGGTTTGGGCACGAACAAATTGAAGATTCCACCAGTCTTGCCCTTGTTGCGAGCGAGATGTCTGATGAAGACCAACGCAGATATGATCAACACTAAGACCACAAACGCGACGCAGGCAATAGCCACGCCTATTTTGGTACTGAGCGACATGTGGACTGCTGAGGAGCTGGACTTCGCCGTTGAGCCAGAAGAAGCCTCGGATAATGGAGTTGGTGTAACAGCTAACAACGAAGGCGGTCAGCGACAGCCGTAGAGTAAGATGGGGCCTAGGTTAGTCACCGTGATGTGTAGGAGCAACATGGGATGCTGAGAAGGTGAAAAATGGGGACAGAGTGATAAGCAACGTCGAGCCTCCATTCATAGGCTATGAACACCGTCACTTGAAGTGATGAGAACTGAGACGCGATAGACTGGAATGTGGTAGAAGGCACAGGAGAAAGGAACTCACTTGGGGTAGGCTCATGATCACAATCATACATCCCGGAGCAGGTTGTGCCCTCGTCAGTATTCTGATAGAGATCATTCATGGTCTTCTCCCAGCACACAAAGGTTCCATAGCCGTTTTCTCCGGTACCCGCCCAGTCGCCTTGCGCAACCTCCGGTCTGAGTACGGCGGTGAAGGTGACCCCCGTGTCCGAGAAGCGCGTGGTTGTTGATGTATTTGCCCACTGACGTGTAGTGTTATAAGGAGTATCGACGGTGGCAGTGTCATTAGGTGAGCTGTTCGGCGGTCCTGGGAAGTAGGCCATCTCCGAGGAAAGAAAGCCATCTGCTGTGATGCAATCGGCGAGGACGACATGCTCAGCGTTGCTCCGAGAGGAGATGCGGCTTACAGTTGACAGAAGAGCGGCTCTTTGAATCGCTTTCCAGTCCTGGACTCCAGGTAGACTTTCCGACGTTTTGGTAGCTTGAAATGAGTCGGCGGGTGGAAGGACAGCAATCGTAGCGAGCATAAAAGGTGAGGCCAAAAATGCGAAAGAGAGCCAGTTCTTCATGGCAACCATCGAAAGAGTTCGTAAAGAATATAGAACATTAGGGCCTCTTTGATGCCTACCCCTGGGGATGAAGAAAAGCGACAAGAAAATTTCAGTTAGATTGTGTAAATGGTGAAAGGAACAGATATCAGCACACAAGTACTAATATGTGATTCGTCAAGCATGAACTGTCCGGGGATAAAAGGCATGCGCCGAGTGATCTCAAACAAATCGCCAGGAGCAGTCTACCTGTATTTGGAGACCCATTCAGGGGCCGAAATTGATCTAGAAGACAAGGCACTCGATCCAGATGCCAGAATGGCGAGGATTGACACACATGGCAACTTCGCCGTGTGGCCCATCACAGGTGGTTTGCATGAAACGGAAACGCCATCTGATTTGCATTACCGAGAATGGCTGAGAGAGCAACCTGTTCAAGATGATTGGCCTTGGACTAAACTTTTCGACTGTTGTACCTGGAGCTGAGTGGTAAGCGAGGGGCCATTGGGGGCTGTGTGGGCCGTGGTTGCCTAAGCAGTCGCCTCTTGCTGGAAATGCCGACAACCCAAGTGTCAGCGGCATGTCAGTGTATTATACATGTAGATATCTTAAGCCTTGCGATGGAGAGGAGAGAGAGAGACGGTTGAGGCAGTCATTATGTTGTTGCCCTTCGTCGGTGTCACCATGACTTGTCATCTTTGCAGCCTGATTAAGCTGTGTCATCCTTCAGCCACGGGGATCGCGTACTCTCTTTTTCCCTCCGTGCAGAACAGTACGACAACGGAACTTGGGCTGAGGTGGAGTTCGGCTCTCGCATCTCGACAAGCGGTCCTCAGCGCGGCCAGCGTGGCAGCACCGCATGGGCCTGGCTGCAGGCCCAGGCTCTCGAGCTCGCAGACGGCCATGTGAGCCTGGTAGTCGGTAACGGTGACATCGGCATTTACTGCAGGCTGAAGGACTGGCCAGGCGGTTGATGATACCGTTCCACAATTCATGCCACACATAATAGAGTCACCAGTGTGCACAGGAGTGATCCGGCCAGCCTCAAGCGACGCCTTGAAACATGCAGCGGTGGTGGGCTCGACGGTGATGACCGACGCCCTAGAGCTCTGGTCCCGCTCTGTGCTTTTGTAATGGCGAGTGACGGCGTGGGCGATAGACCCTACGCCAACAGGAATGAAGGCATGGGTTGCTGTGATGCCCCGTGTCATGGCTAGAACCTGAGCGTCCGCTTCACGTAACATAGTGGTGTAGCCCTCGACCACCCACTGCTTAAGAACTTAGTATTATGTTCAGTCTAGCGATTGGGGGACAGAAGACAGCGGATCAACGGACCTCGGGGATCTGCTCGTAGCCATCCCAGCCCATATCCATAACGAGTATGACCTTGTCGTCCACGTCTGCTTCCCTTCTAGCAGCAGCGACGCTGTCATCGTAGCTTCCGTCTACCACGATAATTTCAACGCCTTCGGATCGTATCCGCGCTCTCGTGGTCTCTGGCATGAAAGCTGGGATGAGGATTCTGGCGGGCATGCCAAGATATCGGGCCATGCGAGCAACAGCTCGGCCCCAGTTCCCCTCTGAGCATGTGACGAGGCTGAATCCGTGGGTCTTTGCCTTGGCTCCCAGGTCCTCCCACAGCTGTGACGACTCTCGGGTGTCTTCCACAAGGCTCGCGGGGTCCAGGCCCAGCTTCTCGGCGAGAGCCCTGAAGACAGCCCAAGAGGCACCCAGGATCTTGAAGGATGGTAAACCGAAGCGACCTGACTCGTCCTTGACAAAGACGTGCCCGAGCTGAAGTTCTTTGGCCAATGTTGGTAGCGAATGAAGCGGCGTCTCGTCGTACTGTGGCAGCTTGCGGTGGAAGGCCAAGACCTGGGACGCTATCTCGGTACTCAGACCCATGACGTTCGCGCTCGACGAGTTGATGTAAATGGTTGGCTCCATTGCCTCGACACCTCTGGAAGACAAGTGAAAGGTGTTTCAGAAAGAGACGGCCGGACGGGTCTAGCAGGTGCCGTGAAGAGGGAGGTAGGAGGTTTGCCAGGTGCCAAGGCAGACGGTGGCAGCGACGGTGGCAGCGACAGTGGCAGAGTGACGGATTGGATGGCGCATGCGATCGACGGCAATGAAATGATGCAGTAATCAAGACTGTAGGACTGGAATCTTGGTCAGGCGGCAAGATTAGATTGAGGAGGGCTTGCAGTGAGTGCAGTCGCGACTGACAAGCGCGAGCATCGATAGATACATAGACTGGCCCCTTCCGTGCCCACCAGGCCCCAGTTATCCCTGTATCTAACCTCGTACATGCGAAGATGATGATATCATTCAGCTCATATTCTCTCGATGGACTAGGCAAATGGGGAACAACCGTGTCCAAGGTTGGTTACATGAAGAAGCATGACAACAACTGTATTTCTTGACTCACAGAGTCAGATCACTCGTGGCCATATATATCTCGCCGTTCGTCTACGGGTAGTCGTGCCAGAACCTGACACAGGTACTTAAGCATTCCCAACACCCCACACTGCCCCAACGTACCCACCATCGGAAGAAAAAAAAGGGGAAAAGGAACCTAGTTCTTTCAAAGACAAACGAATAAGAGAAGGGCAAAAGGAAAATGCAAAAGAATGGATTGGACACAGTGGGAATTGAACCCACGACCTTTCACAGGCATAGCAAAGCAGTCATTTGCGATTGCGAAGCGAAAATCATACCCCTAGACCATGCGCCCAATAAGATTTATGATAAAAGATAGGCATGTCCTATATATATAGCGCGTTTTCTTTAGCCCAGGTCTAGTTCTATCCAACCTAGGGTAAAAATTTTTGACGGCACTTGGCAGGAACGAACGATTCCACTTCAGTTTTGTCCAAAAGTCAGACAAAGTCAGATGACATGTCTGTCAAGTTGCTCGTTCCTTCTTATCCAGATCAGCCACTAAGCGAGCTGACCATGAACTCAAATTCGACGCTTGCTCACGGCCCATCGTCCTCTCCGCCATTATTCCTCCTCCTTTTCCATCCTCCCGGATCGACCTTCCATGACTGGCAGCCAAGGACCGCCAGAGACGAACCTTCTTTTCCCTATACTGGTACATAGAAGGGGCTAATCCAGATCCTTGGGACGTTCCCCCACCAGGGTACTGTCTCCTCCCTTTGCCCCTCTCTCTCAGCAGAGGGTCCAGGCCATTCTGCCCGTCATGTCACCTGCGTGCTATCTCTACAAGCATGATTCCCATGCAAAGCATGCCACTGTGTCATGCCTATCTTGTGCAAACAGCAGTACGCGAACGCGCTACTAGCTCTAGCTTATCAGCTGTTGTGGGATTCATGGCGGGGCCTCGGCGGCACTTCAGCGCGAATGGCCGCCACCGCCTAGGCCCTACGAGGTCCGCACTTTAACAGGGTCGATAAGAGATTTCTCCGCAACGGGTGGCGGAGATCGGTGCTCCCCCCTTGAGATAGGGCTTTTTTTTTCTACCATAGTAGTCAAGATCCCTGAAGGAGGAGGGTCCTGGCTTTCTTTTTTTTCTGCATAAGAGCCCCATCGGCCGCCAGCGATCGCGGCACGCGACCACAAAAAAAAAGGTTGACAATTTGTCGTCGAAATCTCTCGGTCTGACCTGTCTGTCGCTGGCTTCCCTGAGCTCTCTTGCGCGGACCATTGGACAGATTGCCATCCTCGTCAGGCACCCAGGGCAGGGCAGGGCAGAGCAAGAGAGAAAGAGATGAGAATCTCGGAGGCGCCCACCAGGGCTCGCACTTTTGTGCGCACCAAGGCCACCTCGGCACGCCATGCCTTCACCAGCGGTGCTGCCTTCAGGGCCTGGATCGAGGCGCCGTCGTCGACCCTCGACCTCCATGGGAGACAAGTGCACTCGGAATCCGACTCGCGGTGGTCCAACGAGGACCTTGACCCGACGCCCCCCGCCAAGCGCACTTGGAGGTGGCAGAACTTTGTTTCCTTCTACTGGGCTCTGTCCTTCGGCAACTGGACATTGGGCTCTACCATGGTCGGCCTGGGCCTGAATTGGTGGGAGGCCATCATCGTCATCTTCGTCTCTCAGCTCATCTCCTCGGTCGCCATGTTCTTCAACAGTCGCTGCGCCTCTGCATACCACATCGGCTATCCCGTCGTCGCCCGAAGCGTCTTCGGCATGTGGGGATCCTTCTACGTTGTCGCGGCACGCGCGTGCCTGGCCATCATCTGGTACGGCGTTCAGCTGTACTCAGGCTCAAGCTTCGTCGCCGTCATGCTGCGCTGTGTCTTTGGCCATCTCTACGACGACATCCCGAACAATATCCCGGCCTCCATGGGCATCACCACTGCAGGAATGCTCTCGTTCTTCCTGTTCTGGTGTGTGCACTTCCCCTTCTGTGCCCTGCGTCCCTACCAGCTGAGGTGGTTCTTCTGGCTCAAGACTGCCCTCATGATTCCCTCCATCCTCGGCCTCTTCATCTTCTGTCTGGTCGACACAAAGGGAGGCGTGGGGAGCGTCTACAGCGGAACCTTGTCGGGAAACAAGGCCTGGTATATCCTGAATGCCATCAACGCCGGGATGGGCAATACCGTAAGTAATAGCTATGCAATCAATCTAATAGCAGCCCATTCAGCTATGTGGGATCTACTGAAGTCTGGTTCACTAACCCACTCTTCCCCCCTTCTCCCAGGCTACACTCATCACAAACCAGCCCGATATTGCCCGCTGGAGCAAGACGAAAACCGGCGCCATGTGGTCGCAGCTCTTCACGAATCCTATCGCCGTGACCCTCTCCGCATCCCTTGGCATCCTGGCGACTGCTGCTCTCAACAACACGTGGGGTACTGAGCTGTGGAACCCGTGGGACCTGCTGGACGCCATCCTGGACCGCTACTGGACGGGTGGCGCGAGGACTCTCGTCTTCCTCTGCGCCTTCTGCTGGATGTTTTCAATCCTCGGCACCAATATTGCCGCCAACATGATCCCCTTCGGCTCCGACCTGACCCTTCTTTTCCCCAGGTACTTCACAATTCCTCGTGGCCAGTTCATTGTCGAGTTCCTGGCCTTTGCAATCTGCCCTTGGAAGATTCTCGCCTCCGCCAGCGTCTTCGAGACCTTCCTCTCTGGCTATGGCCTCTTCATGGCCAGCGTCGTCGCTGTCATGGTCGCCGACTACTGGGTCTTGACCAAGGGCAACGTCTTTATCTCATGGCTCTATGACCCGACCCGCGCCAACAAGCACTACTACTACAACAAGGGCTGGAACGTGCAGGCCTACATCGCCTACATCTGCGGCGTGGCCCTGCCCTTCCCGGGTTTTTGCGGCACGCTCGGCGCCAACGTTTCTGCCTCGGCCACGCACCTGAGTGATATCGGCTGGATCCTCTCTTTCACCGTTACCTTTGTCGTGTACGTCGTTCTGTGCAAGTTCTGGCCCACGCACAACCAGAAGCTCATCAAGGAGATGGGCTACAACTGGGAGTATGCCGTCAGCGACGAGTTTGTCGCCCCCGACGGCACGGTCATTGTAGAGCGTGACAATGTGGTCTACGGAGAGGAGGCGTCCGATAACGTGCCCACGACGGTGGACTACAAATACTGATGGTCGGCCGAAGTTGTACATATCATCATCATCATCATCATCATCAGTCTCGTACACTGGGATTTTAAAGCCCGCTGAAGTTATCATAGCTGTCTCTCCTCCCCCTCCCCCTTCGAGACATGACACAGGACGGCGGTAAAGTGATGGCGCTCATATTGATCAGATCTGCCCACTCTGACCTCGTAGGTGCCGTGTATGTTCACACCCCTCACCCAGGCAAGTCTTGATCATCTGTGTGACGTTCAGCCACCAGAGGCCGTGATCATATTGCTCTCACCCGTGACGCCCCTCCTCCCTTCACTTTGGATAAAATGTGTCATATGCCAAAGAACTGGGACCCGTCCCGGCCGCGTCATGGAGTCACGATGTTTTGATACCGTGACGTTGTAGCTGTAGCCGGAAGGCATGAGCTCGTTGGCTTCGGGGAGTAGGAGGGGCGCAAGGAATGAGACGTCAAGGTTGCGAACAAGGGCTGTGGGTGCCCACCTGCATTGTAACGGACTTGGACCGCTCTTATAGACAAAAATATCTATGCCTGGGTGGTAGGAAGCACTTGTTTGCCACGTCTACCGCCAGGGAAGGTCGAGGGACTGAAGCTGAGCTCTCTGCTTGGGCAGTCCCACGGTTGGCGCTACAAGCAGCCACAACTCCCCGAGCCGGAGACGGGCCTAGTGTCAAGGTCTTTATGCGCAGAGCCGCAGAAGAGGGTATTATTGCGTTTTTGCTGAGTATCAAAAGGCCGACCCGCTACATACAAGTACTTTTTAGGTACTCAACTAAACTAAACTATCTGTTTCCGACACTGCGTACACTGCAGATATACAGAGTATCTCATACGATCAAAGGTTAGTTACTCTTTGCTGACGCTCATCCTCTCCACACTATAACCCTCCCTTCATTATTCGTTACGTCCAAGCCCGCAAGCACACAACTCCATCACTTCAGCACAATCTATACCGAGCCCTTCTCTCCAGACTCGACCAGCACGCCCCCTTCAACGCTCTCCGTCGAACCAGAGCTATATCGCTGCCTGCCCGTAGCATCGTGTGTCTCGTCCCACTGGGCGAGCTCGCTGACAGGTATCTTGGTGAGTACGTGGCTCGTTGCGCCGCCGTCCAGCTCGATGATTTCCTGGCGAATTCGATAGCCGCGTATTCTTGGGACCAGGGAAATCCACTGTTGTGTTTGGTTTCTTGGTTAGTATTCCTCTCAAGATAAGAAGGAAGATAGAAATAAAAAAGGCATTGAGTTATCGATGGTCGATTTACAGGAACATCTTGTCATAAAAAAGAAAAGTATAGAAAAAGTTCCACTTACAGCCCAGTAGTACACGGCACAAGCGATAATACTTTTAAAAAGATGTATGTCAGCCACGCATTCATGTCGTCAAAATTCTCCATTTCCACATGAGCCGCCGTGCCACGAAGGGAGGGAAACTACTCACAGTGCAATGCCCGTAACAACATACGTAGCATACCAGAACGACACATCGCCGGCATAAGGACCGCCCGTGGGAGGGTACCACGGCATGACCAGCTGGAAGATGGCGACGAGGATGGTGAGGATGATGCACGCGTCCCAGGCGCGGAAGACGGGCCGAGGGAGGTTCAGTCGGCCACGGCGCCATCGGACGAGGTAGAGCCCGATGGCCAAGAGGAGACTGAAGAAGGCGGCTGGGTAGACCTGGAGATCGCTGACTGGAAAGAGGTGAAAAGAGGTGGGTTAGTAAGAAGAGGGATAACCATAGTTTGGGGCCCATGGTTGTGTGTGTCTCTCTCCTCGAAGGCTGTACGTACTGAAGTTGAAGGCATCTCCAGCCGGCGGAGCGAGAATCATCACGATCGTGAGCAACCACTTGACAAAGTACGGGCCGAGGGGTGTGCCGAAGGGCTTAGTGGAAGCCCAGAACCGAGGCCACGGCAAGACACCTTGTCTGTACACACACGAAGTCCATTAGTAATAAGTTCTTTTGAACCTCTTCAATCTTAAGACACCGAACGAGTTAAAAGAAAGGGGGCGGGGGAGGCTAGTGTTATCACATACCGTCCACATTCCCGCAGCACTCGCGACTGTCCAAGCAGCACGGCGAGGAGGTTGCCGAAGGAGCTCAGCGCGATCAGGAAGTTGAGCCCCCTCACGGCACCACTCGACCCGAACACGTTGGTGAAGAAGAGACTGGCTGCGATCTGCTCTGCTGCGGCGAGATCTTCGCGGGGAACTGTGAGGGTGCGACGATCATGTCAGTCGTTGAATAAAGGGAATTATGCTTTTCCAATGGTCCTTAGGACCCCCCTCTCTTCCTCGCAATGGGTGTGCTGGAATTCGCTTACCTGCTGCGAAATAGGCGATGTTGGCTAGGATGTATAGAGCTCCTACGACTGCGAGAGAGATATAGCCGTTCTTCTGGATTTGTTTGACTGGGTTCTGTGGACTACGTGTCAGCATATAGATCCAGGTCTTCCCGGCGCAGGCCTCGAGTTTACCTTGACTTCATTCACGACATTGAATGCATTGGTATAGCCCGCGTAGGAGAAGGCAATCTTGTACAGGGCATTTGTTAACCCGTACGTGGTTGCCGGGTCCTGGTTGAATGAGTCTCGGAAGTTGACGAGCGGATCTTCGACTCTTGTGTGGCCACCGAGGACGACAAGCCCTGTGATGCTGATGAACACAAGTGCTGTTTGGTGTTAGTGGATCGCTATGATTTGTTTCGTTTATTCAAAGCATTTGTAGGAGACCAGTTTGGGGGGGGAGGGGGGTAAATTACTTACTCAACACCTTGATGATTCCAACAGCATTGGAAAACCAATAGGAGAACCTGGTGTGGAGAGCAACGACTGCGATGAGATTAGCGAGGTCTGGACAAGAGAGCACAAACATTTTGTCTTGAACGTACGGATAAAGGCTACTGTGTATCCTGCGACGGCAACCCCCTTCAGCTGCCATCCAGTATAATCATGGCCGCTTGTAGCGAATAGGTATTCAGCGAGTACTATGAGTTGTTTGTGTCAGACATGTTCATCGCAATGCATCAGATCTGTTCAAAGTTAATGACTTACCAATGGAATTACCACTGCTGAAGGAAAGGATCACCGTCTGGAAAGCAAATGCCGTGGGGAACAGCCACCTCGGTCGAGGATACGCCTGCTCCAGATACACCACTTCTGAGCCGCTACGGTTGGAGAAGTACGATGCAAACTCCAGGTACACGGCAAACGAGGCCACCGACATGATCAAGCCTATGAACCAGTAAATCATGCTCAGGCCAACACTGCCCGTGTCCTTCAGGATGGTCGATGCTGGTGGTGGTGATATCGCGTCAGCAAGATGAAAAGGAATCTTCTCATAAAACCCAGATGGGGGGGGGGGGGGGGCAACACTAATACGTACGCGTCGAGTACACTCCAGTGCCTATCATCATGCTGATATTGAGGAAGATGATGGTGATGGAGCCCACATCGTAGCCGAGCGGCGACTCGATCTCGACAGGAGCCCCCGAGGCTTCCTGGTACGTCGGGCCAGAGTCGTTTCCTGCCTTCTCGACCACATAGTACAAGGTGCCGTCTGTGACCTCTGACTGGTCGTCGCCGACATTGTCTGGTGCCTGCTCCCGCTGGCTGAACGGCCGCCGCCAGAATGCCATCTTCGATAAGAAAAAGATTTAGAGGCGCAAGAGTAAAGTGATTAAGAGCTTGCTAGCCTAGTACGGATGGTTGAGAAGGCCGGGTTATACTAAGAAGAAGATCGGCGAGGAGGGGAGTGGCCTCTAAAAAGGGCTAAAACATGTACCTGGGGTTCCTGAAGCAGTAGGTGCATGAGAAGAACCAGACAAAACCGTCCTGCTCGGAATACGAGGTGTGTGTATGCATATATGTATGTAAGTATGTATGGCCCTTAAACCTTGACAGCCTCGGTCACTTATTATCAATAAACGCAACCGTGGTTCGTAAAGACTCCACAGCCCAATGACGAGAGTTATGGATCAGATGGCAAGCAGCTCAGTTCTTGGCCTAGCTCGCCCATATAATTAGTAGATAGTAAGGTTGTTACAGACATCCAGGGCTCAGGGGGGAGGGGGAGGGGGCAAACAAACTCACCAAGGTCTCGATCGGCCAAGTCCGTGCCTCTCTATACAAGACAGGATAGAAGGTCTTACAAAGAAGTGACAGATCCTGCAACGTTCTCCTCACGAAATCGTTATCAATATCTATATTCCCAGTGGCTGGCCGATATCAGCTGCGGCCTCGAAACAAATGTGGCTCTGGACCCCCCGTTGCTCATCGTGGGGGAAGATGTCGCCATTGCGGGCGCGCGCTGGTGCAACGTCAGGCCAACCAGCTCTCTAGGTGGTATTCAGGAATGGTTTAACCTGCCACCCACGCGAAAGGGCCCTGTTGGGACTTCTGATTACATATTGAAAATCCTGATAGCCAATATTTTAGGTTTGTACTATGTATACAAGAGGTCGATCCGGTGATTAGATCTCGGGCCGGAGCAGGCCACGTAGACTCGCGTCGCATGTCGCAATGTATTATCATCAATGCCCACCCGCAGAAGCTGAAAGAAGGATTCATTTTTTTGTAATTGATTCCGTCTATATGACCGAGTTCGAACTGCGCAGCTAGCATGTCATAAGAGACGGGAAAGGTGAGCTCATTTTGGGAGACAATTGTGAAGGATGACTTGTTCTCAATCAACAGAAGAGGAGCTCTAAATCATGACCCTGGGATCTAGAAAAGAATGCACCATTGATCTTGTGGGTATCAAACATCGCCACAAGGACGAAACATGTACTGGCTGGCGCGAAATCCACCAAGAAATAGAAGATACACGAGAATCTACAATGGATTTGGGCAATATCGCACCCAAAAACAGCACTCGAGTCGCTACCCCTGTCCCAACAACTCCTCTACGCCACGCTTCTCTCTCCTTTATCGAGACCCCAACCCGCCCTGAGCGACAACTCCCGCGACGCTGCGACCAGCGCACGATCATCATCGTTATCATCATGACTCCCGGCCATCGCTACCGCGTGGCCAGGAAGGTCGAATGGGAGGATCTCCGGGTCGCAAGTCGCACCGTCAGGAGGGAGGATACCGTCCTGGAAGTACTGCCGCACAGCCTTGGCAGTGCACAAAGACGGGGCAGCCAAACTCGTGTGCTAATTCGATCATTAACAGCAGAACGTCATCAGCATAGCCTATCTTTGATTACGCAACCCGCTTTCGAAGCCCCATATTCTTGGGGGAATGAAAAGTAGGGGGAGAATTGAGACTTACACCATACGAGTTCTGGATCAAAACCACCGAGTCCTCAAAGCCAGCCGAGTTATTCCGTGCACTGATGAGCGGCGTGATGTTGTCCGCCATGTTCGCAATAAACAAGATAGGAAAGCTCGTCTTGGCGTTGAAGGGCCCGCTGAACCTCCACTTGGGCCGCACTGTCCTCCCAGCGCAGGCGACACGGTCCTTGATGACGATGACACCCGAACTCCAGCTGATATTCGCCATATCGCGCACGTGGTCCTCAAAGGCGCGCGGGTCCTCGCCCAGCGGCTCACCATCGGCACAGAGGATCGTGGGGAACGCATCATCACTGCCCTCGTCGCCGGTGGACAAGGGCACCTCGGGCGGGACGTACTCGGCGGAGCAGACGTCAGAGAAGGGCAGGCCATAGCGGGTGATAAAGGAAAAGTAAGGCTCTCCGTCGCCGCGGTCTAGGCCGGCGAGGATCTTGGCGAGGTGGGGGAAATAGTAGTTTGGGCGGTAGAGCGAGGTGGCGGCCAGCTGGCGGATCTTGGAGTACGTGACGACCTCGGGCAGGGCAGAGCCGAGACCTTGCTCTGGGGGCATGTAGATGAGGGGCTGGACACGGAGCTGCTCGAGGATGGCCTTGTGGCGCTCCTTGATCTCGGCCGGCGAGGAGGCGTAGAAGGCACACGTCTCGGGCCCAGCCTGGTGACACAGGTCGTAAAAGGCGTCCATGACTGCGTCTGCATCACGGACGGCGTTGACGTGTGCGCTATTGAACCACTCCTCATAGTCCACGTTGCCGTCGCTGACGAGCCGTCCTACTTTTTCAGGATACAGGGCGGCGAATGTCCCGCCGAGGATGGTCCCGTAGCTGAACCCCCAGTACTGCAGCTTGTCCTCGCCGACCTGGTGGAGGATCTCCAGCATGTCTCGGGCATGAGACGCTGTGCCGATGTGTTCCAGCAGGCCAGTGTCCTTGTGGGACTGCTCGCAGGCCATGGAAAAAGCCGACGCCCTAGCCCACACATCGTACAGGACGCCATCGTGCGAGTCGATCACGGGCGTCTCCTGCAGGGCCCAGTCGTGGCGCTTCTCGACCGTGTCCCAGCATTCGATCCTGGGCACAGAGGCACCCACACCGCGCGGGTCAAAGGTGATGATGTCGTGGTTGGTGCCCACGATGGTCTGGAGCTGCTTGCCGTGGTCGCGCAGGGCCCATATGCCCGAACCGCCAGGGCCGCCCGGGTTGAAGAAGACGGGGCCTCTGTAGTCGTTTGTATCATTGGCCCGGAGCCGAGCGATGGCGAGGACTACGCGGTCCTCATCGTTAGGCTCGAGCCAGTCCCTGGGCAGGTCCAGACGTGCGCAGTCGTATCCGCTATCGAAACATGCATGCCACTCGAGGGTTCGGCTGGGCTGGATGCTGGCCCATGAGAACTCAGCAGCACCAGCAGCTTGGGATGATTCCACATTGTATATTTTCTGTCCCGGGCCTGCAGAGTCATGGACTGTGAAACCAAGGAAGACCAGGCCTGCTACCACCAGGAGAGATAGGAATATCTCTGGCCCGCGGGGGCTGCCGTTATTTCTCCGTACTAACGGCCGGAGGAGTGGAGCTTTCTCATCCATTCTGAAAGACAACACCGACGCCGGTTGGACGACTCAAAGAAGGCTTGACACCAAACAGAAAAGGTGTAGAGAGAAAGAGAGAGAGAGAGGAAGAGAAAAGGAAGGTCAAAAAGAAAGCTGCGACTCAGGAAACGATCTGACAGCACATGATAACACACAACGGGATCACGGTTCCAAAAATAAGAGATTGAGTCTGGACGAATGAAAAACATCCATGAATCAGGTCAGCGGACGTGCAGCTGCTGACTGACTTGGGCTTGCAGCAGGAGATATGCACGCTGCCAGTGGATAGCCTTTTGATAGTCCTGAGATCGGAAAGATAACCTTTTTTTCATGTGGGGGAAAAAAGAAGGGTCCTTATCCAGTTGTGTGGTGGCCATTCAAGTCGGGACGGAAAGTAAACCCCGTCTCTCTAGCATCGTACTTACCCCAGGGCTGCCAGCCAGGGCGCATGTGCCAAGCAACGGGTTCCCTAGCGTTCTTCTCTCCTTCTTTGGTCCTTTCTTTTTCCCTCTCTGCTCCTTTCCCTCTCTTTCCTCCAAAGGTTCAACGTTCCTTCCTTCTTCATCCCGACATCAAACTTGTACTGTGCAGTAAATACTGTGTGGCACACCTTTATTTAGTTGTTTAAGACGGCCCGCGTGGGGGGCCCCACCTCGCCTAAGCGCCGTTGTCCCAGCCAAAAACATACCACTTGAACCTTTCTCCAAGCATTCATTCCCCCGTCACATGTTTCCACCCACGAGTCGTTTTGATCGGGTGGTTGTCTCCCCCAAGCATGAGTTTTGAGCACGCACGGAGCACACACGTAGCGCCCAGCTGACTCGTCAGGGGCGGATGGTCAAGGCAGTCTGCTAAGGTGCCAAGAAAGGGCAAAAGGGGGGAAGGGAGAGTCAGACGGTGAGCGATGATCATTCTGCATACACTGTTTCACCAGTTCAACTACACAACTAAGCTTTCACATGTTTGTCCTTCTCCTCCTTCTTCATATTACTTGAATCAATACGATGATACAATATAAAGTCACTTCTCGGCATTAAAACACACCGGCTATGACACTATCGTCGGGTCAAGCATGACGACCGCTACATATCTGTAGAATAACAGCAAGAAATCCAAAGATATTGTATTCAGTTTTCTTGTTGTATTTGCATGAGCATCTTATTACCTGTACTCGGTTCATTATATTCGGTCAAGCTCCTCTTATCATGTATCAAACTGATAGCTGCCACTACTGCCCAATTCCTTTGGTATGACCAACAACTTGTCATCTGTACTGCGGAAAAGAAAGAAATAATATTGGCAGAGGTACCAGCTGCGCTAGCGCCTGTGCGGACTGGCTCACAATCTCCAAAGCATATATTGAATGATCCTGTGAATATAGGCTCAACCTGGCCCTCACAGCCATCAGCGAAAATTAGTTGAGCACAACCCGACCTTGGAGGCTCGAGTCCGACCGCACGAGCAATGTGGTTTCAGTCGATGTAGTCACCCTTTGCAAAGAGACCCGAATCTCCTCAGCCATTGTAGAGAGGCGCTGCACAAAGCTTTGGGCAGCGTTTCTCACGCGGCTGACACCGTCTCATAGCGACAACTATCTTTCAGTGATCAATGAAGGACGGCTGTCTATACTAGCAGACCGAGCCTGCACGACATTATACTCAGTTTACAGAACAGGTCATGAACTAACGAAGCAAGACCTGTTTATAGTGTCCATCTATTCGGAAGGGAGTGTATCCTAACACCAAGTCCTTGTTTCTTCAAGTATCATGTTTCAACATTTGCAATAGCTTCACCGCCAGTGAATACTAGCAGACTGGACTGGGGTTTTCTCTGCGTCCAAAGTAACTTATACCTGAAACTTCTCTTCTTCATATACCTTTAGGTAACCGCTAGATCTTTGGATCCTGACTGGTCTCCCAACCCCATCAACTTACACAACGGCGCTTTGCGAGACTCCGGACGCTACGGGCTATTATTGCTGCAAGCAGAAGCCTTTGGCATAGCGGTCGATAATATTAGCTCTGTATAGTAGCTGGAGAGCGTTTAATATTATATAAGCATACGATTACGCCTACGTGAGCTCTTGTCTCGTCAAAGTGTTCTTGAGTTACAAAAGTACAAACGCTGCCATTATATTCTCTTGTCCAAAGTACATACACTCTATAAACTGCATCAACATCTCACATGATTACACATATATCAGTTACAGCCAGTCGGTCACAGTCTTTGTGTCCTCAATATTGTTGACGTCTCCTCCTCACCACCACCTCATCATCATTCCTCTTACCAAGCCACCCACTTCTGTCCACCCATGGCCACCAAACGATTAAACAGCTCATCCCGCAGCGGTAGCGCCGTAACCCTAAAACTGTCACCACTCCTAGTAACAATCTCCAGCCCATCCGCCACCTCCCGCTCCAGCGCCCAGCCAACAATCAACTTCGCCTTCCACCCATACCCGCCAAACTTCTTCAGCTCGACAATATCCGCCACGGCAACGCTCCAGCTCGGGTGCAGGTCCTCGCGCTCCTGGCTGCCAATCTTCTCAATGGTCGAGTCCGTGCTGAAGGCCACCGCAGGGATCGTCGACTTGGTCGTGATGTACACATGGCCCTTCTTCCCCTTGAACCGGCCCTTGAAGTCCACAGGGCCCGAGATGGGGGTTTCACCCGGCGGCGCCACTACACCCAGCCTGTCCCTGGCCTTGCTGGACCCCGTGGTCTTGGCACGCGCGGCATCGGTGCCCATGGCCGTCTTGACCGCGCCCTTGGTGGTGCCCTTGAAGAAGCCGATGATCTTGGTGGTTGCCTTGCCGTGCTTGCTCTCCTTGGACGCGTCAATGTCGGCGCCGCCCGACTCGTGCGCCGTGTGGGGGTCATGCTGCACCGCCTCCTCGAGCTCCTCGTGGGTGGCGTTCAGAGGCGGCTCCGCACCCGTGGCGCGCAGGTGCTCGTCCGTGATCTCGGCAGGCTGGTCAGGCGGCGGCGCGGCGATGGTGGGCGGGGGTGGGAGCGGGGCCTTGTTGGCCTCGCCGATGCGGAGGAGCGTGAGGGTGAGCTGGGCGTTGGTGGGCACGCCTTTAAGGACGGTGTTGCGGAGCTCGAGGAGTTTCTGCCAGTGGGGGAACTGGCGGTTGAGGAGGGCCAGGCCGCGGGAGATGACAGGGTCGCCGAAGAAGCCGAAGCCGATGCCGAAGGTGGTGCCCTTGGTGACCATGTAGGACGTGGTGACGAGGGACATACAGAAGACAGGGACGAGGAGGAGGGCGAGACGTAGGCGGTACACTGTTCTTGGAAAGGGAGGCGTAGGGCTCAGCGCGTTGCCGAACCTCTCCCACGTGTCGGCCACGTCGGCCAGGGCGTGCATGATGGGCCTCATCTTGGTCCACATGGCCGTCTCCATGGGCTGCTTGGTCTTGTCGTGCTTGGCATGCTTTCCACCTTTGGCCACGTCCTTTGCGTCTGCGGCACCGATGGCCACTGCTGTTGGGTCTGGGGCTGCGTCGCCTGGCGCACCATCCTCGTCGTCATCGTCGCCAGCAGCGCCACTTTCCGGGTGTTTTCCTGTGGCGCTGCTGAGAGCGATCGATGCAATCCCGTTGACAAAGTTGTTGGCTTCCTGCTCCACGGCCTCGCCCTTGTGGTGCTCCGGTGCACCAGTCGCGCTGTCGTGGGAACCCAACACGCCGGCCCTGGGCTTCTGTACGCCGCCAGTTTTGGAATCCACAAGGGCCACCGGTGCTGGAGGGAACATGATCTCTCGAGACGGGGGATAAACGACCAGCGTGATGGCTGTCAGCGAGAGAACCGGGACGAGAAGGTCCAGGGCCCAGGCGAGGAAATATGTGGCAGCAAAGGCGGATGTCCTTCTGGTCTCGCGCCAGGACCGCAGCCGTGCGATGTGTTTGACAAAGGACAGCAGCCCGACGGCCACTGTCATGTACAGCCTCTCGATGTTGGCTCGCAGTTTGTCGGGCGAGAACTCCTCCTCGTCGGCGATGTTGAGATCCAGACCGCCAGGGACGAGCTCTGGGGTGGCTTTGACATGGTACATTTGCTGACTCAAGATGTCAGATTTGATGATATCTTCTAGAGACAAAATTTGTGAACTGAGGAGACGAAATGACTTACCTTATCAAACCGTCTGATGAGCATCCATAATTCCTCATTGTCCAGCCCACCCACCAGTGGTGTTGGAATCTCCTGCTTCTTCTGGTTCCATCCTAGGTCGAGGACCTCAGCCTCGTGGTCCTGCTGCGCCAGGCCTTTCACTTCATGATCCTCTGTGGCCAGGGCGTGCGACAGAGATGGATCCTCGGCGAGCGTGTGTGACACTTCCTCCTGGGTTGGGTCAGAGACGGGTTGCGTGCCTGTTGATGGGATCGGTAAGATGTCTGCGACTGCCGAACCAAGGGTGCTGCCGTCTATCCCAAGGAGAGGAGGGCTGCTGGGCTTTCTGGACTCGGATGGTCCTGGTGGGTCGACATGCTCTGAAGCCATCGTCGCGATGCAAATGCGACTGTCTGAACTCGGTCACACTTCTCCCTCGGTCTATGATGTTTCTTCTTCGTCTGGCCTTCCTTTTCGTCTGGAAATAATTCAAGTTTGTACTTCGATAATATCGGCTATGCCCAAGTTCATGTTCTTATCTTCCACAATTTTATGCCTCTTCACTATCTATGTAAAGAGACACGTGAGAGGCTCTGAGCTGTCTCTCTTCATTTCTTGGTCAATGTGTTCACAATGACGTTATGGCGTCCCAAGAAGGCCCCATTCAGCTTGCCTATGCTAGTGTCGCTTGTCCAAATACGGTTGACAGGACTTGCGTGGCTTGACATCTCGACCCGTTCCAACTATTAATTAGCCTCGTTTCTTTAACAAGAGGTGACGTCGAAGTAGATCTGAGGGGGCTTTTGTGCTCGTTGCTGTTGCGACGGACGTATGTGTATGTATGTACTGTATCATTTCTCTGTAAATCTTGTAAATCTTTCCAATCCTATGATCACATTTCTTATTCTTTCCCCCCCTTTTTTTCTTCTTTCTTCTTCTTCCTTGTACATGTGGCGATCTTTCTCTTGAGGAGAACCACAACTGTGCAAATACAGCACAATTATGGGCGGGGTGATCTCATCAAGGCCCACAACTCTTTTTTGAGCCGCTAAGTAGGCAGATCAGCGATCTGGCGTGAATTACATCATTCATTCGTGGCCGACCTGAGACAAGAGAAACCATGAGCACAGCGCCCACGTTCCAGAAGCCCATCTCCTCGATTGATACTCGAGAGAAGGCTGTCCAGGAGAAGGAAGGAAGGGAAAGAAGGAGAAGGGGAAAATACAGGACGTTCTCGTAGCTCCAATTCTTTTGGTCATGTGAGCCTCCAAACTGCTTGAGCAGCTGGTCTTAAGGCGCTGTTAACTCCTTTAAAATCCTCCTCACGGAACTTGCCTCGCGGAGAATAGGGTTACATTGGCACATGGCAGCGCGTTGGGTACTCTAGGAAGAGGAGAAGGAGTGGCGCGTTTGCCCTTTTTTTTTTTTTTTTTTTTGGGTGGTGTGCGTGATAAGAAAAATTTAGAAAAATATGGTTGCCCGAAAGCACCAATCCCCGCATCCGTCACAGGTCCAGACAGGGTTCGGCTTTGGGGGGCTCTAGAATTTGTTGCATTTCCGAATCGTAGTGCGCTGGCTATTAGCAGACTACCCACATGCAATCGGGCCAAATGGACGGTTGGCCATGCAGCTAGCTACTGCAGCTCAACAGTATGCGTCTTCTTTTGTGGCTCTTTTGGCAACACCACTAGCTTGGCTGCTCCGACACTACGACGCTGTCGGCGTTGAAGTTCTCTTCGCGTCGCGGATCTGGCGGTCGTCCCGCCCATGTCGTAGAAACTAGGCAAAGACAAAATACATAAAGTTCACCCTTCTCCCTCGGAATTTTGTGCAACCATCCACTACAAGTCTATGCCATCATTTCCCCCGCAGAGGCTGTATCTGAATCATTTGTCGTGCTCTCAATCACCTCTTGTTTTGCCGAATATCCGAACAATACCTTGAGAAAACAAGGAACGAAGAAGAAGAAAAGAAGAAAAAAACAACACAGCCACCATGTCGTCCATCCCCAAGACATACACGGCGGCCGTCATTGAGAAGAAGGGCGCCGGCCTCACCCTCAAGGAGCTCGAGCTGAAGCAGCCCGGCAAGGGAGAGGTCCTCGTCAAGGTGCTGGCCTGCGGCGTCTGCCACAGCGACGAGTTCCTCCGCCAGGGCCACTTGGGCGACGTCTTGCCGCGGATCCCAGGTCATGAGATCATCGGCGAGGTGATTGCTGTTGGCGACGATGTCACCAGGTTCAAGGGCGGCGAGCGAGTCGGAGGAGCTTGGCACGGAGGTGAGCTAGTCTTTTTTCTTTCCCTTTTTTTTCTCGCACTTGTTGTTTGTACCACCACCAAATGTATTTTGAGATTGTCATTAGACTGACACACGGTCTCTCTCGCCTTTCTCTTTTATTCATAGGACACGACGGCTCATGCAGGAGCTGCCAGCGCGGCCTGTTCCAGATATGTGAGAACGCCCAGGTCAACGGAGTGAGCCGAGAAGGAGGCTATGCAACCCACGTCCTTCTCCGCCAAGAGGCAGCCGTTCGGGTCCCGTCTGATGCAGACCCAGCCGAGGCCGCTCCCTTGCTCTGTGCCGGCGTCACCGTCTTCAACTCCATTAGGCAGCTCGGCGTCCATCAGGGCGGCATCGTTGCCGTGCAGGGCCTCGGAGGGCTGGGCCACCTGGGTGTCCAGTATGCCAACAAGATGGGGTACGAGGTGGTGGCCATCAGCAGCGGCAGCGACAAGCGCAATTTTGCCACCAAGCTGGGTGCACACCACTACATCGACACGAGCAAGGAGGATGCGGTGCAGGCCCTGACGAAGCTGGGAGGTGCCGACATAATCGTGGCCACAGCCCCGAACCCCAAGGCCATCAGCCCGCTCGTTGGCGGTCTGGCTCCTCTCGGGAAGCTGCTTGTCTTGGCGCCTGTCGGGCCCATCGAGGTTGATTCCACCACCTTGGTGGTTAAAGGTACCTCTGTGCACGGTTGGCCGGCTGGACACGCACTGGACTCGGAGGAGGCTATCGCCTTTGCGCAGACCCATGGCGTCAAGTGCTTGATCGAAAAGTTCCCCCTGAAGGACGCCCAGAAGGCCTTTGACCGCATGACCAGCGGCGAGGTTCGCTTCAGGGCTGTTCTGACCATGTGAACGGGGAAGGGCTGTTTGCTGTTAAAATCCAGACTGAACCGCATGTAGTCATGCAATTCGAGGAGGGCTGTGTTATTTATCTAATATGAAACCCCGAGTATCAAAAATGTGATTTGAACGTGCAAATCTTGGTGATAGCTGTAGTCAACTCGCTCGCAAACGATGGCAACATCTAGTTTAGGGAGCACTGTCAAACTGCCCAGCTCGCTTGCTTAAGAGCCCAATCTTGAACCACTCCGCAAGCCCTCTCGCCTCCATAACATGACCGAACTCAGCCACAGACTCGGTCTCGTTAAAGGGGCTGCTGGCCGACCGTGGCGCGTCATCGGCCGCCTGGACTACCAGCTCCTTTTGCTCCGGCTTCCACACACACTGAAAGTTCTTGTATCGGAGATCTTTCACTGCGCTGACCCACGAGGTGAGGTCCTGGACATCTGGGCTCTCGCCGTACATGAGCCCTGGAGAGCCACCGTAGCGTACGAGCACCAAGGGGACATTGAAGTGGGCGGCCGCCTTCTTGACGCGCTGGAGCTTCTTGCGGCTGGTGATGTGGTGGGTTCGGATGAGCGTGACAAATGAGGTCCTGCATGGGCTCATCTTGGAGGTGACATGTCGGTTTGAAGGATGTCAAGGTGGGTGCAAAGACATGAGACGAGGATGAATGATGGATGTGGTGACGACGGGAGAAGATGAGCGAGGTTGGCTCTAAAACAAACAAGGAAAAAGGAAAGAAAAACAGACGGTGATAATCAGGGTTAGGGTAATGCCTTCACGGAAAAACTACCTCTCAAAAAAGAAGCAATGGCAGAGAAGGAAATATTATTTTCTAGGCAGGGAAAAGAATACTACCACTTCTCCTCCTGTTTCTTGGAATCTCTCAAACACCTACTTGATATTAAACTTCGACTTCCTGATAAATGGCGTCGACTTCCTTAGACATTGTCCAAAACATCAATCAAAGTTGCCAAACCCGCAACTGCCTAGCAATATTGATATACTCAGTACTTCCTCAGTTCCACACAAGAATGGGCTATTTGAGAACTGCTTCATCATGGCTGTTCGAGCCCCTTTCCATTCAGAATCAGAAATCATTTCCACACACGAGACAGCCATATGGCAGATTGCGTAGATATGACCCAGTGGACAAGCTGTGTTCTCCTCCGCTAAACAGTTCCTTGAACCACTTGCCATTGCAGTCAAGGCATTCGATAGGGACGTCAAGGGGACCACTCAATTGGTAATGTAAATGACTCGGAAAAATTCCTTTCCAAATATCAACATTGACAGTTCTCCCTAGAATGTGAGTGAAGGGCGTTTTGTGGTGAACATTCTGCGTGTGGTTGGCTTAGATCCGAAGGGGTAACTGATACTATTCCCTTTTCTGGTCTGAATAGAAGATCCATTCGGCAGCCCAGGCACGAGACCGATCATATCCGCACACATGGCACGGCCAGATGCTGGAGCGATTGCCATGCCCTGGGGTACTCGGCTCACTTAACAAGACGTGCGCTTGATTCCGGTTGCAAATCTGTTAATTAATTTCTCAGTTTTCGAGAATCCATTCATCTCTGATGAGTATCGTGTGCCCCACGCAACTATTGACAAATATGCATCCAGGGAGATGCAGTCACTCCTTCTCCAACCCTTTCAGCTCGTCGGTGATCTGGGTCCCATTTGAAAGTTATATATAGTATGTATGTATATCAACACAGCTTCCCTTGCGGAACTTGCCATAAATTGTCTTGTCCAAATCATCTCAACATAAATAAGCATCGAATTTGATTCAAACATCCACTCTTAGGAACTTATATCAACCAGTGGCCTGCGCATCTTCCGAGCGTGATTGCGATTCATATTGCACTCACATGGACCGAATCGCCGGAAAGGCGCCCATGATGTTGGCCGTCTTGTGGACGTTCCAAGCCGTTGCTTTCGCCCTCGTGGGACTCCGCCTTTATGCTCGCCTCGTGGTGGTACAAACATACGGATGGGACGATCATTGCTTCAACGGAGCCGTGGTATGTATTAATTATCTTCGCAGCTTATGTTGTGTTGATAAAAGGAGGAGAAGAAGCAAAAAAGGTTGATCATTCGAGCCCCAGTTCGCTGATAAATTCTGATACAGATACTCCTTTTCGTGTATAACGTGCTCATCTCGGTGGCAGCAACACTGGGCATAGGCCAACTACAAACCGGTCCGTTCACAAGCGACGATTCAAGGGCTCTTCTCCTTGTCAACATTGCCCAGAGCCTGATTGACGCCATGGCCATTCTCGTCAAGGTCTCCATCGCCCTGTTCCTCCTGCGCATCGTCGCCTCCAACAGAGCACACAAGATCATCATCATCGTGCCGGCCGCCATCATGTCCATCATCGTGGCCATCGCCTTGCTTTGCCTCTGGTTCTCTTGTACTCCCATAAGTTACTCCTGGGACCTTTCTATACCAAATGGCCAGTGCAATGGGGACGAGCAGTTCGTTGTGGCTCTCCTGGGTGGGCTCTCGATTATTCTCGTGGAAGTCTTATATGCGTCCTTTCCCTGGTATCTAGTCCGGAAACTGCAGATGCCTAGGAGAGAAAAGATCCTGGTTGGATCGTGCATGAGCTTTGGCTACCTGTAAGTCCAGGTCACATGATTATTTTTTTATTTCTGTCACCCGAGTGCTGCGCTGACCTGTTCTTCCGCAGTTCAGCGTTGTGCAGCGTATACCGGCTCCTCGCACTATTGGATCTAGCTTATTCCAGCAACCAAAACTATTTCTGTGAGTTTTCTCTTTTCTCGGGCCATTGGCTATCAATTACAGCCAAGAAGTAGATGTTTGTATCACTAACAAAACCTTTTCACCGTGTTTGACAGACACCATCGTCGACCTGCTAATATGGCATTCAGCAGACATTACTACACAACTCGTCAGTATTGGCGTGACAGTCTGTCGGCCGTTGTACAAAGACTGGCTGAACAACGTCGTGGACCAGATCGAAAGCGTGACCAACCACTCTAGCAGAAGTAAATCTAACCCATCGGGGTTCAGTGGTGCTGGCGCTGGCTTTAGTGTGATTGCCCTGCAGACTATCGGAGGAAGTACTGCCAACCACAAGAAGGCTGGAAGGTCAGCAGGAGCTGATGTTGAGGATGGGGTGGTCACGGTCCAGCGTTCTTGGCGAGTCGAGTCGAATGCGAGGAGTGTTGTGTTTCCTGGTGATGATGAGAGCGAGGAGCACATTTTGGGTAATTCGGGGCGTGGTGAAGCTGACAACCGCATATGAGCAAGGACATTTATGAAGGAGTCTTTTTGCCAATCGGGCAATCACTCTGACGAGCAAATTTGTTGTTAGATAGTGGAAATTGTTGAGTGCGTGGAGATCAAAGAGCAGAGGACCGACCTTTACATTTCCTTCCCATATCATCTATAGCTTTACTTATTGTTGTTTAATTAATGCTATTCGCTTTTCCGTCGAACGAAACGCACAGACAAGGCCATCTTAGGCTTAATCTTATCAAATAGTTAGGAACCGACCTACACTTTTCTTCCTCAATCATCAAGTAAAACAACGACTGATTTTTCTTTTCTTAAGGCGTCTGCAAAATCAAATAGTGTTTTGCTTATCTTCAATTCACAATAGCCACCCTTATCTCTTTCTAGGCTGTAATTAAGGTCATGATCATCTTGGCTTGGTCATTGACCGAATGCACTCCAACTTTATAAGCAGCACGGATACGCAGAAGCGTCGCCGTCATTAAACAAATGCGTCCTGGCATCCCCATCATCCGCGTAAAACAGACTACTCCCTCTATATCTACCAGTGCTGTCCCTCATATTCGCCACGGTGCTGCTCAGCGCACTACCCGTGATCCCCAGAAAGAAGTAACTCCTCAACATGATCGCCATGTCGACCGCGCCCTGGAAATCAAACGGCAGATGCCTCAGCTGCCTCAACGTCTCCGGGTCATCCTTTGCAATGTCGTATTTCGACGTCGTTTTCCACCCTCGTAGCGCCGCCGCGTCCGCAAACCGCTGGATCTGCGACTCATCCCCACAGGCCAGGACAATCAGCGGCTTCTCCTGTCCAGGAGACCCGTACTGCGCCCAGATCTGATCCAGCGCGTCCAGGTCGACCCGGAGCTGGTTCTCAAACGACGACCAGATGTTGTCCCTCTCGGTGCGGAAGTGAACGCCAATGTAGGGCCGCTTGATCAAAGACAGTACCTCGTGGGCGATGGCGCGCGGGGCCTCCTTGAACCGGACGAGGGCGGACAGGTCGTTCCACAGCGCCAGATCGCGGCCCGTGGCGTCGTCGGTAATGCGAAAGACGAGAAACTGCGAGGCGATGGTGATGATAGTCGCGCCGCGTTCACTGTCAGCAGCAGCAGCAGCAGCAGCACCTCCACCAACTCCACCATCGTCGCCCAGCTGTGGGGTCGCGATGTGGTCGAGAAAGCGCTGGCGCCTCAGTTCCTCCTCGAACCAGGCCTTGAACGGGCGCCCGACCCAGAAGTACCCGCTGAGCATGCGGAAGCCAGGGGCAGAGCCGATGTCCACCTCCCACCTGTGGGCGACGGGCATGGAGGGCGAGTCCTCCTCGGCAGGCGACCGGAGTTTCATTTGCGGACAGGCACGGGTCATGGCCGAGATGAGGTGTTGCTGGTCGAACCAGGCGTCGTAGTCCATGTACGCGCTGTCGTTGAGGAGGTTGAAGTTGAGGAGGTCGTCGCTGTCGCGGAGGGGCATGGCGGGGACCACCATGTGGACGCCTGCATCGATGGCCATCTTGAAGCAGACCTTGACCTGCGAGATGATGGATGTCATGCCGGCCATGATGCCACCACACTTTAGGTAGACGTCCTTGTTCTCGTCCTTCCATTCCGTCCTTGCGCAGGCTGCCTGGAGACCTGGGAAGTCATATTCGCTGGCGGGCTGGGGCGAGAATATCTGATCATAGTATGTCTGCACGTGTGGGGGCACGGCGAGACCATTCGACTTGCTGGCTGTTGATGATGGGGAGGACTCGAACAGTGTCTTTGAGGTTGCAGACGTCAGGGAGGTCGAGTAGCCCCCTAGATAGACAAACCAGACAACCAAAACACCGAGGACGGCGAAGGTAACATGCTTTTGCGGTGCGAGCATTATGATCGGAGCCTAAGAGCCCACCATCTGGGCTCTACGCCTAATGTTGTAAACTTCTGGTCGGCAGGACGATGGCCACCGAGAAGAAGTGGAGGAGGAAGTGGAGGAGGCTGATGCGTATGCAAAAGTAGATGCGTCGCAGGATAATAACAAGATAATTAAGAAGGAAGGGGGACTCAACTCAACCACTCAGAAGAGCCCAATTAATGTCCGATACTACCCTGGCATTGCATCACTCGCGGATGAGGGGGAACATGGCCCGTCTTGGATAACAGCATTGACTCCTCATTTGGGCCAAGACCCCAAGACCCACGACGCTGAAGACTGACTGCCTATCAGATCAGCACCAGAACCGCGGCTGCATGTGCACGCGTCGACGGCCCATGATTCCTCTTCAGGAGAAAACCCGGGGATAGAGTTGGTGACCCCTGTCGCGAGTGCGAGTCCAACTTATACTTAATGTGGGACCTCACCTGTTGCCCGCCAGCCCGCCTGGCGCACAGACATGAATTCCTGGGGAGAAGTTGAGAATCATCACAAGCGTCAGTCTAGTAGTAAGGATTGTGTCGATCAGAATCATCTCCCTCGGCATCCTTCTTCGTGATGATCGTCGTCGCATAAGTCACGCTTCTTCTGCCAGAACACTACAATGGCGTCCAGCACAGCCAATTGTGCCACCTTCTTTTGCGAAACCGAAGACTCTTAACCGTATGTTAAGAAGATCGACCAAACTAAAACTCGTATGGTATAATTAATTACTGTACGTTCTAAAGCAGAAATTATGACATCATCTTCAGTAGGAACAAAGTACTATGATAAACAAAGTAAACGAAGATGCCGCCAACCTATTCCTCGATATTATGAAGAGACGGACAACTCAATGCAACTCACATGTCTTAATTGAAGCTCGAATGGGATTGAACATGATCTGCTCTTCAGCATCTCCGTCACAGAGAAATCCTACGACAACACAAAGACTGATAATTGGTAACAACACAGAAGACCATGCTCAACATAGCAACAAGTGATCTCAACTTTACATGCTTCTCTCTCTTTATCTCAAGCCGTAAAGACAGCTAAGGTTCGTGGGAAGTGGCTCAAGTTCACCTTGAAACCAGCCCGCGTGGTCATGGCAGCCAAGTCGTCGCTCTCCCCTATTTCACCAGCAGCTTCCACAGGGAAAAGCCAAAAGCCAAAAGCCTGTCCCTTCTTAGGCCGCGGCCAACCCCCTTCCTTCCCAGTAGCCCAAGACGGCAGATCTCCTCGAGAGCCAACCGGCTCACGCCATAGGTGCGGCGCATTCCGCTGCTCTTCATCATTATCATCATCAAAGGCCCACGCCGGTATGAACAGCCGGTAGTCAGTCTTCAGGGCCTCGTAGTCCGGCACCCAGGCCCTGACGAAGCGCCGCCAGCGCAGGAGGAGTTCGCGCGGGTCGACAGAGCCCATGTTCACGGCCTCGAGCGCCTTGTCCTCCCCGACCCCTGGGCCCGCACCCAGACGCTCAAAGGATGCTGTCGTGCCGGCGATGGGCAAGGGCAGGTTCCCGTCTGCCGAGCCTCGCAAGACCCTTGCCGCCCTGGCCAGGAGGGAATTGGTGGGATGGCACTGGAGATGCAGGAACCATACCTGTTCCAGCTGGGCGAGGGTCTCGCGCAGGATTGTCCGGTGGCGGAAGAGGGGGAGGTCCGGCTCCTTGAGGAGGCGCAGGTCGTTGTCGCAGAACGCGCCCAGGTCGACAGCGAGCTTGCGCAGGCCCACGCCTTTCGGGTCATATGCCTTGAGGTCCCAGAGGAAGTCGAGCAGGGTCTTGTGCACCGGCGAGTCGGCCCTGAGGTGGAGTACGTCGTGTTCAGGGTTGAGATATAGCATCGTCTTCTCGGTGAAGCTGTCGCCCTTGAGATAGACGGGTATGTGAATACGATTGACGCTGAGGGCCGCAGCCCTCGCCTCTTTGCTCACGCGCATGAACTTGCTCAAGAGCCTGACGCTCCGCACCGTGGTGCAGTAGAGCTCGCCGCTGATGGTGTTTCCAAGGGCGTTCTTCTTGGTGTACCGCGGCTCCGAGGCGGCAAGATCATACCTCTCGCCTTGATGGAGCCGTACGATGATCTGGATGAGACGCTCACGAGGAATCGCAAGTTCCCAGATTTGCAGACGTAACTCTTTGGGTAGGAATGGGAACAGCAAGAAGGTATTCTCCTGCTTTGGAGGCACGGAAGTGTCTTTCTCGGTCTGTGAGCTGCATTCGGAGGCCATCTTTTCCCTGTTCTTATTCTCTCTGATCTTTTGCTTCTCTCTCATCTGATCAATAATAAGGTCAAAATGAGGGACGACTGAGCCTGCAGACTTGGTTGCATTTTCCACGTTTCAATCAGACCAGAGAGAACCTCCGTCACCAAGATCTTCTATCTCGGTATGGAAGCAAGGGAGCGTGCGGGGGAGAGATGTACTGCTAAACCCCAAGTGACGCCGTTTGTTAGGCCAAATCAACAACTTGATAATCTGCGAGTTTTGTTGGGGAAGATGCATACAATCTAAGCCGTCTTAGGCGGGATCTCCAATGTCACGGTGATATCCCAGTACGTTAGCTTTGCATGGCCAAAACACGCGCTTCATATCTTGTGCGACGTCTGATGTTGCTTTTGCAGGCTGCATCAATCTTGTCCTCTCGATTAACGCCCAACAGATGCGCCTCTTCGTAAGCCCTACTTGTCACCATTGCCGACTACTGCGTTCAACAGAAGCAATGTACAGCACGATGGTCTGGCTATGCTGTAAGAGCGTCATGAACAAAATCACGGCATGTCTCAGATACAGAGAGGGGCGGTAAACGGTCAGCAGCCTCCAGGAGTAGAAGACCAGTTTTCGTGGCCTGCGTATGCTGAGCCCCCTGCAGGCTTTTGCTCACGAGACTTGATTGCCAGGAGGTGCTTTTGAATCCCTTTCCTCGCCTGTCCCTGCAAGCTCCTCGGCTGCTTATATGTGTGCTATTAACGCCTGTGCAGTAGACGGCTTGTTCTCTGCCATTCTGACGGTGCTTCTTTCCACGGTGGAAACTCCCCACCCACGTTTCCTGTCCTCAAAGGGGAAGAACCAAAGGGAGCGGACCCTAGGCGCTGTGGCCGTTGCATGTCGTCACTGGCTTGGCCTTCAAGCCGTCAATGAAGTCCATCGCAGGTCGTCATGTTGGCCTGGGACTTGGTGGATGATCCAACGCCCCAGACCACGTCGGGGACAATGGCTCGAGGGAAGGTACCTCAGAACCTAAGCATCATCTTGAGACCAGAAAGCAAGGAATCTCTGTCCACTTTGGCTCGCATATATCTGCTTTTGGAAAGACCCAAATCGCAGCGACCGAAACATGATTTTGGCCGGGTAGAGAGAGAGAGAGGCGGTGGCCGAAATTGTTTTGAGATCTTTGAGATTGTTGTGAACAGGGAATCTAACCATTGAGGCAGGATTCAATGGCGACCAAGCCTGCCTCAGAAGGTGGTGCCAATGGGGTGCGAAGAAAGCCAGTGTTAAAGGCAACCTTCAGGACTTTGGCCGACATGAGTGGCGAGGGCTTGCCGGTATAGGGGCGAGCTAAGGGAAAAAGGTCGCCTCATAACGTTCAAAATGGCGTTTCTTGTGAGATACACTGTACGACAATATTGGTTGGACAAGCAGGTGTCTCCAATCAAGGCGCAAGCGACGGAGAAGGAGGCGCCTCAAGTGACCCTGTACTCCTGTCCTGAAGCCTCGCACATCTCTCTGGGTTGGAGGACAAAATGCCAACTCAGTCCGGGTCGCGTTTGGCGTTGCAGCTTAGGGACAACAAAGCATTCTGTCGACGATGCCTGGGGGCACAGTCATAGGCCCAGTTCTAGCCAGCGCCACCCGCTTTCGTTTCCGCTGCATTCAGCAACCAACCCCTCAATCGGCTGGCAAGCCACAACAGCTTTGTTGGCGTTCTAGGACGCGGTCCAAAACCCCACGAAGAAAGGGCGCCTGATTAGCTTGGCTCTAAGCAGCGGGAACCATTTTGGAGGATGCTCATAGGACGATACCTTGGGACGACCCCATAGGACGACTGGAATGGGCCGACACCATGGGACGATGCCATGGGACCATCTGACCTAGATGAAAAGACGATGAGCATGAGAGCTTTTAGCAAGGTGTGAAGTTTTTGTCGCCAGCTGTGCTGTGTGAGCAGTCTCGGGTTTACCGTCCACGCAACACAAGGTATTCTGCCAGGTTTCAACAAGTCATACTGTACTTTTCGCTCACTGTAGGACCGGTTTGGACCATGCGTGGCGGGGTCTGGGCTTTTGAGATGGGAGTGGCTTTGTGAGCCCCGCCAATCCCGCCTAACCGGTGCCCCTCACAAGCATATGTGGCAGCTACGGCGGGAAAAGTGGCAAGCGATAAGGCGATCGATCTAGTGGGTCAAGAGTCTCCATCCGCAGGGCGGCAGGGGGTGCTCCAGCCAGGGGGGGTCCCAGGCCCTTGGATTCCTAGGGAGCCCCGAGTCCGTGCGTTGGGGAGAGCAGGTTATGGCACGGCGCCCGTGGCAGGGGAGGGTTGTCTCTGGTATGCCATCTGCTCCCTGGGCCGACTTGGAAAACTTCCTTTAAGTCCAAAAAGTATTATTTACTGACTGAAAATCGACTGATCGCCTCACTCGTCGCTGACGACGCTGACCGTCGTCGTGTTCATGTTGTTGTTGATTCTCGCTGCCCACCAACCGACCTTCTGCGAGAGCCTCCTTCCTCTGGTTGTGTGCCACTGGTACTGTTGTCGGCTGTGTTCCATGGCAGGCCACAGCACACGCGAGGCGCTGAACTCCAAGGGCTAATGGACGTTAAAGAGACAAACACGTCGGCAGCAGTCGCTACTCCCATGGCCAAGGCACCACATGCATCTATTGCGATAGAAAACATCCGCGAGAGGGAGACATTCAGGTACGTTTGTCGGTGATCTCGATTGGCAGCATGGCCGGCCCCTGCAGAGCTCAGCTGCGGCCCCAATTGGACTGACCTGACAACGCACGGTTTTCAAACCTAGATATGACGACCTCGGCTGGACGTCCACAGCACTCAATGACCCGCATGACCCGATTGCCCCCAGCACCCTCGTCTCGTCGACCGACCAGAGCCTCACCGCATATGCACAGCTCGGCGTTTATAGGTTGAACGTCTCGAGGGCCCTGATATCGCTATTCGACCGGGACCGCCAGCACATCGTCGCCGAAGCTACTCGAACGTCGCCCTTGCGTGCGAGTACCAGACCGGTTGGGAAGGCCAAGGAGACACCTGCCAGCGATGTCTCGTCAACAGGGCAAAACGGTGCAGACCGTAACGCAGCAGCCGCTGGTCAAGACAAGGACGGAGGAGAACATACTGGCAACAATCTCTGGCTCTGCGGCACAGCAATACCACGCGCCCATGGCATCTGCGAGCATGTGCTCATCGCGCCTGGAGCCCCAGGCGGCCACATGCCGGCGATGGACTCGGCAGCTCCTCTGTCTGACGAGCTTCCTGTCTCAGTCGTGCCGGACCTGGGAGCCGATCATCGCTTCTCCGATCGACCGTATATCTGCAATTCGCCCTTCAACCGTTTCTATGCGGGCGTTCCCATCCGGACACCCGGACCTCATGGAATGAACATTGGCGTGTATTGTGTGTTCGACACCGAACCTCGTCCGCACGGCCTGAGCAGCGACGAAATCAGCTTCATGCAGGACATCTCGCAGACCGTCATGGGGTATCTCGAATGCAGGATGTCACATGGCCGGATTCAGCGATCAGAAAGGATGATCCGAGGAATGGGCAATTTTGTTGAGGGGATGGAATCGCTTGCGGCTCCAGCGAACCGTGGCTCTGGCTACTCCAACAGGCGGTTGACGAAACTGATCAACCAGGCGGCTTTGGCGCCTGGCGGCAGGAAGGCCTCGAAACCAACGATGCCAGCCAAGAGGCCAGAAACTCTACTCAAGAGCCTCAGTGGCGGTAGCCGTGCATCGGACGAGTCGCTTCTCTCGCCACGCACCTTCGTCTCTACGCCGCCCTTGAAAGATCCGCCGTCTCTCGCTGGAGGCAGCCCGCGGATGGAGGCTACTACTACTACTACTACTACTACTACTACTACTACTATCACTACTGATACCACTGCTGCTCCTGCTGCTCCTGCTGCTCCTGCTACGGAGATGAAGACCTTCAGGCACTCCCTGTCGTTTATGACCGAAGACTCGTCGCAGTGCTCGACCCCGCGACCAGGATCACAGCAATCAGGAGACATCAGCCCCCGGCCCGCTGCACTTTCACAGGTCAGCACGGCCGATCTTCAGCTGGCAGAAACTGGACGTGTTTTCGCAAAAGCCGCCAACATAGTTCAGCAGTCCCTCGAAGTCGACGGGGTGTTGTTTCTCGATGCCACGGTGCGATCATTTGGCGGGTTGGTGGGCCCGCACAGCGAGCGAAAAGTGTCGGTCGTAGGCATGGAGAACCTCAACTACCTTAGCAACGACGACGACTCGACCACACAGACACCGCCACTAGCGAACAGAGAAGCCTTTTGCAATGTGCTCGGCTATGCAATGCCACATGGTTCGAGCATCGCAGGGGACGGCGTGCCGTGGCATTTCGAGGGCCTGCGTGATCGGACGTTGCAAAGGCTGCTCAAGAAATACCCGCATGGTCGCATCTTCAATTTTGAGGCCAATGGGCAGACACTGCAGCACTCTATCGCCCATGATCAAGAGACGCCAAAGCAGAATGCCTCTGGCTTACGACAGGACTTGCATGACGATACAGATCTTGGAGAAAGTTCTATGGGGGCAAATGCTGAACTGCACAGTGTACCCACGATACGGCGGCAGCGGTGGAATGCAGCTGAATCGATCATTCATCTGTTTCCGGGGGCACGAAGTGTGGTCATGGTACCTCTCTGGGACGGGCAGAAGAAACGCTGGGCTGCAGGCGGATTTATCTGGATGAAGAGCCCAACACGAGTGTTTACCACAGATGTAACGCTGAACTTCCTCCGTGTCTTTGGTCTGATCATCATGGCTGAGATCTATCGGCTCAATACCAAGGCCGATGAGACCGTAAAGAGCAACATCTTGGGCTCCATCAGCCATGAGCTGCGGAGTCCTCTCCATGGTCTGGTTGGCGCCGTGGAGCTTCTGCATGACAGTAAACTAGATGCTGTTCAACAAAATGTTCTCAACATCATTGAGACCTCGGGCAAGACGCTGGTTGATACCATCAATCACTTGCTCGATTACAGCAAGATCAATAGTTTTATCGAGAGCGACAAGAAAGACACCTTGCTCGGAAAGGTGGGCGTGCAACCCGAGGAGAGATCGGTTCAGGAGAAGGCCAAGTCGCAGATCCTCCCAGTCGAACTGGACTGTCTCGTCGAGGAGGTCGTAGAGAGCGTTTTGGCGGGCTTCAGCCATGAGCGGCTGTCAGGCCCTCGTGCTGCACAGGATGTGACAGCTTACCGAAGTTATGGCGAGCTGTCTGCATCACGCAGCGTCCCGTCATTGCTGGGCGAGTCCGCCAAAGACCGCGTCCAGATCTATCTTGACATTGAGCCTTCCGCATCGTGGCGCTTCCTTACCCACCCGGGAGCTTTCCGAAGGATCGTCATGAACCTGTTCGGGAATTCCCTCAAATTCACAAAGTCCGGATTCATCAAGATTAGCCTGGCCCAGGAAACAGCTAAACCATATGAAGATGGCTCACCTGATACGGTGCTGCTGACTGTGGCAGATTCGGGCAAGGGAATCAGTGACGACTACCTCAAGAACCATCTTTTCACCCCGTTCTGCCAGGAGGATCATTTCGCACCGGGAACTGGACTCGGACTGAGCTTGGTGAGGCAGATTGCCGTAAATCTGGGGGGAGAGGTCAAGGTAGCCAGCCAGATTGGCCGAGGGACCACGATTACGGTGTCGTTACCGCTTCCTGCCGCTGGTGATGACGCCTCAGCAACAGATGTCACGGGTCATGGAGGGCACATGCAAGCCCTGAAGGGGCTCAAAGTACAGCTCCGTGGCTTCGATAGTCTGCCGTCTCCCGAAGCACGACCGGTTGTCCACGGCATTGAGGAGTTAGGAAAGCTTCTGGAGTCTCAGGCGCATGTCTTGCAGAACACATGTCGCAACTGGCTGCAGATGCAGATCTTGTCGGAGGCTGAAGCACGCACTGTGCAGCCTGATTTCATCATCCACCACGATTGGACGTTGTCTTTTCAAGACGCGGAGAGGATTGCAGCACGGGCCCCGTGCCCAGTGTTGTTTGTCTGCGAGGTGTCTGTGGCCGTGAGAAACTTCTCGCGCAGTCTTCCTGATGCTGCCACTCGGATTCGAACCTTTGCGTTCTTATCACAGCCTTTGGGGCCTCGGAAGCTTGAAAAGGGTCTGGTTCACCTGCTCGATATGTGGAAAGCCAAGGAGGAACACAATGGCCTTGTGCATAACAATCCCTCGGCTGAGGTGCTGCCGATCCGTGGTGCAGAGAAACAAGAGTCCAATACCACAGTGCCGGCCCCTTCCACACAGGCGGCTGAAATCGTCCAAGACATGATGATGGCCCAGCAGATGAGTGAGAGCATAGTCGCAACACAGTCAATGGGGCTCAAGACACCTGCGTTGCCAACGCCCCCAGAGGATCCAGGCCCGATTGTCAGCCCGGCAGCTCCGTCAGAGACTAAGCTATCTGAAGGTGCAGAGAAGGGCCGAGCCGTTCTCATCGCCGATGACAACGCCATCAACCTGAAGGTGAGGCCCGCAACAGAGTGGGCAAATTGATACGAGACCAATAGCTGACTTGAGTTTGTTGTCCAGATTCTCTCGGCGTATATGAAAAAGCTGAAGCTCGCACATGTCACAGCCATCAACGGGCTGGAGTCTCTGACACTGTACTCCCAGGCGCCGTCAGATTATTGCTGCATCCTGACCGACATATCGATGCCCACGATGGACGGTCTTGAGTCCGCGAGAAGGATTCGACAGTACGAACGAACGAGACGACTGAAACAAACGCCCATTATTGCTCTCACAGGCCTGGCAGGCGCAGGTATCCAGGAGGACGCTGTTGCTAGTGGAATTGATATGTTCCTGACTAGGCCCGTGACCTTGAAGAGGTTGACAGAAGCCCTCGAGACTCTTGGGCTGGGGTGAGGAATCTATGAACAAGAAGTGACGATATGGATCATAGGACATCAAGTGGAGTTGGAACTGGACCAAGCTACGCTTTGGCTCTACAAGACTTTGGGAAAAGAGATGGATGTTGAGTGGGTAGGGAAAGGCCAAACATGACGGGCATCACGTGCGGCGTGAAGTGTGTATTCTACTCGCAGGATTTGGCAGGATGACCACTTGCTACTACATGGCAACTTGGGGAAGTGTAGATAGCTGAGCACCTGCTCTATGTATACCATAATAAGACGTACCCGTGTTGTTGCACCCTTCCTCCTCCGCTTCAGTATTTAAAGGGACAGTGCGAATTATACCGGTTTCCGTCTGTGATAACTGTGTGTGTGCACTGTGAGCTTGAGGTTGAGCACCACTCTCATACGCGACTTCCGCAAATGTTTTGTCGCCTTATTGACTCACATCACCAATGACGAACCTAGAAACCTTGAGCAATCAGCTTGCTGTGAACAAGTCCCCAGCATCTATGATAAGAAGAAATCGAGACACGGATCGTTCACAGCTCCCAGGGCTTGTCAGCCCCCTCCTCGCCTTCTTCACAGGGCAACTTCTACTGCCATGCACCACCGCTGTCGTGGCTGGGCCAGGGTGGTCGCCTTCCACGCCATGCTGAGCTTGTTCGTGTCTACTACAAAAGCTATCTCTTCTCCTGGCCTCCCCATGGTCATCAACACCTGGGGCGGTCCCTTCACAGCAGCCACAGACGCAGCCTTCGAGGCACTCACTGTCACACCTCATAATAATACCTCGGCTCTCGACGCCGTCCAGATCGGTTGCGCCACCTGTGAAAAGAAGCAATGCGACGGCAGTGTCGGGTTCGGTGGATCTCCAGATGAGAACTGCGAGACCACCCTGGATGCACTGATCATGGACGGCACGACATTGAATACTGGCGCAGTCGCTGGTCTCAGGCGCGTGCGGGACGCCATCGGCGTCGCAAGGCTGGTACTTGACTACACGCAACACTCCATGCTGTCTGGCGACCTGGCGACGCGTTTTGCCGTGGACTTTGGAGGATTCGTGGAAGAGTCCCTCACGACAGAGGAGAGTCTTGCACGGTGTGCCGCGTGGCGGGCAGCGGCATGCCAGCCAAATTACCGTGCTGGGCCAGTGGTACCAGACCCGGAAAGGCATTGTGGGCCTTATACGCCCTGGGAATCGATCGAGAGCTTGGACGTGACGGAGATGGAGCTGCGGAGGCGGTCAGATGAGTACGTGACATCGGACGGCATGTCCCATGATACCATCTCAATAATTGCCATTCACGAAGATGGGACGATGGCATCTGGTACGTCGACCAATGGTGCAGTGCACAAGATCCCCGGACGCGTCGGTGACGGGCCTATTGCGGGATCCGGTTCCTACGTTGACGACGACGTTGGCGGATGTGGAGCGACAGGCGATGGCGATATCATGATGCGATTTCTCCCTTGCTACCAAGCAGTGGAAAGTATGCGGCGCGGCATGACACCTCAAGAAGCCGCTAACGATGCGGTGAAGCGCATGATCAAGAAGTATCCCAAGGCCTCGACTGGGATCGTGGTCGTCAACAACAAAGGAGAGCATGCCGGTGCCGGCTCTGGCTGGACTTTTACATATTCGTTCAGGGGCGGTAGCATGAGCGAGACACAAGTGGTGACGGTACCACTGTTGGGGCCATGACATGCGGCAGCCGTCTGGCTATGCCATGCCTCTGTACTATTCTGTCACAATCTATAGATGTTACGCTGCATGCTCATTCTGCTGACACGACGACACCTCAGGCCTCAGCCAGTCAAAGGTATCCAAGAGGTCGAAATTGAAAAAGCCGCCCATGTCCGCCCCAATGTCAAGGCTGAGGTCAAGACAATGATCCACCCCTGTGCCATCCGATACGTTGGTGGGACCTCCGTTGAGCGCCTGGTCCAGAACATGCCGGATGACGGCTTTGCATGAATTGCAGAGATCACCGTTTGGGGCGCCTGGGCTGACCCAGTCTAAGAAGCCAACGAGTAGGCTCAGTTGCTGGATGATGCCTGATTTGGTGACCCCAGGTGCAGGCTTCGGGTTCGACATCGGATTGAGCAGTTCATTGCATAGTATTCCTCCAGCTGGTGCGGCGTATGCCATGACCTACATCACGTCCCAAGTCAGTTGACGAGATCCCCTGCCGATTCGGATCATTGGTAGGTTGCCGGCTAGGTCTTACCAGCCACTCATAATCCCCGTGAATACCGGCCAGGCGATCCATATGCGTCCAGAACACCAGGGTTGTCGCGACCATCTCAAAGCTGACACTCAGCAAGTCGGCATGGCTAGCATGACCTCGCTGTACAAGCATTCGGTCGATGAAGAACAGATTTTGCAGGTTCTCGAGGTGGACGAGCACCTTGGTGTATAGTACTGGGCCGGAGACGTTGTGATTCCGCACGTCTTCAGACCGGTACTGCAGTGTCCCTGGTAGGTCCGAAATCAGGGCCAACTGGCGCATATTGAGGTCCCTAAGACGGCAGCAGTCAGTTCAAGTTACCCGAAAACTCTTCCTCTGGCATGTTGCAGCTCACAGCAAGGCCTCGATTGACGCAGACATCGGAGGACCCATGGCAAGCTCCATCACCTCTTCCTTTACAGTCATCAGTAGCCTCCTAGCGCGCATGATTGTGGTCGAGTAGTGGTCGCCATTCCGGTTCCAACCCTGCTCGTCAAGTCTCTGGACCTCTCTGGCAATTTCTTCGGGACTAGAAAGGAGTACCTCGTCACTCATATCCAGAGGTAGAGGCGTCAGGAGATACTTCCTGCTCATCAGAGGCGGCCTTCCACAGAACGAGGCACCGACCTTGTCGACGACGAAGATCTGTGAGATCAGCCGCCTTCTGGCCTCTGACGAAGCGGTCGGCATATATGTACTGTCATGTGGCATAGCGTGCAGGCCCAAATAGGTAGCAGTCGCGACAACCTCGCCATACTTCCCCCAGAAAGAGGGCGAGGCATCTCCACTTAGCATGGACTCCAGGATGGCTACCTTGTACATGAGGTACAGGAGCAGACTGTTGGGCGCACAGCCTTTGCACAGGTCAATGCAAAGCTGTGCAGCGTGCTGGTACACCAGGGTCATCCGTCTGGGATCCACTGCATCCAGCGTCCTACCGGGTTCGGGCCGATGCGCATGATCGGCCAGGGCGGCGAGACCCCAGTATGTGAAGAGGATGCCGATGCACTCCCATCGCATGTTGCGGCCGGAGAAGGATGTTATCCACTTGTCAGGATCGGGCTCGTCCTCGGACCAGAGCTTGGCAGTGTTGTTTGAGATGACCTGGGCCATTGACTCTAGGTCGGAGGCTTTCCGTGAGCGCAGTTCTTTATCGAAAGCTTCATGGAGTGACCGGGCCAGGCGTTGACCGGCCAAACGAACCCAGCCGTCATTGGGATTCCTGTGCTTATTATAGAGGGAGAGAGAGACGTCATGGCCGGGGATGCGGCGAAGGACCGCGAGGCAGGTCTCGAGGGTCCTGGGAGTCAAGTTGGCCGATGTCCGGCTCGATTCAGCGGCATCTGATGAGCTGGGAGTCCTCATTTGGGATAGGATGGTTGCGCCCTGTACGAGGGAGAGGCTGTTTTGGGTCTCTTGATACACAGCCGAGAAGCTCGTGAAGCCGAGATAGCCTGGGCTGGTCTCCGAAGGGAGGCCACGGGCCTCAGTTGGGTCCGGTAGGGGATTGACAGTGGATGATATCCCATTATGTATCGATTGGGGCGGAAGTGGGCCATTGCTTCTATGGAGAGGTCAGCTTATCGTGCTGAGGAATGTGGTGTCGTGAAGAGGCTTCGGCTTTCCGACTGATGACCCATACAGAGTCACCCAAGAAGGCAGAACCCGAATGCACCTGCAACAAGACAAAACAAAACAGCATTGCCTTGCAACACGCCCAAGCCACGCCGACATCTTTAGAGTCAATCTCACAAGCAAATCATGGTCAACTGACTGTCTTCTTGCCCCAGCGACCTCGCTCAACCGTCGCGGTGTCGGCTTTCGGCTGCCCGGCGGCGTCTGCTGCGGGGCGAGATATACACAGCTGTCTGCATTGCTCCGAGCTCTGCACCTCCTACACACGGGATACGCGTGGTCACACGACACCTTCCTCCTCCGACATGGCTCGCAGGCCTGCAGCCGGCCGTTGCGGCGGCGTGCTGGCTTGTCAGATACCGAGGTCGAAGTCTCGATCTCGTCCATGGCAGACTGCCGAGAGCTTGGGGTACGTCCCTTGGTCCTCTGGCGCGACGCGAAGGATGCTTTAAGTGTGAATGAGTCTCATCACAGACAATGACAGTCCGAGGGATGTTGGCTGGTCCGCCTGCACTGTCTGTCTGTCTTCTCGTCTCTTACTCCCCTGGGCCCGTGGTGCCTTCGCAGGCAGCCGGTTGCAGCGCGCTCGGCGCTCGGCGCTCGGCTCTCGCAACATTGACGCAGCGGATCCAGCAGGCACTCAGGCATATTGTTTGTTTGAAGAGGCACGCAAGGTTTGGACCCATCTCAAGCATGCATAACTTAATCCAGTTATCTTGCGCATCTCCACGCATTGAGCAGCTTAATTGTGAGGGTAATACTTCACTCTCTTGTGTGTGATTATTATCTATGCTGACAAGCACTCTCATAACCTGCTTACTCTTTCATTCATTCATTCAATCTCCAACCTCCCGCGGGCCGCAGTCGGGGTTGGGGGCCGCTGCAGGACCACACGATAGGTATAGTGGCTATCGGGCACTTTCATCTTGCCATACAGACAGACGTTCGACTCGATATCTCATTAAGACATGGTAAAACGAGAAGCCGGAGCCTGCTTGTCACGAAGAGCATTCAAGCACATGCTTATTCTAAGGAGTTATACCAGAGAGAAATCGGTTGTAACTTTAGCCAACACTTCGGCTTAAAATCAGCAGACATACCTACTTACATGCCACTGTGGTTGCTTTAGCGTCTTGTCATGCTTATAATCAGTAGTGAGCCGAGGACCTTCACCATCCGATCCCTCTTCCCCGAAGAAGTCCAACGTCCCGAAAAAGTCCCACCTCGAGCGCCAGCGATGACAGAACATGATGGTACCTCTCGCTACTAAATCAAAACACACCTGCCATTCAACCCTGTGTGCTCTGCAGACGACCCTTCCGCTTTCAAAACGACCAAGCCGAATCGTCCCAGGGCCTGTCGTCCAGGGCAGCCATCTCAGCAGCGTCGGCGTCCGAAACCAGGAACATCGAACATCAGCGCTAGAGGGCCGGCATGGCAGCAACAGCAGCAGCGCCCTCGCCGCCACCACGCGGATAGATCGAACCAGAGCTCACCAGCAGCAGCAGCAGCAGCAGCAGCAGCAACAGCAGCAATGGTGGCCCAGCAGCGACCGCTACGTCCGATGCACTCAGCCAGGCTGCCATAAGCGGCACTGGGGCGCACACGGTGCGGCAGGTGTCCTCCTCGTGCGCATCTCGTCCTCATCCTCGGCCATTTCCGGGCAATCGCCCAGGGTGCTTCTCCAGCAGCGCGGCCGCGGATGCCAGTCCGAAGGCACGTGGGCGATCCCGGGAGGCGCACTAGACGCGGGTGAGACGCCGACGCATGCGGCGCTGCGCGAGGCGTGCGAGGAGGTCAGCCTGCCGTCGGGTTGCGCCGAGGGCGAAGATCCGCTGGTCTTGCTGCGCGGGGAGATGGTGTCGATGGACCATGGGAGCTGGAAGTACTGGACGGTGATCGCGCAGCTGCGTCGGCCTTGGGAGCCGATGATACCGCTGGGCGATGTCGAGAGCTTGGCTCTGGAGTGGGTGGCCCTGGATGAGGTGGAGGACAGGGTGCTGCATCCTGGGTTCAAGGCGGCTTGGCCTGCGCTGCGGGCTCGTATAGAGAGTTGAGACAGTGGAAGTGCACTGGAGGAGGGGTTGGCCAAATATGTAGTAGTCTGTGGATGTCATTTGAAGCCCAGGACGGCTTGACTTGAGATTTCTCTTTCATGCTGTATTTATCTTGTGTTAGTACAGCGCCTCGACTTTCAATGCACTTTATTTAGTGTCGTTCTCATTTTGTGTCGAGAGTAAAGCCCCTCTTGGAAAGTTTTTGGTCTATCACGATGAGCTCCTGGTCGCAGTATATGACATCAGCCGAGGACAATATAGTAATTGTTCTTTGGTCGACAGCTTGAATCGTTGCGCAGGAAATGGCCAGAGCGACATGATGCGTCTCAGTTCTATGTTCCTCTGCTCAACTATCCATCGTCATCAACAAAAAGTTAACAACGTCATCAATCTCCTCAGGCTCCTTAAACCAATGGCCCTCCTGCTCAGCCCCAGAATACTCTCTCCACTCGACTTTCATCCCTAGCCCGGTGAGGACTGCCCTCGCCGCCCTACCTAGATCGATATCCACATAGGCGTCGTCCGTCCCATGACACAGTAATACCGGAGTCGAGAGTACATTCCCTGAACTCGTTGAGGCAGGGGAAAGAAGGCCCTTCAAAAAAGTTATCGTGCTCTCAACGAGCCCATCCGCCCTTTTTCTATCCTCTATCACTTCATCCCTCTCGTTCTCCTCTTCCTCCTCCTCCTCCTCCTTTCCCACCGAGAAGAAATTCAAAGACCGCGAGACATCCTTTGCAAATGGCAACCACCCACTCGCCCCAACAAACCCTCCAAGTACCCTGTCAGCCCGGCCCGACCCCAGCAGCGTCCACAAGCCAACCGCCGCCCCCTGGCTGATCCCCACGAGAGCAACCCGTCCCGCATCCCCACCCAGCAGCGCAATCTCGTCGTCGAGTATGCCGCTGAGGCGACGCACTGACTCTTGGAGCGAGCTGGCCTGCAGGTGGTGTTCGTCGTGTGCGCCCTCCCCTTCCTGCAGTGACAAGGTCGGGTCAGCGAGTGAGGAGGAGGAGGAGGAGGGTGCGTCCTCGAACCATGCCGGGATGAATTCCTGGAAGACGGGGCTCCAGACCTCGCGGGCGGAGGGGAATACCAGCCGCCAGCTGGGAAGCCTGTCAGGTAATGTTTGGCCGTTGGCGAGTGGTAGGGTTAAGAGGTCATCTGCGAACTCTTTGGCTGTGCTGCCGCGGCCGTGGAGGAGGATGGCGGTGTGGGTGTGCGGGTGGGTTTTGGGCTGAATGATGTGGATTGCTGGTGTAGGAGAGGTGGTATCTGAGGAGGCCATTATGAAGTCAAGATTTGATGTATATTGTCAGAGTCATGTATATGAGGTTTGGAGGTGCTTGCAGTGTAGAAATGATGAGATGTTGGTAGTGTGGATCTGGTGCCAAGTGAGAACTACTTAGTTGTTTTCATTACTTTGAGTGATGCCTAAAGTACTTTCACCGTGTGACTAGCTTGGCCGAGTATACTTGTCGACGACCACAATTTGATATGTTTGTGTGTATATTCATATCACATATTTATGTTACTATGTGTGCGTATTTGAATTGTGCCTTTTCAACTCATTTTCTTCAAGTATCTCATACTGCTGTCTCCGTTCCTGATAAGTACTTTTTCAATGTCTCAGCCTGAAGATAATGAAACAATATTCTCGAAAGCATTCAAAGACCCGAGACCTCTAGCGATACGTAGATAAGTACTCAATTCAATTTCTAGACTTGCTTAACAGAATTGACACAATATGTCAACATTGGCTCCAAGCAAGTCGCACTTGTGTAGCACAATCTTTTCCTTCTTTACCTCCAGTCATCCTCATCAAACTGGCCCTTCCAGAATGCTCTGAAGTGCTTCTTATGTCCCAAATCCGAGATCTCTTTCACCTCATCCTCGGTAAGGCTGAAGCTAGGCAGCTTATCCAGATACTCCTGCAGCCTCTCCTCCCTCGAACTTGTCGTGATGGCAATCACGCCCTTGTCCAGCGTCCACCGCAGCGCCACGTCCCCCTCCGTCACGCCATACTTGTCCGCCAGCTCCGCATACGCACCATCGACCGGTCCAGGTGCCGCTCTCGTGAGGGCCGTCAGGCCACCATACCCGCTGGTAGCGATGCCCTTCTCCCCCTGGAACCCCAGCAGGTCCTCGCCACGGTCCTGCGTGACGTGCTGGAGGTACGGATGGAACTCGATCTGGTTGATGGCAGGCGGGACCTTGGCCGTCTCGAGGACGGCGTCGAGATGCTCCTGGATGAAATTCGACACGCCGATCGACTTGGCCCTTCCCGAGGCCCGGATCGCCTCCATCTCGGCCCACTTGGCCTGCAGGATTTTGGGGTCCGTGGTGAAGAAGGGCGAGTGGATCAGGTACAGGTCCACGTAGTCCAGGCCGAGCCGGGCCAGGGACGCAGAGAAGTTCTCCTCGAGCGGTTTGTCTGCCCTTGCGGTGGCCTTGGTCGTGATGAAGAGATCCTCGCGCGGGACGCTCGAGGCCTTGACGGCGGCTCCGAGCTCGGCTTCATTGCCGTAGGCTGGGGGGTGGGTTCTGGAATCAGCACTGTCTGCTGCATGCCTTTTTCTATTCCTTACTACAGGTGTGTACTTACCTTCAGCGCCGTCGAGATGCGTGAAGCCAGCTTTGAGGGCCTTCACCGTTATATTGACCAGACCCTCATCGAACTCTTTGCGGCCTTTTTTGCCATTGGCAGTGCCCAGCCCATAAGCGACCTGTGCCTCACACGTTAACATCGCGCAGGGTACTGGTAAGGTGGTATCAAAGTGTCCCATAGACTTACCACTGGAATTGTGTTGCCGTCGTTTAAGGTCAGGCTTGGGAAGCCCTTGGGGGAGGCCATCACTGCATCCTGCAGAGGCTGCTGCTGCTGCTGTTGCGCCTGCAATGCAACGACAGCAGACGCAAAGAGAGCTGGCAGAATATTGACGGAGGCGCGCAAGATCATGATTGCTACACGTAGAAGAAAGAAACTCGAGAATTGTCTGTAATTCTGTTCACAATGCCGACGACCAAGTAGCTTTGCAGCCTAATTTGACGCAAGTGTTTCGTAATGATGATTGATTTCGATGTTGACGCTATGGGGCACATGAAGCACGTCTGCCGGTGACGTGATCGACCCTGATGTCGCCTCAGCGGATTTTACCCGCTGCATCTCGGCATTCATGGGACGAATTTCCCCACCCACCGCCAGAGTGACAATTGGGCAAAACATGAAACAGAATTCATGTATCTAAGTAGGACAAATACATATTTTGGCTTTTCCAAAGACAGGCAGTCTGATGTCAACGCTGCAAAATGGACAATCATACTCTGTTTGAGTGCAGCATAGCCACAGTCTCGATTGGGCATCTCAAGCTGAGCGCCCTTTTCCCGCACTCCGCACAAATGGCTCCAAAGGCAAGATCTCCTTCTCGGGGGTCACCCCGCCATAGATTTGGTCCCACCTCCACTGGATAGCCTCTGGCGTCTTCCACGCATATTCTGGGTCCCGCAACCAGAGTCGGAGTAGGTGTCGACTTGTGCTTTATATCAGATACAGAATGTTTTCAACAGTATTGATTGAAGAGGGGGAAAAAGAGGAGACATAATTACCGCTTTTCGTTGCTGTCAACGAACCCATCTCTGGCATGAAACAGGGCAACGTTATTTACATATTGGATATCGCCCTTGGCAAAGTGCGTATTGACGCAGAACTTGTCGCCCAGGAAATGCAGCGCGTCCAGAGCTTCGGCCTGGGCCTCGGTGATGGGAGGGATCTCGGGATTTCGGGGCAGCTGGCCGAAGCCCACAAAGTAACGGCGTGCATACTGCAGGCTGACCCGCTCGGGGGTCTTGTCTGTGGCCGGATGGTGGAACATGAGAGGTCGTGGGGTGAACTTCTGTTTGGCGTCCTTTTCGAATCTGGCACACGGCAACCGGATCATCCATCATCAGCACAGCAAGAAACCAACAAGACACTCGACAGTGTAGTCCATCAGAGGAAAGAAAGAAAGAAAGAGAAACATAGGTCTTACACCTCCATATCCCAAGGCTGAGTCAGAGTATGTATGAGATCAGGCCTCTTCGAAGCCAGCTCGTTATACACCCGCCAGGTAGACGCCAGCTTGCTCGCCCCGCCCTCGACCGCCGTCTCCAGCGCAAACAGGCTCACGATATCCCCCGAGTCCGTGTGGAAGACCTGCTTGTCGGTCGTGTACGCCGGCGAGCCGATCTTACCCTCCATGCCGGCCAGATAACTCAGGTCCTTGATGTGCGTGAGGACCACGTCCGCAGGGCTGCCGTCCAGAGGGCTCCTGTGATCCTGGCGGCCGCGCTGGGCTGCGATGTGGGCGGACAGGCCCGTGTAGATGATGACGTTCTCCTCTCGGGTGTGGTCGTCTACGCGCACGCCGCGCAGGACGAAGAAACCGTGGCCAAAGTGCAGCTCGTGCGACAGGCGGCGCAGCTCGGCGTGCAGATTGGGGAGGGGGAAGGTCTCCTGGGTGACGTGCGAGATGGGCAGGTTGAGAGCTGTGGTGCGTGTGTGAGCAGAATGTTTCTTTCTTTCTCTTTATGGATATTTGATTGCAGATTTGCTCTTACACTTGAAATGCTGGACAGCCTCATCTATCTCGGCCAGCTGGTCTTCCTTGAGCACATAGGTCCAGTCGTATGTCTCGGCCAAGGTCTCACCCTCCCACACCATGTCTCCCGTCAGCTGGTCGGGGAATCCCTCTGGCACTGAGGTTGGGAGCTTTTCGGTCTGCAACCTCCGGGCTCCTCGAGCCTGGTACTTCTCATAGTCTGGAGCATATTGGATGTCCGGCTGGCCCGGTGGCGCGGCAGCCGTTGGCGTCAGGAATGAGGCCGAGACGGGATGTACAGCGGCTACAGTAGCCATGTCGCTCTGTCTACTACCAAGGACTGTCCAGCTGGGCGTTTGATAATGTCACGAAAGAAACTTTGATGGCTCCGACTTGTTTCTCTTCAGAGGATGATCATATATAGCACGTTTGTTATACATATATGTATGTGTGCTTGTCTCGTCTTGAGTTTGTGTCTGGTCTGCGTCATGCCGGACGGATATTACGCCATACATATGCTATGGTATCGCCGGGCGCCTTACGTGCGCCGTGAGGGGCAAGTCACCCGACGACTCGTGCAGCTACACTCTCCGTTTTACTACAGCGCCCCTCATGCCCCTCTCATATATGGAGACGAGGGCTGCATCCTGGTAGATATGCTAAGTATTGATCCATTCAGTGACGGGCTCAGCAGGCCATCATGCCTGTGCCCCGTTCTGCAAGCAGTTATTAGTCACTTATGCAGTGCAGTATCTACGCCGATTAAAGACGAGATGACTCGGGTTGGTCTACGACGAGCCGCATTCTTTGTTTCCTATTTCAATTGCTCCAAACTCAATGTTACATACTGTAGATACGTGCGATGAATAGTCGTGTAGAGCGCGCGCGGCCTTGCCCTAACGACATCCTTTTGAGGCTAAAATATGATGAGCATCGACGAGGCTTTCAGCACAGAAGTCCCTCAAAAATAAAACTGCAGGTCACCTGCCTTCATTTTGTGTTTGGCATGGAAAAAGTTGCTTTATTAACATTGTCGACGTTTTGAATCCTAGAGAGAAGAGGCAATCTTGAATACGTCTGGCTTGATGCGATTGCACAATGTGTTGTGTTGGACCACTGCATGTTAGGTCAGCGCTGGCATCAATAATCAATGGGATCGGGTCCGCTCAAAGAAGAAAAGGAAAAGAAGAAAATCATACATTTGTCTTGAAGGCGTGTCTATCTTCTTACTTCTAAGCACTAATCAGAGTATCGACTTGGAACTGTGTTGTTTGCATGACAAAGTCCAAATTGAGATGGGGGACCCCTGTGAGAAATTGGGCTGGCTTACATAATCTCACTCACACCTTAACGTCACGTCTGAATCTCACCATGGACAGAGTCAATAAGCGCCTTCCTTCACCTGCAACACGCCTACGAGACAAGATTTTCATCCACGAGCATTATGGCACTCGACCACTTTCTTTTACAATACAATGTCCTCATTTAGGTGATCCGTCATCTCACCTCGTCTCTCAAATCTTTTCTTTCTTCTTCTCTTCTTTCTCTTCAGGTGGGGACGGAGGGCAACCGTCTGAAGATGAAGGTGAAGTCTTTTCCACGCCTTCGCCCTCACCTACGCCATGTCCACATCCCCGACCTGCCGCCCCTCTATGCACCCAGATTCATACCTGCAAATATTCGCGACTATCTCGAGTCCCAGATTCTACAGCAGCGCCAGACAGCAGAACAGGACTCCGATGCTGGCGCCTCCCCTGACCCGAACTCGATACTGAGGGACTACGAGAGCCAGAGGACCTGGCTCAGGAAAGCCAGTCCGCCCCCAACGGTCCTCTCCTTCACACGCCGACCTACCTACATCTTGCCGAAATCCATCCTCGAACCACAAAGCTCATCAGCGGTGAACCGCGTGACCGAGAGCCTGAGGAACCAGATTCGCATCACCTTCCCAGAGCCGCCTGGGTGGCAGTCAACACCATGGAGGCCTTTGTGGGACATGGACAAGGAAGAACAGGAGCTGACACACAATCCACTCGATCACGAGTGGGATCCTAGCGTCGCCATCATGCCGTGCGCCGAGCCCATGTTCTTCGGACCTGGTCAGCTGTCCCTCTGGCCTGTCATCGACGTGCAGGATCAGATCCAAGCGACGAGCCCGATCCTGACCAGGGATGAGTTCGTGCGTATTCTTGAGAGAACCACCATTAAGGTCCTCCGGCGGAACTATGGCATTAAATCTTTTGCCATTCCTGGATCCCCGGGCGTCTGGGTGGAATCGGCCCTTCCATCATGCTCAGAGAGGTCAGACTTGAATGGTCATTCCAAGAGGACAGCACCACAGAGGAATGAAAATATACGCAGGATAGCCACAATCCACGCTGAAATCGTCAACAACATCACACGCTTCGGTACTTCCATCCACGTGGGCCAGCCCTGGCCTGCCGCCGACGCCTCCAAAGATATGAATAACCCTTGGGCTCGCCTGGGACAGGCCGATATCACAACCAGCATTGCCGCGGAGCTGGCGCACATGAACCCCCGCCCGCAGCTCTTCTGTCTCAAGCAAGAGACCATCCTCGAGCAGGATGAGAATGGGGAAGAAAAGAAGCAGTGGATGCCGTGGAACAACCTAACGACGTTGTTCAGCGACGAGGCGGTAGACGGCGTAGAAGCTACGCCTTACAGTCAGGTCCTCTTACGGCCCGGTCTGACGCAGCCGGCACCCATGGGTTTGGACAACCGGGACCTCTCTGCCTCCTGGGCATGCGCGTTCGCACGCCAGCTTGGCATGCGTCACGGCGTTGTCGACTACCTCAGTATTGTGCAGCCCGGCAGTGGGTTGAAGACTAACTTGACCACTAGCGACCGAGACGTCGGATTTACTTCGAGGGCCGTTGGTGAAGGATTCTGGCATAACGCACCATCTGATCAGGTGGAAGTCCCCACAATACAACTGAAAGAAAACGAGCTAGTCAAGCAGCAGATGATCCAAGACACATTGCGCGTGGCATCCAAAGACTCGCAACTCGTACCTAGCATTGCAGAACCCATAGCGGTTTCGTGGCCGATGTACTACAAAGAGCTGACAAGAATTCTCGATTTGTCCATCAGGGGCAATTTGTTGGACACACGGCTCAGGCAATTGGTGCAGGAAGAGCTTGAAGACATGAAAGTGAAGAAGACAAGGAAGCCGTTGACGGAAAGCATGACCATGGTGCAGAGTATGGCCGAACTCCGGAGACAAAGGGCTGTTCAACTTCCCCGTGCCTATACGGATACAATTGGTGTGCCCGACATAGCCATCACTCGTGAAACCTACGCCATAGCGAGGTACACCCAAGCAACAAACACTCGCTAGGCCGCGGAAGCCTAGTCTCACCAGGACTGGCCGGCGCCCACGCCTTTAAAAGTGGACAGAATGGCTAGTTCAAGATAAAGCGAATGGTCTCTTGCTGGGATTTTCGGAACTTCTGTCGCCCTTACATACTTGATCACCGGCAGTCGGGCAGAGAATCTCGCACGGACATGCAAGCCGGTCTCGTCATCTTGTCCTGGCCTATTTGTATCCCAGACAAGGCGCTATTACGCCAGGAAACGATTTCAATAGGACGATATCTCCCACATAAACACGCAGATTCTCAGACAAATGCCCCTCGTTACGCGTAGCGTGTTACGAGCCCATCTTGATGCATCAAGATGACGAAGCTGTCATAGAACACTCGTCCAAGATAATGCTAGGGGCTGCTGGAGGAGTGATCAGCATAATCAAGACGCGAAAAGAAAGAAGAGGAGAGGGGAGGGGGGGAAAAGGCAATGTTGATTGCATCACCTAGGATTTGCATGAGCACATCAGCTAGCTGGCCCTTGATGCACGCAGTATTGTCAAAAGAACTCATATAAGTAGATATACAAAACATAATGATCACGTCTCATTGCAGTTGTGGATGTTGAGCATGCTCAGTCTTGACTTCTTTGATACTTTTGCTCCAGGGTATGGTTGGCACCCTATGCATTGTGTTCAGCATTGCAGGAATTCTCGTCTCTGAAGGTTGACAGCTTGTGAGACAGTTTAATACACTGGCTAATTTGGTGGGAAAATAGCATAGACTGGGCAAGGGGCATCAATCGATAAAATTTGTTACAATAAACTTTGAGGTCTTTGCGAAATATACTGGGACATGCAACTTTGAAGTCGGGGCTCTGACAGGACTGGTTGCTGATTTTGTTGAAGAAATCATGGAGCATGTAATGGAGATACGCGTTGGGCAGACACAAGAACAGCTTATGGGGGAGAGAGCTCCCAAAGCTTCATGCATCTCTGTTGACACTTTCCTTTCCTGCTGCCTTGTGTGAAGCACCCCCTTTCTGAACCACCACTTTTTGTGCAGACACGACTGACACTGCAGCAGCAGAACGCGCTCTCGACTTCGATGCCCAATACCAACAACATCTTTTGACGTGTTTGGTCCTCCCACCACCTGGTCAACCAAAAGCAACCAGCATACTTCAGAGCACTTCTTTCTCCTCTCGGGCTTCCACAACAACGCGTCAACCTTCTCTAGGAGACTATTCTCGAGAGCGCCCCACCAATTCATCGACCTGCGAAGAGAATTTTCTTGAGACGATCTGATCAATGCATTGATCTTCCCAAAAGAGTGGTTTTGAAAAAGACGCCATCATCTCAGTGATCTGCTCAGAAGTAAAAACTTCAACAACCCCGTCATTGTCACATCTCTGCAGCTCATTGATGCCAGTTCACCATTCTTCACAGCCTTCATTAACCCCATTCCCTCCTTGACCCTCGTCAAGCAGCCCTCAAGATGGCTTACACTGGCAATATCATCGGTGCCATGGTGACGTTCATCATCGTGAACCTCATTGCCGTCTCCATGCGCATGTACGTTCGTCTTTGGCTGGTCAAGGCCTTTGGCCTCGATGATTTCTTCCTCCTTCTCTCCTTCGTGAGTCTTTCTCTCTACCGCGCCTTCATTCGTTCGCAAGACAAGGCGACAACATCCACCAATCAAGCCTCAGCAAAGGTGATGTTTTAAGTTTTGCAAAGCTGACGATGGGTTTCACCCTCTCGTTCCTTCACAGCTGGGCTACATCACGGCCTGCATCATGGGCTTCGTGTCCATCCACTATGGATTTGCCGAGGACGTCTACCGTCCCTGGTTCGACTACGGTGTCATGATGAAGGTAATGCCGTTTGCTGCCCCAAGAAACACATCCCAGTCGCGTCCACTTTCATACCACCTCCTTCAGACGAAGTGATGTTGCTAATGATGATGACGACCACAAACACTACACGATCTTGCAAACATTGGCTGACTGAACCTTGCAACACAAAAATGATAGTTCTACTGGGCCAACCAGTTGATGCTGTACATCTCGTCTGGGCTCGTCAAGATCGCCGTGGCTCTCGTCCTGTACCGTCTGGCCTGCAACCTCAAGAACCAAGCCATCCTCGTCATCTCCATCATCGTCGTCATCATCTGGACCTTCCTCACGACCATCTTCTCGTCCGACGTCTGCGCTGAGACCACCGGTGCTACGAGCTATGCCGGCGACCAGACCTGCACCGACGTCGGCTACTTCCGCATGATCTCCAACATTGTCATCGACTTCTTTTTTGCCCTGTACCCAATCCCCATGCTGTGGAACTCTACCCTCAGCCAGCGCATGAAGTACATTGTCTGCGGCCTGTTGAGTCTGGGCTTGATGTAAGTATCAGCTGGTTGTACCCTTCCTCCACAATCTCCTCAGGATAAAACCCAAGCAGGCAAACCTTGCTAACATCGTCGGCCTCACAGTGCCAGCGCCGCCACCATCGCCAAGCTCATCATCCTGGTGCAGCTGCAGTTCGCCACGCCCGACGAGCTCCCCTTCCTACACTACCAGCTCCTGGTCTGGGCCGACGTCGAGCTGGGCCTCAGCATCCTCGCCGCCTCGGCCGCCGCCCTGCGCCCCCTCGTGCGCATCCTGACCGGCCACACCTCCTCAGGCCAGTTCAGCTCCTCCCGCACCCCAGCTGGCTTCCACGCCGCCGCCGTCGCCGCCGCCGCCGCCGACCAGGAGGCTGCTCGCCGAGCCCTGCACCCAGATGAGGAGCAGCCCAAGCAGCAGCAGCAGCAGCACGGCATGATGCCCTTCGGACCAGTTCGGCCTCCCCCTGCCGTCGTGGCTGGTGGTGGCAAGGGACCCGGCGGCATTGGCGGCTTTCTCCCTTCTGAGGAACACGAGATGCACAGCCTGCCCCTGTACCATCGTGGTGGCGACGATGGTGACCTCGAGGCTGGTGAGCATGACCGCCAGCTTTCTCCTGGTCCGTTGGTTGCTCACTCCGATACTACCCTCGTCACTGCCTAGGTGGAGGTTATTGTGAAGCCTTCTTTGATCAAGACTTTACACATGGGCGTGTTCATACCAATGACACACTTCCGCGTCTTCTTCCTCGCCCTCTCAAATGATAGCGTGATAGCAAAGAAAGGTGACGAGGGCAGTTGGGCCTGGTGGTGAGTTTACAGTGAACACTTTTTGCAAATGATCTGCGATTCGGGACGTGGACGGGGTTTCTGTTTCTGTTCTGGCTTCAAAGTCCACGAGCGATAATGAGGCGGAAGTGTTCTTTTTTCCTTTTACTTTTGCACTATTTCCCCTGGCAAACCTTCGTCTTCACGCCTTCACTACCCACGAATCTGCTCACATGCAGCCCTCACAGTGGGAATACGTGCAGTTTCTCTTGTGCGTGGACAATGATTTGGGCTCACCAGAAGCGGGGGCGGGGGCCAGAATGGAATGAGCAATTATGGAAGCAGGATGATTTGAAGATCGCAGGGAAGGTCAGCTTTTCTCGGACTCTCTGTGGCCATTTTGATCGTCAAGGAGGATTGCGGGTAGCTCGGCTGAAATCAACCAAACTTTCATGATGACCTGACATGTGTCCACCTCAGCCGAAAGCTTCTTATATGGTATTCTTGTTGTGAGGAGCGATGAGTGCTGACAGGGGGATTCTTTGCTACATTTCGCTGCCCCGTTTTTCAAGTATCTACGTCAGCAAGACGCTGTCGCCATGAAAACCAGCTGCGTGTTGTGGGCTTTGATTTCTGAATATCAGTCAATTCGCATAGAACAACAAGATGCACAAGGGAGCTTGTTCTTCTCAAGCCATCTCTCTGAGAACAGCATATGGGCAGTATCTTAGGAATGGGGGCCAGACCAACCAGGAGGGTTGGTCGTGTAAGTGAGTGGGCCCAAGGTCAGCCCGCTTGACCAGAGGAAGACTGCTGCTGACAGGGGTAACTGTACATACGCATCGAGACGCGCACGCACACCATCTATCTGGCTTACTCAGATGGCCTGGGCCGCAGCGGCCATCTCATATAATCCAGTCGACCTGAGTATCGTACATACACACACGTCGAGCTAGAGCGGCGATGCGAGGTGAAGGGAAAGCTTGAGGATCTGCGATTGCAATAGTATCAAGCCATGCCGGACTTTGATAGTATTCAGCAACAAATATCCCGGGCGACAGCAGCAGCAGCAGCAGCAATAAAAAAAAAACAGAAAATCAAAGCCCGCCTCTAGGATGGAACCATGCAAAGAGAACGATTGCAAGGAGTGAAAGAGAGAATAGCTTCCGTGGAGCTTTTTTTTTAGGAAAGAAGAAGAAGAAGAAGAAGAAGAAGAAGAAGAAGCAAAAATCCCGTCTGAAGACTCAATGAACCCGTTCCCTGCGCCTTTCCCCGTGAGACCATGGCTCATGTTCATGTAGCGTTGGGTATCATCAAGAAATTGCCATCCAGCCATATGCAATATGCAACCCATCCATATATCATCCTAGTCATACAAGGCCACCAAGACGTTCTTCTCAAAAGAACCGAGGTAGACCGTTTCATCCAACTCTTGGAGATTTTCGTCTCTTTCTAAGTCGAAGGGCAACCATTCGCCGAAGTGCCGACGCAGCACGTAGCAGCCCCCGAAGTGCACTTGCCCTCGCTGTTGGCACCGTTGTCATTGGGGAACGTGTACGCCTTGCCGGCGCAGGGGGCGAAAAAGGGGCTGGCGGACGTCGCGCTGCCGCTCGCCTCGTTGGTCGGGTTCTGGCAGGCGCCCGCCGCCTGGATGTCCGTCTCGCCGTCCTGGCCGCATGTGCCCACCGAAAACAAATCCGTGCTGCAGCCCGAAAGGAAGCTGTTGTCGTCGTTGCAGGTGCAGGTGATGGGGACGGTGTAGCCGTTGCTGTGAAGCCGAGTCAGCTTAATGAGGTCATTTGATTTGTCAAGGGACAAGAAGAGGTTTCTTACACGTAGGACACATCAATATCCATCATGTAGGTACCGCTGACCTGCGTCAGACCGGGCTCGATAAGAGACGGGACATCCATCTCGCTATATTTGGCCAGTCCAAAGGCGACATTGCCGTTCCAGTTCTGCGGCGCCACGATGGTCGCCTGAGAGTTGGCGGCTAGTGTGCCCGTGCCTCCGCCCGACACGAGAGTTGCATCTCCGCCGTTGCTGGCTACCGAAGTGCTGAGGTCCTCGCCCATGCTGTTGACGATGGTGACGGTGATTTGTTGCAGATCGCGCTTGTTCGCAAAGGGAGCTGGCGTAATCTTTGCGCCGGGAGCATTGGGAATAGCCGCCACCAGGGCAGCGACCAGAGGGAGTGAAAGAATAGAGAGTTGCATGTTGAATTTTATAAGAAAGAGAAAGAAAGAAAGAAAGAAAGTTCCAAAGAAGGTCGAAAAGTAGAAAGCAATGGATGAAAAGTGTTCGTCAAGAACGTGGAGAAAAGAAATCTGTCAGTTGTGGGTTGACTGACGCAACTGAACAAGAGTGACGACTGTCGTGAAGACGTTATATACTCGTGAAAGAAAGAACTCGAGCCAGGGAATAAGGAACGTGTCGAAGAGAAACAAGAGTATTTCCGAAAGACAGGCAATGAGAGTGTGTTCGTGGATGGCCATCTCGACTGGCGACCGACCCAGGGGCCATGGCCATGATATTCCATTTCGCACCCCTCAAAACCAACATGATGCAAGTAATCAGCTTACATCGAGTCGTCGTGCCCTGCAATGAAAGTGCCTGAGGCCCACAAAAATAGAACTCAGATGAATAACTAAGCGTGGAAAATGCTGATGTAGGTGAGTGAAAGAGGCGGGCGGCCTAGAAATAGACCTGGCCCAGAGTCTGTCGTCGCTTGAAAGGGTCGCCTTCAAACAATAAGCACTATAGCCATGAGCTTCAGGAGACGGTCTGGACGCGTATCGGTCCCGAGAACTAATTGAGTCATCGACTTTAAAAATGGCGCTGAGGATACTCGTCCCAGGTAGCTGGCTCGTTTTTGGTAAGTGATCTCCTGCAGTCAGGTCAGCTTGCGCCATCTGTTTATGAGAGATCTAAGCGACAAAGGATGAAGGCATTCGAAGCCTCTAATGCAGGTACAGGGAACATTACGGCCCGTAAGCAGACCACGGCACTGTAGCAAAACAAAAAACGCCGAGCAGGACTGCCGTGCATATTTCCAAACTGTGTACATCCCACGACAAAATAGTTCTAGGTGGCCCGATTTGATCATGCACATGGTAAAACGTCAAGACTCCGAATAAGAGGACGATTGGCGAGGGAGATCGGTGAGCTTCAGCACCGTTCTCTTTGCACGCGCAATGGATGCTAAATAGGATTCGTTGGTATTCGATCGATAGTAGATGGCCAAAACTCCATTCTATGCTCTTATGAGACAACCAAAGAAAAGAAGGGAAAAAAAGGGAGGCCACATGTCGCCCTCTTCCGAGGGCAGGTAGGCCCTTCGTGGCGGCGGTGTTGTCGGTTAGGACAAACCACAGATCTGACAGATGCAAATCTTCACGTGGCGCCCAGGGACCCTAAGGCACGGCGCAGCTCTCTGACAGCCGTCGGCACATCTTCGAAGTTAAGTGCAGATATTGCCCATCGCGCATGCTTTTGGGCCTGCGCCATAGCCATGTCATCGGTCACAAAATTGCCAGTGACCTGCTGGGGCACCTGATTAAACCCTCCAGGGGCGGAGGAGGCTACATTAGAGCCCGCCGGGTTGGTCGATGGAGGGGCGACAGGTCGAGAAACATTGGCCGGCGTGGCTATATTTGTAAAGGCCGAGGTTGAAGGGGGCGAGATAGGCGAAGGCGCAATTGCCGCACTCGGCGGGTGAGATGTCGAAAACGTGGTACTAGGGTTTGCGGGTGGTGCCGATGGGCCTGGTGGGGGCGAGAGAGCTGATACAGCTGGAGGGGCCGCCTCTGACCAGCTTGGAGATGCCGATGTAGCATCCAAGCCTGGTGTGTCTGTCACTTCATCCTGCGCCGGGGGTGAGATGGGAGAGGGTAGGGTGGGCGGAGAGTCAAAGTAGCCTGGTTGAGGGGCCGACGGTGCTGTGTCATCTCCATACCCAGGCGCACTGGGGAGTCTCAACTCTCCGTCGTCTGGCACAGATGGAGGCACAGGTGCGGTGTCAGGGCTTTGCGGTAGTGACACGCCTCTAGAATCTCGCCCGATATCTGTGTCTGGCACATCCTCAACCGTCGCTGGCTTTGGTATGTTGGTTGAGGTGCCCGGACTGGCTAGGCTGTGAACCTCGGGGTCCGTGGGATCCAGGGTCAGCTGCTGCTGGGCAGGCAGATCCTCCTTCTTTGGATTTGTTTCGTTTGGATCCTTTCCTTCCTTTATAGCCTTGGTAATACGGGCTGCGTTCCATTTGGCGTATTTGATCTTCTGCTGTGTCTCGTTGTCTGGCGGTCCCCAGATGTTGACCAGGTTGAAAAAGGTCAAAGCGGCATCAAAGGTGCTCGCGGTCTGCAGGGTGACCTTGTTGGCCTTGATGACTCGTTCTGCTCTGTCCAGAGTCTCTTGGGCAAACTGTTCGACGTACGCCTGGGCCGCGGTATCGTCCGTGATAGCATCCTCGCTTGGGTATTCCTGCTTGGTCTGTCGGCCGGACGACCATCAGTATGAGGTTTCAACCTGGCCACAAATCCTTCTGGAGGCAGGCGAGGGGGAAAAAGTACCTTCTCCAGCTTGTCCATCAAAGCCGTTGTATAGTTGAGTATATGTGCATCGCTGCTGTGGAGATTCCTCGCTAGTATCTGGTTGACGACCCAGTATTCGCCTGCATCCAGTCAGCCCCCGCCCTCCATTGGTCCTATGTTGAATTGAAGGAGTACATACACCAGTATGCGATGATTGGCTTGACGGTCTGCAGCTGAGAACCTCTCGTCGCCGCCTTGTAGAGGTTAATGTCGGCGCCCTTCAAGGCCTGAGGCACCGCGTCTGCCATGTCTGCGATATGTGTCGAGGATCACTTTTCGCTTTGGGGTTACGCTGACTTAAGATCCGTGGCGCTCAAAGGTGACGAAGGCTGACAACGCGAGATGGCGATCCGGAAACGCGAGGAAAAGTGGCCCAGGACTGAGTGACTGACGGTGGTGGTGCTTGCGACGAGAAGTAGGATATTCAAGGCAGCTATCTTGGGCGGGCAGTTGCGGCAGCTCTTGGCAGGCGCATGCTGTGACGCCACAATCATCTGCTTCTCACAGCACCCATGGAGCTACTACATAGTACTGGGAACCCCTCACTGCAGGGGGCTCCCCCCTGAACCCCTCCACTTTCAAGGCCACTAGAAGCTCAGAGCCACAGGTGGCTCAAGCTCGGACTTAGCGCCTACTTTACCCCAGATCAGCGTTGCATTGGGCCACCGCTTAGGGAAGGAAGCTTGTGTCCCGCCCTCGCATGTCACAAAGCCAAACACGAGAATGGATCTGAATTGGGATTCCAACCACGCTGGCCTTTTCCAACAACGGCACGCCACCTTCTTCTCCTCGCGACAGCAGCAAAAGTCCGTCTCACCCTCACTTCTAAGGATCTGTCAACAACTACCCAAAACCTGATTGCCATTTGTCCTTTTCTCTTCTTGAGACACCTGGCTTTTCTGGACATGTCTCTCCGTATCCCTTGAAGTGTCCTTCCAGGCCTCGTTTCGAATCTCTGCATCGCAAGGAACTGCCCCTCCATATCTACAAGCAACCGATCCCTTCGAACTACTTGCGAAAATCCGTTTCCATAAATCGACTGCGATCATGCATTGCACCGCCCTTTCTACCGCTGCGGCGGTCGTGCTGGCCGTTGCACCGGTTGTCAACGCCAGCCTGTATCTCAAGAGCTCGCCTGTGCTGCAGGTCGACTCCAAGAACTACGACAGCCTGATCGCCAATTCGAATCACACCTCGGTAAGAAGAACTCACCATATCTGCTTCATGAACGACAACCTGCCTCCGGCACTGTGGCCTTTATTGCCTTCCTAGGGTATTTCATAAGCTAACACGCAACACCGTCCCACCTCCCCAGGTCGTCGAATTCTATGCCCCCTGGTGCGGTCACTGTCAAAATCTGAAGCCCGCATACGAGAAAGCCGCCAAAAACCTCGAGGGCCTGGCTAAGGTGGCCGCTGTCAACTGTGATGACGATGCCAACAAGCCGCTCTGCGGCCAGTTTGGTGTCCAGGGCTTTCCCACCCTGAAGATAGTCCGCCCTGGCTCCAAGAAGGGCAAACCGGTTGTGGAGGACTATCAGGGCCAGCGTTCGGCTAAGGCTATTGTGGAAGCGGTCGTGGACAAGATCAACAACCATGTCAAGCGGGTCAACGACAAGGATATCGACGAATTTCTGTCAACCAAGAATGAGTCTGCCAAGGCGCTTTTGTTCACCGAGAAGGGTGTTACGAGCGCATTGCTGAAGAGCATTGCCATTGATTTCTTGGATGTCATTACGGTGGGCCAGGTTCGGAATACCCAGAAGGATGCAGTGGACATGTTTGGCATTGAGAAGTTCCCAACCTTGGTTCTATTACCTGGTGGCGACAAGGACGGCATTGTCTACGATGGTGAACTCAAGAAGGACGCCATGGTCGCATTCCTGTCCCAGGCCGCGCCACCCAACCCTGACCCCGCCCCGAAGAAGCCAAGGACCAAGAGCTCGACACCCAAGAAGCCCGCTACCGCATCAGATGCCGAGCCCTCTGGGGAGGCCGAGGAGAAGGTCACCGAACCCGTTGACGACGCCAACATCCAGAAGCCTGTTGTGTTTGAGGGTCCCCTGCCGATTGCGATCATCAACGAGGGAGAAAAGCTTTCAAAGAACTGCCTCTCATCGAAGTCGCACACGTGCCTTCTTGCCTTTGTTTCCAAGGAGAATCGCGATCCTGCCGCCGAGACCGCCCTCGCCTCGCTTGCGGAGCTGTCCCACAAGCACGCCCAGAGTAAGCGGAAGCTATTCCCCATGTACGAGGTCCATCTCGAGGACGACCACTCGGCAGACCTGCTCAAGGCCCTCGACCTTTCCCAAGGTGAGACGCACGTGGTGGCGATAAATGCGCGCCGCAACTGGTGGAGATTATACGAGGGCGAGGATTACGGCCACGAGGGAATCGAGCGCTGGATTGATCAAATCCGGATGAGCGAAGGTGTCAAGCATAAGCTTCCGGCTGGCATCGTGGTCGAGGTCGAGCAGGCGGCCAAGTCGGCTACTGAGGCAACTCCTGAGGCGTCGTCCGAGCCTACCCCTGAGGCGACCGAAAGTGAGACCGCTGACACCACGACCGCCGCACCTGAGGCTGAGATCACCCCTGATGCCGAGAGTATTTCGGATAGCACTACCGAGGAGCCGGAGACACCTCAGAGCGGTGCGGATCCCACTGTGCAAGAGGAGACCGCAGCGGAGAAGCCGACGAATGAAGCTCACGCCAAGGATGAGCTCTGAACGATTTCCTTCTGGTGGGTTCATGTAGGTTAGCAGGCGTATGGAATCGTTGCTTTTTGGGGGCTTGTCACGATTGAAAGGGCATCGTAAATGAGTATAATGAGTGACCAAGAGAAAATATCAAGGCTGCCTTCTCACCTGTCAATTGTCCTGATGGCAAAATATGGGTATCGTGTGATTTCTGGCATCTCGTCGTTCCTCGTGTTCGGATGTTGCCGAGGGTATCAGCCATCGACGTCCATGTCATCCAGTCCTGTACCCTTCTCAATGGCGCCCTCCCTGATCATCCTCGCGCCCTTCTCCCGCACCACGTTGTCTAGTATCGCCCGCACCTTCTTGCACCCATCCACGCCCACCGCTAACATGCCCTCCAACCTCCTGACCTGCACGCGACTCTCGCACACCAGCACCACAACCCTGTCACTCGTACCCAGCGTCGCGACCGTCAGGCTCGGGAGCTCCTGTTCCTCCTGGTGGTTGAGATCCAGCAGCGGATCGGCATCCTCATCATTGGCGGCGTATGTTGACGTAGATCCTGCCGTGCAGGCTGCTATGTAGTCCGTCATCGGTATGCCGGCGTCGATGGCGGCAAGCGTGCACGCGTTGAGCAGACATGCGAGAAGGCTGCCGTCCTGCGAGAGAACGTGTAGAGAGAATGTAATCGTGCTGTAGGGATAGAGGTGCGTGTGGAGAGTCGAGGAGAGCGCATGTGAGATTGTAGATTGCATCTCTGCGATTCGCCTGTAGCAATTGCCCCGTTAGCTCAAACTATTTTAGCTACTAAGCAATGCAAAGCAAAACTTACTTGTCATTCCGCCCTCTCCGCTTGCGGTCTACTGAGCTGAAGCCCGCGATCACGATGCTGACGGCCACCTCGGCCTCCTTTTCCTGCTCTGACCTCTGGCCCGCGCCACCTCCCCCGCCGCCGAGGGCGCGCCGTGCAGCTTGCTGGTCGGTGGGACCCGTCAGGACGCACATGACCTTCGTGTTGCCCATCTCCAGATAGCTGGAGCCGTCTGCAGCGGCCTGGGTGCGTATCTGGGCTTGACATCTGCGGAGCTCGTTCCAGCGGCGACCATCCACGCGGAGCAGCGCGAGGGAGTAGGAGGATGTATCGAGGGGCATTGTTGGGGATTGCTGATCGCTGTTTCTTGCTGATTGTTGCTTATGAGAGGAAATGGTGGTTTTTATCGGAGTTGGGCGACAGTGGTGTTGGCAAGATTTGCAGATGGTGGTGATTATTGTCCTCTCAGATTGTGGTTAATGTTGCGAGTTTGTTGCTGAATGAGGCTCAACATTGGCATGAGCTCCCCTAGAAGCACTGTAGGAATTTTTGGAGGGGCACAATGCAGGGATACCCAGCAGTGCTGGTTGTTGACAGGGGTGCCCATGCTGCCACCAGTACTCTACTGAGCTATGTACCTATGTAGATGATTATAATGACGTGCCACCTTTATACATTCAAACGAGGGGTTTGGATGGCTTTGTGCCTCTTTCTGTGTCAACCCATGCCCAATCTTTCAAGTCTGGCCTTCATGACTTCAAGACTCATCCCTTTCAAGCAGGCGACCTACTTAAGATCATTCTCCATTTACAAAATGCCAAACTCAGTCGACACAAGTCTGATACCACACCCCACTGGGGCTGCAGCCAAATACGCAGCCAAACATGAAGACGAACACCCTCTCAAGCTCTATGGCGGGTGGTTCTGCCCCTTTGTCCAGCGCTCATGGATTACTCTTCATGAAAAGAACATACCACACCAATACGTGGAGATCAACCCCTACCACAAAGCTCCCGAGTTCCTCGCACTCAACCCTCGGGGCTTAGTGCCCACGCTGGCGGTGCCCGTCGGCGGCGAAGGCAAGCAGCACAAGCCCCTGTACGAGAGCGTTGTGCTGTGTGAATATCTCGATGAGGCATACGTCGATGAGAAAGACCACGGCCCGAGGTTGCTGCCCGAGGATGTGTATGAGCGCGCGAGATGTCGGCTGTGGATCGACCACGTCTGCACCAAGATCGTACCAGGTTTCTATAAAATGATTCAACACACGCCAGACAAGGCCTACACCATTGAAGACGCCCGAAAGGAATTTCTGGGCAACATCAAGACGTGGGTCAAGGAGATGGATGCCAGGGGCCCGTGGTTCCTGGGTCCAAGGTTCAGCCTGGTCGACATCATGCTTGCACCGTGGGCCAAGCGGCTGTTCCTGATTGATCACTACAAGCCTGGAGGTGTTGGGATTCAGGAGGCAAAGAAATACGACCCAAAGACCTGGGAAAGATGGCAAACGTGGTACGAGGCGATACTCGACAGGCAGAGTCTGAGGGACACCGCGTCGTCGGATGACAAGTATATTGAGGCGTACAAGCGGTATGCTGAGGATACCACTGGCTCGCTGGTGGGCCAGGCAACTCGATCTGGAAACCGTCTACCATGAGATGACGGTCAAACTACTTGGTCACCTCGATATACATTCGGAATCAGAGGCTTTTAAGGGGGGGATTCTGTTTCTCTAAGATATGGGTATCATCCCTGCCGAAAACCAAAGTCTACTAAACGAAGACACCAAAAAAGAAAGAGAAATATTATCGAGTGCACCCAACACTCCCGAAGTGAAGAAGCCATACAGCGGCAATACAAAGTCAAACAATATTCCACAGATGACTCAAACCGCTTGACTACGACTCGTGAGTCGACATACTGTCCGCTGGTGCCGTCGACACATCCCCCGTGGCAAGCGTGATCACTGGCCAGCCCTCCCAGCCATGTTTGTCAAAACTCAGCTGATTAAATCCGAAGTATGTTCCCGTGTCGCCAACACTCAGGTCCGGCTTCCCTTTGTTTGCTGGCGTATAGTGATAGTACAGGACGACGCAGTGCAGCTCCTCACTGTACATCACGCCTTGTCCACCCGGCGCGTATACCGAGCCATGGCTGCCCAGCACAATCGTGCCGCCGTTCTGGGTCAAGCAGTTCCTCCCGTCTTGATCGAGGTACGGGCCAGCTGGGTGGTCGGCTCGGCACACCATGATCTTGTACTCGTCTCCTGGTGGCGGCACCCCTCGCGTCTGGAACTTGCAGCACTGCCCGCTGCTAAAGAAGAGATAGTACTTGGTCGGCGCGGAGCCGTCGGTCGGCCAGGCAAACTGGAAGCTGCCTTCTGTTGAGTGTCCGCCTGTCGAGTTGTACTCCAGGTGTGTCATCTCCTGCGCGGTTTCCTTGGCGTTCATATTGATCGGGCTATTCAGTGGCGTCTGATACAAGCCAGTGTAGTAGGATCCAAAGGAGAGGTAGTACTTGTCCTTAGCCCCGTCTGCGACGAGCAGCGAGGCGTCCAGGACATTGTACCCATCTGTCGACTTGTGATTCGCCAGCCTCTCGTTGTTCATCGGAATGTCCAGCTCTCCATGCAGCGTCCATGAGCCGTGCTCCATCGTCTTGGAGCTGGCCACATGGATATTTGCCGTATAGTACCAGTCCGGCGGCTTTCCGGTGTGCTGGGAATAGTACATGTAGTACGTCCCGTCGATCTCATACACCTGCGGGCCCACGACCGTCTGGGCTATGTCGAGCGCGCCCTCAGCCTCTCTTGTCCATGGCCCGTGGATGCTGTGTGCCGTGTGTACCGTGCCGTTCCCCATGGTGCCGAAGAGGAAGTAGGTCCCGTCTGATGACCGTCTGATGAGGGATGGGTCGCGAATACCCGTCACGGCGCCGCCTTTCATGGCCTGAGGATCCGGCCATGTCACTCCGAGTGCTGGCGTTGCGAGCAGCAGTGGCAATGCTGCTGCGAAGGTATATAGACTGAAGTGCATTTTCCGTGGTCCGAATTTGTGTTAGGTATTCTCAAGGAATGATTATCGCTCGATTTGCGAACAAATGGAAATAGAAAATTATGATCTTCAGGAATTGCTTGCTTGTCTGTACATTCTATTATCATCTCAAGAACAAACAGTTTGTAGAGATATGCACAATTATGTATTCTACGATAATTCTAACAACAACGAAGCTTTGACCAGACATGAAAAAAAATAGAAGGTTCATAAAGTCAATGTCCTGAATTAGAAACATTGAAAGGAAGAGTGTCTTTCTCAGTTGAAAGGAATAATATCTCATCATTGTGTGGATGAAAGGAAGGCTGTCCCGCCCTTGCCGGGCATGTGAGCATTCTCTCATTGTCTTCTTGTGAATGGGACTATCATGGCTTCTACATGTAGAAAGGCTGAGCGGCGTAATGAATTGTACTTTGGTGAAGGGTGAGTCAGCCAACATTTGCTGATGGAATTGAGAAGTAATTGACAAATCATGGGCCTGGTGGAGTAGGATATGGATGATCCTGTAGGCGTATCCGAAGAGTATAACTCAACTAGTATGTAAACTAATCAAGATGCAAATTTACCACTTCATTACCTGTGCAATTAAGTTTCTTGTGAAGCAGAAGCCATGGTTTTGATATCCAGTGAAGAATAAATCTTTTTGCCGGTTCACAAATTTAATTGAGTGAACTTGAAGAGCTCCTCTGCTTCCATAGTCGAGTCTGCGATGGGTGCCTCGACATACAGCGAGATCCTCAGCCTAACTGAGCAATATAACGGGCATTTCAGCTCTTCATTGAATTTTATGTTACTACATAAGAGAATTGTCCTCTGCTGTGCAGCTCAGAGGATCCAAAGATAGTATCAGCTGAGATTTTTGGTAATCCTTGAAGTGGGCCGTGATCTTCCAGATCAGCCTGACGGACCCAACTTTCGAGCTATAACCACCTACCCGGATAGTCCTGTGCCTGGACAAGAACCAGCTTCTATCTGTAGTAACTGCAGTAGATATGCGTACCCCCAAATATTCATTTCTTCTTCTTAATTCGCACGCCTACTTCATGACCATATATGGTGCGTCAGCGAGCATACTCAATATCTCAGAGCTCACGACATTTTTGATTTTCTGCTCTGAAGATACTGGATACATTTTTGTTGCAATTGTGCATATGGTTTATCCATGCGTTGGTCTAGAAATCCAGTGTCTACCTATCTCATTTCCGTTCTAGGAATTCTATGTTGTCATGGAATGCTAGCATCCAGGCTGAAGGCTGGAGCCATTGTGTCTCCCAATTCCTATTCCTACTTGACTGAGAACTCAGATGGCCCAGAACATTGAACCTCTCACAAGTGATACTCCTCGGGGCGTGAGACCCTCACTCCGCGCCTCGCCCAAGTGCCCTCGATGTTCATGTCTGCTGATCCACTGCGAGCCGGTCAGTCATGTGTTGCAGAAGAAAGTTACCAAAAGAACTCGCCACTTACTCATCCTTGAGATTAAAAGATGGCTCTGTCTGTCCCTCTTTGAGATTTGGGTTCCTGAAGATGATGTTCTTGGTCTGAAATAGAGAACGCGGTCAGCAAGACTCCTCTCTCTATCTGCGAGCTAAAAGCAGATTCCTACCAGCCCCAGGGTCAAATGTATCCCTGCCGGGTTGACCACAATCTCCTCAGTCGGCTCTTTGCCCTGGATCATGGCAGCCATGTTCCTCGTCAGGGCCGCTGCGTGGGGAGCCGCAGGACGTGCCGCCTTGTGGGCTCCAGTGTCGGCGATGTCGCCCACAGCGAAGAGATGGGGGTATAGCGGGTCGGCGAATTGCATGGTCGGCTTAACACGAATGAAGCCGTTCTTGGGGTTGATGAGGGAGTCTTCAGAGGAGCGCGGGAGGTCTGCGAGCCATTGGGTATTTGGCGTCTGGCCCGTGGCTGTAATCACAAACTCGGCGCTCAGAGCTCGTCCGTCCTGCAGCTCGACTGTGATGGGCTCGCCACCGCCAACAGGGAACCCGCCCTCGGGCACCTTAACTCGGGAGCCGCCCACGAAGCTATTGACGAGGTGATTAGTCGTGCTTTTGTGCAGCAGAGGGAGGTTGGGCGGGACGAACTTGATGCCAAGCTCTTTGAATCTGTCCTTGATTATCTCACTCAGCTTTTCGTTATATACGGGCATAATCTGGTCCCGTGAGTGGACCAGCGTGACTTCTTTGTCCGGGTAGATCTCCTTGAGATCACATGCCATTTGCACGCCTACTCCCAGTCAGCCATTATGCAAACAATATTACCAGAGCGAGAAAAAGAAGGGTTTGCCATACCGACAGCCCCGCCACCAATCAAGATGACAGACTTGGACTTCTTGATCGACTGGTTGAATTGTTTCAGGTACTCCACAGAGGGGTTCTTCTCATCCGAGGGCATGTTGCTAGGTGAGACCAGGCGTGTTCCTGTAGCGGCCACCAGGTAATCGAACGGGAGTTGCTTTGAGCCCTGCCATTCTCTATCAAGGGTGAGCTCCTTCGGCTTCAAGGAAACCACCTTGGCCTGGATGCGGGCATGCTGCTCCTTGTTTGGCACTTCCGCAAACGCACCCGAGTACGGAATGAAGGCTTTGTGCTCGTGGCCGGGCAGGATTGCAAAGCGTGGCTAGAATTTTTAGTTAGCATGTGCGGATAAATTCTAAAGCAGAAATGTTCCAAGAACTCACAAAAGCGAACAGGTGGTGGAAGTGGCTATGAGGATCAATGAGGAGCACCTGTAGAGGCACGCGTTAGAGATCTTGTCACATTGCGATATGGCTGCGACGCTGGCTTACGCGGTGCGTTGCTGGGAGGACGTTGGCAAGTTCTTTGGCGGTATTCTAGAAAGAATTACTGGTCAGCCAGCTGCTATGGACTATCCATAAGCGATTCAACTCACGACGCCAGTGTACGATCCACCAACTACAACGACATTACGCAAAGTAGAAGCCATACTGTTTTCCTTTGGCTGAAAATGCAGGGTTGAGAAATATGATACTAGAAAGGCAATGGCTAGAGCGACAATGGACGCCTTAAATAGTCACAGCTTCATGTCCGGTGACGGAGGGATTGTGCGCCGCAGGCGAGGCTGACTGATTGATTAGATTGATAAGATGACAGCAAGAAGAACAAGTGGCTGCTTTTTGTAATACTAGCAGGATTTTTAAGTCGACCACGGGCTTATAGGGCCACGGACTCGGTGCTCGGAGCTTTCGGCGAAAGGAGATCCACCCGGTCGGCAAGCGATCCGAGTTGCACGGAATTATAGCCGGAAGGTCGGAATTACGGGACAGCGCATTGCAGCAAGTTTGTCCTGGCCATAAAGTCAGTCTTGCCAGTGATTACGAAAGCAAGTGGATAAGTTATGTGTCTGTGAACCTTGCAGTATCCAACAAGGTGCACTCGCACATGCATATGGTGCGGCCCGAGATGTTCGGTGTTTTAAAGACCGATATTGACAGTATTTCAGCAGAGGTGCACCATAACAAGGGCAGAGGGTAGGGGATGGGTGACGACGCACTTTGGAACATACACTTCCATAATCAAAAGGTGCTGCTGGAGACGTGTAATTACGTGTAGTACCCATCCGACTAGGAAATCATCACACGCCTTGAGCATTGCTCTCTCTTTAGCTCAGAACTGCCCAGACCTAAGTCAAAGGATATTCCATCTACAATCCGATATTTGGACGCTGGGAACACGGTAAAAATACATTCAATGCATTCCTTCCATGGCCCTGTTCGACCTGACAAATTCCTGGGTAAAGATGCCCTCCGCTCCTGCAACGCCCGTTTTGCCATTCCCTAGTATCTCGTCATTCACTAACCCAATGGAACTTTACCAAGTCTTTATTCGAGAAGAAAAAAAAATGAGAAAAAAAGGTGCTCAGCTCGCTTTCCTTTGGGTTCAGAAGTAATTGCAAGGGATGCCAGGGCCGAGGTTCCAAGGGAAAAGGAGAGGAGAGCAGACGAGAGAAATAGAGGGAGATGGGGCAACATGAGTAAATGAAAATTCGGGTGTCCTTGGCTGCTTTGGCGACTTGAGACTCTATTCCATCCCATTGGTGCTCGCCCTGACCCTCGTCAACAATGGCCCATGAGGGCACTGCCACTGGAGTTGTCCCTATCACAAATGGAAAGAATATTATGATTATACTCCAAGGGTCGCTGCCCGGAACTCGGAACACGTAGAAAACCGTTGAAGATACGAATGCTAGAATTGACACCCAATGTGACTTTGGCGAGCAAGGTGTAGTCCTGCATGTTCTTAGGTTGCTACTCTTGAAGTTCTGTGCTAAGGAACTGAAAGGAAACCAAGTAGGATAGTTGGCAATGCTGAAGAATGTATATATCTGATTCTACTAGGTGCGCCTTCGTACCCAAGTTAGGCACAAACATGGCTGTGCAAGGGGCTGTGATAAAATGCAGAGCATAGATTACGCTTGTGCTCGAGGCGACGTCCATACTGATTGCATGAATTGATCGGGCTATTTCGATAAGGCTGGGCCAGCTTCACATTGAGAATGGCAGCATGCACTGTGGTTGAACAAAGAAATCAGAAACACACAAGATACTATCTGAATCGTTATTCCAGGATAAGTAAAGTAGTGTACGTAGCAGAGAGATGTAAGCATTAGGGAGGTGGAGGAAGGTTGCAGTTTTCGGTATGGAAAGCTCACTATGCAAGCGTCTGCTGCAAAGCAGATGACATCGGATGACAGCGGGTGAAGAGATGAGATGACAACTAACAAGAGACTGCAATTTCATGATAGTATGTAAGACAAGGTGAAGTTGCGCTATGGAGGCTGATGGGTAATACGCAGAACAACGTTGTTCAGGAGGTCCGACCTCATGCACTGTGACGTCGGTTATTTACTCCTAAAAAGTAAGCTGCTCAAGCTGTCTGAACCCTGAGTTTATGTTCTCAACATTTTTAAGTGACTTGTAACATAAGAGTTACATGCAAAAATGTGGTCAAGGAATTGAACCTGGATAATTGGACACACTGGGAATCGAACCCAGGACCACTCCCAACTTCGAAGCGAGTTGCTAAGGGAGTATTATACCACTAAACCATGCGCCCTGGTTTTGGATTGTTGACACCATCGTGAGCGCTGTAATTTAAGTAGCGGAGTGCGGGCTGTTGTGGGAGGAAGTGGACCCCAAGGCCGGAACAGCTTCAGCCCTAAGAGCATCTTGGTCAGTCAGCCACGCCTCGCGCTTTTCTTTCGTTCAAGTTCTTTCCTCACGCCCGAATAGTCATCGGCAAGCTATAGTGCTTTCTACCCATCCTATACATCCCTCTTGATTGGTTCTGGCACAGTGGCCCCCCAACAGTCCAACAGTTTCAGCTAACATGGACGCCGAGCTGCGTCTGATACACGCTCAGGTCCACGGTCTGGCCATTCGTCCTGGGTCTGTAATTCTGCGGTTCGTCCAGACGCAGTGGCAGACCCGCAACCACGTGGAGCTCATGACTCGGAACCAGAAAAGCGTCGCTTCGAAATGCCGTATGCAAGACCCATAATTCCTCAAACCTTTCGACACGGAGCCCACGTGCTTTAGTGTCCGAGCACATGCAGTCACTGTGTCAGGATCATCACACTTTTGGGATGGATAGACATTGTGCACGGCGATGGGACTGCGGGAAGCATCGTATATAGTAACTTGCGCTGAGAAGATTTGATGAAAATTTGTGAAGTGCAAGTTGTGTACCGTATATATCATGTGAAAATTTTATCTGGCTTCTGATTGATTTATGCCCGCACTTTTCTCCATGCCTGGGACTCTTTTGAGACTCTCAGCGTTGTGGGACTCATGTGTGGTGCCGAGCTGCATCATGTCGATCCGTCGTTGCCCCCTCGGTCCACAGTCGAAACAACAGACAACCTCGTCCAGGAGGGGACTTTTACAGGCTATGATCTCAATCTAGCACAGGTATCGGAATTGATTTGTGAGAATTGACCAATGTTCCTGAGTTGTCGACGAATTTCTTTGAGTTTGACGTAGAACTTCCTGCCGGGCATCTAATTACGCCATGAGGTTCCGTCGGACATTTCCTACTTTGATATTTACCTAATTTACATCTCGAATGCTTTTATACTTCTCGCAACGATCATTCCACTGCAGGGCAGCGGTCTCAATCCCAGGATGGACCACATAGTATCACCACTTGATGCGAGCACCGGGAATGCCACACTGGATGGCATCGCCGTCGCCTCGGGCGCAGCAACGCCGGCGCGAGTAGTGGAATGGGCCGTCCTTTTCATACTGGCCGTCGGCTTCACGACTCTGCGGACGTACGCACGAACGAGGATATCCGGAATCAAGGACTTGAGCTGGGATGACTGGCTCGTCTGGCTGGCCGTTCTGGCTTATGCGGGTCTTACTGTCGACGGTAAGAAGCTCTTGGAGTAGTCATTGTCCAGTGTGAATTGCTGATACTGGGAGTATGATTAGTGTTTATCATAGGGGTCGTCGCGGAAGGCTTATCCAACGATGGGATGTCGGAAGCACATCGAGCGGCACTGGCGCAGGATGGTCCAGCCAGCCAGGAGTTCCAACTGCGTGCGATCGGCTCGAAAGCACAAATTTCCAAGTGGTTCGTATACGGACTCACATTATGGCTTCTAAAGAGCTCTTTGCTCTATTTTTTCTCTGGTCGGCTTACTGTACGTCTGCATCCTATTTGCCATTAAATGAACCACCGACAAGAGAATCTGGCTACTTCCAAGCCCAGGTCAGAGCTCGGCTGACATGATTTACCAACGCAACAGTCAGAGATGCCCGGCGCCAAGTTGAGAGCCTGGCTCAGCGCGAGTCTCCTCTTCGTCACATGGGCTGCCACCACCGTGGCGGTCTTCTCAAGCTGCCGCCCCTTCACCAAGTTCTGGCAGATATTCCCAGATCCAGGAACCATGTGTCAAGCTGCGATCTCGCCCATCTTGGTCTCCGTGTTCCTGGTCTGCAACATCCTCACCGATGTCTACCTCATCTCCATCCCAGTCCCGGTACTCCTCAAGGCTCGCCTTAAAAAATCACAGAAGATCTCTTTGATCAGTCTATTCAGCTGCAATATTCTGATTACTGGGATTGCCATTCTGAGGGCTATTGTGATGCTAAAGGTACGTGGTCATAACCATGGTGAAGACTGATCTTTATTTGATTCTTAATTATGTGCTGACTGTGCCACTTGGACTGAATAGAATCCCATGGTCAATGGCGATGGCATGTGGGCCGTCCGCGAGGCCTTCGTTGCTCTAATCACCACGAACATTCCTCCCATTGCGCCGTTGCTGAGAAGATGGGTTTCCCGCTGGCTCGGAAGATCATCCAACAATACCACTGCCGCAGACCACACGCAGGACAAAGGGACAGATTTGGAAATACAACTCGGGCGGAAACTATCCATGGTCTCCAACAAGTCCCATGTGATCGCAGATGATACTGTGGCAGCCCATCGACAAAAGATTTTACAAGACGAAGAGCTGCCTGAACCCGAAAATGCCAAATTGAAGTCAAGAGGTTACCAGAATTGGGATCGTTCCTCCGTTGTGCATCGACAACACATCGACAGGGATCAGCAGTATTAAGGCTGATGGTTGCATTCAGACAGCGCAAGGGGAAAGGCACAAGCCCTTACAGATATCTTGAGTAATCTGAGAACGATCATTCATTTCGTCTTCCTGAATGTGTGGCTCTCATAAGAATTAACTTATATGAGCAAAATCCTCAAGGTATCGTCAAGATGGCCATTCTCATTTCTCTTTTGTGTCAGCTGCACATCAGACATCGTCCTTGCAGTCAGAATAGTCAAGTAATTAAGATAATGATAGCTTGTTGTTTCCAGCTATGAGAATTCTGACGGCCGTCCAAAGTCCCTTATTTAGGCCCGGCGATCCACCACTCCTTGGTAGCTATCTAGACCTCCTCTCTCTGAGCCCGAATCTTCATCCCTAAGTTGCACCTAAATAGACAATCGAGAGGTGAAGCTGAGCACCACAGTAACTCCATGGCAAGCTTTATCTGGCCGAAGCCACTGCTCTATGCTCAGCCTAAGCAAGACCTGGAGGACTCTGGACCTTGGTGCCCTTACCAGCCTTCCTCTGCACCTTCGCAAGCTCCTTGTACGCCTCCCAGGCACCATCTACAAGACAGTGGTCTTCCACATCCAGAATCTTCCTCTTCAGGTACCCCAGGAAGCCCCGTAGGCCAGCCGCAGGGCCCTTCCACTGCCGAGCCACGCCCTTGAGTCCAGCCGCGATCGGCCCCGTCTCGGGGGTCGCAAGAAACTCAGCGTCACGGACCATGCCAAAAGCCCGCAGCGTGTACAGCGCGTGGATCATCTCGACGGCACTACGGCGCGGGCGGATGACGAGACGGCGCGTGTCCTTCTCGTCGCCAGTCCACCAACAGGCGCGGTAGTTGCCCTTCTCAATGGCTTTGACCATGTTGTGGACGACATATTTGACGCCTGTGACGTTCACGCGGGTCATGCTGTCTGGGAGCATGATGTATCTGGCGCCGTCGGCAGTGGCAGCTGCATGGTCCTCTCGGTAGTATCTCTCCTTCAGAATCGGAGCGAAGTGGTCGAGGACAGCGAGGTTGACGTCGTCGAGAAGAATGTTGGGCATGTCGGTGGGGCCCCAAGCTATGGTGACGCTTTCTGTCTTCTGTAATAGCTGGCGACGGTCTTGGACCTTGCGCTTGGGAGCAGGCTTTGGCTTGGGTTGTTTCTGTTTGGGTCTACGAGGCGTGCCCATCAGCAACAGAGAAGCGACGTAATGGAATGGAATAGATGGGAAGGTGCTTATGTGCACAACTTACTCCTTCTTCATCTCGACCTCTTTCCGCGTTTGCACGTGGGTGGCGACAGGATTCTTGGCCATCTTCTCAGCCTCCTTCTGCGCAAGCATTTTGAGAGTGAACGCAGGGAGGGTGATGTTGGCGAATTTCTTTGTCAGAAGTTGCACATCTTCACGCTCGTTTTGGTTGCTTATGGCCATGGTGAGTGGAGGGGTATCACTCTTTGCAGTCTGCTGAGCTTCCTGCTGGATGTTGCTTCCTCTCATTGCGTCTGCTGTTGAAGGAAAGTGTTGTATAATGGAAAGAGTCAGATCAGACTTGAAGGTTCTCCTTTTGGCTTTTTGTTGAATGTCTGTTGGACCTGAGGTGTAAGTGAGGGAAATGGAAGAGTCGAGAATTGCATTTGCATGCAAGACTTTATAATTATATGTTGACAGGGAAAGATCGACTGTGGGAGAGAGCGTTTGGGCACGTGGAAGTGCGTCAGGAGGGGGGATCTACTCACTGTGATGTAGTAAGTGGGATGCTGAATTCAGGGTGGGGAGGGTGATTCGAATGGTTAGTTTCCTCGTTGATGCTGTGTAATTTAGAAGAAGTGAGAAGGCCACCCACTGTTTAAGTACTTGGACTTGGACTCCTAGGACTGCCTGTCAAGGCGTACCTGTGACGGACGTGCTATTGTGACGAGGACAATTGATCGTTTGTTGGCTGGCTAGCAGAGTTGACATGGTTATTGGATTTTTACTTCTCCGCAACCTGAATCAGAAGCGCTACAATGGGAGAGGTGAAATTGGCACAATGACGGTGATAACGTTAAGGAGCCTTCACTTAGAGCATAAGTCTCAGCTAGAATTTTCCGGCGTCCAATTGGGATATCCAAGTTAATTTTAATGAATTCTCTATATATCGTAATCTCAAATTTACCATTTTGCTCTGTTCTGTTCTGTTCTCTCACACACATATGTGTGAGAATTGTAGGTTTGGTTTGCATGTGATGAGAAAACAACTTTTCCTTACTCGTTCTCTGCAGTAAAAGTACCAACATTGATCAGCCTTTCCAAGTGACTCTCTTCTCCCTAAAAAGTCCGACCATCCCCATAGGGAGCAACCCACGATCAACAATGTTGAACCCCCCAAACTTCTCAACAATCTCGGGCCCATACATCTTGGCGATCCATTGCCAATACGGTGTCATGGCTTCCCAAGAGTCGCCTATTGGACCACTATGTTCACTTTGTTGTATCTGGCCAAGCGCATTGGAAATCCAACCACAGGACGCGATATTCAGCGCGCTATCCTCCGGCTCCTCCATGAGCTTATTGAAGACGGAGAACACGTCAAAGGGTTCACCTATCCTGTCGAACATAATGCACAGCACCTCACGGTATTGCGTGAACTGTTCAAAGCTCATAAATGTTCGTTGGTCGTGTTGAGACTCGGGCTTCCACTTGGAGTCATTATTGCGACCAAAAAGTTGCATGGGCTGAGTATCTGGGACCTCCGCTTCGAAACGCGACTTGAGTCGGTTGTAGGTGCTGCGCTCGGCTTCAAGCATCTTCTGAATCAGGCTTTCGTGGGAATCCAGGACCGCATCGCGTTTATACAGCAAAGAGATGAACGGTGACTGGAGTTCGAGACCTCCCAGGTCCGTTGGGAAGTAGAAGTACCCGTCAGGTATGTCGGTGATGCCAAACCGCTCTGTGATGGAGGTTTTGAGGTAGTCAATAATGCTCGAGGTTGCCTCAAAACCGCCACTGCCCTTGCCTGTAAAGATGCGACGCTGGATGTGCTGGTGTGCTGCAAGCATCGCATCCACATGGACCTGTCCGAAGCAGTTGGATGGTTTTCCAAGGTTGCTTGTTAGGAACGTCCCGACGTAGGTGTTCCAGGTCTGGATGAAAGCCAGGATGCTGTGCTGCTTCTCCATCAGCTGCTTACGGAGCTCGTCAATATGGACGTCGATCATGCTGGTGTCGACCTCGAACTGCCCTGTCTCTGGAGACAATACGAGGAAGCCCCATCGTATTTGCCCAGCGGGCAGTGCCTTGTCGAGCGGCTTGCCTTGGAGACCGTTGCCCGTGACCCGAGCGGCGCCGCACTTCTGGTAGTTGAGCGAAGTGCCTGTAATGAAGACAAAATTCTCCAAGGCCGTCCAAACCGTCACAGCTGTAGCATGATCTGGCGACCAGAACCACATGTCCTCCCCATACCGCCAGAGTAATTGCCCCAGTGCTGCCTGGTTGACGGAATAGTCCAGACAGAAGAGGACTGCCTCCCCAAAGACATCACTGAGGACGTGCGATGCGGGAACGCCTCTCTGCTGAACCTTTGTGGGGGCTGACAACTCATCATTCCACCTCAGAGGCACCTGAAGAAACCGCAGGAAGAAGTTGCACCAAATTTGCGAGATACCGAGATACTTGAGAACTGCAAGGATGGTTTCGTGGGGTAGCGAAGTCTCGAAATCGGCGAGAACAGCATGGAACGCAGTAAGCTCGCCGGACAGCCGGGTGTTGATGACGAGCTCGGTCGAGAGGAGATGCAGCAGTTGCTGCTTCGCAGCGACTGGGGTGTCAATCTTCTTTTCGATTTCTTCCTCGGTGTCACAATTATCGAGGCACTTGACTCCGGGTTGTGCTAGATACTCAACCGTTCCGAAAGTATGTGGCACAGCCTGCGTCCTCATGCCAAAGAGTCCTCCTGCCATCTGCTTCCTCTTCTTCGCAGGTGGTGCGGGCCCTGAGCAACTTACGTAGCTTGCCTCGACCTCCCCATCGGCTGGCTTGGCCGCAGCAATGGGGCTGGTCAGAAGTTTGGCCACGTGGTAGTTGGTCAGGTATCTTTTCTTGCGTAACTTTTGTAGACTGCGGTGTTGACGTACCGGGCCGACATAATACTCGAGGCGTCGTTTCTCGGCAAGGGGTATGTCATCTGTGAGACTGGACCAAGCCAGGCTGCTTTGAAAAGTGGTAAATGTCGTTCTCAGGAAAACGGACCATTTGACGCCAATGTACTGCAAAAAGATGGCTTGTAGCAGATCTTCGTGTATGTGCACGCTGAAGACACCGCTGACCTTTCGACGTTGCTCGATAGGGACGCCCGATGGGTCCCAGTTCCACGACTCGAGAGCAGAGATGCGCATGTTAAGAACGTCAGCCACCTCAGACAGGATGACGTTGTTAGACCTGAAGTCTTTGAGCACTTCACGCTGCTCGTTGGACACGAGGTCAGAGGCCACCAGACCGTCGATCACCCATTTCAGAGTGGTGTGCCTGAATTGGCGCGGCTCAGATAACTCGCGCTCAAAATCTGCTACTGCAGTTCTCATCTTCTCGAGTGCCAATCGCTTTTCCTTGGCTGCTTCTTCGCCGATGGCTCCGTCTGAGATGAAAATATCGTCCAGGTACCGGTTCAGGCTCTCCACATTGACATCAGCTCGTTCAAAGACCTTACCCTCCCACTCCTCTTTCGACTTCAACTTGGCGGCGCTGCCAACATCCACCATCTCAACATCATCACCCTCGTTTTGTCGAATGGTCCCGAGTCCCATCTTCTGGTCGCTAGCCAGCCACTCCGTGACAAGCTCGCCGTACAGAGCGGCGTAGCGATACTTGTGTGACTGCACTTCAAGCTCACGGAACAGTGCCTTCTCGTGGTCCGCGATGATATTCTCGGAGACTGAAGGGTCATGACGAGCGAGTGAAATAAAGCGTTCGGCGTTTGATAACGTGAGGTCAAGACTGCTGCCCAAACGCGTGCCAGCCTCGGCACTCGCCTCCTCGTTCGTCTTGAGGCCGAAACATCTCTTGACACCGTCCTTGACGAGTATCAGTCTGTGAATGGGGTCCAGCTCTGGACTAAGATACTTGGGGATTGCTGTCCTGGCAGCCTCGAACGCGGCCCTGCGCTTGGACAGCTCATCGAGCTTCGTGCTCGTGATCTCCTGTAGCGTCTCTGAAAAGACACTACCTGACATTGTCGACATTGACAATTCTGCTGGCGGAGAGACGGGACGCTTGGGCCCTCGGGGTGGCTCGTTAGTTCTGACCATGGTTGAGTTTGAGGGGCGAGTAGATGTTGAGAGAAGGAAGGTGAGCTCGAGTTGGGCGACGGCGTCCAGCTTTTATGAAGATTAAATATGGAGACTGTTATCCTCTTCGTCCAATCACATAACATAATTGAGAATCAGGCAACCAACACCGCTCAGCCGCTTCTTCCTCCAATAAAAGCACTAATTGTGGATTGTGAGTCACTGCTATGCTTGGCTCGTTGTTTCTCCTTGCAACCAAATCTTTTCATTAATCCTCAGTCCAATGATGATCTCTTTTGCATCATTTCCAAAGATGCAGTTCGAGTTTGAGGCGGCTTTCAACACCTTCATCAACAAGCTGAGATTGGGGGACGATCTTGGTACTAATTAATACTTGTATAGCCTTGTCTGATCTTCCTCCTCCACCATGGCTGTTTTCAGTCTGCGGTTCAGATGTCCATAATAGATCCGCAGGCAAACACATCCCGCGGCCACAAAGAAGAGCAAGCCAGCATTGGTCCAGTGGCCAGTCGGGTAGCCAATCGCAGCTTCATCGGCCTTGTAAATCCACGTTCCCAGGATCTGCCCAGGAGCCCCGCCCAGCCCAATGTTCAGCGCAATGGCAAGGCCAATCGATGCAGTGCTGAAGATGTTGGAAGAAAGCCAGCCGAGCAGTGGAGGGATACACGCAAAGGCTCCCGTCGCCGCGACAATCAGGCAGCCATAGCGATGCGAGTAGGCATCGGCAGGCAAGACAGCAGAAGCCAGGAAGCCGCAGGCCCCGACGGTCGCACTGGCAGCCGAGTGCAGCGCCCGCGCATCAAAGTGGTCCGCTGACCATGATACCAGGATTTGCACGACGTAGGCGACCGCGTAAGGCGGGACGGTCATGAGCTGCGCCTCGAGATTCTCGTAGCCAAGGCCGGCTGTAATGGAGGGTGTGAAGAGCGAGAGGCTGCTGAAAGGTGCTGAGATGCCGAAATAGATGGCGTAGTGTGCCCAGAGCCTGCCATCGGCCAAAGTGGCTCTTGCGTCGCGCCACCAGTCTGAGTCGTGAAGGCCCTTACTCCCCTCGAGAGAAAGACGGCTGAGAGCGAGTGCCCTCTCGTCGTCTGACAGCCAGCTGACGGTTTCTGGATAGTCTGGCAGGAAGTATAGCACGAAGAGCGCTGAGAGGCAAGAAGGCGCGCCCTCGATGATGAACAGCCAGCGCCAGGCGGAGAGGCCATGGGCCTCGTGAATGTGACCGACGCCGAATGCGATGGCTCCGCCAAAGGCACCTGCAAGTGTTGCGCTCGCGAGAATGAACGCAACACGTATGCTGCGCTCGCTAGACTTGTACCAAAAGGTGAGGTAGTATACCAAGCCGGGGAAGAGACCAGCCTCGAACACACCCAGGAGAAAGCGGACCACCGTCACGGTGGCATAATTGTGTGCTCCTGCGAGACCCATCGAGCATGAGCCCCAGCCCAGCATCAAGATCGCTATCCAACGTGAGGGCCGCAGTCTTTTGAGGAGAACGTTTGACGGGGCTTCAAACAATCCGTACGCTACCAGAAATATCATGAGTGAGATCGTATACTGATAGTCACTCATGTGTGTCTCTGACAGGAGGTCTTGGTGATCGGATGCATTCAACGTCTTTGCATTTCCGATGTTGCTCCGGTCGAGGTAGCACAGCAGGTAGATGGCCGCGGAGAGGGGAATGATGCGCTTGTCTTGCTTCCATATCAGGGCTTTCTCAGCAGCCGTCGCGACTGCGGTCTCGCCAGACGGATAAACCTGGATGAGGCTCTCGCTGGTTAGTAGAGAAACAAGCTTCTCATATTCCGGTATTGTAATGAAGCAGCGGGACTGACTTCCTTGGCTGCCACCTCGACGTCCTCGACGGCGGTTTGGTGAGCTCCTATCTCACCAACCTTGTCAGCCTGCGGCTGCTTGTCCATCTTGATCAAACAAGTATTGACGAAGCCTGTCAACTTCGAGCACTTTCAATCTACCCAGTTGTATTGACTATGACCTCAAAAGTCGGCACTGACGCTGAAGCAGCACTGAGAAAGCAGTATCACAGTTAGGGAAGACAGACAGGCCATGGGCCGTTAAACGCTTTTATCATCCGGCCATCGGACAACAAGACCAATCCCAAGGGATGGATCATCAACCCATCAGTCTAAGGACGCAGGTGTTCGCCCTAGCGCGACAATTTGAACCGATAAGCACAACAAAACGAGGAGGAAGTGGACATACCTCGAGTCTTGTACCACACAATGCTCCAGCATTTGCTCCACAGTCGTGAGGAGAACCCCAGAGGTGGACCCTAAAACCCTCATAACATAAGCATCGGTCTAGAAGGCCCCGTGCAGGATGGCGGCGCAAGAGTTAAGAGTCCCCTCCACTTCCGACATCAGTTGCCGAAAGGTAGGGAACAAGACCTAACAAGGAGAGACTCTCAGGGTTATTGGTCAGATAGAAGCATGTATATAGTTCATTGAGAATGTGGGCTTACATTTGTTCATGACCATCAGTGCTGATTAGGTATGAAAGGTCTGACAAACGAGGATCTCGGAAAGGCTCTGCCTTGCCCAATCCTCAATCTTCCCCCTTTGTAGAGTATACTTTCATGAACTATGTTTTGGCCCGCGACACTTTGTTTTTATGCGATGTCTTCGTCTGACCTTCGGGTTGATTGTCAAAGAACGCAGGGACTTGGTAAAGCATCGCATCATAAATTGAGTGAGTCTAATTTCTGTAGTTGACTCCATTTTGCCAACTTCACCAAAATTAAGAATTCAACGCAACTTGAGACTGCAGTAAATGTGGAGAGCCAAAATTAGCTTTGCCAACCCACAATCCGTCCAGTCCATCTCAAATCATCGCAAGGCCCAGAAGCACCTTCGAGAGGTCACTTCAATATCGTCCTGTCTCCGTCTGCAGATTTCTCTTCCGTTTGTCTTATGCATTTTCCCCTTCCAAAAGCCACCCACCCCCCTCCTCCAAAGAAAAATAAATCAATGCATATCGTAATGTACAGGCAATCTGTTGCCAATCTTGCTCTCTTCCGAGTCTTTTGATTCCATTCATACCGCTTAAGGGAAGACTTCAGGCATTGACTAAACAAGACTATTACGGCATTTCATTGCGGTGTTGAGCCATTCGGCTTGTCCTTCGCATCTGACACCCCTGGTGTCTCGCCTTCAGTCTTCACATTGGACTGTTTTGGCTGCGCATCGCTATCCTTTTTCGGCTCGTCTGAGGTAGATTGAGTATCTTCTCCGCTTGGCTCGTCGTCTTGGTGCGCTGACGGATGCTGCAAGACCTCGAGGAGAATACTCTTTCCCCTTGCCGTAGCTTGCTCAAAATTCTCAGCTGCGAAGGCCCAAAGCTCCATCTGGGGTATGAAAATGAACTCATAAGAGGAGCCAAAGGGGGCCCTTTTCTTCAAAAACACCCACAAGATGTAGCTCCTGTTATATCTCGCTCCCAGCAGCTGCCGGGCTAGCTCACCAGCAGCATATAACTGGTGAACTTGGTGGTCTGGAGGCGGCAGAGGACCTCTCTCCCTCTCAGCTTCACGGCAAGCCTTTTTTCCTGCGGGACTGGCCGTGAATGCCTCCCAATCTTTTCGGTCGCTGCACACAAGTTGATCGAGTTGTGGGCTGAGCACACCAGTAGCCAACAAAGAGATGGCGTATTTGCGGTACTGTCGGTGAAAAGTATAATCGTCGTATGACTTGGCCAGGGTTAAGAATGATACATCTTGAGATCTTCTTTGGCCAGTCCGGTGGATTCTTCCGATAGCTGTGAGCATGATCGGGATGTTATTAGGCATCTCGAAAATGACCATATCACTGCAGTCACTGTGCAGCTCAACGCCGTGGCCTAGAATGCGCATGGTGCTGAGGAGAAAGTCCACCCGTACTTGAGGGTTGTTAAACTTGTCCAAGATCTGGGATCGAGTCGTGCGGATATCGTGCTTGGATCTTAGCGAGAAGAATGTGAACTCTGCCATTGAGCATATACCCTCAATGATGAACTGCGTATAAGGATGCACGCAGTACACAACTACCTTCCGCCCAGCCATCTTGCGTCGCTCTAAGTGCACAAGGAGCCACTGTAATTTAGGAGACCGACGGACAATGTGCCGAATCATCGATGCTCTGTCAGCTGGTGGCGTCTCCGGGTCTGATGCGAGCCTCGTCATGGCATAGTAATATGACATACCCGCATCGGGATTGTTGGCTGTCAACTTGTGGTAGTCCAATATCTGATCGAAGACTGCAGGTCTTTCAAAAGGATCCTTATGGATACCCGTACTTGCCTCGTGGATGCGAAGAAGGTCTGCCAGGCCAGGATCTGTAGTCATATAATCCAAGTATGCGTCAAAGTGTTTATCCATACCAGCCTTAAACACCTCATTACCATCAGACACCCGAGCAGCGGTCCTCATTTCGTTGCTGTTAGCGTTTCGATGGATGCTTTCAAACCAGCGAAATGTTCTGTATCTGTAGATGTCGGCATCTGTGTCGGTCATTTTGAGCTCGATAGTCCGAATCGAAACTGGAGGGATATCAGTGAGGCTAGCAATCGTGATTCGGCTACCGTTCGCAAGTTGGATGGTCGATGCTGGATCTCGATGCAGAACGCATATTCGGAATATAGAGCCAAGAACGATGCGCGAGAAGTCGGCGCTGAAGTTTGTCTGATGACCTAGCCACCGATACGCGTGTGGGTTAAGCCTCCATAGATGCTGGCCATTCTTCAGTGCCTCATTGTAGTGATGGGGTATATCCCTGGGCACTAAGTTCTTGTCGGAAGGATCAAAAGGATCTTCGTACATTCCGAGAACTTCAAAGGCCTGTTGGCGGCTGGGCCAACATATACGCCACTCCATTGGCTTGAAGAGAGCAAACAAGAGGCCCCGAAAATCAGAGATCTTGTTTGGAACAGGAGATCCTGTGAGAAGAAAATTGATATCTGCGTCGACCAAGTAGGCGGCATGGGCCCTCTGCGTCCTGGGATCCTTGATGTTATGCGCTTCATCGGCGATCAATGTCCCAATGATGTTCGTTGATAAGTTAAGGTCAAAATGCTGAGGTTTAATGGCTACTCTGATAGCATCTTGCCATTCTTCGCTAAGTTCAGAGCCTCGGTTTGATAGTCGTTTCTCTCTGATGACCTTGTCTGGCTCACGTTTTCTCATGAGTCGATCAACAAATTCATCGTAAGTGGAGAGTATCACTTTCCTGCTCGTCTTTGGATCTGTGGGATCAATGGTTTTTAGGAATTCGATAAGTGCTTTGCTTGTCAGTTCGATAGCTGTACTGTGCTGAGCTGCGCCGATAAGCCTAGTATAGAGATCAAGATCAAGAAGATTTGAAAAGAATTTGGAGTATGTATCTTGCCAGCTTCGTAGCCGTTGATGCGAACAGAGAATCAAGGTGACCTTGTGCTTGTTTGTATTACCGGATGCAGCCTCTCGTTTGGCGAGGAAGAAGATAGCGGACAGAGCTTCGATTGTCTTCCCAGTACCATGGTCATTGGCGTTGATCGCGCCCTTTAAGAGACCTTCAGCATTTTTTACCAGGAATGCGACATTCTGCACCTGGTCTGGCCTAAGCCGAAGTGGCGAGGAAGGATCGATCTTGACGCCCCTCAATAGGTCTTCTGAGGAAAGACCAAGGAAGTCAGCTGCTTCATATAGGCCGCCAACCGGGGCCGAGAAGGCGCACTCCAGATCCCGAAACTTGGGCTGGGAGTCAGGATCTTGGATCTGCTCAACATTTCGTTCGAGCTCGTCCATCAGAGCTTTTCGTTGCTGCGGCTCTAAATGTGGTCTGGTCTTATGACCGACTTGGCTTAGATCTCTGGAGAAGTCACCTGTCGGATTAGGCGCCAAAGAGAGATTTTCGAGGACTCCATCTGCTTCTCCACAGTTGCGAAGGAGCGCCTTCGTCCGTACTTTGAATCCTTTCTTGTGAGCTTGACCATGCTCGGTCTTGCTGCTCCCCGAGGGTCCGGGCTCATTGCTGTTCGTTGAACCAGCTGATGAATGACTCGATGATCCGGCGGGGTCATCCTGCGTGTTTTCATTGGAGGAGGCAGCTGCAGGATTGTGAATCCCCTGGGAAGGCTCTTCCTGAGATTCCGCGGGTTGTGCTGGCTCTTGTGATTTGTGCCGTTTAGATGACGCCGATGCCGACGAACTTGGTGAGACCGACCGCTTGGCGTTGGATGAAGACATCTTGATGAAGAAGAGTTAGGAACAGTCAATTGAGTGGGATGGTCAAAGACATCTAATGTGGGAGAAGATAGCGTGTATGCAAAGGAAGGAAGAGACGGGCGAGCAGTTGAGGAGAAGAAGGTTGGAGTTCTGAATGTTGCAAGATTGGCAGCCCCAAGTACGGAAGGAAGCATTGATGGGGTCGAGAAAAAGGATAGTTGTATGAGGTTGATAGCTAACAGGGCTTGGGAGGGCAAAGGTTGTGGGAGCAAAAGTCGGAAAAACAACGAGAAACAAGTTTCTAGGTGAGGGAAGGTGCTAGCTCTTAGCACGGAGACTGTTTTGAAAAAAGCCCATGTGGTAGTTCAAGAGTGAGAGTGAGAGTCAAGGCTCGAAGGCTGGACTGGGAATGTGTGGTATCATACCTATGATAGACGGCTTAGGACCTGTCTATTGTTGATGTTGACTGTGTGAGTCGATAAGCTGTATCCCTGATCAGGACGTTGCTGTGGACAGTTGAGGGTTACAAAATTTGTGACTTGGCCTGGATGTGTTTTGTAAGTGATGTAGTGTTGCTGAAGGGTTTTCGAAGGTGGTGCTGTGTTTCAAGTCTCTTGTGACCTCTGGTAGGGATTGGCCCAAGTACTGGTTGGTTGCACAACCGAAGAGACATGAAAATTGTCAACAAACGTAGATGGCGACTTCCAAAACTCAGGGAGTGCCTTGCGTGCCTTGTCTTGATCGTATCAAGACGTGAGGAGAGTTGACCACACCCACCAGTGCAATGCTAGATGTTGAATGTTGAGTGAATAGTGATGATGTTGGGAAAGAAGGAGAGATATTGTGAGGGCCAAGTGGCCAAGGTGAGGATGCTGATATGAAGAAAGCAGACCGATCAATTTGGAAGTCCTCTGTGGTAAGTTAATCCAATCTGAACCTGTCTTGTCTGAAGATTGGAGTGATCAGTCCACCCAGAGAGCCGCAGGGTGCGAATTATTCTGTAAGATAACAAACTCAAGGAGATGATTAGGGGGGTGATCAGGGCATCAGTCCGGGAAAAAAATGTGCAAGAAGGGTCTCGATGTTGTTTAGTGCCTGCCTTGATCATCCACTATTCTTGCCTCTTAGTGAAGATATGTATCTTGATTCTGTTTCGGAAGGGATTTCCAATACCTTGCAGCTTCCTAATCATTGCATGAAAGACTCTAGGGGAAACAAAGAAAATGATGCCAAACAAGTGGCTTTGGACGATGAAGAGTTTGGGTCGGGTCACTGTGCCGAAAATGGGATAAAATCCAGGCCAGTCAACAACGCATAAGTCTGGGTCTAGGCATGGTGGTGTTGGAAAGGTTGTTGGGAGGGTGATGCTATCAGAGCGTGCGATGAACGAAATATGAGGAGACACATTGGTCTCTGGCTTCAACAGTGCGGTTCGGCATGAAAAGATGCCACTGGTGCAGATGAACTAGCAGCAAAGGAGAACCAGCTAGAAGGACGATTAACAGCTATGGCTTTCAAGGAAAGCATGCTCTTTGGGGCATAAGGGCTGGTGTTTCGTAGCCAAAGTCCACAAGGCTAAGGTTTAACATCCAGCTCCCTTGAGCAAGGCTTAGGGTAGTGTATGAGTTAACGGAGACCAAGTTTAGTGATCTGAGTGGATAAACTGGTTGTGGAAGAGACAGGGTTGGACGTCTCACTACAGTGGGACGTGCCGAGCATGTCACTACACCTAGTCTCACCCCTCTCGACAGCAAGACATTCCCCCACAGACCTCTGCCTTCCTTGGAATTCTACATCACTCAAGGAAGGCTTCATACTTGCGCTCTTGAGTGCTGACAAGATGAATTGGTCCAATCATTACATCATAGCAACCATTTTTTGGTTTATTGCCACAGTGGTCGCTGCCAAAGGGAAGATTCACCGCGGCTCTACGTGTCTAATGTACCTGACTGGGTTTGTCTCTCATTTATCTGCTGATGTTAATCTGACAAAAGTCATGCACAAGATACTGACATGCTCTGGCAGACAACATGATATCATCCCTGAGGACAAAGAGCTCATAAACCCCATCACCCATGTTGTTCTGGCCTTCGTACGGTCTGAAGTGCTCCTCGAGGACGACAGGACAGAGTGGCCACTCTTCAGAAGCGTCGAGTCTGCGCGCGAGAGCTTTGCTGAGGGCACGCAGGTCCTGATTGCGGTCGGTGGATGGGGCGACGGCGGCTTCTCGACTGCTGCGAAGAACGCTTCGACTCGCAAGGCCTTTGCGCAGAACGCTGCGAGGTTGGTGAAGACGACGGGTGCAGATGGTGAGTCCCTATGAACCATTACGAGCGGGCGACAGGCACTGTAGCATGTATTCATGAGAATGACTTGGGAACGTGTTTGCTTGCAGGAATCGACATCGACTGGGAGTACCCTGGCGGCAACGGGGAGGACTACAAACAAGTGCCCAACTCGGAGAAGGAGTGGGAGATTGAAGCTTATCCCCTCCTGCTGGGCGAGATCCGCGCGGCCCTGGGGCCCGACAAGCTGATGACGGCTGCCGTCCCTGGCCACGAGAGGGACATGCTCGCCTTTACAGAGCTCACCGTCCCGCGCATCATGCAACACCTCGATTTCCTCAACGTGATGACATACGACCTGATGAACCGCCGCGACCACGTCACCAAGCACCACGCCAGCACGAAAGCCAGCCGCGAGGGCCTGCAGGCGTACATCTCGCGCGGGGCCCCACCTGCGAAGCTGAACCTCGGCCTGCCCTTCTACGTCAAGTGGTACAAGACAGACCCTGAGGACTGCTCCAAGGCTGAGACACCCATTGGCTGCAAGACCCTACTGCTCGAGGACCCAGAGACGGGGGCAGATCTTGGGCGGGCCGGTGCCTTCTCGTGGCACGATACCACGCCCGGCGACCTCGAGGCTTCATTTCAAAGGGCGCTGGCGGACACGCAGTACGACGCCGCCGAGGGCGCTTCATACTATTGGGACTCTCAGGACAATCTTTGGTGGTCTTTTGACAAGGGATCAAACGGTGATATCGAGAAGAAGGTGGCGACGATCCTGGGCGAGATGGATCTGGCTGGTGTCTTTGCTTGGGGCCTGGGAGAGGATGGCACGTCCTACGAACGCCTAGCACGCCTCTTGAAAGCCATCAACGAGAACGAGAAGCATATGAGAGACGAACTGTGAGGGACTGGGAAGGAAACATGTACTGTAAACAAACATGGGGTTATCTACTGATAGGAACCATGATTCTCGCAACTTTCCCAGGTCTTTTTTTTTTTTTTGTTTTTTTTGGAGGAAACGTCGAACCCTTGATGTACCCCTGTCCCTGCCTGCCCAAGCAGGAAAGTCAATTACAGTGGTCTGCGGCTTCTTCGCAGCAACGCTGAGCCCACCCGGGTCGAATACAGTGGTATGCCCGGGTCAAATACAGTGGCATGTGGTCCTCTCGCACTAAATGCAGGACCAATCACCCGGCCCGTTCGCACCAACACAGAGCCACCACAGGCAGGGCAGGTCAAATACAGTGACAAGTGGTCGCCTCGCACTAGTGCACAACCACCCGGGGTCAAGCTATAGGTGGGCATGCGGCTTTTCGATGGCTTTTGCTCATGCATCCGCGACGAGGCTACTACGATGCTACTACTAATCTTCCCAAACTCTTGAAATTTCTCAAGAGGGCGAATTATTTGGTTTTGAACACCTTGAAATCTCAACACGCCTCTCGCCAAGTGTAAAACACCACCATTTCACCACTCTAGTCGCCTTCCACTATATTCATAATGGCTGGTCTCGAATAAATTCAATTCATCATTCTTCCTCACGACCGCTGCCCCCTCCTCCCCTTCTTCCTCCAGCTCTTCAAGTCATCATGTTCGAAAACCTCTGCACCCTCCCGCTGAACTCAGACCTGTTCACCCAGGCCGTCCACCCGACCGAGCCCCTCCTGACTGTGGGCCTGTCCAGCGGCCATGTTGAGACCTTTCGAATTCCCTCGTCTGACAATGGCTCTGAGGAGGACGCAGACGAGAACAGCAGCATCACGAGCGGCAAAGGTTTGATCAAGAGCCTCTGGCGCACGCGCAGGCACAAGGGGAGCTGTCGCAGTCTGGTCTACGGCCATGATGGGCAAGGTAAGGCCTGCCTCTCCTTTCAGAAGTCTACAAGATGTCCTAGCTCGGTGTGGTCTAGCTGACAACCCGACCTTCCTCCCATGAGCGATATAGACCTCTATTCAGCCGGCACGGACTCCCTCGTTAAGCACTTCTCCCCGACCACCGGCCAGGTCGTTTCCAAGATCACCATCCCACCACGCCGAGGTGACGATTCCGACGACCCTGCCATCATGCACGTCCTGTCACCCCAGAACCTCCTCGTCGGCACGGACTCTGGTGCCCTGTATATTTATGACCTGCGCGACAAGCTGCGCGCCGAGAAGGACCCGTCTGGCAGAAGCCCTCTAGGTTCCATGGGTGCAGCACCCGTCCGCAAACATTTCCCCCACGATGACTATGTCACCAGCATCGTGCCCCTGCCACCCTCGGCCGAGAGCACTTCGGGCTTCCCCAGACAGTGGGTGTCCACAGGAGGCACGACGCTTGCCGTCACGGATATCAGGAGCGGGATCATCACGAGGAGTGAAGACCAAGAGGACGAGTTGTTGTGCTCTGCACTGATTCCTTCGGGCCTGGGTCCAAAGAGGCTGCGGAGCAACGCTGTCATTGCGGTGGGCACAGGCAACGGCGTGCTGACCATCTGGGACAGGGGCTCGTGGGATGACCAGCAGGAGAGGATTTATGTGGCGGGCACCAAGAACAAGAAGGATGGGGAGAGTTTGGACTGCATTGCGAGGATGCCTGACGAGCTGGGCTGGGGCAAGAAGGTCGCTGTCGGTGTGGGCGATGGCAGCCTGGCGGTTGTCGACCTCAAGGCGAGGGAGACGCAGGCTGTGTTGCGACACGACGACGTCGAAGGCGTGGTGGCTGTGAGCTTTGACTGCGAGGGCCGCATGATCAGTGGCGGTGGGAAGATTGTCAAGGTGTGGGCTGAGGCTGATGGCAACAACGAGCATGAGGAGGAGTCGGATGAGGAGGCCGGCAGTGCTAACGGAAACGGGAAGCGTGCAGCCGACAGCGACGACTCGGACGACGACAGCGATGCTAGCGACAGTGACCGGCCCAAGCCCCAAAAGAAGAAGCGCAAGGGCGGCAAGGGAGGTCAGCCAGCTGGAGGCATTGCGTTCCCTGGTTTGGACTGAGACTATCACCCCCCTCCACTCAAAGCATCACCTATGATACCCCCCCCCCCCCCAATATTCTGAAAAAGGAGAACCGATGTGCGAGGGCAAGAGGCACAATGGTTGAGACCATCCCCCAAAAGATGTATGGAAGACCAAAAGAAAGAAAAGAAGAAAAAAGTCCACAACATGTACAAGTAATGATGCTACGAGATACACGCGACAAGCGATCAAGTCTCCCTGCTCATAGATCTGTAACAAGACAGGGCCCAAGGTTACGTCGACGAATCCGGCCCGCAGCCTTCCACCTCTATTCAAAATATACCCACCCAATATGCATAGCTCATCTCTTCTCTTTCTTTCTTGGTCTTCCCAGGTTGCCTTGTGGCATGCGAACGTCTATTCTTCCCCGCTTTCGTCGTTCCCTTTTCCTCGGGCTGTACCCCGCGTGAGATGCAAGAAATTATTTCAGGCTCCAGGGCGAGAGTAATCCAGCGCCTTCACGCGCTTCCAGACTTCTCGCACGACCCTCTCCTGTCCCTGTCGTGCCGTCTCGGTCTCTGATGGTCCAGCAGGCCTGCCAAGGAGGGATTTCAGTCAGCGCACATTCGTCTCTCACACTTACATCGGCCCAGACTGCTCTCCACCCGCATGTTACGCAGCAATGGAGCCTTCTTACCTGATAGCCAAATACAGCCTACTCCCCAGCCTCACATCAGGAACCTCAGCCGTCGCAGGGTCCTCAGGCGGGTTTGCCGTGGTCACCAGCCCGCCCGCCTCAAGCAGGATCGCAATGCCCGCCGCGACATCCCACTCCCAGCACCCGCCCTCCCACCAGATATCAAGGCTCCCGGACGCCGTATACGCCATATCCAGCGCCGCGCTCCCCAGGCTTCGCACACCATGCACCATGCCGCCCTTGCCCCGGCGCGCCGCAGGCTCCACGGCCATGGTGACGAAGCTCTCGATCTTGCGGCCGAGATTCCCCACGCCCGTGTCCGGATCACGCCTGTCCTTGCCCCACTCGCAACCAAACACGCACCCCTTGGGCGCGTTGGGGGGGATGGGCCGGTTCGGGAGGAAGGGGAGGCGCTGGGAGCCGTTGAGGAAGGCGCCGCGGCCGCGGCAGGCGGTGAAGAGCTGGTTCATGAAGGGGGCGTAGATGATGCCGATGATGGGGGACCCGCGGACGATGAGGGCGATGGAGACGCAGAAGGTGGGGAAGAGGTGGGTGTAGTTTACGGTGCCGTCGAGGGGGTCGACGCACCAGGTTGGGTGGTCCGGGTCGATGAGGTAGTCTTTGGAGGAGCCGGCGGAGTATGTCTCTTCGCCGATGAACCTGGGGATGATTTATGAGTTATCTCATGTGCCGTCGGCTGGTGGGAAAAAGAGGGGGGCAAACAAGGAGAGGTTAGGAACATACTTGTGGTGAGGGTACTTTTTGGATATTGACTGGTGGATGAAGGCCTCGACATCTGGCACATTTTACGAGAGCAGCTGGTCAGCACATTGTCACTCTTCTATCATAGCTACAACTACAGCAACAAGATAGACGCAGTGTTTGACGACGCACCAGTGTCCGTCTTGGTCACGATATCCACAGCATTCTCCTTCTCCTCAATCCTCTGCTCCTCTGCTTGCCCTCCTCCTGACGAGCCGCTCATGCGCACCCTCGCGCCGTCCATGAGCATCTCACCGGCATCCTTGCCCAGCTGGATGGCAAAGGCATAGATCTCGTCCAGTTCCTGCTCGCTGATCTGGTCCTGTGCTTGGCCGGCCATGATATCGGTCAATTGGATGGGATGTTGGTAGTAAGCTGGTGAAGGAGGGTGAGCTCAAGATGTGTTGAGCATGAGAAGAGTCAGAGAAGTGGTGGTAGAGTCACTCAGTCCGTCAGTCAGACGGTGACTAATGAGAGAAGGACCCTGAAGCTTTGTGCGGTGCCCACTGAAGCTCTACCCAAAGAGCCGCTACAAACCGAGAAACCACAGCGGTGGACATTCCGCAGTGGTTCTGATTCAGCGGGCATGACGTCGATTTCCTCCCACTAAGCACGGCCTACCATAATAACGAGGTCCGCTGAAGAAACTGTTATCTCTTATCTTAGCGGGGGAGGCACCTGCTGCAATTACTCAAGTACTCAAAGAAACTCCCTGAAACCATCTGGTTCACTACTAAAGACCTTTATCGGCTAGCCGTTGGACGCATTATCAAGACCCGTGCGCAGTCCAGCCAAATGACCATTCAGCCCCTCCTTTATACCTCCTTCTCGTGTTCGAGAGTGCATAAATGTGTTGCCAGGAAGAACTGCCCCTCACATACTCGAGTGAGAGAGTATCGTCGGAACCACAACTGCCGAGGTTGCGCCGTGGTGATTGGGAAGAGGGACCCGGAAGAGCGCTCTTCCACCCTCTTGGCCCCGCCCAAACGGACGGATGGATGGAAGGCTCGCTTCAACATTGTCGGTCCATAGTTTAAGCACCCGCACTGATCCTGAACCACACGAGGATATGCATTCAGACCCACAACTTGTCCTCAGGGCGGTGGTGCAAAGCCGTAGGTCGGGTTGGATATGTCCGGTGCTGCCAGACTGATGACAGAAGGAGGAGCACAATGGATGGATGATGAATTAATGAGAGACGGAACTACAAACATTGATGAAAATGGCCCTTCAGGCTTCGCTATAACAAAAGGAGTTAAGACACAACAATTATTTGTCACCAACCTCATGAGCCCAAGCTTGACTCATCACCACCATCACCACCAGACAACCAACAACCAACAACATCCATCCTCATCATGTCCCGCCACATCCTCCTCATCAACGGCCCCAACCTCAACCTCCTAGGCAAGAGGGAACCCCACATCTACGGCCACACCTCCCTAGCCGACGTGGAATCCCAGGCCCAAGCCCAGGCCGCCTCGCTGGGCGCCACCCTCGAGGCCTTCCAGTCCAACCACGAGGGCGCCATCGTAGACCGCATCCAGCAGGCCGCGGCGTGGTGGACGCCGCCAGAGGGCCACAGGCAGACCCCTCCCGTCTCGGCCATCATCATCAACCCTGGCGCCTACACCCACACCAGCGTCGCCATACGAGACGCGCTGTCGGGCGTGGACATCCCGTTTGTGGAGGTGCACATCTCCAATGTCCACGCGCGGGAGGAGTTTCGCCGGCATAGTTACCTGAGCGACAAGGCGGTGGCGGTGATTGCTGGGCTTGGTGTGTTTGGGTATCAGGCTGCGCTGGAGTTTGTGGCCAAGCATCTGAAGTTGAAGGGGGAGGGGCAGTGAGCTATGTATTATGTTGCCCCCCCCCCCCCCAAAAAAAAAAAAAAAGCCAGGACTGGAAAAGAACAGGAAGAAACATGAAAAGTTGAATAGTTCACGCCAAGACCATACTCGTAAAGTAATATTCATCGACATGTTCGCTGAAAAAAAAAGATCAAAGAAACTCATATTCGCTATGATACTAGACAATTGATATCTCCCATGTTCCAGTTATCCACTGATACCCAGCGCCCATCTAATCAACAAGGATGCAATTTGCGGTGTCTGTAGGAATCCCTTCTGTTCTTGTAGGCCCAGTGACCGCCCAGAATGAGCAATATGCCAGCCACAACCAACAACAGCACAACAACACAGGAGTCATAGGACGTCCTCGGAGTTTGTGAGACCTTCTGACGAACCCAGTTGCTCAAGATATTTATCCTGGCACAGACGTTGTTCAGCAACTTCGGGATGCCCTCACCAGACCGCGATCCTGATCCACCAGGTATTCCCATCTCCGCCTGCGACAACATTCTGTTGCTGTTCTCTACCACGCCGCCCAGTGGGTGCTCTGAGGCCATCCTGTTTCCCTGAGTCAGGGTAGTCGCCTGCGAGATGCCAGCCCCAGCACTTGTGAGATAGCCACCGTCATCATCATCATCATTATTATTGATCGTCACGCTTCTCGCCCCCTAGGACGGCGTGTCGCTATCGTCCGACTCGGCCGCAAATGCTGGCGACGGATGACTCTCCACCTCCTCGCTGGCATCTCTGACACTCGGCTCTGAGGCACTCGCATCGGATGCGACACAGGTCTCTGAGTGGCCCGCTCCTTCTTCCACGCTCTTGGTCTTCGTCGCAAGGCGCAGGTCCTCAACCAGCCGGCCCCATGAGACGGCACCACGGTGTGCCAGCTCGTGCGGCACGTCGGCGCCCTGGTCGCTCATCCGCCGGTTGAACAGCTCCAGGCTGACCCACCCCTCGAACCCAAGGCCGTGAAAGAAAGCCTCGGCGATCTCCCTGACGGGCAAGAATGCGCCTCGGTCCGTCTCGCCGTAGAAGAGCCTGCAGTTCCTGCTCCAGCTCATGCGCGGCGTCTGGCCCTCCGTATAGAAACGGTGGCCCTCGACCAGAGGGCTCTCCAGGCGCTCCGCGTCGACAATCTGCACGTAAAAGACTTTCTTCACATCCACACGCTCCACAAGCCTCTTCATAGACTCTGTTACCGCGCGCTCTGCATCCGGCGTGACGCCTGAGGATGAAGCCGGATCGCCGTAGATCCTGCCCGCGATGTTGAAGCTGTCCAGGCACAGGCCCAAGTTGGCGCGGTCGACCCGCTGCACCACCTCCCAGCTGGCCTCCCACGTGTTGATGCGCGTGCCAAAGCACAGAGCCTCGTACACGAAGCGAATTGGTGGATTGTGCGCGGCGCCCAGGTCGGCAATCTTCTGCAGGTCCGACACGATGAGGTTCATGTCGTCGCTCATTTGCGCCTCTGGGAGGAAGGACGAGGGCACCTGGATGAGGTCTGTCTGCAGTGCTGTGGCGATTTCCATCCACCTATGCAGCTTCTCGATCCTTGCGTCGTGCTCTTTTCGGTCGATGAGGCCATCATAGCCAGAGAAGGGCTGAAGGCAGATGATGGTTATGTTCTTTTGGGCACAGAGACGCTGGATGCCGTGGGCTGCCTTCAGTTGGGCTTGGTGAGACGGTCCATCACTGGGGCGATGTTGGGGGGACTCAAACTGCTTAGCGTGGTCGAGGAGGTCGGCATCGAAGAGCTCGATACCCTGGTAGCCTTGCTGCTCCATGATGTCGAGCTTGCTGGCAAGGGAGTGACCTGCGTAAGGCCATCCCAGGGACATGCTGGTTATGCCGAGTTGGCAGGGCATTTTGTCTATTTATTCTGGAAAGGAGGAGTAGGAGGAGGATGATAAGGTTCTGTAGTAGGATGTGAGGGGAAGTGAGAAAAAGAGAGGATGTAATAGTAGAGGATGGTCAGGTCTGATACACTATCTGGTGGCTGCTGCCAATAGAGAAGAGAGAAAGGGATTATGGATAGTAGTAGTTTCGTGTACGCAAAGTTTGTGGCATGTGTTGTGTAGACAAGTCAAATCTTGTTTGGGAAACGGGATCTTTCTGGAGTTGAGAGGAAGGGGCAAATAAATAATATGTAGTGGACAGAGAAAGGTGAACGACCCGGAAGGTCCAACCAGCCAGGCCCACAATCGGCTGGCTATGTGAGTGACTCTGTTTGTCGTAGTGGCTTTGGGTATGTTTTGTTTGTCCACTTGTGTTTGCTCTCGAAGAGTGACTTCAGTGTAAGAGGCGATGAGACAGATGCCACAAGTCAACGTATCTGACAATATCAGCGTGGCACAGGTGAAAAAAGGGAGGATAACAATCGACGCCTTCTATGAGTTAGGACACGGAGGCTTGGAATGACAACTTTAGGAAAGGAAAGAGAGCAGGACGGGAAAAAGACATGTCTTTAGTGGGCTTGGTTCCAGTCCATGGAGGATTCAGCTGACTGATTCCCTTGGAATATTGCACCCACCACTCGGCGACACTTGACTTTCTCATTTATTCGCTTACCGACATAAGGACGGCCATTCTATTGGCTTCTCAGAGAACACTACCGAGGCGATAGGTCATCCAAAGTAATACTGGTGGCTCTCGGTTTCATGAGGCCTGTCTGTCTGTGTCCTGGTCGCAGAATCAACCCGAAGATAAGCGTGTATATGCTGATCCAGAAAAGCGAGAGTCTGCATTGGGTGATGGACGACGGTTTCGATCCAATGTGTAGCCCGGTGATGTCAGAACAGGGAAAGGACGTTGTCGGTTAAACGTTTACGAGTCGAAATCTCAACGACATGGCTCGGCTCCACTGGCACCCGACGATTCTTTTTCCCCCCCTCTCTCTCTCTCTCTGAGTTGCCGCTGTAGTGCATGGAAAGCAATTTTCCCTTCATCTTGACGGCAGAGCGTTCTACAACCCTTGTTCGCACGAAGCCGTCGTGAGCTCTCCTTTTCTCTCTTTCTCAGTTTCTCCCCCCGCCGCGGCCACACTCCCTCACTTAAGCGAAGACCGAGGCCCCTCCCCACGGGGAGATCTACCTCATTTCTATTTCCGAGGCTAAGTCAGCATCGTAGCAGCTTTATCCTCCGTCGTTGATGTGAAAGATCATTCATCCCTTCATAAAAGGTCCCGGCTATCCTTTCTGAGAAGTAATCTGATTAACGACACTTAAAAACGCCACATTTGTTAGCCCTACAAGATCTTGTACGAATCAGTTACATTTCTGATCATCAGAGACGATTTCCCCTGCTCCTTATTTGCACAATCAACAGTCTCTCTCTCTCTCTCTCTCCTCTCTCTCTCTCTCTCCTCTCTCTCTCTCCCACTCTCACTGAGACACACCTCATACAATATCCCCCAACTATCCTACTGGGTAAACACAGAACCAAGCGGTGATGGCGACCATGACAGTAACAAAGTCCTCGGCGACAACACAAACGTCAACACCAGACAACACCACATCACACTTCCAGACACAATCACCAACATCACTACCACAGATCGACCACCTCGACAGACATGGCTACCTCTTTGGTCAGAAGCTCACCGCTTCCATGTCCCCATTGCTTCATGATGTGGTCTACCAGAATCTCGGCCTGAACTGGGCACAACAGCGCCTAGATTCAACAGATATGGACCTCTTTCTCAAACTGAGACAACACCCCAAGTTTTATGGTAACCCCCACCCCCCTAACCTCTTCAGCTTCCCTTCCTTCAACTCCGAGACAACCTTTAAAAAGGCAGAGACTGACTTGCACACCCCCTCACAGGCGCCTCAGTGACAATGCCCCACAAAGTCTCCATCATCCCCCACCTAGACGAGCTCACAGAGGAATGCCGTGCAGTAGGCGCCTGCAACACCCTCTACGTCCGCGACGAGCCCGACCCAACCTCCCCCACCGGCCACCGCCGCATCTACTGCGGCACCAACACCGACGTTATCGGCGTCCGCGACAGCTTCCTCAAGACCATCCCAGACGCAGACCACGCCGCCGTCTTCCGCAACCGTCCAGCCCTCGTCATCGGCGGCGGTGGCGCCGCACGCTCGGCGGTCTACGCCCTGCGCACCTGGCTGGGCGCCACCTCCGTCTACCTCGTCAACCGCGACCGCGCCGAGGTCGAGGCCGTCATTGCAGAGTGCACCGAGCGCGGGTTTGCAGGCGCCGCGGGCGAGCTGGTCCATGTCGAGACGGTGGAGCAGGCCAGAGCGCTCGAGGGCCCTGGCGCGATAGTGGCCTGCGTGCCAGACTTTGCGCCCGCGACGGACGCCGAGGTGCAGGCGCGCGCCGTGGTCGAGGTGTTCCTGCGCGAGAAGGCGCACAAGGGGGCCATGCTGGAGATGTGTTACAACCCTAGCCCCTTCACGCAGCTGGGCAAGCTGGCGGAGGAGGCTAGGTGGAACGTCATCCTTGGCACGGAGGCGCTGATCTGGCAGGGCATTGAGCAGGATCGTTACTGGACCGGGCGGAAGACGGAAGAGTTGCCGGTGAAGGAGGTCAAGGAGGAGATTTATAGACAGGTGGAGCTCCGGGCTGCGGCACATCAGTCCAAGTAGACGGTGTTGTGGAATAGGTTTTAGCAGTCATAGCATTAGTTGAGAGCACAGCCAGGCGTTTGTTGTCACCAGTCTCGACGTACATAGATGTTGAATTAATTCAACTTGTCTCTGGCTGCAAATGGTACCATTTTTTCATTAGTGACGATCCTTTTCGCTTGTATTTTTCTCCTGTTCCTCTTTCTTTTTCTTCTTCTTTTTCATGATACCATTTAACAGTTCGTGAAACTGAGATACAGCCAGTGAAACCAACATTCATGATGTAACAAGTTCACTTTGACAATGTGCCGATATATCCAAGTGGCGTGCCCAACAATCGTGTAGGCTTCGTGCTTTATCTGAGCGTGGCCAACACGCCCTAGTATGTACGTAGATAAGAGAACACTTGGTTTGAACATGTTAGGAGATATGAGGAAACCTGAAATATAGGTTGGTGTATTGGGGTAGAATTAAAAGTCATGTAGGGTCATCATCGATGAGGTAAAAATTCGCTATAATTATACCAATATCCAGAAATCCCACAAATTTCTACCCTGACCTGTCTGAGAACGAAATCAAGAAGACAGAGTCTTCAACCTCCCAAACCCCGTTCACCATTTTTACTCTTCCCTGTTACCGTCGTCAATCTATACATATTGGTCCTGGCTCTTGTCCTCGACCTGGGTCAGGCCAGGCTTCGAGTCATCATTCAGCTCCAGATTGCCCGCATTGTGCCTGAACTCCTCATCCTGCAGCCGCAGCTCCTCCATGATCTTCTCGTTCGCCTTCCAGACAGGCTTGACCGCGAACAGCCTATCCATGGCCTCCAGCGGCAGACCCTTGGTCTCGGGGATGAGGAAGAACACAAACACCCACGACAGCAGCATCAGGCTCGCAAAGAACATGTACACGCCGTACTCCATTGTGGCAAACATCTGCGGCGTGAACCGGCTGATGATGAAGTTCCAGAACCAGTTGCTCGCCGCCGCGGACGCCTGGCCCAGCGACCGCGTGTTCTGGTCAAACATCTCCGAGTTGAGAACCCAGGGCGTGCCGTTCCACGTCGGCGTGTAGAAGCAGGTCCACAGGTAGAAGAAGAACATGGCCGAGATGCCGCCCGACGAGAGCTGTCCGTTGGCAGTCGGGTTGGCGGTCGGGTCAGCGATCTTGATGTAGGCGCCGAGGTACCACATGCACAGGGAACCGCCGATGGCGCCGACCAGGAGGAGCTTGCGGCGGCCAAGACGGTCGATGAGGTATCTGTTGGGTTATCGAGGTCAGCAATGTGCATCGTTTACAGCCAACACACACACACACACACACACACATTCAGCACTGCTTGTGTGGGTAGCAGAGGAAATGTTCAAACTCACAGGAGCCAGATAAAGGTAAACGTCGTCTTCACACAGCCAAACACGCCCGTCGTCAACAGCGATGCATTCGTGCCTTGGACGCCGATGCTCTTGAAGATGGTGGGCGAATAGTAGTTGATGGCATTGATGCCGGAGCCGTTCTGCCACAAAAAGAGCATGCTGCCCAGAAAGAATCGCCACTGCACGTTCTTCTGCTTCAACGAGGCAAAGGGCTTCCAGAAGCCCGCGCCCACCTCGGTCCTGTACCGCTCGAGCTCCTCGTCAATGTAGCTGACCTCCTCGACGATATAGATGTCGGACGCGCTGAGGTTGCGTATCCAGCAGAGGTTCGCCAGGCCCTCCTCACGCCGACCCTTGGACATGAGCCACCGGGGGGACTCCTTCATCCACAGACACCCGACGAGGAGCAGGCCGGCGGGAATGAGCTGCACCGCAAAGGGGATGAGCCACTGCTTGTGGTCGGCGGGCAGGGTGGTGTTCACGCCATAGTTGATCCAGAAGCCCACCAGCCCGCCGATCTGCCAGCCCAGCTCGTAGATGCCCACAAGTCTTCCTCGGGCAGCCGGTGGTGCCAGTTCCGAGATATAGATGGGTACCATGTTCGATGCACCGCCGACACCAATGCCTGCGAGCACCCTGCCACCGTAGATCAGACCCAGGCCTCGATCCCCATTGGCCCCGAGCATGAGACCGGCGCCAAGAATGAATACAGTGACAAAAGCAAACAGGGATTTGCGGCGGCCGAGGAAGTAGGAGGAGACATAGGCGAAGAGGGAACCGAAGAAGGCGCCGGCCTGGTAGACAGAGACAATATTGGCCGAGATAAGGTTCAGCTCAGTGGTGGAGAGCTTGTTGAAGCCGAACTCAGACTTGAAAGAAGCGAGGGCGATGGTGGTGCCGATGAAGGCAGAGTCATAACCGATCATGCATGAGGCGAAGGAGGCGACGGCGGCCGAAGTATAGACACGCCAGTTGTAGACGGCCTTGGGCGTCGGCCTGTCTTCTTTGAGGGCCAGCAAGGTCATGTTGACTTTGAGCAGAGGTACACCCCGCCTGTCCAAGACGTGCAGATGAAGTCGCACCTAAAGGAAAGAGAGGCTGACGATAGGAAATAAAGATGGGGTTGGTGTGTCTGTCTCCTTTCTCTTGTTTGTCAAGTGAGGACGCAAGGCGGGACGACAGAGACTGATATATGCAACAAATTTTTCTTAGATAGCCTTGCCGAGCGAGTTAGTGTGCAGTAGAGGCACGCCCATGTGTCGGATGGACCCAGCCGCTTGGGACATGTGGATTGCCATCCCCACGGGGTTGTTCTACTTCTAATACGGGGTCCCCAGATGGATGGATGTTGTTCAGTCGCGTCGAGACTCATTTCGCCCTATTCGTGGGGGTTTACCCCTTATCCGACTGCTCCCCTTATTTCTCTTTGATTCCTTCTGCAGTGACGGAAGAGAGTTCAACCTGACACTGACGAAGATCCTAGCTTGACTCGGCTGCGTTTTCGTTCAAGCCTTTCCGAGACTACTGCCCGCCCCTTGTTCATCCCCGCACTATGGACGCGTGAGCCTGTATGCGGCGCTGTAACCCACACCTAGACAGCCTGGGGTTGGATCGGCCGGGGACAGTCAGCCCAGGGTGCCAGGATCCGAGAGGAACTAGCTCGCGAGGCGTCGGTCATTCATCTGCTGCGCTATGCAGAGAGGTGGTGTAAACAATGATGCCTTCACCTCGATAGGTAGCCTTTGTAGAAAGGAAGAAGGCTTAACCGTTCTGCTTGGCGATTTGCTTGCACGGATAAGCCGGATGTTTTCTGCTGAAACAGACAGGCACCAACTGCTTTCTTGGCTTTGCTTGTCTTCGCTCATCTTGATAAACGTCGTGTATCTGTCGATGAACCCCTTCTATTCTGTGTATATGCTTGATGGAGAACGGAATAGTCTAGGTGCCCCTTCAGCAGCTAATTTCCACCAGCCTTGTACGTGAATGGATACCCATAATACTCAAAGGGACACGTTGAGCTTGTTCCAGGTGTTTTGTTTGTGTAATTATGCGTAGCTGCTGGGCAGGGTGCGCCTGGGAACTCGTGGGTCAACTACCCTGGCCGCTGCGGTCCATCCAGCCTCGGCTGTAAGGCAGCGTACGGTCTGGACTCGACCAAAGTTCAGCATCCGCCCTTGCGCACTTTACACTCACTGGCTTAAGGTTCATGCTCCACTATGTTATCAAGTCTTGGTCGTAGATGCGCCAAATTAGATCGACCCTTTTCGTCCGTGTAGGCTCTGAAAACCTCCCGCCTCATGAACCTCCGAGGTGCCCGGCGGCCAGTGAACAGCTCAAATTGCGCAAATCCTTGCTCTGGCAGAATGTCGAGACCATCCATTGTGACCCAGCCCCGATGAGCTTCTCGATGGCTCTGGCTCAGAATTGGGGTGTACAACGTCTTGTACACAAATTCGACCACCACACCGCCAGTCGGACTCTCCAGCCATTGTGGGGGCAACGAAAAGTCTGCGCCAGGGTTGCCTCCAGGGATGCAAGAGACAATCATTGTTGGTTGTCGCCAGCCCTCTGGCCACGGGTCGTCCCTTGTGCGCAGGATATGAAAGCGGGTTTCAACGTCGGACTTGGGGCCAAAGAGAGGGAGATCGTCTCTCGCCAGGAGTCTCGTGAAATGAGCAACGAGCTTTTCGGCATTTGCATAGCTGAGAGAGGGTGGTCAGTAAAGCCTAGACAGAGCCAGTAGTAGTCGTTATGTGTCTGTCACAAAAGGTATCATGAACTCACGTGCGATTGAACACGCAGATGTTCTTGACACCCAGCTGCAGCATAGAGTACACCGCAGCTCTTGCCATCCCACCTGCGCCGATGACCAGTCCACAGCTGTTGGACCGCACTGCGTTGGCCGGCGACAGACCTCGTCGAATGCACGCCCTGATACCGATCCAGTCCGTGTTCTCCCCATAGAGCGCCTTGATAGGTCCAGAACGGTTGCGGCAGTGAAAGAGTCGAGCATCCTCTGGAACCGTTCCGTCATCATCCAGTGATCGAATAGGTATCAGGGTATTGACAGCACCAATCGCTCTCGCATGCTTGCTCAACGAATGAGTAATGCTAATGATTTCCACCTTAAACGGAAGGCCTATGGAGGCACCAGCGAATTGCGGGTCCATGACGAGATCGTGTAAGCTCCGGATAGATGTAGTACAATGAGGCTGGTAGTGGTGAGGAATGCCGCACGCGGCAAGTGCAGCGTTGTGCATTGCGGGTGACAGACTGGCAGAAACGTCGCCGCCGATAACGTAGAGCTTCATGGCGTCATATACGAATGACGAGTAGAGGCCCTTTGTCAAGTCGAGGGCTGTCACGCAAGGCTGGGGATAATAGCTATCGATGTCGTAGCCCGTCTTCGCCGCCGTCGATCCAGCTGGCAGGACCGAGGTCAGCACCTGGTTGCAACAAGCCGAATTCCTCCCCTTCCTGCCCGTGTTGTATGCGATAACGGGCAGTCTGGGTTCCCCAAGATCATCAATCTTGGCTTGCAGGTAGCTGACATCAAAGTTATCTGGATAGTGCTCAGCGACACGAGTGAAGCGAACCATGTCGCACCCAAGGCTCCTGGCCCTCTGGTAATATGTCATCCATGAAGGATCCCTCCACGATGGTGCGGGCGCTTTGGGTATCTGGAGATTCCCGACAAGCTTGGTCCGTCCCGCTGTCATGCGTAAATGGGAAACGTAGGTGTCCTCCAATCTCAAATCGACGGTTATATACTCGGCGGCCAGGCGTAAGCCATGCTGTAGGTAGTCCAGATACAGAGATTTCCACGCATCGTCTCGCAATGCCGACCCGGGAAACACAACATGGTAGAGGATGGGGATAACTGTATTCCGCCTGATGTCGGACAAGGCCCGACTGATCTCACCTGCGTGTTCGGGAGTGATGTGCCTTCCATTCGGCCTGAAAGCGGGATTCACCAGGTCGTCCACCACAATCTCGATGGCGTCTGCGCCCGTCTCGATATCTTCAATGTCGACGTGTTTCGCAAGCAGGATCGACAAGGGGATCGAGACAGCATACGTAAAACGCCTGTCCTCGGCTGGTATGGATGCGAGGGGAAACGCGGACTCGATGAAAGGTATCGTTCCTTTAGGCAAGATGAGCGACAAGAACTTGAAAAAGTGCCTCTCAGCTCTCTTCAGTGTTAGATAGGGTGCAGGTGATCTCTCGTCGAGTTCCGTGATGAGTCCATCCAGCGAGTCGGCCTTGTTCTTCTTCAGCAGGTCCTCGGACACGTTGAAGAATTCAAAGTGGCTGCACTTCCGAAGCACAAGGCCACTGGCATCCAAGAGATCCTTCAGTCTTGCATCATCAGGTACCTTGAGATGTTCCTGAATGGCTTTGGAGTCTCGGACGATATAGACCACAGGCATCCTGCTGCTGTAGTCCCGGAGTACGGACTGCACGTTACGCTCCATCCATGAGCATACTATAATGGTGTTGTTCTGGCAGCGACGGAATAGATCCTTCAAGACCTCAGTCTGTCGGCTGTGGTAATCAACCAAGCCATGTTGCTTCTTGTATGCCTGACTCGAGAGGCCAGTGACCTCGTGGAACGCCCGTTCAGCATCCATAACCTTTCGCTTCATGGCACTGGAGGCGATGATGGCCAGGGTGGTCTTGCCAGTTCCTCGAACTCCGGTGATGACTATGGAGGCTTGTGGGCCGAACATGCGAATACAGGAGAAGTCGGACGTGGACCGTGGGGAGCTCGGCGCAGAGCGAGAGGCTGGACAGCGTTGTTAGACTTTGAGGAAAAGAAAGGTACACCCTGGGCAGGGAGATTGTGCCATACCTCTTGCTGAAGAGTAATTTGACGTGTGAGGCGATGAATCAGAGATGGAACCATACTGCCTGTTGAAGCCGCCGGTGTAGGGGCCCTGATTTCTGGAAATTGGATCGTGGTGGCCATCTTCCCGTTCAGCAGCCATGGTTGAGAAGTTGCGTTTGGTTCCGGCTACAACAGAAGCCATCTTGACTCGCTGTTGGCAGTGCCAAGGCGTACAGAATGATCTTGCGGCGATTGACGAGTGTTATCGTGCCCTGTGGGTATGATGAGCGTCTATGTCTCCTCTCGCATCGCTCATGGCTACCCTTCCTTCTCCGTGGTGCACGTCGCTCTTGGAATTGCTGTCTTGTGTCCAAGGTAAAGGTGGTGAACCAAGACGGGGAGGGTCAGAATCAATCAATACCTGTCGAATCGTCTTAGCCCCCAAGCCGCGGCCTTTAGCCCCACGCAGTCGTCAGGATCCTTGTTCATCGACCAGCGGCAGTCCGTGCTGTCTTGAAGGCCGACTTCGTACGCTGGGATGGGCAGAAACTGACTGACGAGATGATGGGATTGGGGGGGGGGGGGCGGTTAATTCCTTCCTTCTAGCCCGCGACGGTTGAAGCAAGGCATGGCCTTCCTTCCCCTTCAAGATTGGGTAGGTAGGAAGCCCCACAAGAGGGTAAAACCTTAGCCGGGCCGATTCCTTTGTCTCGTGCCTGCTTAGCTGCTGGGCGCCGCTGCATTACTGGGCTCAGCTGTCAAAATTTGCTGGGATCTCCCCGCACTCAGTGAGTGACCGTTCCCCGGATTCCCCAATCTGACCCCATGCAAGCCCCAGCACCCACTGGAAAAGACGGCCCAAAAGCTCCCCAGCAGGATGCTAGCTTTGGTAGAGCAGGCATCATGGCCTCGAAACCCCACCCTTTCCCAGTGATGCCCCCTCCGACGATGCGCCAGTGCTTCCGCTGCAATTTCCAATTCGTGCCCCGGCACTGTGGCCCAAGAAACTTGACTTCATTCATCCCTCCCTCGACGCTTCGGCAAAACGCACACACGCACCCTCACGCGAACGCACACCACAGATTGCGCGCGTCGTTTTTGCCTGCATCTGTTGGACTATGCGGATCATTACACAACAGAGGAACTGAGCACTGGCCATGCGTACTCCATAACTCGAACAGGGGACAATGAATGGGCCAGATACATCCTGATTGCGAGACCAACTGCGATGCCTTCGAAGCGAAAGGCTACAGCCACCTCCGCCACCTCCGAGGCCGACAATGCCACCGACTCGAGCCCTGCCAATACCAACACTTCTGCGCCCGTCAAGAGACAACGAGTGTCCAGGGCTTGCGATCAATGCCGAGCTGCGCGCGAAAAGTGTGATGGCATCCAGCCACTGTGCTTTCCCTGCGTCTCCCAGAACCGTCCATGCACCTACGCCGCCAACCCCAAGAAGAGAGGCGTACAGACCGGATACATCAAGACCTTGGAGGTTGCACTAGCATGGCTCTTCGAAAAGGTTCCAGGGTGCGAGGATGCCCTCGACAATCTCTTGATGCACGAGGGCGGCCAGGGCCAGAACCTGCTCGTGGGCAAGGACTCAGATAAGGCCAACCGCCTGCACAAGAGATGGAGGAGGAGCAAGGTTCACAAGGAGATCGACCGTATCCTCTCTGGTGGCGATGTCGCTCAGTCTCGGGTCGATAAGTCCTCGCCTTCTGAGGATGGAGAGAGCGACAATGAGCAGAATGAGGAGACACCACAGACTCTTTCGAAGTCAAACCCTCTCCAAAGACAGTTACAGTCGGCCGGGGGCCCACTTTTGAGATGCGCGGATGGCTACACTCCTTCCGACGCCCAGCTCGACTATGTCATTAAGCTTCCCTCAAATCACTGGCGGCTCGTCGACATCTACTTCAGCTATACGCACTGTTGGTATCCCATCTTGGAGAAGCAGGACCTCTTGAAAACTATCTACCTATACCCAGAGAATGGCCTTGACATCCGACAGATGGGGAATGCCTCTGCATCGCATGCCGAGCTCTGGGCTGCCATGGCGCTGGCATCCCACCAAGACGCCTCGAGTCTCAGGATGTCGACTACCGGGGTAACCGAAAGCACGACTCTGTCGTCGGACGATATTTACAACATCGCAAGGAGACTCGTGCCCTCAGAAGAGGGTGATTTCGAGATCCAGCACACTAGAGCACTGCTTCTCCTCGCCCTCATCAACGTCGGGAAAGGAAAGAAGACGTCCGCCTGGATTTTGGTCGGCCTGGCACACCGGATTGCTCTGGACGTGTCTGAGCTCCATAGTGGCGAAGAGCGGTCGTCCAGACAGGCCACGGCAGTATTGATGGGCTGCTATATCCTTGATACCCTCATCTCGGTACATCGAAGGGGCATGCCGAGCCTCGATACGGCGGGCATTAGCGAAGGCATGAGCATACCAGAGGACAACCTGGATGAGTGGCAGCCGTGGGCACCGTGTGAGGGGTTCGGCCCGACTCCTGGTGCGAGAATGTCCTCTCGAAGTCCAGCATATTCTTTGACGACTTTCAACCAAATATATGATGTCTTCAAATTTATGAGGAAACGAACTATGCAGAGGCAGAATGGGCTTCTTTCGGGAGAGCATCCATCAGAGGCTATGATGCTCCTACACCAGACCATCAAGCCACGCCTTCCCTTTGCCAGCTTCATCATTTCTCGGGATTCCAGCTCGGTCAGCATCCCGTCCGCGTACGTACTGCGAATCTTGTTCTTATGGGTGGGTGCCATACTCGATTCTGTGGACGCATCGCCCTGCGGTCTCATTCTAGAGTCTGTCGAGCAGTACTTGGCACAATTCGGCGCTTGTGGCGCACCGCCATTCTTTTCAAGCTGTTTGGCGATGATGCGGCAGCACCCGAGCTTCAATGATCTTCACCCACAAGGCAAGGAAAGATGGCAAATGACACAAGATACCTTGGCTTCCATCTGGACGACACCAACCACCAAACCACCCCGAACGGTTCCTCCAGTTCCCGCTCTCTCGAAGACCACAGCCACAGCAGAAACACCCCTGGCTGCCGCATCGGCCCATACCGCCCCTACCGTCAGCACATCGACACCCCCCGACCTGTATAGCTCCGCCAGCCTCCAAACACCGGCCATCATACCTAAACAATTCTCTCCACAAAATCACACGCCATTCATGATGGGAACACTGTCACCCTCGAAAGCCGTACACGACACTGTTATCGACCCTGCTATGGCAGACACCAGAATGCCCATGCTAAACACGCAGTCCATAATGCACAGCGGCCCCGGCCCTCCGCTCCAGCAAGGGCAACGCATGCCCCCCACGCGGACTCTAGTCCACCGTGAGAGCTTCAACGCAGGGCCTCTGGACTACGATGCCCTTCTAGACGACCTATCGTCGATGGACTACCTCGACCGCGTCGACGCTGATCCACAGTTCATGGCGAACCTGGGCTTCGCGCCGGGCTGTGATATCTCGGAGGTCTTGAGCCACGAGTTTGGGGCCATATAATGAGTATCTTTGGGCTCTACAACCCTATCTCTGCTTGATCAAGCAGAACAGTCTGTACATATATAGCGTGTGGAGGCGGTCCATTAATGCCAGCCATCTTGATCGAAATCCACGATTCCTGGTTTGCAGCGGAAATCCATAACAGCCCTGAATCTGTATTCTTGTTGAGACATCTCCGCTGTCAAACTCGTCTCAGCCTGCGGTGACAAGACATCCTATGCGAACAGTGCTTGGTGTTTTGAAGGGATTTTCTTTAAGTAGGCAATACTTGTATAGTTTCGGAGATTTGCTGACGGGTGCGCTTCTCGCTCTGAATTGCCTCAGTATTCTGCACATTGTCAACGAGGCTGTGGGTGCTTATCCTCGAATCATGCCTCGAACCAAAAGTATAATAAAAGGCCAGGCAGGTTTGTTTTGCAGATAAAACATGAATGGCAAAGCCAGAATCCTTTGTTCCCTGCCAGCTGCATAATCGAGAGCAAGAACTTGTCAACATTTTCCAATTTCAAAGCAGTATGCTGCTGCAGCATTGCTGGTTCTTGCTGAGCCAGCACGCATGAAGTAAGCACATTTTTGTCGGGCCTTTATGCCTAATGAGGAATAGACGGACTGAATGTCCTTACAATTTTCAATCTGAAAGGGCTGTTTTCAGCCCTATAGGTCTCAATGCATGCTGACCCAGCATACATGTAATGTGAGTAAGCAGACCAGACCAGTATTTCATGAAGATTATGTTAAACATATGAACACGTGCTGTGGAGTTGTGGGGTGCTGCGCAGCTGTTTTGCTAAGTCCAACAGGTTACTTTATGTTTCAAAAAGAATGCACACTCACCTTGATTCTGCACTGGACTTTTCTGAACAGATATTAAATGAAAAGAATGCATACCATTCCCAAGCCATGGTTTCACGCATCATAAGCAGATCTAATTTCCAAACCCCCGCGATGCAATATGCATCTTGACAAGTTGTCTTGACTGTACATTAGTCTGATGAATAAGTCAGCTCTTGATGCTCTTGCATATCGATGTGGAGGGAAAGGTTCTATTTACATCTTCGATGGTGTCTTTCATGAGAAAACGAATGATTGTAACTTTCTCAGTTTGGCCAAGCCTTTGTGCCCTTCCAAAAGCTTGTTGTTCCAAGAATGGGTTCCATTGCGGTTCCAGAAGGTATATCCGAGATGCAACACCCAAATTGAGCCTTATTAACATGACGAATTAGTGACCATTTAGAATGTTCGGCGCATCCCTGGTGTCTCATGCATTCTTGTTCTCATTGTATTTGTCCAAGGTCTTACCCGACTGCCCCTGTTCCAAGGGTCATCAGCAATATACTGTGTCCTATCGAGGATCGAAATCTGTTGAGAATTTGACTTCGTTCGGTATGTGGAATGGACCCATGGATAAAGTAGAAGTGAAGATTCTGAGCCTGTAGAATAGTGCCGACAACATCCAAGGTCTTCTTCCAATACGAAAAGACGATACTAGGCGAACTATGTCAATGCTGGAATCACAGCAGAATTGATTTGTAATCTTACCTCTTCGCAGCGATATGCTTCTTGACATCATCAACGAATGCCAGCAACTTGGAGGGGTATTCTCTTGTCTGATGAAGATCGGGCTGAGTTGCAGACAATTCCCTTGATGCCGTTGCCTCCTTCAAATGGCTCAACACATTCCGCACAGTATTATCCATGGTACCAGCCCTACACGCTGGACAAGATCTGGTCTCTGATGATGCCTCACTGTAACACCTTCGACAGGCCAGATGCTTGCATTGTGAGATGAGACGGCCACCATCTGTATCGAGATGATCGTTGATGCTGTATATTGTGTTGGAGCAAAACACACAGTTTGCTGCGTCGTTTTGCTGAAGGTAGCAAAGAGCATCTTCCAGATCATTCTCGTCGGAACAACTCCGCAGATGTCCGTGGTTACAGAAGAGGCGCAGCTTTAGCAGGGCCTGAAAGATCAGTGGACTACATGAATCAGTAAGACCACTGACATTCAAGTCGTCCAGCTTCTTGGCACGGCGCAGGATTTCTTCGTAATCGTTTCTTTCTGCTGAATTGAATTCCAAATGCTGAACTTCGATCACAGGCTCGGGCAGGCCGGCCACTTGTTTCGTTCTCCGCAAGCAAATCGAGGTCAAAAGTAGTCGGAGGGTTCTGTAACGATCTCGTACACTGCGCGTCTCCTGGTTCATAATGAACCTGCGAAAAGTCGCAGGATGGTCCAGTAATGGGACTCGAAGAATATTAACGAGAGAACTGATGTCTTCCAAAGAGTTTTGAAAAGGGGTGCCACTCAAGCACCAGCGGTGCTCAGCAGCAAGGCCAGCAATAGCTTGAAATTGCTTGGTCTTTCTGTTTCTCACTTCGTGTGCTTTGCATGACTTTGTCTTAGAAAGGATGGGTTTTTCTAATAGCAGTCTTCGTGATACGCTTACCTTCGTCCAACACAATCCGGAACCATTCGATTGTTCCGAATACACCAAACCCCGAGACACGACTCGTTGGACTTCACTTACGATGGTCTTATAAGTGGTGAAGACGATATCGCAATCTAAACATTCTCGCGCTCGTTCATGACGCCCCGGTCCATGAAACTTGACAACAGAGATGGTATTGCATTGGACATGTCTAGGTAATTGTTAGTTATACTCTTTCCATATTATGTATGTGATGAACCAAGGTATTGTCCATCGTGACCTACTGTTGTAACTCTGCTAAATAGCTGTCAATGAGGACTATGATAATCATTTCAGAAGTTTCAGTATCATGTATCACAACTCGGGGATCATATATAAGCACATGTCTCTTACTTACTCGAGGATGGCACAACAACAAGTGTTGCTTTTGATCTGGTATGAGTTGCGCTAGTGGACGATTCTTGCAATGCAAAAGCCGTTGCTCGTTCAAGAGATCCAACAATGGTAGCAAGCATCACCATTGTCTTGCCTAATCCCATCTCATCTGCTAGTAAACCACCTTTACATTCATATTTCTGTGGCCGCTCGAAGCCAGTGATCTTGTGTCGGTAACTTCGAAAATTGGGATGCAGAAGTCAGCTCGTAAATGGGTTCTCACTTGGAGACTTTCCAGGCTGACCTTTGTTCTTGCTTTTCCGTCACATGTGTCTCCCATAGAGAAAATCCGATAGGTAGTGTCAGCGTTTCGCGACGGAGCACGAAATCGAGTGCTTGCATTTGATGACTTCCAAGGTGTGAGTATTTTCTGTTATTGTCAAGATTATTTGAAGTCTGACATACTCTTTCAAAGCGGTGACCAGCGCACCGCTTCCTCCTCGTTTCTGTAACATCGAGCTCTGTGATAGAGAATCTAGAATGGAGTTGAACTCAATACTGCTGCCTATTTCAATAGGATCGAAATCTTCTGAAGCAGTTGAAGTCTCTGGCTCGTCCGCTGCCTCATTTGTGTTGATTGCAAACATTGGGGTCGCATCAACACTAAGACCCTGCAGTTCTTGCACATGAAGAAAGTGAGGGTTGTAGTATTGTACACCTTGGCGTCCGGCGAGTGGCTCTTGTAAGTAAAACCCGGATAAGGACAGAGCTGTTCCGACTAAGTGTGCATCTTTCCGGTTACCATACACATTGATATCAATGACCATAGTTGCGAACCGGTTTGTCAGCCACGACTTCGTTTTGTCACGAACTTGACCCGTGTCGACAATGGCCTCGAATTCAACATTGTACTTTTGGAGGATTTCGTGGAATACCTGACTGTGATTCTTGCTGAAAACCGCGAAGAAGTTGTCCGAATATTGCAAGCCGTACCACGCATCTGCGGATGACCTAGATTGTTTGTAGAGCACAGGCAATCGCTGGACACGTTCGGCGAACTGCATGTGGTGAGACTGGAGTAGCAGGCGGATGCAGACATCGCAGATCTTCGAGCCCTTGTTAGTCCGGGCCAGTTCAGGACATATAAGGTGGCAGAGGTGTTGCAGCTTACCGAGCCATAGCATAGGATACACGATGCATCTAGGGGCGGACCAACTGGATGTTGTCCCAGGTTGCTACCACACAACGGCTCATTTACGTGTGTGCGTTGAGGAACCCAATCTTCAGTATCTCGACTCTCAGCCACGCTTATCCAAGGATGCATGCTCTCATGATGTATTTCGTCCATGCTTGTGCTGGAAACTAAGAATAGTCGCAGCTAGTAGAATTGATCGTGAAGCTTTAGGGCCACGAAGAAACTTTTGAGGCGGTTTCAGGATCTTATATGACCGAGTTGATGTTCACTTCCCTTTCCCCAGAGAAACTTGTGTTTGATATGCACGTTGTCGCCAATGGCTGGGTTTCAGCTAAATAGGTCCATAGCGTATTGGAGACACAGAATCAACGATTTTGGGTGTTCATGCCAGCAAACATGAGTTGGGGGAAGGGTGAGGGGCTATTAAATGGCTACATAAAAAGCCACAGCCTCATTTTGGTTGGTAACTAGTAAATCTCCTATGCACATACCCTTGCTCAAAGTAGTACTTTAACCAAATCAAGGGGCTCACCTGCAGGTTCACAACCAATCGCCAACCCAGCACAGCTTCGTCGGGCGGCGGCATGTAATGCAGCTTAATATTAGGCCCAGAACAGCCACCTCTTGATGACACCCGTATAAGGCGAACGATTCTCTTGTTGATTCCCGTTCACGCGCAAACATCTCATCTCCAGTTTATAGCGAGCTGTACAAAGGTCGACCAATATGTCAAACCCGAATTCGATAGCAGCCTTTGAACAAGCGCGCAGAGAGTTTGTGGCTGAGCTGAAAATCGCCGACCGGCAAGAGTTTCAGAACGCAACCCGCGAAAATGTACACTCGGAGATCGACAAAATTCAGGCTCGGCTAATGAGACAGAGGCGAGGGAAAAATTTGACTCGATTGAAGTCGTTCCTCGAGGCGATAGACCAGTTTGGCAAGGTCATTGAAGTCTTCGGCAACGCATCTCTTTTTGTTGCCTTCCTTTGGGTGAGTAAATGTTACGCTGGACTCAGTAGTATTAATCAATCCATCATTATATTGATTTGATGCTAGGGACCCATGAAGTTCCTTTTGCAGGTGAGAGGAGTCGATATTCATTGTTATGGCATCAAGAGCGTCCATATTCCTAGTGGACTTCAGATTAAATTTTGACTGCTCCTTGGCTAGATCGCAAGTTCATGGACGGACGCGCTGGACGATCTTGTTGGCGTCTATGAGAAGATTGGCGATAGCTTTTCGCAATATCTGCAACTTGAAGGACTCTTCGAGAAGGATGCAGACATGCTCAAATACTTGGTTTTGATCTACAAAGACATCTTGCGATTTCATCAACAAGCATTGCGATATTTCCAGCAGCCCCGTAAATATATGTTCCATGGATGTTTTGAGAGAGGGTTTTATACTGATAAAATTTCTATGCAGTGCTCAAGCAGCTTCTCCAGGCAACCTGGAAAACGTACAAGACTCGCTTCGACCCGATCGTGGATGACATTGAACGTCATAGCCTACGCCTTCAAGTCCAGACGACCACGTCCCACATCCGAAACGAATCTCGGCAATTGAGGGCCATCATTGTTGAACAGGAGGGGCAAAGGTTGCGCGATCTTTACCAATGGTTGAGGTCGCCAACAAACGGTGCCCAGAGCAGCATCGACAACGACCATCACCACTACAGAACATTGTGTGACGAAGACCCTGAGAACAACAGATGGCTCTTGGAGAAAAGAGCTTTCAGAGAGTGGATTGAACCGATATCTTTGATGAAGCCTCCACTCCTATGGATCAATGGTATACCAGGGGCAGGTATGTGCTGGGGCTTCCAAGCATCATCGAGTTGCCTCCTCGAGGATATGCGCTCATCACTCCATCTAGGCAAAACAATTCTGGCGTCTTCTGTGATTGAAGAAGTCAAAAAGTCGCATCCTCAATCTACAGTTCTTTTCTTCTACTGCAAGCAAGACAACAGCGAACGAAATTCATTTTCATGCATCGCTCGACACTTCTTGGCCGAGTCGCTGAGACACAACCATGATCTGCTCCTACCAATCATTTACGATCAGTTCTCCAAGAGCACGGAACCAATCCTTGACAGGCTAAAAGATATCGAAGAACTTCTTCGGACTGCCGTATTGAACTGTCCGTGCGCCCACATCGTGATTGACGGCATTGACGAGTGCCCTCGAGAAGATAGAAAAATGATTGTACAATGGTTCCGGAAACTTGTGGAAGATGTTGAGCCGCAAGAACAACATCGTATTCGGTGCCTCTTCGTGAGTCAGGATGATGGTATTGCTCGCAAGGACTTCTCGGGGCTTGCCATGCTCAAAATCGAGCCAGCGGATAATAGCAGGGACATTAAGCAGTTTTCCTTTCGGGAAGCGAGTCGAATCCAGTCGGCATTTGACCTGGATGTGGAAATGACGGCGACTATTGCTTCAAAAATACAGAGTTCCGCGGGAGGTGTGTTAATCTTTTCTTCTTCTTTGTATAGCTCGCCCAAGTACAACGCCCTTTTGGCTGACTCGTGATGCAGGAATGTTTCTGTTGGCCAAGCTGATAGTGTCCAATTTGTTGCAACAGACAACGGTCGAAGAGATCGAGAAGGAACTTGAAGACGAAAATTTGCCAAAGGAGCTCTATGAAGCGTAAGTCGTCGGTGGTCTTTGGCTGAATGTTCTAACTGACCTGAAGATGTAGATACTCTCGAATACTCTTACGAGTGTTCGACCAGGCTTCAGATTCCCAAAAGGCGGCAACACATAATCTGCTTCAATGGCTGGTGTGTTCAAGGCGCACCATGAAGTGGTACGAGATACAAAGTGCCAAAGCTATACATGTAGAACATCAGTTGGTTGACTGGAACCGTCGGCGTTATCGTGTCAGCTCCAAAGACTTGTGTGGATCGCTGGTCCAAATCCGAGACGACACTACTGTGGACTTCGTCCACAACACTGCGAGAATGTGAGAAATCTTTCAACGATTCTTTCGTCCGATCTCGCCCCGATCTGACAAGATTTCCAGATTTATAGCGTCTCAATCTCACAGCAGGATAGATAAGACAGCAGCGCACTTAGCGTTCGCCTCGCTCTCCATCGACTACCTGAACATGCCAGATTTCAGTCAAGACTTCGAAGTTAATGAGTCTGTCATACTTGCTGGCTACTATGGTTTCATGGAATACGCAGTGGCCTGCTGGCTTCGCCATTTGGAAGCCTGGGCTCGTGAAAATGAGGAAGGTGATCCTGAAATCGATGGTTTGGCCGAGGCACTGGAAGTGTTTTTGGGTACACATCTTTTACCGGCGATGTCGAAGCAAGCCGTTCCAGTATCCAAGGGTAACGAACGAACACTGGAGCCCTTCCAAAAGTACGACTTCTTCCAGGATCTCCAGCGAGCAGTGATTCAACTCCGAAAAGAGTTGACATTCTTTGGCGAGATGAAGGACCGCGAAACTCCGCTAGACCTCACCAATATTGTGAGTCGTCTACGGACCCGCATCGAGAATGTGTACACGGATCTTGCGGCTCTCAATGAGACGAAGCGTCTGGTCGAGATATACGGGCCGAACTTGTTCAAATGCTCGAGACTGAGCTGCCGCTATTTCTATGACGGATTTGCGACAGCATTTGAACGTGACCGGCATCTTGATAGGCATGAACGGCCATTTCGGTGCACGGTGCTTGGCTGTCTCTCTTATTCGATGGGCTTCGATACACAGAAAAAGCTGGATAACCATATGAGACAAACCCATAGACGTTTGGAAGACGATGAAGATGCATTTCCAAATAGGAACGACATCTTCAGCGAGAAGCAGGCACCTGTTAGACCTCCAGAAAAACGTCCCCGAAGCCCGACTAGGGGGGAGGGTAATGCATATTCGAGTCAAACTCTAACGGCTAAGAAACCTAGAATAACTGAGTGGCATTGTCCGTACTGTGAGAAGGTCTTCAAGAAGAAGTTCAATATGACCAACCATGTCCGCATCCACAGCGACGAGCGAGCATTTGTTTGTGGAACATGCCCGTCATCTTTCACACGGGAGAGTGACCTCAAACGACACGAGAAGAATCACGCGCCAAGAGAACACATATGTGAAGGATGCGGCAGTAAGTTCGCTCGTTCGGACACTCTTCGAGACCATCACAGATCCGAGACAGGCAAGGCATGCTTGTCATCGCTATCACAGGGGCAATCCGGTCAGAATGCCATCCATTTACAACAGCCCTAGGGCTTCAAATGCTGTCGGTTCCTTCTTCTAGATGAGTTCGGCGGTGTTGACAGAAGCTGGCTATAGTGACATTAAAGGCCAATACAAGACAGACGATGAATGCAAGGAGGTTATTGTGTGTCTATACTGTACTCGCTTTGAGAAATTATCAAGAGTGGTCCTGACATTTCTAATGAGGACTACACAAGGTGTCTCAGTGTCTCGTACATATCACCATCAAAACTGGCATCTCAGAGGTTATTATGAAGGCTCTTTGGTCCAGCTGCCTTGATTCACGGTCATATATCGCTTCTATACACAAGTCTTCATCGACAAATGCATTGACAGGACGAAGTGATAACTTATGTCTTCTCATTCAAGCCTGGTATCTTCCAGACGTCGTCACGCTCAGCTAGACAAATATGATTGCCCACTGGCATCATTCATCGTTCCATACCCGCCCACAAAATATCCCTCTCCCACCTCCGTCGTACCCGACCCCTTTCTCCCTGTCGGCGCGGTAGGCCACTGATCGAGGACCGTCTCCTGGCCAGTCAGCGTAAAGTTCACTACCGCCAGCCCTGGCTCGATATCAAGCTCGAGGCTGTAACTGCCAGGGTAAAGAACTCTGTTCCCGTCCTCGTCCACCCTTGACAGACTTCCCAGAGTCAAATTCAGAGTGGCCGTGCCTGCTGAACCCGCCGAGATGTTGTGCGCCCGCTGGTACGCCACGAGCGTCTTGAGCGGATACGGCGTAGGGCCGAACTCGCCCTTCAGGAAGAGCAGGGCCACATAGTCAGACAGAGTGTTGCCCGTGTTGTGAACCGTCACAGGAACCGAGGCAAATGGGCACAGGTCCAAGTACTCCACGCCAGTGCAGTTGCTCGTCAAACTCGCAATGTCGAAGCTCTTCGTAGAACTAGACAGGCTCATCTCCGCGGTGAAAGTGGTGTAGTGCAGCCCATAACCAAATGGGAAGACAGCCTCGCCGTCATACCATCTGTACGTCCTCCCAGGAAAACCACTCGCCTCGTCCGGCCGCAGGGACATATCCGTCATCGAGACGTTGGCAATGTATCCGGCAGGATACTGTGTGAGCGGCAACCTTCCTGCAGGCGCCTGCTGCCCAGTAATGACATCCACAATCGCAGGCCCGCCGTCCTGGCCCGGATAACCACCCCACAGCAGAGCGCCAACGCCCGGGTTGGCCAAGAGTGGGCTGCTGTCGACCTGGCCGCCGCCCATCTGCACGACGACAAGCGGCTTGCCCGACAGTGCCAGCTCGCCAATCACGTCGAGCTGGGCACCCGTCCAGGCAATGCTGACACGGTCATTGCCCTCGGACTCGACGGAATCATCGATGCCGCCAAAGTATAGAAGCACGTCTGCCGCATCTGCGGCTTCCCAGATCGTGTCCCAGCTGTTGGTCGTCGGGTCGCCGTAGCTGGGGCCGGCAGAGTACAGCACGTTGTCGCTGCCGAGGAGCTGTTGGACTGCGTAGAGCGGTGAGTTCAGATAGGGCGCGACGCCGTAGTATGAGCCCTGCATCTGGGTTGTGGCGGCGGCCCAGTCGCCCAGCACGGCGACTGTCTTGCCCTGTAGTTGGTCGGTTGTGAGCGGCAGGGTGTTGTTGGTATTCTTCAGCAGCACTGTGCCCTCGACTGAGGCGAGATAGGCCAAGGTTTGCGCCTCGGGGGTGTTCACGTCTTCCCAGCCCAGCGACCGATATGGCTGGTCGTCGGCAGAATCAAAGAAGCCTAGTCTGACGAGGCTGGAATAGAGTCTTGTGAGCGCGGTGTCAAGGTCTGTGTCATTGACGAGACCTTGATCATACGCCTCGCCCAGGTGATGTGAGTAGTAGGTTCCGCAGTTGAGATCGGTGCCGGCCTTGAGAGATGCTGCTGCTGCTGCGGCCCTGGAGTCGGCCCAGCGGTGTGGGAGAAAAACGTTCTGCACCGCGTCACAGTCGCTGGTCACCCAGCCCTCGGTGGTGGCAGACCAGTTCCAGTGGTCTCGCAGGACGTCGTTCAAGAGCCAGTCGTCTGCACAAGTGGGCACACCGTTGACGGCATTGTACGAACACATGAACGCTCCGACCTTAGCATCGCGTGCACAGGCCTGGAAGGACGGCAGGTAATACTCGACCATGTCCTGTGTAGAAATGGACGCATCGAACTGGTACCTGTAGTTGCCGTCCCAGGACTCGACATCGTACCCTGCAAAGTGCTTGCAGGTAGACACGACCTTCTTGTACGTGCCATTGACACTGCCCTCAGCGTCGTCTGTGCCCTGAAGCCCGGCGATCAGGCTCTTGACGTACGAGGAGAGGTGGAAGGGGTCTTCGCCAGGTGTTTCCTGGCCTCGTCCCCAGCGAGGATCGCGGAAGGGGTTGATGTTGGGCGTCCAGTAATCCAGGCCTGCCCTGCCGTTGTTGCTGAAGGCGCGGGCCTCAGTGGACACGACGGTGGCTACTGCGTAGATGAGATCGTCGTCAAAGGCTGCGCCCATGGTGATGGGCTGGGGGAACGATGTGGCCGAGCCAAACTCAGATGCATTGTCCGAGTTAAACGTCACGCCTGGCGAGTCAGCTATGCCGTGGAGGCCCTCGTTCCACCACTCGTAGGCGGACAGTCCGAGCCTGGGAACGCCAGGGGATGTAGAGATTGTGGCATTGATCTTCTCGGCCGTGGTGAGTACCGAAACCAAGGCCTTTGCGCGTGTGGTAGGATCTGTGTCTGGTATTAGTCTGGAGATTGATACTTCAGCCTGCACTCGTGGCTGTAAAAAGCCTCCTTACCTAATGAGGCGTTGCACACGGAATTGTTGGCGAGTGGCCCTGAGATGCAATCTGGGAAGCTGAAATTGGCGAGAGCCGCATGTCTGCTCAGGAGGGCCAGACTGGCCAAAAGAAGAAGTGTGGAAGACCTGGCCATGGTCACGAGAGGTGTCGAACTGGGACTGATCCAGGTCACAGCAGACAAGCTGTCTCTTGAGAAGACATGGGCAGTTTCTTCCTTTTATAGTGAATACGTAATTAATATACGACGTTGCACAGATGAGCTGGACTATAAGCGCCCCTCTCTCCTGGTCGTGATCGGAGGTACTAAATTGATGATTTGCCGGCGTAGTCTCCAGGCCCACCTCTTTTTTTGTCGGCATCATCATCATCCCCGCGGGGTCTGTGGAGAATCTGTGGAGGCTAGCTGGAGAATCTGTACCAGTTCTCATCACAATGGTGTAAAGTTGTGTAGTTTTGATGGAGTCGAGTTCGGTTGAATCCTCACCGATGTCATGGGTTCAGCCGGATGCCGGTAGTAGCGTCGAGAGCGGTTGGTGTAGTAGCAGTGAGTGGCAGTCGGGAATTTAACCGGCTTTTATCCTCTGCAGCATGCAAGCAGGGCACGAACTGGGTTCGACAAGGGGAAACGATTCAGATGAGAGAAGGCGACAGAAAATTGTCGTTGGTCTGGTGACTGGACTCTGGAAACCTTAAATCACTGTCGTGGACAAACTGGGCCAAGTATAAGGGCTGCCTCAACTTGAACACTCCTCGGATTAAGACTACAGGCTCTCTCAACCTGCTTAGAGTTCAGCATGTCCAGCAAAAATGGAACCTATTGCTCCTTTTTCTTCGCTTCATCATCAATAGTAAAGCATGCCATGTCATTGCAGAGAGAATGGTGGGGGGGGGGGGGGGGAGGAGGAGGTTGGGAGGTTCACGTTTTAGAAGTGTATCATAGAACAAGAATTGGCAAGTTATCTGTTGTAATAAATACCTGATAGTCAAGTTACTGGATTTAATTGGGAAGAGGTATGTTATCTCCCCAAGATTGTCCTCTAGAAGTTATCATAGACTGAAAGCCAAGCTTGTTCAATCTCGACAATGAAACAAGTTTCAATGGAAATTCATGAGTGGATGGAGGCACTTAGCCAAGACTGTGGAAGAGCCTTATATAAATAATATCTTTTGTGGTCATGTGCTGTAGCCAAGTATGATCGGCCGCTTGAGTGTATATCGGATAGATCTCTTGGATCGGAGGAAGACAGGAAAGTAGCCTTGCAAGAGGCTGTTGGCGAATATTATCTGGGCTGGCTACGTAAGTAATTAGGCCACAAAGCCTGACTAATATCCAACTTTCTCGCTCCATTGAGCCAGCTACTCCAAAGGAATCACAGAAAGATGAGAACGCCCCGGGATGTTGTCTTGATGAATTCAACAGAGTGCGGTAGGCAGATTATAATCAACAGCTGTTTTGATATGTCAATAGCCGATAAATGGCTTCGATGACCACCTCGAGATGAGCATCCTTATGTACTTGAATCAGGATCTTGGCACCACGATCCGGAAGACATAGTTCGACTAGGCAGCAAATATTGTGTAGTAAAAATCTTATATTTGAAGACGAAGAGTTTATGTGTCGAGTGAGTGGGTAGTAAATTCTTCGCTGGGCTTGTATGGTCGACTCTGCTCTTCCATATCTTTAGGTTTTCTCGTCTAAGTGAATACTGGGCGGCTGTGGGCAGCAACTGGTACCCAGGTCTGCAGTGCGTACAAGCCTCCAAGAGGGTTTTACTAGGCTGGCTCAAATCTCTCTATCTTGTACAACCACCCAATGGTTCCCGTTTTTGGCTTCTGTACAGTCATTCATGAAAAGTAATACTTGGTATACAAAGTTCGGTTGCCATCCCGTCCGCAGCTTCAATTTTGATGACGAGCACAAGTGGCCAGCCTATCGGGTTGTCAAGTATGTCTATGACATGTGGCAGAGACTATACTTGGTCATCCACGAATTGCCATTGCACCTGGGCTTACATGGCTCGTCATGAACCAGGTCGGGCAGTCTCGAAAGTGCTGAGCGACTTTCCTTTGCAATTTGACATCCGCTTAACACCCTTGCCTCCTGTCCAGGAGAAGAAGCCATCGGATAAAACTGCGTCTTCTCAGGACCAAAAGCAGCGAAACATGAGAACAATCTCGGACGCATAGTAGGGTCAGTAGTCACAGGGGAGTCTTTCGGTCTTTTCGTTACTAGATCCAGATTAGAGGGATTATGAGTGAGATTACACCACAGAGAACCTGACAAGGTCCCCTGTCGGGCTTTTGTACTCTACTTGATTAACTCCGTCCCCGTTGAATTGCCACTGGTGCTTACTCTGTTGTTATTAGTATGCCTCTAGGTCCCCACTTTTTGGTGTATGAACCTGAACCTCTCAGCGATTGATTTGCGTCTTCCTTTTGATTTGTAAAGCACCTCTGTTTCTTAGTAACTAAGTCATCGCCCTCAAATAATCACATTAAATATCGGATTGCGTATGAGATCTTGAGAATTAGATCTGTTTTTTTTTTTACTGTCATTATCGAAACGCGGAATAAAATACTCATCTTCAGCAATCTCGCTATTTCTCCGCATCCCCTTCCTGGTGTCTTGGGTCTCGGCCTGCTCGCGCCATCATGTCGGGCTCAGCAACCGCAGTCGAGATCGAGCTCGGCACTCTGCGAGTTGTAGACGAGGCGCAGTCTCATGACAAGAGTGCTCCAGCATTGGCCGCATCTTCTTCGTCGACGACTTCTCCTGAGCCCGTCGCACCTGGCAAGCTACGCTCAGCGGGCATTCTCATAACCCTCGCCTCCGTCTCGCTCCTGAACACATTCAACTCGGGCCTGCTCACAGTCGCCCTGCCCACCATGGCCCGCGATCTCCCGATCCCGTCGAACCTTCTCCTCTGGCCAGCCTCCGTCTACGCCCTGGGCCTCTCCTGCTTCCTGCTGCCGCTCGGCGCAGTCACGGACCTCATCGGCGCCCGGCCCATCTTCCTCACAGGGTGCGTTCTGTACACATGCTTCACCCTAGCCGTGTCGCTGGCCCGGTCCGCCGACCAGCTCATCCTCTTCCGCGTGCTCCAGGGCATCGCCATGGCCTTCTGCATGCCACCCGCCGTGAGCACCATCACAAACATCTTCCCGACAGGCCGCACCCGCAACGTCGCCTTTGCCGTATTTGGCGGCGGCAGCCCTCTCGGGTTCGCCCTGGGCCTCGTCCTGGGCGGCCTCTTTGTGCAGGCCTCGAGCTGGCGCGCGGGCTACTGGATGAGCACGAGCGTCAACGCCGCCTCCATCATCCTCGGCTGGGTCGTCCTGCCAGGGAAGAGCGGCGATGGGCTGACTGCGCCCCTGGGACAAGACATCCGGCACAGGCTCGCCACGGAGCTCGATTGGATAGGCGTGGGCGCCGCGAGCGCGTGCCTTGCCCTGCTGTCGTACGTGTTCGCAGAGGTGACGAATGGCTCGGGTGTGTTTCGCTCCCAGCCGCACATTTCCGCCCTTCTCGCTGTTGCGGTGCTGCTCGTCCCTTTCTTTGTGTTCTGGGAGGGCCGCCAGGAGAGATTAGGCCGCCCCGCCGTCTTGCCTAACAGCATCTGGAGGCGGCGTGAGTTCACGGCCGTTTGTCTATCTGTGTTTCTGACCTGGTCGTGGTTTAATGCATTTGGATACTGGGCAACACTTTATTTTCAGGAGTCGCAGGGCCTCGACGCGCTGCATACAGCCTTGCGTTTTCTGCCGCTGGTCGTGGCTGGTCTGGCTACGAATGTTCTCGCTGCTGTGGTCATGGACAAGGTGAATGCCGGGCTGCTCAGCCTGCTCAGTGGGATTGTGAGCGCCGCGGCGCCGCTGATTTTCGCTCTGCAGGATCTGGGCTGGATCTACTGGAAGTCTGCGTTTCCAGCTATGATCTTGAGCGTGATAAGCACAGACCTGCTTTTCAACATCAGCAATCTGGTCATCACTACAAATTTCCCTGGGAAGAGCCAGGGCCTGGCGGGTGGTGTGTTCAACACGGTGGCTCAGCTGGGGAACAGCATCGGGCTGGCTATCACGGCCATGATTGCCGCTGCAGTAACGAATGCTGCTGGGAACGATGGGATGGTCACAAAGGGAGGGTTGACGTATGATGAATCGGCGTTGCAGGGCTATCGGAGTGGGTTCTGGACTTGCTTTGCTGCGGCTGTAGTGAGTACTTTCATCAGCTCGATTGGCCTGAGAGGTGCTGGGAAAGTAGGCAAGAAGAAGGAGTCGTAAATTTGTGTCACTTACGGGGGGCATGTTGTAAGAAGATAGATTTACGTTAACTATGTTTTCTTCTTTCTTCAGACACTATGTTCTAGATAGACTCATGGCGGCTGAGCTTGCAAATTGTCTCATCAGATTTCACAGATACACAAACTTCAAGGAAAACCACATGTTGTTCAGTCTGAGCAATTCCCTAAGATGTGATACCTCAATGAAGTAGAAAAGGCCGAGCCGCAAGGCTACTATATTTAAGAAGCGAAAGCTATGTACGCAATATAAAATTAGATATATCCAAGGAATCTTCAATAACTGACCAACATCACCAATCATCACGTCGGCACAGGCCAACCCGTGGACCAGCTCAACACATTCCACCCAAATTGGTAGTCCGCATCCGAGATACCAATCGTCGTATCAGCATAGTGATAGTACAGCACGCTTCCGAGGTCCGGGTCCGGGTAGACACCCTGCCCTCCAGGACCAAACACAGTGCCGTGACTGGCAAGGACGGTAGTGCCGCCGCTGGCAGTGCAGTCAAGCCCATCGGCGTCGATAAAGGGCCCGCTGACGCTGGTGCTCCGACAGACGCGGATGGAGTACTCCTCGCCGGCGGCGGGCATGTCGGTGTCGTAGCCGCAGCAGGCGCCCGCGGAGAAGAAGAGGTAGTAGTAGCCATTAGCCTTGCGGTAGTAGATGAAGGATCCTTCCTCGGCGTGGTCGGAAGTGCCGTTGTAGGCAATGTTGTAGCTGGCCCCGCCTGAGGTTGCCGTCGCGCCGCTGTTCATCTCCACCTGGTAGATGTCGGACCAGAAGGAGCCAAAGTTCATGTAGTAGCTGCCCTCGGCCGTCAAGATCAGGTTCGGGTCGATGGCGTTGTAGGCCTTGCCGGACGACGAGGAGATGCCCGTCGCGCCGTGGTCCGTCCAGCTGCCGTACTCCATGGTGCTTGAGGTCGCGTAGCCGATGGCGGAGTTGGAGGTGCCGAAGGTAGAGATGGCATAGTACATGACATATGTGTCGCCGACAAGGTGGACATCAGGAGCCTGTGAGGGTTTATTAGTATAATCGCCAAATTTGAGACAGTGTACTCTTTTGTAAATGAACGAGATGTTTGGACTAAGCAGGCAGACTTACCCAGAGATCATCATTGCCCTCCATGTCGATGATAGAACCGTTGGGCATGGCATCTCCCTCATACGTCCACGGACCCTCGAGCGAGTCGGCTTTATAGATCTGGCCACCACCGCCTGTGTTGAAGCGGAAATAGACACCATCAGAGGCACGACGGATCAGGGAGGGATCGTGTGCCCAGCAGTTGCCAGAGCATGACCCGGGGTCAGCATAGTCTCCATAGACAAGCGGTATAAAGGCCAGCGCCAGGGCAGCCAGGCCCTCGGCGTATCTAGAAAAGAACATGATAGCGAATGATATAGTAAATGAGTGAATAGTTAGAGAAAGAAACTTAAAAGAGGAGAAAAGGAGAGCGTAAAGAATGGTTGACGAAACGAAACATGTGTAAGAAACAGAACCCTCGTCCCCTATGTATATTATAACATCGTGAGGAGGGGGGGGGGGGGGGCAAGCTAGGTCCGCCTCACGAGAGAGGGTCCTCCCGGTGTCTCGTGTTTAGCTGGCGAAACAATAAAGAGGGTCCTTGAAGCCCCTTTTCCATATCGTACAAGCCAAATCCAGGCAGTCCCATGAGAAATGAATCATCTGGGCGGCAAAGATTGAACAGGCTATGAAAACTGCTGTAGCATTAAATAAGCATTTTGCGAATGAACATCTGCATTGCTCGAGGTTATCAAGTTGTTGGTCTTTTGCATCCGATGTGAACAGCAGAGAATCGCCCAGACCCTTCATGACCCCCAGTCAGGCGGTTGCAAACGGTTGAAAGGCAACAGAAAAATTTCGCTCAATGCAGATGTGTATTTCAGAAGACCTGCACTTTCTTGCCTTGGACTCTCCATCATCTCGGATCAGAGGAGTGGCTCATTCACCAGCGACTTTGGTCGCCGGATCAGCTGACTCCGATCTGGCTGGGAGACGTCGCATGTGGCAGCCGACGAGACCGACGACTCTTTGACCTTAATCTCAAGCTTACATTGAATAGGCTTGACAGTTCATTCGGAAATCTGCCCCCCCCCCCCAGCTGTTGATACAAAGAAACTCAGCACTCCGTGTTCTGGTCTATTTCCAATGCCTGCCCCGAGGATGGGGAATGAGTTCTGTAAGGTAGAATTCAATGCTCCGTAGCCGCAGCGTACGGGGTCAAAACTAAAGAAGGGCTTCCGAAGGGATCAGGGATCTGAGTGATCCTTTTTCATTTCCGCCCTCGGCCGAGCAAGCAAATTTCTTCCGCACCGGCACCATCTTGTCCTTCGAGCTGACCTCGGCTCTCAAGGCTATCGTTCGAATGTAAAAATGGGAGGAAGGGGAAGAAATAGATATGAAGATCTTGAGGCTCTGCGGGAGATCTCCGGCGAATATTTCAATGTGATTTCTGATCGACGAGACCGAGTCGGTGGTTCGACAGGGGGTCTGGAGCGCACATGTCGATCTGCGCAGTGCCTGGGGCCAATTGCCATAGTAGGACCCACTGACCAGGTGCCTCTGCGTAGATTTGGTGAAGTCTTTAGATGCACAAATCATTTTTGTGTTTGATTTGGGAATTTAAGAAGCTATACAATCTATACAATTGCAACAGAGACGACAAGTCGCGCACCAACAACACTGACACGCTCTTAAGTGCTGTGTCACCAGAGCAGATGAAAAGGTGAACGCACAACCATGCCACACAAGGACATGTAGGTGCCTTTGTTTTCTTTTTGTCCATACAAGACTGTCTGGAAGCTTTGTGGCTGGGCGTTCATGATAGAATTTCTGAAGATCATCCCTAAGCTGTTCGCAAACCTTTCACGCTGGTCAGCTGCAGCTGCAGCCAGATAGTCTCTCCAGCTGCTCTCCGCAGGCTGGCACTCGCAGAGACACATGTGCGACTCATGGACACGACTCAACATCTCTTTAACATTCTGGTAAACGATTCTTGTGCCACCTTTCGAAGACGGGCAGTACCTCTTCGTACAGCCTCGAGCCTGACGAGATGGGTCCTATGGGTCCTACTCTCTGTGGGAGGGAAGAAAAAAGTTGGAAAAAAAAAAAAAGAAAGGTGAAAGAAGTTGTGATTTTCATCTTCATTTATACCCAGAAAGGTAGAGTAAATACATCAAATTGGTCATGAGATACTAGTCCCTTAAGAGAATGAGTTTATAAAGAAATAATTTGTAATCACTCTGCAAAGGTGGGCTCCCAAACCTAATAAAGGAGAGAAAAGGTGGCTGGTCTGACATGGCAGAGGTGTAAGCGTACAGCAGTTATCATAGACAAGACTAGAACACCGGAGGCAGATCTTGGAGATGGGGTGGTCTTCTATGTATTACGTCTTATCTCAGAGCCAAAGTCTGGCAGTTCCTGTACATGATTCATTCTAGGTGATGGCCCATCACTCACTTGCATCACACATGAGATTTGCTATCTATCGAAAGCAGATGCTGTGAGTGTCCCGCACCTTGTCCATACTGAATATGTCCTTCTCATTTCAGACGACAACCTGTCAGCATTTCCTACTATAGTAGATATATGTTCATCTGGCTTATACCCCAGAAGTATGATGATCTCATCATGCCGTTCAGGGTTCTGCGCCGAGGTGGAGAGAGAGCATCAGGGCCATGCAGAGAAGTGGGGGCTTACAGAATCTGACGTGCAGGAACCCTCTGCCTCTCCTCCTCTGCAATGGAACACAACGATCATCGATCAAGGTACGAAGCAGCATCGCATCTTAACCATTTGTGCAACGGTGCCTGAATTTCAGGTCCAGGTCCTATGTGTAGATGATTGAAAATTAAGGTTGGACCCCACCTCCTACCATGTAAGCCAAGCCACTGTCTGCTGTCTCCTTGTCTGACCAGCCAGTTGGATGATGGAAGAGGAGTGTTGAAAAACGAATAGGCTGGCAGGGTCTGCCCAGGCTCAGTGTAGTGGTCCCAGCCTCCCGCGATTTAGGCTATGGGGCATGGCACTGGGGTATGCCCAGGGCGCTGTCTGTGCTTGGACCCAACTAAGACCAGCCTCATGAATTTCTTGTGACAGGATGGGGAAGGATGCGCCATCCACGCAAAAGAAGAAAGAAAAAGAAATAAGTGTTTGTCTCTGACTGATACAGTAGTCAGAGCTCTGGAATGCGAGGCTCACTTTGGAAATGAACATAAATTGAAAGCCCTATGTTCAATAATTTGGTCCAGATCAGAGACACAGATTTGTTTTCCCCAGGTTTGCTTGGTCCAAAAGAGCAATTCAGAGGAAGATCAGCCAGAACGTCATCTTGCAGGGATTGGGTTTCCAAGTTATCAGCAGCGTCACAAGTGCACCTGCCCACGACCTACACCACTGTCTAAGGAGGGCAGGAGCAAACTCTCATCTGGACACACCTTGAAGGTGAATAGCCTATGCTGACTGGGGGAGGAAGAGGATGCAGGGCTCCCCAACCTCAAATGATCACATCCTTGGGAGAGAAGGGGGAAAAAAAACAAGCGATCCTCACGATCCCACCCTGACAGAACCACCCTATATCGAAACTGGGAAACACCCCTGCCCCACCCTCCACCATCGCTATACTATGGTAGAAGCTTACCTGCCACCCCCATATTAAAACCCTCCTGCACATCTGCACACGCCAATATCTGCACCGCCTGCGCCTTTCTACCAGGTGCACAAACACATCTACATCTGTCTTTCTCTCTCTCGACAACAATTTGCAGCTGCAAGCCGCCTCTTCCCCTCCCTCTTGGTCGCCAAGAAGCCCAGTCCAATCCAGTACGGGTTTCTGTGCTGTAGCTGACAGCAGGCACCTGGCTGACAAGAAACTGATCTCGACCGTTTCTACTCTTCTTATTCTCTGGAAATCTCAACTTGGACTCTGTGCCCATTAAGACAACGTCCTCGAAACGGCGCCTGTCCTGACAAACGACTCAAGATGCCGTTTTTATTCACAGTTGGCTTCGTCTTCTGGCGATTCGTCGAAATTGTCACTTTGGTAAGTTGCTGCTGCCGCCATTGCACGCCCGTCTGCTGTCCTCCAACCCCGCCTCGACGTGAAACTTGGCAGCGCATCGACCTCCTTCTGACTTGGGCGCGCAACTACAGGCTCCCATCGTGGGCATGCTCGGCTACTTCGTCAATGGCTACGTCAACGCCAACGTGATGACCCCCGACTACATCTTGATACTCTTCATAGTATCCGTGTTAGCCCTGGCTTGGGCAATATTCACCCTCTTCTCCTACCACAGGAGCAGCACCAACGCGCGGTTTGTCGCCTTCATTGATATCTGTACGTCTTTGGTCCCCTCACTCCCCAAACACATAGACAGAGATCTAGCGCGCGCATCTATATCAGCTCGAGTATCTGACCTGACAACTTGTCGCGACCCACAGGCTTCGTTGGCGCATTCATCGCCGGCGTCTATTACCTCCGCTTCATCTCGAACGCCGACTGCAGCCACATCGCCGCCGGCTCTGGCTACGACATCGATTTTGGTATCTTCGGCACGTACTATGGCAACAGGTATCACGTCGACACAAACAAGACCTGCGCCCTGCTCAAGGCCTCGTTCGCATTTGGTATCATGGAGTGCATCTTCTTCTTCTTTACCGCCATCCTGGCCTGGATTCACGGCGACCGCATGGCCAAGGAGCGCACCACCAAGCGCTACTACCGCGAGACCCACTACTCGCGCCGCGGCCACAGGAGAAGGAGCTCTCATGGAAGCCACAGGAGCCACACCAGCCGCCGATCGAGCCAGTCGCGCCGGAGGGTCTACGTCTAGGGGCGGAACACACCGGGGCCGCAAACTTCGGATGTTCGGAGGGTGTTGCCGCACTGTCATTGAATCGAATCAGATTTAGTGATCGGGACAGGGAGCGGGATGACAATAGCGGGCAGGCTTTTTGATCCACGGGTTTTGATTTATTTCCTTTACTGTTATTCGGTGATCTTGACGTGGGACACCCTTCTTTCTATGGCTTGATGTTGATATTCGGATAGGCTGCTCTAGGTAGCCTTCTTGATGACTTATGATTGATTACAAGGCCTTTGGCGATACATGCAGGATAATTATGAATTGGGGACTTGCTGCAGAGGCGGGGCTGCTTCACTCTAGATCTGGCCACTCCAATAGAGCCGCTTCTCGGAATAGGTTCCAACCAAATTCTCAGTTCAATACTTGGTGGTGCAAATGATTTATTGCAGACGTGAGAGAGAAATTCCCATTCTGCGGAGCTAGGAAGGGTGTCTATACTAACCCCCCCCCCCCCCCCCAGGGCGGGGCCAGCTGCCTTACCAAGCTCACTGCTTGAGGATCTGATATGCTCTGGCTGCTTATAATGGTCCTCGAAGACAGATGATCAATTTGAGCAGCCTGTGTATAGTGCACCACTTGAGACAGCAGCAACACAATGCTAGTCTACCGGTAGAATCTTGTTCGACGACAAGTAACGGCTTGGCCACATACTTGGTACTTATCAAAGTTATTTTACGTGAACGTGAAATAATGAGTTGGTCCTGAGCTTGATTGTCTAGCAAGATGGAACATCACATACCCTTTGATTGGTGCCAACTCCTCTGTATCACTGTTAGTCAAAAGGGAAAATAATAGCAATCATGACCTTGAAATCATCCAAGTCTTATTTGTCTACTCTTTCTGATCACCCTCTCTGATCGTCTTCTTCTTCTTCTTCTTCTTCTCTTTCTTTTTCTTCTTTCCGTTTTTGCTCATCATCATAGGGTAGATATCCCCATTTAAATTATCAACAATTGCAACGATCTCTTACCCACTGAAGTTCACGTACTTTACAAGAACACAACCCTATAATAATCTATAACCAATCCAGCATGCCTCCCAAGAGTTGAAATCGTGGCCACTGTCCGAACGTACAAAGCAGCAGCCGCCAGATAAAAAGTCAAATACCAAGACGGAGACCAAAGCAACCTCCTCCTAATCAAAAACTTACCTAACGGCGTGTCTCAACCTATCACAATAAGAATGGCCAAGTTCGTCGCCGCGCAACTCGGCAAGGGCCATCGAAGTCGCTCTCAACAGGCAGCACGGCAACTTCGCTGCCGAGGCTCTCATCGACCTTAGCCAGTACAGGTACGCCGACAAAGACAAGAGATAGCTCACGCACCTCGAGGCCGCGGTGTTGCAGCAGTGTGCGGGCTGGCGGGCCTGCCAGATCCCCCCATCGATGGACGCGCTGCCAACAAGGGCCAGCAGTGGCCGCTCTGGGTGCGGTTGGGGCTTACTTGCGTCTTTGGGACTGGCAGCATATATGCAGACGCACGGGCAGCAGTAGAGGGCCGTGGTGAAAAACGTGGAGACGGGCAAGGCGCGGATTGGGCTGCGGCCGTGGCGAGGATCGCGTATGATTATAAGAGTCTTGTCCGGCATAGTTCGGAAGCTCCGAAGGAACCTGACTTTGTGCTGACATTTAAGTAGAAACGATACCTCATACATTTTGTATGGACAAGTGTTGGGCCATTCTTTTGTCATCTCCACGCCAGATATGTTGTTGAGACTAGGGTTTTAACTATCGTCTACTTGGTGTGCAGATGTCGTACCTTTTTGTTTGGTGTTTTGTTAGCGAAATCTACGTGCTTCAATTCACCAATTGGAAATAAGAACCCAGTTGTTCAAAGAACACTTATAATTTAGTTGGCGTTGCAAATCACAGGTTCACTCGACGCGTCCTCATAAAAATCTGGGAAACACATGAATTCAGACGAAAAGATGAAAAGTTCGGTTGGATCTTCAGAACATAGAACTTTCTGTGCACGTGTTGGTCAATGAATCATCTTTTCGAGCTCTCTACCGCTCGAACTGCTTGGCGACGTTTGGGCCATCAGACCCCCGCTGTATGATCCACGTCTCAGCGTGGACGATCAGGTAAACTAGTAGCCGCCGCTGGTACAATGTTGCGCCCCTGTGAGGCTCAGCGGGACGAACAACTATAGCGTAGGGGAGGAAGCAGGGGAACCTTACCGAGGCACGCCCTGGTACTAAGTGACACGGCAGTAAAGCCACATGCGCTATGGAGAGTGCTGGGCTTTGCCATCATCATGCCTCAACTTGGTCCCCTTCAGACACAATCTAGATTCAGCCACAGCCCACTGCACTGCGCTTATTGTTACAAACAGTCTTGCTGTTGTTCCTAGGATTCCTCCAGCACTAGGTTGCAGCCACGCCTCCCTGGCAATGTTGACACCTCGGCTAGAGGCTTCGCGATGGCTGCTAATTATCTTGCAATTCCAACCGCTCGCACACGGACAGCTGGTTTAGATGCTTAGGCAATGACCTTTGAAAAATGAGGTAGAGATCCTCATTTATCTCATAGGAGAGAACATCTAGATAAGAAGAATCAACGAGCGACTAACCTTGGCGGACGTGGGATGACGAACAACTCAGACGACGCACCTTCACACAAGTCATCTGAACTTCAGTCGAGATGAGCTTCAAGATCGTCGTGATCGCCTGATCTTGCCCATCATCCCAGACTTTGCTTCTCTGATCTCCCGGTGCTTTCGTGGTTCACCTCGTTTACATAACCTCGCAATGAAGCTTAATCTTGATCCTTGCCCTTTCGCATTTATTTACTATTCTCACACACGCCCTTGGTATTTCGCCTCAGACGTTGTCTTCCCTTGCTTGGCTTGTCAAACAAACTCATGACATTTTATTGTGCAATGGCTTACCCCTTTCCCCTTCGGAGAAATAGTACTATTTGCCAATGGAGGAAGAGGAGGCAGAATTGCTGAATTCCCAGGTATGATCGTCATTCAAGGGGTAGTGCCTCTCTTTCCCCAGGTCTCAGCAGCGCAAAATGCTTGAAACTAATCCCTGAGTAGATCATGGTTCTGTTGAACGATACTGCGCCAGTACTTTGCCAAATGCGTCAAGCCAAAGATCTATATAAGAGTCTTCCTCCTCAACCCTAATCACCTCGGTGACAACCTTTTCACAACCATCCAACCACAGTTCTGAGAACTTCTTGTCCAGTCACTCTTTCCAGCTCCAGCTGCTTACATTCTTTTCTCAACAACCGCGAGTTCGGTTTAATCTTGCTTCCACACGCTTTTAACTTTTTTCCCAATATCATATACCAAGGAGTTTCTGGATTTCCCATTTTCATCCCACCCATTCATTCACCATGTCCAAGTATCTCACCATCACCTTCCTCCTCGCCTGCGCTGCTGAGGCTCGTTTCGGCCAGGAGCAGATTCCTGTGGCTGCCGTCTCTGCCCTCACCAGCTTCGGCCAGCCTGGAGACTCCGGATCCCTCTCTGGCGCCGTCCCAGGTGTTCTTTTGGCTGCTGCCAACCCTTGCGACAAGGTATGTAGTTTCCTTACCGCATATCATGTTATTTTGCACCACTAACAAATAAAATCTATCATTTAGCTCACCCTGGCTGATAAGATCGTGGCCACCCTCGGCACTGACCCAGCCGTCATCAGCGCTGCCGCAGGTGTCGTGGCTGCCGAGCAAAACTTCAACCCCTTCGTGGTCAACATCCCCTCCATCTGCGGCGATGCCACCCTCCCCACCACCGCCGCCCTCCGCGGCATCGTCCCGCTCGTCGACCCGGCTGTGGGCGGATCCAACACCGAGAACGCCAACTCGGCGACCTCACTGAAGACGCCCTTCACCAACACCGACCTGTCTGTTGCTGGTGTCATGTCTGCCCAAGGCTTCAGCAACTTCACCACTGTGGATGCCACCGGAAACGCCGTCGCGGCCTCAGGAGCTGCTGCCGCTGGCACCGCCACCGCCTCATCTGCTGCCAGCGCCAGCACGGATGCTGCGACAGATAACTCGGATGCTGGTTGCGCCGCGAGCGCACCTGCGGCTGCTGCTACTACCACGAGCACTGCAGCTGTAGCCGCCACCACCACCACTGCTGCTGCTGCTGGAAACGCCACGACCAGCCTGGCCGGTGCGGACTTTGGAATCTGCACGCCGACTATGGACTTTCAGTTTGGCCGGGCAGAGTTCAGTAAGTCTCTTCATTTCTTTTGTGATTAACCATAAAAGACTCATCTTTTTGGCTAACAACACTTTTTTTTCTTTTCAGACCGCAAGGCTACTGAGGGAACATTCTTCCCTACCGACCCAAACCTCATCGCCAGCACCGGCCAGACCGACGCCTTGAACCCCAACATCATTACCAACTTCATCTGCAACCAGCTCACCAACGTCTGCCAGGCCAACCAGGCTGCTAAGGATGCTTGTGCGAGTGCCAAGGCGACGGTAGCGAGCCTGGGAACCAAGGACCAGACCACGGCTGATGCTTTCAACTCGGCTCTGGGTTTCTAAGTGAGAAATTAGTCGTCTTCAAACATATTCCTAGTACTTAGGAGTACTCTGATTGTCGGCCTGGGATCTCGAATAGACAGACTTGTGGACAATAGTCGGAAGGAGTTACTATAGATGAAGTCGCAATGTCTTGTTGTATGAATACGAACTTATGATAATACCAAAGTCATTTGAATGTGATTTCCAAAACGAAATGACGACCTATTTTGAGCATGTCTACTATCTACCCGCCCTCTGCCCGACCTTTCTCCTCAGATGCACTGAGAATAGTAGTCGTTCTCAAACGTGCAGGTCCCAGAAGAGCAACACGTTGCCCCAGTCCAACCTATACCGCCACACTGACCATACAGAGCAGAACAAGAGCCACTCGAAGCAGTAGTGGTCGTCACCACAGACGAGGTCGTCGTGCTGGACTTGCTCGTGACGGAAGTCGTCAGAGTGGCGCTGGTGCTGCTGCTACTTTTGCTGGTCGTCGTGCCCCCTCCTCCCCCAGCAGCACCCGTCAGCTTGACTGTCACGACCGAGTACGAAGGCAGAGACACCGTGGCCACACCGCCCGACAGCGTGATCGTCGTGGAGTTGACCGAGTGCGTGTTGTCCGTCAGCCAGGCACTCGCAGCCGAGGGCGTGAACCCGCTAAACGACACGGCCGCGGACGAAGTGGTGCTTCCAGAGTTGGTAAAGACCACCACGACGCTCCCATCTGTATTCTCAAAGGCCCCGATGGCCACGTTCGAAATGGTTCCCGACGTGCCGACACGAACAGCGCCGGGGCGGATGAACCTGCTCCACATGGCGAACGCCCACAGCCTTCCCGACGCGGTGGCCGTCTCGCCGTCTAGCACAGCGACGAGGTAGCTTGAGGCCGAGGGCTCGTCGACCTCCAGCCCTTCCCAGTAGATATACGCAGACAGGTTGGCCGAGAGAATGCCCGTGGAGATCTTCTCGGCCCAGGTCAGCCCCTCGCACAGCCCGCCTGAGCTGTACCACGTCGTGCACCAGGCATCACTCAGGTCGGCCCCCTCCGTCATCCACACCGGCGGCAGGTCCGTCAGGCTGCTGTCGATGAGCGAGGTCGGGTCCCCGCCGTACATGTGGCTGGTGAGCAGGCCGATATAAGGGCTGATGCTGTCTGCGGCGGCGAGGGCGGCGGTGACCGCCTGGGCGTCGCTCCAGCCGGTCATGTCGCAGCAGGCGATGGTGACGGAGCCGAGGCCGGCCGAGTTGAGGGTGTCGTAGAGGATGGGGACGAAAGAGGTGACCTCGACAGGGTTGGAGATTGTGATGAGCATCGAGGAGTATGACGTGCTGTTGAAAAAAAAAAAAAAAAGAAAGGATTCCAGATGTGAGCATCATTATTCAGGGCATCCAGATAATTGGGGCTTTTCGTTCGTTCCAAGGAGAAGATGAGGCAATACTGACGTTAGATCCGGCTCATTGAGAAACCCAACATATGTGATGGGGATTCCCGCCGAAGCATACAAATTGATATACTCGACCAAAAAATTTGCATACGCCTGTCTCCAGTCCCCAGAAGAGCAGGTATGGCCCGTCGTGCCACACAGATACCCACCATCAATATCCTCACCATTCGTCTTCATGAACCCAGGGGCACTCCAGGCGTCCGCATAGATGGTCGACACGCCATAGCTGATCGCCTGCTGGCTGAACCACACCTGGCCCTCGTCGTTGTCGTCCCACACGTACGTCGCATTGGCGGTCGGGGAGCCGGGGCTGGTCGGCTCGATGCTGTCGCCCGTGCCGTTGGAGCCGATGCGGTTGCGGATGATGGTCATGCCGGCCCCGACGGTGGTGTCGAAAAGGAGGTCCAGTCCTTGCTTCTGCGGGGCGGCCGCAAGGGCCTGGAACTCGCTGGCTCGCCCGAAGGCCTGGGAGAAGCCGAAGCCGTCGATGGTCTGGTAGGTCGTGGCGAGGTTGACCTCGATGGCTGTCTGGGCGGCGGCCAGGCCGCTGACCAACAGTGGCGCGTATCGTTTGAAGAAGGAGGCCATGGCTTGGGTGAGGCTTTGCACCCTAGTCAAGTACTTAATGATGAATGCTATGGATGATTCATGTGAGGCGAGCCTTGAAAGTCTCGAGTCTATCTGTCAACAAAGGGTCATCGTGAAGGGTTATGTATGAACTCATAACTGAGAGGCTATCAATGCCGATGATCCGAGGTACGACGCCGTACAACAAGAACAAAAGGAGGAGTTGGCCATGATCCGACTGAAATTGCACACCACGGCCCGTCAAGGCGATGCGAGGTGCCTTTCGCTAGAGTCACAGTGCAGTGTAAAGACTACGAGGTCTTACAAAATGCAACGATTGTGCAATTATGGGATCTTCTATTATGTGATGGCCTGGGATTCCTTGGTCTCAACTGCCTGAATGACTGTCGAAGGGGGTTGCTGTCACTCCGAATTGCCGTTTTGGGTCGAGATACAATGGGTGGCGTCCTGCCGATTGGAGGGATTTAATTGTCGCATCAGAGGCTATGATGCACGTGCACACTGGCTACTGTATTCCATAACGATTACTGTACGATACCAAAGAACTTGTGTATGTAGGCGTTATCTGACAAATCTTATGTACACAAGCCACAGTACTAAGTAAATGTGAGAGATGTCAAGCACCTGCATCTAGTAATTCTTTCTTGAGATGCTTGAGATTTCTTTGTACTATCTAGCCCAGAAAGGCTGCAAGGTTGGGATCTGAAGTATTTGAAAGCCCAGGACGGAGCGCTCTGATTGTGCAAAATCCAAAGTAATGTAGTAATCAAGAGCTCAAACTTGTGTCACTTCATCACCGACCTGTTTGAGAACCTGCAACATGAGTCAAGGGTCTTTGTGGTGATACGAAATCTTTGCGAGTAAGTAATGGTTCAGCTTGTTTCGTGTGCCGTTGAATCGAATACCATCATAATTAGTTACCGTCTGAATGCATCCCTTACGAGTACACACCGTGGACGCTGAGAACCTCGGGACCGCCACGGCTAGCTAAGAAGGCTGGATGGTTCAAGGCGGAAAGATAAGTGACACTGGCGGATGATAGAGGAAGAGCCTCGGGGAGGCAAATGCAAGACCTAGACCATTGCCGGATTCGGACTTCGTGCCTCGTGAAAAGGGGGTTTTATGGTTTCTGCTCCAAGGTGCTGTGGCCGCATCCGGCATGCGGCACAACTGTGTCTCACCCTAAAAAGCAAATGTAATTATCATAGGGGAATTTCTTCATCCTCAACCGGAATGAGTGGAAACTTCCTCTCTCATACACGATACGTAGTCTCGAATCATATGGAGTTGAACGAGCTGCTACCTGCTCGCAGGGGACGATATTCTCACGACTCTCGACGTCGCCTGCGGCATCACCACCGGCATCATGCCCTTGTCACAACGGCGAGACAACGTAACTCATCTACAGCTTACATGCGCGGAATTCGTGGTACGTAATCAGCATCTCTTGGGAGGAAGGACAGATGAGATGGGGAAACCCTCTGTGAGAATTACAAGGACCTGACAGGATCTCCAGGCTGTGTGTTGGACGGTCACGGCAATGTCCTTCATGTTTCTCGTGCTGCGCGTCATCTCGCGTCTTCGCGGCTCAAGACGACTGTTCTTCGATGACTACCTGCTTATATTTGGGTGGATCCTCGTAATGCTCAGGACTGCCCTTTGGCAATGGGCAGCAGTAGAAATGTTTGTCTTTTCTTGTGTTCTAACCACATTTACAGCGGACAGTGCAGACTGCCTGGCCCGGGCAGTCGAGGGTCCCGTCTACAATTTGCTGACTCTTATGCAGGTTCCAAAGCTTGGATAGTATGCTCAGCACAGCAGCATCTAATAGTCTGAGTCACGATGAGTCCATCACACGATACATCAGGGTGCAAGCCATCGGCTTGCTGTTCTACTACACAACACTCCTCGCCGCAAAGCTGTCCATAATATTCTTTTTCCGACGCCTTGGCCGCAACGCTCGAAGACAAAAGCGAATATGGTGGCCCGTCCTCCTCGTTTCACTCGCCACTTACATCGTCTCGATCAGTTATTTTCCCTACGCCTGCTTAGTCGGGTCTGGGTACGACCAGTATGTGGTCTGTCACCCGACCGCCTTTCACGGTCTCGGTACGAGGATGATCGCCGTCAATACGGGGTTAGATATTCTGTCGGATCTTTTCAGTGAGTAGTGGTAGACAAGTGGATGGTGGATGACGGTATTATCTTCAGAAAGATCCTGCCTGCTGACATCTGATCGTGCAGTCATGACGTTGCCGCTCGCCTTGGTCTGGGGCTTAAGACTGAAGTTCAAAAAGAAGCTGGCGTTCATGGGACTCTTTTCCTTGTCCTTGATTACCATCGCAGTTGCTATACTGCGCGCCTACTTTTTGTGCGTCTCAAGAGTGGGGGTAGATCAAGATCTGAACCCGTTAACCGTGGTGATGTGGGGTGCAATTCAGACATCGCTTGGTAAGTGTATACCGACCTGTGACAATCTATTTGTCTACAATGTATACAGAAATGCTGATATCTGCCCTCTCCAATACGTAGCCGTCATCATCGTCAGTCTCATGGCCTTCCCCCAGCTCTTCGCCGCCGCCAAGAAGACGCAGCCAACCTGGCCCCGACAACCACCCTTCTATAATGGGCTTGGAGAGCGAGTGGGAGGAGCGAGGCGGGATAAAATTAACGTGTATGATTTGACCTTGGTTACTACAACAGACGAGACCAATCGCAGTTCCAGGGCGGAGAACATCATGGAAGAGGTTGATGACCGGTCCGAGGAACAAGCGCAAGTAGGAGAAGCAAGCTCTGGACGTGTTGGTCTGGGATCTGGACATCGTTCGGACTAAGAGTTTCCGCCACACTTGGACGTCATGACTTGCGCAGCTGTTGCATGAGCTGTTAGAGATCATGATCAAAGTACCAGATGAAGTCATTTTGCTTCACTTCAAAGACGTTCGGGACCAGGTGACTTCCCTTTCGTGATTGCATCAGAAGGAAAGAAGGAAAAAAAAAAAAAGCACCCAATACATCTCTACGTGTTTGGACATTGGTCTTCGGCCAATTTAGGGATTCAGCATCGAGCGACAGGACAGTCCATCCAATAAATTCCGAAGAGGCGGACTTTCAGTCGTATCATTGCCATACGAAGCCGAAAACCCTCCGTTGGTCCGGGAACGCCCAATAGCGGGCATGTATCATATCGGGCGTTTCCGCGTCGCTCTGTGATGAAGACTAGATGAGCGTTACGAACATGAGACCAACCAATACATGAAAACAGGGCACAATAATCATCGGCTGAGAATTTGGGTGCAGTGTGCTGACTGTAACCTCAAGGTAACAATCATCTCACCAAATGGCTAATGGGGGAAAGAGGAAAGAAGAAAAGGAATGTAATTTTAGAGATATCGAATCTAACTCTCAGTTTGTTGGTAGACTTCAATTACTTAAATATGCAAAGATCGTGGCTGCTCCAGTTACACCACGATGGGCCCATTTTTGAGATCGTCGGCATTTGCTTAGACATCTACATACTTAAGTACTTGTGTAAGTTCTCAGAATAGCATTGTACCACTTTATTCAATCATGAGACAGCTTTTAGCAAATGAAGTAAGTGTGAAGCTCAAGTCCCCACTTGGCAGCCAACACTGCTGACTCGGACATAGATGGAGACAAGCTGCGCATTACGTAGGTACTGTAACTGCGCTCGACAATAGCCGTATCAATACCAGCAGCTGACTTGTCAGGAAGACGAGCTTTGATTTCTTATTCGACTATTCTCTCCTGTGTTTCTCCTGCGCAAAGTTATTGGACTCATCCAGCATGATTGTGAGGAAAAGATGACGCTCAAGATGTAAAATGAGAAGGACATCATCAAGCTTGGTGGTTCGAGGCACCAAAACCATCGAAACGTCAGACCCACCCATGTCCAACAGGAGGCTCAAGCAGGAACATGGATTATCTGCTCGAACAAGCCCTTTTTGACAGAATCCCTGCAGGGGTGCCCCCTTGGCAGTGGACTCTGAGGGGGATTCATCTCACACTGCCAGTGTATTGGTAGGCGAGAAGAACGTACGACGCAACGTGGAAGCCGGCGAGCCAGATTTTAGACTTATTTTCTATTCGGATCGCGGTTCCGCAGGGTCGATGTTTGTTTGATAGGGACTTGACCGAGGAGGGCCCTGGGTTTGGTTTGATCTTCGGGATGCAGGCCCTTGAGAGCGCTCGCCCGAGTTACTTTATACTATGGTAGCCAAGTTGATTGACTATTGTCAAGTCGTCGTTGTCTATTCCAGAAATCGTGGCTGAGAGGAGATCTACGGACTTGTGCTGTAGATCCGGAACGCTGTCGATCTTCCTCGACGGGAAATAGAATTAGTTAATCCTATAAAAACAACTTGTACACGTTGCATTAGTATCGCTGAATGTACTGCGCCACGCTCCAGTCAGTCAAGCATAAAGCCTTCATAGCAAGCCCGGGAATAACACCGGGAGGCAGCTACAAGCGGACGGTGCTACCAGACTGGGCATCCCGAGGGCGCTTCCGCGGTGCATGTGCGAGACAAACATTCGTCTCATTTCACCCCTCTTATCCTGGCAGTCGGGCCACCTTTGGAACATCAGCAGAAGAGGGAGAACAAAGTCAGGGCATAACCAAGATTGGCGCACTTGCGTGCATGTTGGCAAACCAAACCTTTCAGGGCCTCCTTGCCTCCCCCCCCCCCTGCGCGTGTTTCCGAGTGGAACCATCTGGCCGCAGTAGAATTTCCCCCTGGGCGCCTGAACATCATTACTATTGATCGGATCCGCAAGTGACAAGGAAGGTTGCCCAGAGCGGGCGGAACGTCATCAGCCCTGTACTGAGACAAGCAACTGTTACCGTTCGTGGAAGCTCCCCCGTTATTCTGTTGTGCTATAGTACTATGTATACAGCCAGCTTCGAGAGGCGCAACTGAAGGGAAGGCCTCGTGGTCCACAATTCTGGAATCGAACCGACGGGAGGTCAAGGGTACAGCATCTCGCGCGCGCAGGACCCCCGGTACCAGTCTTCATACTATAATCATAGTAGCCTTATCCTATGCCATGCGCTTGATTTGTGTCAAAACACCAGCAGCCACACCCTAGCACCTTACACCTCTGCAAGCGGCTCACTCCACCACTCTGCGACAATTTTCGTTCGAAGGCAAACAAGAGACGATGTTTGTAGATGGCCTCCTGGACGAAACAGGCGGCTGGACGACTAAGGAGCCATTCTTGCTCTTGTCGTCCAAACTATGGGACGCCCAGGGGGACAGGGTGTGGCAAAGCAGGAACGGTCATCTCATGCACATCACAAGTCTTTATTTAGGATGTATATATAGGAAGAGTTGATCAACCAGCTTGGAGGAGTTTTTCTTGGCCATCGATCATCATCTCCTTCACCAGCCATCGTTCTTGACTTTCATTCTTGGGATCCTGCGGATTCTTACGTTCAACTAATCAGTTTTTGATTCTACTTCTCCTTAGGCTGGGCCTTCACTCCCTTGGGTGCTTTTTTTGAGATACAAGTTATTGTTTCATTCTTCTTTTCTGTTCTTTCTTCATTCAGACCATCTACCCATCACGATGTTTTCTCTGAGGCTTTTCTCCCTGGCTGCTTTGGCCGCCCTCGCCCATGGCCACTCCCAGATCATCGCCGCCTATGGCGACTCTGGAATGAGTGTTGGTTTCCAAGGTAAGCACTCCCTGCTACCCCTCCTCCTTTCTCATCAGTGTTCTTTCATATTTGTTCTTACTAACAGCAAAACAGTCGAGGACCTGGCAAGAAATTGCACTAGCATCAGCCCTTGCCAGCAAGACGCCACTCTCATCCGCGACGCCGAGATTCAAAACAATGTCGCCAATGAATGCGGGCGGACAGAGATCGGCGGCAACATCGATGTCGGCGAGAACACGGAGAACGCGCTGGCCGCAGGGCAAGTGACCAAGGTCCAGTCCGGCTCAACAATCACCATGACGATTCACCAGGTGAACGCCGACGGTGCCGGCCCCTACACTGTGAGTTTTGCTCCTCCTATCAGATACAGAGTATGTGAGAAGATGAATTGCAACTGTACTGACGAATGGTCTCGTCTAAAATAGTGCGACATGGACCCGACCGGTAACTCCCTCGGCGTGACCGGCCAGACCGCCCTGCAAGTGACCAACAACGTCCCCGGCGCCAACGGCTTCTCACAGGCCAAGACGCAGGACTTCAACATGACCATCACGCTCCCCGCCAACATGAACTGCACAGGCGGCTCGACGGGCAACATCTGCACAGTGCGGTGCCGGAACAACGCGCTGGCAGGGCCCTTTGGCGGGTGTATCGCCGTGCAGCAGACCGACACCGCCGCCAAGACCAACGTGGCCGCCGACATCACTACCGGGTCTACCCTCGACGAGGTCAACGCTCAGGTCCAGCAGAACCAGATTGACCTCCCTGCTGCCATCGCCGCCAACCAGGCCGGTGGCACCCCGGAGCAGCTCGCTGCCCTGGCTGCCGTCTCTAAGCTCGCCTTCCCCACCGTCGTCAGCAAGGCCGCGCCTGTGCAGACGCCTGCTGCTGATGTTGTTGCCGCCGTTAATGCCGCTGCTTCGACGACGACTGCTGCTGCTGCTGCTACCACCAGCGACACCACCAAGAAGCACAAGAACAAGAACAACTGAGTTGTTCCTGATTGGGAAGCCAGTGGGATTAGGATCGTCTGAGACGATGGTGTCATGATGAGAACTGAATTAGAAAGTAGAGTGTCATATTTCAAAACTATATCAGATGGCTGGTCAGAGGGGGTGTGAATAGGAGGTGGTTGTTCTTTTCCTCCCAGCGATTTGATATATATCTGAACCATATTCCCCCAAAAGAAAAATTTGTCCATACGAACTGTACTACTGGTGAATTGCTTGCCCTCGATTTTGGGCGCCACAACTCCTCCTTTCTGCAACCATGACGACGGTCAACAGGTCGCAGAATGGGGGTTGCGTTAAGGCTCCCCAAACCATTTTTGTGAAGTAAAAGTGCGCTTCCATCAGTCCGGCGCGGATCCGCATGCGCATCACTGAAGGTCACTTTTGCTTCTTCCTCTCCTACCACAGAGTTCTCTTGGCGGCAGGCCTGGCACGACGCGAGTTTCGAATCTGCAGCATGGATTCAACTCCCTATATCCACTTTTATACGCGCGCTGCGCATTTTGTTGGTGTATGACTTGAGACACACACAGAAAGAGAGAGGGTAATATAGAGGTTTGAAGGGCAGAACAATTTCCAGGAAGGTGGCGATGGTCATGCAAAGCGCCCTGATTTTGCTAGGATTTATCGTGCTGGGCGAGGCTGCTCACGTCTTCCAGACAGCGTGACATCTCATTCTTGCTTACTCATTTTTCAGGTCTTTGCAGGAGGCCCCTCACCGGAGCAATAAATGAAGTGAGGCACAGCATCTGTCGCCATTTGCTCTTTTATTGAGACTCGCATCGTTAATTCGTACCGCACTAAGAACCACTACACCTTCAGAAAACCCAGAATTGCACTACTAAGCGTTGAGATTAATAACACCTCATCAAAGGATGACGAGCGAAAGGAAAACAACCCATACCGACCAATTGCGATGTTCAGATAGCACGGCACCTGTGCTGCTTGGAATCGATCCGTCGTCTGTGGAGGCGAGGTTGCTAGGTCTTATTGCCCTGAGGTCCCCATGTGTGGCCTCCCTGTGTCTGTCTGGAGATCCTTCTCGCTCCTTTCCTTGCTAGGCCCACTCAGCCCCGTCACATTGCTGGCCTTGGCCGTGCTGGTCCGCGCGGTAGTCTTGGTCACGACAAAGGAACTTGGTATCGCGAACAAGCTTCGTCTCTGTTCCCTAGGCCTGTTCGCGCCGGCGACGTCGGCGACCCGAGGTGCCCATTCAGCCTGGTCCGATATGTTCCTACCTGGCCGATACGGTCCATGCCTCCAGAAGGCCTTACTAAAGAGCGGTGCAAGTATGGGCGCATTGATCGCCGCAACCCCAGCAGCTGTCTCGCGGAAGCCCCAGCGGTTGATGGTGATGATGGACGGCGATCCGGCAATTGTAAAGGCTGCGCGCACTATTGCAGTGGCGATCAGGAAGAGGCCGGAGCAGAGGAGGAGCGTGACGCCCAGCTTTCGGAGGCGGGAGACTCGGAGCCGCCATAAGATTGGCAGTGGCAGGCTCAGGATAAGCGCATCGGTCAGGACGTTAAGGACGACGAGGGTCCAAAAATTCTGCGGGCGGAATGTGCACCGCAGGGGAGGTAAAGGCTTGACGGCCCAATTATCGTGGAATCTATCAAGTGGTGTGAGTCCCTCAATTTGAGAACGAAGGGAAAGAATCGTGGCGAGACTTACGGCCGACATGAGAGCAATGCAGTCAAACAAAGGGCGATGTAGGCGACGCAATTGATCCAACCCAGGCAGTGGACTGTTAACCAGGTCTGCCTCCATTCATCGGCTCTCAGTCTTTGATAAAAGCAGAGCACACTGAACTTCAGCGCCCCTTCTCCCGACCTTGTTAGATCTTGGTTCCGTCACAGGAAAATCAAGGAGCTTTGCGGCAGAATTATAAAGAAGGAAAGAAAACAACAACGCACAGATAAGCCCCGAGTATGTGAAAAAGGAGGCGTATTCCCATTTCGTTCCGTACATCAAAATAGCAATGTCCCTCTCGGAGAGATAGGGGAGCACTTCGGGCGTCACGTCAATGCTACCGCCAGTGTAGTAGGTGATTTCCACAATTACTGCATCGATTGTCCATAGAGCAAGAACCTAAACATTCCTCCCATCATCAGCAATGATCAGACCGCGGAAGCTCAAAAGACTCACGAGTAACATCAAGTAGTCGTCTCCGGCAAAGTTTCTAATACCAACAGTCCGAATCCTCACCACATACCGCAGCGAAATGACTAGGACTCCAAACACAAACCAGGCCTTCAGAAAGGGAAAGTATATCAGCAAGGCAGCACAATAAAGGGGTCATGGAATCCAGAGTAGTCAAACACAATGGCTGACGGAAAACTCACCCAGACTTCCGGCAGGTAGGTGCTGTCCACGTCCAAGTGGACAAGTGAACTAGGACTTGAAATCATGGCACATCTTGTGCTTAGCAAAAGTGGCTTTTTGGCAAGGCACAGATGTGGCCTGTGGGGATTTGACAAAGCAAAGATGGTTAACTTGCTCTTAAGCCGCCCAGAATGGCTCTTCCTTGTAGAAGTGATCAAGAGAAAGGGTCCATTGAAGGGGGGGCATAGGGGGTTCTTGAGGCGGAGGGGAAGAGGACTAAAGATGGCGGTCTTAAAAGAGGCCAAAGCCCTCGAAACAGATTCTCGAGGGTTTCAACTCTGATCTACAGGTGGTTGCAAAAGCGCCAACTAGGAGTGTCCCTTGCTTGCTTGGGTTTTTAATAGCCTTGCCAGGGACGCATGCTGCCTACGGAGAAGCCATCCTCGCACCGACATTATGGTGTCATTGATATTAATTACTGCCATTGAACCTTCGCTCGGATGCTTTCTGTGTGGTTTGTAATGCAGCCATGCGCCTGAGGTAGGAATGGTGAAAACTCTAATTCAGCTGAAGCCGGATCTCGGAAGCAAAGCTTAACGGCGGTGAAGAGCAAAGCCTTGCACTCGTCCCGGGCTTGCAAAGAAAGAGAGGGAGGCATTCATTCATTAGCACTGGGTGCTGTCAAGGCTGATGATTGCTAGCTGAGGACCCCCACAGCTGCGTGCGCAAGGCGCGTGCGTTTAACGTGTTCTAGATGTTTATACAGCTTCACAGCTGGTTTTGGATGCCTCATCCTTCAATTAACCCACGATGGCAGCTTGGTCTTCCTATATCTCTAATGATTAGTCAATATGAACAGAGTTTTGCAGGCCTGTCGGGTCGAGTCAGTATCATGAGCTAAAGGACGTCACGCATTTTATGCAGCCTGCCTTGCTCGGAAGGGAGGGTGCCGCGTAATCATCCTTGAGGTCTGGATAAACAAAACGGTGTCTGCATCTGTATTTAAGATGCAGGGTTCCACATAAAACTGCCGTTGCGTGACAGAGGCCGTGGACGGTTTGAGGCAGGGTAAGTGCTGGTATAGGAACAAGACAGTAGGACGTGGACAGCTGACAGCAGGTGGGGGCGCTGGAGTTGGAGCTCTCCAGGTGTTGTGGGGGATTCTGCGGGGGTAGTTACTGAAGCTCTAGCCAGCATTTTGTAGGGGTTCTGAGCACTGTGTACAGTCCAGCAGGCAGTTCCCGCTGCTCGGCGCAGTCAACAGGGATGAGGGAGACGCGACAGAACCAGAACGCGCTTTCCCCAGCAGGGGTCCTCTCGACCGCGTCTTTTCCCACTTTATCAACATCTCCCAAATCTCGCCTCCCCCCCCGACCCTCTCTCCCCTTTCATATCATGCGAATATTTGTCCTTTTTTGAGCTTGATTCCGTGTCTGGCGCCTTGTTCTTTGTACTTTTCGTTAGAAAAAGTTCTTATATCTATTGTTTCTTCGGTCAATTGATCTGGTCTCGACACCGCAAAAATGGGAGACAAATCGAGCGTCCCAGCTCGGACGCCGGCGAAGACGCCCTCGATGCTCAAAAAGAGTAGCAGTGGTAGCAATAGCGGCTCCCTTCCCTCGTCGGCCGGAAAGCAGCAGAGCATCTTGGGGTTCTTCTCCAAGACGGCCACGCAGGCGAGTGCCAAAGGAGCTACCCCGTCCTCCAGATCCGCCTCGTCTGCTGCTGCCTCGAGGGGAGCCAAGACCTTGTCGTCTCCGTGTCTGCAGGAGACAACCTCGAAATCCAACGCCCTGTCCTTCGCAAAGCGACCCTCCACGATCACACCCGTCCCTAGTAGCGATGCGGCAGAGCCCCTCAGCTCTCAGGAGAACAAAGACGTCATCCAGGTCGACATCAAGGTGCCCAGCGATTCTCTTCCATCTCCTAGCTCCTCGCCCGTGGTTCCAAAGATCGAGGATTCGGCTCATAGTAGCCCCTCTCGAAAAGTAGGACATTTTCCAGACTGATCGTGGTCTCTCGCAATGCTGACAGGCACCTCTACAGGCCAGGAAGGCGATCAACTACGCCGAATCCTCCGAAGACGAAGACGTGATCATGCCGCGTAAGGCGCGTCAGGCACGCACAAAGGCCCGTGCACGTGCCCCAGTGCTTGATGAGGACGATGAGGACGAGTATGATGGTGGGAATGACGAGATTATCGAGGACGATGATGGTGAGTCTTATATTCTGCTCGTCTATTGAACCCCCTCCGGGCCAAGGCGTCGCGTGTCACTAACACCAAGCAACAGACGATATGGCCGATTTTGTCGTATCCGACGACTCCGATGCTCCTGCCCGAGCCAAGAAGCGGAAGCGGCCCTCTACCGCTGCCACGTCCGCCCCTAGAAAGCGACATACCGCATCAAGCCCGCCCGTCTCTACCCATAAAGTAGACCCAGACGAGGACGAAGACATGTCGGACGGTCTCCCGGCCACTTCCACAGCTCAACAGTGGCGCTTTGACCCGGACAACATCGAGCCGCGGGCTGAACGTCCCAGAGCTCTGACCTCGAAAGCCAAGACAACCTCTGCGAAGACGAAGGAGAGGGCCTGCGACAAGGAGCCAGAACATCGGCATCGCTGGCTGGCACAGCCCGTCGACGCCAATCAAAACCCTCCTGGTCATCCAGACTACGATCCCTCCACCATCTGGGTACCCCCGCACCAGAAATTTTCGGCCTTTGAACAGCAATATTGGGACATCAAGAAAAACCTCTGGGACACAGTGGTCTTTTTCAAGAAGGGCAAATTCTACGAGTTGTATGAGAACGACGCTACAATTGGCCACCAGCTCTTCGACCTGAAGCTGACGGACCGTGTCAACATGCGCATGGTCGGCGTGCCTGAGAGCTCCCTGGACATGTGGGTCAACCAGTTCGTCGCCAAGGGGTACAAGGTTGCTCGTGTCGACCAGATGGAATCGGCACTCGGCAAGGAGATGCGCGAGCGCGACGTAAAAGGCCCGAAGGTGAACGCCAAGGACAAAATCATCCGCCGGGAGCTGGCCTGCATCCTCACAGGAGGCACCCTCGTGGACGGAAGCATGCTGCAGGATGACATGGCTGTCTACTGTGCCGCCGTCAAGGAGTCCATCCTTGAGGGCAAGCCTTCATTCGGTATCGCCTTCGTCGATGCTGCCACTGGCCAATTTTTCCTGTCCGAATTCGAAGATGATGTCGATCTCACAAAGTTCGAAACGTTCGTGGCCCAGATCTCACCCCGAGAGTTGCTGCTGGAGAAGTCGCACATCTCTCCCAAAGCCCTGCGCATCCTCAAAAACAACACTGCTCCTACCACGATCTGGAACAATCTCAAGTCCAACAGTGAGTTCTGGGGGTCTGACCAGACCCGCCGAGAGCTTGACTGTAACGACTACTTTGCATCAGAGGACGGCCAGGAGCAGGTATGGCCCAAGGTTCTCCAGGAGGCAAGAGACAAGAACTTGTTGATGTCAGCCCTTGGTGCTCTGACGCACTATTTGCGAGTCCTGAAGTTGGAGAAGAGTCTGCTGTCACAACAGAACTTCAGTTGGTATAGCCCCATCCACAAAAATGGCACTCTCATCCTGGACGGGCAGACACTCATCAATCTGGAAATCTTCTCCAACAATGTCAACGGCAGTGCTGAGGGCACCCTATTCCCGCTCCTCAACAGATGCGTCACGCCATTTGGCAAGAGGCTCTTCCGGCAGTGGGTCTGCCACCCTCTGTGCAACATTACAAAGATCAACCAGCGTTTGGATGCTGTGGATCTTCTGAACACAGACCGCAAGCTCCGTGAGCAGTTCGCGTCCGAGTTGACGAAAATGCCTGATCTTGAACGCCTCATTTCTCGTATTCACGCTGGTGCGTGTAAACCTGACGAGTTTGTCAAGGTTCTGGATGGATTCGAGCAAATTGAATATACCATGACGCTCATGAAATCCTTCGGAGAAGGCAATACCTTGGTGGACAAACTCGTCTCCTCCATGCCTAATCTCTCTGAGCCGCTCGCCTTCTGGAACAGTGCTTTCGACAGGAGGATGGCCCGCGAACAGAAGCTACTGATCCCCGAACGGGGCATCGAGGAGGCCTTTGACAACAGCGTCGACGAGATCAAGCGTATCAAGAAGGACCTCGATGCCCTCCTCTCCGAGCAGATGAACAAGCTGAAATGCACGAAGCTCAAGTTCACAGATGTGGGCAAGGAGGTCTACCAGGTTGAAGTCCCAAAGGCGGTCGAAGTACCCAAGACCTGGCGGCAGATGTCTGCCACCGCACAGGTCAAGCGTTACTACTTTAGGCAACTCGAGGAGCTCGTGCGGGAACTGCAGGAGGCAGAGGAGACACACTCGCAAGTCGTCAAGGATGTTGCGTCTAGCTTCTTCAGCCGCTTCGACGCGGACAATGAGACGTGGCTACAGGCCATCAAGGTCGTGTCCCAACTGGACTGCCTCGTCAGCTTGGCCAGGGCCTCTACAGCCCTGGGGCAGCCGAGCTGTCGTCCTGTCTTTGTGGACGAGGAGCGGACCGTTGTGGAGTTCGAGGAGCTGCGTCACCCATGCATGCTGAACAGTGTTGACGACTTCATTCCCAATGATATCAAGCTGGGTGGTAACGAGGCCAAGATTAACTTGTTGACGGGCGCCAACGCCGCTGGCAAATCGACCGTATTGCGCATGGTAAGTCCCTTTGAGAGCTGATAGATTCCTCTGGTCACGAGCATGAAACTTACCTTCATCTACTAGTCGTGTATCGCGGTTATCATGGCCCAGATCGGGTGCTACGTTCCTGCGGTCTCAGCCCGCCTGACTCCAGTGGATCGCATCATGTCTCGCCTCGGTGCCAACGACAACATCTTTGCAGCGCAGTCGACGTTCTTCGTCGAGCTGTCCGAGACGAAGAAGATCCTGTCTGAGGCAACACCTCGGTCGCTGGTCATCCTGGATGAGCTCGGCCGCGGTACGTCCTCGTATGACGGCGTGGCCGTCGCCCAGGCTGTGCTCCACCACATCGCCTCCCACATCGGCTGCGTGGGCTTCTTCGCGACGCACTACCACAGTCTGGCGACGGAGTTCGAGAACCACCCCGAAATTGCGCCACGGCGCATGCAAATTCATGTCGACGATACCAACCGGCGGGTAACGTTCCTATACAAGCTCGAGGAGGGCGTGGCCGAAGGGTCGTTTGGTATGCACTGCGCTGCCATGTGTGGCATCTCAGGGAAGGTCATCGAGAGTGCAGAGGCCGCGGCCAAGGCGTGGGAGCACACATCGCGGCTGAAGGAGAGTCTCGAGCGGGCCAAGACGGGCTGCTATATCCCGCTCGGTGTGCTGAGCGATGTCTCGTCGCTGCTAGCGGGCAGGCAGGACGAGGACGGGAGGAGTGAGGTCGACGAAAGGGGTGTGGAAGTGCTGTTGAGAGCTATTGAAGCCCTGTGAGCTTAATGACCTGGCTGGCAAGTCTTGCACCTTGATTTTCCAAGGGTTGTACAACTTCCTACGGACTCTTGTAGCATGTCTGACTGTACGTTGCTGGATTTTCTGGCCAATTTGCTGTACAATACCACCAGAACACATCAACATCTATCTCACAAATGCAAACTGCAATTATCACAACAAATCACGGCACGAGGCTGGCTGCCGGGGCCAGGTGCCGGGGTCGATAAGTAAATAACGTTATGGAGAGGCGGGCCCAAACCGAGTGTCCAAGGCTCCGACTAATCGTTTTCGACTGGAATGGATTCTGGACACAGCTTAGGCCTCCAGGTTCAGTGTCTTACCGACTTCATCTGCGGATTGCCTGCTGCCTGCTAAACTAGACCAGAGTCGCATGGCCCAGCCCGGCCGCTCTTTTTATTGCGTTGCCTACAAGGAGCCGAGCTGCGGTGGCTTGGTCCTAAAACTGATCCACACCGCCTATAAGGAACGAGAAGCTAGCTTTCGTCGTGATTAATCAACACCTTGCTGCTGCTCCTGCGTCCATAGAGAGAGCTTTGCAGGATATGGCAGGTTCTCGGTAGTTACTTTGGTCGTTTCTATTTTCCTAATTGGTTTTGGTTCTTCTCAGGAAACAGGCAAGTTTGCTTTGTCAGATGATAAGTCAGTCTGCATGTCATACATGGTCGGTGTTGCCAGTGGCTTGCTGCCCGCTCCCTTCTCCCACTCCCTCCCCCCTTCACAGCTCCACCCCACCACCCCCGCGGTGGCGTTACTATCTCAGCCTTTCCTTTGTCTCTGGGCGCGGTTTTCAGGAGCTGCATGACACTGCCTCAGAAGTTAAGTTGGTTGGGATGGCCCAGAACATGATGCAAGTAGCAGCGAACCAGAAAACTGCTACATACTTATGTGGGCGATGTGTATTCGTGTGAGATTGTGTCTGTGTGTGTGTAGTTTCCATCTGATGCTGATGATCCCTGTTAGGAGCAGCATATAATATCCCACGGATCCTTCCCGTTGCAGCTGAGTGTGGGGTGGACGGACGGATAAAGCCTGGTAAGTGGTCACCGCTCTTGAAGCTGTGATCTGGGACCTGGGATGGTTGTTGCAAGGAACGAGAAGAAGAGATGATATGATAGTGGGCTATTTTGTCTGCCACCACTTGTAGTCGATCACTCGGGCACTGTCCATACATGAGCCAAGCTCAGCGAGAACAACAACTAACAGCTTATGAGTCAGCCCTATGAGCAAAGCTCAGCATGATAAGATGAACATGATTGTCCCTCCCAATAGCGAGCGGTTACCAGCAGCGACTGGCTGCTAAAGACCAATAAAAGAAGACAATAGAGGGGGGGAGAGAGTCCTAGATGGTAGTTCTGACACCCCCGGCCGAGGCGTCTCCATAACCACATGCAGATCTAACAAGGGTCCAACAAGACTTGGACGAAATAGGCAAATGCACAAAGACGTCGAAACGTCAGCACGCATCTTACCTGCTTGTTCCCTCTCTGTCTCGCGTTGCATAGAGAGGGGACGATAACCCCCGGGCCACTCCATGGGGGAGACAGGGGTGGGCCGCATAGGACCCGCACCACAGGTCGCCCACCCATAATTCGTAGGCTAATCACGCGTAAAATAAACATTGTGTGGATGGGATCATTTGATAGGGCACGTTGGAACTAATTACGGCATCCACTGAACGACTACCGATGGGTGAGATCTAAATAGTTCCCACTCCGCAGCTGTCTAAGCTAACCCTCTTTTCGTTCTGGATGAGAGGCCGCAGGGGGTTTCAATGGGCTGACCATCACTGCTGGCCCGTAGAACCGTCCTGGATGTGTTTGTCCGTCCTGTCGATCTCGAAAAGGAGAGAGAGAGGGCTGACTGATGCCGGCAACTGTGATGCACCTATGCATGAGCTGGGTCTGTTGAGGGTCAGGAGGGGGGAGAACAGGGAAAAGGAAGAGGGAAGAAAAGAGGAAAAATACGATTCGCGGGCCCATAGACGCTCATAAAGGACCCAAGAGGCACCACGTGGTAGTAGAAGTAAATTCGGCGAGGGTGCGTCTCGCTTACGCCCGTGCAACGATAAAGAGTGCGAAGAAAAGTCTTGCCGGGGCAAACAGCTTGACCAAAGTACAACGAGAATGTATCGTAAGCGCCAGTGGTCGCATCTGTTAGCTTTGTACGACAATGCATTCTCATACCTTTCAATCTTTCTCACTATATTCTTTGTCACTTCTTGTTCCTCCCTGCCCTTGTTCCATCCCTCCTTGTGAGAAAAAAAACCTGTGTGTAACGTCAATAAGCGCATCTCAAGTGGGTAGATTTCAGTGTAACACCACACACCGTCAGCACAGCCCGCGCGAAGCTGTCCTCATTCTCTCTCTCTCTCTCCCCCCCCCCCTCTCCTATCCTTTTGTTTCTCTTTTCATTTCTTCATGGCCTAGGCTCGAACAAGATAATGACCTCACCCTCCTCCCTGCGTTTCTTTCCCTTCCCTCTTTAATGACAACCAGCGCCGTGTAACGTTGATCCGACCAGCATTACTCATATTTGTAATCCAAGCCTCCGTCAAGGAATCCTTAAGTCTCACTCACACCAGAACATAGAGAGGCACATATAGCAACACACACTGCATGGGAGATAGCCGCCAGGGCTCAGTCGGTCAAAGCGCCTGCAAAGGCTCTCTCTCTCTCCACATCTCCCACCGTCTCGTTCCTCCTCCTCCTCTGGTACTCCCGCGAGCGTTTACTTGGCGGTCAGATCCTAAATCATCCTGGCGTAGAGAATTATATCATGTCTGGGCTGGAAGAGCCCAACCATTGACACTATATTGTTTTCTTGTCCTTCTTTTTCCTTCTCCTGGAAGATTGGGTTTCCCGAAATATTATATGAGGTAGACACATAAGGTTTCAAAGCATATCTCAGCAACACTTCCTCCCCTCGCCTCCTTGCGCCCCCCCCCCCGGCCCCCTCCCCACCTTCCAAGGCAACAACATTTCTCTGCGTCTCGTCTGCCACGTTAAGACAGAGCTAGAGAGACAGAGAAAACATAAAGAGCTCCAGAGAATTCAGGGATGACGACTTCACGTACAAGCAGAGGGCGACTAGCCGTACCCACATCTGGCGAAAACGCTGTCGACTTCACACCGGATTTATAGTTTTTGTGGGCGAGGACCAGGTTCAGGCTTTCTTTGGAGACTTGGTGCTTTGATATTGTATACTCTGCCCTACTTAGTCGCACATTACTCGCATACACACTCACGCACACGCACGCACACACACGCACACACACGGACACACCCCACGCCATGGGAGCCCCGATCCACGTGGCAGACACCGGGGCCGGCCGCCGTGAAAAGCAACGTTCGAGAACAGGTGAGTTCTTTACATATTTTCTTGCAGTCGACCAATCCCATGGAAGCTTTTACATAGTATTGCGTCTCTCAAATTTTCTAGTTGTGTTTTACTTTGCTTGCCCCATTAACGACGACATTCTCCCTTTCCCTCTCATGAACATGAACATATTGTTGATCTGAGTAATACAGGCTGTCGAACCTGCCGGTCGCGCAAGGTAAGAAAACACTTTATCATGCATCTTGCTGTTTGGCATTGCCAAATCACATGTATACAAGAGAGTACAGAAGACCAAACAGAAAGGGAAAGGAAGAAGAAATCTAATCATTTATCATCATGATTCATTCATCTTAGGTTAAATGTGACGAGAGGCCTGGCGGCTGCTACAACTGCGCCCGCCTCAACCTCCCCTGCCCCAACTCGGCCGCCTACCACAATGCCCTCCTCAAGGGGGAGGCCGAGGGCGAGTATCTCCGGACCCAGGCAGGTCTGCGCCGGTCACGAACCTACCGCTCGTGCCGAGGATGTCGGTCGTCCAAAAGCAGGTGCTCTGGGGAGAGGCCTACTTGTCTGCGCTGCAGGCAGCGGGACATACAGTGTTGTTATGATGGGAAAGAGGCCCCTGCTTGGCTGGAGGTGGCTTCACAGGAGGCGGATGGGAGGGGAAGACGAGGTTCCAGCAAGGGCGGAACGTGAGTGAAGAGCAATCCTGCCCCCTTATTCGTGTTCTATCTTTGTCTTTTTTTCTTTTTTTTTTCTCTTCGTTTTGCAAGAGAGAAAAAGAGAGGGAGAATTTTCGACAATTTTATACTGCTGTTCAAATGCTAATTCGGGCCACCTCGTTCCCCTTTTGGTTGATCATAGACCATCCAGCAGCGGTGCTATGCACAGTCACCCAAGCTCACCAGCGCTCTCCCATGCCGGCTCGAGCCCGTCAAGTTCTCGCCACCGTGGGACGACCTCTGAGCCGGATCTCGCAGCAACGACGACAACAGAATCATCATCCTCATCGTCATGGCTTCTAGCGCATGAGCTGCCCAGAAGCAGGGAGCATGTCGTCCAGCTAGTCGAGGCCTTCTTCGCCAACATGCACAGTCTCCGGTGTTTTGGCTTTATCCACAGGCCGTCTGTGTTGCGGCATCTGGAGCACTGGTCGTCATCTGCCTGGTATGAACACCAGGGAAATGCACTTCTTCTGGTGGTGTGTGCCCTGGGCGCCAAGTTCTATGCCGTTAAACACGGCAGCAGCATGGGAGAAGGAGGGGATGGGGATGGGGATGGGGATGGGGATGAGGACGGAGACGGAATGGACGGCGAGTCCCAGCAGAGGCAGCAGCAGTTTTGCTCGGGCAATTTGGCCCTCTCGGCAGGATGCCACTGGGCGAGGAGGGCACAACAAGTCGTCCTCTTGGGGCTGGATACACCCTCGGTCGAGAACGCCATGGCCGTGGTCCTCCTGCATGAGCACGAGCTGCGAGTAGGAAACCACGCCTGCGCTTTCATGCTCACTGGTTTGGGTGTTAGGATGGCCCAGGCTCTCCAGATCAATATTGAGTCCTCTCCCGACATCCTCTGCAGGGGCCAAACGAAAGATAAGAACAAAAAGAAAGAAGGAGGAGTAGGTGGGGGAGGAGGACAACAACAACAGGGCTTGTCACCCACGACAAGAGAAGCCAGGAGGAGACTGATGTGGAGCATCTACACAATGGACGCCTGGGTGGGAAGCGGAGTAGACGAGCTGACCCTCCTCCGCGAGGCAGATGTGCAGATCCAGCTCCCCTGCAGCGACCACAGCTTCGACGCCCAGCGCCCTCGTATCGTGGAGGCGCTGCGTCCCGGTACATTCTTACCCTTTGTCTCCGCCGAGGACCGCCGCCAGCAAGGGAGCAACAGCGGCGCCGCAGTGGAGCGGCTCGACCTTCAGGCCTATTTCATACGGCTCGTCAGCATCCGCAGAAAGGTCCTCCGGTTCGTCAAACACCTCGACCAGGCACAGCCGCCCTGGCTTCCACAGTCTGAGTTCGCCATGCTACAGGCACAGTTACAGCACTGGGTAAACCATCTCCCGGACAGCATGCGCCTCACGAGGGGTGCGATCCACAGGCGAAAAGAGGCCTCTCAGCTTGGAGGGATGCTGTTCTGCCACTTTACCTATCACCAGACCATGTGCGACCTGGCGCGCATCGGCATGAGGGACATCTTCCCCATGCGCGGGCGGCTCGAGTGTCCTCCTGAGCAGGCCTCTTTCACCAAGCGCGTGCAGGATCAGTGTTTTGAGCACTGCATGGCGATCTGTGGTTTGTTCGAGGAGGCCTTGGGGCATGGACAGGAGGCACTGGCAGATACGTGGCTCAGCGTGGTAGCGCACGACTCGGCAAGGGTGGTCATTCACTGCATCACCGCTGGCGTAGGGAGTGCTAAGGAAAAGGGGGAGGTGTTTAAGATGAATGCTGTGACTGCGGTGCACTCGAATATTCGAGCTCTTCACGCCATGATTCCTGTTCACTCCCTCGCTCGACCACTGGTAAGTCTTCTTTTTGTCTTCCTTCTGGCATCAACTGGGAGAAATTGTTCGTTGGCTAATACCCCAGCGTCTCTTCCCATCACTACTGGATACAGCATGCCGCTACTGTCCAAATGCTGCTTGCAGCAGGCCTCCCCATACCTCGTTCATCTGTAGAAACGAACAACGGAAACCATCTCCACTCCTCCACACCCATCGTCCTTGTCAGCAGCGACCAGGAGGCCGCAGGAGGAAGGGCAACGATCACACCTCCTCCGCATCCAACCGATGCAGGCTGGGGAAGTCCTCCACAGTATACACCTGACCAGGTCCTCAACCCCCTTGCCATATTCCGCATGGCCAGGAGGACCATCTCGGACAGGGAGAAGCACTCGTGCTCATCAGAGACCATCGAATCCTGCACGGTCAACATAACGACAACAACATCAGCAGACCAGGATCAGCATCATCGCCAACACCCAACAGCAGCGCCCTTTGGCGAAGATCATATCCATCCAGGCCTACTTCCTCCTCACCACCAGCAGCACCATCACCCTCACCAACGCGGGCTCAGCAGCAGCTCTTCCTCGGCGTTTGACCTAGGCCTGGGGCCACAAGCCCTCTCGTCCATGGCATCATTTCCAGTAGGGGGGTCCTCGTCGTACGCAACACCGGCCTCTAGTTCACCCGCACCCTCTACAATGTTTCTGGACGACACCATGACGGGAGGACTGCCCCCAGGCTATGGCGATGCAATGGGCATAGCAGCAGGAGCAGCCTTCGACGATCTCCATGCATACAACCTCTCCCTCGTGATGGGAGACATTGGCATGCCCCTCCATTCCAGTGGCGGTGGTGGGGTTATGGGTGGTGTGCCTTCGCATCATTCTGCTGTGATGCCTGATTATGACAATACCAGTGTCTATCCTCACCCTCCTCACCCTGTGTCGGCGGCAGGAGCAGTGTCTCAAGGGGCGCCTGCAACGTCGAATCATGATTTTGGGGGGGTTTCTATGGGTACTTTGGGTGGCTTTCAGGAGGATGGCTCTGGGCATATGCTAAATTGGGATGTCTAGGAGGAAGGAGACAGAGAGAGATGATGTATTTACTCGTGTGCTTGATATGAGAAGGGATATCCTTTGTGACTTTGAACAGGGTATGGAATCACATCTGTGATAAAAATAGTCGTCAGTCTACAACAAGTATTGAAATGGCACACGCAAAACACAATCAAAGAAAAAATTGGAGTTCTTTTTTTGCAATAAGAGAAACGGAATGAAGAGACATTATTTATATGCACAAATGCTGAGCCCTGATCAAATTACTGGGAAGGTCAGCATTGTAGAAGCAACAGACAGCCCGGCGTAATCGACCTTCCCTTTGCAGGCATTATGTGTGCTCGATATGACATAATTGAGCAAGTAGCACATCTCTGAAGAATTCATTACCAGTGTCATAACCCGCTCAACATGCAGGCAACTCAGTAGGCCATACGCAATAAGGACATAGGCCGGGATAACTAGGATGAATCAGGGTATTGGTCAAGATGATCCTGTCTGAAGAGCTGGGTGTGTAAGAGCCCATCTATTACTATGAGATAGATGATAATGTAAATGTCTTGAGTCGTTACCCTGAATAGTGCACTCGGTAATTATATTGTAATAGCCTCACTGCGAATGAAAAATCACATCAACGTGCAAGGATTGCATCGATATCCAAAGCTTGTGATTGGCACCGCTCTTTTTTGGCATAACCCTTTTCGGTATTAGTCGGTCTTCAGACTATTACCACAGTGCTCATTACACGTAAGCATTGAACGTACATGTGTGTACAATAAAGTTCAAGAAATATAATGTCCTTATCAGGTTTATCTTGGGGTTCTAGCAAAGGTGAACCTGGATTGCCATGCCCAGGAAGCCAATCCTCCTCGACACAGGAACTTGAAGTGGATTCCCCCCTACGGCATTGGATACCAAGATCCATGAGTGGTGATTTTATGTGTTCTCCTGCGCTCATATCCATATGGGATTCTTCCGTCCACCGCGTTCCTGCTCTTCTATATGCCACATCATCATATCATCAAGACTGTAATGTATAACCTGAGACTCAGTCATCTATCCTCATAGCCAAAATCTAAGCGCACTACAGGCACATGGTCTGGCAGGAAACACGTGGGTTATCTCATCTTTCTGAATGAGAGGAGGCAGGGAGGGACAAGAGGAAGATGGACGGCGCAGGCTGGGCCACTCGTTTCTGTTTGTGCTCTTGGCCCGAGGACAAAATAAAAGGCTGAGTCTAGGGCTCGTACACGTTGCACGAGATTAACAACTACTGCCCAACGCGATGTCCGAACCAGACATTACAAAATACCTTCGCAGAATCTATAGCTCGCTCACGTGGGAAGACATCCGAGACGCCCACAAGAACCCCACCAAAATAGTCGGCAGCCATCCGCCCAAGAACTCCTTCTCCGCCCCGCAGAGGAGCCCCACGACCTGCAGGCGGACCCGCTAGAGGTGAAGACCCTGGCGGGGGGGACGAGGAGTATGTGGCGTTGCTGGGGGGAGACGCGTCAGGTTGGAGCCGTGGCAGTACAGGGCCGAAACGCCTTTGATTGTATCGCGATGGCGTATCTCGATGCTGTCTATGGGACATGGTCTAAATGAAATGAAATATCGAACAGAGACAAACAGAGCGAAAGAAGAAAAAGAACTCATCAGCAAGACCATCACTTACGAGCCTCGGAGTTCCGTTCTCGACCTCCCTTGGGTAATCCGGCCCAGACCAAAGTGAGCTGCGCCACCCTCGCTCAGCTGGTGAGTGCACCTATGGTTCCATATATATTGGGTAGTAACACCACCAAAACGTCCCTGCCACCTTCCTTCAAGGGTCCTCATGAAACTCATGCGAACCATGCCGTGTCTGCCGTGCCTGCCCAAGCCCGCCAAGGGAAGGAGCTGCTGGGAGAGAGGCACGAGAGGAGAGGGAGAAAAGACCCGCCAGCAGCAGGGGACCCCCCAGTCGTCTAGTGGCCAGTGATCACTGCACCAACGCCACTAGCCAATAGGGTATTACAGCCCATGAACTATGACGACATGTCTGCCCACGGTTTGGAAAAGAGGCCTGCATCTTCTCCTTCCGCACTCTCAGCCTAGATGAGACCAGATCAGGAAAAAGGAAAGAGTGAGTGAGGAAAGGAAAGATGAGGTCACTCGAGGATGAAATTCTCCGAAGGTGCTATAGTAGAAGGTTGAATATGCTAAGCTACTACGGTACATACTGCCAGCCATGCAAGTGAGTGGAGAAGCAAGAGAAAAAGCCCAACACATTGCCAAGGGGGTTGGTTGGAGGGAAGGCTTTTCCCCTCTTTCTTGCCTGAGCCCAGGGATGACGACGGGGAACTGATTGGATGTCGCCCTGTATTGGCGATCTCAGATGCTGGTTGACTTGTGACATGCCAGATGCGTTGTTCGTTGGGCGGCCACCACGTCATTCTTTTTTTTTTTTTTTTTCGTCCTTCCCTTTTTTCCTTGGACTCACCAGCGCCTGACCTTTTTCTTTACGTAGTAGTAAACCACTTGTTTCTTTTTGGTTTCCTTTGATCTCTTACTTTTTTCTCCCCTTTATTTCTTGCCTGGCTGCTCAGCCTCTCTCCTCCCCACTATACAAGCTACCATTCCGCATATATAACAGTAACTTGCACCCATCATCAACAAAGGACTCCTTAAGCTCCCTACGACAGACAATACTTGTATATCACACGAAAGTACTTACTCCTCTTTCTCCTCCTTCCTCATCACCACATTTACCACCACTATCACCGTACAAGCCTCTTTAACAACCGCCCACCATGGTTCTCGGCTTCGTCCCCATCGCCCACATAGTGGCCGTTGTGTTCACTATCATCGAGCTCGGCCTCGTCGCCTACCTCGTCTCCACCTACGATGGCGGCAGCTACGGTTACGGCTACGGCTGGTACTGGAACGCCAGCCCAGATCGCCTCAACTTTCAGCTTTTCACTGCCGTCTGGTCTCTGCTCGTCCTCGCCTACGTGGGGCTCACCCCGCTCTACATGACCAGCATCTTCCACAAGCTGGCTGCCCTCGCCCTTGAGTCTATTACCATGATCTTTTGGTTTGCCGGTTCCATCGCCCTGGCCGTCTTTTTTGGGGCCCCGGCCTGTCATGGGAATATCTGGTGTGGCTCCTTTGAGGCCGCTATCGCCTTTGGCTTTTTCTTGTGGTGAGTTTCTACAGTATTCTGTTCGGTCGCTTTGTTTTGTCTTCGAGGAAGCAACATGTCTGACCACATTTTCACATCACAGGGCCATTTTCCTCTTCCTCGTCGTTCTCGACGCCATCGAGGCCCTGCGGTCTCGTCGCAGCAACTCGTCGCCCAGCAATGGCCACCACCACACCAAGCCCTATGCCGGTGCTTAAACGGAGTTTATGCGCTTGAACAGAAGAGAAGGCAGGGAGAAAAATACATACATGGGGTACACACCTTTTGTGTGACTTATCTGCCTTTTACGAGGAATCGTTTCTAATGATGTATTGGATATGACTTCTTTTCCTTTTCTTCCTCCATGACAGCTGCTGGTTGGGTGTATGGATCTTCGAATTGTTGGTTTCGGTTATTATTTTCATCAAGGGATGGTGGTGGCGTTTTCCAGTCAGGCAGTCTGTCAGGCAGCCTGTTTGTTTGTCCATATTCGCAGGCGTGAAGTTTTCTCTGGATCAGTTTGTTCATATACCCTCTTGCGAGATACCACTTCAAATCTGACTTATGTTCCTTTTTAATATACATAGAAAAGTCGAAACTAGTGACTCTCTTGTCTCTACTACCTAATCAGTATACAGGAAATGATGTTCAGATCCTCACCATACCAATAATTTTGGGATTATATACTGTATACCTCAGGATTTCATCACAGTAAACCTCTCTCCTTCAGTACATACCCAAACGCCTCATCCAAAATGCGCAACCCCTCCTCAATCTCTTCGGCAGAGACCGTCACAGGCGGCGCCAGCCTAAACACACCACCCATACCAGGCAAATTCACCACATTACAAGACAGACCACAGGCCATGGCCCGATCACTCACCGCCTGGCCCAGCTCCGGCCCAGGCGCTCTCGTCTTGCGGTCCGAGATGATCTCGATGCCCTGCAAGAGTCCCTTGCCCCTCACGTCGCCCACACACCAGTACTTGTCTTTCAATGCCAGCAGACCCGACCGGAGCTGCTCACCTCTGTTCCTCGCCCGCCCGCAGATATCGTCCCTCTCCACAATCTCCAACACCTTGCAGCCCACGGCAGCCGTCAAAGGGTCGTTCAGGTGGGTTGTCAGCCACAGAAACCCGGCCTCCCTGGCGCCCCTCTCGATCTCGGCTGTGGTGCTCACCGAGGCCAGGGGGAGCCCACACCCAAGCGTCTTGGAAAGGCACAGGATGTCAGGCACCACGCCGTTCTTGTTACCGTCTCCGCCTTCTTCCTCTCCCTCCTCGTGCTGGAACGCAAACATCTTGCCCGTCCTACCCACGCCCGTCTGCGCCTCGTCCAGGATCAACAGCATCCCGCGCCGTCTACACTCTGCCGCCATGCGTGCCAAGTAGCCCCTGGGCAGGTCTAGCACCCCGCCCGTCGACAGGATGGGTTCCATGATGAGCGCAGCCAGCGACCCAACGCTCTGGCGATCGACCATGGCCCAACCGTACTCCAGCTCGGCCTCCCAGTCATACGTCCACTTCTCCTCCTCCCGTGCTTCCTTTTCACTGCAGCCGCCACCACCACTTTCTAGCCTGCGAAACACCGAGCGGTATGCGTACGGTGCGGGAAAGGCAATCTGGCCCGGTACGGTGGGGCCTGCATTCCGGCGTCCCGCGGCGTAGGTGGCTGCGCCCGCCCCCGAGGTCAGGCCGTGGTAGCTAGCAGACAAGGCGACGACCTCGAAGCGGCCTGTGTACAGCTTCGCGATGCGCAGGGCCGCCTCGGTGGTCTCGCTGCCCGTGTTGAGAAAAAAGGACTTCACCAGCGGGGGTGGCAGCACAGACGCCAGGCGCTCTGCGAGGTCGACGACGGGCCGCGTGACCATGTTGCTCAGGAGGTGGTCCAGCTCGCCTGCGTGGTGGCGCACCGCGGCTACGATCTCCGGGTGGCTGTGGCCGAGCAGGGAGCTCATCTGGCCCGAGGTGAAGTCGAGGATCGAGCGGCCTTGGGCGTCGTAGAGGCGCGTGCCCTGGGCTCTGGTGATGATGATGGGGGAAGGGGGAACGCCGGTGGACATTACATATTTGTTGTGTTTGGCCCAGAAGGTCTCGTCTGTGTCGATGGAGCCCATTTTGATATATCCTTGATTATAATAAGTCTTGAATGTTGAGGGGTTGAAGTTCTGAAGTAAAAAGATAGCCACGACCAAAGACAGAAGGAAATGAAGATGAGAAGATCTAGACGACTTGGTTTTTGAAGAGACTGAGCATTTCTTATTTATACTTCAGTAATACTCATGAAACACAATCAAATATAATTCGCTCTGAAGAATCATGCCAGCAAATCATAATAATAGCTCTTGGGTCCATTAAGATAAGGCGAGATTCAAATAGGCTTGCCGCTTTGAGTGGAGTTATGGAGGTGCAACTCCGTCCACAACTACTTCATTCACATGCTTCGAGATTAAGTCTCGACTTGATCTAAAAATGAGTAGCAACCACTAACCCTCTTCCACTAATCAGTAACTGAACTCTCTCCAGAAGAAGAAGACTCCGCTATAGACGCAACCACCGGCGCCTTGACCACCGACGTCCCAGAATAACTCGTCCAAGTTTGCAACTCCCGTCCGCTCTCGACCTGCAATGGCGGCGCCATAGCTTCCCTTGGCCATATCTGCTTGTTCTTCTTCTTTTTACTATTGTTGTTGTACCCCCTCCTCGACCGCCAACAAAAGTACCCGCAGCAACACAGCACCGCGAACCCGAGTAGAGGTAGCCCTATCGTCAGGAAATAATACAACCCTCCCACCATCCCGTCCGTATCTGAAGCGTGTGTGCCCACGGTGTACTGCCCTTTCTGCAGCTGCGTGCCCGGTACCCATGTTGGCACGTACATGCCCGAGGTCAGCTTGGGCGGCTCGGGCGAGAGGGTGGACGTGTCGGATGCCTCCCAGATGATATTCCATGCCGTGTGGAGGGTGACGATGCCTCTGGAATATGTCGTTGTGGATAACACTAAGCCTCCTGTCGTCGTCGCCGTCGCCGTCGTCGTGAGACTTAGCTTGTCCGTCAGAGACTGGCCTCCCTCCAACGACCCACGAACACACATTGCACTGGTGAACGGCGCCCCCACTGCAGGAACATACTGGCCCCCACCGTCCAAGCTGAACCCCTCAGCGCAGCAGTACGCACTCGAAGCCGTCAATGGTCGTCGCGTCGAAAAGGCGGCAGACGAGACAAAAGTCGTCAGCTCGTACGCCGTCCACCCGCTGGGACACACGGCGGGGCTAAAGACATAACGGCTTTGCGAGACTACGTCGGCCCAGCCAGAGGGTTGACATGCTTGGAACTGCGCATCTGCGGCAGGGCCTGAGATGAGAGCCTGTGCGGTTGTTATGGTCCAGTGGTCGTCTTGGTCCCATAGGCCGGTGAGGACGCTGGTTGTTTCCCAGAGGGGGTGGCAGTTTGATACTGCTGGGGGTGTGAACGGTGTTGTCAGGGTGGCGATGGGCGTTGTGATTGTGCCGTCGGGGAGGGATGTTGTGGTGGTTGAAAGAGCCGCGGCGGTGCTCGAGGGAATTGTTGATGTAATTAAGGACGCCATCGTGACCTGCGCAGGCGAACTGAGCCTTCCGGTGTCATTGTGCTAGTCGGGAAGGAAAGAAACAAGAATAAAAGGAGCGATGGTGCTCATGTGCGATCTAAGGAAAGTATAAAGAATATGAATGGGCCCATGAATGTAGACCTAGATGTGCTTACATCTTGCAGCAGAGCTGATTCCTGAAATAGATGTACCTGCGACATGTAATGGAACTAGGCTGCCGAAAGGGGCCATTCAGACAAATCCTTCCTGCAGGCCCGGCCCTTGAGCCATCCGTGCTCATCCTAACGCATACAAATAGCAAAGAAATCCTGGTGGCAGCGAGGTAGACCTGTACAGGAGATATATTCCGAGTGGACAAGGTTTCTAGTTAGTACTTTGAGTTATGAGATGTTTTCAGTTCATCTAAGCAGGCGAGCTTGTGCAACTACAGGCAACATCTTCCTTGCCACAAACTATGGCTACTATGATTTGGGGGGGGGGGGGGGAGAGGGTGGAAACTATACTCCAATCGATATGTTTCCTTGTCTAGAATATTGAACATAGTCAGGAAAAAGAACAAGAGAGAGAAAAAGAATAGGATTAAAAGAAAAAGGAAAAGAAAAAGGAAGAAAGGACGGAAAACGATTGTCGGTGAAGGTGATCTTCTGAAAGCCATCGATTCCTCCACGCAGAGTACCTTATCTACCCTTTTAAACACTCCTAGATATCCAAATAAAGTCCATACATTGCTATAGCCTATGCAATCACCCGGTGTAAAAGCAATGTCCACGGCATTGCGGATCTTCAGTGGCTGATAAATACGAAAAAAAGAATCCCCCCCTCACCTCATAAAGCCAAAGCACATCCAAAAGGGCACAAGCTCGATTCTGTATACTGTCTCCAAACGATCTAAAGCGTTTAGGTCATTGGACAATCAACCTGGTCTGCATCGAGATGTCTGCAGGCCATTTCGGTCGTCATGGGTGCGACCGCGGCTGGGACGCCACGAACAATCTGCTTTCCTTTGGCAGACATGGCTGCATCCTTCTTCTTCTCTTTGAATGTTGACTTCATTTTTCCCCTCTCCTTTCTTCTTTCATCTCTTTCCCTCTTTTTCCTCCCTTTTTTTTTTTTTTTTTTTTTGGTTTTTTTGGTTTTTTTGTTTGGTCTCCACCTCCCCCACTCAGCCAGCCGCTGTACTGGACTGGATCTTGCAGTGCCTCCCGGACGACCTTTTTTTTTTTTTTTTTTTTTTTTTTTTTTTTTTTTTTTTTCCTGGTTTGAGTGTGAATCAAGGTTTACAGAAGATCCATCTGGTCGACACCGCCAACCTCCCGGCTAGCAGACGAGCAAGAAGAAGTTGACAGCATTGATGCAGGAGAAGCTTCTGGATATAGATGCCATCGTCCACAAGTTGTACTTGGGTATGAAACGTCCAGATGTTGTCAACTCGCCCCTTGCATGACGACGATAATAGCAAGATTGAGGTGCCCCGCACCATCATCATGTTCTTCAGCTGCACCCGAGTCTGGACAATCCTGAGAGCCGGAACAATTCTTCCACGTACCTCTTCGAGAGATACATCGTCGCCACGCCGAGTCCTACACGAGAAGGGCCTTTCCAGACTCTTCAGTTCTACCCATGCTTGGCCGTCGACATGAGAGGGGGGGGGGGGGCTGTCGCTCGGAGCGAGTACGAGGAACTGCTGGCAATGGTGGCGCTCCACACCTCGTTGTTGGAGGGCCACACGTGTGGCAGCTGACAAGACGCTCAATGTGACAATTGCGAGAGGCCTGCCTGGATGAAAGATGAGAGACATAACTATCGATCGCAGCTTGTTTTCCAAGTGTGAGTAAAGGTACACCCCTCTCAGATGCTTGCCCGCAGCATTACCCACTACCTCGTTCCACCCACCCTTCGATTCTCGTTCCTCAGGATACTGTGGCTTCGCAACGTTCCCTTTTCCCTCCTCGCGTAAGCTGCATGCCGAGGGCCATTGGCACAAAATCGTGCTTGTGAAACAATTGTCTCAGCGCCACTTCCATGCATGCAGAGCAGAATTGCATGTGGGTTCGTGTGGCACCCCTTGGCGCTCTCCTCGGTTCAAGATACCTTGTGGCTCGGCTCAACGAGAATCACACACAACACCTCGTTGTGTTCCGTCCCGAGACAGTGAGTGAGTGAATGCTATGGGAGCAGTAAATCAGTCAATCGGTCGGTCAGTCAAACAATCAGTCAATCTGCAGTGCAGAAGAGTGTCTTTCTGGCCACAATCATCGTCATATTCCGCTCTATCGGGGGTCTGGGCTTGTATGTGTGGAAGGCTATTGGATCAGATACAAGACAAATACCAGGCTCTGAATGCTTGTTTCTTAGTCTTCTTCTTATTCTTCTTCTCCTCCTCCTCCTCCCGAAGTATATCAGGGGGTTCCTAGAACCGGCGCCTCCATCGAAAAGGCCAAAAGTCTCCTTGAGTCAACCGGGATGAAAAAGGGGCTCAGCGGTCTGGTACATGAGGGGAAGCTGGCTACTTAGTTGCAAGTGCTAGCTCAACTCGGACCGATACTTGAGCCTCCATTGACTTCAGCCGTAGCAGGCAGAACTCCTCGGTAGACAGCAAAGCGGGCCAGAGAAATGGAATGATTGCGCCTCTTCGAGGTATGCCAAAAGGGCTGGATTGATCACATACGAGAAGACACGTACCACTCCTCCTCAGTTGGTGAACCCTGCAACAGCATGCACAGGAGCCCCTGAGCTGGAGAGGCGCGAGAGACTGGTCTGGTACGACTCCTCCCATGCGGCTTGCCCTCTGTCCCTTCTTTTTCAGCCGCCACCCAGCCCTGGTTCTGGTGTTGGTTCCTGAGCCCCACTTGAGGGAAGGGACCCGGTTATAGTCAATGTGCCAATGCGATTCTGCGTCTGGGTGACACCAGATTCGCGAGGGCCGTTGAAGTGATCATCAAGCCACATGAAGCCTCCCTGCAGATCGAGGCGTTCGAAAAGCGAGATTGACAGCGCGCCATGGCCCTGGGACGCTCTTTGAGAGGGAGACGGGGACACAAGCTCACGTAATACAGAGATACAGGGTACTACCGTCGCGCAAGAAAGCCATGCGCGTCTCAAACAAAGGCGCGTGTGTCTGTTTCCCTGCTTTATTGGTCTCCATTCAAGGAAGGACAAGGCATATCTATGTTATAATACTTGTAAGTATACTTGCAATGCTTTCCCCTTCAAGATCCTGTTCTGACTCGGAGAGTAGATGATCCGGCTGTGGTTTTACAGAAGGAGAGGACAACAATAGGAAGAAAGGGGAAGGGTCTTGCAAATCAATGCCTGTCTCTCTTTGCTGAGATAATTCCCTCCTTGTTCGGCCGTACCCGGAGGCGCGTCGGCGATCTCCACCAACAAGACAGGCCCACACCCACGGTTCTGGGGGCGCGAACTACTCCACCTTTCAGGCCAGCGCTAGGTCTGGAGTGGACAAGCGAAGGGTGTGCCTCTCGGATCCGGGGAAGAGATTTTTGTTGAAAGACTTGCCGGCCGGGAGACAGAGAAAAGGGATGCTGGGCAATGAGAGAGGGAGGGATGGAGGAGTACCACCAGCAGCAGGAGGAGGAGGGAAAAGTTTGGGGGGCCCTCCTCTTTTGACTAGGATATGATTGAGGGTGTCCCCTTCTTGTGTCTGTGTGTCTGTTTGTCCGGGCTCCGGCGCTTGTGTGGTCGCAATAATACATAATCTACTCCTCATCTCGTCCTTTCTTGAGAGAAGGCTAGAGGCCCCTGGTCTCTTTTTTCTCCCTCTCTTCTCTCTTTCTCTCTCTACTCTTTTTTACACTATCCTCGCTTCTCCCGTGCAGAGCCAAGAAAAAAAAAAAGAGAAAAAAAAAGGGCTTGTGAATGACTAACTCATGAAGGTGGACCTGTCCCGACTAACATGACAGTGGACCGATGAATTACGACAACACTCGTGTTCACTTTTTCATAAAATAAACTAAAAAGGGTAAAAATGCTCTCATTCTCTCTTTTTTTTACCCCCCTTCCACTGGGTTCACACCCCTTCCCCCGCTTTATTGTCGATTGGTTTTCTCTTTCTTTCGAATCCGGGGGTGGCTGCAGAATCTTTCCTTCAAGTCTTGCTTGGCTCGCCAAAATCGAACATACTTTACTTACTTGATAAAGATCTTGTCTCGAGTCTTCCCGAGACATTCACCCGCCTCGTCAAGCATTCACTCACTCGATCGGTACGTACCGTGCGTACCTTGTCTCTCTCTCTCCCCTGTCGAGTCTGGGTTGTCATTACCTTCTCTTGTCTTTTACTGCCTGCCACAAGAACCCTTTACAGGAAAACAGTAGCATCGTCTCTAGTACACTTTCACTTTGCAGTGTGAACCCAAATCAAGCTTTCTAACTTTCACTTTTCCAGCTTGTCGTGGTGGGACTAGGAAAACCTCAGCTCAGTCCCACCACAGGATAATTACTACATAACCAACCGCACACATCCCAAAACCCATCCACAGAGAAATCCACGACAAAGTGATTCGAGCATCGTACGAAAAACAGGATCAGAGAAACACGCCACAACCACAACATAGTTCCTTTCGTCTGTGCTTCTAGGCACGACTTACCTCCTTTTTTTCCCCCCATCTCCAACCCCCTTCCACTGCTACTTTGACTGCTCAGACTGTCCCACTGTCTCTTGTGTTTCCTCCTGTCACCCATCCCCACCTTTCTCTCTCTCTCTCCATTATCACCGGTGACCGGTGTGCACATGGACTTTGACCGCAACAATGCAGAGGACAGCTGCATAAAAAACCACCCCTATAGAGACACCTGCTCTACCATCAACACACATGGCTTCAATCCTGACGCCTCGGGAGATCTCGAGAAACTCGACTCGCGCCATGACGAGGAAGACGTCTACTTCCACCAGAAAGAGCACCATAACCACCACAATGATGACAATGATGATGGCAATGGTGGCGCCAACACCGACCTAACGGCCCAGAGAACCACGGCCTCGGCCTCGACGACTACTATTACCGACGACCATGAGTCCCAGCAGGTGCCCTCGAGTTTCCCAGAGCGAGTGGCATCTCGTATGTCTGCAGCATCGACCCTCACCTTTCCCGAGGGCGGCCTGGACGGCTGGCTGTCCGTGGCGGGCTCGTTCTGCGCCATGCTGTCCATCTTCGGTCTCATCAACTCGTCTGCCGTCTTCGAGTCGTACTTCTCAGAGCACCAGCTCAAGGACTACAGCTCCTCTCAGATCGGCTGGGTATTTAGCCTCTACCTGTTCCTGGTCTTCTTCGTCGGTATCTACATCGGACCCATCTTTGACCGCCACGGGCCGAGCTGGCTGGTCCCCACCGGCAGCCTGCTCATGGTTCTCAGCCTGATGCTGCTGGGTTTCTGTACGAGTAAGTGATGACGCGCTTTCTTATTCGCAGTATACATTGTGTGGTACATATTGAAAGATAAGATTCAATACTGACTTGTCCCTCTCATACAGAATACTACCAAATCCTGCTCACATACTCTGCCATGGGCGGCCTGGGTGGTGCCCTGCTCAACTCACCAGCTTATGCCACCATCGCTCACCACTTCAACACGCGCCGTGGTTTTGCCACAGGCATCGCCAGCACTGCAGGCGGAATCGGAGGCATCATCTTCCCCATCATGCTGCAGAACCTCCTGCCTGTACTTGGTTTTGCCTGGAGCACACGCATCCTCGGCTTCATCATGCTGGCCCTCGCCGTGCCCTACAATCTGTGGATCAAGGCACGCCTTCCCCCTCGTAAGGACACCGCCACCGGGATCCCCCCAGGCGGCGGCTGGCGCGGCTATCTCGCCAGGTTCATCAGCTTCCAGCCCAAGTTTGGCGTGTTCCGCAACCCGAGGTTCGCCCTGGCCGCCATAGGCATCTTCTTCATGGAGTGGGGCCTCTTTGTGCCTCTCACCTTCATTGTCTCCTTCGCCGCCGAGCACGGCCAGAGCGCCACCAAATCCTACATCCTCCTCTCCTACCTTAACGCGGGCTCCGTCATCGGCCGCTTCCTGCCCGGCGCCCTCGCAGACCGCTTCGGTCGCTTCAACATCATCATCGTGACCATCGCCCTGTGCTGCGCCACCGTCCTCGGGCTCTGGCTGCCCGCCGGCGACTCCGAGGCTATGATCATCGCCTTCGCTGTGCTGTTCGGCTTCGCCAGCGGGAGCAATCTCGGCCTCATCCCCGTGTGCCTTGGCCAGCTGTGCGACTCGCGCGACTACGGTCGCTACATCACCACCGCCAACTTCCTCGCCAGCTTCGGCACCCTGAGCAGCACCCCGATCGGCGGTGCCCTGCTTGGCATCAGCGGCGACAAGGGCTGGACGGCCTTGGTTCTCTTCTCCGGCCTGTCTTATGCCATCGCTCTCGTCTGCTACGTGTCGGCGAGGGTGCTGGCTGTTGGCTGGAGCCCCAAGATCATCTACTGACGTGGAACAGAAAAGAAGAAACAGGAAAGAGGAAAAGAAAGAACACGTGACGGAAAAGAAAGCGTAAAAAGCGTCACCAGGAAACGTCATCTGTATTTTTCTTCACTCTGGATTAATTAGTCTGATCAGGATGGTATCATCCAAAAATGGACAGGACAATGTTGCACATACCTAAGTAAGAAGTTGGTAGCGCCAATCTGGCTTCAGGACACAAACAGGTAACACCAAGCAGCAGCAGCAGCGTCTGCGGGGAAAAAGTTGATTGTAATTAGTACAGCGCTTGCTTGAGTATCATAATGAATGAAATTTTGTAACATAATGCATCCTGGCTGTGATAACTTCTTTGGGGTTGAGACACCGTTGTCTTTGCTGTTCTGCAGGTGGTGGGCTGCTAGCCACATTCTTGTGCATTGCCGCTTTCTTTGGCCACCATAGGTCTTTTCAACACAGGCAGATCTTCTGTCCAAATCACCAACTGAACTGCTACCATGCTTTAAAACTCTAGACTGTGACACGATATGATACACAGGTACACTTACATCTTGCAGTTATTTTGTGGACGACGGAGAGCATAACATCATATCTCCTGCTATACTGGGTTTAGCACAGCAAGTTGCAGCGAGTCTAGTCATTAAACATATCCCTATAGTTAGTTGTCTGCAGAGTCTAGTCTAGACACGGACTTACGAACAGGGAAGTGAATCCAGCTTTCTCTCAAACCTTGAATTGAGCGCGGCGCGTTTTGTCGCCCAGCTTTCTCTTCTAAGTTGACATGTCCGAGGTGACCATCAATAGCTTCCCTCACCAGCAGATTAACGAGAAAGTCCTGCTTGGTTTTTTTCTTTTCCACCTTACTTTAGGCATCAGCCTATGCGATTCATGTACATATTAAGTTTATATGGGTGATAGCTTCCTCGCCCATCTGTGACGGTTTCCTTCTCCTTGATACAGACCAACACTGGCCGTGGCGTCCTTGTGACCTTAGGTATGACAGTTCAAGCATGTCATCCCCATTCTGGCTGGCCATACAACCACGTCTTGGAGCATATGGAAAGCCCTGCTCACCTACAAGATAGTATGTGGCCGGTACTCAAACAAAAGGACAGCCAACCTCAATATACTCCTGCTCAGAAAAGCCTGCATGCACCCCTTCAAATTCTGAACACATCTATGCACCTCACCAAAGAAACAAAGACCTACGCTGATCTATAATACCTTTTTCTCAAGTCAATAGGCCAACCTCCTCCCCCTCATCACCCCCGCCCCCCTCATTGCCACTCAGCAAAGCTCACATCTCCACAGGAGTATCAACAACAACTTTATCGGGTGTTCCTTCACGGCTGAAAGAAGCATTTGCTAATTAACTCTAGATGCAAAGCAGCCCAACGGATCATCTTTTCCCCCCTTGCAGCCGAATACTGTGTACATAGCCAGTGACATCTCATCGGGGCACAGACCGGAAACGCCCCGAAAACTGTAAAGTACTACCTTGTCATAGTAACTTTATATATAACATGGGAGAGCCGGCTTGAGGTTGCCATCCGGTTGGGTATTAATTGCGCTGTCATCATGGCACCAGAAAAACATGGGAGCATTAGTAGGCATGGTTCAAGGTTTGATGCCCAACGGACGTCGGAGTCGCGGGCCTGCCGGGGCGTTCATGCGTCTTGCAAAGGAGGGGAATGATCGATGGTACCCTCCCTAGCCTCGATGACAAGATCACTGGCAACTGCGAGATACACTTCAGGCACACAACTTCACGAGCAATCGGGATATACACACAAGAGCTGGCGAAGCCTAACACACGAGAGGTTATATTAGCTATTACTTAAGTCGATGCTATGGGCCGCCCACGGCAGACAGATCCTAAGGTGACCAGACTGCACGTAGAACAAGACCACCAAGCAAGCGCCGTCCCATCAACAACATTGCTCAAAACCAAACCCTCCATCTCTGTTTCTTTTCCAGGTATCTTTTTTTTGTGGTTTTTTCTCCTTTTTTTCGTTGATATACTAAATGTTTCCATCATCGTCGGTATCCGTTGTCCTTCCAAACGACTGTCTTTGGGTATACTTCGGGTATCAAAACAAAGAACAAGTAAGTTGCAGTAAGGCAAGACTCGGCATCTGGGACAACAAGGAAAGTCGGCCTCCCCAATCGAAGAGGTGTTCCGAGACAAATGGGGGGAATCTGGGTATCTCGAAATGCAAATCCGATCCCTTACACCCAGGGAATGGGTATCATAAGTGTGGTGATGCTCTCATGTGACGCCTCCGTGTCATCAACCTCGCTCTATTTTGTGTGGTAATTGTCGTTCGTTTCCATCCAGGACTGGTGGGGGATGTCATGACCAGCCCCCCAGTCAATTGGGCTGGCCTGTCGCGCGCGTGGCTCCCTAAGCAGTGGCAGTGACGACAGGAGTGCTGGCGACGGGGGCGGCCTCGGTGGTCTCCTCGGCAGCAGGCGCAGCAGCGGCCTCCTCGGGCTTGGTCTCCTCGGCGGCGGCGGCCTCCTCGGCAGGCTTAGCCTCCTCATCGACCTTGGGAGCCTCAGCAGCGGCGTCCTCAGGCTTGTCCTCGGCCTTCTCGGCGGACTTCTCAGCCTTGCCCTTGCCCTGCAAAGCTTGTTAATGACACGTAACAGACCAACTATACACGAGGATGTGAACTTACCTTGATAGTAGCACGGAACTTGGAGAAGGCGTTGTTGCCCTTCTTCTCGCCCTCAGGAGAAGAGGCCTCAGCATCGGGGCTGGCAGGACCAGCCTCAGCCTTCTTGCCGAAGGCGAAGGGGAAGGACGACTTTCGCTTGTCGCTCTTCAGCTCCTTCTTCTCGCCGTTGACAGCGGGGGAGGGGGCGGCCTCGGTGGTGGTGGTCTCCACGGGAACGTTGGCAGGGCTGGAAACCTCAGTGCTCAGGGGCTCAGTGGCCTCAGGCTTGGGAATGACAGGCGCAGTCTAATTTAGCGCAAGTGAATTGATTAGCTTCAAGCCGTTATGAAATAAAGCGGGAACCACGCCACGTTGTTGACTCACCTCAGCGACCTCAGAGATGTCCTTGGCGGGAGTGGCGGGAGCAGCGTCCTCGGTCTTCTTCCGGCCGAAAGGCAGTCCACCAAAGATGCTGTGTAGACCCAATTAGCAAACCATGGTTGTCAACTTGCGCAGAACTAAGAAAAAATACATACCTGGACCTCTTGGTGGGGGTGGGCTTCTCAGCAGGCTTGACCTCCTTGGCCTTGGCCTCCTCAGCAGCGGGCTCAGCGGCAGCGACCTCAGGCTCCTTGGCAGCCTCGGTGGTGGCGGCAGCCTCAGCATCGGCGGGGGCCTCAGTGGCAGCAGGCTCACCCTCAGCCACGGCCTCAGCGGGAGTCTCCTCAACAGTCTTGGGAGCCTCCTCGGTCTTCTCCTTCTTGTCCTTGTTGCCACCGAGAAGAGCACCGAAGATAGAGGTGCGCTTCCTGCTGGCAGAACGCTTGCGCTCATCGGCCTTGGCATCCTTGGCCTCCTCCTTGGCTTCCTCCTTGGCCTCCTCCTTGGGAGCCTCGGTGGTGGCAGCCTCGGCGGCAGGAGCCTCAGTCGCGGCCTCAGCGGCAGCAGGAGTCTCCTCGGCGACCTTGGGAGTCTCCTCGACCTTCTCCTCCTTCTTAGCAGGAGTGAAGGAGGCGAGGGTGGCCTTGTACTTCTCGGACTGAGTCACGGTCTCAGACGCCTCCTTGGCCTCAGTGATCTTGATCTTGATCTGGGAGACCCAGTTGTCGCGGTCGGCCTGGTTGGCGGCCTTGAAGGTGTGCTTGTGGCCCTTGGAAGACAGGACGAACTTGTGGGTGCCCTCGGAGGTAGGCTCAGCAGCGTCGGCCTGGACATGCGTTGTCAACACCAGGCCAAAAATAAAGGGGGCAAGTCAGACCTCAAGGGGACGGGGGGGCATACCAGCAGGATGGCACCGGAGGGGGCATTCTTGTCAGTGCCCTTCTCCGCGTAGAAGAGGAGACCCTTGCCAGTCTCGCTCGCCCAGGCAGCAAGCTGGTGGTCCTTCAGCAGGGAGGGGATCTTCTTCGGGTCGACGGCGTCAGAGCCGAACCAGAAGAACTTCTTGGAGTAGATGAAGTTCCTGTGGGCAGCACATGTTAGCAAATGTGTTGAGCACACCAAAAACGAGGGGACAGTCCAAGCGGATAGCCCCTGAGGATAGGGTTGGACGTACTTGGGGAAGTTGCTCCCCTTGTGCTCGAGCTGTCCATCCTCGACAGGCTCGACCTCCTTCTTTGCCTCCTCCTTCGCAGGCGCGGCGGCAGTCTCAGCACCAGCGGGAGCCTCGGTGGCGTCCGCAACAGGAGCTTCGGTGGCTGTTGTGTGTGGAACATATCGTCAGTGATACTGGCCCTCATATTCTCGGCGCCGTCGCCTTTTGTGGCCACAAATACATAGAGGGGCGGACAAGGAAAGGATCATTCGCATACCAGCAGGAGCAACAGCCTCCTCCTTGACCTCGGTGGCGGGGGCCTCCACAGCAGCGGCAGCAGGGGCCTCGGTGGTGGTAGCGGGAGCCTCCTCCTGGGGGATCTCGACAGGCTTGGTTTCGTCGGCCATGTTGGATGATTTGGGGGTTTGGGTATGCAGAGGAAAATTGGGTATCTCTAAAAGAAAAGAAAAAAACCAAAACAAGCAAGACAACTGAGAAAAAGATTAGATCAAAGGTTTCCTGACTAATAGGAGAAGTCCTTTGATAGTAGTACTAATGAAGAAGAATCGGGGATGTTTCTATGCCCTCGACGAGAATGTATGGATGGCTGGGATCCAGATGGTGACAACAGTAGAAATGGTCTGCTGGAGAGAGAGAAAGGAGAGAGGAAGGTCAGGAGATTAAGAAGGAAGGGAACGAGAGTTTTGGGTTGGGTCGTACTTTATTTGTTTTTTTAAGCCCCCCCCCCTTTCTCCTAGGGAGGGTTGCGGTTACGATGGGTGGGTAGTGGGAGATGGGTGGTGGGAGGTGGTACT